TTTTTTCAATTGGTCATTTTGAGAACTCTACTCATAACATATAGACTGCTTTATAATTGTTATTGTTTCAGAAACATAGATTAATGCTTAAATGGCACAACTACCTGATACGAGTAAACGAGTTTCGCCATCAAAAGGACTACCGGTCGAAGAAAGAGAAAGCGCTGGAAGCTCATGACACAGCTAAAGAACTCTATGAAGCTCAATTCTTCTCCACCTTCGAAAAGCTTGACCAGGAGTGGCTGAAGCTTCGAACGGAATATGCGGTTTATCTTGACAACACCCCGGACTTCATCAGACAAGCTGCCAAATCGTTTTTTGAACGCATATTTTCAAATATGATTGATATAAACTTCAGCAATAAAATCGCTGGTATGTTGAGTTTATTTATCATTGATTTTGATTTTAAAAATGTTTAGGAAGTCGGTCTGGTTCCATTTGTACTGTAACATTCCATGGCTATCGTCGTGTTTTCTTTTTAAAGACAAACCACAACTCGTCGAGTATTTCATGTAAGCTCATTGTAGCGAATCACTTTAATCATCATGATTTAAAATTTAGCTAATTACCGAGGACCATTGAACTTGATAGAATTGTATGTATACGTATTGTTAGACGTCTTGGGCCTTGGAGCTGCAGTTCAGTTTATCCCCAATGTGGTTGCGTCAAACAAAGTTGTATACATTTGCTCAGAAGAGATCGCTGGCTTTACAACGATGGCAGAGCTAGAGAAAGAATGGTAAGTGCTTTTAGAATATTATGATTCATTTGATTTTCAATTTCATCTACTGGTGTGTGTTTAGGAAGACGTTTGAACGTAAAATCGTGAAGAAGAGAGATCAATTTGCGGAATCTATTATTTTGACATCTTTGCTCGTGCAAGTTTTGGGCATAGGAGATTTGAACCTAGAAAATATCGGATTCGTCGACAATTCCACTGCCTTATTTATTGTCGATTTCCGGACTGCATTCATCGATTGCTCTTGTGGATTTGAAGAAATAGAGCGTCCAAAAAATGCATTGAGTCTAGTGGCCCAATTTCGCACAAATTTAGGAAGATTTATGGAACTGGTTGAGGTTTGTATTTTGCATTGCATTGATGAAAACCATAAATCTTTGTCTTCAGGGAATGTCGTACAAGAAGCAGCTAGATATTGCAAAGAAGTTCATTCTTGAAAGCAGAATCACTTCACAATTAGACGTAGCCATGGCAAAGCTGGATGAATATAAGGAAACATTCTGCCGATCAGATTTGTCATTTGCCAAAGGGACAGAAGCATTGAAAGAATATATTAACCTCGTTCGCGACAAGATTGTTCAAGTACAAAACTCATGATTATGTTACGTATCCGTACTTTAAATTTAGAAAATATATAGTCTTTCCTATTTTATTCGTTTTATCGCCTTATTCAAGAACATAAGAAGTTCTTGACTTGTTTCGGGTCAATCAGTTTATTAGTATTTGTAGTATCATATATAGTTGTGTCTCCATAATTTTCTGTTAGCTTCTATTTCTTAAAAGTGAAGGATATAATTTATTTTTAACACTTTGGAAACTTCCTACACTACACTATGAGAGACGTCACAATTATTTAGTTGTTGACTCCAATAATCCAATATTATCAATGTTCGTGAATGCCATGGCTTCAGATGTTTATCATACTTTAGATTTTTGTACTGTCCAACTTTCTTCTTCTCAACAATCATAAATCGTTACGGTTTTTATTGAGAGTCCTTCCAAAGCCATAGTGAAAGTCGGAGAAACTCTTCACCTAAAATAACTGACTAAATCGCAGGCGACATCGCCGAATTTTCGCTGGAGCCCCATCGAAGTCTCGCTGTTATGTCTCTTATAAATTCTTTTTTGAAATCTATAAAACGATTGTTTGCTTTGTTTTTGACTTCTCTGCTGGAAGAGATCGAATTTAAGAAAAAATGGAGCCAGACCGCGCAATATCGAGCGATTTGAACTGGAGCGATATCGCGCAAGGTCGAGCGATATAAAATTTAGCGATATCGCGCAAGACTGGCGGCTCCCACCGCGACATAGCGCTACTCTCACCACGACACAGTCCATTATTTTGGGATTTCAAGGTGCTGTGCACCTTATTCTCACCTTTTTCGAGTCTTTGAAATCTATAGATAGGGACCGCAGACGAATTTTCAAAAAATTTTTTTCAGCATCGAGCTTCGTATGGTTTGATAGCTGTTTCGATTTAAAACTCAGAACCGTTTAGTTTTTCGAAAAAGATTGAGGATGAAAAAAGTTATGACGAAAAATGTGGCGCGCCGCGCACCATTTTTTTAGTACTGAAATTTTGGTATTATTCATTTTTGACATTTTTCTCGATTTTTCTTCTAGAACAAGTTTTGATACTGGTCTATTATGATGTAACAAATCATAATAGAGTGCTAAAATAATGCTAATCAGCTATTTTTGCCGAAAAAGGTCGGTATTTTGCAGAAAAACAAAAAAACTGACGCTTGCGGGTATCGAACTCGCGACCTCAAAATGAAAAAAATCGCAGCGCACGCACTGCGCCAAGCTGTCAGGTCTAGCGCGGGGAGCTTCCATCCGCCTTACCCTTGAGCCGTTTAAATAGCACAGATTGTCTATTTCAAAAAGAAAAACTTGAAGTAATTTAGCTATTTTTATCAGAATATGTTCGCAAATCTTTACTCAAACGTTTCGTGGAAATTCACTTCGAAAAAACTGTTTTTTCAGTGCTTTTTGCCTCTTTTAACGATCGCTGCATTAAAACGGCCCCGTATATTTTCGGCAAAGACGAATTTTTTATTTTATTCTTTTAATTGAAAGATTTTTTACTAATAAATGTATATAATCGTTTGAAAAAAACCTGCGTTCGACCGCTTTCTGTGTGATAAACGCCGCTAATTTTATTCTCTATTTTTCAAGAGCATTTTTTTGCGTATCACACAACTTTTTTCAAAGTACATATGCTGTGGAGAAAAAAATTTAAGTAAGCCCTATGGTCTAAACTTTTGAAAAAAACAAAAAAACTCGATTATATTCGCTTGTTATCGATATTTTTGAATTATGACTTTCGGCACTCCCTAAAAATTTTTTTGGCAAAGACGAATTTTTTTATTTTATTGTTTTAAAATTACCGTTACTTGAATCAAAAATCATTATATAAAAAAAGAAAGAGTGCGTTCGACCTGAAAAACACATGAAAAAAAGCAAAAAAATGACAAAAATTTTTTTAGTTCCATTCACGTTTTTTTGTACGACATTCCGCGAGAACGCATCAAAAAAAGCGTAAAAATTTTTTTAAACGAAAGAGGAAGCTTTTTCTGTACATGTGTGTCAAATTTTATTATCCAGTTCCACATATTTTGCAACTACAGCAAAATGAAAGTTGAAAACCAAAAAAAAGCCACTTTTTCTATCGCGAAAAGGGGCGTGGCTTTGCGGTCCCTATCTATAGAAAAGGTTATGAAAGTCGAGACCGTGAAACGGATTTTTGCGGATTTTCTGCGGACTCATTAAAATCCACTTTTATGTCCTATTCAGGTGAATTTCCCGACTTTGAACGTGTTTTCCAATGGAATCCTGATAGTGGGAGTTTGGCGAGACTAAAATAATTTTTTGTTCTGGAAAAGAATGTGAAGTTCTATTTTGTTTTCCGAATTACATTACTGAACGTTTTGACTCATTTCAAAAAAGTTTTACGCTATTTTTGCTTTGAAAACATCGCGAATTCGGAATTTTCGTGGGTCGGGGAATGCACAATTTCGCCAACGCGCAAATGCAGGACGCTGTTTTTATTGTTCGAATGAATCAAATTTTGAAAGCACAAGCAGGATTTTTTTTATTTTTGACTATGTTGAAGAAAAAAATGAATCAAATCAAAATAAGAAAAAAAATAATTTGCCTACGACTGCTAAAACACTTTCCCAAGTGTTTCAAAAAAATCAAAAATCAAAACTTATTTTTAAAATTAAGGTTGGAATGAAAGTTTTGTTTCTTATTTTTAAAATGTTCTAAAATTTATAGAGAACAATTCAAAAAAAATTTTTACGATGTTTCGCGGAAAATGCCAAAGTTCCCGAATTTCGAAAGTTGCGATTTTCCGACGCTTCGATACTTGAAAGCACAAGCAGGAATCTTTTTATTTTTACTTATATAGTGTATTTTCACATGCTCAACAAAATAAGAAAAAAAAAATAACTTGAGCGGGATTGTAAGTATTCAACGTTCTTCCACTTTTTCGCACAAAGGCGTCGCGAAAAAACGTCATTTTAACCGATCCTTTTTTATTCACAGCTTTTTCTTCTATGTAGAATTGTAGAGCATAGCCGATTGTATGTTCCCCTCAATTTTTTCCCAAAACGGTTCAGGGAAACTGCATAAACAACAATGAAATGTCAAAAATGCAACGAAATATACGACGTTTTTTGGTCAGCGAGGGGGTGTGGCCTTGCGGTCCCTAGGTAGAGGCTCTAAAATTGGAAAGCTCTGTTTTTTGCACTGAAGAAGTTAGTGGAATTCGCAGGCCTAACTTTATGGGTTCACCCGACAAAAATCACCGGTAAATTGATAATAGGCCAAATTTGAGAAAACATTTTCAGTTTTGGTGCTTTTGAAAAGTTTTTCGTTTAAACGTAGGGACCGCAACCAAATTTTCGAAAAAATTTTCGAACTTCAATATTACTATGGTTGAATAGCTGCTCTAATTTACTATTCAAAACAGTTTAGTTTTTTTCGAAAAAAAGGTTAAGAACAAAAAAAGTTATCGTCAAAACAGTAGTGAAAAAAGTCGCGAAATTCATTACTGAAAGTTTAGATTTTACACTTTTAGTCGTTCATTTTGTTTTCATATCGGATTTGAATTTTTCAGTAGTTTAGTTCGGTTTTCAAAGTCATAATTAGTTATTAAAACAGTATAAAACCACAAGTTCGAAGAGAAAAGCTATTTTTTTCATGGAAAATAAAAAAATGGCCGCTGCGAGGTTCGAACTCGCGTTATCAAAACTGTATGCAAGCGCACTTGCGCTGCTCCACGTACATCCCACGGAGACGGGAGGCGTTCGCGCTATACACCACTTCACCTCAAAGTACAGCATTTACCGACAATCTTGTTCAAAAAAAAGTTATGGTAGTTGAACAATTATTAGTCACGTGTGTTCGGACAACCTAAAAACAATTTATTCATAGAGATTCAGTTCAAAATTCTTTTGTTTTCGGTGCTTTTTGTTATTCTTAACGTTGGCTTCAAATTAACAGTAATTAAATTTTTTTACCGTGGAAATTTTTTTATTTTATTTTTTTAATTGATTGATTGAATACGCTAATATTTAAGAAATAAAAAAAGGCGCCAAGGACATCTGACCATGTTAAAATGAATTTCGATATTTTCACTGTCTATTTTTTCTCAGAAAACAAAGTTTTCGGAATAAGTTTTATACTAATAAAGTTTTAGTTATAATTTAAACCACAAGTTAAAATAAAAATTTTTTACTTACACGCTCTCGAAACCGAGTACAACATTTTCAACTTTGCACGGCCTCACGAAGATTAGGCACCGTAAAAATTGTAATTTTTTTGTTTCAAAAGATTTGTTTTTCACTTAAGAATCGAATTCGAAAATAAAAAAAGGCGCCAACGACATGGAATTAGGTTAAAAACCCGAAGAAAAAAAGTAGTTTTGGTTTTTTGTACGACACTCCGCTAAAACGCTACGAAAATCGGGAGAAAAGTAAATCAGATTGAAGAGGAAGGTTTTCTCTATGTTTCCACTAATTTTCTCTGTGTTTGGTTCAGTATTGCGCTTTTACGAAAACAGCAAACACAAAATCTAAAAAACCAGTGCATTTCACCATCGCAAAAAGGGGCGTGGCTCTGCGGTCTCTATTTAAACGTTTCATAAAACGTCTTTTCAAAAGATTTATTGCAAAATTATTGAATCAAAAGTTGAAAATCGTACCTAAAGGAGAACGTCATTTTACTTGGCGGTTGAGAGTTTTCTGAAATTTGGCCAGGATACTACTTGATGTAGAAGAAGTGGATTCTGAAGGTTCTCAACCTGCACAACTTCCTAGTTCCCAAGAAATATGATCTAAAGCCCCTAAAAAGCTCATTTAAATGTGTTTTGAGCGTTTCTCAAAAACTAGAAAGTCGTGCAGGTTGAGGCTCTCAGAATCTTCCTCTGGTACATCAAGGAGTCTTCTAGCCACTTTTCTGACCAACCGCAAAGTGTAATGACCTTCCTTGTAAGGAAATTTATAGTCAGCAAATGGGTTTACACTCCTAAAACTTGATTTTTCCACACTAAACTTCTACTATTTTAAATATTCAAAACCCCTCCGTTATACACAATCATCAAACCCCAAGAAAAATTTTGAATCCAACTAGTTTTCTTTCGAAAAATCAATTGTAAAAATTGAAAAAGGTTTAAGTTTTGCATTGATTCCCATCAGAAACCTCGCCATTTCATGCAAACGATATTTTCTTCTCTTTCTTCCAAGGAAACTTCACAGCTTTTTTTTTTCAACAAGACAGATCAAAAACAGATTTACTTCAAATATTCCATTAAAAAAATTTTTTTCCAAGTGATTTGATCGAAGATGGAGATGCCGTTGATGATTTTTTTCGTCCACTGCAAAAATTAAAAAAATGTTAGAATAGCTATGAACAAACCATTTACAACTTGTCTCGTGTCGCTCTTCTTTCTTCTTTTCCGATCGAGGAATGCGAGATTTATGCTCGCAGGAATTCATTTTTGTTTTGTTTTTTTTTGTCTGTTGCGTTGCGGAGTATTGTGTGTGTTGTTTGTCTGTTGCATTGTAGTTTTTTTGGATTTTTGTTTTTTTTTCGGCCTTCATTTTTAGACCTTAAATTTTTTTGGGTTTTTTTGAAATTATGATGTTTTGGGTTAGTTTGGAGGACTGCGAGAACAAAAAGTTCTAGTCCTCCTTCACACCTTCAACCGGTCGATGGCGACGGCTGTGAAGGATCAAACAGGAGAAGTAGGAAAAAAAACGTCTACAACTCCTTCGGCACCACGCGGAAAGTGACCATCCAGCGAAAGCTTGTTCACGAGCTGGCAGGCCTCCGCAACCGTGGAGGTTCGCAAAAACTTGTTCCGAGTGTCTCGGCGATGGATGAATCTTCATTCGCATCGCTTCCCCTCCATATTCATAATTCTCAGGTCCGTTGGAGCTCGACCAATGCAAATTGGAGCTCAAAAGTTTTTTCTTCACTTTCCACTCATCGGTTTCCTTGGCCGAAAAAGGCGAATATGCCAAAGTCTATTGGTTTTCAAGAAAAAATTCAAAAATTTGCTCCTGCGTTTTGAGAAGAATTTCGAGTTTTTGCATGACTTTGAACTCAGGCATTTCACCTTCTTCGGTGTTGGGAAACCGACCTAACTAAAAAGAAAGGAGAAAAAGAAGGAGGGTTGGAAGCCCGATGAAACTTTGCCGGTTTTAGATCATTCTCATTCCAGTTTTTTTTTCTGGGATGAGGAAGTTCTGAAAATCGAGTTTCATCACGTTTGAAACCCTCCAACTTATGCACCTGACTTGAATAAAAGTTAGGTTTTAGTTCATGAGGTTCTGTAAGAGCTTTTGAGTTCTATTTGCGAAGGTTTCCGTTCCAAGGTGCTGAGAATCGTCACCATTCAGGGCTCAGAAAATGACACTTCTTTCTGGCCGTGTCAGGGACATAGACGCATCGTGTAGATTCGAATCTTGAAAAGCTTCAACTTCTTTTCGACGAAAGTTTCGCTCCAGAGAAGCAAAACTTTGCAAGTTGATCAGTCTTTTCGAAATTCGAAAAATGCACATTTTGTCTATGTAACGACCCCTGCTGAATGGGCTGTTCTTGCTGCTCACTGCTGTCGGATGAACTCGACAAACTTTGTTAAAATGAATGAATTCATCAAAACAAAGTTCATTGAGTAAATCAGGATAGCTGAAAGAAGCTGAGAACCGGAGCCGGGGTCTACATCGCGGATCGGGGCGTGGGATGACTGGAGGGGGAGTGTGATCGGAAACTAGGAGCAGGAGGAGCTCCAGAAGAGGCCTGCTACTGGTTTCCGACCATATTCTCCCTCCAGGCATCTTGCGCCCCGATCTGCGATGTAGACCAGCGGTCGGTTCCTTCAAAAAGTGATGGGTTGAGAATCTAACGACACTTTCTCCAGGCGTACTTCAGGACGCTCTGATAGCTGCTTTTTTTGAATCTCTGTTTTTCGTTTTGGTCTAGTTTTGGCTCGATTCGTTGGCAGAGCGATGTAGTGGCTAGCTATCTTGCCGGCGGAGCTCGTGATTAAAGTTCGACTCCGTTCTGGCGAGAATTTTCAGCCTCGCCAAAACGGAGTCGCACTTTTTTTTGCGGTCTCCGCCGGCAAGATAAAAAGCCACTACTGCCAACAAATCGACTTTTGTATTTGACACTGATGGAGTGCAAACTAAAAGGCGCTGTAACTCGATTGAAACGAAAAAAGCGACTGTTCGGACTTTTTTGAATCAGAGCATCTTCTGAAGACGGGTGAAGGGATTTCCCGTTTGAGTACGGTTTCGTTAAATTCTCAACCCATCACTTTTTGCGCTTCTCGTGTGAGCAACAAGATGCGTCATCTATGGACGCGCGAGAGGGATCTTCTTCGGTTTTTGCCGAAAAGATTCCTCTGTCGGGTCGACAACTACGTCGACCCGCTTATCGCCGACTTTTTCGGCTTTTGGGGCTCAGCGGAAATCTACTAACATGGAAGGTCATTTTTGCGTAGGGTTTGGAATTTTCTCCAAATTTGCTCGAACAATCTTGGATGGACTGGGAGTCCCCATAGTCGTTATCTGCGCAAACCTTTCGTTTTGAAGATATGAAATTTTCAAGTTTCCGTCCTTAAACACTTGACATCGTTTGGAAGGAATGTGTCCAAAATGCAATCTGCCATTGCATGGAAGCTAGGAGAGTGGTGCAAGGGCTAGTGCGGTAGCCTGCGAAGCTAATGATAAGGGTTCGACTTCTTGTGCCGTTATCGTTTTCAATCAAATGAATTTGAAAAAGACTTTTTTTCTGATGATGTGAAGCATACCGAAACTTCAAGAAATTTAAAAAAAGATTTTGTGGAAAAAGTAATTTTCGAAAAAAATGGTCATTGGTCGGTTTTGAAACGGTTCTAAACATGAAAGTTCGTAATCTTCATCACAATCTGTCGAAAAGATGATGGCAAAAATCAATAGCGGCAAGAGGAATCGAACCTTCATCATAGGCTTCGCAGGCTACCGCGCTAGCCACTGCACTACGCTCCTAGCTGTCATACAATGGCTGGTGGCGCGGACAATTCCTTCCAAAAGGTGTCACGTGTTTAAGGACAAAAACCTTTGAATTTCATATCTTCAAAACGAGAAGTTTGCACAGATAGCGACTATGGGGAATCGATTCCCAGTCCATCAAAGATTGTTTGAAAAAATATATAGAAAATTCCAAACCCTACGCAAAAATGACCTTCCATGTACACTCAAGAAGTGCGAAAATAAAGATTTCAAAAGTTTTCGAATCTCGGTTCTGTCTTGTTAGAGACGAACTCCCCGATTCTGATTTTACTTCTTGAACCTAGGTTTTCTGATGCTGCGTGAAGGTTCTCAATTCAAAAGTGCACAAAGCAGACTTTTGTGAGAAAAAAGAAGAAGCTCTCCAAATTCAAGGTACAAAAGGAAAAAGTAGAATCATGTTTTTTGAGTTGGTTTTTGAAAATAAGGGAAATCTTGGAAAGGGAACCATAGTTGTATTTCGCAAGCTTGCGCCCGACCACAAGCAGGTCACGCCAGTTTCCAGACTCGAAACAAAGAAGCTTTTTCAATCTCAAACTCTTAAAACATCCCTTCTTACTTTTTGAAAAATTGTACTGACCTTTTTTTGGAGAGCAACTTCTTTTGTGATTCCGCGCTTTCCAGCCGTGTTGTCCATCTGAAATAATTAGGGATTGAATTTATCAGAAAAAATTATATATATAAGCGTGGTTTTATTGTTCCACGTGAATTTTAAATTTGGATCTGGATTTACGATCGTTCTTTCTACAGTTTTCATTTTATTTTCTTCAAATTTTTTGCTTTTCTTTTTTCTTCTACAAGGACATTGCTTCGTATGATCTTTTAAGAAAATTTGTAAGTTTGAAAGATTTTCATACGATTTAGTTTTGTAATAATTTTTAAGTATCAAGATCAAAAATGTTGATCTTTGAATGAGATTCAAATCATTTTTAGTTATTTTTGTCCTAACTAGTAAGGTAGTGGTGAATGGAAGAAGAAAACCACACTTTTTTAAAAATTTATTATTGTTTCATAACCTGTTAATTTTCTGAATGACGTCATACTTAACGGAAAACTCCTATTTCGAAGTTGTTTTCACTGGATATCTCTTTTTCCATAGACTTTTTGACAATGACCGAATAAGAGGCGGGAAAAGAACTTTTCAATAAAAATACCAACCTAGGAAGATGGCGGCTGGAGCTGGGACCGGAGCGGCTCTTCTTCCTCTGGCATGCTGCCAAGAGAGAAGCTGAGGGACCGGCCGAACGGTGCCGCGGCGGAAAGCGGGAATGGGCCATCTCGTGCCGGTGTCAGACGTCCGGAGCCCAATCGATCGGGCCGCAGACGCAGAGGGACGCTGTAAACTTGCCCCCAATGCCGCTCACTGTCAAGCTCCGGCTGCCTGGTAGCTAGTAGGCCGTTTAGTCCGTTTTTCTGCTCCAGTTGCTCTAAACTGGCATTTTCTAGGCTCAAAAGCTTCAAAAATTTCCAGTTCTTGCGAGAAATTCCTTATAAATAAATCTTCTTTTTTTTCAGAAATAAGACTGATATCTAGTAGGCTAGCTTCTTCGGAAGTTTTCCCACAACGCCGAAATTCTCTTTTTTGACGCCACAGGATGACCTGGAAAGATGGGCCGTTTCCGATTCGGAAAGCTGGTCCGTCTCAGCGAATCTCAGAGGCTTTCTTTAATTTCTGAAGAAATTCGGAGCTTCGTGGGAACTTTGAGAAGATCTAAGCCGAATTTTTGAAAAGGTCTTATGCCTAGAAAAAAGAATTTCATTTTTTTTTTTGAGGAATTTTTCACAGCTGGAAAGCCAAAAAAGACCTGGAAAAAAGGACCGCTCCCGATTCGGAACGCTGGTTCTTCCCCGGAAATCTCAGAGCCTTTTTTTTAATAAACCCGGAGCTTGGATTTTTTTTTTCAATTTTTTATTATTTTTAAACCTCGGATTGTGATCTAGTAATTCAACTTTTTCACACGCTCCTGAATGAAAATCATTTTTCTTTTTGATTTTTAAGTTCAGGAGAGCACAGTTTGTGCACGAGGACTCCAATTTATTCAAGTTTATAATAATTACTAAGGTAACGTTCTAATTTCTTTTTGTATCAATTTCAGCACAATGAGAGACAAAAAAATAAGAGCCCAGCTAGCGGTCGAAAAAAAGAAGAAAACTAATATGAAAAATACAAAAAGAAAGCGTCTTTTCTAAAAATCTAATCGACGCGGTAATATTGAAGTTTTCGAATATTTTGAAAAAGACTGGGTTTAGAGTAGAAAAAAAGAAGATTTTTAAGCAAGAAATTTGACAGAACCAGAACATTTAGTGTGTAGAAAGCTGTTCGATATGCAGGCAGCAATTTTTTAAATTTTTTCAGCCTAGATAATAAGATTTTTTTGAAAAGTAAGGTGGACAGAAACAACTACAGAGAAAAAAAAAAAAAATTTTTTTAATTACGCAAGCACCCACCAAACGATTTTTGAAGACACGGAATTGATTCATTCTTCTTAGTAAGGCCAAAGGAGACAACCAAATATTGACAGAAATATGTTTTTAATTAATAAAAAAACATTTTATTTGATATAAATTGTCCAAAAAAATTAATAACTACCACTACTTTGGAAAAAAGGGAATGTCCAAAGGAACGAGACAATCACGGCCAATCCTATGAAAATACTCGGAACTTCAATATTGCTTCAAAACCTCGTTCATAAAAAGCGAATTTTTTATTTTATTTGAACCTCGGAATGTGAAGTTAACTTTTACATGAAACTGACTGAGAAAGTTTTTTTTTCGGTTCAGTGGAGCGCATTTGTGCACGAGGCTTGAAACTTTTAAAAATCTTATTTTTCTTCAGAAATTCATTATTTTTCGAAAAATGATAAAAAGAGGGTGGAGGCGGAAAGGCTAGACCATCATAACCTTGAGTTTTAGAAAAGTCCGCTGAACAGGATACACAACAAAAAAAAAAATAGGAAAAATGAACTTCTAAAAAAGGTTTCAGGGTGCTTGAAAATGGAAACTTAGAAAAAAATCATGATTTCGATCGTTTCGGAAAAACGGGATATCTCCAAAATAGATAAAGAATAGAAACATCACATTTGAAAAAATTTTTTAATTTGGATAATTTTTGAGAAAAAGTCGTCTAATTTAACGAAACTTTAACTTACAAAAACAAAAAAAAATTACTTAGGAAAAAGAATAGAAATAGAAATCGAATCACTTTCAAAGAATTTTCAATTTATTCCGTTTTTAATCGGCAAAAAGGATGGACAGCAGTAACAGCAAAAATAAATTTGATTTGATTACTTCTGAATTTTCTAGAGATGGTCGAAACTCTCATAAATTCACTCAAACTAATTTCTTTTTATTTCAAATCAATTGAAATTTTAAAATCGGCAAAAAGGCTGGACGGTAGGATCAGCAAAAAAATGGATGCAATCTAATAATATCTAGAGTTTTTACCCATTACATGGAGGTCACGGATCAGTTAATTTGGATATTAATTAAACAAACATTTTGGTAAAAAGGGAATGTCTAAAGAATTGCAGTACACGAAAGATCCAACCTGTTTTAAACTAAATCCCCGCCCATAAAAGGCGAAGAATTTTTTCAATTTTCAACCTCGAAATGTGAAATAAGACTATTTTACGTGACATTTGACTGATTTTTCAGTTCAGTTGAGCACATTTTGTGCACGAGGCCCTCAATTTTTCAATTTTAGTTTTTCATGGAAAAATTTTCTCTGAAAAAATTTTAACACTATGAAAATGAATTAAAACTTAATGTGAGGTCCAATTTTCATTCTCTTATAAATTTACTCAACCTGATTTTCTTTTATTTCAAATCCAATTTAGTTTTAAATCGGCAAAAAGGCTGGACAGCAAAAAAAGAACGCAATCTAAGAATTTCTAAAGTAAAGAATAAGAATATAAATTACATCCCTCACCAACAGCAGTTTATCGGGTTTAAATGACAATTTAGGGAAGAATAGACATCAAATAAGAAAAAGAAAGAAACATCACGTTACATGGAGGTGCCGGAAACCATAATATTTATTCAAAACCTCGCTCATAAAAAGCGAATTTTATTTTTTTAATTTCCTCGGAATGTGAAAAATTTCACATGCTACTGAAAATTTTTGAAATAACCGTTTTCAGTGTGGTACACTTTGTACACGAGGATTCAGTATTTTTAACGAGTTTTTTTGAAAAAAATTAATTTCCAACCCTTCTGAAATTCAAAAAAATTATTTTATTTCGAAAAATTCCTAAAAAGAACATGTATTTACAGGTTAAAAAAAGGAAACTTTCTAGAAAAAAATTTATATATCTAAACTGTTTCTATTGCGAAATCAACTTTGGAAAAATCTTGTGGCACAGAAAAACTCCACAAGTGATTGGAAAATTTCTCTTCCAGATTGGGATTTTCAGTATCTTTTTGACCTATACTGGAAATGGTATAAGATACTGTTGACCTCGATTATGACTGTTCTAACAGTAATAGGAGGAATATTCTTGATGTACAAATGGTTTTCCATGAAAATGATCAGAAAAACCCACTTGAACATCATCATCTTATTGTCAGTGATAACTCTTTCTAATTCCAGAATGACGACCATGTCTGAAACGGAACTGCTCGGACTGTCTCCAGCAGCGGAAGAAAAGATGGACACTGAAACGACAACACCGTCTCCTCAATCGATCCAGAAGGCCAAAGGGCCAGCAGCAGAGCTTGAGCCAACGGGCAAGCGACCAGAAATGGACGTTGAGCTATCCAGAATATATATTTAATCTCAAGAGTTAGATTTGCAACCCTTCTAAAATTCAAATTACCATCAGGAAATCCTAGGGGCTGAAAAAATCAAGTGCTCATTTACAATTTCATTGAAAAAAAATTTTTTTGGAGGAAAGTTATATGATTTATGTGGATTTTCAACACTTTAATGTTATAAAATGTCATTATCAAAAAAAAATTTTTTTTCAATTTGAAAAACTGAGCTTTTTACGTAAGGATTGAAAATGCGAGATTGTACACTTTTCACAAAGTTTAGAACATCAAATTATTTCCTAAATCCTCTTCATGGAAAGCATTGAACAGATAAATTAGAGTATGAATTTATTTCCGAAAAAACGCGCCTGGGAGATTGTCTGAGCTTCCTTTTTTTGAACAGTTTTTCATGAATAAGCAAAATTGAGTGATCTGAAGCTCTAAAAATATTCAAGTTAACTTTTAAAAAAAGTTTTTTTTAATTACCCAAGCACCCACCCAACGAAAAAAATAAATAAATGAAAAGGTATGGGTATATTTTTCCCTAGAAAGGGCAAGGGGACAACCAAATCCTGACAAAAATGGATATTTGAGTGGTCAAGGCGATAACCAGATTCTGACAGTAGTAAGCAAAGTTCTAATAGTCAAATGTAATTGGACGTTCATAAATGACGTCGTTTTGCTCTTCTTTTTCTTACGTTATTTTCAAATTTTTTAAATCAAAATCTCGGATTTGGACCATTTCCAAGAGCTTTATCGTTCGATGAAACACGAGATCTTCAATCATAAATTTTTAATATTTTATTGTACTTTTCTTGAACTGCTTCCATTTATTGATGGAAAACGTTTTTTAGACTTTAAAAAAAAAATGTAAAACTAGCGAGCTCAAGGCGCTGGGAATCGTCTTCGCGGTGAAGAAAAACTACGGTCGTGACAGATCATGCACCCCTGAAGGCCTCACTCTATCGAAAAGACCTAGAAGGACGGCTAGCGAAATACCAACTGGTACTTCAGGAGTACGACCTGAACATCGTCTACAGACCAGGGAAAAAGAACCTCGTGTCCTTGTTCAGCACCGAAACATGCTACCGGGAAAGGTTGAGGCGAAGCCCTTTTTCCACGTTACAATAGATGATTCCGGCTGGATCCATTTTTCTTAGTGAGGTCAAGGTGACAACCAAATACTGACGATAAGAAAATTTTGGATTTTCTATTGAAGGTCAAAATAAAAGCGGGATATTTAAAGTATTAGTTTCTCGATTTACGACGGTTACACGCACATATGCGTCAAATTTGTGTTATATTTTTCAAATTAGGTCAACGAAAGTTTCTTAGCATAAAACTAAGAAAAAAACATTAAAAAAAGAAATTTTATCCACTTTTTCTATTCACTTCGACAAATTTAAAAGAGAAGAAAAAAATATTGAATTTTCAATAATTTTTTTCTTCGAAATTTCCTAGCATAAAACAGACTTTCTTGGATTTTTGTCTTAAAGGATGATCATCAAATTTTTATCAATGATTTTTTATAAAGCTTCTCTTGTATTATTTAACTTTAACGAAATCAAATTTACTTTTTTCCGTTCTTTTTGATTTTTTTGTCAATTTATTTTTTTCTGAAAAGGCATTTCTACACCTAAATCATCATAGAAAAATATCAAAATCTTAGTTTTTGTGTTGTGCCAATGACATCAAGTACTGAGAGCTACTCGACGAAACAAGAACTTTTTGAATTTTAAAAAAATCTAAAATAATTTTGGGAACGTCCATATAAGACTTTCGAGCTTCGAATTTGAAGAATATCTTTCAAAAATTTTTCAAGTATTGACTTGAAAACAGCAGGAAATTTCTGCTTCCCCCTTTTCTGGGCGTTGTGAGAACACCAAAAAGATGAACGAAAATTAAAAAAGTTGAAAATAGCGTCGAAATTTCCAGTTAGGTTTCGCAGCGAAAAATTCAGCCAGTCCTAAGGTTACTGTAGTCAATTGCGTTTTTTTCTTGTCATTAGCCTTTTGAATTAAATTAAGAAAAACCGAGCACATTTTTTCAGAAATTTTTTTGTTTTAAAATGATATTTCAGACCTTTGCTACAACAATAGTTAGCCAAACCTGATGAGAAACTGTTTCCAAAAATTTTTTAACACTTTTGAAGTGTAAAACGCTAAGTTTTCGTTAATTAAAGATCTTTAATAGAACAGAGGTGGATAGAAACATTTAAAAATTTATTTCTCACAAAAAATAATTCGGAAGTTTCTAAAATTCTTATTTTCTGAGGTTTTCGCTTTTAAATTAGCTTCATAACGAAATTTTACAGAATTTTCCTCTATCCTGGTGTTTTTGCATTTGTATCGCAGTTCAAATTTGGGAATAGCGTACAGAAAACGATTGAACTAATCTTAAAATAATCGGTTAAAGGCGCGAATTATCTGTAGATGCGCCTCGTAGCGAAGAAATAAGTCAGGCCTGAGGATACGGTAGCCGTTAGTTCGTTTTTTCTTGTTTGAGACAGGAAGTTTTTATTTCGAATTAAGTTGAAGTCCAAAAGTGTTTTGCAAATTTTTTCTGCATTCAAACTGACTTCGAGCTCTGACCTATTAGAATATTTAGCCGATTATCAAGAGAAAACTTTTTGAAGCTTGGATTTCACTGTTTGAAAATTTAAAAGACTTGTTTTTGCTTTTTTTGAGGCCCCACTTTGAAAGAATTCTGATAGATGCATTGATATCTGATTCTGATTCAGGAATGAAAAAGATCACTTTTTTTCAATCTTTTTGAAGCAATTTTTTTACGGGAAGCAGTTATTATGGGTTAAATCAACTTTATAACAAGAAGTTTCGAAATCTGGTGTGTCATTATTCGAATTGCAGCTCAAATTTGGAAAAAGTGTATCGAAAATAATCGGAACAACCTTAAAAAAATCCTTTAAAGATGCGAATCGCTGAGGGCGCGTCTCGCAGCGAAAAAGGGAGCGAGTCTGGGAGATACGGTAGCCTCTGGCTTTCGTTTTCTCTATTGAAACGGCAACTGAACATTTCGAATTATATTAAGGAAACAGAGAAGATTTTCAGAAGGTTTCTTTTTTTGAAACGATCTTCTTGCTCTGAATTACTAGAATAATTAGCCAATTATTGGGAAAAAAACCATTTTAAAGATTTTTTTAAAAATTTTTTAAAGAGCAAAAAAAGCTGATTTTTTTCAGTTTTTTTCTACTCGGCGAAAATTGGAGACGTGCAAAAGAGACAAAGATTGAAAAACTAATCTGGAAAAATTTTCGAAAAACTAATCTGGAAAAAGCGAAATTTTTGTAAAGTTTTTTTGAATGATGTTGCTCCCTAACATGGATTTGAATCTATATTTTTTGAGAAAACGAGAGAAATGTACAAAATAACCTTAAAACAATCCGATGAAGATGCGGAATTTCAAAAAGCGTGTCTCGCAGCGAAAAAGGGAACCAGACTGGCAGATACGGTAGCCACTAGATTTCCTTTTTCTCTTCATTGAAACGGAAAATTGGAAATTTGAGTTTAATTAAGAAAAAAACAAGAATGTTTTCAAAAAACTTCTTGGTTTGAAACGATCTTCTACCTCTGAACTACTGGAATAATTAGCCAATTATTGAGAAAAAAACCCTTTTAAAGATTTTTTTAAATTTTTTTTAAGAGCGAAAAAGCTGATTTTTCAGTTTTTCTACTCGGCGAAAAATTGGAGACGTGCAAAAAGAGACAAAAGATTAAAAAAACTAATCTGGAAAATTTTTCGAAATTTTGTGGAATACATATTTTGTATTGTTTTTAAATATTTTTAACTTTAAAGCGAAATTTTTTTGAAATTTTTTTGATTGATGTTGCTTCCTAATGTGGATTTGAATCTATGTTTTTTGAGAAAACGGGAAAAATTTACAAGTTGACCTTAAAAAAAAGCCGTTAAAGATGCGAATTACTAGAAGCGCGTCTCGCAGCGAAAAATTTGAGCGAGGCTGGCAGATACGGTAGCCTCTGGCTTTCTTTTTCCCTATTGAAACGAAAGTTGGTCAATTATAATAATTCAATGAAACAAAGAATATTTTTCAAAAAAACTCAAATTTTCTAATCGTCGTCTAGCTCTGAACAACTAAAATGATTAGCCAATTATGGAGAAAAACCATTTTTGAGCCTTTCTTTCTCCGTTTTTTAAAAGTAAAAACCGAATTTCTCAGTTTTTCTTCGGAGTTTTTTCTTCGTGGAAATTGGCGATATGCGAAAAAGACGAAAATCAGTGAACAATCTAGAAAAAATACAAAAACTTTCGGAGTACTTCTTTTTGTATTGTTTTCTCAAAGATTTATCAATTTTAAATGCGAATTTTTTTCAAATTTTGAATGATGGTGCTTCCTAATGTGAATTCAATTCAATATTCTCAAAGAAAAACTGAAAAAAAGTATACAAGCTAACCTTAAAAAAATCCTATAAAGTTGCTAAATTCCTGTGGACGGGTCTCGCAGCGAAAAAAAGGGAGCGAGACTGGCACATAGGCAAAGTCGGAAGGACCCTTCACGGGCCCTTTGAGCGCTCGTTATGGGTGCAAAAAAGTTTCCTTTAATTGTTCCTAAACGGGTGGCAACGGTTTCCGTTTTACTGCCTTTTTCCGTCCTTTCATCAGCCTTCATCCACCCTTGTTGGACCCTTTTGAGACCTTTCCGCGAGACGTTATCTTGCCTTCTCGAAGCCTTTGTTCACCCTGTACATAGCCTTTTCCACATTTTTCATAGGATCTTTCAACACAGTCACGACGCTGATACCAATTTATTCGAATAATTTCGCATTAATAGATATTGAAACAGCTGAAATATATATGTTATTCAACAAACACACAACGATAGCGGTCGCGAGATCTAAACAAAAAGACACAAGCTTGCGCCCGATATGAGAGAAATGAAGCAATTAATAGTCTTAACACAGGATAGATTACAAAAAGAAATTATAACAAAATCTCAAAATATTCGTACGTTTGGACAAAAATGAAGGTCTAAATGAAAAGGCTGACATGTTTAGATATGAAAAGAAGACAGGAGGCATTGTACAAAGATTGCGGTTTCACACGATATGAGCCAACAACGGGGAAATTTGTTGAAACTAGACGGACTCTGCGGGAAGAATCTCCTGAGCAGTTTGCTTCATTGCTTCATCTCCCGGTTGCCGGTCGGCATCATTGAGAGCATCTTCGTATTCGTCGATCTCTTCGGGAGATTCACTGAAAGTAGAATAAACAAATGAACAGGCAAAAAAACGGCTTATTGACTTTTTTTAATACTAGAGCACTCATTGGAAAAAGTAAGAAAAAGAAAATAGTTATTAAAAGCTTGATGGACTTCGGAGGTATGAGAAAATGCTGTCGTGGAAGGTTTTAAAGAAGACATTCTGGCAGCGGTCGAAAATAGAAGTATCAATTTTGGAAACGCTAAGGAATATTTGACAGAATAGCCCGTCAATAGCCGTAAAAAACAGCCGCAGTCAAAAAACTGCACAGAAAAAAAATGGCTGATACAGAAATACATGAACAAAATAAAAGTAACAGGCCTTCGCGCCGGGGTAAATGCGCTCTATGGATCCTTTTTAGTTTATTTTTTTAAATTCAAACAGTTTTATGGAAATTGTTTTCAAGTTTTTGTTGTTGGCAGTATTACGAAAGGGTTAAGATCCCGAATAAAAAGGACTTGAGGTTGAAAAACCCGAAATTAAACTCTTGCTTTAAAAAAATATTGAATAGAGATCACCTCTCTTCCTGCATTGCTATATCTTTGAGAAGCGCTTCCGCCATTTTTTGACCCGCCAACTTGTCGTTCACACGTTTGCAGTACTGGGATCGATGGCGTTCCCTAAAAAACAAAAGTAAGTGAGTTATTCGAAAATAACTCACAGATAATCATTCACAGTAGACGAAATGAGCGGCTTAATACGTTGAAGTTCTTGAGAACGGTCCATTGGGGTTGGGAAATCTAAGAAATCTAAAAAAAGTCCCCTTTGAAACAGAGCTGAAAAAAAATTTTGCGGTGAGGAATACGTCAAAAGTGAACTCACTAAAAAGTCCGTCAAGCAAAGAATCGCCGACATAGACCATCCTAGACGGCATCTCTGAGCCAGAATAACAAGGCAATAAAATATCCAATGGAGCGATCTAAACCAAAAATAGGCCTATTACAGTAGGGATTTTAACCGATTTCATAGCGGAGAGAACAACCAGAGAAACGACTTTGTCTGTTGATTTTCCTCGCAACTGTTTAGGGGTCGGTAGGAAAGGAATCAGATCGACACTGAGACCGCTGGGTAGAATGATAAAAACCGAACCAGCAGCTTTGCAGGCTTCATTATCGAAACCGACGGTGGGACTCTGAGAAAAATGGTGCATCAGAAGCAGCAATTAAGGGAAACCGTAGCAGCGGGAGCAGGAGTTGTACGCATCTTGAGCCCATCGAGAACATAGTTAATCTGAAAGTTGCGTGAGAAGCAGCTATGAGTTTTGTGGCTCACCCAGAGGCAGATTCCAGCTTTCGAAGTATATTCGAACTCCTGGTCAGTACCTCTATGAGCAGAGGCTTCCGAAAGAAGTAAGTCGATATTCATCTTTGGTTTTTTAAGTAAACCGCGATGGAGTCCTAATTTGTTAAATTTAAAAAATAAAAATGATTTGAAACCTTAGCTGCGGTCCAAGGAACGAATGTCGAAGTGGTTGGGTCATAAAGAGTATTTAACACTAGAGAAACGGGATTAAGACCATCGTTGGTAATAACTGGCTGAAAAAAACAAACCGAGGTGCATCTTTGAAGGACCTAGAGGGGAAAAAAAAAAAAATGATAATTTCTCATTTTAAAAACCTACATTAAAATCTATTAACTTTTTTTTTGATTATTTCTTTGTGTTTTAATCATGAATCAACTACCTAAATTATATAGGAAGCTTCAAAACAAAGAGTTTATCGAGAAAAAAGTCAGAAAAGGATCAGTTCGGAAAGGTGGAATTTGAAAAACTCCCTAGAGATATGTAAAAATCGGAAAAGACGCCGTTTAAATTTTGGCTGGTCTTTTTATCATACCAGCAAATTAACGTTGCCCGTTTATATCATAACACGTAAAGCAACTTTACCAGCGTTGCAGCGCTAAGAATCTTCTTCCATCCAAATAAAAAAATCAACGCACAATTTCTAAATAACATAAACCAATTCAAAAAAATAAATAAAAAAACTAAAAATTTTTTTGTACTGAGAATAATCTCTACCAGTGACTGTGTATGAACCGAAACGGGCTACAGTAATACATTCGACAATCATCAATGGCCGAGACTTTCAGCACCCTTTTTGCGCCCTCACTCTTTCTCCACTCTTTTTGCGGTCTCTCTCTTTTTTCACCCTTTTTTGAGGCTTTTTAGCCCATCAAGAATGATAGGCTCAATGAAGGCCGTAAAAAGGGACCCTTTTTGCGGCCTTCATTGAAAAAAAGGCTTGAAATGAAGCTTTTTTTCTCAGCTTGAAACAAAAAAATTTAAATTTGCAAAAATATCAAAGTTGAAAGGACGAGATTTTCATGAAAAATTACGGATTATTTTTAAAATACCGTAACTTTGAAAAGGGGCGGGGCCTCTCAAATCTCTATGTAAAACATTTTTTGTAGTTTATGTGACCAAAATAAGAGCTCAGAAAACTGAATCTGAAATGTTGAAATTACCGGTTTATGGCGTTTCTGAGAGAACGTGTTAAAACTCGTTTAACGCCTTTTGAAGTTTGATAGACGTGTGCGGAAGGATGTCTAAGTTCAAAAGATACGGCAGTTTGTCTGCCTTATCAAGAGAAGCGAGAGAGATTGTAACTCGGAGAACGCTATGATCAGTCAGCGGACAAGGAACTATCCAATTATCGTATTATCGTGAGAAATCGGAAAGACTTTAAATTGAAACAAATTTTGGAGATTTCACCCACTTTTTTTATTTTCTTTTTCGCTTTATCTGTTTGGGGTTTTTCACAATTTGTCTCAAAAAACCAATTATTTTATAAAGATTCAATTTTTTTTTTTTTCTAACCTTGACTTTTCATTCTTTGATTTTTGGATAGCTACCTCAGTTCAGAAAAAAATTCGGGAACTTTTTAAAAGCTGTCTTATTTTTTTCACAAACTTTAATAAGAATATTTTTTCACAGACATATTGGAACAACCTTTAGAAGAATGGTTTTATTGAACAAATTGACTTTCTTGTAAAATTTTTAAAATTTGAAACCAGCTTCAAAAAAGCATTCATATGATTTACTCGCGTTGACTTTGAGCTGCCTAGGAAACGTTTTTTGGTCTTCGATCAGACTCTAAATGAAATTTTGGCTAAATTCTATTGTAGGGCCTTCTGATCGAAAACTGGGTCCTGGCACGATGATGCACGAGACAGCGCCTGGCTCGTGGAGAGCGCAGACAGGCCACGACCACTCCCAAGCTGGCCGTGAATCAGCTATAACTCGAAAACCAGATATATTGCGAGTTTTATACCTTGTTATAGAACCAGGAGACCATAAAGTACACTTTAGCCAAGTTTCATGGAAAGTTCAACCGGGGGCCACAAAACGTTTCCTAGTGAGAAAGGCTTACTCATCGAAAAAAAAAACGCTCTACTGTTTCTTAACTCTTTCAAAATCTCCCATGTTTGTTTATTTTGAGTCAAGTATTATTTAAGTATGGTCCTAGCGACAGGAAATACATTCCCATACAAACATTTATCTTGCTTATAGCAGCAAAATCGGTATACCATGAGTAAAGCGGCATTTCTGAACCATTGCTCAGTTGAATCTGCTATGTAAAGGTGAAATCAATATTTTTGAGATGAAAATTGCCTTTTTAGAGCTTTTTTTAATGCATTTTTTACGGTTTTTCTTAAGGCACGGCGTTCCCAAATGGGGAGAGGGGAGGTGAGCGAGGCGTCAAAGTTTCTGAATTTACAGAAAAAATTTAGTGCGCGCTACGGATAAAATGCACTGAGTATCAAACGTTTAATAACTTGTTTGTTCGATCGCCTTCGGCTGGGTACTGTAGATTTCATCTTTCGCGCCAAATTTTTTTTTGACGTCTCCCCACCCTGTTTGGGAACACCGTGAAGGCGTGTCCATAAACAGGAAGAATAGTACTTCAAAACGCGGTGAAGCGAAAGTTTTACTGTTTCAGAGCAATTTCTGCGCTCCAATGAGCACTTTTGTGTGTTGAAAACTGCTGGGGAAATCTGTAGGGGCCGCTTAAGAGGTTCTTCAAGAGCTACTTAAAGAGGAAACTAAAGAGGCCACTAAAAAACCCCTATAAAAGCCACTTTTTTGCGTCTAAAACTTCTAATGGTATGGTGAAAATGAAAATTTGAAGCCCTTCTCGATTTTCTCCTCACGGTGTTTTTTTTGGCGACGCCCCGCTCATATTTTTTCCGTAAAAGGTAGTGTGTCGTGTGCATGCACCGCGGCCTCTACCAGAACGGCGCACGGTGCCAGCACCAATAACGCGTTGCACGGTGCAAGTGGTAGTGCGGCTCCTCGCGTTTTTCAGACATTTCGGTGCAAATTGAGTGCATGCGCACAGTGCAGGCACTTATAGTTTTTCTTTTGACTTATCATTTTTTTCGATTAAAACTGTACGAGGGAAATTGGATCAGAAGGCTGTGCCTGAATTGAAAAAGCAAGAGCTCTAGCTTCACATAATCAAGGCTAAATAGCTAAATTGAACTTCCTTAAGGAGGCATGCTGCTGCATCGTGCACATGCACTCAATTTCAGGCTTGTGCGAGGGCCGGCCCGTCACCCTCCCGGCCACCCGACCATTTCGTAAGCCCGGCCCGGCCCGGCCTTAACGGGGCCTCAAGAAAAAATGGCCCGCCCGCACAAAACGCGCAATTTTTTTCTAGTCGGATATCAAGTTATTTCCGACAAAAATTACGTTTTTGCTCAATTTTTCACTTAAAGTTTAACAAAACTATGATTTCAAAAAGTAAAAAGTAACATTTCGATGAAAAATTTTTTTAAATGAAATTTCAATCTTGAGATTACGGTACTCTGAGATAACGGCTCCGAAGATTTGCGGACTTGAGAACAAATCGTACCATCGAAATCATATATGATGCCGTGTTCAATTTGATTCCGCGAAATGCAAAATACCCGTTAGAGACAGGAAAAGACCACTAAATTTTGGAGAGTCAGAGATAATTTTGGATTTCGCGGAATCAAATTGAACACGGCATGAATTTCTGAAATTCAGTTATATTTTTCACTCTCTGATGGCTATTTTAAATTTCGCGGAATTAGTTTCAATACGGCATTTGTTTTAAGAGAAATAGATTCGTCTCAAGACCCATTAATGCGCCTTTAATAATCCCTGTGTTTACGCGTTTTTTTCTTATGACATGGGAACGGCGGAGGTTTTAACCACACCACCTTAATTTTTGGATTTGCATTTTCTTCCACACGGCGTTTCTGCCAGTTGAAGAAAAATGCAAGGAATTTTGAAACTCGGCAAAGTCTGCGCACTTCTCGAAATTCGCCCGCGAAATTTGAAAAAAGTGGCTTTATTTTTTTGATTTTTGTCAATTTTTTTCATATTTTTTTCACTTTTTTTCTTTTTCGTAGATTGCTGATAGTATTGCGGGACCACGATCGGGGTATACTCTGGGTTGTTAGACGTTTTTGAACGTAGTTCTGTGAGGCTAACTTTAAAACTCGTGATGAAGAAGCGTTTTTGAAAATTTCCACCTGTTTGTATGGAACATGTTTCACCCCATTTTATGTTTTCTTATTCTATTTTTTTGTCGATTGTTCAGATTCCTAGGTTGTGGACATCAATGAGATGAAGTTACATGAAAAAGTCTGTGAAGTTGAGAAAGTATGTTCCCGAATTCATTTATATCCGGATATTCCGTCAACTTTTTATAATAAAAAGTACTTGCTGTGAAACATAATCTTTTATTTGTTTCTCCACAGCAATATAGTTTTATTTATTCTCTTTTAATTTCCTCGTCTTTTTTCTTCAATGTTCATTCGTTTCTCACACTTATATCATCGGTTAACCTTGTTTTCCAAATTATTTGTGCATGCACTAAACACGTCCTAATTGACGGAGAAAAGTGGGCGGGGCGTCGCAAAAGAAACACCGTGTCCACTAACAAAAACGCCGTGTCCTATCTTTACACGTGCACATTTCCTCATATTTCTCTTTCCAACAAAAAACCCCCTAAAGACCTCCCTCAGACTTTGGTATCTGGTTGGCGTCACCGCTAATATGAGCAAGTTCCGCCGTTTCGCCCCCTTCTTTTTTCCCCCAGATTTCGTGGCTGTTATTTGTTTGCAAGGACGAGATTTTCTTCGTGTTATCTTTTATAAAACGGAAATATCTTCAGGGCGAAGCGATGGAAGATAAACTCAGCCCGGAAGAACAATATTCTCGGTGTGTTCAATGCAAAGGAGCTTACGGTATGATTTTATCTCGAATATTACTGTATTACCGTATTCTTGTATTTTTCTGGTTTTTATGTCATATGCGGACCTTTTGGCACCAATATTTGGAAAGTTTTTTTGAATAACTGGCCTTTTAAATTTTGTTTTTTTCTATCTATTTGTCCAGAAAAAGAAAAAAATCGAGGTGTTTTCATATTATATTTTTGATATTTTAATAATATTAAAAGGAAAAATCGTAAGATTGAAATACATTTGAATACAGGATTTTTATCATTTTATCAATTCAATTTTTAATTTTTGACTACAAAAAAACTGATTTGGGGTTTAAATTTTTTTAAATTAGTAACAGGTTTTAAAAATCAAAAAGGTGGAATTTATTTTTAATTTGCTTGATCGAGATCTTTAAAAGTGCGTAAAATGATTTTTCCGTTCAAAAAAATTAGTTTTAATGCTCTTTAAACTTTAAAAAATGCGGCAGATCAGACTGAGTATTCCTAGTGCCGTAAATAATTCAAATTTTCGAAAATTATTGGAATTTTCTAGCGCTATGAAACAAATTAAGTTCATTACGAAATAAATTCAATCGAGCTCAAAAATATTCTCTTTTTTTGGATGAGAAAATTGTAATACGCTTCTTTTTGCTATACGTAATCCCAGTTGTCGGGGAATATTGAAGTTTCCTAGCTTTATGTAACTTTGAAAGTTTCAAAAATTCTATTCCACTCGAAAAAAATAAATAAATTCGACTCTAAAATTAATTATTCTCTTTTTGAGAGTTATGAGCCGAGTTCTACAAGATCTCCGGATTTAAATAAATCTAAATAATTCAAATTGTCAATAATTCTTGAGTTTCAAAAAGCTTAATCGGATCTCGTGAAGTTAACAAAAACATAATTTTGAGTTCAAAAAAACGAAATCGGTACGTTTTTCAGACGGAAAAAAATCAGAATCCCTGCGTTGGGACTTGCAGCCACACGATGTGTACGCAATGCAAAGATGATTCTTTCAGGTTCTTATTAATTATTTTTAATCGATCATTTTTCGTTTCATTTTCAGCACATCCACATGCACGTACTGTGAACGAAAAGAAGCCTTCATCAAAAGAACCATTAATTATATTGTTAAAGGTTTCTTTTTCGTAATTTTGAAAAAATAATCAAAGTTTTTTTTCCAGATATCCTGTTCGAAAAGGCGTCCAAAAGGCAAGCGGTTGGTTTTTCTTACTTTATAATTTTTTTTCGCGCGATCACTTTTCATAAAAAAAGCAATGAAAAACGTTACCGTAATCCCAGTTTTTTTTTTGTTGTATTTTCGCCTCGAGACCCTTCAAAAAACTAACGACTCTCCATGAGAGTATACGAGTTTTTTAGGGAGAAAACTTTAAAATCTGAATTAAAAGTTTCTTTTTTTATTTCAAACAGTCTGACCTGTCTGCGCTCTCTTTCCCCTCAACGGTGAGGTCATAGAAACGTGAAAATAGCATGGAAAAAAGGGAGAGCCGCAGAGAAAGAGAGAAAAGAAGGCGCGAAAAAATTGAATCTTTTTGAATTTCGAATGTGATACTGAGAAAATTTTTAGTGACCACTAGAGTAGTCGAATTAGTGGACACTCAAGTGGCTACAAGACCACTAAAACGGAAGATAGAGGGCTCCTAAAGATGGTTTATAGCTGATTCACGGCTGGCTTGAGCCATCGAAAAAAGGGTCCTGACGCGATAATGCACGAGATAGTGCCTGGCTCGTGGAGAGCGCAGACAGGAAACGCCCCTTTAGCAACCTAAGCTAGCCGTGATTCAGCTGTAGTGGCCACTCTAGTGTCCTATCCGAGTAGTCCTTAAAAAACCTCTCAAGTGGAGTTCTCCCAGTAATCATGGAATTTTAATTTTTTTTTCCAGATTGATGGCCACTGCTCAGAATGCCTCAGTTACTCCAGCAAACTCAGGATTTGTCTGGACTGTGGCGGAAAAAGCGGATTCTTGAAACGAAGCGATTCTTCGGACAACAAATTTGCCAGCTTTTCCGAAACTTCCGCCTATAAAGTGATTGCTTTTTGATTCTTTTTGTGTAAATCCCCATTTTTTTTTTACGATTTTAGATAATTTGACTTGCCTGCGCTCTCTTTTTCCTCGTCAGAAAATATGAAAAGATCTCAAAAATATGAGAGAGAAGAGAGAGCGCAGAGAATTGGGATACGATGTTTAGTGAAACGCGCTCTATTGATAAAGAAATTGGACGCAAATCGGACGTGTCGTCGCATTTCTAGGGACCACTTTAGTAGCCTCAGAACTCTTAAGTGATCCCTAGAATTGCTCAGAAACGTCCGGAGCACTTCCGTTTCTCGTTCCGAGAAAAAACTGGGAAGACCTGCAGGATTTTTTTCGAATTTTTTTAATCTTTTTATCGTTGCTAGAGTCAGTGTGCAGGAACTCGAAAAAAGTTTATCAAAAAGAAAAAGAAATAATAAGATTTTTTTCCTGTTCCTAGCGAAGACGGCGTTGTAGTTTTTTTAGTTTTTTTCAAAATTTTTCAGATTTTTAAAACAAAAAGAAATTCTTTAGTGAACAAAAATTCGAAATATATTGATTATTTTTAGGTATTAAATCACGCGATTTGCTGTGACTGTTTGATCGATGGCGCACATGAAAACCATCAACACGACAACCTTTTCAATGTTTTTGGTTGGTTTTTATTTGTTATGAGGGAAAAAGTTTTAAAGTTGTTCGCGAAGCAGTATCCATCTTTTTCTAGCGCTTTTTCATGATTTTTTTAGCCCTAGAGGTTCTTTTTTGAATATAGAAAGCCGAACTGAAATTCAGGAAAAGAGAAATTAGAAAGACCATTTTGTAATTTTTGTATCGAATAGGTAAAATGAAAATTTTTTTGGCAGGTGAAACTTTTTTTGAACTCTTTTAGGACCTTAAAAAAATAATTTTATCATTTTTCAAGGACTTTAACCTTTAAGCCTCAGAAGACCTCTTGGACTTTTTAGTGGTTGATGAAATTAACTTTTTCATTTTTTTCAGTTATTATTTTTATAGCTGAACACCATCGTGCCGCCTAAAAGGTCAAGAGAAGTTTCCCATCAAAATGTGGACCAAAATATTCCCACATCTTCAAATCAAATACATGACGAGGTTTGCCATTTCAACTCTGAAATTTAAAGCCCTCACATTGAATCTGGTTATAAGAATGTTTAGGTACACGTAGTTGAACAATCAGACGAGCCACTTCCAAAAAAGACTCGACTTTTTGTCCCAATTCCGACGGTTCGTAATATTTTTCAAAGATCGAAGCTTCACTTTTTCCAGTTATTTCTTTTCCAGTTATAACCAATGGAGGGTTTCAAGCCAAAAAACATTTTTTCAAGAAAAAATAAAATTTTTCAGACCGCAGAGCTGCCCGAAAACGAATATTACTTCGTCGACCCGACCTACAAATATCAGTCCCCAAATTTCCGACTCGTTTTCTGAATTAATCATTTTTTTCAAAAAAATAATTTAATGTCAATGAAACTGTGATCTTCATAAATCGTTGAGATTTTCATCATTGCCATTTTTTCTCCATAATCACTTTTTAGAAATTCAAATAGATCAATTATCATGTTAAATGCATATATGTCTCAATTTTTATTTCCAAAGCTATTTTCGCGCTTTCATTGTATTTTTTCATATTCATGTTCGCATAATATAATATATAATTGTGACGATTTCTGCAAAAAAGGTTCGGAAACTTCCAAAAACCTCATTGGTGAAAAGGCAATTTTTTGCAAAAGAGATTCGATCAGGATGAGATTCGAACTCACGCGGGGAAACCCCAATGGATTAGCAGTCCATCGCCTTAACCACTCGGCCACCTGATCACCGGGAGCGCAGGCGCCAGTTTTCCACTGACTGGTAGCCCATAGCGATGCGTTATCATCATCACGGGTCAAAATTTTTGAATTTTGATAAAAAATGATTATTCTCTAAAAATTAACATTGTAGAGCATCTTTGGAATGATTGAAGATTCAAAAATAAAGCGGTTTTCTTTAAAGTGAAGATTGAAAAACGTGAAACGCTGGAAAACGTGTTTGAGATGTGAAATTCATTGCAAGTCCTCACATGAGCGAATGGAACAGTGAGAAGTAAGATTCTTTGTATTTTACATTGGTTATTTGTGATTTTTCCAGCAAAAGCTTGTTGAGGGTGGAAAAAATGGCGGCGGACGGCAAAACAGATCGTGAAACAGAGAGTTTTGATCTCGAAAAGATTCTTGCAACGGTATTTTACAACTGAAATCAATTTTAAAAGGCAATATTACAGCTTCTTTGCTGTTTTTTCTACACGATGACTATCTCACAGGCCACGGTGGTTTATGGGATCTACATTCCTTACTTTGCTATGTGCGTTTCGAATTTTTTCATTTTCCCCCTGCCTACACGTGTTTTTGTTAGTCCTTTATGAGTAATCCACGCGCGAAATTGTTAGGAAATACAGTTGGAAACCTCATAGAAAAAAATTAGTTTTGATTTTCATTTCTGATAAAATTGTATCTTGATACGAATTTACTCGGGACCTTTTTTCCACGCGTCTCTTTTCCTTTCAATTTACTTTCTGAGGAAAAGTGAAGAACTAATGAAACAGGCTTTCAAGAAAAATAGCTCAACACAAAAAAAGCCGTGAAATCCAGGCGTCGAAAAAAAAAATCCTTGGTCCAAAAGTTATAAAAAAAACTTCGGCAGTATGTTAATTTTCGTCGGCGGTATATGCACGAGAAACATCATATTTGACGACTTCTTTTGGATCTCTTGAATTCAAAGCACGGTGTTTGTGTTGATCTAATTATTGACTTTTTACTTTTTATAAAAAAATTTTTTTCCCTAAACGGGGTGGGGTGACGTCAAAAATTTGGCGCGAAATTTGAAATCTCGAGTACAGAGCCGAAGGCGATCGAACAAACAAGTTATTACCTCGGACCTTGGTAACGCGAACGGGACGCGAAACGGACGTGTCGGGGCATTTCTAGTGACCACTTTAGCAGCCTTAACGCTCTTAAGTGATCCCTTGAATCGCCCAGAAACGTCCGGAGCACGTCTGTTTCGCGTTACCAATGTCCGAGAACGTTTGATACTAAGTACCACGGCGTTTCTGCCAGTTGAAGAAAATGCAAGGAATTTGAAACTCGGCAAAGTCTGTGCACTTCTCGAAATTCGCCCGCGAAATTTGAAAAGGCGGCTTTATTTTTGATTTTTTGTCAATTTTTTCATATTTTTCACTTTTTCTTTTCGTAGATTGCTGATAGTATTGCGGGACCACGATCGGGGTATACTCTGGGTTGTTAGACGTTTTTTTGAACGTAGTTCTGTGAGGCTAACTTTAAAACTCGTGATGAAGAAGCGTTTTGAAAAATCTCCACCTGTTTGTATGGAACATTTTTTTCACCCCATTTTATGTTTTTCTTATTCTATTTTTTTGTCGATTGTTCAGATTCCTAGGTTGTGGACATCAATGAGATGAAGTTACATGAAAAAAAGTATGTGAAGTTGAGAAAGTATGTTCCCGAATTCATTTATATCCGGATATTCCGTCAACTTTTTTTATAATAAAAAGTACTTGCTGTAAAACATCTTTTATTTGTTTCTCCACAGCAATATAGTTTTATTTAATCTCTTTTAATTTCCTCGTCTTTTTTCTTCAATGTTCATTCGTTTCTCACACTTATATCATCGGTTAACCTTATTTTCCAAATTTTTTGTGCATGCACTAAACACGTCCTAATTGACGGAGAAAAGTGGGCGGGGCGTCGCAAAAGAAACACCGTGGTACATTTTATCCGGAGCGCGCACTTACTATTTTTTGTTAATTCAGAAACTTTGACGCCGCGCTCACCTTCCCTCACCCCATTAGGAATGCCGTGAAAGCACTGTGCTCGTGTTGAGTCAAATTATTGATCTTTTTCACTTTTTCAGAAAAAAATTTTCAGGACAGAACCGATATGGCTATATTTGCCGTACTCTTGTTTCGGAATATACATTTTTTACGGAATTCAGTTTCACTACTACAAGGCGCGCACAATAAAAGCAAGCAGAGAAACTGGGGTAATGAAATATTCATTAAATAAGAATTAAAAAGAAAATGCTTGAGAAATATAACAGTCTTTTTCTTTCAAAAGTTTCTTTTCAGTTTATCTAGCCGTTGAAGCTCTGAAATTTAATTTTCGTTATAAAAATTGATTTGTGGGAAATTATTTTGAAGCTTCATTGCAGCGTAAAACGGATCCACGATGCCCATTTTGCTACCAATTTCAAAGGTCCCGCTACAAGCCATTGCAGCACGTGTGAAAGGTTCAATTTTTTTATTTGTTGATAAAAAAATTTATTCTCGTTGTTTCTTGGGATGTCTTACTACTTAACTCAAAAAAATCAGGTTGAGAAATTTTTCTCGCTTTTTTTTTAAAAAGTTCTTTTGCGGTAATTTCCTCATTTTTTTCAAATACTCAAATGATTTGTTTAACAAGAAAACGTGAGTAAAACTCAAAAAAATGCTGGAATTTCAAAGAAGCGCCAAAAAAACGCATCGCGACCGCGTCGCAAGCACTTTTGAAAAAAAGTCGGCCGTTTCAAGCCGAGACAAATTGTCTTGTGATGCCAATTTTTCTGCAGATGTGTGGTCGGCTTCGACCATCACTGTCCGCTGCTCAACAATTGCGTTGGAGCGCACAATCACCGTCACTTTATTCTCGCCCTGATGTACGTCTTCTGCGCCACGTTTACCGTCACCCTTCTGGCCTATCCCGTCTTCAGAGACTTTCTCAACTTCTTCTCCGTGATTTCAACCTGAAATCACGTAGTATTCAGGGAATAGTTCAGGACTTACTGCACGACCGTGTGGATAAGCCGACAAGCCCATTTTTGGAAGACCACGCCCATCCGAAAGACGTTTTTATTGAACCCTGATTCAAATATAAAAAAGAAACTCGAATTTCTAGAGCTCATCGACCGATCTGTTTTGCTGGAGCGACGATCGAAATGTGTTCTATAAAAGCTGGTTCTGTTCAAATTTACTTGTGAGAAGTGAGCCTTCAAAACTTTTTCTCAAAGTAGCGTTTTTGGTAGTCTTGTCATTTACTGGAAACTCACGTTTTTACGTTCTTTCTCATTGTTCCTATGACCTCGCTGGTAAGAGAAAAGAGAGCCCAGACGTATTGGACCGTTTTCCTTCGTGGCGAATGGGAAGTATTGAAAAAGAATTGTTTTTTTTTCAAAATTTAAGTTCCAAGCTTCTAAAATCACGGAGAAAACGAAATTCGCTATTTAGGTCATAAAATTCGCAAGTTTTTTTGAAAAGTTCTATTGGATTTTTCAAGTCGAATAAGCATTTTTCCACAAAATGAATGGTTTCCTTTTTACTGCCTTTTTTCGTCCTTTCATCGGCCTTTATTCACCATTTTTTGAGGTTTTCTGCTTTCCAAGAATGAATGGCTCAATGAAGGCCCCAAAACGGAACCCTTGAACGACCATTTTCCACCCTTTTCCCGCGCTTTTGACTCTTCCAATGAAATTTCGTTTTGCAGGCACTGTAATCGTAGCGGCGGTTGTCTCATACGTTTCCTTCGTGACGTTGTCCATCGTTTTTCTGTTTTTTGTGATCCACGAGCTCATTCTCCTCTCCAAAAACGTCCGATACATTCAGGCCTTGGTTCGTTTTTTCTCCCCAAAATGGATTAATTGTTCTGAACTTCATTCTTTACTGCCCATGTGCCTTCAATCTTCTCCCAAAATCAAAGAGTTTGGTTTCAGAGGGCCTCGAGAATTTTCTGAAAATTTTCTGGTAAGCGAGGCGGTTTCAGAGTGAAGCTTGAACTTTCCCAAAAAAAATTTGCTCATAAAGTATTGAGGTGTTGGTTTATAAATGTTCTTAAGTGGACACTTTTCCAATTTTCTCCCAAAATCAAAGAATTCGGTTCCAGAGACGCCACGGAACGCAACCACTCACCTGGAGAGCAATGGGCCAAAATGTCAAGTCGTTCTTCTACGGCATGGGAGCGATCTCAACTCGTGAATTGCTCATGTTTGCTGAGCTTCCGCCGGTTGAGTACGACCGGACCGGCAATCGAAAGTCCCCCACCACCTACTTTAACATTTGAACTTGTTCTCTTTTTCTTTTCGAATAAAATTTTCTGGCTTTTTCGGATATTTTCGCTCTCAATATTTGGTATCAGCCGTTGCAATTATTTTTGCTTCATACATTTTTTCCCCTTTTTTACAATTTATTGAATATCTTTGTGAAAACTGTTTCATTTCTCGTTATACTTAAAACCATCATCACTTCAGAATGCCGAAGTGGCCACTAGAGGGGTTAAGGCAAAAATAGCCTCTATTGTGGACAGAAGTGTGCTCCATAGAAGGCTTAATTTCAGGTGGTCCTTTTGGGAGTTCAGCGCATAAGACCCTTAAGTGACCTCTATAGCATTTTTTCATATTTTTTAAGTTCTAATTTTAAATTTTAAAATCGCTAAGGGGCTTTATAGGCCATTCCGCGCTAGCTTGTCACGTTTTTCTTTCCGCTAAAAGGCCAGGTCAAATTTAACCAACTTTCGCTTCAAGACCTTCGTTTCTTGCCGTTATATATATGCAGAAATTTGATCTAATTTGGTATACGGTCTTTTTGGCGGAAAGAAAAACGTCACAAGCTGGCGTGGAATGGGCTCTACAACGCCTCCTGGAGTGGCCACTAACTGAAATCCCTAACGTGGCCACTTTTCTAAGCTACTGTACCCCTGTAATAAGAGATAAGGTGGCCCCTTGAGGGGAACCTACAAGAACCCCTAAAATTGCCTCTCTAGGGACCACTTTGGCGATCAGGATGAGATTCGAAATCACGCGGGGAAACCCCGGTCATCAAGATTTTTGAATTTCGATAAAAAATAATTATTCTCTTAAAATTAACATTGTATAGCATCTTTGGAATGACCAAAATAAAGCGGTTTTCTCTAAAATGGAGATTAAAAAAACGTGAAACGCTGGAAAACGTGTTTGAGATGTGAAATTCATTGCAAGTCCTCACATGAGCGAATGGAACAGTGAGAAGTAAGATTCTTTGTATTTTACATTGGTTATTTGTGATTTTTCCAGCAAAAGCTTGTTGAGGGTGGAAAAAATGGCGGCGGACGGCAAAACAGATCGTGAAACAGAGAGTTTTGATCTCGAAAAGATTCTTGCAACGGTATTTTACAACTGAAATCAATTTTAAAAGGCAATATTACAGCTTCTTTGCTGTTTTTTCTACACGATGACTATCTCACAGGCCACGGTGGTTTATGGGATCTACATTCCTTACTTTGCTATGTGCGTTTCGAAAATTTTAATTTTCCAAATGCTTAGTCTTCTGAAAAAAATTTAAGTGCGAAATTGTTAGAAAATACAGTTGAAAACCTCATAAAAAATTAGTTTTGATTTTCATTTATGAAAAAAATTGTAAGTTTATTAAAAACGAAGGACCTTGATGGAAATTAACTCGGGACCTTTTTTTTCCACGCGTCACTTTTCTTTTCAATTTACTTCCTGAGGAAAAGCGAATAACTAAGGAAACAGACTTTCAAGAAAAAAAGCCCAACATAAAAAAGCCGTCAAATCCAGACGTCAAACTTTGTTCGTGTTCATCGGAGAAACGGAACATGCTTCAAAACGAGAAATCGTGATTATCGGTGCGCCAAAGTTGCTCCAAAACAGTACTAAATTTTTTTTTGAGCAATTTTTTTGCGTTTCAAAAACATTTTCGTTTTGTCCGATGAACGCGCCATTAAAAATTAAAAAAAAACTTCAGCAGTATGTTAATTTTCGTAGGCCATACATGCACGAGAAACATCATATTTGACGACTTTTTTCGTAACTCTTGAATTCGAAGCACGTCACTATGAATAACTGACGAGATAAACGCGAGGTCGGTGGCGGTACATTGACGAGCTCGCAAAAATCTCGCATTTTTCTGGGCGCGACCTCGCATTTATCTTGCATTTCGGAAATTTAAAAAAAAAAATGCGAGATGTTAGCGAGCTCGTCAATGTACCGCCAGCGTCTCGCGTTTATCTCGGCAGTTATTCTTAGTGACTGTGCTCGTGTTGAGTCAAATTATTGATTTTTTTTTCACTTTTTCATAAAAAAAAATTTCAGGACAGAACCGATATGGCTATATTTGCCGTACTCTTGTTTCGGAATATACATTTTTTACGGAATTCAGTTTCACTACTACAAGGCGCGCACAATAAAAGCAAGCAGAGAAACTGGGGTAATGAAATATTCATTAAATAAGAATTAAAAAAAGAAAAATGCTTGAGAAATATAACAGTCTTTTTTTCTTTCAAAAGTTTCTTTTCAGTTTATCTAGCCGTTGAAGCTCTGAAATTTAATTTTCGTTATAAAAAAATTGATTTGTGGGAAATTATTTTGAAGCTTCATTGCAGCGTAAAACGGATCCACGATGCCCATTTTGCTACCAATTTAAAGGTCCCGCTACAAGCCATTGCAGCACGTGTGAAAGGTTCAATTTTTTATTTGTTGATAAAAAAATTTATTCTCGTTGTTTCTTGGGATGTCTTACTACTTAACTCAAAAAATCAGGTTGAGAATTTTTTTTTCTCGCTTTTTTTAAAAGTTCTTTTGCGGTAATTTCCTCATTTTTTTCAAATACTCAAATGATTTGTTTAACAAGAAACGTGAGTAAAACTCAAAAATGCTGGAATTTCAAAGAAGCGCCAAAAACGCATCGCGACCGCGTCGCAAGCACTTTGAAAAAGTCGGCCGTTTCAAGCCGAGACAAATTGTCTTGTGATGCCAATTTTCTGCAGATGTGTGGTCGGCTTCGACCATCACTGTCCGCTGCTCAACAATTGCGTTGGAGCGCACAATCACCGTCACTTTATTCTCGCCCTGATGTACGTCTTCTGCGCCACGTTTACCGTCACCCTTCTGGCCTATCCCGTCTTCAGAGACTTTCTCAACTTTTTTTCCGTGATTCAACCTGAAATCACGAGTTGATCAGGAAATAGTTCAGGATTTAGTGCGTGACAATGTGGACAAGCCGACGAGTCCATTTTTGGAGGAACACGCTCATCCGAATGACGTTTTTCTTGTGCCCTGAATCGAATATTAAAAAATCGAATTTCTAGATTTCATCGACCGATCTGTTTTGCTGGAGCGACGATCGAAATGTGTTTTATAAAAGCTGGTTCTGCTCAAACTTTCTTTTGAGAAGTTAGCTTTTTTTCTTTTTGCGACGGCTGAAAATTTTGTCATTTACTTGAAAAAACTTGCTTTTCGTAGAATTTTTTATTTTTATGTGTATTTCCTCGTTTCTATGCCCTCGCTGGTAAGAGAAAAAGGCTCAGACAAGTTCGTTTACTTTCAAATGTAGTATTAAAAAAATCACTTTTTTTCCGTGTTTTTTTCAAATTTTAAGTTCCGAGCTTTTAAAAAAATACCACGGAGGGATTTGCTCTCTTAGCCAGAAAAATCACCCTTTAAAAAACAAGTTTATTGAATTTTTCAAGCATTTTTTCACAAATTTCTTTTGTCTCTTTTAAAAATTTTTGGAAAGTTATTTCGAAATGCCTGAATGAAAAATGAACTCGGGCAAAGTCGGACTGGGGGATAATGGCCGCTAAAAGGGATAGACTCAAAAAAGGTCGTTGGAAAGCAGCAAAAAGGTCCCAAAAAGGCCGCAAAAAGGGTCCCTTTATCGAGCCTTCCATTTTTTCGGGTAGGGGCTCAAGAAATGGTGAAAAAAGAGAGAGGCAGCAAAAATGGTACATAACAGCCGATGAAATGGTGTAAAAAGACAACCTTTGTCATCCAAAAAGGAACATTTTTATCATAAGGCAAAGTCGAAGGACCCTTCACGGGCCCTTTGAGGGGGTATGGATCAAAAGGTTTCTATTAGGTGTTCCTAAACGGTTATCAACGGTTTCCTTTTTAGTGCCTTTTTCCACCTTTTCATCGGCCTTCGTCCACCCTTTTTGGACCCTTTTGAGAAACAAAGCTTTCTTTTTAAATCGAGAAACTCTTTTTTGAAACTTTTCAGACCACTTCACTCTTTTTTGAAACTTTTCAGACCACCGAGAATGAAAGGCTCAATAAAGGCCTCAAAACGGAACTCTTTAGCGACCATTTTTCACCCGTTTTCCGCACTTGAAGTTCCATATGAAACTTCGTTTTGCAGGCTTTGTAACCATAGCAGCCGTTTTTTCTTACGTTTCCTTAGTGTCGTTGTCAATCGTTTTCCTGTCTTATGTGATCCACGAGCTCATTATGCTCTCCAAGAACGTCCGATACATTCAGGCCTTGGTTCGTTTTTTCTCCCCAAAATGGATCAATCGTTTTGAACTTCATTCTTCACTGTCCATACGTTTTATAGTCAATGTTTCCCGACTTGAAAGGCGAAGGAGGCGGGGCAAGGGGCGGGACGCGTAGCGTGTGCGTTCGCGGTTCTGGGCATGAGTCCAATTCAATTGTCGCAGACTATTTAAAAAGCTCGGCAACCGCTCTTTTTCAATGTTTTATACTATTTTTTAACGCACAAATGAACATAATCAATAAATAATTGAAGAAGGAATAAAAAAAAAAAGAAGCAAAAAACGGGTTTTCCAAAGAGTAGATAGCGGTTAAATTGAACACGTGCCAAGAACCGCGAACGCACACGCTACGCGTCCCGCCCCCTGCCCCGCCTCCCTCGCCTTTCAAGTCGGGAAACATTGACTATAATGTAGAATTCGGTTCCAGAGACGCCACGGAACGCAACCACTCACCTGGAGAGCGATGGGCCAAAACGTCAAGTCGTTCTTCTACGGCATGGGAGCGATCTCAACTCGTGAATTGCTCATGTTTGCTGAGCTTCCGCCGGTCGAGTACGACCGGACCGGCAATCGAAAGTCCCCCACCACCTACTTTAACATTTGAACTAGTTCTCTTTTTCTTTTCGAATAAATTTTTATGCTTTTTTGATGTTTTCGCTCTTAATCTTCGGTATCAGCCGATGAAATTATTTTTGCTTCACTCATTTTTTTTCCCTTTTTTTTCAATTTATTGAATATTTTTGTGAAAACTGCTTCATTTCTCGTTATATTTAAAAGTGTCATTAAGTAAGAACGTCGAAGTGGCCACTAGAGGGCAAAAATAGCCTCTATTTTGGACAGAAGTGTGCTCCATAGAAGGCTGAACTTCAGGTGGTCCTTTTAGAGGTTTAACGCCGAAGACCCTTAAGTGGTACAGCATTTTTTTCATTTTTTTAGTTTTAGTCTCAAGTTTTAGAATCGCTCAGGGCCTTTACAACGCCCCTTAGAGTGGCCACTATCTTAAACCCCTAGAGTGGCCACTAACTGAAATCCCTAGAGGGACCACGAATTAAACCCCTAACGTGGCCACTTTTCCAAGCTTCAGCACCCCTGTAGGAGGAGGTAAGGTGGTCCCTTGAGAGGAACCTTCAAGGGACCACTTTGGCATTCCTAAGTTTAAAAAAACGACAAATTTATTGAAATTTCAAGCTCAAAATGTGTCTTTTCGCGACTTCTCGGACTATAATATTGAAGTTTGTACGAAAAAAAAAGAAGTTTATTCATTCGGAAAAGGCCCACAGGGAGGTTAGCCGCAGAAGGCCAGCTTAATGAAGACCTGACAGAAGAAAGCGTTGTAGAGGAGCGAAATTCCGCAAAAGACGGCCAAAATGATGGCTTTTTCTCGTTCTCTGGCGGTGTCGTGGTCTGAAGATTTGAAATTAGGATTTTTTTCTCAGTTATTCAAAAAAATTTTTTTATTTTCTAGAGGTTTTGGTCAGAAAAGTGAGGAGAAACTGGTGCAAACCAACCAAAAAATCGAAAAATAAACAGTTTCTAAGGTGTTTTTATAGGATTTCTATGAATAAAGATATTTTTCGAAAGGCCAGCTCTTTTATCCTTTCTCTAGAAGAATTCTAGAAGAAAAGAGAACTCCAATTAGCCGTGGAGCACACTTACAGCCGGCCGTGACGACTCTTTTTTCACTTTTAAATTCGGAGTTCATTTTTTCCATGAAATTTAGACTGAAAGATGAAAAAACCCTTGAACTCCGCATGGACAAAATTTTTGTTCTCTTTCTCGGGCAAAGTCGGAATGGTGGATAATGACCGCTAAAAGGGAGAGACTCAAAAAAGGTCGATGAAATGCCGCAAAAAGGCAGAAAAAAAGGGTTCCTTTTACCGAGCCTTCCATTTTTCTGGAATTTTAAAGTCGTGGTTTTCTCAAACCCCTTGGTTGGGTCGAGGCGGGGATCGAACTTGTGACCCTGTGGACCGTAGACAGGCACACGTCTTTCCCATTCTTTTCAAGTCACTGAAAGTTTATAAAAGGAACAATATTTTTTGAAAAAACTTTTATTCATTCAGCGAAGGTTCGAATGAAGATCAACCGCAGAAGGAAAGTTTCACAAAGACCAGGGTGAAGATGATTGAGAAGAAGAAAATATCGCCCAGAACGAAGGCCATCACGGCGGCCGTCTTTGCTTTTTCGTCGTCGTCTAAAGGCTCGTTTAATTGGAAAGCTTTTTGCAAGGGTACGTGATGAGATAGTGTACAGCTGATTCACGTTTGGCTTGAGCCATTGAAAAAAAGACTCTAGCATGTCCCAAAGAAAAGAGACAGCTTCTGGTTGGTGGAGAGCGCAGACAGGCCACGCCACTAACTAGAAAAGTGATTTTAATGGATAAATCATTCTTATTGGAAAACTAGGATTCTAAAAAATATCAATCAATGTAGGATTTGGCTCGAATCGATCCCTAACGATTTCAATTACATTTGCATTTCCATGAGGTCGAAAAAAAAGAACAAGTTTATCCCGATATAAAGTCAATGCCTCAAAAAAGTCTTTACTCATACGTAAAACCATGAAAATCATCTTAAAACTGCCTTCCATTTGTTCTTCTTCTCTTCAAGACTAGGCGTCTAGATTTCGCGCGTTCTCTGAATTGGAGCGCCACAACTCTTTCACTGACATACACTATTTCGTCGTTTTCTCGCAGCTAGATAACGACGAAATAGTGTGTGTCAGAGAAAGAGTTGTGGCGCCCATTTGGCGCTCCAATTCAGAGTTAGAGCACGTTTTCTGGTGAAATGTGAGCCGTCCCTGGTTTTCCTTTCCGCTGGATTTTTCTTCCCGTTTTTGTTCACCCACCGGGGTTTGATTGATAAGATCGTTAAATTGTGTTTTTTGTATGAAGAAAAGATTCTAATTTTTGAATTTCTTATAGTTTATTTTTGCCGTTTGTATATATTTAAGAGTCCCACTTAAACGCTATTTCGACAAGCAAAAAAAATGCGAGGCGTTATTAAATTAAAATTTTCGAAAAAGAACATTTCCAACCTTCCTTCATAGCGGCAAGAAGGAAGTCGGTGAACAAATAGCCCGCGCTAATGCAGGTAATGATCTGAAATCACAAAGTTAGGAAAAAAGTTGGCCAAAAGGGTTGATCAATAACTCTAACGAAAGTTGCGGTGCACCCCGTGTCGAACTCCCAGTGCACCCCGCAGTGTAATCGAGGGTGTACCCCAACCAGCTTTTTAAAAATTTTAAAGCTAAACGGGGCACAAAGGTTTATTAAGGTACTTTTTCTGTACACGATTTCAAAGGGATTTGTTTCCTGATATCATCATTTTTTACAGTTTCATACTAGGCTGTTACAGTAGCTCAAAAAAAACTCTTCATTCCCGACCGGTTATCCCAGGGGTGCACGCCACACAGGACTAACTCTAACAAAAAGGAGGGTGTACCCCGAAAAAAGTAAAATTTTCGTTCATTTTTCCGGTGCACCCCGCGTTGGATCTGGATGCGTGCATCCCTGGCGCAACCGGTCGAAAATTAAAAAGTTTGAGCTACCGTAACAGCTTAGGATGAAACTGTAGAAAATTGTAATAATGGGAAACAAAACACTTCGGAATCGTGTACGGACATATTACCTTAAAGACATAGGGGCAGTAAAAAACGGTGTTTCAGTTCAAAGCAGTACTTTGTAGAGATTTTCTTTGCGAATCGAACGGTGAACTTGGAAACGTACAGAAGTTCCTGGTTTTGGAGAAAAAATAATTCAAAGTCGGAGAAATGAAAGCTTGAGTTCCCGCCAAAAGAGCGCTTTGCAGTAAAGTTGCTCTATGGACAACACGCTTCGACATCTTCCGGATTTTCGCTTTTTTCTTCGTTTCTTTCAATTTTCAATTTTGGCATGCTGGAAAGTGCGCGCTGTGCGCACTCTTTTCTCGTGCGCACGTAAGGAAAATGCGCACTCTTTTTTCAAATTTTGTACAGGAAATTGCGCTCTCTTTCTAACATCAAGAAAATGCGCGCGGTTATCAAATTTTGTCCTTTCGGATTATTTGAAGTTGATATAACTGATTTTTCAAGCATTCATCTTTTTAAATAGTAATACCAGGCGGTCACTAAACTGGTCACACTGATTTACCTTTCACTTAATAATGTGTTTTTTTAAATTTTGGAATGTTATTTTCCGAACAGTCGGCGTTTATAGTTTGTTCAGAATTTGAATGTCAAGTCATCGGTCGAACTCCGCCTCTTATGTGTAGATCAAACCAATTATAGAACGAGCCACTTACAGAGCTTTGTTTGGGACGGAGATTGCTGCTTGACATTCCAAATCTGGACAAACTATATTAAAAAAAGGGAAATATGTGAAATAAAAAAATCTAAAGGACCTTTCGAGGCTCGAAAAATTTCTGAAGAAAATTTACAGGGTGATGAATTATTACTGCAACAAAATGAAGGAGCTGTCAATATGTCAATAGTCAATAGTCAATAAAGACCGGGAACTCACAATTTTTTTATGAAGTTTTACAGGGATTTAATCACAAAATACGAAAAAGTTTTCCATAAAATATTTTTGTAACATGAACTGCCGCTCGAAAATGTAGCGGCTGCGGCACGCAGATGGTCGAGATCAGTTTTGCCACAATTTTTGAGCAGAGCGGCCAAAAGTCAGTAGGAAAACTGGTGTGTACTGTTACAAGCGGCACACTGAAGTTTCTCAAAAAAAATGGAGTCAATGGGATAACAGAAAAAGAACAAGACTCCATTCTTCTAACCGGATAAGACCTTTTCCGATAAGGACTCAAAAATTGGCTTGAGCTGACTAGGGAACTAAGCGAACTCGTATTCACGGATCAAGTTCAAACTTTGGTGTTTTAATGATCTAAGTAAGGGTACTTAAAACAGGCAATAAAATCTGCTAAACCCCATAAGGTACTGAAAAAAAGCGTTTTGAAAATGAACAGTTAACTGCGTTTCGGCTTGAAAATTATCAAATTTCTGCTTTTCTCCTTCTGGCTGGAATAGAGTTTTAAGTGTTTATTATAGCTGGGTCATTCGAGACGATTGTATTGAAATATGAAATAAGGTAAAACACAGTGTTCTGAAAGTTTTCAGGCTTGATCTGCGCATTTTCTACAAATTTTTTCTTAGTTCTCTATCCGGTTTAGCAGGTATTCTATCTTGTTTTCATGTATTCTGGCTCAGGTCTACAAACCACTAAAGTTTGAACTCGATCCGCGAATACGAGTTCGCGAAGTTCTCTAGTAAGCCTATTTGACCTCGAATCGAATCGCCGGCGCTCCGTTCTTTTTAATTAATTTTTTTTCGAACTATTTGGTTTTGATATCACGAACGAGGCACACACCTTTGAAATTATCTTGTTTACTGCTCTCTGAGTTGACCTCATCTCTTACAGAAACTCGAAAAAGCTGAGTTTTGCCGTTTTACGAAGTTTCAAGCAAAATGACGTATTTCGAATGCAAGAATAGTAAAATAGCCCAATCATTAATATTAGCAACTGAGTGTTGCTGCAAATACTCTGACAGATTCGATGGTGTACTTTTTTTTGTCTGTACAAACACAGACGAATCAGAAGGGCACCTTGATTTTTCCGCAAAAATTCCTCTCAAAATGGATCGTGTAGACCCCATAACGTGTCCATCGTGGGACCTCCGGCATACCTTATAGCTATATCTGAGGCATCTCGGGGGTACTTGAGAGTCTCTCTCTAGTCTCACTAATTTTGCTCAAAGTCCTCAGAGGTACCATCGCGAGACTTCAGACCCTGCGATGAACCTCAGAGGGTCTCGCGACACCCTTTCTCGATTCGCCTATGAAGAGCGTCCAAACAGCGTGCCAAATGGAGACACATCTCTATTTTTCGGAAAAATTTCCTTCATTTTTTTTAAAAGTTTTTTTCGACTTTTTTCAGTTGACAGGCTTACATAAACGTGAATCGTTACCAATTTTGTGAATCGAAACCTTAAAATTACGTTCAAATTGAGCTTCAAGGCAACCTTATCGAATAATATCTGAAGGTCGCAATAAACTCCCATTTCTAACCGCCTTGATGCGTAATTTAATATCTTTGATTCAAGATCCAATGTTGTACTTGGCTGTAAAAAAATCACTGAAAGAACTTTTTTTGGTGGTTCGGCCCTGGCTCAAAAAGCTCAAATTTTCTTCATGTCGAATTTTTTTCGCTGTTTTAACGAGAAAAATCGGGGTTTTTGCTTATTTTTTTCCTCATTGAGTTATTAAAAAAACTGTGATTCAGCATGTAAAAAAATAATTTTTTTTCTGTGAGAATTTTTTTCTCGAATCTCTGGCTTGAACTCGCGCTTTTTTTGAAATTGAAAATGAAGGCCTAAAGGCCGGGCTTTAGGCTTTCATTTTTCATTGCTAAGCCTGCCTGCCTTTCCGTAAACGCCCAAAAAGGCAGAAACGACTTTTTGAAAAATCAGCGTGGCACGACGGTCATCATATTATATATAGGTAGGAATAATGACTGGAACAAAAAAATAAGCTCGGGTCGGCGAGAACTAATCCTACAAACTTTTGTCGCTGTAATTATTCCTCCACTCTGTATTGTTTTAATGTTATCAGATTGACAACATCTGTATATTTTGAGAGCCCCTCACTTTTTTTAGCAGATTTTTCGCGGCAGCTTTTTGAGACCAAGCTTGAAATCAGCTTGGTCTCAAAAGAGAGCATCTCACTTTTTGCAAAACTACACCTGATCTCATTCCGAAGTGACCGCACATCATTCGCTGATAAGAAATATTCTCCATAAAATTTCAAATAATCAAAAAGCTGTTCAATACATCTTTAGCTGAAAGACTTCTTCATGACAAAGACAAAAGTGAGATGATTTATGCGGACTTCAATCTAGAAAAGAGCGGAATCACCGTGCGCATTTTCCTGATGTTAGAAAGAGAGCGCAATTTCCTGTACAAAATTTGAAAAAAGAGTGCGCATTTTCCTTACGTGCGCACGAGAAAAGAGTGCGCACAGCGCGCACTTTCCAGCATGCCTTCAATTTTTTCTGTTCTCACCAAAGTTCTTTTCGTCACAAAAGCTTTCTATTCATGTATAATTAGGGACCGTAAGGCCACACCCCCTCGCTGACCAAAAAACGTCGTATATTTCGTTGCATTTTTGACATTTCATTGTTGTTTATGCAGTTTCCCTGAACCGTTTTGGGAAAAAATTGAGGGCAACATACAATTGGCTATGCTCTACAATTCTACATAGAAGAAATAGCTGTAAATAAAAAAAGGATCGGTTAAAATGACGTTTTTTCGCGACGCTTTTGTGCGAAAAAGTGGAAAAACGTTGAATACTTACAATCCCGCTCGTAGGCAAGTTATTTTTTTTTTCTTATTTTGTTAAGCATGTAAAATCCTGCTTGTGCTTTCAAGTATCGAAGCGTCGGAAAATCGCAACTTCCGAAATTCGGGAACTTTGGCATTTTCCGCGAAACATCGTAAAAATTTTTTTTGAACTGTTCTCTATAAATTTTAGAACATTTTAAAAATAAAAAACAAAACTTTCATTCCAACCTTAATTTTAAAAATAAGTTTTGATTTTTGATTTTTTTGAAACACTTGGGAAAGTGTTTTAGCAGTCGTAGGCAAATTATTTTTTTTTCTTATTTTGATTTGAATTACTTTTTTCTTCAACATAGTCAAAAAAATGAAAAAAATCCTGCTTGTGCTTTCAAAAATTTGATTCATTCGAACAATAAAAAAACAGCGTCCTGCATTTGCGCGTTGGCGAAATTGTGCATTCCCCGACCCACGAAAATTCCGAATTCGCGATGTTTTCAAAGCAAAAATAGCGTAAAACTTTTTTGAAATGAGTCAAAACGTTCAGTAATGTAATTCGAAAAACAAAATAGAACTTCACATGCTTTTCCAGAACAAAAGAATTATTTTAGTCTCGCCAAACTCCCACTATCCGGATTCCACTGGAAAACACGTTCAAAGTCGGGAAATTCACCTGAATAAGACATAAAAGTAGATTTTAATGAGTTGAGCGCGTTTAAAAGTGCTGTATTGCTACAAGAATGGTTATAAAAGTCATTAATAATTAATTTATTCGTGTTTCTATGGATTCACAACCTTTTATTGGTTCCGAGTTCTGTATCGAATCTTGTTTCAGGGAGAATTTGCGTTTATCCATACTTCCTAATGATATTTTAACAGTTTTGAACATCAAAAGCATTGAAAACTCCGTAAATATTAATTTTGCTTTTTTTGCCGTTGAAAATCGTTCAACTTATTCTTTTTCAGTGTTTATTTTTGCTGGTCTTCATCTTTGGACATTGTTCTATCATTTCCAATAATGAAAAAAACTATCATTAGTGTGTTTTTAGTGCGAAAAAAATTAACAAGAAACTTTTTTTCTCTAATTTTTTTACTGGTCTTTGAGAGCGCGCCGCACTCTTGCAACGCCCACTTTTTTCGCGACCTCGACCAAATTTTCTACAGAGAATTGAAATCGCGAAACGCGCGCTTTAATGGCTGTAACTTCGTTCAGAGTCAATATTTTTCCAAGATCTCTTTTTTTAAAAGTTGCCAGGACTATGAAGTACACGGTCATATGAAAATCATTTAAATCTGATGGTTTCTAGAAAACTGCCTGCGGTCCCTATGTATAATTTGCAAACTTTGATTGCAAAAAAGCTTTTCTGGTGAAAAATGATGATATTACACAGGTTTCGATGGGGATAGCAATATTTTGTGTTTTCTTTATTATCGGTGTGTGTTTTTTGTTTTCTTAATCAATTTTTCAGAAAAGAAACCCTTAATTTGAAGCAGATATCCGGTTATTTCTCACAAAATGCGAGTCTAATGAGACGTCCGCAACATCGCGTGCACGGCTACTGTAAACATTTGTCCGTAGGCCGATCCAAAGCTTTTTTCAAAATTAAAGGCGGGAAAGTAAAATCGCGTTTTTCTTCTAAAGTTGTCACACCTGTAATTTTTTTGAGTACACCATTCGATTCGCAAAGAAAAACTATAGAAGATACTTCTTTCACATGAAACCCCATTTTTTACTGCCCCTATGCCTTTAACAGGCATTTAAAGCTAAACGGGGCACACCCGTAGTTACACTGCGGGGTGCACCGAAAGTTCAACGCGGGGTGCACCGCAACTTTTGTTAGAGAGCATGGGGTGAAAAATGAAAGATTTTTTTCTCTACTTTATCTTACTCGGGATCGTTTTTACTTGTTATTTATTCAGTAGTTTAGTTAAAAATGATTGATATTGTATACATAACAGGAAAATTTAAAAGTTGTGTGAAATGACTTCAACGAAAATCTCACCTCTGCGATAGCAATAAGTGTGAAAATCAGCTTTGAACGGAAGCAGAGTCCCAAAACGAGAAAGATAATGTGGATGAGCTGCAAAATTCGAATTGTTCGTTTTGAAGCTTGTTAAATCAATGAAAAAAGAGATAACCATAAAAAACGCCGAGCTTCCCAAGGTTGCTATGTGCCTTTCTTTTTCTGGACTAGGCGATTTCCGATTCTCCTCTCTGAAACAGGGAAATGGAAGAGCTTTCGGAAAAACTTCTATTTTAGGACTCGGTTGAACTTTTGATGAAACTCGGCCTTAATTTATGCCGTGTTCAAAGTAATTTCCGCGAAATGCAAAATGGTCTCTGACCCTCCAAAATTTAGTTATCTTTCTCTTTCTCTGAAGGCTATTTTGAATTTCGCGGAATCACTTTGAACACGGCATTACTTTTGAAGTTCTTGATATCAGAACAAGGAAAAAAGGTCGATTTCAAGCCCTTAGGTAGGGGGCGCAAAGCCCCGCCCCTTCACGCCACCAAAATGACGATTTTTTTGTTGCAAAAACGGTTTTGAGGCGTTTATACTAGCTAAAGTCCCATTTTAAAAATGAACTGTTTCTGTTAATCTATGTAATCGACAACGCTCTACAAGACTGAATATTTTTTTAAAACTATGTATTTTTTTCAAAAACAAGCGAAAAAAAGTAAGATTTAACACGAAAAAAACTGACAAGTTTCACAAAAATCGTCGCGTTTCTGAAAAACCAAGTGAGGAACGCTTCCGAACTTTGAGTATGTTATACATTAACACTTTCTTTATTTTTTGAGTGAAAATGAAAAAAATCTACCGACGCGAAAAAAATATTAAAGCTTGTAAAGTGACACCAAACTTTGAAGCTGAAATGCGAAAAAATTTCAGCGACAAGGTATACTTTTTATTTGATTTAAAAACTCACAATGTGCTCACAAACAAAAAAATTCAAAATGAAAAATAATTATTGGGACAGCGAATCAAATTATATTTGAGTTTTACCAAAAACCTCCTTTTTTTCGCCTGCCTCGTTGACGCATGAGAGATTAGGATCGCGTCTATACTTTTGATTATGTTATTAAGCGTTCAAAAATTCTATCAATGAAAAAAATTATGAAAAAAATCGATCGACGCGAAAAAAATAACGGCTTTGAAAAACCTCGAAAAAAAGCAATTTTTTTGAAACTTTGGAAGAATTCGTGCAAGCGTTCGTAGCTGTGTTTGCGTCAAACACACCGATGCGCCATTTTAAATGTTGCAGGAGCCGTTTTTTTCGAAGTCAAATTGCACTTTTTTTCCTGTTTTATTTCAAAATAACATTATTTTTCATTTTTTCCTTTTTTTTCAAATCAAATGATAATAATTTTTCTGATTAGAAAAAAGAAAAATAAGCTGAAAATTCCTCCTGACCTTTTTTCTAAGTAGTTTTTTGATATTTTATCAAAAATTCTTATAAGGATTGTACAAAAGATTCATATCAAAACATGAGGCTCAGTTCGGACAACCTCTCAGAACAAAAAACCGATTCGAAAACGGTTCAGAAATGCGTAAAAACATTTAAAAAGAAAGCGTGCGGCAGCGGGTAAACCGTGAGATTTTGCCTCCAGTTGAACGCCGCACGCTAGTTTTTTGGCCATAACGTTTTTCTTAGTGGAGCTTTTTTCAAAAACTAAACGGATTATGAAAATGGACAGTCTCCTCTATCGAACAATGGGAGAAACATATTTTTTGAATCGTTCTGAAGAAATGGCTTGCGGTCCCTACCCTTAGGAGCGTCTCAACCCGAAAAATCAGATTTATTCCTAGAATTTTTTTCTTTTTTTGTTTTGAAATAAAGATTTTCTTTTTATTGAAACTGAGCCAAGTTTCATGAAAATAAAACCGAGCCCGTAAAAAAAGGTTATCTTATTTCCAAAAAAACTAACTGGACGACGAATATAGAGATAATATTCGACGAAAAGACGAGCAAGGAAAATACGAGATTGACTTTAACCCAGCACTGCAGAATAAATATATGGAACAAATATTTTTACTTGTGTATTTTTCATTTTCGAAATGAGGTCAATAAAAAATAGTCACCTTACCTGAAGGGAAAATGAAGTCACACAGAAATATTAACGATTCACTTTAAAAATCCATTGTTTTTTTGTTCTCATGATTTTGGATAGGAAGAACTGACCCCAGCAGTTCCACAAGGGCAAACACGTTGATTCAAATCGCAATCTTGGCCGGCAGGATCTCTCTGGTCATTCTTGAAACTGTACCTCGGCGAGAAATCGTCGGTTTCCTGAAAACCAGAATTTCGGACAAAGATTGGGGACCGACCATTGAAGAGACGGACATTTTGCCCAAATGGCAATTGACAGGAATGAAAGAACTATCTATTTTCAATCACACGTGCATTCTTGATCTATGAATCTCTTTTATCGAGGTTTAATTTATTCTAAAAAAAGTTTGGGAGGCCCCGATAGGGGCGCCGGAGCTTTCCTTGAACCCCCTAAACGATTCGGGCCCCTAAAATATTTTTTTAAAATTGTTTAAGGGTCTTTTTCTATTATCGCGACCCCCTAAACTTTTCTTAGTTCGGAATTTCGAAAATCTGTTTCATTTTTAGGACTGGTAATTTTTGAACTAGTTCTTATTCGACTTGTCCTTCAAAACTTCTGAGTTCTCTGGGCTCTATTTTCTCTCGCTTCAAGCTTTTTTGCTTCATTGACCTCGCCAGAGAGGAAAGAAGAGCACAGACAAGTCAGAATGTTACAAAACACCTCTTTTTTTTCCTAAATGAAGTTCTGGAATTTCAAGAACGTGAAAATCTAGCAGTGGCAACTTTTTTTAACCTCATAACGTTGAAAAAATAAATAAATAAAGCTGGTGTTTACGGTATAATCCGTCCGTCGCGACTTTACAGTTTTCGCATGTCTGCGTCTCTCTGTTCTCTCACCGGGGAACATGGAAATAGCACATGAAGATGAGAGGGCCTCCGAGAGATCAGGAGGGCGCAGAGAAGTCCCGCTGATTTCAAATCTGTTCTCAAAAGTTGCTCTCGAGACCTGTGAAAAAAGTTAGGGACTCTCAAAGGTCGGAAATTCTGATTGAGCTCATTTTGGAGGGTATGTAGATCTTGTCCCTCTGGTCACGAAAGACCATTCATTTTTTCTCAAACTCATTTCGGAGCCCAGATCTTCCATTGCCCCGTCGAACACGAGAATCTTCTCATCAAACCTAATTATCATTTTTCAGTAGAAATGAATATAAAAATTGTTCAGGAATTCGTTTATTTGCCAGCATGGAAAAAATTCAGCCGCAGCACGAAAGCTTTATGAAGACCTGGGCGAAGAAAAGCTGTATTATGAAGCTGATAGACGTCCAAATAAGCACCCCCGTCATTTCAGCCGTCTTTTCTGAATCATTCTAGGATTTATTTGAGCATGGAAATCTTTTTTTTTCAAAACGAAGTTTCTTAAAGATATTAAAATTCCTAAAAAAAAATCCAAATTTATATTCTACGAAGCCAAGAACATACCTTCCTCCTTCGCATCTTTCCAATGCCAAATGACATCAAACAGGCTATAAAACGTTACGATACAGCTCACAATCTGAACCAAAACATCGAAAATGCCTGAAAAACTACAGAGAAACCTGAAAAAAAGCGGCGATCGAGAAAATAGCTCTCGAACGGCAACAAATACCCAACATGAAGAAAATGACGAGGAAAGCCTTAAAATTATTTTTGAGATATTGATTTCAGCTTGTAGAGCGAAATTATACATAAGTTCCTTTATTTGAAGAAAAATTGGTTCAAAGTGAGAACATGAAAAGTTAAAGCCGCTCAAAGATCGATTCAGAGCAAAGTTGCTCCATGGACAAAAATTATTCGAATGAATTCTGGCTCGGACATAACAAGGTATTGTGAAACGGACGTGCTCCGGACGTTTCTGAGCATTTCTAGTGACCATTTTAGTAGCTTCAGTAGCTTCAAGTGATCCCTAGAGTTGCCCAGAAACGTCCGGAGCACGTCCATTGCAGCTTGTAGAGCGAGATAATACATAAGAGCTATTCAGAGAAAAGTTGCTCTATGGACAAAAATTATTCCAATGAATTCAGTCTCGGACATACCAAGGTATTGTGAAACGGACGTGCTCCGGACTTTTTTGGGCATTTCTAGGGATCATTTTAGTAGCTTCAGCACTTTTAAGTGATCCCTAGAGTTGCACAGAAACGTCCGGAGCACGTCCATTTCGTGTTACCAATATCCGAGTGCTTGTACATCAGGCTGGGGCGGCCACTAAATTTGCGAAATGAAAAAATATTTTTTACTTGTGAAACCATAATTTCTACTGAACTCACAGTGAAAAATAACCAAAAAATTCATTTTTGTGGTGAAAAGTCGGACATTCGACTTGAAGAAAAGTTACGATTTCTTGTTTGAGGCCTCCCTGGGTCAAGCCAGCCATCCCACAATCCAGAATGAATAATAATTCTTACCAACACAAGCATGGTGCCTTCCGCCGTGTGCACGACATATGCCTTTTTCGTAGTGGGATGTTCGTGGAACTCTTGTCTGCGAATAAAAAAGTTTTTTCAAGGCGTGTACTGGATGTCTAACCTCTTAAAAACGTAGTGGACAACTTGTAATGCAAGCGAAATCGCGTAGTAGAAAATCGCAGCTTTCGCCCAACACTGAACAATGGTGTCTATAGTCTGTGTGGCACGACTTGAAATTTCACTGAACGACATTCCGCGGTTTCGCTGCGTGCGTTCGCGAAGCGTCTTTCGAATCTAGGTCACGCTTTCAATTGATTGTTATTGCTGTGGGAGCACATGAAAGTAGAGTACCATGAAAAAAGACAAAAAAATTAAAAGCGCGACAAAGGTTTGCAAAGGCGCGCAGCGGAACAGCGGAATGTCGTTTGATGAAATTCCAAGTCGTGGCACACAGGCTATATTTGAAGAATTTATGTAGTCTATTTTCCGTGAATTAAAGGGCGAGGGAGGCGGGAAGCGTAGCGTGTGCGTACGCCATTCTTGGCACGAGTTCGATTCAACCGCCAACGACGATTTGAAGAGCTCGTTTTTCGCTTTTTTCATTCCTTTTTCAATTATTTATTGATTATGTCCATGTGTGCATCAAAAAATAGTAGAAAACCTCGAAAAAGATCGGTGACCGAGCTTTTCAGATAGTCGGTGGTGCTTGAATTGAACTCGCGCCAAGAACCGCGTACGCACACGCTACGCGTCCCGCCCCTTGCCCCACCTTCCTCGCCTTTCAAGTCCAGAAGGATCGACTACAGTTATGAAAAGAAGACTTTGGACTTGACTGCAAAAAACCAGTGAAAACTTGAGAAATTCCTCAAGGAACACTTGGAGAAGTCATTAAGGTGTTCATTAAAAACCCCTCTATCAAAGTCACTAATTTTCCTCCTAGTTACCACTAGAGCAGTTTTCCTTTAATGGCTACTAAATCGGCTACCATAGGGTCCCCTGAAACGTCAAATCCCTAAAAAAGTTCACTAACAATTTTCCCATTTACCGCAAAAAAATATGAACAAAATCAATCTATGAATTCCTGACCCCTGCAGTTCCGCAGGGACAAACAGGCTCATCGAGATCGCAATCCGCTCCAGCACCATCTCTTTCTTCGGGGGAAGGTGTATTTTGGCGACGCCTTGGAGAAATATCCCCATCCTCCTAAAACAGTAGGAAGCAGGAAGAAAAAAAAGTAGAGGAGCAAAGATCCAAAAACCAACGAGCACGGAAAATGACATTGTCGCTGGAATAATCAGTGAAGAATGAATCCACAAACACGCGAATAGTCGCGATATATAATCATATATTCCCGTAAAACTGTAGATTTCAATCCTATTCTCCACAATATCCATAAAAATCATATCTTCAGATGTTTCTTTGTTGTAGAACAGTCTTTTTGTATTGTAGAACAGTATCGAAACAATTTAATGCCGTGTTCAAAGTAATTTCCGCGAAATGCAAAATGGTCCCTGACCCTCCAAAATTTAGTTATCTTTCTCTTTCTCTGACGGCTATTTTGAATTTCGCGGAATCACTTTGAACACGGCATAAAAATCGTAGAAATGTCGCTTCAAGCACCGCGAATCCGGAGTCCGGATCCAAATTAAAGGCGCAGGCTGCGCTGTGAAAATTGGTGAGCCCATCTTGGGACCCGAAAACCTTTCAGCAGAATTTTTCATTTATTTGCTCGTCCACTTTTCGTTTTTCGCTCATTTTGATGCATTTCAGGTTTTTTTCAAATCTGAATTAGTCAACTATATTTTTCCCACGCACAGTATTGTCTTTCGCGTCAAGTCCATCAGCAGAATTTTTCTTTTTCTCATTTTTTTTTCTTTTCAATTTTCAATTTGTCAAAATTTGTTTTCCCACACGGTTCACACAGCTTTTTCATGTATCTCATTTATTTAGTGGGAGTAAAATACACTCAAAAAATAAAAAGTTAATTTTGATTTTTTTTTTTTTGTAGTTCTTTTCAAATTTTTTAATCCGCTTAGAAATGTCGATTACTGAAGTGAAACCCATCATCTTTTCATAACTTTATCATTGTGAAAATTTTATTTCAAGGTGATGACTCGGAGAAAGCGGATCTCAAGAAGTGACGAAAAAGCGTGAAAGTTGTAGAATCGATGTTTTTTCCGTCAGAAGGTTGGTTTTTTTAATACGCAGTTTTTGACAGTTGTATGAAAAAAACAAATATACAAGAGAAATGTTAATCAACACTTAATTTGAAGCAATGAATATTGCGAAATTTTATCATTCTTCTTCCATTTTTCCATCGAAAAGTTTTTTTTTTCTGTGACAGAAGCTACTTTTGAGACAACTCTCATTTATTGGATCATCACAAGTTTTTTTTGTGTGTTCTGTCAAGCTTTTTCATTTGAAACCCCTTAAGAGGTGTGATTAATAAAATTTTCTCACTGAACTTTTACACTGAAGATTCTGAACTTCCTGGAAAGATGGGCTTTTTTTGCGACACGTTTTCAAGCCTCCCGTTGACTTCAGTCATTTCCAAGTTTGTTCTATTTTTTTTATGATGATGATGGTTTTATTATTAAAATTATGAATGTTCCTAGTTTCCTAAAGCATTGTCAAAGTTGGAGACAGAGATAAGTCGACTTTTTAAAAAATGATCAAGGCTTTTCTGATTTTTTTTTTCATTTCATTCACCACAAGATACCGTGTCGACTTCTTTCTCCAATTCTCCTTGTTTACGTGCTATTTTTTCTTCCTGGTCAAGTCATACAATATCGTGGTGAGATTGAAATAATGTTGAATTTGTTTTTTTTCTTTCGTAACTGAGCAAAACTTCTCATCAAAAATCAATATTTGTGGGGATGAAACAACGATTATTTTGAGAAAGGTCCAATTCTTCAAAGAAGAAAAATACCAAGTTTCTTTCATTCAAACTTTTTCTCAAACTAAATTTTGATCATAAACTTTTTCCATGCAAGATCATCATAAGAACGCTTTTTTCGTCTAGTGATACATGTTTTCCCATTGGTTTATCATTACCGTTGAGCCGGAACAATGTCAGGAACACAATTGGGTTCAAATGAATGGCCAAAACAGAAAATGTTGCGGGGCGGGGGCGTGAAAATACTGTGGGCGGGGCGAGTTGGCAAACGGTGCGCGCTTCTCATTCCTTTTTTTCTTCCTGAAACTTGGTCATAATAAAGAACTTCCAAAAAAGAGAGACCTTCTTGACTTCATCATTCTTCTCCTCTTCTTTCTTCTCTTCCTTCTTCACTTCATCTTTTTTCTCCTCGTCTTTCTTCTCCTCCTTTTTCTCTTCCTTCTTCTCCTCCTTCTTCTCGTCTTTCTTCTCGTCTTTCTTCTCATCTTTCTTTTCTTCTCCAACAGCACCAGCGTCTTCAAAGAGGACAGGTGCCCTCATAACACCGTCCGGCTTCGTTTCGGCCGTCCAGGCCTGTATGAATCGATGTCACGATACGGTGTTGCTCATGTTACCTGTCGCGGCGTCTTGTTCATATCGCTGCACTTGGTGTGGTAAATGGCGAAAAAATGCTTGCTCGACTCGGGCTGGCTTTTCAGCCTGGCCGTGACTCTCACGACTGTCGATTCACCTGGCTGCAAGGATCCAAGGGTACCGTAAACTCGTCTTTTTTCTGCTTGTCACATATTTCGAAACTTATTGCTCAGCTTGCATATTTGATTTGAAAAACCTAGAATTTTTATTTAAATTTGAGTCTCAAACCCTGTTTTAGCTGCATAGCTATATAAGATCTACATCTAAGTCCTGAGAAAAAAATTTTTCTCTCACTTTCGATCTAAACAAGAGTTTGTCCGAAAGCTTGACGTCTCAAGAGAAGTCAATAAAGCCTAGACCTTGAGGAAAGCGAGAGGTGGTCGCACTCGGAATATCTCATTGTCGGTGCATTTCACCTGAAAACAGTTTGAAACCAAGCTGTTTAGCAACACGAAAATATGACTTTATAGCATTGGCGCTCCTTGAGCGTGTTGGTTATCTTCACGTCGATGTTCGCATCCTCGTTCAGCTTGTACTTGAACACAAACTTGTCAAACGGCTCAACCTGAAAATTTTTTATTGGTGTCTAAGGTGGATGAGGAATCATTCTAGTCGCTATAACTTTCAAACAAGAAAAAAACCTTGAGCTGAAAAGCGGGTTCGCCGGCCTTGTTTCCTGTTGGTCCTTTGGTCGCAGCCATTCGTTTCGAGAGTTCTGAATGCGAAACGGCGATGTTCCGTCGGTGCGACGCGGTGAAATGACGCGATCCTCATACACGTCTTCGCAGTTTTTTCGTTGATTGGCCCTTTTTTTTCGAAAAGTTCATTTCATAGTTTATTATTTTTAATCCATAGGCAAAGTCGGAAAGGGTGGAAAAAGGCTCCATAGAATTTTCCTTTTAGGGTGACAAAGGTCCCTTCTTGCTGCCTTTTTGCTCTATTTCATCGGCCCTTATGCACCATTTTTACTGCCTCTCTTCGTCGCTTTCTTTGCTCTCTTTTTGTTGCCTTTCTGCGGCCTTTTTTGAGCCTCTTCCTTTTAGCGTCCATTATTCCGACTTTGCCCGAGTCATTTTCTTTAACTTATTGCGGTCTGAAACGCCCTCATCAAGGTAATCAACTCAAAAAACATTAATCCTCTCGAGGAATTCCACACGAACACCTTCACGGGTGTCAGAACCTTAGCCAAGAACATATAGATATCTATCAGCAAAGAAGTGAAGTAAGGAGCCCATCTCACATAAGCTTTTCACTACCGCGCTGCAAGACGCAATACTCGACCTAGACTGGAACAAAAAAAGGATCAAAATTGTTGACAAGAAAATTTGCAACATAGCCGACGTTATAGTACTGATCAGCAACCGAACTTCAAGAACCTCCACAAGACCAGTGCCAAAGCCGGTCTATACACTGCGACCCATAATTATAGACCCACCCTAATTTCTCCGATTTTAAGAAAGATTGAAAAAAACTTTCAGCCACCAAACTTTTTTTGTGATAAACCTTGTTGATAAGGAACATAATCATAATATAATTATCAATCACCCAGTTGAAAAGTTTTTTTCAAGATACGAGAAAAATCTGATTTTTTTGACCGACCCAGAATTATAGACCCACTATAAAAAATCAACAAAAATTCATTTCACAAAGTCAACAAAGTATAACAAAAAGATTAATTAATAATGTGTGATGCCTCCTTGTTTCTGAGCGACTTCGAAAAATCCTGTTCGGCATGCTGCCAACGAGTGATTGCAGCAGTGACTTGTCCAAACCATCCCACTCGGCACGAATCGCTCTTTTTCAGATCGTTGACCGTTGTATACTGCTTGGCATTCGCGTAGACCCTTCGTACAAGGACTGACATAAATTCTCTACAGGGTTGAGGTCAGGACTGCACGCGGGCCAGTCCAGAAGAACCACGTTCTTGGCCGCAAACCAAGCCAATGTGGAGTTGCTCGCGTGAACAGATGCATTGTCTTGTTGGAAAATCATATTAGCACGTCGTCGGCGACGGAGATAGGGCAGGAGATGCTGGGCAAGCAGTTGCTGGTAGTCTTGCAAATTCGTTCTGGTCCCAATAAAAGAAAGAGCTACCGTCCCGTTGCCGCAGAAAGCCGCCCAGACCATGAGGCTGCCGAAGTTTCTCTTGGAGAAGTACATCGGATCTTTCCTCAAATCTCTCCAGTAGTGAGCGTACCCATCTGGCCCATCGAGGTTGAATTTCTTCTCGTCGCTGAAGATGATCTGAACAGAAAAATTGGGAATCATAAGGTGATAGAAAAAATTGATACTTTATTCCAATCCGTGGCCATGTTAGAGCGTGCAAACTGGAGCCGTTCATTCTTATGGCGTTGCTGTAGACGAGGTGCTGCCTTCATTGGAGTATTCACAAGTCGACCGGACCGATGAATTGTTCGTAAGATGGTGTTCTTCGAGACGTTTTCAGGAATTTCGGATCTGATTTGGTTGGCGGTAGAGTTCTCAAAATGACCAATCGAAAAAAATGACATTTTTCAAAAACGAAAAATTTTCTTTTTGACATTTCAAACGAATGTCGTTTTTGAAAGATCAACCAAAATTGATCACTTTCATTCTTTTCATTTTGTGACTTTTTCAAATAATGACTGAAAAAAATGAATGGTCATTTTCTAAACAATCATATTCTGACTAGTAAATAAATGTTCGTCCTAATGACCAAATTTTCAAAAAGTGAAATTTAAATGTTCACTTTTTTTGACCAAAAATTTCCGAAACGAATTTTTAAATGTTTACTCTTTTTGAACAAAAATTTTCAAAATGAATTTTAAATGTTTACTTTTTTTGACCAAAAATTTTCAAAACGAATTTTTAGATGTTTACTTTTTTTCGTAGAAAAAATTTTTTTTTCAACTGTGAAAAATTAAATGTTCACTTTTTTTGGCCGATAATTTTTCCGAACCTGGATTTTCCGAACCAAAAATCCAAATCAATACTTTTCCTTTTTTTCCTCATTCAATTAATCCAGATAGCACCTTTCTTCCGGTCTGCTCATTTTTTTGACCGGTTCTATATAATTTTTTTCTCGGCCTTAACCGGCTTTTTAGCTTTGCCCTTGACCATCCAGATCACTGTTTTTCTAACAGATTTATTAATCTATAACCAGAAATTAGTTTGAATTTCGAAGTAATCGATTCAAGATTTCATTTGGAGTAGACTGAGATAGAATTGACTCTGGCACAGATACTGCCAAGTGCCGTAATAGTAATGAATTAATTAATGAATAAATGTTTACCTTTTTTTGAAAAAAATTTTCAAAGTGAAATTTGAATGGTCACTATTTTTGACCAAAAATTTCTAAAATGAATTTTTAAATGTTCATTTTTTTGACTAAAATTTTCAAAGTGAACTTTAAATGTTTACTTTTTCTGACCAAAAATTTTCAAAGTGAAATTTAAATGTTCACTTTTTTTGACCAAAAATTTCCGAAATGAATTTTAAATGTTTACTTTTTTTTGACCAAAAAAATTTCAAAATGAAATTTAAATGTTCATTTTTTTAACCAAAATTTTTTTCGAAAAAAATAAGTAATTGTTCATTTTTTTAAATGCTCAGTTATGAAATTTAACCAAAATGAAGTTTTTAACAAACGGTTCATGTGAAATTTAACTAATTGGTCGAATTCATCAAACGTTCGGAAAATGTTTGGTTGAACGTTCGTTCAAACATTTACTTTTGAGAACTCTAGTTGGCGGACTTCGTAGAGTTTGATGCTTTTCGACAGACGTCTCGTTCAGCTTGAACCGATAGCAGCCTGTGCCGTCCAGAATGTATTGCTGTGCCGTATTCTTGCGGATTCCTTGCATAACGGTCAATAGTTCGTCTTGAGCGACCCGTCTGACGAGCGATTTCCCGATGGGACAAGCCGTTGAGTAGAGCATCGATTACCGCTTTTTCGGTATTATCAAGTTGAGTAGATTTAGGCATTATGGCTTATAGTGATACACGAGGACTTTTTCTCTTATATACCACTGAAAAAAACAGGAAAAACGTGTTACCTGAAACGAAAACTCGGAAAACTCTGGGGTGGGTCTATAATTCTGGGTCGGTCAAAAATCAGATTTTCTCGTATCTTGAAAAACTTTTCAACTGCGTGATTGATAATTATGATATGATTATGTTCCTTATCAACAAGGTTTATCACAAAAAAAGTTTGGTGGCTCAAAGTTTTTCAATCTTTCTTAAAATCGGAGAAATTAGGGTGGGTCTATAATTATGGGTCGCAGTGTATATAGTCAGTCCCCCGCGACTTGAGAATTCTTGCGTGTCTGCGTCTCTTTGTTCCCTCACCGGCGACGTCAGAGAAACATGGAAAAAACACCTAAAAATGAGAGAGACGTTGAGAGATAAGAAGAGCGCAGAGAGGTCCCGCCCTTTCAAGTCGCGAAAAACGGACTATATGAACAGATCGAAAACAGAAGTCGTGCGTAACAAAGGCGAATCATAGGAGGCTCATCGATTTCGGACACGTCTCACTACGTCTACATAGGATGGTCGATAAACATAAAACAGCAAGATCAGAAGACGCAGAAGAGCATCCGCATGGGCAGCTCTGAACCCAATAAAACAGATATTTAAGCTTATCAGCGTCAAGAGTTTGGAATCTCAAACCGTCCTTCCGGCGCTATGCTACGGAGCCGAAACATGGGCCGAAAACCAAAAACCAAGTCGAATTTACCCAACCAGCACTGCTAGTAAGAAACTTCTAACAAAACCAGTATTCCTTGAAATTTCAAGTACATTATACAAGTGAGCAGAGCTGTGCGTTGGGCCGAGGTCAGATGTTCAGGATTTCTGAGAATCTCTCTTCTGACCAACCATCGAACAGTTACGGAAAAATACAAGTAAATTTTTCATTTGGCTGCATTTTTGTTAATATTTGGGAATGATATACTAGAAGAATTTTTGGAAGAAGTCTTGTAGTTGGGGCTTTCTTCTGCTTTCGACTGAGTTCCGCTGACTGACGTCCAATCCGTTGTCTTGCTGGTACCGCCGAAAAGAAATCGGGTTACGGTGAAGGCCGGGAAAGTCATACAGGTGGCAGCGATTGCGCATACAACTGAAAGGTTTGAGAAGAAAATCAATCAATCGAGAGAAAGGAAAAAAAAACACTTTCGCATTCGTAAACTTCTGAAGATTTGCACGGCAAGACTAAAGTTACGATTTTTTAAAATCTTTTTTTTTTTTAATTTTTGCTTTACCTCGCATCACTATTAAAAAAGGCTTTTCGATTTTTCGAACTACCAAAACTGGACCAAAAATTGGTAGACGTAATCTTGGATACTACTAACGATCAATATTCTCAATTCCAAATTTGGTGCTAGTACTGGATAAGAAAACGAACCAGAGGCGAAGAATAAAAAATTGAAAGGTCGGGCAATCTCTTCCGTTGCTCGTAGAGGAAGTATCTTCAGTAAACTTTGCATTTTTTCGTCTCCTTCCTCACCGAGTTTTTTCGCTAGGTTCTGTAGAATTTCGATTTCAGTGGATAATCCTCTCAATTTCAAAAAGTTTTGTACTCACCGTTAGTCTTGTAAGAATTTTCTCATCAATTTTAACGTAATAGGCTTTCATTTCCATGAGCACCTTGTTTCTTATCGCATTATCTTCCGTTGGATAGAGCCGAAGCTGAAGCCATAATTTATCTTATCGAAACCGAAAAGGTGAAAAACTGAAGCTTTCAAATCTGCGATCGATTTCTCCAGCTTGTAAAGTTCTTTTGGAGGAACTACTTTTCTCGAAGCCAACTTCTCGGTGCTGTTCTTTATCGTGGCCTTTATTCAAGGAAATTAAGTTGAGCTGATTTGAAACAAAAAACTCACAACGTCGTAGGATAATGACTCTTTCCAGACAATAAATATAGACGGCATAATATTTCCCAACGAGAACTGAAAATAAATGTTCGTTTTGAAGAATAGTATGTAACTGTCAAAAATGAAATCGGAAAAAGTTATTTTTGTTCACAGCTTTTTTTAATATCTATAAACTGCGTCTTTCTTCAAAAAACTGAAATTCACCAGATTGTCACTAAAAAAAAATTCGTAACAACTCCAGATGGTTTCAAAATGATCAAGCTCCATACAAGAAAGTTGGGAGTGTGTTTCCGTATGTACATTCTTTGGAAGACTACAAGAAAAAACGTCTCGTAGGAATATATTTTTAAATAATCTTTTTTTTCAAAGTTTTTTTATGTCCAATAGTAATATTATACAAAGAAAAATCAGCTGCATAAACAAAAAAAGAGAAAAAAATACCGCATCGAGAAGCGTTTCGTAGAGAGTTTCCGTGTTTGTCAAATTGAATACACCTTTCTTTTTGATTTCACGAAGGACAGTCCTGAAAAAAAAGGTTCTCTTTCATTTTAGTCCGTGAATTTCGATTTAAACTTCTTTGATATTATTCATTTAATTTATCGCCCGCAATCCTACCTAGAATCAATAGACTTATTGCCAAAGTCAGTGAAATCAAAGTCAAGTGACTTCAAAACGGCCGGATGTTCCAGAAATGACACAGATTTCACGTAGGCAATACCGCTGGTGAGAAAACAAAACCTGCGAAAATTTCAGCTTAACTGATTTTTTTTAGAAAAAAAAACCCTGTTATTAAAAATAAGATAATGCCGCAAATCCAAAAAAAGCATGTCCACTGCCGTCTGAAAAAAATGATAAATCTTATGAAAAACTCTTCAAAGTTTCCTTTTTAGAGTATTCAAAGCAACCAAGTTTTAGTTCCTCCTAAATTATTCTTTCTGGAAAAATTTTTTTATGAGTCTTGTACGAAATCGAGCTGATCTCTCACAAGGATAGTCCTTTTGCGGTTGGGAATTTTCAAAAAAAAAAACCAGAATGAAATTTGAGATGAAGATCCTGAAAATCTCAATCTGCAAAACTTCCTATCTTTCTGAAAAATACGACCTCAAACCCTTAAAAAAGCCTAGTCCAACGAAATTCGTGGGTTTACTCAACTTTGAGGGGTCTTTTTCTCAAAGAATTGGGAATAATTGCTGACTTTCAGGATATTTATCAAGAAGAAATCTGGTTAAACCTCAGAAAAATTCCAACCACAAAGGGAAAATACCTTTGTGGTCAGCAAACACGTTTCTGCTTTTTCGAAACGGAAAAACATCAACAAAATATCACATTTAACTAATTATGAATATTTCGAGATCCAATGACTGTTATAAAGAAAAATTGGAATTTTTTTCAGCTCACATTCATCAAAATAATAACTGATTATCGTTCTCATCTTATAGCCTTTGTACCACGACTTGGAATTTCATTGAACGACATTCCGCTGTGCCGCTGCGCGCCTTTGCAAATCTTGGTCGCGCTTTTAAATTTTTTTTTTCTTTTATTAAGGTACTCTACTTTCATGTGTTCCCACAGCAATAACAATCAATTGAAATCGCAACCTAGATTCGAAAGACGCTTCGCAAACGCACGCAGCGGAACAGCGGAATGTCGTTCCATGAAATTTCAAGTCGTTCCACACAGACTCTAACTCTCCAATAAAAATAGATTTCTCATCAATTTTTCCTCCCCGGAGTTTCTTCGCAAATCGAAAGAGAGTGACGAAGCCAAGTGCAAGAATCACTAGGGAACTAACGACGAAAGGAATGCTGAGCAAGTAGAACAGAAGTTTGAAAGAGTTCAATACCTAAAAATGTTCTTTTTTTAAATCAAAGAGAGGAAAAAACTTCTGGGGCTGGATCGTAATCCTTTCTGGCTTCGATGCTCGTTTTTTTCTTCTCGACTTTCTGAATTATATCGAAAATCATACAGACTTTAGTAGAAGTATACCTCCAAAAACTGTGTCATGACTGTTATGGCATTGCGCTCTGATTTTTCACCAAGATTGGTCAGAGATTGATTCTAAACTTCAAATGGGAGGAAATCTCACAGCAAAAAACACGTTTTGTCTAAGGAGAACAATTTTTGAAGCGACACATTTGTTTTCAATTTGAAGATTCTATTTGAAATGATTGAAAGATGACTTTTTGATAGTCAATCCATCCCGACTTGGAAGGCGAGGGAGGCGGGACGCGTAGCGTGTGCGTACGCGGTTCTTGGCACGAGTTCAATTCAACCGTCAGCGACTATTTGGAAAGCTAGGTCACCGCTTTTTTTCATTTATTTTTTTTAATTATTTTTTTAATTATTTTAATTTCTGCATTAATTAATAGCAGAGTAGACACAAAAAGAGCACTGACCAAGCTCTTCAAATAGTCGCTGGCAGTTGAATTGAACGCGTGCCAAGAACCGCGTACGCACACGCTACGCGTTCCGCCTCCCTTGTCTTTCAAGTCGGGATGAATTGGCTATAGTTCAGCTTTTAATTTCACTCAATACATTTTGATCCGAATGTGTCAATAACCTCGCCACTTTGGATTTTCCGCAAAGGTTCAGCAATCTCCTTAAAAAAGTCCTCACAACAGTATCCATTTTGAAATGCCTAAAATTGACCAATCTTTGATGAAAAGGTGAGAAAAAAAAACATACGTATGTAAAATTACGAAAAGCATAGAGAGACATTTCCAAATTTGTGGAGGAATTCAGAACTAGTTGGAATTCCACTCTGTTTTTCTCTACTATTTGGGCGTTGTAAAGTTCCGGGATGATTTCATTCATAACTCGCTTCAATGGTTCATCCAAGACGCAGACGACATTCGAAAAGTAGACATAAAAATAGTTTTCCATTCCTGAAAATTTTCCAAAAGTTTGGAAGACTTTTTGGACTATTTTATAACTGGTAAATTTTCCTTTCGGGCGAAGTCTGAAATAATCTGAAACTAAGCTCAAAATGTCGCTAAAGAAAAATCCTTTGTAGTCTTGCGCAAAACTTAAATTTTCAAAGCTATAAATATTCAAAGTTACGAAATATGAGTTTCAGACCTAATTCTGAGTAAAATGCAAAGTTACTACCCTAAAAACTGGAAGCACAGAAAGTCTACATAGAATCATAACCTAGGCCTTCGGGAAGGGATCGAGCAAGTTTTTTAAAAGATTTCCCAAAAACGTCTCTTATAAGGAAATAACGATGAGAAGCACCTTTTTCCATATCGTACATCATACTGGACACTTCCGTTGATGTATTAATCAGGGTTAAATTGGCAAAGACGAAAAGACCGTTTCCAGTTAAAACGAGCAGGAGACACAGTCCAATCATCGCAGCGGCCACTTTCCCACTAGAATCACTTGTTTGTTTCTGAAATATTCAAGTTAATAATCCTGAACAGTAGGAAAATCTCTCTACAAGAAAGTTTCAAAAGGAAATATTTCGAAAATCTGATCAAAAGTCTGAACCAAGAAGGCTTCAAAGATCGTAATTTATCATTTCAGTGGAAAAACAGTTTCTTATCGTCTTTGAACGTTAATATTATACTAAAAAGTTGAAGGGACAAGAATGAAGGATCTATAGGTAACGTCTCAACAGAATTTCATCAATTCTTTTTCGTTTTTCATCACAAAAAAAAAATATCCGTAGGATCTAGACTCGCCTTGGGTTTCCTTAAACTTTCCTTAGTTGGCGTGAAAAAGTGGGCAACGACCATTCCAATTGCCAACAGTAGGAAAAATACAAAAGCGACCAGAACGACGGGCTGAAAGAGGAATCAACTTTTTTTAAAATCTAGTAACTCCCTTCGTTATCCTACTGATCACTAAAAGCATCAAAAACCCATTTTCTCAAGAGTTTTTCCGTGAAAAATTGACATAGATAAAGGAAATTACTGTTTAATGAGAATCGACAAGATAGATGTCAAGAACTGGATAATCTCACGAATGAAAACAGGACAGAAGATTTCACAGATCCGCTGTTCAACTTTTCGGAGACATCGCGAGCGTTATCGCTGACCCCATCGACGTCTCCAACAATCAAATTACTCATGTAGGACTCGAATCTGAAATGGATCATTGATGAAAATTCAGTTATTGCTAGTTCAAAGCAATCCCGGTCAGTGCTTCTGAATGATACGGGAGGCCCCGGGCGACCTTAAGCCCCGAGGCAACCCTTTGAAATTCTAGACTTTTGAGACCCCTAATTTTTTCAACAGATAGGGATTCAGCCTGAAAAATCTTATCTGGTGAACCTAGGAAACTAATTCAGAAGTCTCCCTACATACGGAGACCAAGCCCTAGTCAAAATTCTATAACTCGTTGTAGGACCCAAATTTCCTCACAGGGACGGTCATTTTAGCGATTGGGAATTTCCTGAAAATTGGCCAGAACCCTTCTTGATGTACCAAATGAGGACTCTGAAAGTCTCAACCTGCACAACTTCCTAGTTTTTGAGAAATTTAAGCTTAAAGTCTCAAAAAAGCCGATTTTTATGTGTTTGAAGGTTTTCTTCGACTTTGAAGCGTCTTTTCCCAAAAACGAGGAATTTGTGCAGTTTTAGACTTCTAGAATGTTCTTCTGGTACAGCAAGTGTTCTGGCCAATTTTCAGAAAAATCAGAACCTCAAAATAAAATGACCTCCCTTGTCAAGGCTCTCGAAATGCCGTGACTTCTGTGTAATCCTTTTAAACGAAAAAAGACAATTTTGAAATCACCGAAATCACTTTGAACTTGGCATAAAAACGAATTTTACCCGCGATTGCTCGTCCCACTTGTAATTTGCTTTTCTCTCAAACGGTACTTCTTTGGAATTTTGCATTCTCCTTCAATCAGTTTTATGTCTGTAAACCTTCGATCATGTTCCGAAAAGTATGAAATTCACAAAATTTACACTTTAAAAATGTCTGTACTTTAGTAGTCTTTTTTTTCCAAAACAACTTAAAAAAATGGGCAATAAAATGAGATTTTCGGATGGAGATGAAAAAAAGAAGAGTTTCACCGGTGTAGTTCATGGCGACGACTTTGTTAGGAATAACTCGATTTTCTTAAAAATGGTCACGTTAACTTTTTTTAATTATATTGTTTTTTTCTAGTAAAATGATTTTTGATACTGATATGGCGTTTAAGAAAAGCTTATTCAACTTTTTAGACACAATATTTCAAATCAAACGACAATCTTAAGAGGAGTGACTATTTGTTGACTCAGAACTTCAAACTTGAGCGAAAGATTCAACTTTCCGGATTTCCTGACTGAAATTTTCTCTTCACTTCATTTTTTCTATGTAGTTCTACTGTTAAAAAGGAGAGCAGTCTCGAAATAATTCTTCATTTATCTTTCATGACCCATGTTTAAAAATTCACGAGAGATACCAATTCAGTCGGACAGCTGCAACCGACCTGAAACGGTATCAACTAAAATTTTATTTTTTTACAAAAAGGATCGACACTACATTCGATTGATTCGAAACTTTTTTGAAAAGTCAATCAATAAAGATTTTTCAACGGAATAAGAAAAACCTCATAAATGTTTCTCGTCGATCCATGTCCTATTCTACCGAAATAGCGACAATTGATCTGACTGAAAGAATCCACAAAAATTCGTCAAAGTACCCACTAAACGGCTTCCTTTCCTCTCAAATGCCCACTACAAGCTTTTCGTACGTTATTATGGTCCTCTCCTTCCAAGTGCCCAACGGAGTTAGAAATTCACAGTCTAGGCTCCAGTCACTTTTGAGTTTAGTCACTTTTGAGTTTTCCAGGCGCTATCTCGTGCATTATCGTGTCAGGACCCTTTTTTCGATGGCTCAAGTCAGCCCTGAATCAGCTATACCCCATCCAATGATTCAAGCTTCCAGAAAAACTTTTAATCATGGTATTTTTGGAAATACCATCCAGAAAAGACTTTGGAAAGGCAACATACACGGCAGCTCTGTTTTTCACTGCCTCTAACAAAAAATCGATTTTTTTGTTTTTTTGAAAATATTTATGTCTCAGAGTCTCTCTCCTGCATAATTTCTAACATTTACTAAAAAACATGTAAAATTTCTCATTTCATGAACTTTTAATTTTTTTCTTAGAAACAATAGAGTCAAAGCTGTCTTCTGCTTTCGAATGAGAACTGCTGGCTGAGGCTCTATCCGTCTTGCCGGTATCGTTGAACAGAAAACGGGTCACTGTGAAGGCCGGGAAAGCCATGCAGGGGGCAGCGATTGCGCATAAAGCTGAAAACTGCGTTGAAGAAGGAAAAAATGAACTGAATAAAATTCTCACACTTTTCTCGTGTTGAATCTTTTTGAAACTTCATAAGCTGCTTTATTTTCTCCGAACTCCCACCAGAGTGAAAAAGATAACAGTCATCACAACTCGAGAAAGTTTCAGAAAGATCAAGCTTTCTACAATTAAGTTGTGAAAAAAAAAACGTTTTTTTGTATTTTCTCAGACGGAACTGGGAGAGACGGTATAATCAAAGAAAAAAATAAGATTTGTTCTTTAGCGTATCATGAACCGAAAAAACCAAAGGTTTCCGCCTCTCGCTTTCAAAGCGTTTTAAAGTTTGTTTTTTTATATCAAATTAAAGTTGAAAAAAAGGCTTTTTGGTGTTTTTTTGAGGTACCACAACTCGATAAAAAAATCGAAGCACATACTATATCTTTGTTATTTTTTTTATGAGGTTATTCTGAAGCTTTTTCGTCAATTTTTCTGATTTTGTCTTTTTAACTGCGTCTTTAAACCGAAAATTCCAATTTTCATTCTAACTATACCAGTTTTCATTTTCTAACCATTTTCTGAGATAAAAGTGAAACAAACCAAAGGCGAAAAACAGAAAAATGAAAGGTCGAGCCATCACCGAAGCTCGTGGGGAAAGTATCTTGAGTAGACGTTGCACTTTTTCGTCTTCCTTCTCTCCGAGTTTTTTGGCTAGATTCTATAAAAAATTTGACTTCAGTTCATAATCATCTCAAATTCAAAAAGACTTTGAAGAAATAAACTTGGTAGGCTTTTTTTGTTCTTGTAATTATTTCAATTTTAGTTATTTATTGAGGGCTTTTTCATTTGAACAAAAAAATAACAAAACAGGCATTTTTCAAAGTTTACCTGGTGGAAATCAATTTTCATTTTCTACTCACCTTTAGTCTTCCAAGATTCTTCTCATCAATTTCAGCGTAATAAGCTTTTATTTCCATGAGCACCTTGTTTCTTATCGCATTATTTTCCGTTGGATAGAGCTCAAGCTGAAGCCATGATTTATCATATCGAAAACGAAAAGGTGAAAAACTGAATTTTCTATTTCTTCAATCAAATCTCTGTACGCGGAAAGGTCTTTTAGGAGTTCTGGATTTTCCGAAACCATCTTCTCCTTGATGTTCTTTATCGAGGCCTTCACTCAAAAAATTTTAGTTTTGCTGGTGAAATAAAAAACTCACAACTTCGGAGGATATGAACGCTTTCCAGTCAATATTCCGAGTCAAGGTAAAGTTTACGAAGGAGAACTGAAAATATTTGAGTTTGAAAGGAAGATGCGCCATCAAAAACAAAGAAAACCGAAAACAACAACGAAATTTCACTTATTCCCCAACTATAAAAGACTGGAAGTTTGAGTCGTTTAACAAAAATTTCAAACGGAGGGAGGTCGCTCTAACTAGGCATCTTTTTGGGCCCCGGTTGAACATTTGATGACATTTCGGAAGTGCTGAGACCTCCTGATTCTAGAAAAGTAATAAAATTTCTCGCAATAGATCTTGTTTTCGATTTGTGAAGCTTCAAATTTTGCGAAATGGACCAAATATGATAGAAAGAGCGATGTTTCAAAGTTTTCAAGCGTCTCAACTTGAAAACCAAATCTCTTGCGAGAAAATTAATAAAAACAGGACGCGCTACGGACGTTTTTTATTCTAAATTTGATAGAGATTTCCTTCTAAGATTTCCGTCGCCAGTAATGTTCTTACTTAAAAGGAACCTACATTCTCGATGCGCGTCCGGCCCTTGTTGCCAAGGTCCGAGTGTCCTAGAATCAGGAAGGACTGGAATAAAATTCAGCGAAGCTACACCAAAAGTACAAACGGGGGCTAGAAAACGTCCCCTTGTAAGGCCCATAAATAGAAAAAGAGAAAAAATACAGAATCGAGAAGCGTTTCGTAGAGAGTTGCCGTGTTCGTCAAATTGTATACACCCTTCTTTGTGATTTCGCCAAAGACAGTCCTGAAAAAAGTTTTTTTTTTTCTTCGAGTCTTTCAAATATCACTGATATTATTCATTTAATGTATCTCCCGCAATCTGAAACATCCAAAATCTCACCTAGAACCAACAGACTTATGCCGTGTTCAAAGTCATTTCCGCGAAATGCAAAATTATCTCTGACTCTCCAACATTTAGTTATATTTTTCTTTCACTGACGGCCGTTTTGCATTTCACGGAATGACTTTGAACACGGCATTATTCTCGAAATCAGCAAAATTAAAGAGGGACTTCGAAACAGCCGGATGCTCCAGAATCGAAGCGGATTTATCATGGGCGATGCCACCGGTGTAACAACAAAACCTGAAAAAAAGACTTCCACCAAAGTTTTGGATTGTTTGGAGAAAAAAACCCTGCTATCAAGAATAAGATGATGCCGCAAATCCAAATGACATGCCCACTGCTGTCTGCAAAATAATGTACTTTTTTGTCTTTTATCGAAAAATAGGAAGTTTTTCAGATCAGTCTTAGAAACCTCCTGGATCTTTATCTTTTACATCAATAAGTAGTCTAGTTCAGTTTCAGAAAAATGCCAACTTCAAAGTGAAATGACCTTCTTGGTCGGCAACCCCGTTTCTGCTTTTTCATGACTAAAAATCATAATGAAAGTAAATTGTTTTTGAATTACGGATTTTTCGAGTTCTAATATTTCATGGAGAGAAAATTCGAGATTCCTTGCATTTTACATCTATCAAAATAATAACTGGTTATCGTTCTTATCTTAACTCACCAATAAAATGAGATTTTTCATCAATTTTTCCTCCCCGGAGTTTCTTCGCAAATCGAAAGAGAGTGACGAAGCCAAGTGCAAGAATCACTAGGGAACTAACGACGAAAGGAATGCTGAGCAAGTAGAACAGAAGTTTGAAAAGGTCCAAAACCTACAAATCTTTTTTTTTTAAATCAACGAGAAATTAACAAACTTCTGGGGTTGGATCGTAATCCTTTCCGGCCTCGTAGCTCGTATTTTTTTTCTCTTCGACGTTCTAAATTATACAGGAAGTCATACAGGCTTCACAAGTGGTTCAAAATACCTCCAAAAACTGCGCCATGGCTGTTTGGGCATTGCGCAATAGTTTTTCGGAACTTCCAATTTCATGTTGCTTCTAAAATTAAAATTTGCGGACGCTTCTTTAAACAACAAACACTTTTTTCGAACTAGAAAAGAATTTAATGCAAAAAATGGATTTCCTATTAGTAAATTTTATTTGAAAGTTTTCATCAACGGAAAACTTTGAAATGACAAAAGTTCTGGAATTTTGCTCGACCCAAGATTGGGAAACTCAGTCGATTCACATCGACTGTTGGACGGACTCTACAAAGATGTTTGATAAACATTTTTCCTAATGACTGAAAATTGATCAAAAAACTTGTGAATGTACCAGAAGGAGTTTCTGAGAGTCTCTGCCTGCGCAACTTTTTTGTTTGTTTTTGAGAAAAGAGACCTCAAAGTCAAAAAAAAACGCTGAAGTTTCATTGAAAGGCTGTTTTGGGTCTTTTGGCTCTCGTGTAACGTTTTGCAGGTTGAGACTTTGAGAACTTCCATTTTTTTACATCAAGCAGTGTTCTGGCCACTTTTCAGGAAATCCCAAACGCAAAGAAAAATGACCTCCATTGTCAAGTCTTTTTTCCACGAAAATACAAAGAAAATTTTCAATTCATTTCACAGGTTCCTCGGTTTAGTGAGGAAGGTTCATGAAACTGGAAAGAACTGACTAGGGAACTACTCGGACTCGGGTACGGATTTCGAGTTGAAACTTTAGTGGTTTATAGACCTAAGGGAGAATACATTGAAACAAGAGAGAATATCTGCTAAACCCGATAGAGAACTGAGAAAAAAATTAGTAGAAAAATGCGAAAAATTGAAATATTTCAGAATACTGCTTTTTTTACCTTATTTTATATTTTAATACAATCGCCTTGAATGATCAGGCTATGATAAACTCTAAAAAACTTTTTTCCAGTAAAAAGAAGAAGGAAAACTGAAATTTAATAATTTTCAAGCCTAAGCTGTTCATTTTCAAAAAGCTTTTTCTCAGAAGTCTATAGGATTTAGCAGATATTCTCTCTTGTTTCCAAGTATTCTTACCGTGGTCTATAAGCCACCAAAGTTTCAACTCGATACGCGTACCCGAGTCCGAGTAGTTCCCTAGTGAGCTTTAATGATTGATTATCAAAAAAGGAAAACATTTTTTACGGATGTGAATTTGATCGGAATAGGTTTCACGGCGTTCCCAAACGGGGTGAGGAGACGTCAAAAAAATTTTGCCGCGAAATTTGAAATCTCAAGTAAGCAGTCAAATGGGGAGTTCGTTGAATACTCAGTTTAATTTGCAACGATAGGTAGATGTAACGTCGCAGTCCTTTTATCTGAAGCGCGCACTTACTTTTTTTTTGTAAGTTCAGAAACTTTGACGCCTCGCTCACCTCCCCTCACCCCATTAGGAAAAAAAAAATTGACATCAATCTTCCACGAACCTTGGAAGTTTTCAAATTTTCAATAGCTCCACCAATCTCATAAGAAAATGCTCCACAAAAACGACTCTGAAATTGACGAAATTTCAATGACAAAGTGTGGGACGGGAAAAACCATTAAAGGGTGAATACGAACTAAAACGTCATATTTGATCAGACGAATAATGGATTCAAGAATCGGTTGAATCTCGGCTTCATTTTTCTCTAATATCTTTGTGTTGTAAAGTTCCGGGGTGGACTCATTCATAACTCGCTGGAACGGTCTATCCAAGACGCAAACGATATTTGAAAGGTAGCCATGAAGATGGTTTTCCGTTCCTGAAAACTGCCCAAAACTTTGGAAAACTTCTTTAGACTATTTTATAACTGGTAAATTTCCCTTTCGGGCGAAGTCTGAAATAATCTGAAACTTATTTCAAAATGTCGCTAGAGAAAAATCCTTTGTAGCCTTGCGCAAAACTTAAAGTTTAAAAGCTATAAATACTCAAAGTTACGAAATATGAGTTTCAGACGTAATTCTGAGTAAAATGCAAAGTTACTACCCTAAAAAATGGAAGTACAGAAAGTCTACATAGAATCATAACCGAGGCCTTCGGGAAGTTTTTTAAAAATTTCCCAAAAAACGTCTCTTATAAGGAAATAACGATGAGAAGCACCTTTTTCCATATCGTACATCATACTGGACACTTCCGTTGATGTAGTAATCAGGGTTAAATTGGCAAAGATGAAAAGACCGTTTCCAGTTAAAACGAGCAGGAGACACAGTCCAATCATCGCAGCGGCCACTTTCCCACTAGAATCACTTGTTTGTTTCTGAAATATTCAAGTTAATACTCCTGAACAGTGGGAAAATCTCTCTACAAGAAAGTTTCAAAAGGAAAATATCGAGAATCTGATAAAAAAATTCGAACCAAGAAGGCTTCAAAGATCGTAATTTGTCATTTAAGTGGAAAAATAGTTTCTTATTGTCTTTGAGCGTTAATATGATACTCAAAATTTGAAGGGACAAGAATGAAAGATCTATAGGTAACCTCTCAACAGAATTTAATCAACGCTTTTTCGTTTTTCATCACAAAAAATAATATCCGTAAAGATCAGACTCGCCTTTGATTCCCTCAAACTTTCCTTATCTGGCGTGAAATAAAAGGCGATGGTCATTCCAATTGCCAACAGCAGCAAAAAAACGTAAGCGACCATAACGACGGGCTGAGAAAAAACGTAATTATTTATTAAAAAGAAATTTAGGATTTCTGTCTGATACGTCAGGAACTACTTGTTTTAGAATCGGTCTCTAAAACAAAATTGAGCCAAGTTTAATTGAAAAAGTTCTTTTGTAGGAAAAATTGAAGTAAAAGTCATTACGAAATGCCGAAAATCTCGAAGCAGGAAGAATCTTACATATGAAAAGAGGAAGAAAGGTTCCACGGATCCACTGCTCAACAGTTCCGAGACATCGCTAGCGTTGTCGCTGACCCAGCCGACGTCTTCCACGATCAAATTTCTAATGCGGGACCCCAATCTGAGATAAACCATTAGAAAAGAGGATCGTACCGTGTTTAGTAATATCGGCGGTTTTTTAAATGATAATTTCGCGAAATCGGCATTTCATGGGCCGTTAGAAAAATTGGATTTTAAAACAAGATGACGAATATTACCCGCAAACTCAAAATTTTTAATTTTGAGCTCTCTCTGAAGGCTATCAAAATGCCAATTCCCTTTTTCTTTATAGCCTGTGTACCGCGATTTGGAATTTCACGGAACGACATTCCGCTGTGCCGCTGCGCGCCTTTGAGAGCCTTGGTCGCGCTTTTAAATTTTTTTTTTATTAAGGTATTCTCCTTTCATGTGCTCCAACAGCACTAACAATCAAGTGAAAGCGTGACCTATATTCGAAAGACGCTTCGCGAACGCACGCAGCGGAACAGCGGAATGTCGTTCCGTGAAATTTCAGGTCATGGAACATAGACTATATCACTATGAAAAATCACTATCGATTTTGAAACTTATTTAAAGTGAAAGAAACGAATATTACTGGTCATAGCTCGGTTCAGGTGCATTCGTCGTTTCTACCAAACGGTACTTTTTTGGAATTTCGCATTCCTTTCCAATCAGCTTTTCGTCTGCAAAAGTTTTCTCATTTTAGGGCTCCGAAATGTACAAGAGTTAGGCTGTGAAATATTTAAAATATAAATTAGTTTGGAACAGAAAACTTTTTCAAAAATAACCCTGAATGAACTTTGAATTTTTTTCGGAGATGGAAAAAGAAGATAATCACCGTAGTAGCTCATGGCGACGATTTTTCTGAGCAATAACTTGATTTTCTTCAAAATGATCACGTTAACTTTTCAATTATATTGTTTTTCTAGTTAAATGATTTTTGACACTGATATGACATTTGTAAAAAACTTTTCGGAGAAAATATTGTTGATCTGACGGACAACTGCTTGAAAAAGACTCAGCACTTGAAAATTAACAATTATCTCTACATTTTATGATTTCTTGATCAAAATTTTGAAATTTCTCCTAGACTCATTTTTTTTCCTGGCTATTTCACTTCTAAAAACAGGGAGCCTTTCTGAATTAGTTTTTCTTTCTAGTGGTCAGATCAAAATTTAATAGTTAACGAGGATGAAATAATTAAAAAAAGGCTTTAAAAGCAATTCCAGGTCAGTCGGACAACTGCAACCGACCTGAACCGGTTTTCACAAGCGCATAATCCAAGATTTTTTGTTACAAAAAATCTTATTCCCATCACCAGAACACTTACTTTGTATTAAAAATAGTTAAGGTAGAGTTTTATGAACCCTGAAGAGCTCATATTAAGACAAAAAAATTAATTTTATCGGTTCAAAAACTTCCGCGAGAAGCCAGTATGTTATGTGGGATAGTTACAATTTCAATTGAAATAGTAAAACGTTAGGAATCGAAATAAGTTAAAAAAACGTGAAAAATTTTTCCAAGTTCTGGTCATTTTTAGCAAGTTCAGTCGACGTCGCTCGCGATGAAGAAAGAGGATCCGGAGGTTGAATTTTTTTCATATTTTTTTGAAAAAAATAAGTTTTTTTAGAAGAGCCTCTCGATAATGCACCGACTGCCGGCGGCGGAGGAACCTTTCGGAGAGCTCGAAAAAGTTTTCATATTTTTAGAGAAATATCAAAAAAGGGATTTAGAGGCTACGGGAATTTTATTTTTATCATGGTTTTTTGCCTCGCGAAGACTTGAAATACGTTCTGAAGGTGTCCGGTGATTATTTGCTCCGCGTCAGTGAGGTGGTCAACTCTTTCAGACTTACAAAAATGTAATAACTGTGAAATTATTTGAGAATGGTGAATCTCGGGCAAAGTTGGAATGGCGGATAATGGCCGCTAAAAGGGGGAGGCTCAAAAAAGGCCCCAAAAAGGGCGCAAAAAAAGTCCCTTTACCGAGCCTTCCATTTTTCTGGGTTTTAAAGGCTCGAGAAATGGTGAAAAAAGGGAGAGGCAGCAAAAATGGTGCATAAGGGCTGAGAAAATGGCGCAAAAAGGCAGCAAAAAGGAGCATTTCTATGGAGCCTTTTTTTCCACCCTTTCCGACTTTTTCCTATGATTTAACAGGGTTGCCAGTTTCGAAATCAAAAAAATTGATAAATTTTGTTTTTTCGATCTTTCACTACGGTAAATACCAAAAAAAGGAACTGAATGCTTCAAAACACCGCTTTTTTGCCATTGAGAAGTGTTTTTTTTCCGGTTATTTTTCACGAATTTCACTGTCCTACCTCCTCATACCACTGCGCGTAAGTAGGTTCTGCTCCGGCGCGCTGAAAAATTTTCTAAAGGCGATTCTCCACAATGCATACAGCTATTCTTTCCGAAAAATAAAAAAATTGGAAGGACGTTAGCCCCCCCGCCTCCCGCGCCTTTTGGACGAAAAAAATAGATTTACGGGGAAAAAAATATTGCGATGATGTTGAAGTTATTTTTTTCTACATGAATCTGTATTCGAAAAAAATTGAAATTTTCGTCTTGGAAAGTTCTTTAAAGTTCATTCGCCACGACTTGAACGTTTCTGCCTTGTCTGCGCTCTCTTTTCTCTGAACGGCTCTAGCAGAGATCAACGGAAAGAGCACATAAACACAAGAGAGCGCAAAGAAGAGAGACTTTTTAAGTTCACAATGAAGTCTTTGTCATTCAAAATTCCAAATTGAGTTAAAAAATCAGAAAAAAAATAGTTTGAAAAACTTTATTTTTCGGAAAACGGTTTATTTTTAAATTTGAGATCGACGAGGCAAACGGAAAAATTCGACGTGAAGTGATTCTATCATTGGTGCCGGTGGATAACAAGGAAAACAAAGATAAAGATGGAAAAAGCGAAGGAAAGATCGAAGTCAACGGGAAGATGAACAGTTCTGCTCGTACTAAACAAGTCTCTCATAAGTTTTTTTTCTAAAAAGAAAAATGGATAATTGAAGATCTATCGGAACGTTATCGTCAAGCGCCATGGCTTGCATTTCTATGTGGAGAAAACGAGATCGTTTGAAACGATCGGAGAACTTATCGATTACTACAAAGCCAATATGGGACATGTCAACTCGGTAATTTTGAAGAAAGTACTCGGGCAAAGTTGGAATGACCGCTTAAAGGCATAGGGGCAGTAAAAATGGGGTTTGAGGTGAAAGCAGTATCTTATATAGTTTTTCTTTGCGAATCGAACGGTGTACTCAAAACAATTAAAGATGTGACAACTTTAGAAGAAAAACGCGATTTTACTTTCCCGCCTTTAATTTTAAAAATGCTTTGGATCGGTATGCAGACAAATGTTTACAGTAGCCGTGCACGCGATGTTGCGGACGTCTCATTAGACTCGCATTTTGTGAGAAATAACCGGATATCTGCTTCAAATTAAGGGTTTCTTTTCTGAAAAAAACATTTAGTCAAACAGAAAACACACACTGATAATAAAGAAAACACAATATATCGCTATCCCAATCGAAACCTGTGTTAAATCATCATTTTTCACCAGAAAAGCATTTTTGCGATCAAATTTGGCAAATTATACATGAATAGAAAGCTTTTGTGACGAAAAGAACTTCGGTGACAACAGAAAAAAAAATTGAAAATTAAAAGAAACGGAGAAAAAAGCGAAAATCCGGAAGATGGCGAAGCCTGTTGTCCATTGAGCAACTTTACTGCAAAGCGCCCTTCTTGCGGGAACTCAAACGTTCCTTTCTCCAACTTCGAATTATTTTTCTCCAAAACTAGGAAGTTCTGTAAGTTTCCAAGTTCATCTTTCGATTCGCAATGAAAAGCTTTATAAATAACCGCTTTGAACTAGAACACCGTTTTTTACTGCCCCTATGCCTTTAAAGGGGAGAGGCTCAAGAAAAGCCGCAGAAAGGCCGTAGAAAGGCCGCAAAAAGGGTCCCTTTATCAAGTCTTCCATTTTTTCTAGGATTTTAAAGGGTCAAGAAATGGTGGAGAAAGGGAGATGCATCAAAAATGGTGAATGAGGGCCGATGAAATGGCGCAAAAAGGCAGCAAAAAAGGAACCTTTCTCACCTTGAAAGGAACATTTCTATGGAACCTTTTTCCACCCTTTCCGACTTCGCCTTTAATTTTTTCTCAAGTTTAAAGATTTTAGATCAGTTTCTTGCTTAAATGCCCCATTCCACTTCAGTCCTGGGAATTTTTGCACAATGAAGTGACGGTGAATTTTCTCTTCTTTTAATTTTCAAGGGTCGTTTTTAAAAAATCATGATTATTTTTCGATGAGTTAAAGATAATTCATATTTTAGAGTTTCTCATCGCATTACCAAAAAAATATCTTTTTCGATTTTCGAAAAAAACCTGTTTTTTTATATTTCAAGTTCGCGCCAAGACAGGGAAGGCACATTAATTTACACAATTTCGCCTACCGTAATCCATTTTTTGCCCGATACATTCCAAAAACATGTGAACAATGAAGATTTTTTTCTGAGCAAAACAGAAAAAAATGAGAAAAAAAAAGTTTTGTCCATAGAGCAACTTTGCCACAAGATGCTTAGTTCCTGAGAATCCTAACTTTTTTTTTCCCTCCTATAGCCGATTCATGGTTAGCTTGGGACGCTAAGAGGCGTGGCCTGTCTGCGCTCTCCTTAAACCAGACACTAACCCTTTAGTTATCGTGTCAGGACCCTTTTTTCGATGGCTCTAATAAGCCGTGAATCAACTATACTTTGAAGTGATTTTTCATCAAAAATAGCAACTTTTGTAAAATTTAAAGTACTTTTTCAGAGTGTTTTAAATTTTCATGTTATCGCTTTCACGAAAAATGAGAAGCTCTTCAAGATGACATTGTTAATAAAAACCTCCCCATTTCAAAATGAACATATAAAGTTGATTCAAAATAATATTCCAGTTAGGAAACATTTTGGGCGCGGGAGCTTTTGGAGAAGTTCACGCTGGAAAATTGAAAACTAGTGCTGGGTCGGTCTACGATGTCGCCGTCAAAGTGGTTCGCCCCTCTTCCTCTGAAACTTCTGACGACCTTTTTTGTGATCCAGACAAAAGGAGCAGCTGTGCTGAACAAGCAGAAAATCAAGGAAATGATGAACGAGGCGAGATTCATGCGCAATTTCACACACAAAAACGTTGTCCGAATGCACGGCGTGGCTGTGAATGAACAGCCAATCTACATCCTTCTAGAACTTGTCAAAGGTTTTTGGGTTCTGACTATTGGATAGCTTCATCGAAGTTTTAATTCTGTTTCAAATGAAAAAGCATAAATGAAGTGAAAATTTTGATAAACTTTATTCGTCACTGGGAAAGTTTTTAGGGGCCACTATAGTAGTCATATTAATGGCCACTTGATGGGTTAAAAGTTAGTGGCCACTATAGAGGTCTAAGTGCTACTACTAGACCACTAAAAGTTTTAGTGGCCACTTTACGGGTTAATGGATCAACTAAAACTGGTCCAATCTGTTTGTTTTAGAATTATCACGGTTACTGGAAGGAGTACTGAATGAAAAACTACTGAAGTGGCCACTAAAACGGAAAATAGTGGCCACTGTAGAGGTGGATTTAGTGGCCACTTTAGTGTACTTTCCAAGTAATCCTTGGCGAGCCTCTATAGTGGCCACTAAAAATGTTCCCAGCAGTGTTTAGAAACAGTCTAACCTCTCTGCGCTCTCTTCTCTCTCACCGCTGAAGTCAGAAAAAAAAGAGAGCGCGCAGAGAAACTAGACTTTTTCAGATCATTACGAACGGATTTTGGCTTTTCAGGCGTTTTTCTCTATTTTCCAACTAGCTTGTGTCAAATTTTGCGGATTTGCAAACCATCGTGGTCGCACTTGGAATGGCTCGACGCGTGGCGGCTGCGTAGCGGTTGATTAAGCCAATCCCGACTCTAGGCGACTTGTGCGTGAAGCAAACGGAAGTTGTGAACACTGTAGCCTTTTTTTCCATCCGCAACGCTTTGAGCCATTCCAAATGCGACCTCGTATTTTCAAATTGAGTCAATTTTTTTTCTCTCCTAAAGCGATTTTCAAAGTTTCTCATTCAGGCGGCTCCTTGTCAAGTTATTTGATCAAGAACAAGGGGAATGTTACTGTTCAAGAGAAAGTAGGAATAACTCTTTTGAAGAAATAAATTAATTTTTGAAGATAAAAATGTGCTCGGGAGCCGCTCAAGGGCTTGAATATCTGCACGCCAATGGCTGTATCCATAGGTTGGATTTTTTTCCGATTTTCGAATTTTGGAACATTTTTTTAAGGGATATCGCAGCACGAAATCTACTTTACGCGAGTAATGATAAATTGGTGAGATTTTTCCTGTTATTTTTCAAGAATTTATTATAACTTAAGGCAAAAATAAGCGATTTTGGACTTTCGAGATCTGGTCCACACTATAAGCCAAAGGTGAATTTTGTACAAAAAAATCTGGAAAATGGAATTTTTTTTCAAGTCGGCCTGCAAAGTGGCAATCAAGTGGCTGGCCCCCGAAACCATCGTCACCCTTTCTTTTACGTATTCTACCGATGTTTATAGGTTATTCGAAGTTTTTTAGCTTGAATTAGTATGTTCGCACGAGGAACGGCTCAAGTTTCGAAATGCGCTAGATACCAAAAGCTTAGAAACTCCAGAGCGGTCCCTTTAGGAGCATTTTAGAGGGCCTTGAAGTTTCCCATCGAAATCGTTATACCTCTCCCTCTTGGGGCCACTAAAGCTTGTAAAGTGGCCCTTGTAGGGATCTTAATTAGCGGCCCCTTTAGGGACAAGCTATTCGACAACCAAAATAAGAACCATCTAAATTTTACCCCTATAGTTGGCACTTTTTTGGCTTTTTTTTTACCCTAATCTCTGTAGGGACCACTATGGCGTTCCTAAGAGATTATCGGAGCTCAACATAGAAAGTTTTAACTACAAGACAGTAGATCTTATTCTGACCGCAACGCGGCCGCGACGCGTTTAGCCATTCCAAATGCGATCAAATATTTTCAACTTTGGATCCATTTTTTTATTTTTAGGTCAACCTTGTATTTTTTTTTTCAGCTATGGTGTAATGATTTACGAAGTTTTTACGGATGGAGCCGAACCTTGGGAAGGACTTTCGAATTCCGATGTTAAAGTGAACGTTTGTATTCATTTTTCACAGCTTCAAAATAAAATAAATTTGCGCAGGTTTGTACGGGAAGGTTTTTGAAATTGCCCGAATCCTCTCCGGAAAGTGTCAAGAACGTGGTGAAGAAGATTTTCGTCAAGGAAAATCGGATAGCCATGCCGGAGGTTCCTCTCAATCATATTTAGAGAAAGAAAGGTTAGAGAAAATGATTGAGGTTGTCAAACTAATCGAGGCAGCTTCGCTGGAAGCTCAACAAAAACTTGAAACTCTACAAAAAACGGAACCTCTGCCGAAAGCCCGCACACCGCCCGCAGGAAGGGTCCGTTGTTTCAGAAATTCCTTTTTTAGGGCATTAGACCAGAAAATATGCGTTCTTTGAAGCTTTTCATTGCACTGAATTCCGTTTTCATGAGAAAAATGTGACTTGTTCAGCCCGAGACGGTCACGTTATTAAAACACAGCGAAAAAGGCTACCGTAAACACAGATTTTTTGAGCTTTCGATTCGAAATTCTACAAAAACCAAAGGTTTCAAAGCGAGATTCGCTTCAAAGGTAGACGTTTTTTCTTTGGAAAAAAAATAACTGACATGCGTAAATGGTCTTATAACGCTAGGAAACCAATATTTAAAAAAAAAAGGTTTTTTTTTTGATTAATTTAGCGGCAAGGAAACAAAGTTGCGTACCGTAATCTAATTTTTTTTACAAAGAAAAGGTTTCGAGAAGGCTGCATAGATCATGACGTAACAGGAAAAAAGTTGGAAAAAAGAACCAAAGGAAACGGGAAATGACGACGAATTTTGTCCATAGAGCACCATTGCTTTGAAATTCATTTTGTGCCTAAATTTCTTGTTTTTCCTTCGACTTGATGCCGTGTTCAAAGTAGTTTCAGCGATTTTAAAATGGACGCGTTATTCGTTTAAAATTATTTTGAGAAATAGGCAAAATTGGAATTCCGAGAGGGCGTAGGCGAAATGAGTCCTACAACGATATATCGCAAGATATTAATTTTTGAGTTTTTTTACAATGAGTTTTACGCGCGGATTTGAACTTTTTTTTTTCGTAGAAAATGCAAATTCGCGCGTAGGAAAATTGCGAAGAAAATTGCGCAAATCATTCCGAAATTTTGAGTTCGCGCGTAAAAGTTACAGTAGTCCCACTCGCATGCTGAGCAGGTGTCTCAACGGGTGTATCCGTATTAAACCCGTGTTTCTGAGGTTATTTTTAGTCTCAGTTGGGCTAAAAACGGGGGAACAACGGGTGTAAGAAAAAAATAGGTAACCCAGCTGGGCTAAAGCGGGGTCTCAGTTGGGCTAAAAAGTGCCAAAAGTTCTATCAGCTGGGCTTATACGGGTTTAATACGGGGGCACCCGCGGAGACCCCGTGTTAGCACGGCGGGGTTACCCTGCTCAGCATGCGAGTATATATGAGTCCTACAACGATATATCGCAACTCGCATGCTGAGCAGGTGTCTCAACGGGTGTACCCGTATTAAACCCGTGTTTCTGAGGTTATTTTAGTCTCAGTTGGGCTAAAACGGGGGAACAACGGGTGTAAGAAAAATAGGTAACCCAGCTGGGCTAAAGCGGGGTCTCAGTTGGGCTAAAAAGTGCCAAAAGTTCTATCAGCTGGGCTTATACGGGTTTAATACGGGGGCACCCGCGGAGACCCCGTGTTAGCACGGCGGGGTTACCCTGTTCAGCATGCGAGAAGGTTTGCATTTTTACGGTGAGTTTTACGCGCGAATTTGAAATTTTAGTGGAAATTTCTCGATTATGCCGTGTTCAAAGTAATTCCGCGAAATTCAAAATAGCCGTCAGAGAAAGAGAAAGATAACTAAATTTTGGAGGGTCAGAGACCATTTTGCATTTCGCGGAAATTACTTTGAACACGGCATTAACTCCTAAATTTTGAGTTCGCGCGTAAAAGTTACAGTAAAATGAATATCTTTCGATATATCGTTGTAGGACTCATTTTTTCTGCGCCCTCAGAATTTCAAATTTTTTTGGCCTATTGTCCGAATTCATATGTACGCGTCAATTTTGAAATCGCCGAAATTTAAAATTATCTCTGTGTCTCCAAATTTTTCAATATTTTTTATTCCTTTGACATATATTTTCAGTTACGCGGAATTACTTTGAATACGGCATTATTTTCCTTTAAAAATAGGCTTTTTTGTGATTTTTCAAGTAGAACTTGTTTCATATATACCTCAATTTTTATTTAAATCACTGACTATACACTTTAAATTTGTAATTTTTGCAGCCAATGCGAAAATCACCGCCTTGTGTCAGCGTTTATTGTACCGATATCGTTACTCCCAAGGTTGAAAGGAAAAAGAAAAGGTTCCTTTTTTAAAAATATACTCGCTTTTATTGAGGAGTTTGCAGCCTTTTCTGACCATCCAAGCAGAATCCACGGATTTTCTTCCATTTATTCTTCGTTTGCTCAATAAAAACTTTGGTCAAAACTTTTTTGTAGTTTTTCAGTCTATTTGAAGCATTGTACATATTTGTACAATAAAAAATTTTCATTGTTTTCCTTTTTTTCTTCACTTTCGAATGTTCAAATTCCACTTAAATCAAGCTTTCATACTCCTTTTTATATTCCTTACAATATCATTCCGCATTCAACCTGATTTTTCGTCGTTATAAAGTTTATATTTTATAATCATCGTTTTGATTTCTTTCTTTCAAAAAAACCGGTACTCTTTTTTTGTGCCTTTCGATTGTACTTTTTCAAACAAAAAGCGCATTTCGATAGATTTTGAAATTCGCAAAAGAAAGTCCCCGGAGTTTTTGCATAACGGGCGCAGTAATTGGCAAGTGGCGCAAACTTCAGTCGGAAATATAAATACGAATCTGTTCGTTTTCAAATCGCGTTTCTATATTATTTATTCTTATTTTTTTTCAAATATAGTTTTATTTTTTTTGAGGTATGGCTGACCGAGAATCAGAGAATGCACCAAAATCGAAGGTTGGGACATTTTTGCTTTCGTTTTTATTCGAGAACTACAGGCCTCGATCCCTTCAACGACTTATCAAACTCAAGAGTGCATTTTGTATGGATCCGTTTTTTCTGAGTTTCTGCCGGTTGGTAGTTAAAATTTATGTGCAATTGAATTGGATTGGTTTTTGAGGACCTCGAAAGGCGTTTGGCGGGATTATGTGATCCAGGAAACGAAGAATACAACGAACACGAAATGTCCTTCAGTTTGAGGACAGGAAACCCGACGCCAGACGTGACTATAAGGTGGGATTTGTAAGAGAAATATTTAGATTTGAGGGGAATTTTGGTTTTAAATTTTTTTTTTTAGTTTTTCCAAGGCATTATTCTGAGTTACGAATGAAAAATTCTTTATATTTCAAACTGCAAATGTTCACTTTTTTCATATTGCTAGAGAACTTCCGGAGAATTTAAATATTTACTTTTCAATATATTCATTTCTTTAGGTGTCCTTCTAAAAAGTAAACTATCTTTCTTCCTTTTTCGGCTTTTTTTTAAAATTTAATTAGCGAGATCAAATTTATTTTTAATTTTTAAGGTTACGACGTCGGTTTCGCTCCGACGCTTACCACAACAACCAGTGGCTTTTAAGATATATTGGAGGTTTTTTTTAAAGGGAATTTCTTCGATTTTTTAAATTTTAGTTCCTGAACCGGATGAAAAATGCCCGGTTATTGTCCGGAAAGTGATCGATTCGGTGTGCTATTCGCATGATATGATGGTTTTCGCGAAGACTTTGGGTGTGTTTTTGAGATATTTCGCACTAAAATGGATAATTTGTTGTAATTTAAACGTATAGTCTCGTCAAAATTTCCCTGATGAAATGCTGAAAAGGGATTAAGTGTTTTTAAAGTCTCGAGGTTCTCCGAAAAAAAGTTTGCACAATAAAAAAGATTACGTGAAATAAAAAAATTTCGCATCAGTCAAATATTCTCAAAGTCTGAATATTTATGACAAAAAGAAATTTTTTTTATGACGGAAAGAAATTTTGAAGGATTCGAAATAAGTTGATTGATATATTTCAGGCCTTCGAATGGACTATGAGTACATCACGAAGGGAAGCGTCTGGACCAACGGGAAAATCAAAATTGTCACGAGTCATTTGCAACGCTCCGAAAGGGTTAGGAATACGTTTAATTTGAAAAAAAAAACGGAAATCTGCGTTCCGCAAAAATTAATTTAGTTCCGCATTCCGCAGAAATCAAATTCATTCCGCGTTTTTCGATTCTACTGCAATGCAAGAAAAAAATTGCATTCAAAATAGCATTACCCGTTAAAAAAAACCGTTCCTTTAGCGCTAGAGCGCACAAGCCGCCCACCCGGAAATTGCTCATACTATAAAAAAAAAATCAATGTCCGTATTTAATTTTGTTTATTTTTTTTAATCTGCTTTCGTGATTCTTACCTTTTCTTTCTGTTTTTTTTTAGCTCATCTTCATATGATTCGTTCGGAAATGTTCGGGAATGCTTTCAGAATGTCTCGTAAAAGAGGACATTATGACAAATTTTTTACGAAGATCAACGATAATGAAGGGAAATGCGTCGAGTGCGAGACTGTGGTTCCCTGGTCTCGATCAGGCTTGTGCGAGGGCCGGCCCGTCACCCTCCCGGCCCCCGACCATTTCGTAAGCCCGGCCCGGCCTTAGAGGGGCCTCAAGAAAAAATTGCCCGCCTGGCTCGAAGCGCGCAATTTTTTTCTAGTCGGATATCAAGTTTTTTTACGACACAAATTATGTTTTTGCTCATTTTTTCACTTAAAGTTTAAAGACGCCGCTATTTAGTAACCAGGGACTTTGCCTCAACTACAGTACACCTGTGCGGTTGAGCACTTTTGCCTCATATTCCACATTTTTTACACCCAATTTTTTCTCCTTTGTGTTTTTTTGATGGTACCATGGTATGAAAAAAAAAAAAGCCAGCGAAATTTCAAAAGGCGACTTTTCCGATTTTTTCGTATCGCTAGGGAACTTTCCGACGGCCACCTTTCCGCCGAATCCTTTTCCGACTTTTTTTCCTTATATTTTTCGGTTTATAAGACATCTATTTAAATTTTTTCCTATTTATTTGTGTTTTAATCATGAACAACTTGCCTACTTTATATAGGAAGATTGAAAACGAAGAGTTTATCGAGAAAAAAAGTCGGGAAAAAAATTTGAACTTGCCCGAAGATTTCCGAGAGCATTTTTTTAGTTCCTACTAAAAAAACATGAATATTGCAAAAAACTATCAGTGAATTGTTAAATATATTAATTAATATATTTAACATTAAAAAAATTAAAAACACAAAGGAGAAAAAAATTGGGTGTAAAAAAACGTGGAATATGAGGGCAAAAGTGCTCAACCGCACAGGTGTACTGTAGTTGAGGCAAAGTCCCTGGTTACTAAATAGCGGCGTCTAAAGTAGAAAGTTTAACAAAACCGATGATCTCAGAAGTAAAAGTCAAATTTCGGCGAAAATTATTCAAATGAAGTTTTAAATTTTTTTTTTGACGCCGGGCCCGGCCCGAGCCCACGCGGGTTTTTTCCTGGAAAAAAAAGCCCAAAGCCCGGGTCAAGCCGGCCTGGGCCAGGCCGCCCGGCCTGACGCACAAGCCTGGTCCCGATCTAACTAATTCTGCGTTCCGCGCTTTTTAGCGTTTCGTATTCCGCAGTGAAAAATTTCGTTCCGCATTCCGCATTCTCAATTTTTACTTCCGTGCATCTCTGTTCGGAATAAACTGAAAACCTTTCGATTCAAGCTTTTCATGAAATCTTCTTGCACCTCTCAATTCTTCAGGGTTAGCCCTCTCCCAATAATTGTTTTTCTTCTGCTCAACCTTTATTTGATCCTTTTTCCATTCTGATCTTTAAAAATATGTGAAAAAAAAAATTATTTAAATAGTCGGAATTTTCGGACTCCGCTTGAAATTTCTCTGAAGCTTCAATTTATTCATTTCAGCCGGGCCATTATGATTCGACGATGATCAGGAAGCTTTCCGATTCCGTTTTGGTCGAAATGAGCATTTCGTTGCCCGAATCGGCTGAATACACTCAGGTTTCGTTTTTTTTGTTTTTTTCTAGGAAGATAAAGTGAAAGATTTTTTTAGTTTCTGCAGAATTTCCGGATGTAGCGATTTTTTTCGGAAAAATTCACACGGAATGAAAAAAACCCCTCATTTTTTTATATGAAATTGCTCTCTTTTTCAGAGATCAGCAAATTAAGTACTTAAAATTCTGAAAAAAATACTAAGAAAAACTTAAGGAATGAGGGGCTAGAAAGCCGTTAGAGAGTTTTTTTGGCAACTTGAAAAAAGATTTTTTTGTAGTTTTCCAAAAAAAAATTTTTGAGAATGATTTAGTAGAAATTTAATAATTTTTCAAGTGTTTCAACCTGATTTAAATTAAATTTGCGATTTCAGGAAGCGAAACGGCTTCGCGATTTCGCCGATCAGTTTGTCCCCCTCGTCGAAATGCAAAAAATCGACTATTGGCGCAAATAATTCAATCAATTTCCCCTTCATTTTGATCTCTGAACTTGTTATGTCGATAAATTTCCTTATTTTCCAATTATTTTATTTTGAAAAAGATGTCACGTTACGTCCATTATACTTTGTTTGTTGTATTGTTCAGATTTTAAATGTCAAGCAGTTAACTCCGCCCCCAAGGGTACAGTATCTTTCGCGTTGAACTTTCATCTCGATGATCCTTTAAAAAATGTTGCTTCCTGGGAAAATTTTTAATGGCCACTATAGAGGCTCGCCAGAACTACTTGGAGAGCACTAAAGTGGCCACTATTTTCCGTTTTAGTGGCCACTTCCGTAATTTTCTCATCCAATATTCCTTCCAGTAACTCTGATAATTTCAAAAAAAAAATAGATTGGACCAGTTTGTTGATCCATTGTCTCCTAAAGTGGCCACTAAAATTTTCAGTGGTTTAGTAGTAGCACTTAGACCTCTATAGTGGCCACTAATTTCTAACCCCTTAAGTGGTCACTAACTTGAATACTATAGTGGCCACTAAAAATTTTCCCGCTCGTATTCATCGTATCAGTGAGGGCGAAGTTAGCTGCTCGGCTTTCAAAATCCGAACAGACTATAGTTCTAATTTCGGTTTCAGATGTGCCGAGGAAATAAGAAGGAAGACAATGCTGCAGAAAAAGGACCCGAAGAGAATGAGAAAGGTGAGATTTTTTTGTTGAAACTTTTGCTGCCCTTTTCTAAAGGAGCACACGTCTTCTATGTCTCAAAAAATATTTTCTTTGTCTTTTTTCCCTTTTTTTTCATGACTTTTTTGAGAAGGTCCTGGTTTTTGGGGAAAATGTTGGACTGGGAAAAGGAGGGGCTGCAGAACTCGCAAAAATTGACAAAACTTTGTATTTTGCGCGAAACGGTCACGTATGTTTTGAAATAGTAGAAAAAAGCTACCTTTAGCACGGATTTCTTTTTTCCTCGATTTCGCTTCAAGACGCTTCGGTAAAAAGGACAAAACGCAAATTTCAGAGCGAAATATACGGTAGAACGATTTTCGGCAGGAAAAAAAGTGAAATGTTCTCAAGTTACTTTTTCCAAATTTGTTTTGGAGAATGTTTGGTTCGTTTTTTTCCAAAAAAAAAATTATTTTCGAAAAAAGTTTCGCTTCAATACGGTCAATAGTTTCAAACTGAAATTTTTTTGCTAATTTTTTTCTCCGAACTTCTATCATATATAGTCTGTTCAGATTTTGAATGTCAAGGCATGGCTCAAGCTCCGCCCATAATGGTGCAATAAACCAATCAGAGAGCGAGCCACCCACAGAGTGTTTTTGAATGACGTCATTGCCCTTGACATTAAAAATCTGAACAGACTATACCTACATTTTTTTTTTCGCGCGTTCGCTACGAGACGCCCTAAAAAATGGCTAAAAATATGACAAAAAATAGGTCTCAGAAAGAGCTTTGGGCCTATTTTTTTTAAAAAAAAAAACCTGCATGGGCTAAGGCCTGGCCGGGCTCAAAAAAATTGAAATTTTGTTGCAAAAAAATTGTCAGCGAAAATTTTTTTTACTTTTAAAAATCATAGTTTTTGTTGAACTCTAAATGCGAAAACGTGATTTTTGTCGTTAAAAACTTGATATTCGACTAGAAATAAAATTGCGCTTTTTGGGCCAGGCCGGACCGGGCTTAAAAAGTAACCGGAAGGGCCGAGAGGCTGAAGGGCCGGCCCTCGCACAAACCTGTTCTTAAAGAAAAAATTTTTAATTTTTTATTCGATATGGGTTTTGCAAATATCCAATTTTGTCAATATTTTCGAGTTACCTTTTTTTTCAAGATTTAGAAATAGCTTTTTTTTTTCATCTCTAGTAAATTTCTCCTCTCAGAAAATAGAAAAAAGAAGACGGCGAGAATTGCGATTTTGGGATGCGGGCACGGGTTTATGGATGCTGCTTATTCACTCCTAGCGGATCTCGAAAGGAAAAGAAAAATTAAATTCGATCTCCTAATGTGCTGTGGAGACTTTCAGGTTCTTTCTATAATTTTCATTTTATTTATTTATTTTGGTTTCCAATTGCTTATATACAAAAAAATTGCGAAAAAAATAGCGAAGTTTCCAGTGTAATCACTACGGGAAACGTTTTAAATGAACTTTGAAGATTTTTTTCGCGGAATAAAAAAACTGTTTCAAAAAGTGTTTTTTTGTAAATAGATCGTTTTTAGTCGAAAAAAAGACGTCAAAAATTTGAGCTTATAAATGGTTAAAAAGCCAAAAAAATGCTTTTTTTGTTTTTAAGAAAAAAATAAGCTTTTTAGAAACATTTTGAGTCTTTTTTCAAAAAAAATTACAAGGTCGATTGGACATTCTATTTGATAATGCAAAAGAATCACTGCATCAATGAATAAACTCAATGTTCTTTTTTTTTTCTCTTCAAGTTTTATCCGAATGTTTCTCTAGTCTGCACGGCACCATGGAGATCGGTTGTCCATGCACGTGAATCCGCGAAAAGATAGAGGCCTTCAGGACTTCTATCAATACTATTCGGGAGAGAAGGTTCTTCTTTGCATCGGGGTCTCATACCTGACGGATTTGTGGAAATTTCAGCCTCATTTCTTCCATCAAAAGGAAAATAAAAAAGAAAAAATCCTCATATTGAATTATCCATTCTTGCTTGTTTTTCATTTCCAAATCTGAATTTTTCAAAATCTGTTGTTATAGCACCTCATTTCCTCCGAGTTTCTAAAATAAGGTATTTTGTTGTAGGTCGCCCCCATCTTAACTGTTTTCGTTGGGGGCAACCACGAAGCCTCAGCTTTTTTGGCGGAAATTCCCAACGGAGGATTCGTGGCCCCGAACATCTACTTCTTGGGCCATGCGGGTGTTGTCAGGTGAGAAAAAAACATCTTCTACAGAAAAAAATTCTAGAACGGCACTTTTTCAATTTTTTTTTTTCAAATTTAGGCTTTATCTGAAGTTTTTAATAGGTAATAAACTAGAATTTGAGTAAAAGCTTGTAGAAAAATTTTAATTTTAATTTAATTTTTCCTAACACCTTTTCAGGATTTGCCTGAGTCAGAAGTGTCTGCCCATGTATTGAAGGCAGGACAGGATAAAATTCAAAAATAAAACAGATTTTTTGCGGTCTAGTTCTTTAAACTGTTAAGATTCGCTGGAATACGGATCGGGGGCCTTTCTGGCATTTACCAAGAGAAGCAGTACTACCGAGGCCGCTACGAGCAGCCGCCATTCCAGGATCATCAAGTTGTCTCGGTCTACAATGTCCGGTGGCTGGACGTCTGGAGGCTCAATCAGCTCCGCCCCGCCGACGACGACAAATCATCGGTTTATCACGAAACTTCAGAGGCTGTTATTAGATTAAGCGCGCCTTCAAATTATTAGTAAAATAGTGTGCAAAACGAGAAGGTTCAGACGTCAAATCGAAAAGGATAAACTATAAAAATGGAGGACCAAATTTTGTAAAATATTATCTTCTCAAGATTTAAGGTTAATAGAAGTTTTCAAATTGTAAGTTCTTTAGTTATAGTTGATTCACGGGTGACTTGAGCCCTCATAAAGGGTCCTGGCACGATGAAAAAAGAGTCTTGGAGGAGAGGGCAGACATGCCACGCCCCCTGAAGTCCCAAGCTATCCGTGAATCGGCTATAGACGTGTTGTCAATTGCGTTACTGAAATTTTTTCGGAAAAATATTCGTAATATCGAGAAAAATGTTCCAGAATCCTCTTGATATCATGTTGACGCATGATTGGCCGGCTGGAATCACGAATTATGGCGATGTCAAGGAACTTATCAAGATGAGACCCGACTTCAAGTAAGATTTTCCAATTAAAAGATTATTTCTACGTAACGGGAGATTTTTTAGACCTTGATTATATTTTTCATGGTTAAAGTCCACTCTGACTTCAGAAAAAGAACAAACATTATAGATCTTTTTTCGATTTATGAAGCTTCAAATTTCGCAAATTACCCAAATTTTGACCAAAAAGCGATATTTGAAGCTTTTGAAGTGTTCCAACTTGAAAAACTAATGCGAGAAATTTTTCTTTTTTTTTACGAAAATCAGAATGAGCCAAGTTTCATGAAATTCGGAAAAAAAAAGCTGAGGAAATTTCCCTTATCAGACTATTTTAAGGCGCGACATAGATCGAGGACGACTGGGGAATACAAAAACTATGGAATTGTTGTTGGTTAGTAAACTTTTTGTAGAATGAGCAGAAAACTATGTGATTTAGACTCGAAAGAAAACTTTTGAAAGCTATTTTCCACTCTTAGCAAAAAAAAACCTGCAACAGGCTTGAAAATTGCCTGAAAATGACAAAAGTATAACTAAAAACTTGTTTTCTTTTTCTGAGATTTTGGTGCAAATTGTTGAAAAGAGGGACATTTTTCAGAACATTCGTCCTCGTTATTGGTTCTCGGCTCACATGCACGTCAATTTCGTTGCTACGGTTCCCCATAAGGTGAATTTAAAATCCTCCGAGAGTTTTGAAAAAGCAGAAGGCGCCCCGGGGGGACCCGCGATTTGAAGCAGTCGTCCGAAACGTAAAATCAAAACTGAGTAAACAAGTTGATAAAGGGTGAAGAAGTAGGAAAAAATCGCGGGTCGGGTCTCCCTAGGGCGCATGGTTAGTCCCGGGGCGACCCGTCTCTTCAGCAGCTCCGAGAAAATCTATTTATTAAAGGCGTATCTGGGACAACTATTTCTCAGAAGTTTATATAAGCTCACAAAAAAAAAAACTAAACGTTGTAGGAATCAGAGCTGCTGACCAGGCCGGGGCGACCCGCAAAGCGGTCACACTGTTAGAAGATTTCTCCAATGTTATCCAGTGATATAAATGAATTTTCATTTTCTTCGACCATTATACTCCTTTTATTAGTCGTTACTATGCGGATTTTTTTCACTTAAACTTTATTTTAACTTTTCTAACCAGCGGGGCGGGGCGCCCCATAGCAGCACTGGTAGGAATTTCCATCAAAATCCCAAAAATTTACTTGAAACTGTACAAGATTTGAATAAACCGTTCGACACAAAATAAAAATCTCTAAAAAAAAAGGCGTTGATATTCAAAATTTTTCATTGCCCTTATGCCTTTGAGATCATTTAGTAAGAGTTAATTTGCTCAAAACATTAAATTTTTCGGGAAGTAAAGAATCATGTTCATTGACTGTATTGAAGACCGCTGCTGGCAAGAATCCTCAGTTCGACGGAGCAAATGCGCCCCAGCCGACCAAGTTTGAAGCTCTCGCATCTTTGGATAAGCCACTTCTCCCACAGAAAGCAATTCATGTTTTTGGCTCTTTTGACCTCAAAAATTATAATGATCATGTCTCAAAGGTTCTCGAGTTGGATGTTGAAGATGATGCAGATTTTTCGCTCTCCTACGATCCAGAATGGCTTGCCATCTTGAAAAGCACGGACGTTTTCATGTCCACTTCCAGAAAGGTTAGAGCCGTATAGCGGTTAAAAAAAAGACGCAATAGGTCACAAAATGGTTCCTGTAGGAGTAGAATTCACGTGACCTCTATAGGGTTTTAAGTGAAGCTTAAGCGGTCGCTAAGGGTTCTTCAATCCAATAACGTTAATTTAATAATTTTTCACATGGAAATGTTCCTCCTCATGAAGTTCATAACAAAAATCGACTAGCATACACCTTCCAGGTAGCTGAAGACTATGTAGGAACCACTCTGAAGCCTCTGGGTTCTCTTGGATCATACGTTGGCTGCGAGAACTGATATCAGTCCTCCGAGCGGTCTAGATGACTTTAGAAACCGCTTCAAATTCAGAAAAGTTTTTCCCAATGAGCTTTTTGAACCTTTCGCGTTACAAATATATTGTATTTATCCTAGTCCGAAGCAGTCTAAAATACAAAAACCGTTACAGTTTCGAAATTGAACAATAATTTTTTTTCACTTGCAAAAATCGGTTTGATTTTATCCGTTAAAACTCTATGTGAGGTAAGTTTTAAAAACCAGAAAAATAAAATTTATAAAAAAATGTTTTTTTAGCTTGCGAAAAAAACGTTTGCTCTTTTTATAAAAATGATCAAAAAGTTGGTCAGATTTTTGATCGTTTATAATAAATAACAACTAACAAAAAAGTATCCCGAAAATTTATTATTCTGCTCATCACAACTTTTCAATAACGATTTACAAGTTAGCTATTGAAAAATCTTCTTGGATGTTTTTTCTTTAGAACATCTACATTCGTCCTCCCTCTCCGAATTCCAACAAAAGACGCAATTTTCGGCCGACGACCGAGGAATTGGCGGCGATTCGAGCCCTTGGAAATCTCCGAATTTCGCCCGAAGCGTTCAAAAAGACGGCTCCGCCTCTTTTGACTCGGAATGAACCGGCGAATCGCCACCCTTGGCCCATTTTGATCTACAGGTAGCGAGGCTATTGCTCATCTTACGAGAGAACTGCAATATATCTCGGAGGGAAACGAAAGTCGTGACAAGCTTGCGCGGAATAGCCTATAAATAATTTTGTACGAATAAAAAAAAACGACTCGCTTGCCCTTCTCAGGCAGTGATTTCCTTTTTTGCAGGAATCCCCAATCGGAAAACTTCTGCCGCTGGCTGGGCATCAAAGACCTCAACAAGATGCACATCGACTCCAATCCGCGAAAAGTCGGTACACCGTATTACGTTAGCCCGATAAATTGCCTCATCGAAGCGGGTTTTCGTTTTATTTATTATTGTTGCCCGGATCACCCAGGAGAATTCGTCAATTATAAAAACTTCGCCCAACGTCCCTAAAAGAGTTTTTGTTCTCAGACTTTGTATTTCAATGTATATCGACTCACGTTTCTTTGAATTCGGTTTTCCCGCCAAAGTCCTCTCCGCGAAGCCATTCTTTCAATTAATTTCCACTCCGGGTTTCGAAATCAACTAGCGAAAATTGGTGAACGAACTTTTGGTTTTTAAAATGAGTCAAGGTGAAATTCGACTCTTAAATGTGGAATTTTTCAAGAGAAATACTTTTGAAAGAGAAGATTTTTTTTTCATCGCAGAAAAGTTGAGAATAGTGAAGCTATATGTATTTGGAAGCTAAAAATCAAAAAAAGTTATTTAACTTGTTCAAAAAATAGCGTTTCGGGAGGCGGAAGAAACTGTTATTTTTGGATTTTTTGGAATGAGGATAGGAAATAAGTTTTTTCGATTTTTGTCTCTCAAGTACTTCTAGATTCACTATCTTCAACTTTCCCTCGAAAACAAGATCTGCTACGAATAATTTTATTTGTATTCCTGAATGGGAAGGTCTTATTTTACACTACAGCGATTTTAATTTTCCTTAGCCAGCCACCTAAAATAATTCCCTCGTGAATTATGTACAAAAAAAACCAATATATGACTTGCCAATCTTCGCTAGTTTATATTCTGATCGAATGAAATCAAGATTTCCGAACTACAATGCTTCTTTTTCTCTCTTATTACCCTGATCTCAAAGAAATGTTTTATCCCGGTATTTTTCAGTCCAAATTTCTCATTTTGCTCACTTTTTCCCATTCATGCATTCAAAATGTATGTAAACAGGGCTACACGTTTTAGTTGAACCTTGCTCATTTTGTTGACTTTCCGCCTTGATCTCACAAGAATACTCTGTCATTTTTTTTGCTCACTTATTGCCTTGATCTCAAAGAAATGTTTTATTCAGGTATTTTTCAGTTCAAATTTCTCATTTTTCCCCATTCGTGCATTCAAAATGTATGGGCTACACGTTTCAGTTGAATCTTGCTCATTTTCTTGACTTTCCGCCTTGATCTCACAAAAACCATACTTTTTTTTATCTCACGAAGTTTATGTACAAAATGTAAATAAAGTTTTTTTCTTTTTTTCAATCATCTTTGTGAAGGGAAAAATGGTCAATTTCATTAAACATATTTTATGTTTTTTTTTCTTGAATTATTCATTTTTATTTCCGTTTTCAAAGATGTCAGAATCAGAACCCGTTCCGGAAGAAAAAAATGCTGTGGAAGTGAACAAGTTGCCACGGAAAATGAACCTCCGGCGCCGGTTATTGGTAAATTTGAATCAAAAAAAGATGTATGAAATATTGGACAACGGAAAGTTTTCTGGTCTTTTTTTATGACTTAGGTTTTTCCAAGGGAAAGAATCAAAATGAATATCGTTTATTAAAAAAACATATTCAAATATTCAAATATTATGCGTTCATGAAGTTCTTTTCAGATCAAAAAATGAAGTCAGAAATTTTTCAAGCAATTTTTGCACTATCTTCTCAATTTTTTATTGAAAAAGTGTTCAAAAATCACCACTTTTGAGAGTCTGTTGAATTTTTTTTTGGAATATTGTAATCTCGACTTTTAATTTTTTTTTTTCCAAAAAAAGTTTATTTTCATTCTTCCTACACATTTTAACACTTCAAAAAAATAGGTGATTTGACTTTTTTTCCAGTGCCTTTTTTTCAAGAATTTAATTTTTTTCCTCCATCTTCCACATTCTAATTGCTTAATGGCAGAAAAATAAGCTCGAGAAAGATTTTTTTAATTTTTTTCAATACTCAAAAATCTTCAAAAGGGGGAGTCTTCAAAAAAAGCCAAAAATAGGTCGCTAGAAGCTTTTTTTGAAGGTTTTTTTAAAAATCTGAAACCGTTTTTTTAACTATCGATGCAGCCGCCAGGAGTTTATGGCTGATTCACGGGTGGTTGGAGTCATCGAAAAATGGGTCTTGACACGATAAAAAAAGATGGTGTCTGGTTGGAGGAGAGGGCAGACAGGGCCAAGCTAGCAGTTATTTGGCTTTACCTTCTCAAAAATCTCCCTTTTTGGGACCTTTTCCATTTTGGATTTTTCAAGAAGGAGAATCCCGAAGAAAGGCACGAATCGCCGTGGCGGGCTGTGCCCACGGAGAACTCGACAAGATTTACGATGTCCTGGCGGAAATCGAAAAAGAGCGCGGCTTCAAGTTTGATCTTCTCATCTGTTGCGGCGATTTTCAGGTCCTTCAAATTTAGATTTTTCATTTTTTTTTTCCTGTATTTTTAAATATACTGGGAAAATTTTTAGTGACCACTATAGAGGCTCGCCAAGGACTACTTGAAGAGGACACTAAAGTGTCCACTAAACCCACCTCTATAGTGGCCACTTGAGTAGTTTTTCATCCAGTATTCCTTCCAGTAACTCTGATAATTTTCTTAGACCTCTATAGTGGCCACTAATTTTTAATCCCTCAAGAGGCCACTAATTTTACTGCTATATTGGCCCCTAAAACGTCAGAACCCTAAAGTGACCATTAACAATTTTACTAGCAGTTTTTATTTCAAAAGCTTGAAAAAGAGGGTAATTTACAGTTCAAAGACAGAAAAATTATTTTTTTAACTCTAGGAGGGGTTTTTTTTTTTGTAAAATAAGGCCTTCAAAGTACCTTTATGGTGGTTTTTCGTATGTTTCAAAGCGAATAGAATCAAAATTTTTCTCGAAATTTAAATGGAAGTTTTTTCCAGTCGGTCCGAAACTATGGAGACCTCCATCACATGCATGTCAATCAAAAGTACCGAAATCTCCAGACTTTCTACAAATATTATTCCGGGGAAAAGGTTGGTTTCAGGCTTTTTTTTCGTAATTCAAGTTTCCAGCGTTGAAATTGATTTGGTTTGGATAAATTTAAAATTTTGCTTTGTTGAATTTCAAGTTCTTTTTTTCTCACTTCCCAAATCTATGGTCAAGCTCCATTTTTTTCGCTTTGTTATATTATTGTTTTATCCGCATAGCTACTTTAGTCGTCAAAATCTAATTTTTCAAATTTCATTATTTGGTTAAAAAATTGAACTTTGGGTGAAAGTTTCAGAAATTTCAAGTCAATATTTTTCAATATTCAAAAATTTTATTTGAAAAAGTTCTCGTCAAAGTTCGATATTTGATAGTTTTGTTTATAGTCTGATCAGATTTTATTTCAAGCTCTGCCCATAAAGACGCAATGAACCAATCAGAGAGCGAGCCATTCATTGAGCGTTCTTAGATGACGTCATTGTACTTGACATTAAAAATAGAAACCGCGTATAAAAAATATTTTTTGAAGCCCACTACTTAAAAAATGATTTTTTAAAAATGAAGGTTGATTCAGTTGAAAAAATTGGTAATAATACTTTCAATTTTGAAACTATTTGTTAACGAAAAAGGTATAATATCAAAAAAAAATTGTCCTTTCTGTAGGAAACGCCCGTTCTTACGATGTTCGTTGGCGGAAACCACGAAGCGTCCGGGTACTTGGCCGAACTTCCCAACGGAGGCTGGGTCGCGCCGAAAATCTACTTTATGGGATTTGCCAGTGTTGTGAGGTTGAAATCATTCAAAATTATGTATCTAACTCATTTTTCTTGAAACTCGAGTAATTTCGAAAAAAATCTCATCCGCCAGAGAAAATTACCTTCATTCCGAGTTTTGAGAAGCTTTGATAAGTTTCATCGGTATTTCGTCCAAATTTTAATCTTGCTTCGGAAATTTCAAAGTCAAACTGTTGATTTTTGATCAGATCTAGTTGGCTATAATTATCAAAAATGTTTCAAATTTTATAATGTCTAATTTTTTTGGATTTTTTTGGTTATGGTTAAAAAAATCGCTGATAATAAGAATACTGGGAAGGAAACATTTTGGAAAAATCATTGATAAAATTTTCAACGATGTAAATTTTTGGTTCGATCATTTCACTGACTTAATCGAATTTTTTAAGATTCGCGGGTCTGCGAATCGGCGGCTTGTCTGGGATCTATAACCAACGGGAGTACCTCCGTGGCCATTATGAACGTCCTCCTTTCGAGAACTTCGAAGTGACTTCCATCTATCATGTCCGGAATCTGGACGTCTGGAGGCTCAAGCAGCTCCGATCTGCCGACGACGATAAATTATCGGTCGGTTTCAGAAAAAAATATAAAGAAAAATTGTAGAAATTATCGATGATGGATTGCTTGGTGGCTTAATTTAATGATTTTTTTGTTTTCTGTTTTTTTCGTTTTTCCAAAAAAATAGTTTCAAATATGCTCGTCGTCTTTTAAGAAAAAAAGGTTCACTCAAAAAAATTTTTGAAGGGAAAAAAAGTTTTTTTCATTGGCTCCGGGGAAAGGTTACCGGATGTAAACTTGAGTTCTGATCTCGATTTTTAATAATTTCTAGCCGAAAAAAATGAACAAAGGCGAAAAAAAGTTTTGAGAATAATACTTTTTTTGAAACAAGACGCTGGGCTCAATTTTTGACTTTTCCACTTTTCAATGGCTTTTTTTGAAAAGTTAGTGTACCTTTTTTTCGATAATTTACCGGAAAAATAGTTGACTCTTCTCCAAAAATTTTATCATTTTAAACAAAAATTTCCCAAGATCTGGTCTTTCCAGTGCAAAAATTCCCGAAAAAAAGACAATATACTTTCGCCCAATGTTTCTCGTTTTTTCTATCTATTTGTACGAAAAAAAAATTTTCGCTTTTTTTTGGGGAAATTTAGAATAGATTTTTTTCCTCAAAATAAGAATCTTGTATTTTTTTGTTTTATGTTATCCCACCCCCGAAAAATTGAGAGTAAAAACAAAAAAAAGTTGTTCCAGAACCCCCTAGACATCATGGTGACGCATGATTGGCCTTCTGGAATCACGGATTTTGGCGACGTTAAGAGACTTCTCAGGGTTAAGCCGTATTTCGAGTAAGATTCTCAAACACTTCATAAAAGTAATCTGATTTTCAGAGAAGATATAAAACTCGGGAAATTGGGCAATCCGGGAACTATGCAGTTGCTCTATGTAAGTTTTGAAAGAACTGAAGAAGGCCAGAGTGGTCCCTAGAGGAGTTAGGAAAGTAGTCTCTTAAGTGGACAGAGTAAGGCTCCCTAACGGGCTTAAACTTGGGTGGTCCCTATAGCGGTCTTTTAAGTTTTTCTTATAATTTGAAATGACGTATAGGACACTAGCATGCTCCCCTAGAGTGGCCACTTTTTTGAACTTAAAGGACCTTACAGGGCTAAACTTCATGTGATCCCTATAGCGATTAAGAGTGTGAACTCTAAAGCTCAAGTGGTCCCTATAAGGCATAAATTTAAGTGGTCCCTACAGTGGTTTTTTTCTGTTATGGCTTGAAAGACGTATGACATAGGAATGCTCCCCTAGAGTGGCCACTTTTTCGAACTTTAAGGACCTTACAGGGCTAAAATTCATGTGTTTTTTATAGGGGCTCAGAGTCTGAACCCTAAGCCCCCAAAGCTTAATTAGTCCCTATAGTGGTCTTCAAGTTTTTCTTATGATTTGAAATGACGTATAGGACACTAGTGCGCTCCCCTAGAGTGGCCACTTTTTTGAACTTTAAGGACCTTATAGGGCTAAAATTTATGTGATCCCTATAGGGGTTGAGAGTCTGAACCTTAAGCCTTGAATGCTTAAGTGGTCCCTATAGTGGTCTTTTAAGTTTTTCTTATGATTTGAAAGAACGTTTAGGACACAGGAATGCTCCCCTAGAGTGGCCACTTCTGTGAGCTCAAGTGCCCATATTGGGCTAAATGTGGTCCCTATAGGGAGTCTGAACCGTAAGCCTTTAAAGTTTAAGTGGCTTCTTTAGTGGCCTTTGATTTTTTTGTTACGACTTGAAAGACCTATAGGGACACAAGAATGCTTTCTTGGGGGGGGGACCAATTTTTTGAGCTAAAGCCGTCTATAAGAGGAGCTTGTGCGGTATTACACAGAGACCTTCAAGAACCCCTAAAGTTGCCACTCTAGGGACCAGTCTGGCGTGTCTATGGAAAAAAAAGCTGAATATTTCAGGACATCCGCCCTCGTTACTGGCTTTCGGCCCACTTGCACGTCGCTTTCCCGGCCTTGGTGCCCCACAAAGTAATTTTATTGGGTTCTATTAGAGAAAAACGGAAATTGAACAGATTCGAGCACTTCCAGCAGGAAAAAAAGGGAAGGTTTTGTATCAAATTGTCGATTTTTCTTAAAATTTTGGTCTTGGTTTTTTCAATTTGTAGTAGTTGACTTACGCTATAAAATATCCAGAATTTGGTAGAGATAAAATTTTTTTCACAATCAGATCCTCTAGGAAGGCTATTTCCAAGTGAAAAATACAAAAAATGAATTTTCGATTTTTTTTTTCCTGTTTTCTGCGTGATTTTTCTTGATACCTTTTAGCTTTTTTTGTTTTTTATTGATTTTTTGAGATCACCTAACACAGATTGGATCAGATTTTCTATGACCATATCTGGGAAATCGAAAAAAAGATCAATGAGCAAGTAGAAAGTACAAAAAACTGCTTAAAGGGAAAAAATTTGTTCGCTGTCAGTAGAAAGGGATTTTCAAGACTTGCTCCAAGCAGTTCAGAGAAGGATTGCTCCATATAAAGCTAAATATTAAGTGTTTCCTATAGGGGTTCAGTGTCAGAACAGACTTGAAGATAATTAATCATTTCAGTTTGTCGGAGCAGATGCGCCCCAACCGACCAGATTCATCGCCCTAGATAAGCCCTTACCTCGACGTCAATTTGTCCAGGTTTTTGGATTCTTTGACGTTAAATTTTACACTTCTAAAGACTCCAAAAAAATCACCAATGAGTATTTTAAGGTCCTCGAGCTGGATGTCGAAGAAGATGCAGATTTTTCCCTGTCTCACGACCCGGAATGGCTCGCCGTTCTGAAGAGCACCGACTCCTTCACGTCGATGTCAAAAAATGTAATATTCTTAGGAATTCCACAGTGGTCCATATAGTGGTTAGGGGGAAAACAGCCCCTATAGAGGCCGAAAAAGGTGCTTTAGTGGCCCCTATATGGGTTGGTGAAGCGGTCCCTAGAGAGCGCCCTTAAGGTTGTCCTTATAGGGACCACTCTGAAGTTTCTAACTTCATTGGAGCAGAAAAAAAAAGAAAACATTTTGAAAAAATGGAAACTTTCTCTTGAATTATTGTATTTTTTTAATTTTTTGGCGAAGTCGCCGAAATTTTTCATTAACGTTTAAAAATATTAAAAAAATTTATTGGATATATAAAGCCTCGTGGAAAAATTCTTCTAACTGGTTAGCAGATCATTGAGAAACTATCTAAAAAAATTAGGAGATATCAGAAGAGCTTACCAGTAAGAGAAACCCTTCCAATCACCCCTTTTGAAAAAATTTTCCCTGGAAGGGTTTTTTTGAAATCTTAACTGAAAATCAATCAAAATCCCCTTGGATTTATGCAGCATAAGAAAATCCGGAATCACTTGAATTTTATGAAAAAAGTTTTTTCTTGAAAAGAAGCTTCAAATTCCGAGAGAACTGTCCAAATCACTTGGAATATTTCATCCTTATCTTTTTAAAAATAGTTTTTTTTCATCATTTTGAAGATTCGATCTTTTCTCTTGTGAACTGAGGGCTTTCGGTCACATCAAATATTTTTACGATTTTTAAAGTATTCCATCAAAATTGCTTCAGCCAGTTTTTAGCGAACTTTTAGCTACCTTGCAAAAAAAAATTCATCTTTTCGCTATTTTTCATCAGTTCACCTTGTAGAACATCTACATGCCTTCCTCCTCTTCAAATTCCGACGAAAGACACGATTTCCGGCCGACCGCCGAGGAATTGGCGGCGATTCAAGCCCTAGGAGATCTCACAATTCTTCCCGAGGCGTTCAAACACACGGCTCCGCCTCTTTTGACTCAGGATGAGCCGGCGAACCGCGACGCTCCGCCCAGTTTGTTCTACAGGTAGGGGAGGTGTTGCTCATGTTATGGCCCTTGAGAAACGGATTTTTGCTAAACTGTTGCGTAGGCGGCTTTTGTCGTAAGATGGTGTCAAGGAAAAAAAAATTTATTTTTTTTTTTATTTTTTTCCAATTGAAATTTCGTCATCATAGAGAATGGAAGGATCACAAAAAAGGAAAAAAATTTGAAACTTATTTTCCCGCCAAAGCCGCGCCGCGTACGCAACGCGTCACCCTTGCTGATTTTTTTCTATATTCTGTTCATATCGTCAGATTTTGAAAGTCAGTTACAATGACGTCATTCAAAAATACTATGTAGATGGCTCGCTCTCTGATTGGTTTATCGCGCAATTAGGGGCGGAGCTTGAGCGACGACTTGACATTCAGTTTTGAACTAAATGAATAAATTTTGAAGAAACATGGTCATTTAGATTGAAGAACCCACTTAAGTTTTCTTAGCAGCGTTATAAGAAGCCCTTGAACGTGTCATAAATACAGCCTTTTTTCCAGAAATCCCCAGTCGGAGAATTTCTGCCGCTGGCTGGGCATCAAAGACCTCAACAAGATGCTCATTGACTCAAAGTCGGGTGGAGTCGGTACACCGTATTATATAGATCCGACCTCGTCGAATGGGATTTCTCAAATGGAAACTGCGCTCGATGTTCGTTTTTCAATAGTGAACTTGCTGATATTAGTTCAAAAAAGTTTTTGGAAGTTTCGATCAGGTTGAAGTCTTGTTCATATAGTCTGCTCAGATTTTGAATGTCAAGTAGAATGACGTCATTCGAAAAACACTCTGTGGATGGCTCGCTCTCTGATTGGTTTATCGAACCATTAGGGGCGGAGCTTGAGCGACGACTTGACATTTAAAATCTGAACAGACTATAGCTAGCCATTGATTTCAAATGGATTATATTTTCTGAACTTTGAAATTTTCCTCTTGAAAAGTCACGCGATTATGTCCAATTTTTCAAATTTATTGATCAGAACCCAAAAAACTTGAAAATTTTGAACTTTACTTTACTGATTTTTTTTTTCTAAATTTTGATAGTGGATTACTCTTTCGAGATTGTTTATCTAATTTTGCACCAAATGTTTTTTTCCAGATAAGTTTATGCCAGAAAAGGGTGTATAACTTATCTCCCCTCTCCTTTTTTTAGCGAAAAATTCATGATTTCTTAATTTTCAGGTCGGAATCGAAGATTTCGGAGACGCAGATTTCATAATTGATCGAGGAAACGGGGTTATTGAAAGAGATGAAATTCTATTGGACGATGAAACGGAGGTTCCAGACCCTAATTTAGAGGTTTTGTTGGTAAACTGTTACACAATAAAATGTCGGGTTTTCGAACTTTCAGTTTGTTCCAAAATGATCCAAAAACACGTAATTTTTGTGCAATTTCAAGTAAGGTTTTGAAAACTCAATGGAGCTATATGAAAATCATTTTTAATCATCAAAAATTTCAAAGTTTAAGAAGAGAAAAGTGCCTTGGATTTTTATCGATAAGATTTTTCAGGGGCCAGAAATGAAAAAATCCCGGCTAGGCGTTGATTATGAGTCCTTGCCTGGAAATATTGATGCAATCGACGAATAATTCTTTTTTATTCACTCGTTTTGAATTGTTTCCAGTGATTGTAATTTATTGTTAATTTTACATTTTTCAAATTTGCAAGTTTGTTTCAAAAAAATTTTTGGTGATGTTTTTTTAAAGGAGCAGAAGCATTATTTGAAAAAAATTGAAACGGTTCTTCGCCTCGAAGTCTGTTTATAAAATTGTTGTGCGCCTTTAAAAAAATCTCAGCAAGCCTTTTTCAAAGTTTTTCAGATCTCCCTGTTATCATTGCTATCTTGTTGTGAAAATGAAGTTTTCCTATTATTAATTTTTTTCTACTTTTTTTGTTTTTTTGTTGCCTTTTTTTCCATTTTATACTTGGTAAGATCAGAATTTATCGATTTTTTTACCTTGTAATTTTTTTGTTTCACTCAAGAGTTATAGAAAAATTTGTGTAAGACAACTTTCTTTAAATCGTAGGAAATTGTTCCCTTTTTTCAAATTTCCAATGTAAAAAAATTAACGAAACAACGAGAACTTTTTTTAACGATAATAATCACATTTTTGCCTAAAATGTAGTTTGTTTTTAAAATAAATACCACCTTGTCTTTTTATTCCTAATCCATATCCAAATGTTTTTTTGAAAGTTCAAAATGAAAAAAAAAATCCAAAAACGTCTTCATTAGCGAGTAAAAAGAACGTTGAAATTGAAGAATTAGATGCGTATTTTTTGTCGAAAACTCATTTTTTGCCAACTTCTTTCGGCTCCGGCTCGTTGACCTTCTCTAGCCGTTGTATTACCTTCAAAAAAAAATTTTTTTTTTTGAAATTTTTTAGTGAGGACTGGAAAATTTCTGCCATTTTTCTCAGAATGCTCGAATGCTGAGCAGGGTAACCCAGCCGTGCTAACACGGGGTCTCCGCGGTTGCCCCCGTATTAAACCCGTATAAGCCCAGCTGATAGAACTTTTGGCACTTTTTAGCCCAACTGAGACCCCGCTTTAGCCCAGCTGGGTTACATATTTTTCTTACACCCGTTGTTCCCCCGTTTTAGCCCAACTGAGACTAAAATAACCTCAGAAACACGGGTTTAATACGGGTACACCCGCTGAGACACCTGCTCAGCATGCGAGTACCCAAGGCCCAAGACTCGCGCGAACAAAAACGATCAAAAAATACAGAGCTGGTATTCAAAATCTGAACAGGCTATTTGGAGCGGAGAATATCTTTTCAACTTTTCACCATACGGTCTCTACTTTCACTGGTTCAGACCTCGGTGATGTTGCATCGATTTTCGGGACAGACGGTGAAAATCCTTTGGCTGATCAGCCGACGAATCGGCTCCGGAGTTTTCTCGTTGCACGTCAGGAAGACGCCTTTCTTCGACTGAAAATTGGGGATTTCGGGTGGGTGGATATTTTCAAATGAAATATTTTTTGAATAAACACCACTTTTCAAGAAAATTGTTACTTTCTTTAATTTATATAATCACTCTATTATGCTCTTTGAACTTCAGTGACTATAAAAAGGGCAGTTTGAATGCTTTTAGACTTTAGAAGAACTAGGTCCAAAAATAGAAAAATTTTTCCTCAGGACTTTCCGTTTGACCATTTTTAGTTGAAAAAGTTGACCAAAAATTTGTCGATAACTCAAGTTTTTTTGTGATATGCAAAAAAATTGAATTTTGAAAAGAAAAAAATAAATTTTTTTGTAAGTTCTTATCACTAGCCTCTCAAGTTACTGACTGAACTTTTTCTCAAGTTGTTAGTATTTGGTAAAAAAATCTAAATATTTTAATATATTTCCAACCAACCATCGCTATAACTTGTTGTGTAGTGAGACCGGCGTGCGGCTCGGCGGCGTCGTGAAAAACCTCCCAAATCAAGATTCCAAACGTGAAAACGTCGGATTTTGGCGAAAAGACGAACGTTTTCAACGTCTCCGGCGCTAGGTACCTCAAAAATTCCCAGATTCTCTCAGAAATTCCAAAAAGTCCTCACTTGACTGGGGTCTTCGTGACGTACTTCAGAACGTAGTTGTCGCCTTGCCGAGCCATTCCAAAATCGGAAATCTTGGCCTGAAATCGACGGAATAGTTTTCCTTGGACCTTTTCGGGACCACTAGCGTATTCCCCTAGAGTGACCACTCATTAAAATGCTTAAAGTGGCCACTTTTGCAAGTTTAAGTACACCCTATAGGGGGAGCTAAGGTGGTCCCTAGATTGGAGCCTTCAGAGCCCCTCTAGAAGCCATACTTTGATTCAACTATGTTCGATTAGCCAAAAAGTCGACATATTAGGGTTTAGAACCAATTTCTAGTAACCTGATCAAAGTCCCAACTGCGGGAAGTCCCAACTGACCCAAGCCTCCACTAGAACTTTATCTAAGTCCCAACTGACTTAAGTCTCCATTAGAACGTGATCAAAGTCCCAACTGACCCAAGCCTCCACTAGAACGTGATTAAAGTCCTATCTTCGGGAAGTCCCAACTGACCCAAGCCTTTACTAGACCGTGATCAAAGCCCCAACTGACCCAAGTCTCGACTAGAACGTGATCAAAGTCCCCACTGATCCAAGCCTCCACTAAAACGTCCTCAAAGTACCAACTTCGGGAAGTCCCAACTGACCCAAGCCTCCACTAGGACTTGATCAAAGTCCCAACTTCGGAAAGTCCCAACTGACCCAAGTCTTCACTAGAACGTGATCAAAGTCCCAGCTGCGGGGAGTCCCAACTGACCCAAGCCCCCTTCAGTTATACTTCAATCACACCCACTCACAGTCCTATCCTCCGACAGAAGAACATTCCGGACGGCCAAATCGCGATGAATGTACTTGTTGGCGTGGAGGTACTCGACGCCCCGGGCCGACCCGACGCACCAGGCGACCTTCTGGGCCGTCGTGTGCTTCTGCTTTGGGTCCCTCAGAACGCTGTACAAGGATCCGCCTGGAATATGGATTTGAATGGAGAAGGAGTTGATGACGAACCAGGACAGAGCTCCGAAATGAGGTAGACGGGCTCCTGTCGGATGGCGACGCCGTAGGTCCGCAAGACGTTCGGATGGATTAGAACTCGGGAAAGTCTCGCCTCGGCCATCAGGGCCTTGTTCTGCGATTTTTGCTCCGTCGATGTGATTTTTAACTGAAAATGGACTTTTTTGGGACTTGTTTATGTCGTTTTGAAGCATTGGAAAGGTAGAAATCGGAAAAAGTGAACTTATGTGAAATATGGCCGAGAAGTGGAATCAACATTAAATAAGCAGAATTTTTTGAAAAATAGCTTTTTGTATCCTTTTTGTAACTCAAAATGTTTTATGTTCACTGGCAAAAAAAGTAACTGACAAAAAAATTTTTTTCAAAGCTTTTTCCTATGATTTTTCTTGTCCAGGAAGTGAGAATTTTTGAAAAAGAGTCGAAAAATTTTTTTCAAGAGAGTAATGAACGCGAAAACGATTAACATATCGTGAAAAATTGGAAACTTTGGAGCCTTTTTTAACCTTCAGAAGACTTTTCATCCTTCCCCTAGTTCTGGATATTCTATCAGAAAAAAAAATATACCGTTTTTATAGCGACACGGATCAAATTCCCGTCCGATTTCAAATCCAGTGTTCCCAGTCGTACCTGAACATTTTATTGATTTTCTTTAAAGCCACTCGGCTCTCGGTAACGAAAACCGGACGCGCTCTGGAAGTTTCTGAGCGATTCTAGGGATCACTTAAGAGTTCTGAGGCTACTAGAGTGGTCACTAGGAATGCCCAGACACGTCCGATTCGCGTTATCAAGGTCAGGGAAATTTTCGGGATTTTTTCCAGCTTTTTTTCTTTTTTTCGAGCCCTTCATCTAGTGTGACAAAGAACGTTAAAACATTCACTGTTCGTTTTTTCTACTTTTTCTCCTTTTTTCAACCTTAAACTTGAAAAAAAGTATTTGAAATATTGTGAAAACCTCTCCCAACTCTTCCTACCCAAAGCGTCAATTGGAGCATCGTACCCACCTCGCCGAAAGCTCCGCCCCCAAGTATTTTTGCTGAGAGTTCCACCTGCTTGTGTGTAAACTCCCATGATGCCAATTTTATCGGTGTTTTCAGTTTCACGGCTTGCTGAAATCCAGGGTCATTGAAAGTTGACGATTCTGGTGGTGATAGTGACAAAAGCAAGTTTCGATTTTAATGAATCTCAGAAAAAAAAAGTCAAAAAAAAGGAAACAGTAAAAATGAAGAGTTCAGGTAAAATCTGTTTCAGAAACCCAATTTTAAGCTCCGGAGCAAAAAAAAACACGGAATTCAAATTTTTGTTTCAAAATTTTTCGACTTCAGCCAAAAAGTTCTTAAAAATGAACCTTAAACTCCTCGTTTTCAAAATAGAAAGAAAAAGCTAGAAATCTTCTTTTTAGACCCGTGATAAGTTCAAAAAGTCCATATTTTGAACTTTATTTCGTCTTGGAGACTCAATTTTTCAAGATAATCTTAATTTGAACTTTTTCTCACTGTCATTTCCTTGAAAAAAGGGGTCCTTTTCGATTCCTCTCAAAAAATCTCATTTAAATTTCCTCAAAAAGGGGTCCTTTTTCGAATCCCATCAAAAAATGCCCACTTTGCGGATGACGATCGGTGTGATTTTGTGAAAAGTCAACAGCTCATTGATCGTCTCGAACTTGATGCCGTCGATCGTGCACGTGTTCTTTTTCCTCCAAATTTTTATGCTCCGTATTCGTGCCTTCAAAATTAAAAAAATAGATGGTTTTTGGTGAAGTTTGGAACGCTGGAGTGGTCTCTACAGGGGCCCTTTAGGGACCACTTTACCTCCACTATAGGGGTTACTAAAGCTTGTAAAGGAAGCTCCTATATGGAAAATAAAAGTCGGTTTTTTTTTATGAACCTTAAGAAGCATTTCCATGCGAATAATTTAGCGTTCAATTTTCAAGTCATCCCAAAAATTTTAAGACCCCTGTAGGGATCTCTTAAGCTTTAGAGGCTTGAATATCAGACCCTCAACCCCTATAGGGATCCCTCAAGCTTAGAGGCTTAACAGTCAGATCCTGAACTCCTATAAGGAACACCTAAGTTTTACCCCTATAGTGATAACTTAAGCGTTACATGTTTAGGAGCCAGACCTTGAACCCCTATAGGGGCCACCTGAATTTAACCCCTATAGGGAGCGCTTTTTTGTCTCCTATAGGAGATATTCTCGCCCCTAACCCCTATAGGGACCACTCTGACGCCCCTAAGAAGGGCAAGTGCGACAAAAGCGGTTTTTTCCATTTCTGAAAGGTTACTGTAGGAAAAAGTCCGCATTATTTCTCTTTTGTGTTTGCACTTTTGTTGTCTTCCTTCTCCGTTTGTTAATTTCATCTTTATACAGAATTTGAATGGATTTTTGATGTATTTTAACTGTGTTCTGTCATTATAATCCATCCCGATGACGTTTTAATAAAAATTAAATAAAGCCAGGCAAGAAGTGTGCGAACACGCCTCGGAATGCGGACTTTTACACACAGTAACTTTTGGAATTGGAAAAATTCCCTTTTTCCGAAAACAAAAAGGGAAGCTCACCTGGTAACTGTCGTCATCGGCGTTTTCTTTTTCTTGAACTGAAAAAGTAAAACTATTTTTATTTTTATTTCAGTCACGAAGTAGAAAAATTATTAGTTTATCGATTTTCAAAGGAAAAGTTCGTTAAACCGCATGTTCAGAAGATCTTGGTTGTTATCTTATAGCTGCGCCCGACTTGAAGCGACTTATGCCTGTGTTATAGCTGATTCTGTTGGATTTGTATAGATGTGGAAACATGGTAAGATTAATTGGCTGTTTCAAAGCGATTTTTGGCGGGAAAAAAAAAATTGAAAGTGCCCTTTCATAGCATTTTTCGAACTCGATTGCCCGTATCATGGAGAAAAAATATTAATAATATCGAAAAAAAAAGTCAAAAAAGGCGGCTCGCGTTCAAATTCCTAATTCCCGCCAAAAACCGCACCGCGACCGCGACGCGTCCAACCATTTTTTTGGTTTATAGTCTAATAAAAGGCAAAAAACGTACATGTCAAAAACAGAAACAATTATTTCCGGCGTTTTAGTTTTCTTTTTGCTTTGTAGCTTTCTGAAATAAGCAAAATAGTAAAATTTTCAAAAAGGAAAAAAAAACATCCGAATGCGTAGTTAATACTGCTGGAAGCTCCACACTTGCGTCCACCGTTGTTTGCTGAAAATTAAGAAATGTTATTTATTTTTAATAGATAAACAATGGATAGTTTTGCCAGTTTTTTGAATATTCATATGTAGGGACCGCAGACGAATTTTCAAAAAATTTTTTTCAGCATTGAGCTTTGTATGGTTTGATAGCTGTTTCGATTCAAAACTCAGAACCGTTTAGTTTTTCGAAAAAGATTAAGGATGAAAAAAGTTATGACGAAAAATGTGGCGCGCCGCGCACGATTTTTTTAGTACTGAAATTTTGGTATTATCCATTTTTGACATTTTTCTCGATTTTTCTTCCAGAACAAGTTTTGATACTGGTCTATTATGATGTGACAAATCATAATAGAGTGCTAAAATAATGCAAATTTGCTAGTTTGCCGAAAAAGTCGGTATTTTCCAGAAAACAAAAAACTGGCGCTTGCGGGCATCGAACTCGCGACCTCAAAAAGAAAATTCGCAGCGCACGCGCTGCGCCAAGCTGTTAGGTCTAGTGAGGGGAGCTTCCATCCGCCATATCCTTGAGCCGTTTGAATTGCACAGATTGCCATTTCAAAAAGAAAAAAACTTGAAGTAATTAAGCTGTTTTTTTATCAGAATATGATCGCAAATCTTTACTCAAACTTTCCGTAGAAATTCACTTTGAAAAAAACTGTTTTTTTAGTGCTTTTTTTGCCTCGTTTAACGATCGCTGCATTAAAAACGGCCCCGTAAATTTTTTTGGCAAAGACGAATTTTTTTATTTTATTATTTTAATTGAAAGATTTCTTACTAATAAATTTATATAATCGTTTAAAAAACCTGCGTTCGACCGCTTTCGGTGTGATAAACGCCGCTAATTTTATCCTCTAGTTTCAAGAACATTTTTGCGTATTAAACAACTTTTTCAAGCACATATGCTGTGGAGAAAAATTTAAGTAAGCCCATGGTCTAAATTTTGAAAAAACAAAAACTCGATTATATTCGCTTATTAACGATATTTTGAATTATGACTTTCGGCACTCCCTAAAATTTTTGGCAAAGACGAATTTTTTATTTTATTGTTTTAAAATTACCGTTACTTGAATCAAAATCATTATTTAAAAAAAGAAAGAGTGCGTTCGACCTGAAAAACACATGAAAAAAAGCAAAAAAATTGACAAAATTTTTTTAGTTCCATTCACGTTTTTTTGTACGACATTCCGCGCGAACGCATCAAAAAAAGCGTGAAATATTTTTTTAAAACGAAAGAGGAAGCTTTTTCTGTACATGGGTGTCAAAATTTATTATCCAGTTCCACATATTTTTGCAACTACAGCAAAATTAAAGTTGAAAAACCAAAAAAAGAGCCACTTTTTCTATCGCGAAAAGGGGCGTGGCTTTGCGGTCCCTATTCATATGAGAGAAGAGGAACGTTTTCACGTCATTTTGGAAGATTCAAGAAAAAAAAAAACTCAAAAATTCAATTTTGCTAGAAATTTTAGCGGTTATACTCCATCCAGCGCAGCTTGGAACAGTCTGACCTGTCTGCGCTCTCTTTTTCCCAACCGGAGAGGTCTAGAAAGAGAGAGTGTACACGGAAAAGAGGGCGCAGAGAAAACTCCAATTTTGCCAAGTCTTTGTTTCTCTGCACCCTCCTCGTCTCTCGGCGACCCTCTCATGTTGACATGCTGTTTTCATGTTTCTCTGACCTCGCCGGTGAGGGAACGGAGAGACGCAGACACGCGATAATTTTTAAGTCACGGTTGACGGATTGAAGGAAAGAAAAGATGATTCCTTGGAAATTTTCCAAGAAATTTTTGATGATTGCTTACACATTTTCAAAAAGAAAAACCAGCCGTTGTTGTCCTCGAATTTTTGGCTTGCCGCGACGGCCTCAGGTTGCCCAAAGTTGAGCGCAAAATATAATCGCCCGGCTGTCGCAACAACGTCACCAAGTCCTCCCGGGGCAGGAATCCGTGGTAGCACGGTAGATTCAGCAATTCCTAGAAGATTTTCTTTTTTCTGAGTGGAAAATGAATAGAAACTTTTGGAGACAGCTTCTTTGAATAAAAAATGTATTATAAAAACACTATTAAAGGCGCAGGCGCCATAGGTTTTCACTACACAAACTCAATTTTCTGCACGAAGGCGGCGCAGTGCATGCACACGACACACAAAACTTTACGGAGAAGAAGGGGCGGGATTCGTCTCATGACCCATTGAACATGCGCCGTTAATATTCCCTGTTTTTTACGCGTCTTTCTTATGACGTCACATGGGACCACCCCCCTTCATTTTTCTTGCATTTTCTTTCACTAACAAAAACGCCGTGGTGTTACATGAGTGTAGGGAGGCGCCGATTCCAATAGCGCTAGTCTGCAATTTGCCGTCGGGTGTAAGCGACGTGTGTGCAGACGCCGTCTCTGCTCGCGCCTTTTCGATAATTGGACAAAAAAAATCGATGAAAGATGGCGCGAAAATTATTCGAGCTATCGTTCAATCTATACTTCAATATTAATAAACTTTGATAGAAAAAAACGAAAAAAATAATAATTCCAAACAATGACGCGAAAGGAAACGTTGTCTGTATACACGTCGCCTACACGCGACGGCAAATTGCGGACCAGCGAATTTGGATAGCGGTTTTTTGGATGTCTTACACTCTCTTACACAGGACTACCTACTACAGAAGTTAAGATCAATTAAATTTTCTGATCACCTTTTCAAACTTGGCGTGTCCTTCTTCAGGCACTGGCGCTTTTGGAATCGGTACTTTAGGAGATTCTCTGAAAGTTTCAAAGATCTTTTTTTCTTAAAAAAACAGGACCATTCCTTTAACTTCCTAGAAAGTATTCTGAGATGGTCACGGTTTTAAAACACAACACAAAAGTAGCTACCGTAACCAAAGCTTTTGGGTTTTCGCTTCGAGAGTCTACAAAAAGAAGGTCTGCAAGCGAAACTTGTAGAAAAAGTATATAGTTTTTGACAGAAAAAAATAATGTGATTTTCCTATACCAAAAACTATTGATCCAATGAACAGTAAGGAAGGAAAAAACGAACGACTCCTTGATTTTGTTTTTCTTTTTTCGTTCGGCCAAGCTTTTCGAAGCAAGTTGGTCGGCGTCCTGTGAAATTGCCATTTTATTCCGAAATGAATTTCCTGAGGTAAAATTGCAGATCTGGTCCGAAGTTCTGGGGTAGGTAGTTTCAGGTATGAGTACTTGAAAAATAGGAATTATAGTCTGTTCTTTACTGACTTGAAAGGCGAGTTTGGTGGATTGGCAAGAGTGACGCGTTGCGTACGCGACGCGGCTGTTTGGCGGTAAACTTGAGCTCTGACATGAAGCGCCAAAAAGGCGCCACAAATCTTGCTCTGACACAATATTTCGTCGTTATCTAGCTGAGAGAAAACGACGAAATAGTTTATGTCAGAGAAAGAGTTGTGGCGCTCCATTTCCCCCGGGGAGTGGAAAAGGTGGTGGGTTGAGAATTTGATAAAACTTGGTATATAGGTACTTTAGGACACCCTGATTTCAATAAAGTTGAAAAAAGCGTGCCTTTTGCGTTCTAGTCGAGTTATGACATCTCGAAGTTTGCACGCGAAAAACGCATTGGATAGGAGGAGGGAATGTGTCGCGGCGGCTAACCTCTGCTGCCAGCAGGCGGCGTGGTGTAGTGGCTAGCGGCCTAGTGTAATGAAATCTATGATGCAGGTTCGAATCCTTCTTGGGGCAATTTTTTGCCAATTTTTTTATTAGAAAAAAATGATGAATTTTTGAATATGTCACGAAAAAAATAACGTTCAAACTGATGAACTTCAGGGAGGCCATCGAAAAAAAGTGTAGAAAAAAATAGTATGTTTTTCATTATTTTTTTATATTTTAATCGCTCAAACAAGTCTTTGTAAGCCTATAACAAGTTGAAAATTACAGAAAAACCATGAAAAATAAGAAACGCCTGAAAAATTTGGCTTTCGTTTAAATTCAAGTTTCCCGCCAAATAGCCGCGTCGCGTACGCAACGCGTCATCCTTGCCAATCTCCCCATCTCGCCTTTCAAAAGGGTCGACTATATCTGGGGTACTGGGAAAAAATGAACGGAAAAAGGCTCAAAAACTGATTATCTTCAAATTTTTACTTTCTAAAACGACTGCTGTAGCTCTCCGTATCATAAGGAAAACGAGAAAAACGAGAAAAAAAAAAATTAGTTTTCAAGCTTTTTCCGTAAGTTTCCCATTGGTCTCAGTACCCTCCGGCGTTTGGAAGATAATCATTTTTGTTTCAAGTTGTTTTTTGCTGGAGTTTCGGACCAGAACTTCACCTTTCACAGGAAAGTGGTACCTTAAGTGCTTTGATCGTCTTTAATGAGCAAATTTTGCTTTTTTCTTCCTCCATCAGACAGCCGTCCTCATCGTCGGCCGTTCTGTCCAGTTCAATGTGCGTCTGGAATTTTTCTCGAAATGAGAAAATTTTGTGACATCGACATAATGGAGCGAAAAGCTTGAAAACTGCTTTTTTAGGTGAAAATTTTTGTTAAAATCAGTTTCTGAGCCTTTTTTGCTCATCTATCAGAAGATATTTTTGATTTTGATTAAAATAAATAAATTTTCAAGAAAAAAATGCTATTTTAGTTGGAAAGTTTCTGTTTTATAAACCTTATATGAGAAAATCTTCGATGGAATCGGAAATAATTAAATAGAACTAGGGAACTTTCCCGTTTCAGCTTTTTAAAACATTTTCAATGATAGGCGTTTGAAACTTCTTAAATATATAGCAGCAGATTCACGACTGGCTTGAGCCATCGAAAAATGGGTCCTGGCACGATAAGGCACGAGAGAGTGCCTGGCTCGTGGAGAGCGCAGACAGGCCACGCCCCCTAGAGTCCCAAGCAAGCCGTGGATCGGCTATATTGTGAAAAAAAACTCGGATGTTTTATAGAAAATAAAAATGAAAAGCTGGTCTCCAAAAGAACCCTGAGGAGGCGCTACGTCCCTCTAGGGATCACTGAGAGGCCTAGGATTGTCAAAAAAAAGGTGCAGATAAGAATAAAAACCTTGTTATCAGCAGGTTTGCGCGTCATTTTGACGAGACGGAGGCGTTAATCAGAAATGACCTTTCTGTTTCCAGATTTATACCTTCAGACGTTTTTTTTATTTACTGTGTCTCAAAGTTCAATCTCAGCATAATTTTGCCAGGAAAAAATCATTTTTTTTCTTTTTTTCCGGTTTTTCCGACATTTTTGTCTTCAGAAGTAGCCTTTTTTTCATCAGATTTAATTTTTTTTAGACGTCTTTTTCAAATTATTTTAATTTAAAGTTCATCGGATTTTTTTTATCACTAAAAAAATAAGTTTTTCTTTTCTCTATTTTCTATTTTTTTATCCGATATTTTTTTCGCTTTTTATTTTTATCAGATATTTTTTTTCGAACGTATTTTTTTAAATTAATTCTAAATTTAAGTCCAGTTTTGTCATTTTTTTTTATCAGGAAAGATGTGATTTTTTTTCTTTTTTTCATTTTTCGACTTTTTTTCGGCTTCAGAAGTAGCCTTTTTTTCATCCGATTTTATCTTTTAGACTTTTTTTTTCGAATAAATTTAATGAAGTACAATCTTATCATATTTTTATCAGAAAAAGCATGATTTTTTCTTTTTTTTTCATGTTTTTTTTTCCAATTTTTTTTGGCTTTCATTTCATCAGATTTAATCGTTTTTTTTCTTGATTAATTTTTACTTTAAAGCTCAATCTTATCATATTTTTTTTCAGGAAAAACATAATTATTTCTTCTTTTCATGTGTTATTCTGACGTTCCTGACTACAGAAAGAGCCTTTTTTTCATCAAATTCAATTTTTAGACGACTTTTTTTTCAAATTATTTTTAATTCAAAAATTCTACGAAGTATATTTTTTTATCAGTAAAAAAAAATAACTTTTTCTTTTTTCTATGTCTTTGTACGATATTCGTGGCTTTCATTTTATCAGATTTATTTTTTCCGACGAATTTTTTAAATCAATTCTAACTTTAAGTACAGTCATAGCATATTTTTATCAATAAAAAAATTTTTTCTTTCTTTGCCTGTTTTTTTCCGACATTTTTGGGCTTCTCCAGCCATTTCCATGCATTCCGTAACAGCTCCTCAGCTTCCGCAATGTTTCTTTTTGAAGATGTTCCGAGTAGATTCAAGAGTCTCTTCAGATCCAGCTTTTCCTCTTAAAAACTCATTTTTTTCCCTTTTTATTGCGATTTTACTCTTGAAACTGTAAATTCAATTCAAAAAGTTCAGTTGACCTCGGCGAAAACCGCGATTTCGACATTTTCGATGTGAGATAATTGCACCATAGAAAGTTTAGACATAATACGATTTGAAGAGAATGCCAGAGAACCCAAAAAAGTCGTTGCGAGGGTATTTTTTGCGTTGGCAAACTTTTCTGTTTCTATTTTCATTCAATTGGTCTTTGAGGGAAGCTTTGAAGGGGTCCCTAAAGGGTTTTGCTTTGCCTTCTCGATTTTAGTCACAGTTCCTATGTGTAAAATTGAATTTTGAAATTTATTCAATTTATTTTTCTGATTTTTTATATTTATTGCTCCCTTTTCGTCAAAATTTTGAACTGGAAAGTGGTTTTCTCAAAAAAAAATTATGAAAAGTTGAATAATCTATCGATTTCCCGCCATTAAGTCACAAAATTTGCAATATTTCCGAATTATGAAATTTTTCAAAGGTTATTGAAAAAAAAGTTATGTTTTTAAAGTGAATTCAAATAAATTTGAAATTTCTTCGAACGGAATTTTTCTGATTTTTTTACGTTTATTTCTTGCTTCTAGTCCAATTTCTGAGCTTATAAGCAGTTTTTTTCCAAAAAAATAGAAAAGTTCAATATTACCTCCATTTCTCGCCATACAGTCAAAAGAATTAGAAATTTTATTAAATAATGAAATCCAATTTTAAAAAAATAAACTTTTTTTACCTTTTTTTCGAGCTGGATTTTTCTAATGAAAGGGGCCGATTTCTTGCTTCTAATCGAAATTTTGAACTTGGAAGCTGTTTTTTTCGAAAAAAATATAAGAATACCTCAAAAATTCTTTCGATTTCTTGCCAAGGTTTGAAAGGTTTTTTTGAATTTTCAATTTAAAAAAATAATTTTGGGAAAAAAGAAATTTCTGTAACTTTTTTTGAAAGTCAGTGAAAAAACCTTGAAAAAAATGCGCTTTTACTTCACTTTTTCGGTTTTTTTCAAAAAAATTTTTTTAAGTTTAATGAATTTTTTTAAAAACGGTCCTAACTCGATCGACGAAGGAGTGTACATTCATGGGAGAAGAGAGAAAAAAAGACGAGATTTTTTGAAAATGTAGCTCTAATTATTAGTTATAAAAATACTCATCTCGCATCATCTTTAAGAAAAAAATTTGAGTATTCCAGGAAAAATCTGGAAAAACTTCCTATTTGCTCAAGACGCTACTTCTCGGATTTCACACCGACTTTTTTTATTCCAATTTTCCTTTTTTTCTTTCTTGAAAAAAATTCGCCAAACTTGAATCTAGTTGTATTCCAGAACTTGAAAAATAAAGAATTTTCAGAGATTTTTTTCTCAAAATTATCTTGATTTCTGTTATCTGAGCGTCAAAAATCTAAGTATCTGGATATTTTTTTGACTTCTCAAAATCCTTTCCGAAATGTTTAAAGGAGCATGAGTAAATTTTGAAAAGGTCTCGGAGCGAAAAGCCTTTTTCAAGGTTTTTGAGGTTTTTTTTTTCGCAAATACCGTTTTCAGTGAATGTTATATTTTTTGATTGTTTTTCGAATTGTTATCTTTTTTAAATTCTCTACTTTTTTTGAAAAAAATCACCTGTTTTTAAGGTACTTGAAAGCCTTGAGAAATCTGAAGAAAAAAATAATTTGAACCTGAAAAGCAAGTTAAGCTGAAGAGTTAATAAAAGCGAGGCGGAACCTGGAAGAAAAACAGGAAAATGACAAATGTTGTTTCAACGCTGCTTTTTCCTGTTCCTCTTGCCGCCCTCCAGGTGTAAAAAATGCCTCTTTTCCGTTCGAGTAATGATTCTTGGCTTTTTCCTGAAATCACTGTTTCGTGCTTTGCTTTTAATACGAAACCATCTATACTATTACTGTTTCGTCCATTCAAAGTTTAAAAAAAAGATAAATTTGCAGATAAGATGGTTTATATCTGATTTCGACATTGAGACTTTTTAAAAAATCAGGGGTTTACACCAAAAATTATTGAATTTCGAGCTTTTTTTTTTAATATTTTCCATGTTTTTAAACTCATAACTGTCACTCTTTGAATCTGAGAAATTTATTCATAATGAAAAAAATTTATTATTCTTCTTCTGTTTTGTGTTATCCAAGCATTATTTTCTTCCAAAACTTTTTTCAAGTTTTTTTTGATCTTAAAAATATTTTTGTATGATGGATTCCTGTTTCGAAACCTTGATTTAGCTTTGGATTAACTCTGGAATTTTTGCTCGATTTTCATTTCTAATTAAACGATAGTTCTTTTTTTTCTCTGCGTACTGACGGGTAATTGAAAGCCTTGCAAAGTTTTTAAGCAAAAATTTGAAATTATTGTAGAGGCTTTTTTTTCTCAATTTTTATGCTTATTTAAGCAATATTTGACTATTTCTTTATGTTTTTTTAGGTACCAAGGGTTGATAGAAAAAAATTTCAAAAAAATTTCAAAAAAATTTTAAATCTTTTTAAATTGGATCTAAAAAGCTATATTGACAGCAGTCTTGTTTTTTTCTATATATTAATTTTTTTAAATCAATAATTATTCACCTGTTTTCAAAGTACCGATGATTATTTGAAAGCCTTGAAAAATCGAAACTTGGAAGGCTAAGAAAAGGCTTCAGGCTTTTTTTTTCGATTTTCATTTGGAGTAAAATTCATCTGTTTCCAAGGTACCACTGGGATTGATAGAAAAATTTCAAGAGTATCAAATTTTTAATCTTGATATTTTCAACCTGACAAGCTTAATTTACTGTAGGGCTACTTATTATTACGTTTTTTTATCTATTATTGGACAATATAATCAAATTTTTTTCCCCATGAACCGATGGTTGATTGGAACTTTTTAAAAATATCTAAACCTCGCAAAATTTCATCCAAAACCCTAAATTAGCTGTACCTTGTTTTTTCTCGATTTTTACCGTATTTTGAAAAAAATTCATCTGTTTCCAAGGTACCGCCAGGGTTGATAGAAAAAAATTTCAACGGTATCAAATTTTTGAATATTGCGAATTTTCAACCTGGAAAGTTTAATGTACTGTGAAATTGCTTATTTTTTTTCTATTTTCACCTTTACCTGAAAAAAATTCACCTGTTTTTCAAAAATCCGTAAGTTTAAGGTATTTGAAGATCTAAACCCCAAAAAAAGATGATTTTTCTGTGGACTTATTTTTTGGATTTTTATTTTTCCTTCAACATTAATTATTCTATTTCCAAAGTACCACTGAGTAATTGACAAATGTTCAACCTAAAAAGCCGGGATGAAACTGGAAACGAGTGGAAAATCGATAGCCGAGAGACGTGTCGGCCCGAAAGCCGCCGTGGCGCTCCATTCATGGCCATCTGCTCCTTTCATTTCGGCTCTCGATTTCCCTTCGTTCTTGACTTCCGGTCCTTGATTCCTTATTTCTTAGTTCGTTTTTCGGTTTCGATTTGGAGATATAAGCAAAAATTGAGCAAAAATGATTCAAAATACGCCTCATTCCCGCCGAAAATTGAGCTTTTTTCGTTGCAAATCTGATTTTTTTCGTTTTTTTCAGCTTGGAAGAAGCAACTAGTTCTTTGGCAAAGGTTAAAAAACGTATTTTTGGTTTCAATTTTGAGATAAAACGAAATTTTGAGCAAAAATTATTCGAAATACTCCTCATTCCCCTCAAAAAATGACCTTTTTTTGTTGCAAATCTGATTTTTTCGGTTTTATTCAGCTTGGAAGAAGCAACTAGTTCATTGGCATTGGTTGAAAAAACATTTTCGGTTTAAATTTTGAGATAAAAGCAAATTTTGAACAATAAAGGTCAAATAAATTCCTTTTTTTCCCACCAAAAATTGAGCCTTTTTCGTTACGAGACCTTTTTTTTCCTTTTTTGGGCTTGTTAGAGCTGAAAAGTTTATTGGCATCGGTTCAAAAACTTTTTCTTATTTAATTTCAAACTGAAACTGAAGTTTGATCCAATATAATTCGAAATATACCTGATCCCCGCCGAAAAATGTTGCGAAATCGTGTTTTTTTTTCCCTTTTTGGGCTTGGAAGAAGTGAAAAGGTTATTGGAAATGCTTTAAAAAAATCGATATCTTTTTTTCAAAAAAATAATTCCATGACTTTCTGAGTTCTTACAAAAAAATTCCCTCGTTTGAAGTTCAAAAAAGGTTGAATTTTCAAAAAAATGGTTTATATCTTCCTTTTTTTCTCAAAATTTTTCTATTTCCTTTCGAGCTTTTGCAGGAGATTCCAATGGTCGGAATATCAATACAAGTTTTTTTCCCTCAGAAAAAAAGCTCATTTGACGGAGATTTGTTTGTTATAAAGCTGTGCAAACTTGACTGCAAAAATTCGAAGCTTTAAAAAAATCCCTAAAAATCCAACCGATTTGAGAGAATTTTTCCAGTAATTTTTGTATTATTTAATGGCTTAAAAATTTTTCGATACGAGAAAAAAAAGAAATCGAACAAAAATTGGTCTTTTTCCAACCAAATAACACAGATAAAACCAATTTTCGCTTAAAAAAAAACCAAAAAATCCCTGTTCCACCTTAGAATTTTTCTCATTTTGTGGTCCCTTCTTGGATTCTTTTTTTAAAAAGCAAAAAGTACATAATCCTGGCTTTGGAATCTCTACAGGTACAGTACCCTTTCTTTTGAATTTGTTTTTGCGCGTATGAGTGTAAAATTGCGTCGTTCTGCAACTTGGTGTGTTTTAACCTCGAAAAATTCTTTTTTTTTTATTTTAAATTTCGGGGATTTACATTTTTCTTTCTACCGTGTTCAAGATAGTTTTCGCGAAATTCAAAATTTTTTCTGACCCTTTTAAATTTAATTTTTTTTTTTCACTTTCTGACGGTTATTTCGAAGTTTGGAGAATCATTTGGCATTGAAATTTTTAGTTGAGGATTTTTTTGGTTCAGTTTTTTTTTTGTAAGTACACACTTTTTGCTTTTTTCCATCTTAACTGTCGTGTAGATCATTTTTAAGTTTATTGAAGCTCATTTTTCTTTTTATCAATATTTTTCTAATAAATTTCTTTTTTTTATCATAAAATTCATTTCAGCATGAACAAGCTCTACACAGTCTTTAAATTAAAATTAATTTTTCCAGATGCCTCAAAAGATTTCGATGACGTCATAGGGAAAAAATGACGATGACGTCACCGGCTTCGTCGGTAAAGCCGTTGGCCGTTCAGATGACGTTGAAGGAGAAAGAAGTCGTGAGGGCCGTTTTGGAGTTTCTCGAGCTCCGAGGCCTCAATATTACCCAGGTAAATGGAGAGAAGGTGTTTTGAACTTTTTTTTTTTGATTGTAAAGTTCTCAGTTGGTTTTTGTAAATTTCTGATTTTTCGACTTCAAGAGTCATTTTCAGCTGAATAAGCCATTCCAAATGCGACGAGAAAAGCAATTATTTCTTATTTTGGAATGATTAGGGGACCTTGGAAAAATAGGACGGTTGAACGATGATTTTTTGGGAAGTTAGGCCGCACTTGGCATTTGTGAAATACGGCCTTCAAGATAAGTTGGCTTTTTTTGATTCTTTTTCATTTTTTTACTTTGTTTCTACCACACTTTGATTGATATTCAGGTTAATTTATAAGTTTTGTTATAATTTTTTTCATTTTGAAAAATGTTCTACATCACATTTTTCAACCAGTTATTTCTGAAAAAGTTCAAAAAAACGTACTTTTGCATTATTTATATGGTATCTCAGGACATTGCGGTTTCCAAATTTCAATAAAACTTTTTTAAACCATTTTTCCGTGATAGTTCATCCTTTAGCAAATTTTTGAGTTCAAAAAAAAAAACTCGGTTTAAAATATTTTTTCGTAAAACTGTTTTTTAAGAGATTTGTACAGAAAAAAAAAAGTTGAAAAGATGGTCGCATTTCACAAATGCGAAATACGGCCTAACTTTCCAAATAAATTACCGTCCTAATTTTCGTAATTGCATTAGAAAAGCCCTTTATAATATTCCTGAATGCTGGAAAAGTCGGTCGGTTTGGAAAACTAGGCCGCGCCGCAATTTTGCTCCATGGAACACTTTTCTGAATTTTTCTTCTTTCATCAGTTTTTTCGGAAATAAGATACATGCTCCTCACTTCGAACTGAACCTTTCCTTATTTTTTTTATCGGTTTTCTCGATAATTTTTTTGGATTTAATTTTTGTTTCTTGCCTTTTTTTGTGTAGTTTACACATGATCTCATTTTTTTCATTTTTCGAGATTTTTCGCTCATTTTGTTATATGCAGTTGTTTTGGACCCAGAAAATTGATCAATTTTAAAAAATTAAATCAGTTCATTTTTTTTTAATATATTAATCATCGTATTTTTCTCATGAGAAGGATAGAGTTAAAAGAAAAAAAGCGAAAACCTTCAAGAAAATTTTAAAAAACGAAGAAAAATTCAAAAAAAAAGTTTGAAATTCGAAATGCTCCATGGAGCAAACTTGAGGCGTGGCCTAGTTTTCCAAACCGACCGACTTTTCCAGAATGCCCTTTAAGAGAACAAATTCTTTGCAGCCAAAAAAAAACAGTTAAAAATAAATTCCGAGAAGGTCGTATTTCACAAATGGAAGAGACGGCCTAACTTTCGTAATAGTCACAGAGCTCCCTATTATAATCTTAAAAATTACACAAAAAAAATGTTCCCAATTAAAGTTATCGCTGGAACGGGAAACCGGCGTAATCAACGGGGAATACTCGGACGATCTCCTTTTTCTGCGGCAACTGATCCTCGACGGCCAATGGGACAACGCCTTGGACTTTGTCGAGCCGCTCAAGTCCGTCAAGGACTTCGATTTCACCGACTTCAGGTTTTGCTCCTAAATTTCATTTCGAAAAAGAAAAAATTCCGTGGAAAATGGTGGGAAACGCCCCGCCCACTTTTTCTCCGTAAAATGTGGTGTGTCGTGTGCATACACTGCGCCGCTCTCGTGCAGAAAATTTTGTTCGTCTCGAAAACCTCTGGCATTACGGCCGCCTGCGCCTTTAATATACCTGTTATTTACGCTCTCCCATGACGTCACGTGGGAACGCCCACTTTATTTTTGGGTTTGCATTTCCTTCCACTAACAAAAAGGCCGTGAGAAATGAGAAAAAAAAATCGAAAATTTGAGATTTTTCTTCAAATTATTTTATTCATTGAGGATTAAATTTTCATAACAAAAACTATAGAGGCAACCATAGGGGGCCTAGAAAGGAGCCCTCTAGGGACCACATTCCAAACCCTATAGGGGCCACTAAAGCTTGCAAGTTATTTTGTTAGTGACCCCTATGGACATGCTGGTCGATAATTTTGAAGAGCTCTATGCGAAATACGGAAAAATAAACCTTTTTTGAATAAAATTGAACGACCCCTATAGGGACCACTCGAGCTTTAGGGGCCGATGGGTTAGACCCTAAACCCCTATAGGGGCCCCCTTGATTTTACCCTTATTGGGACCCTTTTGTCGGATTCTATAGGGGCTTTTTTTCCATCTAATCGCTATAGGGATCACTGAAATTCCTAAGAGTCCTGAATTAGCTTTTGGTATCCTTTTTGAACGTCGTCAAGTAGATCCTAACAAATTTTAACATCATTTCGATGCAATATCAGAAAGTTGAGAAGCAGGAAGCTGTTCTTCAAAATTTTGCTGAATATTTCAATGAAAAGAGCGATTTTGTACAGCTTCTCATTAAATTTACACAAATATTTTTTTGTTTTAGGGAAAATTAGGATTCCCAGAGCGGTCCCTAGAGGGGTTAAGAGCGAAAATAGTGCTATAGGGGCCGAAAAAGTGGTCTCTATAGGGGTTTAGGGTCTGACCCCCTTAAGCTTAAGTGGTCCCTATAGGGATCAAGATTTTTTTGAACATTTTAATAAAAAAGGCAATTTTGTAGACCTTCTCAATAAAGCTTCAGAAAATCGTTTGATTTCCAAAATTCCCGTGAAAATTTTGGAATTTCAGGTACAACATCACCAAGTACAAGTTCTTCGAACTTCTCTGCGTCAAATTGGAACCGGGGCCTCTACACGATAATGACTTTGCTGTTGAGGTGCTCCTTTATAATTTAAAAAAAAAGCTCAGATTTTTCAAGAAATTAAAATAATCATCAGTTTTCTCAAAACAGTTGAATTATTCAATTTAGAAGTTAATATATAGAAAAAAAGAAGACTGCATTCAATTTAGATGTTCCGATCCAAATTTTATAAGTTTTTAAGTTTTTCTAACAACTCTGGGTTCTTAGAAACCTAGAAAAGTGATCAATTATTGTCCAAATAAGAGTAAAAATCGAAAAAAGCCTCTACAATAATTTCAAATTTTTGCTTAAAAATTTTGCAAGGCTTTCAATTAGCCGTCAACTTCTTGTTTTCTCTCTTTTAAAGAAACCTTTGAGAAATGAGTTTCAGCTGGCTCGTATAAACAAAGGTGAATCGGGAAGCCGATACGAGTAGCCAGAGGTGGAGAAATGGCGCCCCTAAGCGTTTTCAAACGTTTACATTTCTAAACCGACGTAGGCCGCCATGGTCATTTCTTCATAAGTCGCTGCCTAGGGCGCCCGGGGCCAAAACCGAGATGGCAAAAAACGCCATTGGAAGGAAAAGAACGCGCAAAAATTGGAATCTTCTAAAATCTGTAAAATCGTTGTTTTCGAAGCTTTAGAACAAGGTTTTTTGAATTTCCAATTTGGTGGCAACGGAAATATATTCTCTCACTAGTCAGCGGGTTCGTAACCATACATCTGGGACATTTCGCCTAAGGAAAAGAACAAATATAACCGTAATTCACATAAAAAAATTCAACTGGACATCATATCCACTGAAACATTAAAAAAATTATTGAAAAAATTGCGAAATCCACGATTTAATGAAAAATGAACAAAAATGACCATTTTCGCCCTACTTTTGCAACGTGGTATTATACGCCATCGACACACAATGACGCGGCTCATTTCTTCTCAGAGGCCTGATGGCTGAGGCGGGCATGTTGCGCCCTGGAGGGCCCCTCATTTCTTCCACCTCTGCGAGTAGCTGTCGGAAAGCAATTTTTGGAAAAAGTCAAGTGTGTGGAAATCGGTGGTCGTTTTTATGCTACCGGGTACTACTATCTCTATGGTACCTGGGTCGGAGGTCGATGCAAGTAGCTACCTGACATTCGCGATTTCGTTCGGAAAGTCTGGAATTGCTTCCCGGATCGTTTCAGCTTTATCCAATAAAACCCCGGAAGGCTCGGGAAGGTGTAAAAAAACACTGATGCTAAATAAACGACCGATGTGCCACACAGTAGCAATCGCGAATTTCAGGTACCTACCCGGTAGCATCCAAATACCGATCAGGTACTATCCAGGTACCATAGAGATTGTACCCGGTCGCATACAAATGACCACCGATTACCATTCGCCGATTGACTCGAGTTGCTACCCGGTACCTACTTGTATCCACCTCCCGATTCATCAGTGAATAAATTATTACTCTGTCTTTTCGTTAAATGCAAGATCTTTTCTGACCTATCTGCGCCCTCTTTTCTCTCACTACAAGATTTTTGAGCTGCAGAAAATGCCCAAAATGGATAAATTGAAACAATTCTCCCGGTAAATCTGATCATGGGCACACAAAAAAAAATATTTTTTTTTGAAAATTTGAAAAAGAATTTCTTTTAACTCACATAGGATTTTTTAAAGTACCTACAGAACATGTTTCTCCTTAAAAATTTTTGAAATGAACTTTTCAAGTGTAAAAACAAACCTCTGAGAAATAAGTTTCAGCTGGCTCGTATAAATACATCATTACTCTCTCTTTTCGTTATACTCGAGGAATTTTCTAACCTGTCTGCGCTCTCTTTTTCTCTCACTGGGATATTTTTTTGAGTTCTCAGTTTATCCCTTTTTGTGTAGTATTCCATCTCACTTGGAGAAAAAAATTGGTCAAAATGTGCAGAAAAATGCCCAAAAAAATGGACTAATTGAAACAACTCTCCCGGTCATGGGTACACGAGAAAAAAATACTTTTCGAAAAAAATGTTTTTTTCGATTCATACAGGATTTTTTTCAGAGGCGCAGAAAAAAATTAGGACTTTTTTTATTTTGCATCGAAAATTTTGACAAAAAAGGTCATTTTAACTAGAATGAGCTTTTTTTCTCTCACCGGGATGTTTTTCGAAGTCTTAGATCTAATTAATTTTTTGGTAGTCCATATCAATCGAACAAAAAAAAATTGTATTGAAATGCGCAGAAAATGCTCAAAAATAGATAAATTGAAACAACTATCCCGGTAAATCTGATCATGGGTACACGAGAAAAAATATTTTTTTATCAAAACATGCAGAAAATGCCAAAAAAATTGATAATTTGAAACAAATATCCCGGAAAAACTGACAATGAGTACACGAGAAAAAAAATTTTTTCCTAAAAGTCTGAAAAAAAATTCCTTTCAACTCATATAGGATTTTTTAGAGTACCTTCAGAACATTTTTCTCCTTAAAAATTTTTGGAATGAACTTTTTCAAGTGTAAAAACAAACCTCTGAGAAATAAGTTTCAGCTGGCTCGTATAAATACATCATTACTCTGTCTTTTCGTTATACTCGAGGAATTTTCTAACCTGTCTGCGCTCTCTTTTCTCTCACTGGGATATTTTTGAGTTCTCAGTTTATCCCTTTTTGTGTAGTATTCCATCTCACTTGGAGAAAAATTGGTCAAAATGTGCAGAAAATGCCCAAAAATGGACTAATTGAAACAACTCTCGCGGTCATGGGTACACGAGAAAAAATACTTTTCGAAAAAAAAAAATGTTTTTTCGATTCATACAGGATTTTTCAGAGGCGCAGAAAAATTAGGACTTTTTATTTTGCATCGAAAATTTTGACAAAAAAGGTCATTTTAACTAGAATGAGCTTTTTTTTTCTCTCACCGGGATGTTTTTCGAAGTCTTAGATCTAATTAATTTTTTGGTAGTCCATATCAATCGAACAAAAATTGTATTGAAATGCGCAGAAAAATGCTCAAAAAAATAGATAAATTGAAACAACTATCCCGGTAAATCTGATCATGGGTACACGAGAAAAAAATATTTTTTTTATCAAAACATGCAGAAAAATGCCAAAAAAATTGATAATTTGAAACAAATATCCCGGAAAAAAACTGACAATGAGTACACGAGAAAAAATTTTTTTCCTAAAAGTCTGAAAAAAATTCCTTTCAACTCATATAGGATTTTTTTAGAGTACCTTCAGAACATTTTTTTCTCCTTAAAAAAATTTTTTTGGAATGAACTTTTTTTCAAGTGTAAAAAAACAAACCTCTGAGAAATAAGTTTCAGCTGGCTCGTATAAATACATCATTACTCTCTCTTTTCGTTATACTCGAGGAATTTTCTAACCTGTCTGTGCTCTTTTTTCTCTCACTGCAAGATTTTTCAGTTCTCAGTTTATCCCTTTTATGTTGTATTCCATCCCACTTGGAGGAAAATTGAGAAGTTTGTCAAGATTTGCAGAAAATGCCCAAAAATGGATAAATTGAAACAAACATCCCGGAAAAGCCTTTTTTGAGACTTTTTGCCCACCAAGAATAAAAGGCTCAATAAAGGCCGCAAAACGGAACCCTTTTAGCGGCCATTTTGCACCTGTTTTCCGCGCTTCCGACTTTGAGAGCTAATTGAGAAGTTCTAGGAGCTGGTGGAATGCCTCAAGGACTTGGAGCACATTTGCCCGACCCCCGAAGACTACCGACAACTTTGCGCCCTTCTCACCCTTCCCAAATTGTCGGACCACGCCGATTTCAAGAACTGGAACCCGAGTTCGGCAAGGGTCGAATGCTTCCACAAGGTTGTTCATCTACAGGTTCTATATCGACAAAAATTTGAAGAAATTGGGGAAAATGAGAAAAAAAAATTTTGGCACTGCATTCTTAGGAACTCCAGAGTGGTCCCTATGGGTGCAACTTTGTGAACTTCGGAGGTTCCCCTCTAGAGACCACTTTATCAACCCCTATAGGGGCCACTGAAGCTTGCAAAAGTGACCCCTATAGGGGACATGCTAATCGATAATGTTTTTGTACTTTCTTCGAAGAAACGTTTCCATGCGAAAAATTGAATAAATAAACTTTTTTTTAACAAAGTTGAAAGATCCCTATAGGAACCACTTAAACTTAGGGGGCTAAGAGGTCCGAAAAACAGGTCCCTGTTTCTCAACTTTCTCATATTTTATCAAAATAATTTTGAAGTTCAATTAATTTTGAGAATGGAGTATAATTTAGAAAAAAGGATTTCAAAAGATTTTCCAATGAGAATTATTGGAAAATCTTTTGAACCACCTAAATTTCAGCCCTAGAATTTCTGCTCTTCCATAGCCCCTATAGGGGCCACTCAGGCGTTCCCAAGCTGGTTGCAAAAAGTTTTTGAGTGTTCTTGTGGTTAAAATATATAGAGTTTGAAAAAAAGTTTTGTTTTTTTCATTTTTTTTTTTTTTTCCCGCTTCATAATCGCCCTCAGCATTTTTTTTAAACCTTTAATTTGAAAATTGGGTTTTTTTGGATACCTCGATTTTTTCGAAGCGCACCCTTTTTTTCAGAAATTTTGATCAAAATTCATTTTTTCCTGGTTTTATAACCCTCGATAAACTGAATTTCAAGGTCAACGCGATAGTCGGCCATCTGCTGCCGCCAACTCCCAAAGAAAGAGACCGACCTCAGGAAAGTCACTCGATGGGAGATCGACTCGTCGGTCTCCTGGCCAAGGGGGTCTTCTACGAAGGCTGCGTCGACTACTGTCAGGCTCAGGCCATCGGCGACGTCCGAGGTAACACTAGAGGGTTGAAGGAAATAATTTTGAGTGTTTCGGGTTACTGTATTTGTCAGAGCCCGTGATGATGCGCTCTCGTGTATGCGTACTGTTTACGCTTTCTACAAGCCTGGAAGAAATTCTAGTGGGTACTTAAGAAGTTGCACAAGGGCTACTTGGAGAGGACACTTAAGGGGGCACTAAACCACTTCTATAGAAACTTCTATTCTGCGTCTGAGTGGCTACTAAAGTGATTTTAGTGATCTAATAGCTCCCCTTAGACTTCTAAAGAAGCCACTAAATTTTAACTCCTAAAGTGGCCACTAATTCGACAACTATAGTGACCACTAAAGGGGGACTACTATAGTGACCACTAAATCGTCAAAACCCTGAAGTGGCCATTAGAAATGTTCCCAGAAAGGACCAGAAGAGGTTCACAGAATAAGTAAGCAGTATGCATACACACGCACACGCAATATTGCAGACTTTGCTAGGTACAGTAATTCGAAAATTCGAAAATTTCTTTCTCCCGCCATCAGTATAAAAAATATCAGAAATAACTGGAAAAATGACAGGAATCGAGTTGGGCCCATGCCCGACTTCCCTGCTCTCACATCGGCCCAAGCTTTCTGCAACCGACCTCTCCCTGGTTTCCTGGATGGAAGTCGTGACCAAGGAACAATTTGCCACGCCTTTCAAACAGAAACAGCTCGATTTGAGGGTCGAGCATATCAAGTGATTATTTAATATTATATTAAGGAAACGGTAAAGTTAGGTAAAAATCCGAAGGATTTTTTTCCTTAACAGTAAATTCATAAATTAAGGTTTTTAGAAATTTTCGGGAATTTTTTTGGGGTTTTTGGAAAAAGTATTTTTTTTATAATGGTGAATGGGCTTTCGAAAAAAATGCGGCTAATTAATTTTTATGGAAAAAAATTTATCTAAAGGCCAAAAAAAGGCTTGAAAAAAATTGAGAAAAATAAAGCATACAAAAAAATTTCTAACATTTTTTTAAATTTTAAAAAAATGGACTTGGAGACTTTTTGGACTTTTTGCTTTTTCATCAATGACCCTATAAATTTTTTTGAACTGGTAAAATTTGGAATTTTGATTTTTTCTGAAGAGATAGAGCTCAAAATATTGATTTTATATGACTAAAATGTACCCGAAAAGAGAAAAATCGCATGAAAATGGATAAGAATCAGTTGATACTCGTTAAAATGCTTTGAACGATTCAAAAAAAATCCGAGTAGAAATTTGAATTCAGAAAACCGAAATTGGAAGCTCAATGGACGGAAACCATTATGGCGACGCCGATAAAACCTGGCGGCCAATTTCCTCACAACATGGTGATAATCCTTCAAGTTTAAATAAGTTTTCTGTTTCATCCAGGTCCCGAAAACCAAGATGAAGTTCGCGGAGAAAATGAGCCAATCGATGACGATGAGTATGCTTCCAGCGATCGGGATGGCTACCAGTGAGTTATTTTTAATTTGAACCTTTTTTGGCCCAAATATGGTAGATTTTGAGTTGACTGAAAACAACAAAAAAATACACATTTCAAGGTACGTTCCCCCTGGTGTCCCGAGCGCAGCCCATGTCCCAATCGACCGCCGCCGGCTTCTGCTTGGGCATCGGAGACGCCGACGGCGCCGAGACAATGGCGCAGAGTATGCTCATCGACGAGATGTTGGAGAACAGCGCGTTGGCCAAAAGCAGTCGGCCCGACTCGCTCCGCCTCCCCGCGCCCAACTCCCAACTTCCCAATCTTCAAATGAGCGTGTTCGTTTGCAGTATTACCGTGAAAAGGCAGAAAAAGACGTTTTAAACAAATTATAATTGATAAAATGTACAGAAGAAAAGAAGTTTGGAAAGAAGCTTTTCAATAGATTTTTAACGGTTTTGCTTGGAAGGGCACAAAAATAGCTATTTTGGGATCACATGAAGTTCGAAATTCGTATGAAGTTGTTAAAAAAACTCATGATTTTTTTGATTTTTTTGCAGTTCCTTTGTCCTGAAACCTTGATTTTGATAGAATCAATCGATATTGACAAAATATGTAGCTTTTGTTATACACGGTGTTTTTGTTAGTGGAAGAAAAGGCGGAACCAAAAACAGGGTGGGCGGAGTCAAAATATCCACCGTTCCCAAATGACGTCAGGAGAACGGCAGAGATTTCGGCTCTAAGAGCGTAAATAAAAGGGAATATTAAAGGCGCAGGCCGCCGTATTGTCAGAAGTTTTTGAGACGAATCGAAATTTATCTTCTTAAACGCAATTTTCTGCGCGAAAGCGGCGCAGTGCATGCACGCGAAACACGACGCTTTACGGAGAAAAAGTGGGCGTGGCGTCGTCAAAAAAAAACGCCGTGTATAATCATCCATTTTTGCACCTAAACTTTTGAAAACTGATTATTTTTCGTTTCCCTTAAAGATCCGACCAATAATAGGAAGAAATGAATAGAACTCAATAAAAGGCCCACCAAAAAAAAATAAAAAAGAAGATTTCAGATCGGTAGCTCCCCAAATAATGGGTCCCGCCTCGACAATGGCTCAAAGTATGGTGAACTACGATTTCGCTCCAGTGAGAAGGCAACTCGACGAGATGACGCGCAGGTTTTCAATCAATACTTGTAAAATAAAAAATATATGATCCGCGCGTCACACAGCAGAAAAAAGGCTACCGTAAGCTTTTTTTGCGCTTTCGCTTCGATACCCTTCAAAAAAAAAAAATGGCGAAAAAGCTGTCTGAAAACAACAAATGATTAGGTTATACAGCGCGTCACGCTTTTAAAGCACAGGAAAAAACTTCTACCGTTACCGCAGCTTTTTTCGCGCTTTCGCCTCGAGACCCTCGATAGAAACTAAAGAAATGGCTGGGAAAATAATCGAACTTTATTCCGCGCGTCAAGCTTTCCAAACCAAGAAAAAAATATCTACCGTAACCAGAAATTTTTTATGCGCTTCCGCTTCGAGACCCTTCAAAATAAAGGGCAAAAAAGCTATCTAAAAACAACGAATAAATTATACAGCACATCACAATTTAAAAACACAGCCGACAAAATTTCTACCGTAACAAGAGCTTCTTTCGCTTCGAGACCCTTCGAAAAAAAAAGCAAAAAAAGCAATCTAAAAAAGACAATTAGAGAATTTATTCAGCGCGTCACGCTTTTAAATCACAGAAAAAAATACTTCTACCGTAGCTATAGCTTTTTTCGTGCTGTCGCCTCGAGACCTTTGAAAAAAAAACTATGGAAAAGGCTGGAAAAAAAAACTATGGAAAAGGCTGGGAAAAAAAAGAAAACCAAATTGTATTCCGCGCGTCACGCTTTTAAAGTGTAGAAAAAATTCTTCTACCGTAACCAGAGCCTTTTTCTCGTTTTCGCTTCGAGACCCTCGAAAAAACGCTGCAAGAAAAAGGCAATCAAATAATGGATCATTTTTATTATCTTATTGTTGTTTCATTATTGTTAATGTATATTTATACTTTTAAAACACTGAGAAAAAATTCTACCGTAACCACAGCTTCTTTCTGCGTTTTCGCTTCGAGACTCCAATAAAAACTGCAGAAAAAGGCCGCAAAAAACTGTCTTAACTGAAAAAAACTTAAAAAAAGGTCTTTTATTTGAGAAGAAAACTCGACAATCTGCTTGGAATATAATATTTATGGAACTTTTCAGGTCTCTACCCCCTATGGGATCCTCCTCAGTTGGTCCAACCCAAAGGGTTCCTTCCCTGGCGCCGGTCCCAGAAGCGACGACACCGGGAGAGAAACATGAAGAGAATCTGATGACCCAGAGCGTCCTTTTCCAGCAATTCGCCACTAAACAGAACTATGGTAGTTCGTGGGAGAAATAGCGTGGAAAATGAAGAGTTTCAGGCGATAACCAGCTGCATCGGAGACAGAATACCGTATACCCACAAGATCATCGGGTCATGCAGCCGATGTTCCAGAATGGACAGGTATAGTCGATTCACGGCGAGCTTGGGACTCTAGGGGGCGTGGCCTGTCTGTGCTGTCCCTTTTTTTCGTGTCAGGACCTTTTTTCATTGGATCAAGCTAGTTTGCGGATTTGAAAAGCGATAGTCCACAGTCTACAGTAAGAAAATGCTCGCGATACCATTTTTGGCGCGAAATTCGAATTTTCGCTCAGGTTTTTCACTCAATTTTCAAGAATTTTCCACGCAACACAGCAAAAATAGTCTACCGTAACCACAGCCTTTTTTTCGCTTTCGCTTCGAGACGCTCAAAAAAGCAAAAAAGTTTTCCAGCTCCCGCTCGCCCAAGCACCTCTACAACCTCAGTTCCAACCTCCAGCCCAACACTCCCAAATCCCGGTCTCAAGCGGCCGACCCCACTCGATGATGACGTCACCGATGCCGCACACGATGCTGCCGCAAGCCATTCCCCCGTCTACAGTAACCCGTCCAGTCTCCATGCCCAACCGGCCGACAGGAATGCCCATCCAGTTCGTTCCCGTCTGCAGGTACCTTTTTTTCAGTTTTAGGAGTTTCGAAATTTTTTTAAAAAAATCGTTTCGGTTCATTATAAGGGAAAGGGGGAATTCTAAGGCCGTATATGAACGCTTACGCAGCGTAAATGAGTGTCATGTTCCTATGACCTGGTCGGTGAGAGGTAAGAGAGCCCAGATAGGTTAGAGTGTTGAAGAATGAAGTGAATTTGTAATTTTTCATGTCATCTTTCTCAACTTCAAGGTTTGAATGATCTGCAGTCTGCAGTTTATGTGATATTTTCAAGTCTCTAAGATCTAACAGGTAAGAGAAAATAGAGCGCAGACAGGTCAGACTGTTGTAGAATTAAGTGAACCTTCTAAAATATCAGGTTCCTTTACTTAAAAGTGCGAAGACTCCGATGTTTATGGGCTATTTTTATGTTCCTATCTCATGTCGATGAGAGAAAATAGAGGCCAGACAGGTCAGACTGCTGAAGAATGAATGAACCTTCTAGGATATCACCTCTTCTTATTAAAGGTACGAAGACGCTCAGGCGATTCGGGCCGCCTCGTTCCATCCTTCTGGGAAATACTTCGCCTTGGGAACAAACTCCAAACAACTTCATATTTGTCGGTACCCCGATCTGAGGACGATAAGGTATTCGAAATCATTTCGCGACATCGCAAAGTCCTTTTCAGGCCAAATGAAGGAACGCGAAACGTCGAAATCTTCCTATCACGACCGAAACAACACAGGGGGTATGTTTTGAAGGCTTTTCCCTTTTTTTGGACGAATATTCATTACATTTTATTATTTTTTTCTATTTCGTGCTGCAATCGGAAGCGCCCCAGACTTTTTTGAGATTCTGTAAATTCTGACGCCCCTAAAGTGGTCCCTTGAAGTGCTGACGCCCCTAAAAAGGTCCCTAGAAATTCTGGCGCCCCTAATGTGGTCCCTCGAAGTGCTGACGCCTCTTATGTGGTCCCTAGAAGTGTTGACGCCCCTGAAGTGGTCCCTATAGGTGCCAACGCCCCTAAAGCGGTCCCTAGAAATGCTGACGCCTCAAAAGTCGCCCCTAGAAGTGCGGACGCCCCTAAAGTGGTCCCTAGAAGTTCTGAGGCCCCTACAGTGGTCCCTAGAAGTGTTGACGTCCCTAAATGGTCCCTTGAAGTGCTAACGCCCCTAAAGCGGTCCCTATAGGTGCTAACGCCCCTAAAGCGGTCCCTAGAAATGCTGACGCCCCAAAAGTGGCCCCTAGAAGTTCTGAGGCCCCTAAAGTGGCCCCCAGAAGTGCTGACGTCCCTAAAGTGGTCCCCAGAAGCGCTGACGCCCCTAAAATGGTCCCCAGAAGTGCTGACGTCCCTAAAGTGGTCCCCAGAAGTGCTGACGTCCCTAAAGTGGTCCCCAGAAGTGCTGACGTCCCTAAAGTGGTCCCCAGAAGTACTGACGTCCCTAAAGTGGTCCCTAGAAGTGCTGACGCCCCCAAAATGGCCCCTAGATGTGCTGACGTCTCTAAAGTGGCCTCTAGGGGTGCTGACGTCTCTAAAGTGGCCCCTAGGGGTGCTGACGCCCCTAAAAAGGCCCCTAGAAGTGCTGACGACCCTAAAGAGGTCCCTGAACGTACTGACGCCCCTAAAGCGGTCCCTAGGAATGCTGCGAACCGTTCAAAATGGTCAAATCATTCCTCATTTTCCCGCTTCAAGCTTGATACGAAAAAGCTGTCAGAATACGATTAATTTGGTTTTCGAATAATCGAATTGGTCGCACGGAGAATGACTCAAAGATTGGTGCATCCGACCACAAAACGACGTGCGCTCGTTGGCCACTTTTTGAGCCCTTCTTTTTGCGGCTAGAAGTCTCTGAGGCCTATGATGGGATATTTTCTTGAAATTAGTGCACTTTTTGACATTTTTAATATACATATAAAAAATTTCCATGGATTTGGGTTTTTTTTTTCAAATTGAGATTTAAGATCGGTATATTGCCTTGGTTTCAACCAAACTGGAGAATTACTTGCCACCGGATCCAATGACAAATCGCTGAGGTTGATGGCTTTCAATGGAGAAGCTTGTCGGATTGGTAAGTTTTGGATCTGGCTATAGCTTTCGAGTGTCTGCGTCTCTCTGTTCCCTCACCGGCGAGGCCAGAGAAACATAGAAATAGTACGTCAAAATGAGAGGGTCACCGAGAGACGAGGAGGGCGCAGAGAAGTCGCATGAACCTTTTTTGAAAACCTTCCTGAAAAAAAACACTATTCAAGGCGCCGAGATGGAGCTGAGCTGCCACGACGGCACGATCCGTGACGTCATCTTCATGGAAGATTCGGTCAACCGGACGTCGTTCCTCATCAGCGGAGGAGCCGGAAATTGCCTTCTGAATGTGACGGACTGCGCCTCCGGAAAGCTGGTCCAGGCCTTCAGAGGTCATTCTGGTGGGTCTTTTTTAGGGAACCACAAGAAAAATCGGTATTTTTTCCCATCATTTGTCTGCATCTTTCATCTAATGTTTACTTTCTTGTTGTTAATGGATGTGGATGAACTATTTTTAAAGATCATTAATATCGATATATTGATTGATTTATTGACTGATAGAGCAAGAGATCTTTAATTACCTTTCTATATTTAACTTCCTTATCGGATTTTCACAGGTTTTGCTGCCTTGTTTTTCGAATTTTATTCAATATTTGACTTTTCTTTCAGAATTCGTAGAAATTAAATTTTAGTTTAAATGTCCTGGAAACTGACCAAAGTTTTTTTGTCGCGCTTTTGAAATTTTGAGAAAAAAATCCGCCGCTTCTGAAGCATATAAAATTATTTCTGAGCTTCCAGTTTCATAGGAAAAAAAGAAACTTTTTCAAGTTTGAAAAATTCGAGGCGGGGGGTGTTGGTTTTAAGATTAAAGAAGGCTAATTTATAAGTTTTTTTGATTTGATCTTTTTACATCAATTTTTTTGAAAAAAACCTGGAATTTATTCTTTCACTCATTCATTTGTGTTTTTGCGACAAGAAAAACTCAAACCTTTATTAAAAAAAGGAGTCGATTTTTCCCCCGGTAATACAAGACCAAGTTCAAAAAAATTACTTCTAGAGATGAGGCTTTTTTTATTTGAAAAATCTCTATTCATTTTAAAATGCTCCAAATCTTTTTCAAAGCTTTAAGAATTCCATCATTTTCAGCCCCGATCCTTGGATTATACACTTGGGGCGGTGTTTCTACTCAATTCGCCTCTTGTTCTCAAGACAAAACCATCCGATTTTGGGACATTCGATCGCCTCAGGCCATCAACGTCATTTCTCCGACGAATAATCGAGCTCACAGTGAGTTTTTAATTTTATTTTCGTTTTATTTCCTGTCTCAGCCATCTTTTAATTTAATTTTTTTGTTCTTGATCATTTTTCTTGACCAGAAGTCTTACTTTCCATTTTTTTTTAAATCAATTTCGCACAAACTTGAAATGAATCAACGCAAAAAGTGTTCAAAAAGAGTTTTTCATTTTTCCCGTACCTTTAAAAAGTTTTTTTTCCTATCTTCAAAGCGCGCTGTTTTACACAACATGCCAAGGGGCATATGAGCGCCTCCCCTGCAGCCCTCTCTCACCGTCCGTTGTGGTCTAGTGGTTAGGATTTACGGCTCTCACCCGTAAGGCCCGGGTTCGATTCCCGGCAACGGAAGATTCCTTTTTGCCATGTTTATTCAGTTTGTTTTTCTCGTTCAGGTGCACCAGTGACGTCAGTTTGTGTCGATCCGTCGGGGAAATTACTCGTTTCTGGTCATGAAGACGCCTCCGTGGCGTTGTACGACATCCAAGGCGGCAGAGTCCTTCAGACTTATAGGTTCATTTTGAAGTTTATTGTTTCGAACTTTCTTGAGCGAAATTTCAAATATTCCTTAAGTTTGAACTATCTATTTGTGAATTTTTGAATTTCAGACCTCATGGCGATGAAGTTCGAACAGTGAGATTCAGCAACGCCGCTTATTACCTCCTAACAGCGAGTTATGATAAAAGGTTTTCTTTCACGACGAAAATTGGCCGCAATGGGAATGGTTCACTGTGTTACGGTTTCAGAGCACTTTCAAAACCGCCCACGCTGTTCCAAGTCTATTTTAACGGAGTTTTAATTTTATGAAACAAAAAAAGATCTGCTAGATTGCGTTTTTTTACTTAGAATTTTTTTGAAAAATTTCGTTTTCCAATTTTCTATTTTCATAGTAAAAACCGATCGAAACGTTATTTTTCTATTCAGTATAATTTGAAACTTTAATTTTTTTGAGTTTTGATGATTTAGAATCACTAAAAGTCATAGGATCACCCATTTTTGTTTTTCTGGGTTACGGTAATCAAAAAAGTTGCAGAGTTGTGATCACGGACATGCGCGGAGACTTGATGGCGCCCCTGATGTACTTGCCGGTCGCTGAACATTCCGACAAGGTCATTCAGTGCAGGTAGAGTTTATTTTTAATTGTTTTCTGCATATAATAATTTGTTAACTTCTATAGTTTTAATTTGAGGTTCCTGTATAGGTTTTCGTTGTTTTTGGGTTTGAAAAGACATTTTTTAATTTTTTTTTTCAAAACAATTTGGATTAAGTTTAAGGGTTTTATGAAGGTTTTTCATCAATTATTTGCTCAAAATTATCAGATTTTTTTATTTTTATTTTTTGAAAATATTTTCAAACAAATTTAAGGTTTTTTAGATTTTGGTTTCAAAAATTCTTGTTTCAAAAAAACAATTGTCTTTTTTAAACCGTTTTTTCGATTTTATTAAGATTTTTCATTGTTTTTAGCTTCAAAAATCTTCTTGAAATATTTTTAGTGCCGTTTTTATTGAATTTTAAGCTTCATTTAGATGTTTTATAGTTCGAAAATCCCTTTATTTTTCCGTCTGTTTTTTTTTGGAACATTGCATTTTTAATTTTATGTTCCTATAGAGTTTTTCCATTGGTTTGGCTTCAAAAAAATCAAATTTTTTTCTCTTTGTTCATTTTTGGAACAATATATTTAAAAAAATTCAGCTTTGTTAGAGTTTTTTTCATCGTTTTTCCATATTGGAAAAATCACATTTTTTTCATTATTTAATGTATAGTTTTTCATAGTAAAATTCAATTTAAGATGGCATCCCTATGATTTTTTTCGTTTTTTTGTCAACGAGTGCCGACCGAAGCGCCGTTCTGTGGGCCTTGCCTCCGCCCAGAAATCAGTAAAAAAATTTATTCAAAAAGGTATTTTTTTCTTATTTATTTAATTTCCATCTTTTTTTAAAAATTATTTTAGATTCTCTTTGTCAGAAATTTTATAGATTTGTAAAAGTTATTTTTTTGTAAATTATTTGAATTTCACTCATTTCCCGCCTTCCTTTGTGTTACATTCCGCTAGAAACTTGTCCAATAGTCATATATTTTTCCCATTTTTTTCCTTCACGGTTTGCCTTGAAATCCCAGTAGCCTTGCACTCCCAGAAAAAAATTCTTCCTTTTTGTGCTTTTTTTCATGCTTTTCGCTTTTCAACCAATCTACGGGAATTTTTTTGCATTTTTAGACTTTGCTTGCTTTGGCAATTTATTTTTTTAATAAATATAAATTTTTTTAATGAAGTTGCATGTGAAAGGAGACGAGAATTTTTCGAAAAAAATGCATTTTTTTCGAGACAGCACGGGGATGTCATACTGTTGAAAAAAGGTAAAATAGACTATTTTGATAAATTTAACATTTTTCATGAAGTTCCATGTTAAAAGAGAATGGAGCAGGTTTCAAAAATATAAAAAAGTTTAAATGAACATTTTGAAAATTTGAAAAAAATTATATTTTTTATACTTTCATACTTTTTCCATAAGCTCAGTTGCATGTGGAAAAAGAAAGGAAATTTATGAGACTTCAATTTAAAAAACAAGTTTTTTTTTCGAGACAGATTGGATAATTTTGTACTGTTCTCGGAATTCAAAAGAGGTGAAAAAAATTCAAATATTTTTTTAATGAATTTAGCTTTTTTTATAAAGTTGCATGTGGAAAAAAAGGCCAAAAAAATTTATGAGACTTGAAATTTTGAAAAAAATAAAACTTTTTTTTGCAAGGCAGAATGGAGGATCTTTACAGTTCAGTTTCAAAAAAATAGTATAAATAAATTATTTAGATTTTCAATAAATTGCTATAGAAAACTACATTTAAATACAAAAAAACTGGCCCCAAATAATCAAGTTCCCATTTTTTTCTCATTTTTTTGATCTACGGCTTTCGATAAAAAAATTGATACAATTTTTCGCTGCAAAAAAATGTCATTTTTTTCTCCACATAAAAAGAAAAATGGAAAAAAATCAAATTACATCGGGTTTATGTTATGTGTAAGTACGGGTATAAAAATTGGGTCGAGATTAAATCCGGCGAGAATTCTTTGTTTCAGCTGAAATTCCCGTCATTTGTTAATTTCAATCAGAATTGAAATTGATTTCCCCACAGACACACTTTCACTTGTTTTTCAATTGAAGTCATGAAGTTTTTGGAAGAATTGGGAGTTTTTTTTTCCGCCCGACCGGAAACGACTTCCGTTGAAAGTTGAAGACTTCCTTAATATTAAAAAGTGGAACTTGAGCCGCAGCGCGACCGCAACGCGTTCAGCCATTCCAAATGCGACCAGGTTTTTCAATGAAACTTTAAGGATGATTTTCCCGATTTTTCGATTTTACAAAGATTTTATCATGACCAGGAGCACCTTTCGTTCATAATATTAAGATCTGAAAAAGCTCCAAAATCAGATTTGGGCCGCAGCGCGACCGCAACGCGTTCAGCCATTCCAAATGCGACCAGATTTTCCGATTTTTGACCCGGCAAGAAACGACTTTCGTTGAAATTTTAAGACCGACTAAAGATGCAAATTTCCAACTTTAGCCGCAACGCGACCGCTTCTCGCCCAACCATTTCAAACGCGACCAGTTTTTTGATGGATATTCTCAGATTTTTTCGATTTTTCGTTCGACGAGAAACAACTGAAAGTCTTAAGACCTACTAAAGATTCAAAAGTCCAAAATGAGCCGCAGCGCGACCGCAACGCGTTCAACCATTCCAAATACGACCAGATTTTCGATTGAGATATTTTTTTGATTTTTCATCGATTTTTCGAAGCTTCCTAGATGTATAAATTTCAAACTTTCTTTTAGGATCTTTGAATTTGATTAACACATTGAAGGAAAAAATCTCAATTTCGGACCAGATTTTCTCAAGATACGTTTTAATTAATTATATGGAACCCGCCATTTTGAAACAATTTTCTCACGGTTTGACGCTATAATCGACAAAAATTGAGGAAATACTTTTTTGGATACAAATTATAAGTATACTCTATTCACTGCTGGCTTAGGACGAAAAAAATAAGGACAGATATTTTTTTGAATTTTTTTTCGTCTCAAGCCAGCGGCGTTTGACTTTTTCCATGCATTTTTTTGATTTTTCAACCCATTAAGGTTACAGAATTTGATTTTTTTCGAAGCTTCAAACTTTTTTTTCGGTTTAAAAAAATTCCATTTTACCATGTTAAAGTTTGTACTTCTGGCTGTACTTCCTTCGCCATTACAATTTCGAATTCTTTTTTATTTTTCAAAATTTTCGACAATAATGAAGGAAATAAAGCCTTTTTTCTCAATTTTTTTGAGATTTAAAGTCGAATTCAATTTTATGAAAAAAACAGCTTAGTCACCCTTTGAAATAAATCAAATCTTTTATTTTAACCCAATAAAACCCTCGAATAATCACCATTTTCTTTGAAAACTGAGTAATTGTTTTCCATGTCAGGAAGTTCTCAAAGTACGGACATTTCGACTTGAATTGCTCAAAAACAACGATTTCATTTTTCCAAGCATAGGCAAAGTCGGAAAGGGTGGAAAAAGGCAGAAATGTTCCTTTTAAGGTGAGGAAGGCTCCCTTTTCGCCGCCTTTTTGCGCCATTTTCTCGGCCTTCATGCACAGTTTTTACTGTCTCTTCCTTTTTCCACCATTTATCGAGCCTTTGAAATCCCAGAAAATGCAAGGCTTGATAAAGAGATTCTTTTTGCCGCCTTTTTTGGGGCTTTTTGGGGCTTTTTGGGGCCTTTTTGCTGCCTTTCTGCGGCCTTTTTGGGGCCTTTTTGCTGCCTTTCTGCCGCCTTTTTGGGGCCTTTTTGCTGCCTTTCTGCGGCCTTTTTTAGGCCTTTTTGCTGTCTTTCTGCGGCCTTTTTGGGGCCTTTTTGCTGCCTTTCTGCGGCCTTTTTGGGGCCTTTTTGCTGCCTTTCTGCCGCCTTTTTGGGGCCTTTTTGCTGCCTTTCTGCGGCCTTTTTTGAGGCCTTTTTGCTGTCTTTCTGCGGCCTTTTTGGGGCCTTTTTGCTGCCTTTCTGCGGCCTTTTTGGGGCCTTTTTGCTGCCTTTCTGCCGCCTTTTTGGGGCCTTTTTGCTGCCTTTCTGCCGCCTTTTTTGAGCCTCTCCTTTCTAGCGGCCAATATCCACCATTATATATGTTATTAATACTTCCTTTAACCACAAAAATTCCCAGTGAAAATTAATATTTCCCTTCTTTTTGATCAGTTTCCCACCGTCAAACTAAAAATTTAAAATTATGACGTCATTTCTATCCGCGTTCGCGGTCGCGTCGCGGCTCATCAATTTAAACTTTTCTCCTGCGATTTTTGAATTTCAATCGCCAGAAATTCAGATAAGCCCGATGACGTCACCCGGCTCATTCTCACTCCTTGACCCTACCGTAACCCCGTTTTCGTACCGAGACCGGATAACCTGGGAGTTTGAACTCAACGCCAGCTCGTATTTCTTGAATTTCCTGCTTTGTGTTTTCTTGAGAAGCAAGAAGCAGATTTGGGGATCGCTCAAGGTGAGATTTTGCAGAAAAAATTCAAATTTTGGAATTTTACACCTGAGAAAACTTGAAAATTGTCTTAAATTTCCTAGTTGCCGCCAGTTTTGAACCCCTTAGGAACGCCAGAGTGGTCCCTAGAGTGGCAACTTTATCAACCCTTGAAGGTTCCCCTGTGAGCTTGCAAAAGTGACCACTCTGGGGATTTAGTTAGTGGCCGCTCTAGGGGAGCAAGCTAGCGGCGTTTTTATTTCTAAATATTGAAAAAAATTGAAATACCACTAAAGGGACCGCTTAAGCTTTTGTGGCTTATGAGTCAAACCCTAAACCCCTATAGGGGCCTCTTAAAGTTAAGGAACTTTATTTTTTTCCCCTACATGTACCAATTTTTCCACTTTTTTTTTTTCGAATTTTGTGTACTTTCTACGATGTACCTTGACTATATCAGGTGATATCTCGGAAAATTATTTTTATGCGACTTTTTTTTTCTCACGGGTAATTTTTTGGACTATGCTACTTCCGTCTTATATTTGCTTTGTAGTGACAACAATTTGCTCATTTTCTCACGTTCCTTAAATATTCTAGCTTTTTTGAAGTTCTTTTCTAACAAGATAATGAAATATAAGGACAGGGGCCAAAGTATTATGCCAAAACAAATGAACGGAAATTTTTATGAGATGATATGTTGGTCTGATTTCTAATGAACAAACTATCATTAAAATTTTAAAAAAAATCGTTTTTTATAAATTTTAATCCAAAGTGTTTGTGTAATGTTGAAAAAAGATTCGAGAAGGTAAATTTTTCGTCAAGCTTAAATTTTGAACGCTTCAATATTTTAACTTTTTTTTGAAGGTTTACAAACCAAAGTGTAGCTTTTTCAAAACAAAAAGTTCAGATTTAGGAGAATTTTTCTCAATTTCGTGTTTTAGTCGAAAAAGTCTATCATTTTTTTCAATTTTTTTGAAGGTTTTTTTAAGTTTAAAGTATAGTCATGTTATTAAAAAAATAACTTCACAGGAAAAATTTTTTTGAGCCTTGAGGAAAAAAATTAATTTTTTTCTAATGGGCTCGGTTTCATACCGCTTTTTCAATTTAAAGGCATAGGGGCAGTAAAAAAATGGGGTTTCAGGTAAAAGCAGTATCTTATATAGTTTTTCTTTGCGAATCGAATGGTGTACTCAAAACAATTAAAGATGTGAAAACTTTAGAAGAAAAACGCGATTTTACTTTCCCGCCATTAATTTTGAAAAAAGCTTTGGATCGGCATGCGGACAACTGATTACAGTAGCTGTGCACGCGATTTTGCGGACGTCTCATTAGACTCGCATTTTGTGAGAAATAACCGGATTTCTGCTTCAAATCAAGGGTTTCTACTATAAACAATTGATTTAAAAAACAGAAATCACACATTGATAATAAAGAAAACACAAAATATCGCTGTCCCAATCGAAACCTGTGTAAAATCATCATTTTTTACCAGAGAAGCATTTTTGCGATCAAAGTTTGCAAATTATACATGAATAGAAAGCTTTTGTGACGAAAAGAACTTTGGTGACAACAGAAAAAATTGAAAATTGAAAGAAACGAAGAAAAAAGCGAAAATCCGGAAGTTGGCCAAGCTTGTTGTCCGTAGAGCAACTTTACTGCAAAGCGCCCTTTTGGCGGGAACTCAAGCTTTCCTTTCTCCGACTTTGAATTATTTTTTCTCCAAAACTAGGAACTTCTGTACATTTCCAAGTTCACCGTTCGATTCGTAATGAAAAACTCTACAAAGTACTGCTTTGAACTGAAACACCGTTTTTTACTGCCCCTATGCCTTTAAGGGTTATAAGACTAAAAATAATTTATTTTAATTATCAAACTGTATTTTCTGATGCTCTTGCTTAGAACTTTTCAATAAAGCCCATGAAAAAAGTCAAAAGTCAAGCCTCCTTTTACAGACCAAGATACTTTTGAGCCATTACTTTTTTTCAGTCAACGATAGTTTTCGGGACGGTGGGCTCTTTGGTGCAGAACATTCCGTTGCTGGGTTTCCAGGCCTGGATGGTTTTCCATCTACAGGCCGGCGTCGAACCACAGTATACCATATTGATGTGTTCTTTCTGGAAAAACTTCTGCAGTTCCACGACTTCCAGCTATCAAGTCTTGCCTTTCGTGGGTTTTTCCTTTTTTCCCATGAATTATAGTCTTCTAATCGACTTTTTTGATATAGAGGCTCAAAATTCTGCTTTTTTCCATATATTTCCATACACACATAATACAAATTCCGGAGTTCAATCTTCGTGATTCAATTATTATTACAATAAAAAAAGACACTCTTTCGAAATTATGCTTTAGTTTGGCTTTTTTTTGGATTTTCTCAATTTTGAAATAATGATCACATTTCTGTTTGAATATGAAACGAAAAAAATATAAAAATTCAAAGAAACATTCTCAAAAAGGACTTATTTTATAATAAAAAAAGCTAATTTTTTTAAATTATTAAAAACCTTTTCAAAAAAATATTTACCAGAGTTTTTTTAAAGGAGCAGATGATCTTTTTCAGAAATCAAAAAAACATTTTTTTCGCCTCGATACCTTCATCAAAAAAAGTTGTCTGCCTCTTCGAATATTTTTTTAAAAAGCCGTGACTTTTTCAAAAAAACAAAAAAATTTAACGAAGAAATTTATACTTTTTAAAAAAACTTCTGCAAAGGCTATATTTTCCAGGCAATCTCGCTCTACCGATACAGAACAGTGGTCAGAAAAGAGAAACCCGGCCAAAATTACGTTTTTTTGGGTCCACGTGATTGTTACTCTCGTTTTGGTACAATTTAACTTTCTAAATTAAAAAAATATAAAAAGTCATTTTTCTTCATTTTTTTCCAGAGGAATTTTTCCTCACACTCATTTTCAAAAAAAAAATTTCGAAAAAAAAAACCTGGAAAAGTATGAAATTTGGCTTCTATAGTTCCATAGTTCGTCTAAGAAAAAATAAAACTCCAAAAAAAATTCTGATAACTGTTGATTTTTTCAGATCGGCTACAGTTTCATGAACTTCCCGATCGGTGTAAATATCAGAAATGACGTTTGTAAAATTCTTCGCTTCAGCAACACTATGGAAGCTCTCAGGGTAAGGCTTTCTATAAAAAACTTTAGTGGTCACTTAAAAGGTCCCTCAAGGGCTACTACTTGGAGATTGGCCACTAAAAATTTGCCAAATGTTTGGAAAAATGAATTTATTTCAAAGAAAGATGTCTTTTTCAGATAGTGACCACTTTAGGGATGAACATAGCCGCGATCCTCGTCAACTTATCGATCATGCGATGTGTGTCAACTTTTGAGCAGAATCATTCAGGTTTTCATGTACCCAATAACTTTAGAATCAAAAAAAAAATCCTCAGAATCGATTTGGAGGTCTTCACAAAAAAACGCTGTGAAAGGTTGGTTTTTTTTCTTTCAAATAACCCTTTTCTAAAAATGAAACTCAATAAACTGGTCCTCAAAAATTTATTTTCAGCTAACGATTTCAAAAAAAAAATGTTTCAAAGTACAGCGAAACGAAAAGTTGCCCTAAAAATGGGTAAAAATACAGAAAACCTTTAATAATTGATTTTTAGTGAACCCGAACTCTCAAACAAGAGGAGTTCAATTGGCCAGAAGTTTATTACTTCAATCAGTGGTTCCGGTGGCCGTTTCGCTTCCTCTTCTAATCGGATCTCTCGAGTTTTATTTTGGTCAGTCTTCTCTGAAATTTCTTTGATATACGGAGCGATGTGTTAAAACCATTTATTTAGGTAGAAAACGAAAAAAGAAACAAGGAGAAGAAAAATACGAAAATATTCGGAATGATATAAAAATTCTTCTAAGTCGAAGAATAGTACTGAGCTTGAAGCTTTTTAAACTACATATAACGTTTGATAAAAATTTCCGAAAAGGAGTTTTTTAAAGGCAAAATTCGTGTAAAAACGTTCATAATGAAACTGGTAAAGAAGAAAAAAACAGAAAAAAACAACTGATGAGTCAAAAAAAAAGCAGCTCAAGTATAGTAAAACTAATTAATTTGAGAAATATCAAGCGTCACATTTTTGATAATCACAAAAGAAAAAAAAAGAAAAAAAAAGCGTTTTTCCACCAAAAAATAAGGGAGAAAGTGAACGCCACGCCGCCGTCTGCTCGCCTCACTCTCATCCCAAAATCGCGGTTCTCGCCAAAACGAGTGAGTCGGTTGGCGTCGGTACACGCAGGAACGTAAGAAGGACTCGTTTCCATCGTTCAGTATCGCTTCTCGGCCTATTGGCTAAGATCAAAGTGATCACCAATCATGCCACCAGGCAACCAGAATCCTCAAAAGATTCAACCACCAGGCTTACCAGAATCCTCAAAAGATTCAACCACCAGGCTTACCAGAATCCTCAAAAGATTCAACCACCAGGCTTACCAGAATCCGCAAAAGATTCAACCACCAGGCTTACCAGGATACTATCAAAGAATCCATTTAGAAGTAACCAGCCGACAGGCACCAAATCTTTCTCAAAGGACAAGTGAAAATAGTCTCATAAGACCGTATAACATAATCCAATTATTTTTCACAGCTTCTGATGAAGCCAGAAAAGAATGAATTTCCATACAGATGGAAAAAAAAGGAAAAGAAAAATCCAATTTTCCAGAAACGGAAGCCGAGCTCTAGGCCAATAGTAACTTTTGGGGGAACAAAATCAATCCTCCAGGGCACCTATACCCTAGAGACGAACTAAGACACTAGTCAAAGACCTGTTATACAGGGGACAGACGTAGGAGAAATTCTACGCGCCGCGAGGCTAAGGTGGGCAACTCCGGCCAAAGGATCGTGCATTAACACAGCACAGACGCCTTTGGCCTTCGGAGGAATCCAGTCAGCTTTTGCGGACCAGGAGAGTGGAGCCAAGGTGGTAGCCGAGCCGAGGGCCTGTTTGCAGTCATATCAGTCAATGACGGCGGCAGGACAAAACCTGAAGCGAGGTATTGCTACTGGAAGCGACCTAGTCCAACCTTTTTTTGGGGTTCGATCGAGAACCAGGACTTATGGCCTATCACACTATCTACTCCCTCAAGCGAGGGAGGGTGCCAGACTTCAAAAACCTGAAACCCTCTATCGTAGCTGGCTCACCTATCTGTTCTTATCGTATTAACCTACGGTATGTGCTCGAATGAGTACAATATAGGTTAACTTATTTTTGCAACCGAGAGTGGATCCGGAGCTTGCTCCGACCGCTCAAGGGTCGTCCCAGCGTTGCACTGCTGCAGGGCACGGCCCAGACCCCCAGGGGGGTCAAAAAGAAATGAAACAAAATAAAAAGGAAGCACGGCTACTTCTTGACAATCTTGAAGTTGATGAAGAAACATACTTCTTGGTTGTCAAAAAGCTTCGTAAGGTGGATGAAATAATAAATTACGTACTGCTCAAATATGATGTATTCGTCAAGGGAAAATTACTACTTAAGTACTGCTAAAAAAATAGATATTTAATAAAGTTAATTTCACTATGAAAAATTACTGCTGAAGTAGTAAAGAAAAAAAACTATGACAATACGGTCATAATGAAGTTTTTGGATGGGATATAGTAACCCATCGACAGAGCGTCTTGAGACGAATCCAAAGATATATCCTAATCCCTGAAAACTTATAAAAAAAATCAAGTTACAAGCTGAAGCGAGTCTGAAGGTTCTGGAAGTTGATCTATATCATTCGAAAGATGACATTAAGACGATTAGATTGATATAATCATATAAGAAGTAGCCACACTGCGAGCCGAGATATAAGCTTTCGAAATTCTGCTTAAAAATATACTTGCGCGTCAGATAAAGGGTTTTGTATGAGGTTGCGCGTCGGATCAAGTGCTTGTCTGCGGCACATATCGGTGTGCTTTTCTTGCGGAAACCTCTGTTCATTTTGAAATTGCATAGGAAATAATTATATCGATCGATTTTTCTTGTTATCAGCTTTCTAATAAAAGAAACCTATAGACTATTTCATAACCAAAACGCGAGAATTTAATCATTTTATGTTCAGATGTCCCGGTGCCATCCTCGATAGGCGACACTTGGTACGCGCTGACGTTCTTAGGGCCCTTTCTAACACCACTATCTTCTGTTTTGAGCCTTCCCAGCACCCGTAAAGCCCTAATTAGTACAATCACTTGCGGTGTTTTCCAAAAACCGCCTTCGAAAAATCCTATCACTGTTATGCCTGTACATTCCCGCACGATTACAATAAGAGATGATGAATGATCGAATTCAGAAGAAAATTGTCATACCGATTAAAAAGTTTTCCCAAAAAATTTTAATAAATCCCATCATTTTTTCACGCTGATTTCCAAGTGGAACACCCCAAAAAAAGAAGACCCTTTCATTAACGCAACCAAAGAAGACGGAAAAATGCAAACGTGACAATCTAACCGTAGGAGTTCACATCAACAATCTCAACAACTAAAGAGCCATGTGCAATAACAAGTGTGGGAAGAAAGGAGTTCAAAAAAATAATACTGTTACATGCTTAACAGAAGGAAGGCTAGTAAGATCATAAAGGTGCAAGAAGGAATTATGAGCAGAGAAAAAAGAAGGTTGATAAATTAATATCTGTAGTGGTCAGGCTTGTAGGGACCGGTGACAGGGACCCCGAGGTACTTGGACTGTTCCTCAGTGAGCTTGGTGAGCTTGACGCCGAGCTTCTCAAGGTGGAGGGTGGCGACTTCTTCGTCGAGCGACTTGGGCAGGACGAAAAGACCGATCTTGTACTGCTCGGGCGTTCCGTACTTGGTGTAGAGCTCGATCTGGGCGAGAACCTGAAAAATTCATTTTCTTTTGTTTTTTAAAACTTGTTTTGTACATTTTCATCTATATTTTTATTATTCCAGGTGGAAATATTTTTTTTCTGTGGCCGTCCTGAAGCTGCGTCAAAATGAAAAATTTAAAATTAAAAAAAGAGCTTTAAGGTTGTAAAATTTTTTTCATGGTTAAAAAAATCGCTCTCTCCACATAATTGGGCAGCGTGGATATACCCCAAAACCTCCCTTTTCTCATTTTCATTACAGATTTATTTTTTCGTGAATAAAACAAACCTGGTTGGTGAAGGAGTTGGACATGACGAACGAGGGATGACCAGTGGCGCATCCGAGGTTGACGAGACGTCCTTCGGCGAGGATGATGACGTGACGGCCGCTCTTCATCGTGTAGCGGTCGACCTGGGGCTTGATGGTGTCCTTGTGGACGGCGTTCTCGTTGATCCACTTGACGTCGATCTCGCAGTCGAAGTGGCCGACGTTGCAGACGATGGCGTCGTCGGGGAGGGCCTCCATGTGCTTGCCGGTGACGATGTCCTTGCAGCCGGTGGTGGTGACGATGATGTTGGCCTTGGGGGCGGCCTCCTCCATCGTCGTCACTTCGTAGCCTTCCATGGCGGCCTGCAGGGCGTTGATGGGGTCGATTTCGGTGACGATGACGCGGGAGCCAAAGGCCTTCAACGAGGCGGCAGATCCCTTTCCGACGTCTCCGTAGCCGGCGACAACAGCGACCTTTCCGGCCAACATGATGTCGGTGGCGCGCTTGATGCCATCAGGAAGCGATTCGCGGATTCCGTACAGGTTGTCGAACTTGCTCTTGGTCACAGAGTCGTTGACGTTGATTGCCGGGATCTGAAAAACATATTAGTAATCAGGGGCATATAATTATTCAGCTCGTGTCAACAATTTTTTTGAATCCAAAAAAACATTTTAAATTCTAATTTTTTTGGCGTCGAAGTTTTTTTAATAATTAGCAGCTTAAAAAAAGGGACGAAAATAACTGTAAATGGACCGAAAAAAAATAAAAAAACACTCTTACTTTAAAGAAAGCTCTGAATTCGCAAAAAAGCTGAATTTGAAAAAAATGTAACTCACGTTAATTTTGAGTACGTTTTGAGAACCAGAAAAAAACCGTAGGTGAAAAAAACTGGTCAGGAAAAATTATGAAGTGAAGAAAAAAATAGTTTCCATTTTTTTGAAAGAAACAACGTCAAATTAAACCGATAAAATATCGGAAATATTCAAATGAAAAAAATTAGTACCTTGAGCTCTCCCTTCTGGAGCATCTTGGCGAGGTTGTGAACCCCAGTGGTGGTCTCCTCGGAGAGTCCGCGGATTCCATCGATGTATTGTGGGTACTTGGCGTGGACGATGTTGGTGAGGTCGCCTCCGTCGTCGAGGATCATGTTGAGAGGCTGGCCATCGGGGAAGACAATCGTCTGCTCGATGCACCATTCGTACTCCTCGTCGGTCTCTCCCTTCCAGGCGTAGACCGGAATGCCGGCGGCAGCGATGGCGGCGGCGGCGTGGTCCTGGGTCGAGAAGATGTTGCACGAGGACCAGGTGACCTGCAGAATTAGACATTAGATTGAAAAGCCACAAAGATAATTTTTCGACGAGGTGAAAAGCAGTTTGATAAATTATAAATTTTGAAGAGGAGAAAATTCGCAATTGATTGAAAATGAAAGATTAGGAGAAATCAGAACGAATTTGAAGAATTTTAATAATTTTTAGTTCGTTTAGCTCCTTCACTAGGTGAATGTCTTTCAGATCCTTTGGTGAGACGTATAAAGGTCAGCAGTGTTCCCTTTCTCTTTGTGTGACCTTCTTTTCTCTTTCTCACTGTGACCGAGCGCAATCACACATTTGCCCCAGTTGAACACGCAAACGCGATAGGCTAGAGTGGAAGGCAGAGACGCGTCTGTGACCAGAGACGCAGGGGAAGGAGAGAATCTGCCAACATCGCATTCTTGCATTAACCTTTGGGAATAGGGAAGAGTTCTTTTTTCGTCTGTAGTTCGCATTGTTTTCGTGATTTTCCAGCTATGATAATCATTGTTATTATTTTATTTTTCAGTCCCACAGCAATGGAATTAGGTTTGCGCCTCGTTCTTCAAGATCAAGAAGGGGTAACCCATCGTCAAAAGCCAGTAACATTTGCGGATGAGGTTTTTTAACAATCATATTCTAACTAACTTGAATGTTTATTTTAGACGACGATCAAGGAGTTGAGCAAAGCGATCAACTCCTTTTGGTGTATTCATCAAGATTACCAAGAATTATACCATAACGGGAAGCAGATTATATCGCTAAAGTCAACATTAAAACAAATTGGTGTGAAGGACGACGACGAGATTGCGATCGTAAGTGTTTTTGTTATTATTTTTGTTCATTTAGCATTACTAAGCCAAAATTATATTAAATGTTTTTTTATTGGATATACACTGCTCCACATAATTATATATCCACCTAAGATTTTTTTCGAAAAAAATCGAATATTTTGAGAGTTTCTGAAAAACCTTTTTTTGTTGTCAAAAAGATGGGAATTTCGATCAGATTAATATAGCTATCAACAAAGTTCCTATTGAAAAAAATAAACTTTTTAAAAATTTCAATTTTTTTCAAAAAAACCGAATTTTTCCGTTCCACATAATTATATATCCACCTAAAAACTTTAAACTTTTTGAACCAATTTTTCCGGTTTTTTCTATCAGTTATCATTTTCTCATCATTTTTGTTTTAAAATAAGAAGAATAAGAGCAAAAAGGTTTTCCAAGAAGTTGAGGAACCTTGGATTTAATCAGAAAAACGGTCGCGGTGCTCTTCATTACATCAGCTACTCTTGAATCGATTATGTTGTGAATATTTTGATTCCATAAGTACCTTTGTACTTGTGAGCAACAATTTAAGTTCAAAAAACTTCAGTAAAATATTTCTTTGCACTGAAAGGAGGGAGTTTTCCGATAACATTTATGAATTTTTTGCAGTTTTGCCAAAAATTGGAAACTTAAAATGTCTTCGGACCATTTCTGTAAACTTTTTCTGAGATAAAATCGTTTTTTTACTTCAAGGACAGTCGGTCTCATCAAAAAAACCTGCTTCTAGCAAAGAAGAATGACCGAATGCGGTAAATAACAGGGAATTTCAAGTCAAATTCATAGGGATCTGAACTTTTTTTTTCTTCGAATTTTAAATTTTTTTTTCTTCTCATGATTGAAGATTACAGTTATATTTTTGTTTTAAAACATTGAATAGTCCATAATTATCCTTTTTCAGCGAAAAAAATTAAACAGAAAGTCAACACAATCGAAATCACGAAATATCCTTTTTTGACTCTTGTTTCTCTGAAATTTTTTCAGCTTTGAGATCTTTTTTGTCAGGTTTTTCTGAGTTAAACTGTTTCTGATTCCCTCCTCAGCCTTGTTGCATTGTAGATTAAGAATTTCTCCGCTCAGTGACTGAGAAAAGCGAGTTCAAGTTGAAAAAACTGATAATTTTGTCAAAGGCGCTCACGGTTTTTGAAATTTTTTTTCAAAATTTGACGCCCATTTAGGAATCTTTTTTTGTGATAAACTTTTTCAAAACTTCTGAGTTAATCCTGCATATGAAAATTCAACCCTCACATTGATGACTGTGGAGCTGGAGTACAAAACATCACCGCGACCGTTTTGTGATAAAATCCAAGGTTCCCCCACTTTTTCGAAAATCGTTTTGCTCTTATTTTTCTTATTTTCAAACAAAAAAATGAGGAGAAAAATGATAACTGATACAAAAAAACCGGAAAAAAATTGGTTCAAAAAAAGTTTAAAGTCTTAGGTGGATATATAATTATGTGGAACGGAAAAATTCGGTTTTTGAAAAAAATTGAAATTTTTTTAAAAACATTTATTTTTTTCAATAGGAATTTTGTTGATAGCTATGTTAATCTGATCGAAATTGCCATCTTTTGACAACAAGAAGATTTTCAGAAACTCTCAAAAATATTCGATTTTTTTCGAAAAAAATATCAGGTGGATATATAATTATGTGGAGCAGTGTATGTATAAATACTTTAAATGGTTAACAATTGACTAAAAATCTCTTTTTTTAACTTATATATTTAAACTGATCGGGAAATTTTTTGCTTGATTTTAGAAGCATTCTATGGCCAACAACTGGACAGCATTTTTCACATTCTTTGAAGCTGCTCGGCAAGCATTGGCAACAAAGCAAATCAAGGACGTCGAGCGGAATGTGGATATTGCGATGCAACAGCTAAAACCATTAGTGGAAGCAAAGTTTTTGGTCACTTTCCCGAATTTCGTTGAACCATACCGACAATTCACTGCAAATTTTTCGCGTTATATGGACCAGGAATATAGATATATTGAATTTGCGGTCCATGCGTACTTCTCAAAAATTTTTGTTGACGATGCTGAACTACCAAGACTCGTTATCAAATGTGAAAAGAAGTCACCAGATGAAAGCGGTATTCAGGCAAGTTTTTATATTAATTATAATTGTATAATATTCTCTTTAGGGTGGCTTGATCTGCAATGTTTTGCGAAATGGAAGCTTACTTGGAAAATATTATGTGAAAGAGCACATAGGCCTTTCTAATTGGCAGCAAGCAGATCTTCGTGAAATTTTCATTTACAAACTGTTCGAAATTATACAAGTGGGGCCGGAAGTACATTTCATGCCAAATACACACTACTCTGGTTTGGGACTATACATCGGAACTAAAGAAGGTAAGTTTTCCAAATTTTTAGCTTCATATAAATATTTATGTTTTAGTTGTTGGCTTTCGTCGAGCAGACACCGAAGGATTGGAGATTAGCAACGAACTGTACGCTCAGCGCGATTTGCTTCGACGTGTATTGTGTGTGAAGGATCTCCATTCAAAAAATTATGGTGTCGATGATAAAGGGAAACTCAGCATCGTTGATTTCCAGGTATGATTGAAAGATTTTATATTATCACTTTTCTAATTAATTAATTTTTTAGATTAACGGTTTTGTTGATTCTGCCGCGGTGCTCAAGTATTTGGATGGCTACAGAAGCTGGAAAGGAAGCAAAGAATTGCGTATTCAGACGGCAAAAGACTACATTAAATCGTGGAATCTCCTGGATGCGTTCGAACGAGCAAATGCAGCAATCGTCAAACAAAAAGAACTTTTTAAAAAGCATTGTATTACCTATAAACCAAGTAGAAACCTCGATGAATACTTGTGCCTAATTAAGAATAATCTGAATGTTTTGGTAGAACGTTTAGGATAACTTTGGTTTTTATTGTTTGATTTTATTTGACAGGTAAAGTATTTCGCATAAATACACCACGGAAGTTCTTGATTCCCAAAGAGTCTACTAATTCTAAGAGATCAAGATTGGTTAAAGGTTGCAGATTTTTATTGAGCTTCACCATTCATTGAACATTAATTTTATTGAAAAAACGACGATACCACTTTTTGAATAAAATCGACATCCATCGACATCCATAAATTTTGTAAAAAGTGAGGAAGTGTTTTCGAGCATTTAAGCATGAAAATGAGAAATAGAAAATAAAATCAACATCCAAGCAAAAAATTGATCGAAAATGCAGAAAAATTATTGAAAATAAGCACTTTTTAGTGCTCCAAAAATTGCCTCATTTCACACTTTTTACGAAAAAATTGTTGTAAATGAGGTAATTCTCTGACTGCAGAGAATGAAAATGTGTTGAAATGACTGAAATGTCGAAAATGGTATTATAATCCCTCCTTCCTATACTACTTCCTTTTAAAACTGAGTTCTGGAAGTCTCATAATTCCAAGCTTCGAAATAAGCTGAAAAAAATTTATATTTTTTTAATTTAATTAAAAAAAGTTTGAACAAAAAAAGCCATCAGTCAAAAAAAGGGACTGGATTCACTTCATGAGGGTGTAAATTCAAGATTTACAGATTCTATCGTTTTTCAAAAGATCACATCAAACTTAAAATTTTTGAATTGTTCATATGGCCTTGAAAAGGATCTCACAACCTCGATTTCCAGCTTTCTCTATGTTACATGAGCTTGAGGAGTTTCTAGCTTCAACCGCTAATGACTATCTTCAAAAGAAGATTATGAGCTGGAATCATGCAATCGGAATCTCAAAAATCTCAAAAAAAAAGCAGCTTAAAAAACATCGGAAATAAGCTTTGATCGAGGCGCCGTTATTTCTAGACCAGAGGCGTGGCTTGCCTCACCGTAACCTTGTGCGGTGGCGCGCACATGCCTACTTTTCCTCAGTCATTTCCTTTACATTTCCTCATTTTTTTTTCTCGTTTTCTTTTTTCATATTTCTTCTAAGTATTCCCCTTCGATTTCAATATAAATTCTTCTATTATCTAATTAAATTTTTAGTTTTCGAATACATGGTTCTTCTGTCTTTAGTATCGTAGACGAATTTCTTGAGGTCGAAAATCGTTTTTAGTTTAAATGAGTGTAGGCCATTGCGAATAATTTTATTTTCGGGGTTCTTCTGCCTTCCCATAAAGATTTTTTCAAGTCATAAAAAGTGAGCTCTTAATTTCCGTGAAAAATGTCCTATTTTGACAAGTTCAGGCCCTTTTTTCTAGTTTCTTTTGAACACTTTGCGAGTGTGTCCAAAGTCCACAGGAAGAGGACTCCAACTATTTGATGAAATCTACATCGTCGACGACTACTTCTTTCGTCGAATTGAAAGTTTTATAGTTTATTTGCTTTTATTATCTCCTCGAAGCATAGACCGCTGTGGGAAGTGTAGCTACCGCATGTAACGATTTAAAAGCCTAAATTCATTTTCAGAAGGAAAGCAGATATGATGATTTTGCAGTTAACACGATCTATTTTGAGATTGGTGTTACGACGGCTTCATTTTCCTGGATTTGAACGAATAACTTCGGTCCTCTGGTCATGCGCGTCATTTACCTTCATCTCCATGCAAAATCTTAACGCTGTTAAGCGATTCTATCTGAATTAAAGAAAATTCCCTGTTAAATATTATTTTCAAGATACACTAAAGATAACTGTCTATTCGGGCGTGATATAAAACCTAGTTCGGGAGCGGTACACCGACAATCACGCAAATATTTAAATATCGTCTCCGCGCTGATCTCGCATTTATCTCGCTTTTTTAACGAACTAGCAAATATTTAAATATTTTCAAATCGCGATGTTGCGCCAAGATAAATGCGAGGCTGCTTCTAAAAAAATGCGAGACCCGCGCGAAGACATAGTGACATGTTTACGAATTCGTCAATGTACCGCCAGCGAGCTCGGCAGTTCTTCTTAGTGTACCTGCAAATGTTTATTGGAGCACAGTCAATTTGAATAAAAATAATTGGTGCAGTTTTCCGTGTTTTTAGGCCTTGCGAGATCTATACTTGTTACGCGCAGTGTATAATAATTTGAAGAATCCAAAAAAATGTGATTGAAATAGCTGAATTTTTGAATTTGATTGTCAATTTTCTCTCCACCAACAATTAGAAAACTAATAATTGTGAAGCAATGAACAAATGCTGCTCCACATTTTTTTTTCAGTGATTTCAAAGAAAATACTTGAGAAGAACCATATCTTCGAAAATTAAGAATATAATAATAGAACGAGTTATTTTGAAATCGAAGAAGAATACTTAGAAGAAATATGAAAAAAGAAAACGAGAAAAAAAATGAGGAAATGTAAAGGAAATGACTGAGGAAAAGTAGGCATGTGCGCGCCACCGCACAAGGTTACGGTGAGGCAAGCCACGCCCCTGGTCTAGAAATAACGGCGCCTCGTTTAGCTATCTATTCTCAATTCTCTAAAAATTTAGATGGATGAAGATAACTGATAAAAGTTGTAAGATATCAACCTTTTTGAATTTTCCTCTAATTTTCTATCGAAAAAATAAGTGAGCTTCAGAATAATTAACAAACCTCAGCTCCAAGAGCGACAAGAGTCTCGATGAGAACGGCGGTCTGGATGGTCATGTGGAGGCATCCAGCGATGCGAGCTCCCTTCAATGGCTGCGTGGGGCCATACTTCTTACGCATCGCCATAAGGCCAGGCATCTCATTCTCAGCCAAGGTGATTTCCTGAAATCATGAACTGCTAAAAAAAATTCACAATGGAAAATAAATTGAAATAACATCGAGAAATAAGTCCAAAAAAAACCTTGCGTCCGAATTCGGCGAGGCCGATGTCGGCGACCTTGTAGGAGAGCTTAGAAGCAGCCATAGCGAAGTACCCTTCATAATAGTTTTAAGTTGATAAAGACGAATAAAGTTCACGGGAACGAGATGAATGGGAGGAAATCAACGAATCAATTTCGGAACAACACACTTGGTTGTTTTAATATGAAATTAAGTTCAAAAATCAACGGAGGGTGGCAGAAAATAAAGATAACTTTTTGGGTGAATTCAAAATTTAAAGGAGCAGCCAAGGACAAAATGTACATCTCCACTGAGCCTACAGTACACGTCGTCCAATGGAGCACATTTGCCTTGTTTACGGAATTTCGAGGAAAATTTTGGAAATTTTAATTTTAATTTCTGTTTCCATTTCTTGTATTTTGACGGTTCTATAGAACCCTATTCGAAGTATATAGCTAATTAAGAAAGTTTTTCGGCAATAAATTCGAATTGAGATGATATTATCCGATTTTGAAGATTGTTTTTTTTTTAGAAAGAAGTAATATTTCCTGGAGCAGTTTTTCAAATAGTTGAACCTGATGAATATGCTTTCTGAGGACATTGGATAAACTCATAGACAGGAAGATAGTAGAAGTGCGAAAAAATTTGTTTTTAGGATTTTATTTTAAAGTTTAAATATTAAAAACTGCTTGGGAACTTGAAAATTCTTCTCTGTTTCATTATTCGTCTAACCGTATGAGCGCTATTCGATTGAGGGATTTTAGAATATTTTTCAAAACTAGCGCTGAATTAAGTAAAATCGTGTATAGCAGTGTAACGTGTCGTCTGTTTTGCGCTTGATAACTTCACCTGTGCCACGATTGAGCGCGTGGCGCGCTTTCCCCCGCGAGGGAGATTGTTCCGTATTCCTACGGCGAAGATATGGCCGTGGCGCGGCCCTTTTATACTGTTCGAGGCGGTGGCGGCTGACGTGGAAAACGACGAGTCCTTGGCTCCGCCCACTTTTGCCGATCGATCGAAGTCCTTGGCGGCAATTCGAAGGGAGCGAAACGCCTGATAAAACAGAAAACGCTCGTGAAATGGAAAGAGAGCCATGTCACGCCATTTTCTGTACTTCTACGAGGTTTTTTCTTTTCAGTTTCGAAATTTTCCGTTTGCAGCAATGTCATTTGTTATTTATTTTTGGATTATAAACACATTTAAGGATACGTTTCAGAATAGTTATATTACTTTCAGTTTGAGTTGAATTTTGTTTTTTTGAGTCGCTAATCTTACAAAAACAATAAAATGAAACTTGAAACTTTTTTGGACTTGTTTTATAGGTCAAAAAGAAAAAAATTAAATGAATATATTTTTGACAAACCTTTTTTTGTTGAGGTGTTTAAAGGTGCAGAATTAGGACATGTTCGGGAATCTTATATTCTTGAAACTTTTTAAAAATCAATTAGTCCATGTGCCCTCGAATTCTTGCGAAAAAGGAACGAAGCTATTTTATAAATTCATTTTTCTGAGAAATCTGCAAACCAATCTTAACTAAAACATTGTAAATTTAATTCAAAACAATTTTTCAGGTTACTTTTCTAAATTCTTATTGGTGTAGACTGGTTGAAAAAGAAACGTTTGAAAATGAGATTTTTTGAAGTTTTCGAAAACGAGTTTTGAAAAAAAAATCCACTTTCTTGAACTTACTAGGGATGAACTTTTGATGAAAATTTGCTAAAGTGTACTTTAGAACCTCCAAAACAAGAAAAAAAAATTTCACAATAGATCTTTTAGTTAAGAGGCTTGAAAAGCTTGAAAAAGCGATTTTTGTCATTATTTGCGTATTTTGCAAACTTTGAAGCTTCATAAATCGAAATTCAGATATATTGCGAGATTTTTTTTCTTGTTGTGCGATCAGAAGGTCCTGAAGTACAACAAAGTTTCATCAAAAGTTCAACCGTGGGGTGAAAAACTTTCCCTATTTTGAACCGTTCTTAAGAAGTTTTAATCAGGAAGATCAAAACTATGGTCATAAAATCCTCCCTTTTAGCTTTGATCATATCTTATCTCACTGTAAATCGGAAAAATAATCGTCATCGTCGATTGTTTCGTCATCAATCGCCACTGCAACAATCTCCGTCGGCGAATCTAATCTCGAAGAAGAAACTCGGCCCTTCTTTTTTTGTTCTCTGCTCTTGTCGCAACCGATGAGAATCTCCCATATCGTCGAATCGCCGCGACGACCAGACGAATTTCCCCTGAAAAGTTGAGCGATAACGAAATCAGTCGACCAGACACGCTCTGAACTCTTTGGTTTCGTTGCAAAAAGTCTTTTTTCTCGAGTTTGTAGACATTCATTCGGACGACACGGACACGTCACAAAGATTGGAAAATGGTAAAGAGGAACAACAGGAGAAGGAGGAGAACAGAGAACAGTTGGAATAAATTAGAATTAGAATATTTAACAGTACAACGTTTTTCAAATGAGATACAATATCGGGAAGGGTTAAAAAACTATTTTCAACAAAAACAGTAGGAAAAAAAGCGGAGAAGCTAACAAGGGCAACTAAAACAATGAAAAAATAATGGAAATTTCAAAAATAAAGATAAAACATAGTTTAGAAGGCGAATCGAGTTCGAATGTCTTCCAATTTTTTGGAGATCTGGAATATTTTAAAATAGAAATATTATTTTATTGGGAAAATCACCTCGCTGACGGACTTGCCGAGTTCCTCAGCGACCGCCTTTTGTTTTTCCGAGGGCATGAGGCTGAACTGCTCGCAGATCTCGCCGTCGATGACGCTCTGAAATTGGGAAATTATAATTGATATTGTGTTTTTGAAAGGAAATCACCTTGCAAGGAGCATAGTAGGATCGGAAAGTGAGATGGTCCCTGCCGCAGAGTGGCGGGAACTCGGATCTCACGTGCATTTCGAGATTTGTGAAGAAGTCCAGCTCCTGAAATGAGGATTATGAGATCGCCGTAGCGCAACAGGTTGTGTGCTTGTCTACGGTCCACAGGGTCACAAGTTCGATCCCTGCCTCGAGCCAACCAAGGGGTTAAAAGAATTTTGTTAGTACCACGGCATCAAACCCCAGCCGTCACACAAAAGGACGGATATATATAACTAGAGGCCAAATATTATCACTGATATCAGGAGAGGACCTTGCATCAAGAATTTGGTGCACAAGCAGTACAAAGGCGTAAGAAGAAAAAGAATAAATTTCATTTAAAAAGATGTTCCAGAGCTTTTGCGCTCCACAGAGATAAAAAGATCACTGCAACTGGATTTGAATTTCACTATTATTGATCAATAAAGTCACTAGATGCAAATTTCCGTCTAAACTTGAAAAATGCCGAGAAGATCTATAGAAAAAAATTCGAGACCGCGTAAATTTCAAAATTATTCTGTCCAGTCAAATTCAATTTTTTTGGTTGAATATAAATTTATAGGAAGTTCAATAATCTCGGTAAAACTCAAATTGGTACATTCCACCGTTTGAAAATAATTTTTACGTTGATTTTCAAGAAGCCGTTTCCATAAAATCATAAAATAATTTTTTTGGAGGTGTAGACTTTCAGAATCTTCCTAAAGTACATCAACAAGTATTCTGGAAAGGTTCTGAAAATTCCAAAGTGCAAAGTGAGTAGCCCTCCCCCAAAGGTCATACTGGTTATTACCTAAATTCGGCCATACTACTCCTTGAGGTAACAGATGAAGAGCCTGGGAGTCTTGGAGGCATCAAAACTTAATAAAAACTTCAGACGTTGAGTCCTTGGCTTTCAGGACCTTCAACAAGTACAGAAAATGTTCAGGACGATTTTCAAGATTTCCCAGACCTCGTTAGGTCATTCTGGGAGAAAAGAATAAAAACCCACATCCTTGGACAAGAAGGTGACGAAGCATCCGATGGCGCCGCCGATGGTCGTGTAGACGAGGGCCTCGCTGGCCCCGGGCACCAGACTCGTCTTCTGAAGGCTCGTCACCATATCGCCGACGTAGAAGTTCGCCACGAGGTCCACCTGAAGGTGTCCTTTCAGTGATTCTGCTGTTTTTTGGTCTTTCTGTGGAGAGCCTTCACTTTTCTGTGGTCGCTCTAATTTCGAGACTTCCACCTGGAGTACGGTCTCCGGGCTTCAGCTATAAAGTCCGCAATATTCCGTCAAGTAGACTGTCTGAGTGACTATCACTGATATCAAGATAGGACTTGACCCATTGACTTTTGCCCCGCCAAAAAGTACAAAGGCGAAAGAAGAAAATCTGTACCTTCTGGGAGGCGCCATTCAGAACTCCGCGATCCCACATCGAACGCGACGCCGTCGGGTCTTCCTGGATGTCTTCATTGACGCGTTCAGGCAGTCGGAGCTGAAAAATAGGTAATTTTGGTATAACACGAAAATGATGATGACATAGTTTCATATATACGTGGGAAGACCATTTTTAGAGGCCCTGCTCCCAATTTTTCCCAAATTTAAGTGAATGCCATCTCCCTGAGGCTCAAACTTGTATTATTGGGGTTGAAAATACCTCCCGGAGGCTCAAACTTGATTATATTCCTCATTTTCTGGAATTTTCGCCTCCCAGCCTGACTAAGTTCTTTACTTGCCCCTCTATGGTTTCATAGAAATTGAAATTAAAAGCACTGGGAAAAGTTTTAGTGGTCACTATAGGGTTTTGACGTTTTAGTGGCCACTATAGTTGCCGAATTAGTGGCCACTTAAGGGGTTGAAAATCAGTGGCCACTATAGAGGTCTAAGTGCTACTATTAGACCACTAAAAATTTTAGTGGCCACTTTAGGGGTCAATGGATCAACACAACTGGTCCAATTTGTTTGTTTTAAAATTATCAGAGTTACTGGAAGGAACACTGGATGAAAAACTACTGAAGTGGCCTCTAGAGTTTCTCTATTTGAACGGAAAATAATGGCCACTATAGAGGTAGGTTTAGTGGCCACTTTAGTGTCCTCTCTAAGTAGTCCTTGGCGAGCCTCTAAAGTGGCCAGTAACTCTTTGTTGAATAAAATTTCAATTTTTTTAAAAATTCCCTCGAGTTATTCTGACCGCCATAAATAGCGAACCAGAAACTCATCAAAAGGCGAACATTAATAATTTCTCATATTCTTTTCAAGTTTCAGCTCAAAAAGAGTCCGAAAATATCTATGAGGAGATATGACTTGGACGTATTTTTGGAGAGAACATCAAAGCTCAAAAAGGCTCTAGTTTTGGGGTCGATCAAGACGAAAGCCGGCAGACTTTTCTCCAACTTTTGTGAAACACTCTAGTTTGAAATTATATTTCTCGATTTGAAACCGTTATTTCAAAAAATAGAGCTGAAGTTTCAGAAAAACCTTTCAAAGTATTAATTATTCGTCATTTTTCTTCTACATTGTTAAATTTCGGTATAAATAAAACCCGTTTCTTTTTCAAAAAAACCTATTTTTTTCTGACAAAAAAATAGTAAATTTCTCCATTGAAAATGTTGATTTGATGGAATTCTACTCAATTTTTTTAAATTTTTCAATAAAGTTGTAATTGAGATGAAGCTCAAATTTCCATTTAACGAAAAAAAAAACTTTCCCCCATTTCAAAAAGACTGATCCCCAAGAAGAGCCCTTCGCCTAGAAAGGAAAAAAAAGAACTTTAGAAATACTCAATTCCTTCAACTCGGAAAAAAACGTCCCATTGTCCGGGACGTCGGCCAAGTTTCCTGCTTCCTTATTTCACGCCTTGACACGGCCCTATCGTTTCGTCGCTTCTCCTTCCATTCAAAATTTATCCACCCACAGAAAGTTCAAAGGAAAAGACTACGAGTTCCGGTTTCGGCCAGAAAAAGATACAAGTTTGGTGGGAAAATTTAAAACCCCAAGCTGTAAAATTATTTTTAATGGGTTTAGAGCGATTTTAATCTTATGGATAGGGTACAAAGGATCTAAAAAGCAGTTCCTAGAGAATTAGATCTTTGAGTAGATTTTTCAGCAAATTTTTGAACTTTTTCTCGAAAATGGGCTTTTAAGGAGGTGAATTTGTGTTCAAAAAAGATGGATATCAAAAAGTTCAAAAAGTGACTGAAAAAGCTGAAAAAAAGTCCGTATTTCTGAAAAAGATTAAAAAGGAACCTTTTTTTAAATATACTGAAAAAAATCAGGGTTTTCTTTTTGGAGGCTTTCAGAAAATTATTGATAAAGTGCCTAGCTCTTTCCTAGGTGGTTAAAGTATCCTAATAAAAAAAAATAAAGTTATAAATTTTCACCCAAATTCGTCCCAAAATTTTTCAAGTATTATATTCTCCTTCTTTTCACTTTGCTCTGCTTATCCCGAAAAAAACCAAACAAGAAATAAAATCACAAGGAACACATGAACAATAGAAGTTTATGAATGGCCGAATGAAACAATGGATGTTTATTCCTAGATTTGCTAGGAGAGCTCTCAAGTCTGTCCAAACTACAACAAAAAAGCTTCTAATGGACCAAAATTCTCTTTTTTTGACAAGGAAGGTCATTTCAGTTAGTGGTTGGTAATTTTCTGAAAATTGGCCAGAACACTACTTGAAGTTCCAGAGGAAGATTCTGAAATTCCTAAGCTTCAAACTTTCCTATTTTTTTTGAAAAAGGACACTACAAAGTCAAAGAAAACCTTCAAAACTCGTAAAAATGGGCCATTTTGGAGCTTTGATGTCTCTAGAAGGTCGCTCAAAATTTCAGGAACTTTTTCTGGTACTTTAAAAAGAGTTCAGGCCAAATTTCAAGAACTTCCCATTCTCAAAATGAAGTTATCTCCCTTGTGAGACTTTTTTTTAAAAAGAAACTATAGTTTTGCCTCAATAAACTGCAAGGGATCAGATTTTTCAAGATTTTAGGTGAAATCCCTCACAGAAACACCAAAAAAACCATTTTTTGCAGAAAAAGAAACCTTTGAATGACTCAATCGTGTTCATTTAGTATGGCAACATCGGAGGCAAACTGCAAAACGATATTTGAGGCCAAAGTTTTGTGTTACAAGGCCGCAAAACCTTTTTCCCCGTCTAGCTTCGTCTCAAGTTTTCATGTCTTTTTTCGGAAAGTCCTTTAAAAGTTGAGGAATTTATGGGAAGCTTCTTTGAGGTTAAAAAAAAAATTAAAAATTGAATTTTTTATTCAAATCTTCATTTTTCATTTTAATTTTTATTCAAAAAGTTGAAAATCTCAGCTTTTTCCAGCTTCACTTTCATTCTTCATGACTCTCTGACGCCAAAGGTAAGGGAAGAGAGAGCGCAGACAGGTCAGACTGTCCGGAAAAGATTTCCACTCTTCTCAAAGTTTCAAGATCATTCTACCAAAGTGTTCAGAAAAAAGAGAAAACCAATAGAACCTTGCACGTGTACACACAAAAATGTGTGTGTTTATACTCAAATAGTGCCAATTTCTTCTCAGCTTACAGCCGTCCAGGAAAACTTTATCCGCATTTTTCTCTCATTCTCGCAACCCACGCAAAAAATGTATCAAACTTCATTTTTTGAAGGAAAAAATCTGGTGATTTTTGGAATATTTTTTTTGAAATTACCTCTTTTTCTTCTAAAAAAATCAATACATTTTCGATTGTTTGAAGTTAAAATTCATTTATTTTGTTGAAAAAAACTTTTTTAATCTAAAAAATGTGACACTGCGAATAATTCAGCATGTTTTTCAAAGAAAAACCTCCGATCTGCCGTTTTTTGAAGTTTCATTTTTTGTCAAATGGACGATAATCATAGGTTTTCTGTCATTTTTGTCGTTTTCGCTCCATTTTTCCCTTCCAAATCGTCTGGATTTTTCTATTTTTTCAATTAAACTTCCACATGACCTCCGCGAAACTTTTCGCATGTTCTGTGTCAAAATCGAATTTTCCAGGGCGTCGGCGAGCAATTAATACAATTTCAAAGGGTTCCATGTCGGAAATTTTCTGAAACACAAAGAAACATTTTCTGTCCTTCTCAGATATTTTCCTATCACAAATTCATTGACAGCCCTAGTTTAATTATTAAAAAAGAGCCTTTGAAATCCCAAAAAATCTTGAAAAAAAGAAAGGTTGAAGATAAATCCAATGCACTTCCTCCAATAGCTTTTCTAAAAAGCCACCATTTTTTTCATGTTGAAAAAAATGTGTTTTTTTGAGCCTCAGGGATGACGCAAAAATCGGTTTTTTTATCTGATCATTTGAAGAAAAATGAAAAAAATTGGCTTCCATTCGAAAAAAATACTGTTTTTTTCAATTTTTTTAGAGTTCAATTGGGGTCTATAAAAAAATAGAAAAACTATACTATTTTTATTATTCCAGAAGCCTCAAAATCGATGAGAAATGACAAATTTCCGCAAAAATTACATCACAATCTTACAATAGCAACAAACTTGATAGAAATATGAGTAATTCGAAATTTGAGTTAGAAAAAAAGCGCAATGACGTGTTTTTGCCGCTATTTATACAATACGCTCAGAAATTTTTTTTCCTAACAACTTATGGATTTTTTGATCTGAAAATGAAGCTGGATTTTATTTTTGAAATCCCACCAGAGTGTTAAAAATAACAGTGATCACAACTCCAAAATTTTTCAGAGAGATCAAACTACATACAAGTAAGTTTTGATCAGAAAGTCGTTTTTCCTTATTTTTTCTGACTACAGTTATACTTGTGCTGTGAAAATATAAAGCGTCTACTATAGGGTTTTGACGTTTTAGTGGTCACTATAGTAGTCAAATTAATGGCCACTTAAGGGGTTAAAATTAGTGGCCACTATAGAGGTCTAAGTGCTACTAATAGGCCACTAAAAACTTAAGTGGCCACTTTAGCGGTCAATGGATCAACATAAGTGGTCCAATCTGTTTGTTTTTAAATTATCAGAGTTAATGGAATGAATAATGGATGAAAAACTACTGAAGTGGCCACTAAATAGAGAACCTCTAAAGTGGACTAAAAATGGGAAAGAGTGGCCACTATAGAGGTGGGTTTAGTGGCCACTTTAGTGTCCTCTCCAAGTAGTCCTTGGCGAGGCTCTATAGTGGCTACTAATAATTTTCCCAGTAAGCTCAAAAAACTACATTTTCTCAGAGTATTTCCAGTAGATTTCGAATAAAACTTCAGTTTTCAACCCCCACAATTCGAAGGAAAAAAGCGATGTTCTCAAGAACCCATCAATTCACGTCGCAAACGACAATCGAAACATCTCGAATTTGGCTCGTAAACTCCCAATTTCCTCAGTTGTCCTAAACTTTCGCCGAGCACTTCCTCATTCTTTTCCCTTTCAGCTTGAGATTGGAGCGACCTTCCTCCCCAATAAACAGCTGCAGCCACCGGAAGAATTGTCCCCTCAAAAAACAGCCAGCTAGATCCGAAAATTGAAAAAGTCCGGAAAGACCTCCAGGCGACTTGGAAACATCAAAATAAGCTCAAAAAATAAGTATCTTGGAGTTCATCGAGCAAAAATGACGACGAGGGGAATAACTCTGTCAGGAGATCATTCGTTTTTCTCCATTTTTAGGCTCCTCTGTACTAAATTTTGTCTAAAATAGGACTTTCTAAGGTTTTGAAGAGCTTTAAAATGAGAAAGTGAACAATTTTTGAGATATTGAGGAGAAAAAGTATAACAAAATTCGATTTTTTTTGCCTCATAAATAATTTTTTTCTCGGAAGGTCTTCAAGCGTATTTTTCTTGGAATCTATAGTGTTTTGTAAGTTTTAATGTAACCTTTATTCGTTTTTTAAACTGTGAAAAACGAGAAATTTGAAAATTAGGGGTTTTCCAAAAAATAAATATCGAATTTATCAAAAATTACAATTTTCAGTTTTTCTTTCACATTTCTTCATAGTAAATCATTTGAAATTATGAATTTTTTTTCTTAGTTTATTTTTTTTTCCTGTTCCAAATCTTCCTGCCCCACAAGAAAAAAACCATAAACCAAATAAAACTAATCGCGTTATCCAAGCAGCTCCACTGACTTAACGCTTGCCACATCGGAGGCCAAAAAATGTTTTTTGCCATGAAAAAATTCTCTTCTGTTCGTTGGAGCGTGATTTCTTATGAAAAAAACTCAAGTTACACGCCAAACTACGCTCAGCCGGGCAAAAAATGATCAAATTTATTGCCTCGTTTATTTCTGGCCTAATCGAATTGCCCGTCCGAGTGTGCCGGAAATAAACCAGGAAAAGGAAAAGAAAAATCGGATGGATAAATTTTTTTGCACTATGAAAGTTCCCGCCGAGTAGTTCATTGGATTTTGATTACTAGAAGGTTTTTCTTTTTTTTTAGGGGATAGTTGTGCGTCAGAGCGTCTTTTTATGGAGCGTGTTTCAGAATTTCATAAACATTATATCGTCTAAAACTTTTTTCTGTAGGATTTTTTTTTCTGTGTGAGATAATTGTGCGTCAGAGCGTCTTTTGTATGGACCGTGTTTCGGAATTTCATTCAAATTACATCGTTTGAAAATTTTACTGAAATATTTTTTTGTCCTGTGCTTCAGAGCGTGTTTACATCGTTGAAAAATTTTTACCGAAAGATTTTTTTTGGCGGAATATTTGTGCGTCAGAGCGTCTTTTTTATAGAGCTTGTTTCGGAACTGTATCAAACTTATATCTTGAAAATTGAAATTTTCATTCCGCAGTGAATCTTTTTGTAATGTCAAAGTCATCAGTCTGCCTTATAATCACCCGTTTCTATAACCTTTTCTCGCATTCGACTCAAAATTTTGCAAAACCTACGCCAAAGACCCATAATTATTGGCCGAAAAGGATTGGTACGAAATAAGTCTGTCGTGAGAGTCAGAAAACAAAAAACTTCCGCAAATTGAGGGTCAAAATAAGTTTTCTTGAGAACTTTGTCCCCATGTGAAAGTTTTAAGTTTTGATAATCGGGAGAAAAAAATGTAATTAAAACGAGGAAGTCATTAAAATGGCAAGGCCTATTAAGTTCGGAATAGTCTAGTCTGCCAAGTTCATGAAAGACATTATAAAATTATGAAAAATCGTCTGGTCGTTTTTTTTCATTTTTTACGAGTAAATAAATAACTAACAAGGGAGGCCATTTTACTTTGTGGTTCGTATTTTTCTGAAAATTGGCCAAAACACTATTTGCTGTACCAGAAGAACATTCTAGAAGTCTCAAACTGCAAAAATCCCCCGTTTTAAAAAAAAAGACGCCTCCAAGTCAAAGAAAACCCATAAAAATAGGCTATTCTGAGACTTAAGGCCCTAATTTCTCAAAAACTAGGAAGTTTTGCAGTTAGACTTTCAGGGCCCTCATCTAGTACAGCAAGAAGGGTTCTGGCCAATTTTCAGGAAATTCCCAACCACAAAGTGACATGATCTCCCATGTAAGGTTTCCAAAATTAGTGAAATTTTCGTTTGAATGTTTTCGAAGAACGGCAGCTGCTAAAAATCAGATCAAACCTAGAAAACACCCAATTTACGCATTCAAAAAGGCCGAAAAGCTTGGTATCACGGCTTTTTTTTTTGGAAAGTGTATAATGAAGCTTACATTTTTTTTCATTTCGAGGAATATCTTTTCAAATTTGAGACGATCAGAGTTTCTGAAAACGTCTGCTATATTATTTTACTGGCTAAAATTCCAACTTTTCCATCCATTCACTTATTCTTAAAGTCTCGTTTCTCTGGGCTCTCGTTCTCAAAAAATATTCTATTTTCGGCGAGAGAAAAGAGAGCGCAGGCAGGTCAGAGAACTCGTAAAAAATGGTCCATGAAAAAAAAGTTCACTTTTTTTTTTATAAATTCATTTTTTTCTTCTTCTTTTTTTTGTCTTTTTTTAAAAACCAAAATCACTGTTCTATAAAGAAAGGAAAAGCCGAAAAAAGCGAAATTTCCCTAAATTAAAGTCAGTACTACCGACTAAGCTTAAAACTTGGTTTTTTTTCAACACCCCATCCTTAAAATTTATCTTTAGACCTCTTTCCCAAAATTTCGTCCATTTCAGGATAAATAGAGTATATTCATGTATGAAATCCAGAAAACTCTCTTCAAAAAAGGAATTTTAGAGCAAAGAAGCCGGAGCCGACCTCCCATAACGCACCTAACAATGTCAAATTGCTTTCCTAGGAAGAAAAAAAAAGTGTTCCTGTCTTGACGGATAAACAAAAGGCGCCCCAACGAACAGCACACCATCAATCACTCCCAAAAATCCCCAATACAACTACTTTTTTGCTTTGTATTGCTTATATTCCTTTTTCAAGGATTTTTAATGGAAATTTTACTTTAAAAAAATTTTTTTACTCTTATTACTATTTTGCGGGGAAACCCATGACATCCAGCCTTGGTGGAAAAACAAAAAAATAGCTAGTAATAATAATTTCATTTAGACCAATCTCACTTTCTTCATTCTGGCCCATATTAATTTTTTTTTTTTCGGGGGAGAAAATGCTATATATTTAGTCGTTTACCAAGCCCCAGTTTTCAAATCTATGATTTTTTTTTCTTTGGTTAAAAAATGTGATTAGTTCTTTTTTTCAATAGAAACGAGACCCTATGAAAAGTCAAAATTTCTACTTTCTGAGATTCGAAATATTCATTTTTATAAATTTGTGTTCAATTACTTGCATTAAAATGCATTTGGAACATTTTTGAAATCGCAATTCGGAGATGTTTGATTTTTAACCGGTTTTCCACAACTTGGAAGCTCTCTTTCCCCACCAGAAGGTCCTAGAATGAATTAGAGAAAGAGAGGGGAGGGCGCAGACAGGTCAGAATAATTAAAACTGCAGCGATTGAGGTACATAAAAAAGTTGTCTTTTTACTTCTTCTACCAGAAGGGTCCTAAAATGAAGTAGCAAGAGAGAAGAGAGCGCAGACAAGTCAGAATAATTTAAATGACGGCGATTGAGGTACATAAAAAAGTTGTCTTTTTACTTCAATTCGAGCCGTTCTTTTCCACCAGAAAGGTTGTTTAACCCTCCCAAACCAATCCAAGAAGCATTGTTTGTGATCCGAAACCAGGACATTTCTTTGAAAAACAAGCCCCGTCAATGAAAATAAAGACGAGCTTTGGGGGGGAGGGAATCAGTTTAAGGTTGGCCGACGGCTCTGATTGCTCCAAAGTTGAATCGGCTGCTTTCCCGATTCGATTTCATCAAAGTCCGTAGATTCACCGGAGAGAAAGAAGGAAAAGAAAATAGGCGAGGGTGGGCGGCCGGAACAAAGCAAAACCGCCGTTCCATTTTAGTCATCCACTTTCTTTTTTTCTAAACGTCATTTTCTTTGTCGTTTTTTTTGGGAGAAAATGAGTTAATGTTTGGTTTTTAAGGCTAAATATAGTCATTTATTTGGTTTGGAGATGGTGCAAAAGGGCAAAAAACTTTCCTTTGAAAATTAAAATTTTTCAAAAAATTACCTTTTTTTTTACCCTACTCACCTGATAAGTAATTTAACATTTTTAGAAATAGGTCGGCTCTAAAATAACGCTGATCTTTGCTCTAACGCTAATTTCAATATTTTTGAATTTATAAAGGTGATAACAGCAATTGTGGTCCTCCAAAACAGTCTGACCACTTTGCGCCCTCTTTTCTCTCACCGAAAAGTCAAAAAGTCAGGACGAGAGAGAGCTTGGAGAGCCCAGACAAATCAGACGGTTTCAAATTTCCATAGATACGGTACAAAAAATTCAAAATATATGCATCTTCCTACCGTCTCCAGCTCAAAAATTCTTAAAAATTCACAGGATTAACAATTTTCAAAACTTTCTCATCCAATTGGTTTATACATAATCATCTAATCCTCTCTTTCTACGAAAAATTTTTTTAAATTTCTCACAGAAATCAGTTGTTTCAAAAAGCCCAAAAAAACTAAGCAAAAAGTCACTTTTCCTGTTCTTTTTTCTGTGTGCATTTCCGAGTAATTAGTCAGGCGAAAATAGATTCTTCAGAACGGCCGCCGCCTTTTTTTTCTTTTTTCTTTTTCTTTACTTTTTTGTTTACGCTTCCCACGTTAGTTTACTTTTCTCACCTGGAAGTTGATTTTCCGCGAAAATTCGGTGATAAATTTCAATTTCTTTAGAATTATGATCACTTTCATGGAACTTTATATGGTTTATAGGCCGCTGGAATTCCATTATTTCCGACAAAAACAAGCTCTTTTTGGCCTTTTAAGGCGTTTTTTCTCGGAATTAAAATTTCTTTTTTTAGTTGAAAGATAAGCCTTTTTTGATTGCCATACTTGCTCATTACCAGCTAAAAACCGAATTTCTCTCGACCGAAAATTTTTTGTCAAAGTTCGAATTCCCCTCGATGAGAATTTCCAACATAACTACCCAAAAAGGCAACTAACAAAATTCAAAACAGACCAAAAAAAACCGAAATTGCTTCTTCAAGAGCACAAACCATCCTCATAAACAACCTCAAATCCGATTACCGACTCAAAAAAGGACCTGAAAATTTTCTTTTTCTCTTCTTTTTTGACCAAAAAGCGTCCTCCTTATCCTATTACGTTGAAAAATTCATTTTCATTAATAAATCAATAGGCAAATTGTTCTGAACACTTTTGAATGAGCTTGTTCCCAAGAAGAGCGTTTTTTTATTCTTTCATTTTTTTCCTGTTTATTCCATTTCTATTTTTTTGAAAAAAATGCAGCTCATTTATACTTTAAAAATCGAAACTTGACTATCTCTAAAGCTAGAAAATGTAAATAAAAAAATATTTTTTTGCAGTTTTCTGAATCTTTTCGGGTTTTTCTACTGTAGAAATGATTTTAGGCGTTTTTTTCTCCCTACAAATGCTATCATATACACGCCTGAAGTACGAATTAATGTTTACAGGGCCCAAAATATCCAAAAGATTAGGTTTTTATGACGAAAAAGCCTGCAAAGCCCCGAAGAGCCCTGAAAAAGCCCTAAAAAGCCCTAAAATTAAACTTTTTGCTCTCTGAATCCTCGAAAGAATATGATCTCTTCTGATTAAAAAACACAAAACTTTCTCTTCAGCTGAACTTTCCGAGGCTCTATTTTCCCCCGACCTTTCCGTCGGGGCTCAATTTTCCTGACATTTTCTTCTGGGAACAGCCTATCCGGAACATTTTCGAACAGACGCTTCCGTAAACCGATACTTTACACCCTAGTTTATGTTTCCTTGTCAAGTTTTTTATGAGGTTCTGAAAATAAACAGGGGTTTTTTTTCCAATTGAACATGGTCCCTAAACGGGAAAAAAGAACTACTGGACGGAAAAAAAAGTTTAGGAAGTCGGGAATTCTAGTCGAAAACGCGAGTACGCACTCTGAGGGGCCATTTAGGCTAGTTTTATTGCTGATTCGGCGCTTCGAAACATCAAAAAAAGTTGGGATGTGTACTTCATAATTGGAATTTCTGAAAAAAAGTTATATGATTTCATCCTTATTTCTGAAAGTCTCTTTTTTTCAAAAAAATTTAAAAAGTCTGCTCCTTTCGGTTGATTTTTAACCTTTTTTTATGTCAATGTAAAAAAATTTAGTAAAATTATCCTTGGAGCGCATTTTCTCCTATACCGGTTTTTTTCTCCAAGTTGGTGTAACTTTTTATTTTCCATATGATCCTATGTATGGCTATAACTCCATTTTCTCCAGAATCATGAAAAATTTCAAACCTAACCATAAAGGCTCCATTTCTCTCCGATCTTTAGTCCAAACTAAAAAACAAGAGCATTTTCTAAGAACCAAATCCTCGCATTTTTCGATATTACTCGCTTGTACAAACTCAAATCCCATTGGATTTTCAATGATGACACTTGAAAGACACGAGGCGATGAACCCAAATTCAAATTTCCCTTCTTCATTTCGAAAACGGGCAAGCAAAGCGAGAAAAAAGAGGAGTCTTCAACAAGTTCCGCTCACAAAATCCAAGTCTTATTTCCGCCAAGAAATCCTCAGTTTTTTTTCTCTTGTTCAAAGTAAAAAAGGCCTGTCTTTCGGCTGTCTTGACTAGATTTGCATTGTTTCAATGATGTTTCTAAACTTTAAACAGCCAAAAAAACCTATGATTTCATTTTTAAACTTATTAAGTTATAGACAATTCACGACTAGCTTGAGACGCAAAAAGGCGTGGCCTGTCTGCACTCTCCACCAACCAGGGCACTGTCTCGTCTCTTTTCGTGGCAGGACCCTTTTCTCGATGGCTCAAGCCAGCCGTGAATCAGCTATATAGTCAAAATTCAGAACTTAAAGCTCATGGCGTTGAATTTCGAGCAAAGAACATAATCCAAAGATTGGAAATTGAGTTTGCAAAAAACGGATAGATTGCGTTTCTCCATGAAAATCCGCACATTCGAGCTGATCTCCGACTTTTTTTTGAGTTTTTAAACTAGAAAAATTCATTTTTCGTCTGAAAGATCATGTTGAAATCCTTTTCTAGGAAAAAATAACTCTAAAAATCTTAAAAGTAGAACTAGAAAACGATAAAAGAATCAGAAAAACTCGAGAAAACCAAAAATATACCTATCTCCTCAAAAAAGGTCACCTCCGTTCGTCCTCATTGTTATTAGTTCAATTCAAGCTCAAAGAAGACGAAGAAAAAAAAACAATTTTGTCTAGGAAAAAAGGTCAAACTGACACCTTCCGCGGATCTATTCATTCATCAAAAAAGGTCCTCCTTAAACGCCGACTTCCTCCTTTGCATCCAAGAGTAGGCCCTTCTTTTATTTTGCAGAGAAACTCTTCTTCACGATAAAAGATCGCTTCCTTCTTCTTATTCTTTTTATTTTGTCTAGCGGTTCCGATCAATATTTGAGCTTTTTTGAGCCTCGATTGATGGGAATTGATAGTTTATCTCTAAACCTCGTCCAATCTTTCCTCTAACATGAGCAACACTCAGCCGTTCTTCTCAGATATTCAAAGTTCAATATAGAATATAATATAACGATTTCCCTCCTTATTTCCAAAATTAAAGTTTCAGCTTAATATTTCAATCAGATGAATCCTGAGACGAACGAGAAAACCTTGCTGTTTTGGAACTAAAGTAGAAATCTAGAAACGGCAAAGTTAACGTCAATTTTTCTATCATTTTTCCGAACGCTTTAGTGATCACTTAGTCGATTCTGCTACTGGGAAAATTTTTAGTGGCCACCATAGGGTTTTGACGTTGTAGTGGCCACTATAGTAGTCAAATTAGTGGCCACTATAGAGGTCTAAGTGCTACTACTAGACCTCTAAAATTTTTAGTGGCCACTTTAGGGGTCAATGGATCAACATAACTGATCCAATCTGTTTGTTTTAAAATTATCAGAGTTACTGGAAGGAATACTGGATGAAAAACTACTCTATAGTGGCCACTAAAATTTCCCCAAAGAGTTGAACTGTTTGCACCGCGGCACTAGAGAGACCAAAAGAATCATGCTATTTTTGAACTAAACCGGGAATCGGGAAACTGTAAAGTGAACTAACCAAAGCGACGTTGCCGAATTTGTCGCCGACGGCCACCGTATGATAGTCGAGCACACAGACGCAAGTCACGTACCTCGGTGTCGTATCGTCCGCAAAAATCACCAATTGATTATCCTTAACGTTTCATTATTCAGCTATATTTCAAAATATAAGGTTCCTTTTTTTCGAAATAAAAAACATTATTGAGAAGGTTGAAGCATTTCATAATAATCAAAATTTCGTAATCCTTATAGTGATCACTGAGGCGTCAAATGGAGGTTTTTTTGAAGTGGCCACTTTAGGAGTCAAATGAAAAATGCTTTTGCTTAAAATTTAACTAAAAATCCCTATTTTATTTCTACCTCATATATTTCATTTTTTATTTTCAAGTGACCCCTTTAGAAGCTTGTTTTTTTGAAAAACCACTTCAGGGTCCACTTCCAAAACAGTTACGAGCTCCTTTTTCTCCAATTTCACCGAATTCAATGCAAAATTAGTGGATTTTCAAGCCTAAAAAGTTGAATTTTCATAAATATTTCATTCAAAGTTCTCATCAAAATCAAAAAGGCCCACTCCTCAAATTCGCTCCAACAAACACACTTTATTCTTCACATTCAATAAGATTCCAATTCGAGGATTCTTCTTGTTGACAAAATATGGGCTTAAGAGTCCTTCAGATTCTCTCTTTTTTTTCTCACAACTATTTTTGAGCTCTTATCGTTGGGCACGTGGTTAGGACGACGAAAAACAACGTTATCTGTGGACTATCCCAAAAAATAAGCCTCAAAATTGGCTTTCGAAAGTACTTTGAGGGGTTTCCTATGAGAAAAATGGCTTTAAAATCGTTTCAAACTTTGAAATCAGCGAATTTTCAAGAAAAAAGATCTTGTTCTCAAAAATCAAATATCGATATATTTTTTTAATAGAATCAATTTAGAACAGCTTTTAGGGACGCCAAAGTGGTCACTGTAGGGGTTGTAGTGAACAAAAAAGTGCCACCTAGAGGGCTAAACTTTTAGTGGTCCCTACAGGGATTTAGGGTCTGGCCCCAAGCCGTCAAGTGGTCCCTATAGTGGCCTTTTAACTTTTTTGTTGTCCCTTGAATGCTCTCCTAGAGTGGTCACTTTCGCAAGCTTTAGTGCCTCTATTGGATAGGTAAGGTGGTCCCTTGAGGGGTGATCTAAAATAGTCCCTATAGTGGACAAGATGATGCTTTCTAGAGAAATAAAATTTTGGTGGTCCTTCATTCAAGCTGGCCCAAGTGGTCCCTTGAGTGGTATTTCAAATTTTTAGATCATTTTTAAATTGTGAAAATCTATAGGGATCACTTGCATTTTTTTTCCTTTGAGTGGCCACTTTTGCAAGCTTCATTGTCCCTATAGGGTTAGTAAGGTGGTCACTTTAGGGGTAATCTAAAATAGTCCCTATAGTGACCACTCTGTCGTTTCTAAGCTTTTGCAAATTTTTAAAAATCGCTATTTTTTCTATACAAAAGCTTGGAAACGCCACAGTGGTCACTATAAAGGCTCGTTTAGACTACCCCTCAAGTGACCACCTTACCTACTTTATGGGGGCACTAAAGCTTGCGAAAGTGGCCACTCTAGGGGTTTTTTTTTCCACTTTTCTTCTCCCTCAAAAATCCATCGGAACAATATATTCTCCATTAATAACGCCTCGCATCAATTTATACGATGATTAAATTTTTCGACGATGGCGTTGAAAAAGAAAGGAAAATATATATAGGAAGACCTCGAAAATTCGATCAAACTTTCCCAGGCACGCCAACAACAAAAATAACAATAACATGAAATTTTCTGTGCGTCTTCGAATTTTTCTCTTTTTTGGAGGGAAAATCCATTTTTGGGGCAAAAGTTCAGAAGTACTCCTATTGGAAAATGTTTTCTCGTTTTCTTGATAGAAGAAGAATGTCGTTGTTTTGGTTTTCCAACTTGTTATTGTCAATAGAGCACAACTGCTTGTGAGAAATGGTTTTCGTTTGATTTTGAACATTTGCAACCAAAATCACCGCACCCTCTTTTGAAAATATCTTTAAATTTCTTCCTAAAGCCTTCAAAATCCCTTTATTCTTGGCAATTGCGTTCTTTCTTCTTCAATCAACTTTGAAAGTTATTTCTTCAAAAAAAAACCTTGAGTCACCTTGTTATTCACTTAATAATCGTATCAAAATCTTTGTCCAATCAAAGAAAAAGGTGGGCAAAAAACTACGTGTCCTTTCTGATTGTAGCTACATTTCAGCCATTTTTGAAGCACCAGATTTCTTGTCTTGACTGATGTAAAACTACCAAAAAATGTCCATTTTTTTTTCAGTGACCTTGTGAATGAATGAAAAAATAAACTTACAACTTTGCGGTATCTCAAAAAGTGAATCGATTCCTGGACATCCGAAACGATGATCCGTTGGCCGGTCGATTTGATGTCAACGATGGAGACGGGGAAGTTCTGAAAAAGGGAAAAATTTGATATTTTCTTCTAGAAACGCTTCCAAATTTGAGAGAAAAAGCATACATCCAAAAAAAAAGACACGAAAAGTCGCCAGAAGCTTTGAATGAGCCAAGAATGAGAAAATTTTGATGAATTTTATCTTTTTTTATCTTTTTTTTTTTCGTTGAAAACCAGTTTTATAATACATTTTTTCAATTCAAAACATCGTGGTCGCACGTAGAATGGCTCAAAGTGTCGCGTAAGCGTTTCGTTTCATCCAATTGAGGTTTTGTAATGATTTACGATGGCTAAGTGCGGAAGTCGTTTTGGGTCTGGCGCGTTTTGAAAACGCCGCTCTTTAGCGCCCCAAATTAAGCAAAAATATACCTTCTTTCACTTTATTACAATATAAAGCCAAAAAGTACAGTTTGAGCAAATTTTTTGAATTTTTTCTTTTCTTTTCTGACTTCCAATGTATTTATCGAAACCTCCCTTAAATTTCGCTTATTCAAAAATTATATTACTAAACTCCTTGAGTCACCCTCTCTAAAACTCGAAAAACTTCCCATGACCTAATATATATTTCACCACTCTGAAACCTTTTAATATTGCAAAAAAAAGAAGCCAAAGGAAATTTCGTCACCAAAAAGAATCTTTTTTCGAGACCTAAGATAACAATAATCCAAGCGGAGACAACAAAAAGGGCAACTTTTTGCTTCTTATTCGTCCATTGAAAGGCTGAAAGGGCTGTCCGATGAAGAAAACGCGTGTTTTCACAACAATTTTGTTCGATATTCGGGGGGAAAAGTTGGACCTAAGAAGTGCCTTTTTTGAAATATTCTTACTCATTCTTCTTGAATATAAAATCTGGTTCTAAAAAAATATTTTTTTTAACAAAAAAACTAAAAATCACAGCAGAACAGCTCTATTGAGAACCTTTTTCCAAACTGTTCAAGCCGAAAAAATCTCAAAAAGCTTGAATTTTTCAATTACGGAGCAAGTGCGCTCCTTTGCTAAAGCTACGATATAATATGATTTTTCGGATTTTTTTCCCATTTCTATCTTCCAATCTTCATATCTCAGAAAACCATTTTTCATAAATCCCTCCAAAACTGATCTCTATCTCTTCCGCACAAAGAGGACATAAATTTCCACGCCGTTCTTTGAAACCCTTGAACTTCATCAGAACGGCTTCCGTTCGAATTCTTCCAATCCGGAAATGAAAAATATCTCGATGCAATGTATGAAACGGCGCCATAATCTCATTACAACCCTCAACCCGAGAAATAAAAAGTCCAGTCTTCATAAGAAGGCGGAAATGAACGTTTGAAGAAGCTTCCTTCAGACTTATTTTTCTTTTCTGGATCCAATGACTAAAGCTTCCCGGTAGGTAAATATGAGTGAGTGGGGAATGAATTTATCATCTTTGTCATAAGGAAGGAAGTAGGTTAATTAAATAATTATGAGTGAGTTGCAAACACATGTTAAACAAAAAGTTCAGCATGAACCAATTTTCCGGGTAAGCAAAGGTTATAAAGTTATGATTCAGAAGGAATCTAAAAATAGTGCTTCAGACTGATTTTCTCTCGTTTCGTTGCCACGGAAGTGTTTATTTATAAAAATTCGGGTTTCGGTAACGAAAACCTAGGGGTCACTTAAGAGTTCTGACGCCACTAAAGTGGTCACTATAGATACTCCGACTCGTCCGGTTCGAGTTATCTTCCGAGAAAGAAATAAAAAGTGGATTTCTCAATGGAGCACACTTTCCACTTATAAACTCTATTCGTCAAGAATTGAAGCATTCTGAGTTGTCTGCGCTCTCTTTTCTCTCTCCGGGAAGTAGGAACATAAAATAAGACCCTTGGTGAGAGAAAAGAGGAAACAGACATGTCAGACTGTCTCAAGTCGTTGCGAATGAAATTTTTTTTTTCAAATAAATCAAAAATTCTTGAAAATCTACAGTTTTATGTAGACGATCTCGAGAACTATCAGAAAATCTCCATTCCCCCCAAAACCCCAACTCAACCTCAAAAATGAGATAAATAATCACTGAAGCGGCTAAAAGTTGACACTATTTACGACGGGGAAAGCCGGCCGGAATAAATTATCTCTCGTCGATCATTCATCGTAAAAACCGGGAAAAAAAGGGGAGAGAAAAATCGTCCTTTGCTCCTTTTTTCGGCTCCGGAGGCTTTCTGCCAAACATCGCTTCTAGTCGAATATTTCTTTTTTTTCGCCCTCCGAGGGAAATCCTCTTAAAATATTCAGAAACATCGTTTGAATGTTCAGGATTGAACGTCATCCTTGCTTTCTTTCTTCTTTCTCGTAAGTTCTTGAGATTTCTGTTGTTTTTAGAGTAGGCTTCCATTTTATTGATGGGTTATAAAGCCAGCTTTAGATGGGGGAAAAGATCTTTTTGACCTTATTTTTCTTGCTCGAAATTTCGAAGTTAAACATTCTTGATTCTCTCTTTCCCAGAACCACCTTCAATAAAAAAATTATTTCTCAATAATTTTTGAGGTTTTTAAGGAAGAATAAAAAAACGCCCACGTGAAATCCACCATATTTCTCATTATCAACCTATTTTTTTTCTACATAAAATCTATTCTCGCTTTTTTTGAGCTGTTCAGAACGGCTGAAGCAGCTGAAATGTTGAATTTCACATATTATGATCCAAAAACTTCATTATTTTCTCTAGAAAATTGAAATCTAAGATCGCTTTTCCTCCTCATAAAAAAAATCCTCTTTTTTCGGAAAGTATTAGACGTCGAAAATTTAATCCTCCATGTTTATCCGAATAAAACCCACAATGAAAAAGTGAGCGAAACGCAATCAGAAATATATTGTTAGGCTTTGTAATAATAACGGCTTAATCCTCAATTCAACACGAAATATAATCATTTTCGCCACAAATACCAACAGCCATGTGTGTAATCGCATGAGTAACGGAAGTGCAATGAATCGCGAAAAAAAAAATTCCTCTACGCCCGCAAAAAAGTCGAAAAAAACTTCCTGGAAAAAATAATTTCCTCCGAAAAAAGCTTATCTTTTCATAGAAATGAAATGTTTTGACATCGAAAAAAAAGAAGCTTAAAGCGGGCTTTTTCTGAAAGACTCTTCTTTTCTCAAACTCATTTTCTAAATCCAAAAACTCAAAAGTTCAAACTTGTACTATGGAACCATTTGAAAGGAATTGAAAAGAGCTCAAAAAAAAGTTTCCAATTAGTTTGGGCCATCCAATTACGGAGGAGGCTCGAAATAAGATCCTCATACTTTCTCAATTTATTATAATTAAAGTTCGTCGAGTCAGAAGCTCAAAACTTCCCGCTCGGCTATTCAAAACAGGAATGAAAAGAACGGGAAATTGGAATTGAACCTCCAATTTTCCACCCATAAACTCGCTTTTTTTGCAGCCGGAAACTTCAAAGTTCGCAACATTTATGAATGGCCCGAGGCTTGAGTTCAAACAATATTCGCAGAAAGTTCAATTCATCGAGAAAAATCTGGCCAAATAAGCAATTTCGAGCATTCAAATTGTAGGGTGAGTTAGTCAAAAAGGGAAAAAAGGAAATGAGCATTGAAACAGACAATTATTATTTTTCCAACTAAATATGGAAGCGGCTTTTTGTACGGAATAATTAAAACTCAATTTTCTGTGACATCAAGCTACATAGGGGTAAATTGGGCGATTTTTAAATTCTTGCTCTTCATAATTATCAATGGGGCGCACATGTGTTGTCGATTTTTTCAGCCAATTTTTCAATCTCGAATGGATTTAATAAATTTTGCTGGAGATATAGGATTGTTTTTCTTAAAAAAAAAAGCTAGAAACTAATTCACAGACTTAAGTTTTTTGCAAAAAAAAAAATTTTAGTTGATTTTTTCAGTAATTTTAATACTCTGAGTAACATTCCAACTCCCAATTTTAATCTGCCATTTTTGTTATTCAAATCGCGCTCCACCGCAAAGTCTTCCCTTGAACTCAAATTCCTCAAGTATCCATTTGTCCTTTGTCCCCATTGAACCACCAAAAGCCGAAATCCGATCCAACCGCAAAACGCGTCTCGAAACGTGTCGAGGACGCGAAGCAGCTGACCAACAAGTTATGATAAAAACTGATCGATTGCCCTTCAAACGGTGGAGCGAAAAAGTGTCAACGGGTGAGGTCCTTCAAAACGGCCCACTCCAGCGCCTGTCGCCTATTTTTTTTTCTCTTCCGAGCACTTTTGCCTCACATAAATCGTGTCTCCGTCGAACCATTAAACGTTGGAATCTCAACGAGAGCCCGTGCCAATTAATTTCCGGACTATGTCGTACAAACTAACGATTTCTCCGAACCGATTGGATGTCGATAAAACGTCAATTAATCGGCGGGAAAAAATGTTGCTCTCAAGAAAATCGGCGCTATTTTTCAACATTTCTCCGCTCGAATGCTAACTACATAGACTCATAAATAATACTGAGAAGTTATCCCAGAAAATAAAACAAGATCAAAAACCTCGGCAGGTGAAAAGCGACAAGATTTCAGCTGCTTTACATTTTTTTTAAATGCCCTACTCTTGAGATTTGCTGTCCGGCTCAATGTTCTTTGGAATGATTTGCTTCAAAAATATTTTGGAATGATCCAGGCCTTTGAAAAAAAAAGCATATCCAGCGGATGAAGCCTTATAATGATCAAAGAAACAAGATTTTTTTGAAATATTTTGAAAAAAATGGAATTTATTGAAGTTTGGGTGAAAATTGTGATAGATCTTCTTGTTTTTTTCTTTGCGAAAAAGCTCCTTTGAATCTTTCGTTTTTTTATTTTAGTATGATTTTACTTAAAAAAATCGATTTCAAACAATTTTCCGAGTTTATTAAACAGCTTCATGCTGTCAAATATTTTAAAAACTAACTCTGAACGCTCTTTTTTGGATATTCAATAGCATTTCCTCTAATTATTTTCAATTTTTAACATTTTAAAGCTATAATTTTGTAAACACCTCCTAAAAATTCCTGTTTTTCTTTTTCTTCTGAATCATATTGAAAAGCTGCCCTTTCCCAGTTCTAAGAATCCTCCCAAAGACCTAAAAATAACCGTTACTCCTGCACTATCCCGAGTGCGCATAATTTTGCGACAAAAAAAGTTTTGAAAAGGCTCCAAAAGAAGGAGGCTCCGCCCAGATTTGTCTCAAAAAGTGGGCGGCGCGGCGGCGGCCAGCCGTACGCGTGAGTAGTCGTTCTCGAGGCCGTTTTTCTTCTTGCCGCCAGAGAGAAAATAAAAAAAGATACCCCCTACGAAAAGCCGTCATTTCAGTACATTCAGTAAGAACAACGGCATTGGAAAGCTCGAACTTCTTAAATTTTGCCATTTCCAGTCATTTTTTGCTTTTTTCTTTCTGAAGTCTTTCTTATTGCAGATGATTCTAGGCTTTTAGGTCACTGAACCATTTTAAATCTAAAACTAACTCCGCTCCTTCTTAGTACATCCAGTTAGTACAAAAGCAGTGAAACACTTCTCAAAATTCGCCATTTCAAGCCACGTTTTACCTCTTTTTCCATAGTTCTAGGTCAGCTTAATCCCCCTATTTTCCAAAATTAATCACCCTTCTCCCACTTTTCTCAACCAAAATCCGACCAGTTTCTTAGCGCGGCAATTGTTCTGCCAGAAAAAATTGCACACCTTGGTGTTATTTTGGCCATCCACGTAATCGTTGCCCACTTTGTCGGGCATGAAAATTCTCCATTTATTTGGTTTCGAGATATCTCCAGTAGAACTTTTTCGAGTGAAAATTATAGGAAACTCTACTGTTTTCCGCATTCTCCATGTAAATTTGGAACACTAGAAGAAGCTCTTTTTCATCGTAACAGATTTTTTTTTTCGGCTCATTTTTAGAACTTTGGAAGTTCATGTTCCACTTCAGCATGATAGTTAGAAGCCATTTTCTCAAATTTATCGCTAGTCAATGAGAAAACCCCTCAAACCCGCACTATTTCAGGAGGGAAAAAAAAGTTGAAGATCAAAAGTGGATGAGGGCGAAAGGGCTTAACACACACACATCGAAAATGATGATGATGTGTGGGTGAGAAGAGTCCTTCTGGCCAGAAATTCGTTCATCCTTGTCGGCCGTTTCATTTTCTTCTTTCGCATCAAAAAATGAGCATTAAAAGAAGGACTTTGTGACATTTCGCCGCCTCGGTTCATCAACTTCGATGCGTTCGAGTTCGTAGATCGTTCTCGATTAATGACCACTTTTCGGAGGGTTTTCGAAAATTGCTGTTTTCCCATGTTAACTTTAACTTTTGCTACTAGCTGATTAAAAATATTTTTTTTGCAACTCGAGGTGGAGCATAAAATTGCAGTCTACTTATCGCTTCAGAATTTTCTCGAAACACTTCAAAAATTTTAAAAAATCATCTCAGAAAGTTGCTAACATCCAAACTTTCTATTTTTCGAGAAGAAAAGCTCAAAGTTGCCTAATGGGTCATTTGACAAGCGTTTGACAATTTTCATTAACTTTTGGGTCTCTTTTTTCAAAAACTTCAGATTTTTGCCGGTCGAGACTTCCAGGGTCCACCTCTAGCCCAATGAAAATTTTCTGACCAACTCAAAAAATCTCAAAGTTCCTCATATGCTTAACTATGAACTATGAAGTCCAAGACGAAGCAAAAAAAAAAGCCGGTTCGATTCCTTAGCCACTAATAGTTCTTTGGTTTATCTTACTATTTTTGAACCCAAATTAGCAAAGAAAAAAATTCTAAAAGGTCAGCGATGATGGAATGCAGCTGCAGGCCTTCAGAAAACTTTTTAGAACTTTTCTTTTTCGATCAAAATTGAGTGGGAAATCCTGCAAATCCTTCTTAGCTTCTATTCTCGGGGTCTAATCCCATCAAGAAACAACAAAAAAAGATACTTTGTGGAACAGGAAGCCCGATTTCCGCCTAGAGCAGATTTCGACGCGAAAACGTCAGCTGCCTAATTCCAGCCCTATTCTTCTCCAACGTATTTTCCCCTTTTAATGACGTCTCCAGGTTGAGTCTAGCCATCCAAAAATTGTTTCCAAAACAAAAAACGAAAAGAGTTTTGTTTTCTCGAGAGGCTTTTTTCGCGATTTTCCGGCACGCCATCAGATAAGAGCATCGAAAAACCGAAAAAGCTTTTTGGTGTCCTTCTTCTGGAAAAACTTCAAAGATCCACCTTGTTATTCAGTTATGAACATTGTCAGATATACATATCAATTTAAAGTTCTCTCAAAATCTTTATTTTCAAATTTTCCCTCGTTTAACATTTTCCTTTCTCACTGATTTTTAACATATAGTGGAAAATTTTATTTTATTGTTAAAGAATAGGGTCTTCCCTTTTTCGAGTATTGAGGCCAGTCAAGATTAAAAATATCGGATTTTTCTTTTCGAAACTTTTTTCTAATCTTGTTTCCACAGCTGGAAATTCATCGTGAACTCCCAAAAGTCTTTTTTTTCCAAGTTTTCCCCCTGCTCGAAGCTCAAATGTCTGGATCTTTTTTCTATCCGTCATTCCTCGGCTTTTTCGGTTATCGAAAGCCTCTTACACCTCTGAATCTTCTTTTCTCCCTCAAAAATCATGTAAATAAGCGCGAAAAACCTAGCGTTGGTGGTGATGGTGGTGCACGAAAACAACATTTATTTAGGCGAAAAAAAAAGCGCGCTTGGCTCCCACAAATGTCTTCACGCTTAAAATCACTTCTTCAGTCGGAATTTTGGACTGATTTCGAAGGGAAAAGGGACCTCCAGGCACACCTCAACGGGCGGTGGCGGTCCATTGGGCCGAGAAATAACCCAATCTGCAAAGGAGACGAGGCGAAAAAGAGAGAGTATTGGAGGGAATAAAAAGAAAGGAAAAAAGAAACGCTACGGACCGCCTCCCGTTCATTGGCATGAAACATGCCAGTGCCGCGATTGGCCTCAAACTTTGCTCCTTTTAATCCACTTTTCGCCTATTTGTCCCGAAAAAAATTCCCGCTTCGATTAAAGCTTCCATGAGCTAATCACCGCCTCAACATTGCTTTTTACTCATGTTTACTCTTACTTCTCACCCAGCCTGAAGTCTACAAAACTTGGCACCAAAAATTACATTCCCAAAATTTGAAGCGCAGCTGTACTAGAATAATTACAGCCCCGTTCTTTTTCTCACCATTGCACTTGGAAAATTTAATTAGAAGGCGTCTATTCCAAGGATTCTTAAAATCTGCTATTTCACTTGGACTTTCTCACTTTCTTGACTCGACCGGAAGCTAAATTCAAGCTTTGATGAATTCAGAAAACTTTGAAGCCTTCTTCATACCTCTAACAACATGTCATCCTAAACCATTCGAAAATATTTTCAAAGTCAAAAACTAGACCATTTCGTAGACAACAAAGCCAACATAACACGCGAATTTTTTGCACCAAGAACTACAAAAAACACATTTTTGACATTTATTTCAAAGGCCCCGAGTACAAACCAACGCCTCCGTGCTTGTCCTCACCCTCGTCGCTCTTCAAAGAAACGCAAGTATAAATTGCTTCATTATTGCATGTCCCCGAAAAAAGAATGCTCAAGTGCCTGCTAATAATGAACTCTAATCGTTCCCATAATTTGAATATTTTTTCCTATATTATTTGATGTATTCATAAGAATCATCAGCTCAAAAGTTCAACCGGTATTTCTCATCTTTTTCTTCCTTTTCCCTTACAAACGTGAATCATGTTGGTGGGCTGAACCCAAAACAAAGTCGCTATGAGAAAAAAGGAACAAAAAGAAACAATACAATCTCCGTTTCCTTTTCGCGCTCAATTTGTCTCATTACGTCCATACTTGGCGATAAACATCTTTATAAACAATTGCAGCCAGATGCAGCTCGTCTAGGATATCCCCTCAAGATGAATATATTGGAGATGGATCTGTGGATGTCGACGGCACCGCCGACGAATTCGACGAATCTGATGATGTCGCCGCTGATCGAAGAGCCTCCGAACAATTGCACATTCTACGAATGGTCGCGGAATCCAGTTCACGCCAAATTCTTCCGAATTTTCTCTATCATTTCTGTGCTAACGGTTCTGGTGGTGGTGGTAGTACTGGGAAATGCGCTAGTTATTGCGGCCGTGCTCCTTCGGCGGCGGCTCAGATCCGCTACGGGTCTTTTAATTCTTTCGCTAGCTGTTGCAGATCTTTTGGTGAGGCATTTCATTCAAAGCAAAGTCATGTTAATTTTTGCAGGTGGGTATAGTGATCCTGCCGTTCAGCATCGCCAACGAGGTGCTGGACCAGTACTGGATCTTTGGCGAGAGCTGGTGCACGATCTGGCTGACGATGGACATCTGGATGTGCACGGCGTCCATCTACAACCTCGTTGCCATCTCCATCGACCGCTACATCGCCATCATCAAGCCGCTCAACTACCCGATGTTGGTGACAAAGTTCCGGGCCAGATGCACGGTAGCCATCGTCTGGATCGGCAGCTTCATCATCTGCTCGCCGAGCTTTTTCCTCGCCTCTTCGATCAAAAATAAAGACACTCCGTGCCATTGCACCCCGGCGAACGCCGGCCGGGCATACGTCGTTTTCTCGGCCTCCAGTAGTTTCTATATTCCAATGATCATCGTCGTCTTTGTCTACTTCCGAATCTACATTGCCGCCCGTGCAGCCACCAAGAGCATTTACTCAGGTAGAATTTACTACTTTACATTGTGAGCGCCAAAAAATATCTTTGCTCTTTGCATCACGATCAACAATTAAAAAAAAGCTCGTTCCTTTGACCAAAATACGCTCCATTGAAAATGCCTTCTCTTCTGAGAAAGCTGAAACATGAACCCTGACAGAATCGATATTTTAAAGTTCTTTTCCTCTAAACCAAAAAGTGTCCATGGAGCACATTTACAAAAACATTTTAGCCAAACTTTGTTGACCAATTCTTGGAGCCTTTTTTCGGCCTTTCGATCAACCAGAGAGACATTCTTCAGGCATGATGAGCGTCACGGCGACGGCCAACAAAAAGAACGCGACAACGAAAAGCTACTTGCTCAATCACCCGAATGTCCTGTCGAAAGACTCGGTTCCGATGCTCCGCGTTCACCGGGGCTCTTCCGTCGTCTCACACGCCGCCCAAAACAAACCCGTTAAAACCATGTTAGTTGTCCCGCTTTTATTTTCAATCGCGCTCCATTCAACTAAGGCCTTTTTCCCGCAAAACAGAACGGATGATGAGTGCAGAATATGAGCAAAAAAAACGTTTCGGCGACGTCTGAATCTTTCATGACGCCTGAAAACTAAATAAATATATAAATGAAGAGAGAGATAGAATTTTCCCTTCTTATAATTAAGAACGTATACGCAAAACTACACGCATAATCGCGCACCGTTTATTATTCAATACAGCGACGTTCTCTAGAGGAATTTCCATTCGTTTCCAGGAGTTTGATCGCTGTCGACGTCACGAATTGGAATAAGTAAATCTCGAAGTTGGAAACTGATTATTTAGCTTTGAATAAGTCTAACTTCTGACGTTCCTTGAAAACCGAGTATTCATCACTTAAGCGATGAAATTCCTAGAAGTCGAAAGAAGAACAAAAATGAGACTTGTTTTAATTAAGAGTGAGAGATTGAAACTTGAAACTGGAGAAAAAAGCGAGATTTCAGACATGAGAATCGCTACCGACGCGAGGATTCGGCGAACATGGAAAGTGCGGCGGATAAACTGAGAAAGTCCAGCGAGACCAACACCTCGGCGACCAACTCTCCGAACCTCGACGCAGCTCAGAAACGACGTCGTTTCACACAAGACGGGGGAAGTCCTAGGGCCGCTTCGAACCGCGTCGCCTCCAGCACTGCCAACAGAACTCAACAGAGGATCATCAGCTCAGAGTCTTCTGAAGACTCTTTTGGGTTGGTTCTCTTGCCTTTTGACTTTGTTTGACATTTTTCTCGCAATCCTAGAAGTTCAATGTCTGCTTGTAGGTTGTACGATTTAAAATATTTTCCAAAACGGAGAGCCTCAGAAGATTTTATTCTAACCAGAAAAATTTCAGAAACCCCTCGCCACCGACTGAATTGGCCACGAATCATCAGGACAACACGTTGCACCCGAAGAACGTCGAAACCAACGGCTGTCCGAAGAGCATTCTGAACAGCATCAAAGAAGACGTCAAGCCGCCGCCGACGCCTTCCAAGAAATCGATGAACCCACTGTCGATGCTGATGCGACGTGGGCAGAAGAAGAAGTCCAGCGGGGCCTATGAGAAACGGCTTTCCCTCGAGATCAAAGCCGCCAAGACGGTGGCGATCGTCACGGGTTGCTTCATTTTCTGCTGGCTTGGCTTCTCGCTCGTCTACGGCCTGGAGATCAAGCTAAACGACGTCGTCTGGTCGATTGTCTTCTGGTTGGGTTATCTGAACTCGGCGCTCAACCCCGTCATTTACACCGTTTTCAACCGCGAATTTCGGATTTGCTTCAAACGGCTTCTGACGTGCCATCATCTCAACCATCCGACCCATGTCAAGGTAAATTTAAAAAATCTTTCTTAACATTTTTGTACAAATATCTCAACTTCTCCCTTCCAGTACACCAACAACAACTCGTACAACTCGACGGCCCGGAGCAACAACATAATTTCCCGACCTCCGCTCCACCAAGCGGCTCTTCCAGCCCCAACTACCGTGTCCAACAACGTCAGTCCGCCTGGCTATCATGCCGTTCGACAGTAAGGTCCTCTTATTTCTCCTTCTTTTCTCATTTTCTTCCTACAACATTCCCAGCGGGTCAAATTCATCCTTAAACGGGGCCTGTATACACCAATGATTGTTGTTTATATTTTAATTTTCTTCCTTGATTCCGTAAATCCAATTTTTTAGACCTATTTTTGTTATCATTTCATGAAACGGATAATAAATCTTGAAATATATGGTTCCAATTTGTTGAAATTCTAATCGATGATTTCTTGGCTTTTGAAAATTTCCTTTTGAATCACGAATCGATTGAGTGATCACTTAAGTGTTCTGACGCCGCAAAATGGCTCCAGGAAACGTCCAGTTTGCATCAGGAAAAGCCAAAAAGTCAAAAACCATCTTTTTTTTCCATTCCAGTTGTTCTCTTCCTATTTTTATTTCTTCGCAATGACTAATACGGCTTTGAAACTTCTCCACGCGCAACAATACGGTTGATTTTTCAAAAAATGGAAACAAAAGAGAGCAGAAAAATGCCTCATCGTCGTATTCATTTCTTTGGTTTCAGTTTTTCTTCTCGAATCCAACTAATTTGATAAAAATCTCCCCACACACATGCCTCAACACATTCATAGATGGTCTTCTAGTCAATTTGATTTAATAAATTACTTCCGTCTCTTTTTTCCTATTCTTCCACACGCGTAGTAGTTCACAATCTATTCTCTCCGCTCAAAAATGTTGAAAGAACGCGGAAAATTTAATCACGAAATCGACATGAGCGTATGGAACTAGGATATATATAAATTTCGATTATTTCCTGTTCGCGGGGAACCAAAAAAAGTAGCGAAAAAAACCTTGTAAACGCGATTATTTTTTTGCCGTGTGAGGCGTGGCGTTCAAATGATCATTAAAAATAATGGAAAATGGAAAAAGTCGAAAAAAACGGAAAAAAATGGGAACTTTTTTTGAAAAAAAGCAGAAAAATTATGAACCCTAAATTAAAGGATAATGACCAAATTTTTTAATTTTTTGATTAAAAATCTTAAAAAGCTTGTAAGTCCAGAAGAAGAACATTCAAACTCAAAATAATGAAGAAATCTCGTGGAAATTTTTTTCGAAAGTAAAAAAATCATGAAAAAACCGCTATTTTTTTCCAGTTTTTTTCATCATTTTCACTTTCAAAAAAATCTATTTTTTTGTATTCTATTTATCTAAAAAGGCACGTTCCCATCCGTTCATCACTTTAACGTTTATTTTCCTTAGAAATGAGAGAGAATAGAGCGCAGACAGGTCAGAAAGGCCAAAATAAATTTTCGAGAAACTTTACGCGAAAATTTCGCTGCAAACTTTTCCTATGTACAGCTTCTATTCCAAAAATATGCAAAAAAGGGTTCTATGACAAAAAAAAATGCGCGAAATTCAGTGCGAAGGCGTAACAATCGGAAGCAATCTGTCTCAATTTTCAGTGCAACATCCGATAAAATCGGTAGCAAAAAATGGGGATTTTTTTTGCAAGGTAGGATTTTTTGAATAATTGAACTCAGATTATCAAAAAAATCTGCCAAAAATCGATAAAAAAATAAATCGAAAAAAAGTCGAATAAAAAAATCACGACTTTTTACAGAAATGTTTTTTTACAAATAATCGAAAAAAATCTGAAGAAAATTGAAAAAAAGAGAAAAAAAGTTCCTGAATAATTTGAAAAAAATCTGAAGAAACATCTTAAAAAAACTATTTCTTCGAATTAATAAAAAAAAGGTGGGCTACCTGTTTCAGCCTCAAAATATAAGGTCTTCCTAAAAATATTCTGACAATTTGCGATGTCCACGAACTGAAAAAAATTGAGCAAAAATCCAACCAAAAAGAAATTTTTCCTATCTATGGTTCTACTTTTGAAAATGTAAAAAAAATCTCAAAATTATAATCCCCAGCCCACAGAAAAAATCTGAATGAGTCCAGGGAATTATACGATCAAAAAATGAATTTTACGAAGGAAAAAGGATTAAAAAATCAACAAAACTGACCTTGTTTTCGCACTTGGCGAGCAGCTTTTTCTGTCCGAAATCGTACATTCTGAGCATGTTGCCGAACGCGACGAGGGCCATTCCTCGGAAATCGTGGATTGCGCTCACCGGCTGAACAAAAAAAAAGAAGTTTCAAGTAAAAAGAAAAAGAAATTTCAAGAAAATATATCCGTTAGAAGCGAAAAAATCTGCTAATCTGAATTTTTAAGATCAAAATTTCGAAAAAAAAGGCGAATTTCTTCAATAAACTTATTATTTCTGGCTCTGAAATAAAATACTACTACTGATCTTAATAATTTTATCTCAGCTTCGAGATTTAAAAAAACTGAAAAAAAAGAAAAATGGCCATTTCTTTCAGAAGATGTTACCCTAAAAATCATTTTTTTCATAAAATTGCCACTCAAAAAAATTTTTTTTCTCAATCCTTATATTTTTTTCCTTGAAAGATAACTTTTTAGGCTCTAAAAAAATCTACAAAAAAATCATAAAGAAGACGTTTTTTTGAGGATATCAAAACATTATAAATTGAAAAAGAAGTGTTGCAAAAAAATTTAAAAAAATCAAATTTCACCAAAACTTCAAACGGAGGCTTCGAATTTCCCTTGTGAGATGATTTGTTCAAAAAAAGAGTTTTTATTTGATTCACATACAAATTTTCCAACTTTTTATTTTCAAAAACGTTTCCTAAATGCTCATTTTATGCTACTTGAAGACCTTCTAGCTTCCCAAGGAATTATAATTTTAGAAGACTAAATTTCGCGATCAGAAAGCGCGAGTTCGAGTCCTCACCAGGCCATTACTTTTTTGCCCATTTTTTAACTTTTTAAAAAATCTTTGAACAGAACTTTATCAGTAAAAACCACCTAAAAACCAACTTGCAGTCCTAAAAATTAATTGAAAGCTGTTGGGAGGTAACTTATGAATAATAAAATAATAACTCTGGCTACCCTAAAGTGATACCTTGGGGGTCTCAGTACGGTGGAGCAGGTCGAATCGGTCTCCGTTGGGCGAAAGATGGAAGGTGTAGACGCACCCGCGGGGAGGTCGGACGCCTTGGCCGTCTTCGAACGGGTTGAGGCTCTCGTTGACGCCGCAGCCCACCAGCACCATCACCGTTTCAGGGTGCTTTGAGAACTGGCACAGGGCGATGCTTAAGCGATATTTCGTTAGGTAATGCTGATGGGAAAATTAATTAGTGGCCTCTATAGGGTTTTGACGCTTTAGTGGCCGTAGACATATTAGTGGCCACTATAGTAGACATATTAGTAGCCACTCTAGGGGTTAAAAATCAGTGGCCACTATAGAGTTCTAAGTGGTACTACTAGATGAATAAAACTACTACATTGGCTTTTATAGAGGTGGTTCTAGTGGCCACTTCAGTGTCCTCTTCAAATAGCTCTCGGGGAGCCTCTATAGTGGCCACTAAATTTTTGTCAGAATAGTTTTTTCGAAACATTCATTAGCGTTCAGATTTTGAGTGGACAAAAATGAGAAAATTTCAGAATCGGGGCTTTAAAAACGGTGTGAAATTTCAATTCGATTGATGTTTTTCTGTCCCTTCTGGACCCAAAAGAGCGACTTTTTTCTGAATTCAATATGATCGCAATCTTCAAGGCACAACGAGCTTACTAGGGAACATTTTTTTACCCCCGGTTGAACTTTTGCTGAAACTTTGCTGAAGTGTACTTCAGGACCCCCTGATTCCAGAACAAAAAGAAAATTTTTCGCAATAGATCTCGTTTTCGAGTTAGGACACTTCAAAAGTTCAACCGGGGGGTAAAAAACGTTCCCTGGTTAGAAGAGAAAGGTTTAATAGATTTTTCTCAATCTCAATCAGTGTAATCATCAAAATAGCCGTCAGAGAATGAAAAGAAAAGGATGTAAATTTCAGAAAGTCAGAGATAATTTTGATTTTCGCGGAAACTACTTCCAAAAGGGCAATAGAACCATTTTACATCCTCGAAAAAAATATTCTCCTTGTTAGGACCTTCTAACTGAATATGAATCGTAAGTGAGAGTAAAACTTGGATTTTTCTCAAGAATTGGTGCAAACTGGGTGAAACTAAAAAACTAGCCAAAAAAAATAGAAAACTCCATGAGTTTCCTAACTTGGTTCATCTAAAGGACACTGAAAAAAATGTGTGAAATTCAAGAACGAGACGAAAATTCGGATTTTCATGAAGTTTTCTAATTTGGTTCAGGACACTGAAAAAAGGCTTTTTCTCAAGAAATGGGGCAATCTTCAAAGCAAAATCAGAAAAATATTTGAAAAATACAAATTTTAATGAAATTGTTCCAGTTTTGATCATTAAAAGAACACTTACATAAACCATTTCACATTCTCATTTTTTGGAAGTTCGAAATAAGGCTCACTTAAGGAATTTGCCTAGTTAGGACGTTCTAACTACACATAAATCAAAATTGAGAGTAAAACTTGGATTTTTCTCAAGAATTGGTGCAATTTTCACGGCAAAAAGCGTGTAAAATTCAAAAAACTAGCCAAAAATTCCGAAATTTCATGAAGTTTTCTAATTCAGCTTATCTAAAGGACATTGCAAAGAGGCTTTTTCTCAAGAAATGGATCAATTTGAATAAAATCGATTTTTCATCGATTTTTCCCATTTTCAATGATCCAAAGACACTGAAACCAACCATTTGGCGTTCTCATCCTGGGGAAGTTCGAAATAAGTCTGAACTTTTCCGTCGATGGCGCTCAACAAGCTCACCGCCGACGCCCATTTGCCTATAATTTTCGAACAAATTTTGGAATTTCTGATTTTCCCGCACCTCTGGCAGCCTTGGGGGCTCCAAAAACGGTCTCGTCTGGAATATTATTGCGGAGAACGTCGGCAATCTCCTTGGCCAGTTCCATTTCCTCGCTGTCGTTGGCGAGTCTTTCAATGTCCTAAATACGTGAAAATTATAAAAACGCTTCGGTTGATGTTTTTTTTCGAATGTCCTCCAGATTCTCAAAAACATTTCGGAATTTTTGAGCTCAGAAAAATTTTTTGAGGCGAGAAATTACTTGAAAACTTGCCTCAATTTCTTTTTTGAAAAGTTTTCCTGGATCCAAAAATGAAGATTATGAAGAAAGTGACATAATATACTCGTTTTTTTTGTATGATATTCGTTTTTTTCTTACTTTTTATTACAACGGTTTGAAAATTTTTTCAGGAGCTTTTGAATGCCCTAGATGAAGGCCATGGATGTCTCAACCTGCGAAATCTCTTCTTTTTCAAAAAGAAGGACTCAAAGTCTCAAAAATAAGCGATTCAGAAGATTTCTCATGATTTTCTTTGACTTTGAGAAATTCTAGAAAGATCTGAAAGCCTAAACTTCCAGGAATTCTTCCTGAAACTACAAAAAATGATCCCGCTCAGTTCGATAATTTCTTCTTCCCGAAGGTCTAGAAGCCCTAATTCTCAAACGAAGAGTAAAATGAGCTCCATAGTCAGTTTTTTTTTTCAAATTCACTAACATCAGCCATCTCATTTCTCTTGGCGGTTTTGGTGGAAGCCGTGTAGGCAGCGTGGTCGGACTCGATGACGACGAAAGCTGGGGCCGAGGGATGGACAACGAGACGTCGGGGCGTCAGCTTGTGGTTGTACGATTGGATGTTGAACGACACACCGAGCTTCTCAGCGGCGATAATTCTGAAATGGAAAGACATTTGGTTTGTTATCAAACTAGCATAAAGGAACCAGGAAACTTTTCAGATTTGATCTCACTAACTGAGAAAATGCAAGCTGTACCTTGCAGATAAACATTTTTGTGAAAAAACATACCCAAAGAAAAAAAAATTAGCTTGTAAGCGCTAAAGTTATTAGGCCAATATTCACAGAAACAAACGGAAAACTTGAAAATCGTGTTTTCTTCAAACTTTATTCTACAAAAACCCTTTCAAGACTTTTCGGCGTACTTCACACCTTATGACGTTAGTGGACGTTTTCTACCAGATTTATGTCATTCGATATATAATTTACGTAACAAAGTTTCTCGTTTATTTAAACCTTAACACTCTCCATTCTTTTTATTTCGAAACGTTCTCGTTAACGAACCTCAGAGAGTTCTCCGCAATGGCGACGATACCCTCGGCGCATTGTTCGGAGCTGAAACTGGCCGCGAATTCGAGATTGACGTAGCTGAGAGGCGTCAGGTGGAACCGACGCTGGTGATGGTAGAGGAGCCACGAGCGCGAGGAGGTGCAGACAACCTGGAAAATGATGAATTAAGCTAATCCTGATTATTTGATTGATATTAATCTCGGACATTGGTAGCGCGAAACGGACGCGTAGCGGACGTGCCGGGACATTTCTAGTGACCACTTTAGTAGGGGCAGCATTCTTAAGTGTTCCCTAGAACTTATCAGAAACCACCAGAGCACGTCCGGTTTTTGTCCCAGAGGTCCGAGGATGTTTTTGAAAACTTTTTCCCTGAAATTTTTTTATCTCACCGCATTTTGTCCCTGGCAGGTGACTCTGAACAGTTTGACGGGCCTGGTGCCGAGATATCTCGTCCTGGTGTCCATGATGGCACCGGTGACGTTGTCGACCGTGTTGCGGAACATGCAGCCGTTCTGAAAAAGCCCAAAATATGAATTTCTATTGTTGAAAAAATCGAAGTGACACTTTTACTTTAGCCTAAAAAGACGCTGTTTGCGAAATAAACCGATCAATTTTTTTTTAATTGAGAATTTTTTCGCTGTAAATTCCTTCAGTGAAAACAGATTTTCAGGAAATTTATCCAGTTGATTTACCTGCAATCCAACATTGAGATGAACCGAAGGCTGTCCTTTTCCATCTTCACTCGGAGTGTCGACCAACAGAAGAGATTCCGGGTGAGAAGGCAGATTTTGAGTACTAAAAAAATGAGACCACCATGAATTTCCTTACAAATGGGTATTCCTACAGTTTCAATAATTTTATAAAATTTTTTTATTCAAGGTAAATATACTGGTATACTAATTCCGAGCCCAAACTATTATTTCTTGTAGAATAAGAGTTCACAAAACTTTTAAAAATTGAAGAATTTTTTCTAAAAGTTTGTTCGCCGTGACTTGACTATTTCTGAGTGTCTGCGTCTCTCTGTTCTTTTACAGGCGAGATATGAGAAACAGGAAAATAGCACTTCAAAACGAGAGAGCCGCGGAGAGACGGGGAGAGCGCAAAAAGCACAAAAAAACGCCGCAGTGGTCACTAGAGGGCTTGCATACGACAAAAAAGTGCTCCCTTTAGGGCTAAAATTGAAGTGGTCCCTACAGGAGTTTATAGTCTGACCTTTAAGCGCCAGAAGCTCAAGTGATCCTTGTAGGGGTTTTTTATTTATTTTTGTTCTGATTCGAAAGCCGGCAAGGCTTAATAAAAAAGCGTACAGGGATGACTAGCTTGCTCCCCTAGAATGGCCACTCAAGTAAGATGGCCCCTAGAGGGGAGCCTACAAGAGCCCAGAAGGTGGCCACTCTAGGGACCACTCTGGCAGTAAGACCCGCTCTCACAAAAAAAAAATCGATCATTATACAAGACAACTGCTTTGACTTCGTTAAATTAATTTTTGTTCCCATGTTGTAACAGGGGAATTTGGTTTGATTCCTGGACAGACCTCAGAGGGGTGAGCATGTCGTTGGGGTCCAACGAAATGAGTCTGACGGCCTGGTCGGCGGTTCCGATGGCCAGGAATCTGGAGTTGAGCTCTCCCTCCGGGATCTCGCTCAGACTCATGCAGGAGACTTCGGCGTTGAACAGCTTCCGTTCGGTGAACTCGTTCAACGTGCCGTTCTGAACGAGAAAATCCTTTGTTTGAGAAGAAAATTTAATTTTTCAAGGCTTTGGAAAAGGCTAACTCTCAAGCTTCATGTAAGTTCTCTCTGGATAAAAAGCCATTTTTTTAACAAAAAAATGATCAAAGTGTTCTGAACGAAAAAGAATCTTTATTCAAGTATCTTGTTCTTTGAGATCATTAGAATCGAAAAAGGCTCCCTTTCAAGCTTCATGTAAGTTTATTCTGAAGAGAAAAAGCCTTTTTTCACAAAAAAATTGATTTTTTTCAAATTGCCGTCCTGAACGAGTAGAGAACTCTATTTAGTAAGGAAATTTTGTTTTTAAAGGATGATCATAATCGAAAATACACATATTGAAAGATTTTATTCAAAGCTCTTTTCTGAACAAAAAGACGTTTCTTTCTAGCAAAAAAATTTCCATTTTTTTCAAGAGTTTTTTTAAGCGAGAAATGCTCAGTTTCAAGCTTTATGAAAAGTTTTCATTTGAGTCGTTCCTTTTAAGAAAAAAATAGATTTTTTTAAAGATCAGTATGGTTCAACGTTCCGTTCTGAATGAAGAAAAAAACTTTTTTTCTTCAAGCAGAAAATTTTTTTATTTTTCAAGATCATCGAAATCGAAAAACGCACTTTTTCAAGTTTCATGCAGCTTATACTAAACAAAAAAATTCATTAATTTTACCAAAAATTGATTTTCCAAACCATTCAAAAAAACTCGTTCAAAGTTCCGTTCTGAAAGAAAAATAACCCAGAAAAATTTTTAATTTTTTTAAGATTATTGGAACCAAAAAAATGCTTAATTTAAGCTTAATCAAATTTTTTTCTAAACAAATATGTTAAAAAAATTCCTGCTTTTAATTTAAAGTTTAATTTTTTTCTTTTGTGAAAGGATTATAACAAAAAAGAAAAACGTATATCAAAAATCAATATAATCAAAAAAATGTTCACCTTCGAGAAAAAAATTTCTTTTTTTAGTGTCATTACTTTTTCACAACCACTTAAAAAGCTTCAATTTTCAGATGATTGAATCTTCCTGTAATCCAACAGTCTCCAACTACGAGCTGGTCAATCTTTTTTAAATTTTTTTCTCACCGAAAGAAGGTCATAGAAATGAAAAAGTAGAACACAAAAAACAAGATAGGCGGAGTTTCAAGCAAGACATAATTCATTTTTTTTCTCCTAAAACCAACCAAATCCAGTTCAAAGTACACGAGTTCTCCTCCAGTCATTGCGATGGCCACTTGACGTCTGAAAATATTCATTTTTCACTAAATATATCAAAAGATCCTTTAAAACCTGTTCATCGCACATTTGACGATCTGACGACGAGGCGGCGTTTTCCATTCGTTGACACGTCGATCAGCTCGGATATGACGGATACCTTCGGGGTAGATCTGAAACCATACTTCATTTTCAGCCTATTGAGAATAAGAGTATAGTCGATGTGCCACTAGTTGAAATTTCATGGAACGACACTCCGTTGCTTCGATTTGTGCGGTAGCGCGCATCTTGCAAATTTGCCAACCTCGGCCACGCTAATTTTTTTTTTGGTATTCATTCTAATTTTGATCGTTTTTTAATTGTTTTATTCCTTTAAAATGTATTATTATCGTTGAAAAGGATTGCTTTATACGAATGTAAACGAAAAAACACAAAAAAATTTTTCATGATTTTCATGATCTTCCTCGAAAAGAGCGATAAAAAAGGGTGTTTTGTTAAAACCATGGTTTTAATGTTTTCATCGTTTTTTTTTTCTGTTTGCTGCAGTGGTTAATGGATTTTTTCAGAAAGTGAGTGGCTTATAAAATGAAGACGTGTACGCACTATGAAAAAGAGAGATCGGTTTTTAGTCAATATAAGGTTTTTCACTGCTTATTTATCCCCTGGTTGAATTATTGGCATTCCGAAAAACTTTATACATCCATTGCACTGTCAAAAAGTTCATAAAACTAAAGAATTATCGAAGAAAATGTATTTGAAAACGGCAAATTATAAAATGGGAAAGCGTGACCGAGATCCGCAAAGGCATTGATTCTTCACGGCCGCAAGGCCACCGAGCGGAGTGTCGTTCCATGAAATTTCAACTCGTGGCACATCGACTATAGAAGAAACAGGAAAAAATGATGTCAAAAAAAAAAATGAAAATGATCATGATTATTATGTCAGAAAAGGTTGGACGGCTAGAATAAGGACAAAAAATGGTCAAAAACAATGTTCATGTACACGAGCGGAAATTCCTTTAAAGGCAATCTAACGAAGGGTTTTCTGATACCAAAAACATATTGAACTCCAAAAATTTTCACAAAACGATGGGAATCAAACGAAAAATCTAAGACCCCAAAAAGGGCACGCTAAAAAAACGGTTTTTGATGACCATATTTTGACGGTTTTTGAAGTTGTTCCAGTTCAAAACTGTCTAGACCTTTAAAACGCGTGGAATTATCATTTTTGGTCAATTAGAAAGCTTCAAAAAATCAAATATTGGCGGACAAAAAAAGAAAAATTTTTTTTGTAAATTTGAATAAATTTTATGTAAACCTTTTTTTGATCTGAAATCAAATTTTTTTGTGCACAAAATAGCTAGAATTTGAAAGGTTTTCTTTTTGAAAAGAGGAATTTTTGAAAAATTAATAGTCAGGATTGTGAAAATCCGACTATGAATCTGATATATTAAAGAAATATGTACTAAAACTTTAAAAAAACGTACAAAAATCGTTTCAAACTCTGAGAAATTGAAATAATTAGTCATCATAAAACTGACCGATTTTTAATTCTCGAAAAATTTCTCAATTTCTACAGTACCTGAAGCAGGGAATCGTCGCCGATGAGGCCACATCCGAGCGTCGGGGAAGTGGGCAGGAATCCGGAGTCGCTGGCCTCTTCGACCGTCTCGCCGATGGTCAACACCAGCGTCGCGTTCACGAACGACACGACGATGTAGGCGTCGTTTTTGTCTGAAATCATGGAATTTCCAAAATTCTCAGTGAGTGATTCGTTATCAAATCGATTTGAGGGAATCTTTGAAGCCTAAGAAATCAAGAGACCCAGCCCACGTAGTTTCAAAACTCTTTCAAATGACGTAAAAGTTGGTCAGATTATAAAATATGAATATTTATAATTAATACGATTGAACTAAGATCAAAAATCGGTATTCAAAATGGATCAATAGGACCAGAAAGTTTTTTTCCAGTTGATATTCTAATAAAAAATGACCATCGATGTTCTTTTTGACGGTCCAGACGGCGTTGGGGTTTCCGGGGAGTTCCGAAACGGCCATTTCGGTCACTTCCAAGCCGTTTCGCAGCGTTTTCAGTTTGGATTTGGCGCCTCGGCCGCAGAGAGCGTAGATTTGAGCCGCGTCTTCGCGAGCGACATCGCCAATCTGTAATTTTTTTGTCATCTACTTTGAAAAAATTTTTGCCTTCGGAAAATGAGTAGAAATACTCAGTTGGTTTACACTTTTTTTCTTGAAATAGAGCTTTTCTCTTTACTGTTTTTTAGTTTCGTCCCCCTTCAAGACTTTCCAAGACCTCAGATCTTCAAATTAAAATTGACTATTGAAAAATCTAAGTTTCAAAATGAAAATTGACGGGGAAAGTTTTCAAAGGGAAAGCTAATCATGGTTAAACTTAAACCTTTTGAAAAAAAGGAACTTTTCAGAAATATCACGATTTTTATCTTCTTGAAAATTCAGCTCACAGGAATTTAAATCTAGAGGAATATAAACCAAAAAAAAAAGCTGCAAAACCTTTCAAAAATTCAAAAAATGATCAGATTACGAAAATCTCTACAAGTTTGACACGCTGTCTCTGTAATTCTCAAAATCAGTAATCAAAAAAAAATTTCAACTTCATCCAGTATCATAACACATTATCGATATTGCGGACGCAATTTTTTGAGCCATTCCCTCTTAGTGTAGCCGGGTTACGGTAAGCAGGTTGGTGCCTGCGAATCTAAGAATTGAAGAGTTTTTACTAGGCAAGTGATATATCAATCGATAGGTAATCCAATTCTAGAAACTTTTTCAGTTTAGATTACTGTAGAAATTTTCGAGATACGGTGCTTTTTGTGACCATTATTTTGAGCAATTTTGCCAATTGTAGAGACAGCGTGTTAATTAGAGTTTTTAAAAGATTCTTGAAAAAGAACCAAAAAACGAACATGAGCGGAAAGAAGAGGCGACAGACTGTCCAGAGAGTCAATGTGGGCGAGACATTTCAACGGTCGAACTCCATAGAAAAACGTTTCGCCTTCCTCCAACTGCATTCTCGACGAGAACTCGTTCTCCTCGTCGTCCTCGCCGAGGTTCGAGATTTGATACAGTTCACTGGAAGAGAAATATTCCATTTTTGAATATAATTCCGACTAAAAGTATTCTGTCACCCCATGATTCAGCAGAGAATCTACTCTGAAGAATAAATAATATATCTAAAATAAACTCTAAAATGGTTCTAATTCAAGTTTGAGCCTATCAAATGAGAAAAAACTCCTAAATTCGATATATTGCACTGGAAAATTCCACAAAAAGTTATAGTTCCGTTTTTTTCTTTATTTCCAGTGTCCGTATGAATCCAAAAAAACACTTTTCTGAGAAAAATCGCTCAAAAAAACTATCATTATTTATGCAAAAAAATCCTATTTCTCTACATTCTTCTATTTATTTATAGCCTGAATCCGTTTTTCATCTTTTTTCTGAGAAAAATCGCTTAAAAATTTCAGTATGACCTTTTATCACCTTCTTAATTTCCCTTAAGTTAAAAAAATATATTTATTTTAACAAAAATGATATTTCTTTAAGCCTTTTTTTATTTATTTCTACCATAACCATCAGTACACAAAAAAATCTAAGAAGTGAATAATTTGTCTATTTTCAGGACTTGTCTTCCTAAAAATTGACTCTGATTTTTTTTTTCAAGCACAACCAAATTGAAAAGGAAAAAAACTGCATCGAAAATGTCACCCCGATTTTTTTATAACCTTTTTTTATTCTAAAAGATTTAGCTCGTTTTCCAAATCTGAAACCATTTTTATAGAGCTCAAACTCACTGATTTCCAAATTCAGAAGCGACAAAGAGGAATCCGGTCTTCAAAATGCAGAGGGCGTTGGCTGGAGGGACCGTGTCGAAATATTTAACTTTCATTTCGCTCACCAGATCTTTGTCCGTCTCAAGGGTCACCTGAAATTAACAATTTATGCCGTGTTCAAAGTAATTTCCGCGAAATGCGAAATTGTCTCTGACCCTCCAAAATTTAGTTATCTTTCTCTTTCTCTGACGGCTATTTTGAATTTCGCGGAATCACATTGAACACGGCATTAGTGATAGAAACCAGCTTTTTCATTTGATTCTTGCAGAGAATATTGAAATTTTCGAAAATCCCTGCTATTTTTGGGTGAAAAAGCTTTTTTATATTCATTCTTTTCTAATTTTCATTTTTATCTGAAATTCCAGTCAAATATCTTATGGAAAAGATGAAAAAAAAATTTGCGTTTTTTTCAATTTTTGTAGAAGAATTATTTCAAATCTACAACTTTAATAAAGAACAAAAAAAAACAATTTTAAAAAAACTTTACGAGAAAATTGTAGTTCATATAGTACAGTAAAAAAATATTAAATTATCACCAACGATTTTTTTCAAAAATTTCAAGTTGAATGAAAAAAAGTTATATAAAAAGAAAAAAAGAACCCTAAAAACCCGAATCATTTTTTTATACACAAAAAAACTTGAATCAAACATTTTTCTGTTTCTAAAATATTTATACCAGTTCAAAAAGCTTTTCTTTTTTCAATCATACCTTGAAAATGTCGCCCTGTTCAGTTTGAACCAAGAAAAAGTACATGAGCTTGGTTTTGTGGGTCGCCGCACAGATAATGAGCAAAGAACGGTCGGGATCATCGAGGTCGTTCTGGAAAAATTGAAAAGATTTAAAAAAATTATGAATTTATTTAAAAATTTAGAAAAATAATAGAAACACTGGAAAAAAAATTGAAAATTTGTTAAGGAATATATATCATTTTCTAATAATTGGACTATTCTGAAAAAATCCGAAAAAAATTTAAAAATAACATTTTTCGACTATTTTTTTGAAGAATCGAATCCACTAGTTCTAAAACATCTGGTCGCATTTGGAATGGCTTAAAAAAATGACAGAGCGATTTTTTTAGACGATTGCCACGTCCGCTTAACAACTTTCAACACAAAAAAACTCATTTTGGATATAATTTTAAAAAAACCAAGAAACTTTCAACACAGAAATCCATTCTAAATGCAACCGGGATAATGAAAAATTGTAAAGAACGGGGAAAAAAATGAAAAAAATTCAGAATTTCGAGACAAGGCAAGAAAAAGTGAATATAATAATAATAATGTCACAAAAAAAGCAAGAAAAACACTTATTTTTTTGTAAATTCCAAGAAAGATAAGCAAAAACCTACCCTTCTCCTGGGGATGGGACAACGAATATCCGGTTGATCTCCCAGATTCTTATAAACCAAGTAGTTTTTCGCAGCAGACGATGACTCCAGAAGGTCCTTCGTTCCCGCCGGGTACTAAATTCGTCAAATTTTCGACTATAATCATTAATTTTGTACAGTTTAAGGCATTTTTCAAGCGATTATCCAACTTTCCTGAATTTCAGACTTTGAAAAAATATTATTTTTGCGATTTTTGTTGAAAATGCGCTTGAAAAAAAGTAAAACCTAGTTCTAATGATATTGTTGGGGAACTCTAGAAAGCTTTTTTGAGATCTCACCTCAGAGAAATTCTTATTTTTTGGCAATTTAATTATAAATACTAGAGAAAAATCTACACAGCTGCTGACAAAAATTAAATAAACCCCCAAAAATTAAACATTTCTGCAAAAAAACATTTCAAACAAAAAAAACGGCTCTCAAAACCAAAAAATCTTATTAGAGACATATTTCTACTTATTATTTTTCTTAATAAAGTAATAGAAACATTTGAAAATTTAAATTCAAAAAAAACCTGGAATGAGAAGATTTCCGGGCTCGGCCAACGGTTCGGCGTACTTTCTGACGACGTGGTTCAGACCCAGGTCCAATTCGTAGAAAGTCAAAGTTTGCTGGGTTTTCTTGACAGCGTCGCCGGTCGGGTCGTTGTCGCCGTCCTGAAAAAGGACTTTTTAAATTTTCAATGAACTGGAAATCTTTTGAAATCCTGTAAAAAAAGACCCTACAGAAATGTTCGATTTTTATTAACGTACTTATAGACACTGTCCAGCAAGTTTTTCGCAAAAAAAAACCACTTCCAAAAAAAAATAGCTCTTAATCTGGTCATGTTTCTCAACAAGTGTACCTTGTTAAGCCTCCTTTTTAGGCTATTTGAGCCTTAAGTGAGCCGAAACGAGATTTTAAGATCTGCTAGATAAAAAAAAGTAGCCCAGCTCTTCTTATTTCGAAAATTTGAGACCCAAATGGTGAAAGTGACCAGGAGTCTCAACGGGTGCACCCGTATTGAGCCCGTGATTTAAAAGCTATTTGAGCCCCAGTTGTGTCAAAACGGGATAAAAACGGGCTCGAGAAAAAATAGATGACCCTGTTGATTACATTTCGAAAATCTGAATCCCAAGTGGGCTAGAACGGGCCTTAATTATGGCAGAAAAAGCCTGAAGTGTCACCAGATGTGCTTAATACGGGCACGCCCTCTGCGAGCCCGTGTAAGCCCGACTGAGGATGCACCAGTTTCTCAACGGGTTTACCCGTATTAAACCCGTGTTTTTGAGACATCTAAGTTGTGCTTGAACGGGATAAAAACGGGTGTCAAGGAAAAAAAAGGTGGTCGAGCTAGGTTCCTTTCAAAAATCTGAGACCGGAATGGGCTAAAACGGGGCATCATTCTTGGTAGAAAAAAATGCCCAAAGTTCTACCAGCTGGGTTCAAGCGGGCTAAAAACAGGCGCACCCTCTGAGAGCCTACGTTAGTAAGATTGCAGAACCTCAGCAACATAAAAAAGGCTTAACGGGTGTACCCGTACTAAACCCGTGTTTTTAGGGCGTCTAAGTTGGGCTAAAACGGGGTAAAAACGGGAGTAAGAAAGAACAAGTGACCCAGCTAGATTTATTTGGAAAATCTGAGACCCAAATGGGCTAAAACTGGGCATCATTCTTGGTAGAAAAATGCCCAAAGTTGTACCATCGGGGCTTAAACGGGCTTAATAGGGGTACGCCCCGTGAGACCCTATTTTTGCCCGTCTGGTTAGCCCTCAGTAGGCATGAGATTTCTGCCGTTCTCGAAGCGATTACGCGAAATTAAAAATATCCCTCAGAGAGTGAAAAAGATAACTAAATCTTGGAGATTTAAAGAAAATATTCAATTTCGTGGATCAAGAACAATTTTAACACTTTATAAGGTGATTCAAATCGATATCCCACCTCATAATCGTACTCCAGACAGGCGAAAGTCGGATTCTCGTACTCGACGTCGATTCCGCACATCGAATAGCACAGCGTGTACTGCTTGTGGGCCTCCAAAGGCGAAGAAATCGTCAGATGAGATTCCGCGTCGCGATTCATGATGTAAACCAACTTTTGGCGCTCTACGGCTCCTGGAAATCAGCTTGTTTCTAGATGAAACTATCTGAACTTTGAAAATTCACATAGAGAAAGAAAAATTTCGTGCAGAAACGGATCAAAAAAACTTTTTTTATCTTACTTTCCAGCTTTTTGTTGAGAAGGACCTTCTAAATGGAACAAAAAAGAGCAAGAAAAAACAGAATTATCTCAAAAAAAAAAGAAAAAAACTTTCATCTTATCTAGGTACATTTAAAAACGTTTCTGGGCCACTAAAAGGCCTTATCGGCTTCAAAATGCTTGTTTTTTCTTAAATAACTTCTTTTTTTCTATGAAATGGACGATTTCAAACAACTTTTAATTTTTTTTTAAACTAGAACGTCCCAAAAAATTTTCCCAGTCCTTTTTTGTGTTTCGTTAAATTATTTTCGAAAAAAGACGTTCGGAAAAGATTTTGGACGTTTTCTATGAAACAAACCGATCATAATGGCACGGCCCTTCGGATCCGCAGCGATATAATGTCCGGGAACGATTCTCCGGCATCCACTTTTGCCGTAGGTTTCCTTTAAAAATCACAAAAAAAGTAAATCTTGAAACTCCAATATTTTACCTGATGAACACGCTCAAACATGTTCCTTTCTCCAATATACTCCAAAATAACTATTCTTCCAGAATCTGAGCCCACAGCAACGTAATCTACAAAAAATTTGATTATATTGAAATCTGAATGAAAACTAAGCTCACCTTTATTACCACCAGTGAGCCGGAACGATAACAACGACCGGATAATTCCGAAAACATCGTGGTGGCAAAGGATTTTCAGCTTTCCAGTGCTCGGATCACAAGTCAAAAGCTCGATAGCGGTTCCACGACCAACCACGATCTCCTAGAATATCAAAAATCACCAAAACGAACGGATAAAAAACAACCTGAGATTTGGGAGTTCCCGAGAAGTTTCCATGGACAGCTTGGTTGATGGCCGTCTGTGTTTGCAGCGTCAAGTTGTACAAATGCATCTTGGCTGTAACCTTTTACATTAAAAAAAAATTAACAACAACACTGAAGGAAAAATGAAAGAAATAATAGAAAGACGCTATATTCGAAATTCAAATTGTGGGGGGCGGGGACAATTGGCGTCGCATTTGCGTATGGGGCACAGTTAACTTGCAACCTTGGCGTGCACAAGTGACCTTTTTTTGAATTCCCTCGCTTTCCAACTTTCCCGCTGGACTGCAGAATCTCAAAATTTATTTTTTTTTTGTTGTTCGGATCGAGAGATTTCTCTCTAGCTTTGCTTCTATGCTGTTATATTAGATGCAATGATTTAGAAAAAAGCTCTAAATTGTTTTTCAAGGTTCTGGAGAATCTCCCTCTTTTTTTTAGAACTCTTCCTCGTTTTTTTGTCAAAACAGATCCCTTAAAGTTTAGATGGAATATTCAGTTTTCCGCTGAACATTTCATAAATTGAGTACATATATTTTTCTAGCCATTCTTTTGATTTTTCTCTCTCAGGCTTTAGTCGAAAACGCTCAAAGAACGAAAAAAAAACTGCATTTGATCGAAAAATGAAGTTTTCACGAGAAAGAAGAAATCGTCCGTTTTCCAATGCAGACGAAACTTTTGAATTTCTCTTTGTCGGATTTCGGAATTTAATTTCAACTTTTTTTTTTAACTCCAACCTACGTCATTAGTTTCTCATAATTTTCTGACCGTTGGTCATTTGTTCTTCGGCCACCATTTCTAGACAGTTTTTTGCCCGATTGCGAGAGAATCGGGAAGGAAAACGTATCATTCGGGCAGGTTTTCTCTGTTTCTCTCGTCGAATGTTATCACACAGGCGGTCTGTTCCCTGTTCGTTCTTTCAGCGGAGAAAAAGCGGTTCAAAATGTGTTTCTAGTCAGATTTTCTCATTTTTTGTGTTGAAGTGTATTTTCTGAGCTATCGCATGTCGTTAAGCTACACTTATATGTTTTTTTAAAGTTAATTAGTTATAGGGTTTGATTTTTTTGATGAATGGATTCTTATCTAAAAAAATTCATGTGAACACGTCTAATAGCATTGAAGGCCGGTTTTCTCGCGTCAGTCAGTTTATTTGTTCAACTGTTATCTTGTCATGGTCATGTCAGTTTGAGGGTTCTGTGGAACAGAAAAATTTTTAATTCGGTCGTTAGTTTAGTTTTTTTAGTTCTAGTTTTCAAATAAAAACTTTGCTGGAGTTTTTTTAAAGAGCAGTGAAAAACATTTATAAGGTTTTTCGATAAAGGGAGCCTTTTTCAGAAGTGAAAAAAATCCAGACTTCAAAGAGTTCTTACTAATTTTAATGCAATGAAGAATGATTAATTTGAAACAAAATATTTTTTTCGCAAAAATTAAATGCGTTTGTCTGTAAAAAAATCCTCTTTCAAACACCATTTTTTTCTTAAGTTTGTTTGAGGTAAATCAAAGAAAAAAATCTACAAATGCTTAATTTTTTTGATGAAAAATCTTTTTTTCATTCGTTTTGAAGTAAAATTTTTTTCAACCATTTATATGAAATATTAACTTAAGAACTTCAGAATCAATTGATCATTGACAATTTTTTTTTGAGCGAAATGAACACTCCTTTCCCAAACGTCGAAGAAGAAGGCCAGACCAATCAATCACAGTTTTTTTTTCTCATAGTTCCACCTAACTAGGTGTTCTCCTTTTCAGTCAAAACTGTCTTCTTTTTCGAAGAAGAAGAAGAACAAATATTTCAAGCAGTGGCGTCTATTTGTGCCAACTGTTCCACGTGGGTCGTGATCTGAGGACTGTGATCAGTGATGTTTCGGTTCAAAATCGCGATTTTATCACTTCTTTTAGGCGTTTTACGTGAATGCTCACCCTTATTCTTTTTTTATTTGAGGAATTATTTTATTTTCTGTTCTATGAATAATTTTTTTAACTTTCTATCAAAGTTTATTTTTCTGTTGAAACGCGATTAACAGACGTGATTTCTGTTAATTTTCGATGACGGTCAGAATTTTTTTATTCATTTTTGCTCCACGTTCAATACCATCATTTTTTTCTTTCTCTTTTTGTCAATCTGTTTAAAAATTTTTTTGAATTTTTTTGAGGCGAATAGATAGACGCAATTACGCTTTTTTTAGAATTTAGGATTTCGTAAAAAAATATTTTTTTCCGCGTTCTGCTATTTTGATATGACTTCCTATGCATAGATTCATATATGAATATAATCTTTTTTTGAAGATTCAGAAGGTTCTTGAAATTTTTTTATGCTTTACTTTGTTCCAATATTTCGGAGAAATACCGGTCAATTTTCTGAAAAATCGTTCCTACATCTTCTGTTAACACTTTGAACAAATCTATAAAAGCCTCTAGATTTTCTTGTAAAAAAGTTCCCTTCTTTTTATTTTTTGGTCCAAAGCTCGAAAATTTCTTCAATTTTGATTACCGTTTCTTATCAGAACGTAACAAGTTGTAATTCTAATTCTGTAGAGGCGAAATGAGCCGCGTGTTGCCGAGTCTTTTGCGCTCCTCGGCGAGAAGATTCTCGCTGAAGCCGCGGCAGGCGGTCGACGGCCAGGAACCGCCGCCGGTCACCCAGCTCTCCGAGGACGAGCTCAACGTCGTCGAGACCGGTTCCAACTATCTCTCTGATAATCATAGTTACTTTTTCAGTCCGTCGCTTCTCGCACAATGTGATTAAACCGTTGGTCCGTGAGATGGACGAAAAGTCGGCCCTTGACCCCAGCATCATCTCTGGCAGTTTTGAGAACGGAGTGAGATTCTGAATTATTCAGAAGTTTTTGTAGTGATGTAATGTAATGGCGAAGTCTGTCCAGATTTTGAATGTCAAGTCATGGCTCAAGCTTCGCCTCTAATGGCGCGATAAGCCAATCAGAGAACGAGCCACCCACAGAGCGTTTTTCGAATGACGTCACTGTTTGACCAGACTATATGTTTTTGAGGATCTCTGTCAGAATTTCAAAGTTCAAGCTTTTCTTACAAAACTACAAATTCCTCTTATAATGCTCTAAAAAAAGTGGAAAATTCTCATTTTCAATCGTTAATCTGTTTTTTTGGCACTGTCGTACTGCAAATGTTCACGCCTTATTATTTTCAAGATTTTCACAAAAAAACGATTTTGTCAGATTTCTTGAAGTTTTTTTATCCTTTTTTTAAAAAAATATTGAAGGACGGTTTTTTTCAATTATTAGAAATTTTCTATATAAGTTTTTTTTACGTATGAAAAAAAGTCGTTAGAAGAAAAAAAGGAAATAAATTTCAAGATAATGAGCGATAGAAAGCCGGAAAAAGCTTCATGTATCAAAAAGATAGGAAAAAAATACATTTTTTTGCACTTATGGGACCACTTGATGGAACTTTGATTCTATTTTTTTAAATAGTCATCAGGTTTCAATTTTGTTAAAAAAAAAAGAAATCCAAGTAAATTTTCAGAAAATGAGCGTCTTAAAATCTTTCTTGTTCAAGTAGATTGGAAAAAAAGCTCTTTTCACTAATGGGACCACTTGAAGGAGCTTTAATTCTACTTTTTGTGGTCTTAAGGTACCAAAAATTTTTGAAAGCTCCATCAAATGAGTTATTGAAAGCCTAAAAAGCTTCAAGTTTTGGAAAAATGAAGAGAAAAGAGCTTTTTTTCACTTATGGGACCACTCAAAGAAAATTCAGCTGTACTTTTTAGTGGTCTTGAGGTACCAAAAATGCTTGCAAGTTCTATGAAATGAGTTATTGAAAGCCTAAAAAGCTTCAAGTTTTGGAAACACTGAGAGAAACGAGCTTTTTTTTCACTTATGGGACCACTTGAAGAAACTTCAATTTAATTTTTTGTGGTCTTGAGATCCCAATAAATGTTGAAAAGAATAAAAAAAAAGTTTTGTAGGATGAATTATTGAGAGTATGTAAAGCTATTCATTTCAGAAAGACTGGGGAGAAATAGGTTTTTTCACTCATGGGACCACTTGAAGGAACTGTAATCCTTTTTTTTTTTTTGGTCTTTAGGAATTTTTCAATGATTTTAGTTTCAATAAATTAATGAACCTGGGGCTAATAAATATTATCTTTTTTCAGTTTATGGGAATCGAGGTCCCAGAAAAGTACGACGGACCCGGCGGCAGCTTTTTCAACACGGTTTCTGGTGGTCGAGGAGCTCGCCAAGGTTGATCTTTATCGATTTTTCGCATTTTCATCTCTTTTTTCTTCAGATTGACCCTTCTGTTTCGGTTTTCGTCGATGTCCAGAACACCCTTGTCGCGCCGTTGATCATCGAACATGGAACTGAGGAGCAGAAAAAGAAATATCTGCCCAAGATTGCGTCGGAATGGGCGAGTTTCGGGATGAATTGCTTGAAATCCATGATTTTTCAAAGTTTTGAATGGAATTTCATGTGGTTTTCTTGTTGAAAATGTGTCTGTAGGGATTTTCTGCCTTTTCAGTTTTTTTCTAGGGTTTTATAGTTGAGAAATTACTTTGAATTTAATTTTTTTAAAGAACAGGAATTTTCGAAATTAGAAAGAAATCTAGGTTTTCATAATTTGAACAAAAATTCCACTGAAACATACATCTTTGTAAGTTTTTTTGAAAAATCTAGGATAAAAAAATCTCAAAAAAATATAAATATTTAGCCAACACTACTGTTTCAGCCAAAAACTCAAAAAAATTTTTCTCATTTAATTACTCGAAATTGTATAAGTCGAGATTTTTAGTGCCGTGTTCAAAGTAATTTCCGCGAAATGCAAAATTATCTCTGACTCTTCAAAAATCTAGTTATCTTTTTTTCATTCTCTGACGACTATTTTGAGATTCGCGGAATCACTTTGAATAAGTAATAAGCATTTTTAAAAAGTTTTTAATTTTTAATCTATAATTTTTTAGCTCGGCTCCTTTGGTTTGTCGGAAGTCAGCTCGGGATCCGACGCTTTTGCCATGAAGACGACCGCCAAGGCTGATGGCGACGATTTTATCATCAATGGTTCGAAATTGTCCTTTTTCCACTGAACTTTGATAATTTTTTTTTGTCTCGATTTTTGTTTTTCTCTGAGCTACAGAACCCTTACCTTCAATACGCGCAATATTTATCCCTGCCTGCGCCTTTAACATAGTCTGTTCAGATTTTGAATGTTAAGACAACGCCTTAGCTCCGCCCCTAATGACGCGATAAACCAATCAGAGAGCGAGCCATCCACAGAGTGTTTTTGAATGACGTCATTGCCCATGACATTAAAAATCTGAGCAGACTACATAATGGAAGTTCTAGGCCAAATAAAAAACGCAGATAGAGAAGCTTCCTGCGTGTTTCGAACGGAGTAGTTCTCTAGCTCGGAGGGAAACAAAAATGTTGACAAGCTGGCGCGGAATAGCAGAGACGAATCAGGAGGGTGCCATATTGTGTCCACAAAGGTACCTCTCAAAATGGATCGGGAAGACCCCATAATGTGTCCATGGTGAGACTTCCGGCGTACCTTTTAGCTATCTCTGAGCCATCTCGGAGGTACTTTAGAGTCTCTCTCAAGCCCCTCTCATTTTGCTCAAAATCCTCAGCCTGAGTTCGTCGGACAGATGTTTTTTTTTTACTATTTCCGGACCCCCCCCTCCATGCTATTCGGCGCGCTCCGCAACCCCCCCTCGGCTGACCAGGTCCATCACTTGCCTATGTATGTCCTCAGAAGTATCTTCGAGGTACCATCGTGAGACTTCAGAGCCTGCGATATACCTCAGAGGGTCTCGCAATACCCTTTCTCGGTTCGCCTATGAGCCTACACTTGACAAAGACTGAATAGACTATATCACAATAAGACCTACCCGAACAGAGCAATCAAGAAAAACACATTTTTCTAATTTTAGGCTCCAAAATGTGGATCACAAACGCCGGCCACGCCAAATTCTTCTTCGTCTTCGCCAACGCCGAACCGTCCAAGGGATACAAAGGAATCACGTGTTTCCTGGTGGATCGCGACGAAAAAGGCATTTCTGTTGGAAAGAAGGTCGAAAAGATCCCCATTTTCCAAATTTTAACGATTTTTAGGAAGACAAATTGGGAATCCGCGCCTCTTCCACATGCCCAATCCATTTCGACAACGTCCGAGTCCACAAATCGGCCATTTTGGGAGAATATGGAAAAGGTTCGAAAGTTTTAAACATGATAAATCGAGCTAAGGCAGATTTCTGTTTCATTCCGAGATTTTATTTTTCAGAAAATTCAAAAAATAATGAAGCCCCGAATACGGAGTTGATTGTATCTTAGGTACGTCAGAGTGGTCCCTATGGGGGTTAGGGAGAAAAAATTTATGAGGGGAATCAAATGAATTTCCTTAAAGAGGTGAGTCTTAGGTGGTCCCTATAGGGGCCAAGGGTCTTTTTTCATTTAGAAGGGGACCCTTAAGGGACCACTCTGGATTTCTTTAAGACTTTCAGCGCTCTTAGGAACTCCAAAGTGATCCCTATAGGGCTGATTTAGGCGCCATTGCAGGGTCCTCTCTAGGGACCACTTTACAAACCCCTTAAGGTGCCACTGAAGCTTGCAAAAGTGGCCCCTATAGGGGACATGCTAGTCGATAATTTTTATGAACTCCATGTGAAGAAGCATGTCCATGCGAAAACTAAAAAAAGAAAACTTTTTTTCGGATGAAAATGAGCGACCCCTCTAGGGACCACTTAAGCTTTAAAGGCTAAGGTTTCAGGCCCTTAACCCCTATAGGGACCACCTTGATTATACCCCTATAGGGACCACCTTGATTATACCCCTATAGGGATCACTTTTTCGGTCCTTATAGGGTCTGTTTTTCCTCCTAACCCCTGTAGGAATCACTCTAAAAAAACCGTAAGAGAGCTGAAAATTAAAAAAAAAAGGTTTTTTATTATTTTCAGAATGGTTTTTGTGCAAATTTTACTCGAGAAAAAGAAAAAGAAATTTGAAATTTCACGAAAAAAAAAATGGGGAAAAAAAGGGTTAAAAAACTGAATATCCAGGCTACAAATACGCAATCGAATGTCTGAATGCCGGCAGAATTGGCATTGGAGCGCAGATGATCGGATTGGCCCAGGGCTGTTTCGACTACACGATCCCTTATCTTCAACAGAGGGAACAGTTTGGCTCGAGGCTCATCGATTTCCAGGTTTTCATATTTTTCGAACAATATTATAAAGAAATCAGATATTTGATCATTTTAGGAGGTTAAAAAGGGTCACTTTTTTATCGTGAATTTTTTTTTGAATCTAAAACTAAAACAAAGAATAAAGACCAGTGGGATGAAAACCTTGGTTCAGCTGTGAGGCTCAAATAACCTTAAAAACGGGTTTCAATACGGGTATGCCCGCTGGGAGACCGGGACAGCCTGAGATGGTCTGCCTCCTTTTGATTTTTTGACTTTTAAGATAACCACCTGTGAAATGAATGTCCCGGTTTAGCTGTGAGGCTTAAATAACTTTAAAAACGGGTATAACCTCAAAAACGAGTCTTGAAAATTTCATAACGACCAGTGAAATGAAAGCCGCGGTTCAGCTGTTAGCTCAAATAACCTCAAAACGGGTTTTAATACGGGTACACCCTCTGAGGGACCTGGCCAGCCTGAGAGAGTCTGTTTTCTTGAAAATCTTCGAATTCTCAGGGAATGCAACACCAAATCGCTCAAGTGGCGACGGAGATCGAAGCGTCGCGTCTTTTGATCTACAACGCGGCCCGAATGAAGGGGAATGGAATCCCCTATGTCAAACAAGCCGCCATGGCCAAGCTCTACGGGTCACAAGTTCGTTCCTGAGCGATTCTGAACGACTCGAAACGTTTGATCTTCAGGTGGCGACCAAGACGACGTCGAAATGTGTGGAGTGGCTCGGCGGCGTCGGCTTCACCAAGGAGTTCCCCGTCGAGAAATTCTATCGCGATTGCAAGATTGGTTCGTTTCAGAGCTTCTAGAAAGCACAGCTGATAGTAATTGAAGTCATTATAAACTCTAGAATCAAAAAATTTGAGTCATTTTATCATACTTTTTAAACTGAACCAAAAGTTCAACGTACTTTCTTAGGAACTCCAGAGTGGTCCCTATAGGGGCAACCTTAAGGTCATTAAATGGTCCCCTCTAGGAACCACTTCAGTAAACCCTATAGGGACCACTAACGCTTGCAAAAGTGGTCTCTAAAGGGACGTGCTAGTTTATAGAAGTTATGAACTCGAGGAAGCATTACTGTGAGAAAAACTAAAAAAAATAACCTTTTTTAATAAAACGACCTCTATAGGGACCAGTTAAGCTTCAGGGGCTAAGAGGTCAGACTCTGAACCTCTATAGGAACCTAATTTTTTGGTCCTTATAGGGGCTATTTCCCCTCCTAACCCCTATAGAGACCCCTCTGAAATTCCCAAGTTGGTTTGGAAATAGAACGAACTTTCTAGAGGCAATTTTTGGAAAAGGCTAGTTGCGTGTATTTTTCAGGGCTTTTTTTTGTGTTCTGTCGGCTGTAGGGATCATTAGAAAAGTAATGAAAACCTTGTCGATTTTCGTCTTTTACGAGTTTCGTATACATTTTTCTCAGGAAAAAATCTTTTAAAATGGAAATAATCATGTTTTTCTCAGTTTTCCGTTTATTTAATCTACCCGGGATCATAATGGACACAAAAAAGTGTCCCATGAAAAAATTGAAATTCAATCCGTCCTTTTTCAAATGTCTTGAGAAATTCAGGGCTAGGCAAAAAAAGGAGGAAAAAAAAATTGATCATCAAAATATTTCCAAACTTTATATTACTGCTATCTCATCACACTGGATTTCATTTTTGAGCTCGAAGGTTTTCAAATTTTCTAAACGATCTTCCAATTCACATAAAAGCTTATTTTACTTCCAGGAACCATCTACGAAGGAACCTCCAATATTCAGCTCAACACCATCGCCAAACTCGTCGACACTGAATACAAGAATGTCGCCTAAACGTGTTTTATCTCATAGCATTGGAAAAATCAGTACGAAAATTATGTGTAAATTAAGCTATGCTCATTCCTATGACCTTTCTAAATATTTGTACTTATTGCGATAAAGTTTAGTTTACGAGTAAAATCGGCCTTTTTTCGTGTTGAAATGAAAAAAAAAAAAAAGATTTTTGAATTTTCCAGACTGGCTCCAACAATTTCGAACTGTTTGAAAAAAGTCAGAACTTCATGCCGTGTTCAAAGTAATTTCCGCGAAATGCAAAATACCCGTTAGAGAAAGGAAAAGATCACTAAATTTTGGAGAGTCAGAGATCATTTTGCATTTCGCGGAAATTACTTTGAACACGACATCAAGAGATTTTGATATTAATTCGATTTAACGATGGGGCGCGAAAGCCCAAAAGAGCGTTTTTTTATTCCGAATAGCCCTGATTCCTCATTTTCATACTGCCCTCATCAAAACCGTGTAGCCTTGACTGTTTTTTCCTGCACCCGACCTTTAGCGGCTTTCGATGAACCGGTTCTCATGACTAATTGTTTACACAGCGAAGGATTGAACTCTCCCTATTTTTTCCAGTAATCTGACGAGCGAGTTAAGGTTTTCATTTAAAGTCTGTTTCAAATAGTCTATTAATCCAGTTTTTCAGTTTGAAAAGTTGATATTGTTCACATTTCTTCTGACAAGCATGTTTTTTTTCAGGAGCATTGAAATCAAAGAGAAGAAAAATTTTTACGGACAAATATAGTCTGTTCAGATTTTGAATGTCAAGCAGCTAACTCCACCCCCAAGGCTACAATATCTTTCGCGTCAATGTTTTATCTACATATGACGATGGCCCTTTAATAAGGCTGCATTTTTGACTTCTTTTTCTATCTTTTAGATCAAAAAAGATTAAAATTAGCCCCGCGCGATAAAACATCGACGCGAAAAGGTACCGTCTCAGCAGGGGCGGCACGGCGTTTTTTTATTACGCAAGGTCAAGATTTCTCGTAAATTATGATGTTTAGGGTGTAAGCACACCGAGACGCACTATCGCATACTCAAAATTGTTTTTTTCAATTTTAGAATTTGCAATTTTAGGATAATAACTTCTGAAATGTTCGAAATCTTGTCAGTTTGAAGATTATGATGTGAAAAAAAACATTCAATTGCGTTAAAAAAAGTTTAGGAACGATTTCGGAAGGGAAAAACTCTATATTACTGATTACAAAATGAAAACAAAAAATATTATGAAGGTGAATCAGCTCTACATTATTTTTTTGGTAGAACACATGAAGCAGGTCATCGGAGACGATAATTATATAGTTTTGAACACCAGTAATTTTTTTATTATTCGGATATTTTTTTCGCGACCACTGCCTAGCTGTGATTTACCAAAAAGAATCTCGGATTATGAAAAAAATGACATTTGGCAATGAAACTAATTAAAAACCAAAGAGTTATATAAAAAAAGAAACGAGCAAAATCAGCGGAAACTGTGAACAAAAAAAATTGACGAATTTTTCAAAAAAACTAACTCCTCCCTCAGTTTTGAACGAAATTCCATGGAACCGCTTTCAATAGACGTGTAATATGCTACTATTTCACAATATGGACATCTCGCAAAACCCAAACATGAATAGACAGAGAATAATTTGAAAAACCACCGAAAAATGACATAAAAACCGAAAAAAATTTGAATTTCGCGGGGGCCTGCACAAAGTGCGCTCCATCGGTCGGCGGCAATCTTTTTACATTTGCTTTCACTGCGTGGAACGCCGTGGCGGAGTTAGCTGGTTGACATTCAAAATCTGAACAGACTATAGGAATATGGGCACCCCGAGAATAACTTTTCTTGAACTGAAAATCGGAAAAAAGCAAGTTTTGAAGAAACGTTAGCCCTTTTTCGAAATAGTTCTCATTTTCCAAGTGCTCCAATCTCTTCAGGACCTGACTTTCGATCTACAACTCGAACGATTTTTCAAATTTTTTTTTTCTCAGTTTACCTCTTACAAGGGAATTCTTTTGAGTTTCCGAATGAACTTTTGAAGAGATTCGGCTGCAGAATATTTTAGGACCTTCTTATTTCAGAGAACGAAAAAATGATCTTTTTTTATTGGTTTTGACGCTTCAAAGATTTCAAAATACAGTCAATAGGTTGACAGTCCGGACCTCGCACAAGATTTTTTTCTTTTTTTTTTGTTTAAAAACACATGTTGAAAGTGATTCCGCGAAATTTAAAATGCCACAAGAGAGTGAAAAATATAACTGAATTTCAGTTCGCGAAAATTACGTTGAACGCGGCGTGTGCCATAGCGCCTCAGTGTATGCACACTACACACTACACTTTACGGAAAAAAGTGAAAAGTCGCCAAAAAAACGCCGTGTTCGCGCTTCCAATTTCCAAAAAGATAGAAGAAAAAAAAATTAATCGAAGTTTTATCTCTGAAAAAACTTTTTTTTTATTGTTTTATCAGCAGAATCGTTGTTCCCTGACGCGATTAAACGCGTGCGCCGGACCGACGGCGGCTTCCGGCGGAGGCCTTGTCCCCGTTTACCTGCCGCCTGAGGGGGCTATTCGAAATCCCCCCCCCCCTTTCACTTTGGTATGGAGTGCCCCTCCTCCTCGCCGCCTTCCATCATCCTATTCGTTTCGTACACTTTTGACCCCGTTTTTCTTTCATTTTCACTTGACTTTTTCGATGACTCCTTTCCTGTCCATTGAACAGCCTTCTTGTTGCCGTTTTGGGACTAAGATCATCATTTTTTTTTTGATTTTTGTGCATCTTCTGTAAAACTTTAAAATTATTTTTGAAGTTTTCCTTTTTTTTCTTCTTTTTTAGTCCATTCCAAAAGTCTTTTTTGCAATTTGAGCTGAATTTTGTAAGCCTTCTAAAAAATTTTACTAGGTTAATATAGGGACCGCAAGCCATTTCTTCAGAACGATTCAAAAATTATGTTTTTCACATTGTTCGATAGAGGAGACTGTCCATTTTCATAATCCGTTTAGTTTTTGAAAAAAGCTTCACTAAGAAAAAAGTTATGGCCAAAAAACGAGCGCGCGCGGCGTACAACTGGAGGCAAAATCTCACGGTTTACCCGCTGCCGCACGCTTTCTTTTTAAATGTTTTTGCGCATTTCTGAACCGTTTTCAAATCGGTTTTTCTGTTCTGAGAGTTTTTTTCCGAACTGAGCCTCATGTTTTGGTATGAATCTTTTGTACAATCCTCATAAGAATTTTTTTGATAAAATATCAAAAAAACTACCTAGAAAAAAAGGTCAAAGGGATTTTTTTCAGCTTATTTTTTTCTTTTTTTCTACTCACAAAAAAATTATTATCATTCGATTTGGAAAAAAAGAAAAAAATGAAAAAAATAATGTTATTTCAAAATAAAACAGGAAAAAAGTGCAATTTTGACTCCGAAAAAAACGGCTCCTGCGACATTTAAAAGGGCGCATCGGTGTGTTTGACGCAAACACTGCTACGGACACTTGCACGAAACCCTCCAAAATTTCAAAAAAAATTGCCTTTTTTTCGAGGTTTTCAAAGCCGTTATTTTTTTCGCGTCGATCGATTTTTTTCATAATTTTTTCATTGATGGAGTTTTGAACGCTTAATAACCTGATCAAAAGTATAGACGCGATCCTATTCTCTCATGCGTCAACGAGGCAGACGAAAAAAGGAGGTTTTGGTAAAACTCAAATATAATTTGATTCGCTGTCCCAATAATTATTTATATTTTGAATTTTTTTATTTTTTTGGACACACTGTTAGTTTTTTTAAATCAAATAAAAAAAGTATACCATGTCGCTGAAATTTTTTTCGCATTTCTGCTTCAAAGTTTGGTGTCACTTTACAAGCTTTTAATATTTTTTTCGCGTCGGTAGATTTTTTTCATTTTCACTCAAAAAAATAAAAGAAAGTGTTAATGTATAACATACTTAAAATTTAGAAGCGTTCCTCACTTGGTTTTCTGAAACGCGACGATTTTGTGAAACTTGTCAGTTTTTTTCGTGTTAAATCTTACTTTTTTTCGCTTATTTTTTTGAAAAAAATACATAGTTTTAAAAAAATATTCAGTCTTGTAGAGCGTTGTCGATTACATAGATTAACAGAAACAGTTGATTTTTTTAAAGTGGGACTTTAGCTAGTATAAACGCCTCAAAACCGTTTTTTTGCAACAAAAAAATCGTCATTTTGGTGGCGTGAAGGGGCGGGGCTTTGCGCCCCCTAGGTTAATAAGTTTAAGTTTTTTTTTCTTTTTTTCTTCTTTTTCAATGATTTAAACTAACTTTAACTTGATTTTTGTTAATTTTAGAAGTTTTTCTCTATTTTAACAACCTTGTAATCTCGGACGAACACTGAAAAAAAGTTTTCGCTTCGAGACCTTATTTTTAAACTTTCCTATGATCCTTCAAACAGCTTGAATGGACTATAACACTTTTTTTGAAAAATCTTTAATTTTTCGATTTTATGAGGACAAACTGTAATTTCCACTTGAAACCCTTTTTTTCGAAAAATGAAAAATTTTCCTTGAAAAAATTTGAAAGAGGCTGATTTCAAAAAAAGAAAAAAACAATATTTTTTTGATTTTAAACGCGTTTTTTTCAGGCTTATTCTAGTCTCTATTTGGACCAAAAAAATTTAAATTTAGTAATTTTGAAATTTATTGGTATTTTTTTCCATTTTGACTCACCTTTATCATTAAATTTTCATAATTTTCTTTCATTTTTTACCATATTATCTGAATTTTTTTTTTTTTTTTCTCGAATATCATTCTAATCTTAGACTTTACCCACCACTGGCCTTAAGAAATAATGAAATAAGGGTCTTGACACGATTGGCAACATAGTGTGTGAAAAGAAGAGGGTTAGAAAAAAAACAAGAAGTTTAATATCGACTCAACTTTTTTTCCGGGTTATTGAGTAGGTTTTTGACCTCTTTTTCCTATCCATTCTATCATAAAAAGACGACCTTTCACGGTTTTTTTTTTCTCGCAGTTGGAAGTATCAGTGCGTAGAGAAGTTTCAATGTGGGTTGATGGCCTCGTTTTTTGGACTATTCGGTCAGAATTCCTTGTTGAGAACCGTTTGAGAGTATTTTCTGGACATATCAATTGTTTTGGCATTCCTGTCACGTCCATCAATCATCAGTCCGGCGGCAAATATCACAGAAATTTGGGCGATTTGTCAACGGTATTCCGAGAAATCCATTGGAAGAAATTGAGAACTTGGGAATTGATTTTTTTTTCCATATTTTCTCAAAGATCCTCTCAGAAATTAGACAAAAAAGTTTGAAGAAAAATCCACTAAAAAAATTTTCAAAAAAATAAGATTGGCAGAAAAAGTTTATCAATGGAGCACAAATGACGTAAAAATTGACCCTTTCGCCTTTTTTTTTAAATTTTTTTCTTTGTTTTTTTTTTGTTTTTTTTTCGCATAATTTTTTTCTTTCTGTAGTTTTTTTCACTAAAAAGAAACACTTAAGAACGTTATTTTTTTAGTTTTTTTGACGCAAATTTGGAAATTATCGCATTAATTTTTTTTCAATTTTTTTGAGGGTGTTTTTATTTTATTTTTTTTTGTTTAATAACTTGAGTCAGAACGGTTTTTTAGAAGTAATTTGATGTAAATTAACTGATTTTTATAGCAAACGAGGCGAAATTTAAAAAAATGCAGGAAATGTCAAATCCGCGCCAAAATCGCGACCCCTTGGAAAAAAATTTTATTAAAAATCAATTTTTTTTGCTTGCTACGTTTCGTTACAGAAACATGTGAACTACCGCCGAATCGAATAAATTTTTTTAAAAAAATGTTAAAAAAAGATGGGATATCGATTGATTAATTGATGATCATTTGACCATGGTGTATTGATAATTAAGACAAGTAGAGAAGGGAATTGGAACATTTCGGAAGCGTTGTTATCAGGTGCGCCCCATGGAGATGTCCAGGCAGCTGGCCTCATTTGAATCTTACCGCCCGTCGGTCGGTCCGTCCGTCCCAACAGTCCCAGCCAGCCTCCTTCCGATGACATTATCTCCCTTTCCTTCTCATCCACTTCCCAACACCGCTTCCATTGTACTTCCTTTCGAAATCGTTCTTTTTTTCGTATTTCGTGACACTTTTTTGACTTTTTAAGAAAGGTTTCAGATTTTTGAAAGGATCAAATCGTATCTTAAAAAAAAGAAATTTTTTTTTAAATTTTGATAGTATGAGCTTATATGAGTTAGAAACGGGAAAAATTGATCAATTATTTTTTTTTTGAAAAAATTTATTTTTGTTTGGTTTTTGTCACAAACAAAACTTTTGTGATATCATACTCTATTTCGACCAAACTTGTAAAAAAATCTGATTTTTCGCGATTTTTTTGTTCTCTCTTCATTTTTTTCTCGTAATTTATTATTCCAGGAACTCCTCCGTGAGAGAAAAAAAGAGCGCAGATAAGTAACAAAAATAAATTATTCACGGCTGAACTTTTATGATTTTTTTGTTGAAAAAAATAGCCATTTTTTTCTCGGTTTTTTTGACCTTATAAAAATATTCTCTCGTGTTTTTCCCTTATTTTTTACGAAATATCCAGGGAGAAAAAAGAGAGCGCAGATAGGTCAGAAACTTGCAACTTGCGGCTCAATTTTCCATGATTTTTTGGAAAAAAAAATTATGAAATTTCTTTTTTTTCGTGTTGAAAGGTTCATTTTTCTAGTGCACAACCTTATAATAACAGGGAAAAACCTTTTTTTTACTTAATTTCAAGCTAATATTATCACTAAAGACCACAGAGATCATTAGAAAAAAAAATAGTAAGCCGGATAATTTTCCCTCGGTCGAAAGGGCACATTGGCTTGGCCTTGGACCGCTTCTTTTCTTTTTTTCTCTTCGATTGTCCGAATCAAAGTGGAACCAATTTATCATTTATCTCACTCGACATGTCGGCGACTTTACTGGGTCACTTGTTTTTTGAGTCGGAAATTTTGATCAATTTATCATTTTCACCTTGGATTAAGGGTTAGAATGCTTCGAAGGAAACGTTAAAATTCGAAAAAATGCATTTTTTTTTCACGTTTTCCTGCTTTCAAATTAACTATTTTCATCTATTTTGGTCGATTTTCTTTAAAAAAAACTGCTAGCTCTCCAGTTTTGCACGCTATTTTGCTAATCAATCTAGAAACTTATTTTGAATTTTAGAATGTTCTATCAATTTATGATTTTCCCCTTGGATCAAGGATCAGTAGCTTCAAAAGCAGCGATTTTGAATTTCGCGAAAATTATTTTGAACACGGTATGTGCGAGAGCGCCGCAGTGCATGCACACGACACAATACACTTTACGCAAAAAAATATGGACAGGGCGTCGTCAAAAAAAGGCAGTGGTAGAATTTAAAAAAAAAAGATATCCTTTTTTTCAAGTTTTTTCTAAACTAGCCAATCAAATTAGATCAAAAAATGAGGTTGAAAAAACTACAATTCCATAAATATTGTTGAAAAAAAAAATAGGTTTTCATCGTATTTTTTTCAAAAATTCCCAGCTCAAAAAAATACAAATTGTTGGCGGGCGCCTCCAAATAAGGGAGAAATGGCCCTCGACCCCGAAACTTTCGCCTTTTCGCCCGTCGGTTTACAAGTCTCATTTCCTCCCACAATTATACTTTCTTACCTTTTCCGTCCGTCGGCCTCATGTCAGGCTCATGGGTAATTTGCTAATTTTCTGGTTCATTTGAACCGATCCCTCTCCTTTTTTTTGACCTAAAATTTGAGCGCCTTTTTTCAAAAAAATGTTCAATCACACGCTTTCCGCCAATTTTTTGGTTTTTTTTTCAACCATCAATTGCCTCGATTTGGTTTTTTTCTTCTTTCATTTTTTGACGTATTTTACGCAATGGACTATATTTTCGCAGCGGAATCCAGATTCCTGCCAAGTATGTCTGGTTTTCCAGCAACTAGCCACGAGAATTTTCTGTTTGGCGTTCGCGTTGCAATTTTTGTTTCATAGCCTCAAAATTTTTTCCATTGCGAACTACTTGATTTTTCAACCACAAAATTCTTATTTCATGTGTTATTTAATTTCTCTTTCACACGAAAGCTTGAACCTTTTATGGGAAAGTACAGTAAAGCTTTTTTTTCGCATTTTTTCAAATCTTTGATGACTTTTCTTGACTGAGATCCGTCACGAACCCGTTGGTTCCCATGAAATCGCCGAAAATCGCTTTCAGAAGCAATGAATCATACTAATAGGGGAGAAAAAAACTCTTTGCCTATCTCCTGCTTGGAATTTCACTCTTGTTTAGCAAAAAAAATTAATTTAATCGTGAAAACGATTTTTTTTTGAAAAAAAAACGGTATCCGTGCATTGTGTAATTGTGATTGCGTACAAGTTACAGTAACTTGAAAAAAAAAATTTCTTTGTTTTTTTAATGAAAAACTATTAATTTAGTTTTTTTTTTCCAGTTTTGACAGCTGTGAAAAAGGCGTTTGATTTGATTTCCAACTCGTGAAAAGCGGAACAGACTCACAAAGAGAGGTTTTTCGCGTGTAAAGAGCGCCGTGTGTTTAGATCCGTATCTGATCCACTTTGTGACCTCCGGGGGCCGACGGTCGAAATTCTTCTCCTAATCGGCGCCAAAAATCCGCATCGCTTTTTTCATACACTGAATACTTCTTGCCACCTTTTTCATTGCTTTTACATTGTTAATTTTGTTTTCTCGGGGATTTCTCGGTCTTTTAAAGTAATTTATGTTTTATTTTTTTATTTTTTTAAAATTTTTTTAGAGTCGCTTTTTTTACTTTGCCAAAGGTTTCATTTTTCCCTTGTTATTTGTTTTCTACTTTTTGATGACAATAAAATATATCCCCTTTTGAACATATTTTGAAGGAGTTATCAATTTTTTCTATAAAACAATATAAATTAGCGCTTTATATTTTTTGCTCTACATATTTTACTTTTTCACTCTAGTCTAGTTTATCTTCACGTAATATTTCTTATCTCATTCAAAACTTTGAAAAAATGTCGTTTTTTTCCTCAAAAATATGTTTCTTCATTGTTTTCCTCTTACTTTTGAGTGCTTTTTCGTCCAAACTATTGAAATTTTCTGCTTATTTTTTCGATTTTCTTGTTCTATTTTGAATCGGCTCCGATTTCCCCGACATAATTTTCTTCAATCGCCCCCATCTCTTGCGTAACACTTTTCCTCCGAGGATAACTGTCCTAGTTGAGGGAAAAAGTGTCAAAAACACGGTTTTCCGAGAACAATTAGTCGATTTTCAGAGAGATCGGAGGATCGGCGCCGACGGTGGGTGAAAAATCCAAGAGAATCAAGTAGAAGAAGGAGAAGACCGCCTTTTCGTGCCAGTCGGACCCGAATTCCATTGTTTTCCCTCCACCAAATCTTCGCCAAAAAACTTCTTTTCGTTCTTGGAGTCAACTGATTTCACTCATCGGTAATTTTTTTTGGGTATTTTCTACTAAATTTAAGCTCATTTAACCATATTTTTTTGTTGTTTCAATTCCTGGTTAACTTCTATTTTTTTGACTCTTCGACGTTTCTAGAAGCTTCAAAGATTAAAAAAATTAAAAAAATTTAAAGATTTTCAAAAAAACTTTTTTTCATTTCCTTTTGATTTCTAATAGATAGTTTTACGTGTTAACTCAAGCCACGCTTATCAAAAATTTTTGAGAAAAAAAAAATCAATAAAAAAAAATTTTTTTTTTCGAAACAATTTTTTCAATTTTTTTCGTCATACGTTTTCTAAGTCTAGTTTCATTTCAAAAATCATGAAAAATATTTCTCGAAACTGCAAAACACCGTGAAAATGCAAAATTTTTTTGAAAAATTTCTTTTAGACGTGTTATTAAGTAACGCTAAAGTTGAATTAAAACTCCCTTTCGAAAAAAATTTTTCTGAACTTTTATGAATTTATTAACTCGTATTTTCCTTTTCTGATTTTTTTCTAGCCATAGTGAGGGATAATTAAATCTAATAACACTAATATACCTTTTTTCAATTAAAAGTTTTCAGTAAAAAAAAAATTTTCCTAATTTTTCGGGCTGATGGTAATGATACTTGGTCCATTTACTATGAAAATTCAAACAAAATTTGAAATTTTCAAGCAAAAAAGCTTATGAAAGTTTTTCATTTTCAGAGAAAAGCCGCAAGCTGGCGCCGTCGCGCAGCCACACGTGGACGATGGGCGGCCGCGGGCTGCTGCTGCTGCTCGGACTCCTGGGAGGCGCTCGGGCCGTCGTCACGTGTCCCGAGCTCCCGGAAACGTGCTCCTGCAACACCAACAAAAACTTGTTGAGTGTCAGTTGCAACGGGGTCGGCATCGCCAGATTGGCTCAGGTGATTTTGGAAGAAAATCGAGATTACAAAAATATTTTATTAGTTTTCTGTATTTCCTTCATTTTAAAGAGACTGTTCGCTGTATGAAAACAGAGAAACTTTATTTTCAAACGTTATAATTTTGAAAAAGAATGGATTTTTCAATGAGTCTCCTGTCTTTTTTTAATCATTTTAAAGTCCCTCCTGTCTTTTTTTAACCTTTTTTTCGGAAAAATTTCAAAAATATTGTGAAATTTTTGTCAAATCCCGGTATAAAGGAAAAAAAGGTATTATTTTAAAAATAAAAAAATAGATATGAAACCTGAAAACTTGGTAATTTTTTTCTCATGTAAATTTGCAAAATGAGTACTTTTTACCACTAGTTAATATTCAAATTTGAGCTTAAAAAAATATAATTAATTTCTTCTTCAACAGAAAAAAAGTATACGGCCCATTTTTCTTCAAAAAAACTATAAAATGCTGAAAAATGTCGTATTTTTCCTGCGAATTTTCGACCTCCTCCTAAATTTCCCGACGCCTACAGTTTTATGATTTTTAGTGACCTTGGGAAGCGAGAAGATATCATCGCGAACACCTGTTTATATTACCTTAAGCACAGTTTTGTTATCGTTTTGTAGTTAGTTTATTTTTTTGAAGAAATATGAAGTTTTGCGTGTTTTTTTGAACTGATGAAAAAAAGTAAAACAAACATTTTTGTTTGAATTATTTCAAAAAAAGGAGAATTAGTAAGAAAATGGATTTTTTTAATAGACTATACGACTATTAAAAAAAGTCTTACTTTTTGAATTTTGGGGCTGTTTTTTTGAAAAAAATAGTGGTGATTTTTTTTTTTGAAGACTTTAAGGTTCAAATCACAGATTTTCCAATAAAATCATCATCCGTTGATTTTTTTTTTCGGAACGTCTCCCACATAAAAAAGTCGCAGGTCAATATTTTGATTTTGAAAATTTCAACCAAAAAGTGATTTTTTGTTTTTGTTTTTTGGTCCTATTATGTTCACTCTGAAATTCTCTATCCGGTTCCGAAAATAATTTCAAAACTTCCACTCAAAAATCGCATAAATCTAGAAATCACGGCGTTTTTGTTAGTGGAAGAAAAAGCGAAACCAAAAACACGGTACGCAATTTTCTGCTCGGAAGCGGCGCGGTGCATGCACACTACACACGACACTTTACGGAGAAAAAGGGGCGTGGCGTCGTCGAAGAAACGTTGTGAAATTTTTGTCTGGGAAGTTTCAATGAACTTAAAAACGTTTTTGTCTTGAAATCAGTTGAAATATAATTTTTGCTTTCGAAACCCCTTTAATTTTGAAAAATGGGCATATTTCAGAGCCTCGGCACCCTGGACGTGGAAGATCTGAAGATAAACGGATGCCACGAGCCGAAAATCACGAGTCTTCCCTTCAATGGCCTCCGCGTTTTGCAGATTAGCAATTGTAGCGTCGCTGAGATTAGCTCCGAGGTGATTTTCTACGGGGAGAAAAGAAAGAAAGTCGCTTTTGAGACCCCTTCCTCGGGAAAGCGATTGAATTGAACTTGTATTGATTATTGCGAAAGCGATCGGAATGCGACACGGAAATCGGCGTTGCCCTTTGCAAGTCGTATGTGTGGCTGTTTGAAGTTTGAGTTCAAGGCCCCCGGATTCGTTCTGATAGGTTGAGTTGTTCAATTAAGGGGGGGTCTTGAGATTTCAAAAATTACCGTAGAGAATTCTTGATTTATTAGAGGTTGACTGTTAAGAGAAGATACAATTTGAATATATATTTCACTTGGATACATATAAAAACTTGAGATAAAGGTTCTAGAATGAAATATGGCATAAGTGTTAATATTTAGGCGGACAAAATATACATTTAGTTTCTTTTGTGAGTTACTTTTCCATTTTGAGATTTTCAAGGCCCTCGTTCTGATAGGTTGGGCTGTTAAACTGGAAACGTAGCCAAGGAGGGGTCTTGAGCAATTTTGAAGACTTTGGTAAGGAAAATCGATCATTCAACTCCTTTAATTCTTAACTGTGTTGACTATTTGGTGCAGATCAAATTGTAAGGTTGAATTTTCAAAGATTGACTTCAAAGGGGTACATAAATCAACATGAGAAAAAGTTTTTATGATGAAAGATGGAATAAGTGTTAAGTTTGAGGTGGCAAAAGATAGATTTAGTTTCTTTTGTGAGTTATTTTTGAGATTTTCAAGCCAAGTTATATTTTCAAGGCCTTGGGATTCGTTCTGATAGGTTGTTCAACTGGAAAAATAGCCAAGGGAGGGGTTTGAGTAATTTTGAAAATTTCTGTAGATGATCCTTGATTTTTTCTGAGATTGGCTGTGGAGTGTTGCTTAAATTTGAATATTTAGTTCAGTCGGATTCATAGAAAAAGGGTTTATGATGAAATATGGCACAAGTGTTGAGATTGAGCTGGACAAAAGATAGATTCAGTTACTTTTGTGAGTTATTTTTCCATTTTGAGATTTTCAGGCCAAATTATATTTTTAAGGCCCCCGGATTCGTTCTGATAGGTTGAGTTGTTCAACTGGAAAAGTGGTAAGGAGGGGTCTTGAGTAGTTTTTAAGACTTTGGTAAGGAAAATCGATCTTCAAACTCCTTTAATTCTTAACTTGGTTGACTGTTTGAGACATATGAAATTTTAAGGTTGAACGGCAACGAAATGCATTTGAAACGAATAAGTTTACTAAAGGAGTTTGGCCGGGCTTGAGTGATTCTGAGAATATTAGTAAGGATTCAATTATTCTCTGATTTCCTGTTAAAAGAAGCTCAAGTTTAAAAGTCCCATGACAGAAATATAGCATAAGTATTGAGGTGGCTAAGTTTCAAGCTAAGTTATATTTTTAAGGCCTTCGGAATCGTTCTGATAGGCTGGGTTTTTCAACTGGAAAAGTACTAAAAGTGGGGTATTGAGTGATTTTGAGTTTGTAGTATGGAATTCTTCATACAATTTTGATTGGCTGTCGAGTGAAGTTCCAATTTGAAGGTTCTATGATGGAATATAGAATTAGTGTTGAAATTCAGGGACAAAAGTGGTACAGATGATAGATTTTGGTATTTCTGTGAGCATTTTTTCATGTTAGAGTTTTTTAAAGCTTTGATATAGAGCTTTTAAAGTGGGGCGGGTATTTTTTTAAGTACAATTATTATTATTTAAGTTTTGAATTATCATAAATTCAATGGATTAGTCAAATTTTCAAGAACTCGTTTTGGCGCGATTAGCAAGGCAGTATGGGAAAACAGGAGAGGATACAGAAATTACAGAGTTTCTCGTCATAATTTGGCAAGGAATAGTGTTGTTTATGCGCGAGTAGTTATACTTTTATGGCTTTTGAAAATATTAAGACTACTTGGGAATTCCAGAGTGGTCCCTATAGGTGTTAGGGGGACGAACAGCCCCTATAGAGACCGATTAAGTGATCCGTATAGGACTTCAATCAATAAACGCTTAACTAACTGAAACACCTATAGGGGGCATCTTTTGTAACCTTTATTGCTCCTTTAGGGGTTGTTAAAGTGGTCCCTAGAGGGGACCCTCCAAGGGCCCCTTTAGGGACCACTCTGGAGCTCCTTAGGAGGGTTTTTATTTTTCCGAATTAGCTATGAACTTTGTTCCTTTTGAGAATTTCATCTTTCCAAAAATCGATAATCCAGAAAAAGTGACGTCATTTCCGCTGTTAAACTCGTTTTTTCTCCGATTCCCGAACATGCTTCTCGATCCGAATATCTTTTTTCCGAGGAATTTGCGTCGATTGAGTCATGATCTGTTGGCAATCACGGGTCGGGGGGCCAATTTGATGGGAGAAACGGCCGACGGCGTGGTTTTTCGGTAACTGGGTCAGTGTGCTGAAAGTGAGCGGCCGCCGATTCGTACAGCTCTCTGACTTTTTCGCACGTGGTCACTCCAAAGGGAAAGTCTGCCGCCCCTTTTTTAGGGTGCGAGCGAAAACGAGATTGCAACTGGAAATCGCCGGGATTTTTCTTTCTTTTGAGAGGGAATCGAAGTTTGGATGATCTGGAAGGGGTGTGGAAACAAGATTATAGCTTACTAGAGACAATAAAAGTCATTAGTTTGCTTCTAGAATCTTAGATTTTGATTCATAGTTTCAGGTTCTTTTGAGGAAAAGCTGAAAAATCGCTCCTTTTGAAGGAAAAATTTGAGCTTTTTTTGTCTGTTTTCATACTGAAAAGGTTCCAAAAGACTCTTTGAATCTATCATAAGTGCTCAAATATTTGAAAGAAAGGTCGTTTTTTTCAAAAGAAAATCTTGGAAGTTGGTCAGGATATCTCTTGATGCAACAGATCAAGTTTCTGTAATTCTTAACCTGATAAATTTCCTAGTTTATGAAAAAAATAAAGGCTCAAGGTCTGAGACTTTTTTTTTTGACGTTTCTGATGGTTTTCTTGGATGTTCAATTTCAATTTGTTTATTTTTTTTTCGCAACATCGGGATGGTATGGTGATGTTGCAGGGAGGGAAAAAGACCACTAGGTGGATTAACTAACCCCACCTGTGAAGAAAAAAGTTTTTTGTGTAAGAAAAGAAACATAGAACCATAATAAGTAGATATTTAAAACCAAGTTGATCATGGCACAAATCTGTGAACACTTGAAAGAATATGCTCGACGCCAACATCTTCTGCATACACTAAAAAAACATGTCCTTAAATTTTTTTTCTTGTCTTCCTCTGCCAATAATTCATGTTCAATGTCATTCCAAACATTAGTAATGCGATGTGATAAGAAATTGAAGAAAACCAGTGAAGGTTTCTGTTTTTTTATTAATTTAAAACCATTTCCTCTGAGCTGACTGGGACGGTCAAAGATGTTATGTACCTGGATGGGAGAGTCTGACCAGCACTTATTATGCAAAAAAACTGATGTGATAATACCAGATCCTTAACTAAACGCCTAAACCAAAGAGGTTGAAGACCTAAAAAGTTTTAACCGTTCATTATATTCCATTCTTGGGGAAAGGCGCTTCGTGAAACGCCTCTGGACCGATTCTAATCGATCAATATCTGACTTTGTCAATGGACACATTAGTTCCGAACCATACTCTAGAATGGGAAGTACCTTGGCCTTATAGCATGTCAAGAAGTTTTTGTTTCGAGAAGCTAAAACAGCGGAATAGGTTGTTTATAATACGCATAGTTTTTTTGACGATAACTTCAATATTATTATGCATTTTGAGGTTAGATGAAAAAAATAACTCTGAGATCTTTCACACAATCCTCGTTATTCACTGTTGTACCATTAAGCTCGTAACTCGCAACACTTCGAACTCGTTTACCATAACTAACATGGAGACTTTTTATTTGCTGAAAGTATGAGTTGTCTATCTGCAAGAAAATTTTCAATGGAATGGAGATCCTCTTGTAGCTTGTTTTGATATCCTGGAACAGAACTGCTAATCATTACTTTACAATCATCCGCGTAAATCAACAGTTTACTATATTTAAGTGCTTTTATCCAAATCGTTAATGTAAACAAGAAACATTAAAGGACCTAAACAGCTTCCCTGTGGAACCCCAGAAATGACTTCAATATCTCCCGAAAAATTTATCATTTACTTTTTACTTTTTTTGAGTCCTGTTAGTCAAATAAGCTCTAATCCAGTTACCAAGTTTTCCTTTACATCCGTAGGCTTCAAGTATGGTTAAAAAGTCTACGGTGACTGACTGTGTCAAAAAGCCTTTGATATATCCAAGTAAATACAGTCAACATTGTTTTTATTGTAAACTTCTTCAAAAATATATCTTTGTTTTTCCAGTAACTGAGTTATTGCACTCCGATTGTTCAAAAATCCGAACTGAGTTTTAGAAAAAATTTTGCTACGCCAAAGATGATTTCTTAAAGCTCTCACTACAATTGATTCGAAAATTCGGCATGGCACACAGGTTAAAGAGACGGGCCTATAATTTTCAGCGGCGGAAGGGTTTCCTTTTTTGAATACTGGAGAAACAATAGATTTTTTCCAAAGAAGAGGTAACGAGGAGCTATCTAATGACTTTCTGAAAATCATTGAGAGCGGGCGCGCTAAAGGAACTGCTAATTTTTTACATAATTTACTCGAAAGTCCGTCTGGGCCTGAAGAGCTTAAACTTTTTAGATTTTTCATACATTTATAAACCACATGTTCATCTACGCAAACGTCCTCCAAAACTGTACTAGTAACCGAAGGGACGCTGAAATTTTTATTGTCATCAATACGGTAGACCGAACTGAAATATGAATTAAAAATGGTCGCGATCTCCTCACTTTTTTGAATGGAGCGACCTTCGAAACATAGAGATTTTGGCTGCATAGAAACAGTGGTTTTCCTCTTAACATAAGACCAAAATGCTTTACTGTTTTTAGATCCGTTTAGTACTCGTTCTTCTTCTGAAACTTTGTAGTTTTGGACGCTGGTCTTATACAATTTAAGGATCTGCCTATATTTTTGCTCTTTTTGTGGAGACGAGGATTTTTTAAAATCAATATAGCATCTTTCGACTTTTCTTCTCATTCTTATATGTTGAACTGTTTTTCCTCAAAAAGTAGCATTTCGTGAAGATCTGAAGAGTTAATTGTGGTAAATCAAACATTTTTTTATAGCTATTTCTTAGGAAAAATCCCAATTACAAAGCAAGATACAAATAATAAATAATAAAAATCATTTATTTTGTTGTTTTAGTCATAGATGTAATCGACTAGGCGGTGAACAAGAACTTTCAAAGCTATAACGAACAACCGCCTTTGGCGAACTAGAAGTCCAAACGTGTAGTCGAAAGAGTCGAAAGCTTGGTCTTACGGTCCTTCGCCTCGTCCTTCTGCGCGTAGTCCATCCAGTTGCGTCTTGACGAGCTCAGAATGTAGTGGGTGGTGTAGCTGGAGCCCGGAGACCGTGCTCTAGGTGGAAGCCTCGGAATGAGAGCTACCACTTTGAGTGAAGATTTTACACGGAAAGATTTTACACGGAATTCCTTTTTAATCCATTATTCAATTTTGTATCATAGATTAAGGGGAAAAATATCGTAAACGATCTTGAAATGAAGTCACTGAGGCTCTGTAACGTTCACGTTGTTTTAATATTCGACAGCACACATTTCTACACTTTTATAATCCTATTCATTTCAATAATTTCGAGCGAAAACAAGAATGAGTCGGCCGAAGAAATGATCGACTTTCGTCATTCCATACCCGGTTTAGAAGCTTCTTGAGCAATGTCCGCTCTCGCTCACCCAAAACGAGAAACTTTCCATCCTTTTTTGGAAACTTTTTCAAAAGAACTCGTGAAGAGTCAGAATGGTGGGAAGTGCAAAAAAAAAAAAGATGCACACAGAGCGGGGTGGACTGCTCTTCAATTTTTGGGATCCCCTCGAGAGAGCGGGATAAAAAGTCCAAGGGCTCCTGGAAGGGTTTTAGCAATGCTTTAGTGGTCACTTTATCTGTTTTTCCAACGGGAAATTGCTTTAAGTGTAAAGAAACTATGATAAAAATTCAGTAGCCACTTAAGAGGTCCTTTAAGGGCTATTTGGGGAGGACACTAAAGTGGCCACTGAAACTAGTTCTAAAGAAGGCGCTATTTTGCGTCTTAGTGGTCATTATAGTAGTTTTAGTGGTCTAGTAGTAGAGCTCAGACTTCTGAAGTGGTCACTAGTTTTCAGCCACTTGAGGGGCTTCCAATTTTACCGCTATAGTGGCCACTAAACTTTCAAAGAGGCTACTTATTTCTATAAAATCTTAAGTGGTCACTAATTGGACTACTATAGCGGCCTCTAAAACGTCAAAACCCTTAAATGACCACTAAAAATTTTCCCAGAAGCACCATTTTTAAAAAAATTTCAAGAACCTATTCTTTATTAGGCTTGGAAGAGATTCGAACGGACCTTAGAGCAGCTGGACCTGAGCGGAAACCGGCTTAAGTCGGTCCCACAGTTTGGCAATTTCCCCAACCTGGCCGCTTTGAATTTGAACGAAAATCAGGTGCGTTTTTGCATCAATTTACATTGTAAAGCTGATTCAAAACTCATTTGGGACTAGGAAAATATTAAATTTTAGATTTCAAACGTCAGCGAGAAATCGTTTGCCAACATGAAGTCGTTGACTCAGCTCCGTATCGAGAATAATCACGTCTGCGAGTTGCCGCCGTTCGTTTTTTTGGGTTCTAAAAAAAAATTTTAATCAAAAAAAAAAGAGAAAAACATTTTTTAAACGGAGTAGACAGCATTAAGAAGCCTAGAAATTTTTTTAAAAAATTTTAAAGGTTCAGTAGATTTTTCTAACGCACTTTAGTCACGGAAAAAGTCATTTTTTAGGCTTTAAAAATAAAATTGAACCAAAAAAACATGAGTAAAAGTTTTTGCGATCGTAAAACTCATAGTAAAATAGGATCAATAATGAGTTTTGAAGCAAAAAAAGCCTTTGAAAGTATTTTTAAAGCATTTGTATTAGAGTTCTCAAAAGTAAATGTTTGAACGAACGTTCAACCAAACATTTTCTGAACGTTTGATGAATTCGACCAATTAGTTAAATTTCACATGAACCGTTTGTTAAAAAAATTTCTTTTTTTGGTTAAATTTCATAACTGAGCATAAAAAAATGAACAATTACTTATTTTTTTCGAAAAAAATTTTGGTTAAAAAAATGAACATTTAAATTTGATTTTTGAAATTTTTTTGGTCAAAGAAGTAAACATTTAAAAATTTATTTCGAAATTTTGGTCAAAAAAATGAACATTTAAAGTTCATTTTGAAAAATGTTGGTCAAAAAAATGAACATTTATAGTTCACTTTGAAAAATTTTGGTCAGAAAAAAATAAACATTTAAAGCTCACTTTGAAAAATTTTGGTCAAAAAAAGTGACCAATTACTTTTCACTTTGAAAAAAATTTGGTCATTAGGACGAACATTTATTTACTAGTCAGAATATGATTGTTTAGAAAAATGACCATTTATTTTTTTCAGTCATTATTTGAAAAAGTCAAAAAAATGAAAAAGAATGAAAGTGATCAATTTTTGGTTGATGTTTCAAAAAAACGACATTCGTTTGAAATGTCAAAAAAAGAAAAATTTTTTTCGTTTTTTTGAAGAATATCATTTTTTTCAATTGGTCATTTTGAGAACTCTAATTTGTATGGTTTTTTCAACTGTAAAGTCATTTTTTTAAGGATCTGAAGTGTTCAGAACTACAAAGCCGAAAAAAATTTTTTTAATTTTTTTAAAGTACCTTTAAAAAGTGGATTTTGCCTGAAGAAATAACAGAATTTCTATAATCTTTTGTCCAAGTTGGAGAGTTCAGAAAAACGCTCGACTCGGTCAAAGGCTCCCTGGTGCTTCTCGACTTGAGCAGCAACTTTCTGACGGCGATCCCAGCCCAAATCCTGAGAAATGCTGCCCGATTGATGTACTTGGACCTGTCGAGTAACGTTATCGAGGAGGTAAAAAAAAAGTTCAAAGTGGGGCGTGAACTCGGATAAGGCTTGAAATTCGCTATGAATTAATTTTTTTCGACTCTTTCTGGTTTAATGAGGTTTTATAGGAAGATTCGGCTAGGGCAGAAAATATTTCAGTGTAAAAAGACAAAAGGAAGTCATTTTCGGGTTTTATTTATCACTTTATTTCATACTGTCTCAGAACCAAAAGCAAAATAAGTGTACGAAGTTTAAAAACGTCCCCTGTTCAGCAGAAAAAAAATCATGATATTTTATCTGATCATACATGGGATAGTTTCGGTGGGACCTGAAAAAGGGGAGGAGACTTGGCGAACCGCAAAAAAAAAATGTTCAGGATGCGCGCTTGACGGCGTTTCCGATCTCTTAAAAAATTTTGAAAATCCATTTCATAGAGTTTAATTGATTAAAATAAGCAATCTTGGCTGTCGCCAGTCATGCTCATCTCATGTATGTTTACAATCCATGAGGCTAGTTTAGTTATTTTTGATTCCTTCTTCTTTTCTGATTCTGAAACAATATGAGCACAGTTAATATCAGTAAAATGAAGATAATCAACTTGTTCGCATAAAATTTTAAGATCCCAGTGATTTGTTAGAACTGGGTAACTTGGTCTTCTTCTTCTTCTTCCTACGATTTTGTACCGCTTGAGCGGCGTCGGCGCCCCAAGTCGATTAGCCGAGGTCCTATACCAGGGATAATAGGTGGACTGGCTCGGGTGACCTATCCGCCTAAATTTCTTAAACCCCTTGTTTGGGTCGAGACGGGGAACGAACTTGAGACCCTGTGGACCGTAGACCGGCACGCAACCTGTTGCGCTACAGCGCACCTCAACAGGATAACTTGGTTAAACCAGAAAACCATATTTCTTATCGTAGAAACCGAAAAAATAGATAATTTCCAGATCAACAACTTTGAACTGATGAACCTTGCGGCCCTGCGGGAACTCCGTCTGAACAACAACACCCTGAGAAGAGTCCATCCGATGGCCTTCATGAACGTCCCCCAACTTCAGTATCTGTACCTCCATGAGAATCTCATCTCCACCCTGGACGGGAATCGTCTGCAGGCCTTTAAAAGGCTGGAAATTCTCGACGTCAGCAATAATATGCTCCAATCGGTGAGATCATTGCTGGGAAATGGGAAAAGGGCTGTTAAAGGTGTCACCAAGAAAATTTCCTTTTAAAGCGTATAATCGCTTAATATTTTGATTGTCACCTTACAAGGTAGGTCATTGAACTTTGAAAATTCCTGAAAATCGGCTAGAATACTTCTTTATGTACCAGAAAAAGATACTGAAAGTCTCAACTTTCACGACTACCTATATTTGGAGAAATAAGGGCTCAAAGCCCGAAAACAACTTTTTTTGATGGATGATGAAGGTTTCTATCGACTTTCAAGAAAGTGTTAAAAAAATACAAAATAGGTCATTTTTTGAGTTTCAGAATATCCACTTGAAACTCGACGAAACTGTGTAAATTTTCTAGGATTTTCGAGAATTTTACAATTTTTGGTAATTTTCACATGTTCTCACATGTATTCGGAGACGTTACTGAAAGTCTCCACCTGTGCAAAATTTTTTTAGTTTTTTTAAGGAAAAAATCTCGAAAAACCGTATAACTTGAAACTGAATCAATAATTTGTTAAATTAGATCTTTTTCAGAAAAAAAGGATTGTACTTAATAGGACTCTTTCGAAACTTATACAATAAAAGAAGAGAGTTTAGGGAATTTCCAGTATTTTTTAAAACAAAATTTACAATTTAAAATTAAACTGAAATAGAAATAGAAAAATGGTGCGAAAATTGCAGGATGAAAATGTCGTGAAATTTGCTTTTTTTTTCCTGGAAAAAATTTGTTTTTACCAAAGGAATCTTTTGGAAACTTATCTGACTAGTAAGGAATCGGAGCTTTCCGGAAATCTACAAGAAATCTTGGAAATGAAAACCGGAATTTGAATACTAAACAAACTCAAGTAGAAGAGTGACGACTAGGGACATTTTTGGCAAAAATTGTGACACAAAAGCAAAAAAGTTCATTTTTCCAGTTGCCATCCCTGAAAGACCTGCCCAACCTGAAGCAAGTCCGGATGGACGGCAATCTGATTGAAAAAATCGAGACGCTCGCCTTTTCCAACAACCCAAAGTTGCAGTTGATCACGTTGCAGGTGAAAAAAAAACCTGATGAATTCAAAATTGAATCTTTTTGTTCAGAACAACAACATTTACCAAATCTCGAGAAACAGCTTCGATTCGTTGGATCAGTTGGTGGTTCTGCTGCTCGGGAATAATACGATCCCGAAAATTGGTTTGTTTTTCGAAGATTTGGAGAGTTGGAGAAGGGAATCTAGATCCTAATTTGAATAATGAAGTTGAAGAATCATTAAATTTTTGGGTTTTAAGTGATTTTCGAGTTACAATTTTTGACATAAGGTCTTTTTTCCAGCTTTTTTTGGTCATACTCAAAGGATTTTTAGAAAAAGAGGGGCTCAGAGAAAAAACCAGTTTTTCAGTCAAGTCTGACGTAATTTTAGACCAGAAAATTTTTTTTCTGCTCAAAAATATATACGAAAAATTCTTACTTGATCAAAAAATTTTCTGAAGCCTTCTGTAGTCGAAATTACTGATATTTACACCACTCTGGTAGAATTCCAGTTTGCAGAAAAAAAAAACGCAGCTCATAGAGTTTTAAGAAGATTAGGCTTTATAGAAGTTGGGAGAAAGTTGTGAGCAAAAAATTTTTTTTTTAATTTTTTGAAGGTACTTTAATTTGAATTAAACATAATAAACAATCTTTTAGAACGCGGAATGTTGGACGGGATGCGCAATCTGCAGCAGCTCAGCGTTCGGAACAACTCCCTGACGTCGCTCGACAAATATTCGTTCCCTTCCCTGCCCCATCTGACCACCTTGGACTTGGCCCACAATAAGATTAGCGATATTCAAGAGGTGATTATCGGGAAAGTCCAGGCCTAAAAAAAACTCTAAAAAAAGTTCCGAACCTCAAAATGAAGCTCCTGATAAGACTAGTTGCAATTTATGCAGATTTTCCAGCTAATTTCGAATTTGAGCAAAGAAAGGCTATTAACAAAGGAATAATTTTTCTTTAAGACGTTGTAATGTAAAGAAGCCCATAAAAATACCCAAAGGAATCTCAAAAAATGATTTGATTTTCCAGGGAACTTTCGAAAAGCAGTCGAAACTTTTCTGGTTGGACCTGTCGAACAACAACCTCGCCGGGTTCAAGAAAGACGTCTTCCAGAAGAAAATTTCCAATATTCTGCTCAATGGTAAATTTCTTTAGAATTTATGTTGCTTATGCTTATGCATATTTATTTGACTATTGAACTTGCGAATGTCGCGAAGGATGGTTGAACGCGGTCATGAAAAAGGATTCCCGTTTTTCTTTTGTTTTGGAGTTTCTCAAGGTCGGGCGCAGCTGGGACTTGAGAAAAAAGAAAGTTTTCCCAAAAACGCAGCGCGGCCGCAACGCGTTTAGCCATGCCGATTGCGACCATGACTATTTTTTTTTTGAACCTTATCAAAGTTTTTCACAGGTAACTCGCTTATCTGCGACGAAAGTTCTCAAAGCATACTTTGAAAATGTAAATTTCAAGAAACGCCAAAAACGCAACGCGCTCAGCCATTCCAAATGCGACCACGACAATTTCTTTGAACCTTACGAATCTTCTTTTCACAGGCAACTCGTTGATTTGCGACGAAAATTCTCAAAGAAACGTTGAAAAGGTCAATTTCAAGAAGCGCCAAAAACTCAGCGCGACCCAACGCGTTGAGCCATTCCAAATGCGACCACGACTTATTTTTTTTTTTGAACTTTACGAATCCTTTTCTCTACAGGCAACTCGCTGATCTGCGACGAAAGTTTCGATGAAGTCCTCACCTACCTTGTCACTAACAGAGTACGAACATTTTTGCCATTCCAACCCGAAATTTCCTGCGCCGGTCCGGAAAAATACGCTGGTGTTAGGTATTGAAGACGAAGTTGTATTGATTTTTCCGAAAATTTTGAAGACTGAAAGACTTGATGATGAAGAAGGCGAACGAAACGTTGAGCCAGGGAATCCGGACGATTGGACTGGATCCTGGAAATAAGTGGGGGAGAATTTGAGTTCAAAAGTGATTGAATTAAATTTTCCAGGTCGATCTTGTCGTCGTTTTTGCCGTCGCTCGGGCCTTTGGGAGGCCCGCAAGGCCTTGATGCTGGCCTGCCTTTCTTGAGAACTATCACTGGGGTAAGCGGAAAAATAGTGTTACGGCTTATGCTAAGGGGCGTGGCCTGTCTGGGCTCTCCACCAACCAGGCACTATCTCTTTTTCTATCGTGTCAGGATCCTTTTTTTAGATGGGACAAGCCAGCCGTGTAAAAGATATAGAATAATGAGCTTGATTGTAGTTCTGGTACTTATAAGTACACTGGAATAATTTGTCAAGAAGATTTTTGAATTTTTTGAAAGTTATGTTGATTGGTAGCTTTTGGATAGTTGTTTTAGTGGTATTGAAATTTTTTTATCAAGATGGAAGAAAAATAAAAAATTGTAAAAATTTAAAATCAGCTGGAAATAAAAGTGTTAGGTTAATAAAAAACTTTGGATGCTTTTGTGACATTTTTCATCGGAAAGTTCTATTTTTTGGACATTATGGCTCATTTTTTAATCCTCCCATACGATTGGTTTCTTCAAAATCTTAAAAAGAAGAATATGCGCTTATAAAATTTTTCAAAACTGTGAAATTGCCGGATAAATTATTCAAAAATGATGGTGAAAAGGCTTGGACGACGGAGAAAAAAGTTGCATTTGTTTGGTATTTTTCCTACCGTAACCCTAAAAAGTGGCGGAGCCTCTCAAAAACCTATAAAATTTTCAGGACCTTGTTTAGTTATTGTGACCACAATGTGAGATCAGAAATTTTTCTATCAACGATTTATTACGTTTCTGTGAGAAGTTTTAAAAAGGATTCAAATTTTGAAGAAGCATAGGTTTTTTAAAAGATTCATACTCCCTCTACTGATAAATTGGAGCAAAAAAAAACTCACACACGTCTAAAACTCTTCGTTTTGCTATACTTTTTCGACAGTTATCAAAAATTTTGACCCATGTTAACGACAAAGGAACATTACCGACTTTCCTGCAAATTCGAGAATTAATAAAATTCTTTTTCAGTCGATCCCGGCCCTGCAGAACATCCCAGGCCTCGGCGGCAACGTTCCAGTCGGCCAGACCCGCGGCGCTCAGATGCTGCCCAACAAGAACCTGAACGAGGCGATCGAGCAGTTCACGGCTCCCCTGGTCCGATTCGCGACCGGCGGTCAGCCGGTTCCGGAGGACATTGAGCAGCTGATCAAGTCGATCCCCAACTTCATCGTCAATGTCCCCGGCGTCGGAGACATCGACCTGAACAAGGTCGGAGAAGACTAGATCTTTCTCTTTTGAGTGGGGTTTGGTCGAAACTTTCGGGTTAGGAGGAGCTAGAGGACATTACTTCAAGGAATTGAAACTTACTGGGGAAATCTTTAGTGGCCACTTAAGAGGCTCCTTAAGGACTACTTGGATAGGATACTCAAGTGGCCACTTCAACTATTTCCATAGAAACCATTACTTTTCGAAATGGCCACTATAGCAGTTTTAGTTATCTAGAAAAGCCACTCAGACTTCTAAAGAGGCCACTAATTTTTAGCCACTTGAGTGGCCACTAAAGCTTCAAAACCCTAAATTGGTCACTTAAAATTTCTACATTATATTTGAACTCCATAAGGTATCAAGAAAGAACCTGAAATAGGATAATGAATAACTAAAATAAACAAAAAAAAAAAGCTTAAAAAACACTCAGAAATCTCGGTGTCGCAGGCCGGACCTTTCTAGGGACCACTTAGGAGTTCTAACGCCGCTCAAGTGACCACTGGAAATGCTCAGAAACTTTTGGCACGTGTCCAGTTTGCGTTACCGACATCTGGAAAAATGATCATTTCTAGAAACACCTCCCGAAAAATCTAGAACTTGAACCTAAGACGAATAGTTCAGATGGACCCGGCGATGATCTCCTACGTGCTGAAGGGTGGCCAGGTTCCCGGAATCGACAAGTCCACCATGGACACGATCATCAAGCAGGCCATGCAGAAGATGCACACCGCCGCCGCCGCTTCCCTGCAGGGAAAACCCGTCGCCGACGAGTCCAAGGTGTCTTTTTTGACCTTTTTCTGGAAAATTAGGTTTTTCCTAGCACCATAGGGTTTTGTCGAAACTTGAAAAAAGCTGGTTAGGCTTGTCTTCATCGGAAGTTTCAGTACAAATTTTTTCAAAAATCAAAAAAATTCCATTTTCATTTCAACCTGTACCCTATCAGCTATCATTTCCTTGGAGACAATTTTTTTTTGATTTTTTCCAATCCATGAAATTCAGCACCTCCCACCCCTGTCAAGCCTCCCATCGGAGCTCGTGACCCAGGTCATTTCCGGCGAACCTCTTCCCGGCCTCGACTCGGATCAAACTAAAATCATCATGGTTTCCCTCTTCAACTGACTAGATTCATTGAATTGTCCTTCCAGGAGTACTACACTCGACAGATGCCGACGATGAACGACACCCACGTCGTCGTCGCCGCGCCAAACGCGACCAGGCCTTCGAACGGCTTCGTCTTCTCGCCGGAGATGTTCGACCTGCTGAAGATCCTGCCGCCCGGCTACAACTTGAGCAAGATCCCTATGGAGGTGATTGGAGCGGACTTTTCTGGGGTCCAAAATGAACTGGGGATCGATACAAATTTCGTGAAGATCTTGGAAATTAATCCGAATTATTATTTGTCCTAGAACATTCATTGAAACCAATAGGCTTACTAGGGAACTATTTCATATTTTTTTTTTAAAAGTTTTTCCAAGCATTCCAGTAAGGTTTTTAACAGAGTTTGAGGAATTTTAAACCGGATTCTATGATAGGTTACTGAAAATTCGACTTGAAAAGGTTTTTTTCCCCGCAAGGCTAGAAAATAATTTTTACGTTTTTTATCAAGTACAGCCCAGCGCAAATTTGCCTTTTTTTCTATTTTCAAAAGTTTAAACGGAATATTGATCAATGATTCAGTTGAATTTTAATAAAATTAACTTTGAATCGGAAAAAGGGGGCCTGGCCTAGAACTTCTTCGAAAAAGTTCTTAATTGAAGTTTTGAATAAAAATTTTATATCTTTTTGAAATTCTAAGTTTTCCTCGGAGACCCCTTGAGCGTCAGATTTTCAAGCTTCTGAGCCTTATTTTAAATTTGAGGTGGATGAGTGAAGATTTCGGTTTATTCAGTACAACAATCAGCGGAAAAGGGCTTCTAGACCTTACTGATCCATTTTTCCCCCAGGTGGTCAATGCTGTGACCCGTGGCGAAGTGCCAGACATGCGCCTGCTTCCGGAAGACTTGCTCGAGTATTTCAAGGGACACACTAGTACACTAGCTTCCATGTTCGCCAGAGCTAAAGGGGTGAGTTTTGGGGAAGAGTGTGGAAAGGAAGTTTCGAAGAATTTTAAGAAAATTGTTGAAAATTCTAATTTTTGTTAGTTTTTCCTCTTTAAAAGATGATTTTTTTCAGTTCCTGGTTGAAATTTTGGTGAAACTAAGCCGGAGTGTACTCTAGGACCTCCTCATTTTAGAAAAAACGAAAATTTATCCTGATTTCTCAAATCTTGAATGTCAAGCAGTTGACTCCGCCCCCCAAGGTTACAGTACCTTTTCGTGACGATCATTTTTGAGAATCCTTCAAAAGCGCTACCTTTTTTGATGTTTTTGATCAAACAGCTTGAAAAAATAGTTGCAGTAGTGCTAAAAGAATCATCTTCAAGAGCGTCGAAACATCGACGCGAAAGATACCGTAGCATTAGGGGCTGATTTAGGCAATTGACATTCCAAGTCTGTATAGAAATGACCCTTCAAAGCCAGTAAAATTCACAAATTAAGAAAAAATAAGATTACTTGAAGTCCCTGACGCGTCATAACTCGACTGAAATGAAAAATTCCGGAAACTTCTTTTTTTTTATGAAATCAGAAGGTCCTGAAGTACTCGTTTTTCAATTTTTATATCAAAACTTCACAAAAAAGCTCCTTTTTTTTGAAACAATTCATTTTTCAGACGAACACGTCTCTCGAGGAGATCATCGACAAACTCCCCGTCTTTGCTCGACCCGAACTCTCGACTTTCGTCCCCTACGACATCAATGAACTCACCAGCGAAATGATTCTCGAAAAGGAGGTCGAGGAACGTCATCGCAGGATACGGTAGGAGGAAAATGCGCGCCAATGTGATAGTCATTTTTGCAGATTGTATACGGCGATTGCCTTGGGACTCATTGGAGCCGTCACGATTGTCGTCGTCGCGTTCTTCGTCAATTATGTCAAAAAACAACGGAAATTGAAGAAAAAGTGGGGGTTTCTATGTAGAAAAACATGAGACATATAGTGATCTCTTAAGTGCCTTAATGTCGTTATCACTAAATGCCTAAGAAATGACTTGGTCTGAGTAATGAGAGCTTACTTTTCAGTCTTTAGAAGGATGATCAAAAAGATTACGCATCAAGAAAATAGACTCGAAGAATACATTCGTAAGAAGTTTCACAAAAAACGAGCGATCAGACTTGTACAACTTTTAAAGATTTGATATTTCAGCCGGATGTTCGCCAACACGCCGATGAGGCCGGCTCTCTCCGCCGCGTCGATTTCCGGCCATTCAAGTCGAGTAGCCCCGGTGACGCCCAACAGACCGGTGGACCAAACCTCGAAACTCCACACCTCCTACGGACCTCCGCAGTTGTCGTCGACCTTGCTGGAGACGCCTCATCGGCCTCGTCAGCCCGTCCCGACGCCTCGAAGAACCTAGTCTCTCCGAAAACCTTCTCTCATTCATGTAACCCTCCCTCATCATATAAATAAATCTATTGTAGGCTATTTTGATTCTATTAGATATTGCTATCCGGGTATTCTCTGTCTTTTCGCCCCCACCGTGCCCTTTCCAAAAACACATTTTCTTCACCTTCTTTCACGACTTTTTTCTTCCTATATTGCTTGCGGGTATCGAAATTGCGCGGTTCTTTCTCATCAATTATTTTCCTTTTTATTGCCCCTTTCCTTGTAGATGGTATATGCTCAAAACACGCCTGTGCTGGAAAGTTCGACTTCATTCCTTTGTTATTGATTATTTACTAACGATTTTTTTTCTTCATCACTATTTTTTCTTGACATTCCAGAAACCGGCGACCTAACACATCGTGCTTGATTATAATCTAGTCAATTTGTGAAATAAATAAAATTTTGTCAGTGAAGCGGTTTTTTTTTAAATTTTCGAAGGAAGAACACATTTGCGACATGACAAACTAATGAAATGCGTCGTTTCTCTCTTGATACGTGTATGAAAACAGGCTGAATATGAATCACAAAGCATGAAGAGAATAAAAAAGAATATTAAAACTAAAGAGAAATGAACAAAAAACTGAAAAAATAAGAAGCAAAAAACGAAAAAGAGCCGAGAAAGCTTGCTCCTTCGCACAATTTTGAATAAAAATCGCTTTGAAACCCGTTCTGACTAAAATCTTCCGGCCTTTTAGGAAAAAGCGCGAAAGTTGAATTTTTGTTCCAACGCTTTTTTCCTGCTTATGCAATTCCCAATGCAACATTTTCTTTCAATCCCGCTAATATTTTAGTTTCTCGTAAAGGTTACATGTCTGTTTAGAAAAAGAAAACTTCATTGCGTTTACATTGGTCAAAAAAGAAAATTTTCGAAGTTTTGCATTTTATTCTAATTGTGACGGCAGTTTTCACAATCCGGCAACTTTTACTGTTTTGGAGTGACTAAAAAAAAGTCTGATGACAAATTCAAAAAAAAAACTATAATTTTTGTCTTGGAATTAACTCCGGTCTAAATATGTCCACTTCGTGATAAATACGCGTGTTTACGATTATATCTTTGTCATTTCCAGGTAAACTCTTACTATTCGTTAACTCGACAATGGGAAAGAATAAGGGAAAGCGCGTAAGTTTTCATCATCAATCTTTGATCCAAAACTCACATATTGTGATATTAATAGTCAAAATTGGACTTATTGAAGAACCGTGGTGGAGGCCGAAACACGAGCAAAAATGAGACAAACGACTCGCTTGATTTCGGAACGAATCGCGGAAATATTAATACTCGCAACCAACCAACTAATAATGCGGTTTGTGAAACTTATTTTCCTGGGAAAATATTTTTAGAACCCTAATCAATTTGGAGCCGGAAAAAGTCACGGTGGATTTTCTACCGGTGCTTTTGGGGCTGCAGGAGGACTTGATGTCGATGACAGTCTGAATCAGGTGAAAATGAGTTTTTTTTTCTCTTAAAAAAATAATTTTTAGAGTGAAATCGTCGTTCCTGTGAATAATCCTGGTCATGGCGATGCTGGATACGATGTAAACGCTCATTATTGTTTTTTTTTAAGAGCGGATCTTCGAAAATTTTTGTTTTCTTGAAAAATTCGAGAAAATTTTCTGATTAACATATCACATATATGGTTGAAATTATTCTTATTGTTTTTTGAAAAAATTGATTTTTTGCAACCTTGTGAACGATTTTTTTCATTTTCTTGTGGGCCACCCTTTAAAAGTTTTTTTCATAAACTCAAGGATCCATAAAAAGAGTTTTTAGGGACAGAAAATATTTCAGAAAGAGAGTGACTGTAAAATTGGACAGATCAACTAAAATTTTAAAGTTTTTTTATTTCTCAGGTTGTCGATAGACTGGGATATGCTGAGCCGAAACCTCGTAGCAGGCAGATCAGCGTTTCTTCCCACAAGGTTTTTAAGAAAAAAAAAAGGAAGACTGCTCATTGAAATATAATTTTTCAGTCGCAAATCCACGGCTCCAAATCGAATATCTTCGACTATGCGGCCAATGATTACGGTCATCAGGGAGACGAAATTGAGATCCAGAGCTCCGATTTTCGCGGGAAGGAAAGTTTCGGCGGTTCTCAACAAATTTTGGCGAGGAGCCGCGCCAACAGCGGCTATCTCAATGTAGTTGAATTTTTTTATAATCAAAAAAATCAACTTATTTTTTGCAGGAGCCATCGAACAACATCTTCAGCAGCCGAGGCAATTTACTGCCCCAAAATGAGCCGATTAATGTTAGAAGCCGTGCGGCCAGTCACGTTTCTGACAGGGTTCTTATTCACCTTTAATTTGTGAAGAAATTGACGAAAAAAATAGGGAAAAAAAATTTTAATTTAGGGGAGAGAAAAGGGGAATCGACATAAATAAGCAAAAAATTATTTTTTTTTTTGTCGAGTTTTCCATTTTTTTCTTATCGAGCCTTTCATTTTTCTGCGATTTAAAAGGCTCAAGAAATGTTGGATAAAGGGAGAGGCAGAAAAAATTGTACATAAGAGTCAATGAAATGGCGCGAAAAGTAGCAAAAAGAAGCTTTTTTCATCCTAAAAAGAACAGTTCTAGGAGCCTTCATTCCATTCTTTCCAACTTTGCATATTAACTAACTTATCCATTTCTTTTCTCACAGGCCGGTCTCGAAGACGTCGACTATCGGACTTCTTACGCAGCTCCGCAGAATCTTCACAAGTCCGAGACTAATATTAACCGAGATGAACACTTTTTGAACCCTACTAACCGCTCTAATAGTGTTTACTCTCACAAGGTTCTCATAAAAATGAGGAATTTTGAAAATAAGGGAAAGTTTCAGTCAGCGTTTGATGTTGATCAACGCGGCCAAGTCGTTGATATACCTGTAAATCGAAACAGAAGCGTCAGCGTTGCGTCGCGTAAGGTGAAAATTCACTTTTTTTTTGTCATGGAAATTGTCCCTTTATCACTTTTTTGCTGAAAAATTTGTTTCAGTCTGGATTTGGCCAAGGAGAAGAGGTCCATATCCCCATCACGAAGAGAAATAGCGTCAGCATCGCTTCCCGAACGGTTCATTTTTGCAGCGAAAAATTGGAATCAATCGTTTAATTATTTTTTTAAAATAATGTTTTGGCCATGTAAAAATATTGTGCAGGTTTTTTTGAATTTTTTTGAAATTTCCAGAATTTCTTATTTTAATTAAAAAAATTTCATGTTGAGATACGTGAAATTTGACTGTTTTGAAATAGAAGATATCTTTCCATCTTTATATTTTAGAGAAATTTGTTTTTTTCGAAACTTAGAAGGGATGATCCAACAGACCGAAAAAAACGGACGTTTTTAAAAAAACATTGAAAAAAATGAAAAAAATAGAAGTTTTGAAATAAATTTCTCTAATCTTTATTTTCAGTCCGAATACATAAAAAAATTTTTTTGGCCTTGTATAGAAAAATTTCATAATTTTTTACAGTTTGAAAGTGTAAAATCCTTTCGGAAATGCATCTTCAAACTAAAATTTCATTTTCCATTTTGATAAATTGGTGAAGTTTGTTCATACACCTTATCAAAACCAAAAGATTCAACTCAACGAAAAATGGAAACTTTAAAAAAAAAAAATTCAAAAAAAAAATGAAGTGAATGAATATTTCCAACTTTCATTTTTAGTCCGGATACGGTCACCATGAACCTGATTTTCCTCAAAACGAGGTGGAAATTCCTGTCACTCGTGAGAGGACAATGAGCATCGCTTCCAATGGAGTTGGCTTTTTTGCGTTTTGACTGGATTAAGGGTAATTTTGAAGGGTGGAGACGTTGGTCAAGGTCGAGAAGTTGAGATTCCAATCACTCGTGGAAGGAGTTACAGCGTAGCTCCGGGGAAGGTGGTTTTCTGGGGATTTTTATGGAAATTGCTTCTTGAAAAGACGAAAAATAGAAGCTCAAAAGTTTCAAAAATGAACTTTGAGATTTTGCATAAACTTGCTAGACTTTTAAGCGTGTACCCAATCATTTCTGTAAAGAAAAATAATTTTTTAGCGTTTTTTGAAGCGTTAGAACTCGAAAAAAGAATCATGTGGATAGAAAATTTTGGGTTATTCAAATTTCCAAGTCAATTTTTAGAAAAAAAAAGTTCTTCTCTGAACCTTCTTGATAAGATTTTTCCAGTTTTTTCATTAATTCAAGATTTAAAAAAAAATGTTAGATTATTTTTTGTTTATTCGAAACCTTTTTCATGTCCGTGTGACGGAAATCTTGATTTAAAAAATTTCCAGTTTTTCCCATATGAATTGAATATTTATCATGAAGAAGTCTAATTTTCTTTACTCAACTTTTTCTTTATTCAGACCGATCGTCAAAATGAAAACGAAGGAGAAGCTGTGGAAATCCCGATAAACCGACAGAGAAGCCTGAGCGTTGCGGCCAGAACGGTGATTGTTGAAAAGAAACCTTTTTCCTGTCAATTTCATTATTTTTCCTTTTTTTTTTTCCTTTTTCATCTTCATCATATACTGTTTTTTATTTTCTCCGTTATTTTTGCCGTTTTCTCTGTTTCTTTCTACATGAAGATGAATTCAGTCGGGATCGGACCGCCCGACAGAACTGCTCCAGATTCCCGTTAAGCCGAAACCACGGAGCAGAACGGTTTCATTCAATGTAAGTTAGCAATATAGAGACATTTGAAAAAAAAAGTCTTGGGATGTGTGTAAAGTTCATTATTATTCAATGATTTGCTTTAATTTTTCTTGAAATTAAGGAATTTTCGTCTGTAAGATTGATTCAAAAAATGTTTTTCCTTCCATTCTGGTCACTTTTTAGAAGGTCCGGAAGAAATTATGTTTTCAGGATTTTCAAGGTTCAGTTCATCTTCGTATAAATCCATTTTTTCTCAAAACCATAGTTAGGAAGAAGACACTTTTCAGAATCTCCCAGAAAAGTTATCTTCGTTTTTATTTTTAATTTCCCCTTTCTCTTTGGGAAATCAGTTTTTGGAACCTTATTATGGGAGGCATTTATGTAAAAGCCAAATATCAGCTTTTCCTATAGTCTGTGTGCCACGACTTGAAATTTCACGGAACGACATTCCGCTGTTCCGCTGCGTGCGTTCGCGAAGCGTCTTTCGAATCTAGGTCACGCTTTCGATTGATTGTTACTGCTGTCGGAGCACATGGAAGTAGAGTACCTTAATAAAAGAAAAAATTAAAGGCGCGACCAAGGTTCGCAAAGGCGCGCAGCGGCACAGCGGAATGTCGTTTGGTGAAATTCTAAGTCGTGGTAGACAAGCTATACATCATGAACATTGCAAAAAATTTTTTCATAAATTTGAGCTCATATACAAAAAAAAGTGGTTTTCCAGGACCAACAAGCTGAAGCAGAGGCGAAAGCCGAGTTAGACGCGGCCTTCGGTCCGGCCGGCTCCCATTTGTCCATCAACCACAGTCGCCATTCCCTGCACCCTCACACTCTGAAAAGAGCGACGAGTTCTGTGATTCCCGGGGACCCGGAACCTTTCCGCAGGACCAGTGCTGCCAACAGCGTCGTCTCGCACAAAGTTTGAACCAACCGAAAATTCAGTTTCAAAAGAAAGATTTTTGAAAATCTGGCTGAAGCTTATTCGAAATTCTCTATAGCATCCTGATCCTTAAACAAGTAAAAATCACTTTTATTACTTTTTAGAGGAATTATGACTGCTTGAAGTTAAAAATTTATCATTGAACTGAAGAAATAAGGAATTTTGATGCTTTTATGAGTCTGTTCAGTTTTTAAATTTCAAGTTTTCTCATGTTGGCTAGTAGGTCCTAACACCTGGAGATTTTCCTTTCTTTCATTCGCGGTGTTCTAAAAAAGTGCCAGAGAGGGTGAAAAAAATGTATCAAACTGCTTCTTTTTGAAATGCTCTTGTGGGAAGCTTCATCAATGATTTTTTGGCTTTTTTTTTCAGTCGGGCTTTGAAAACGGCGACTTTTTCGAGAGGAGGAACGCGCCAAGCCGCAACCGACTTGACAGTGTTTCTTCGGCTCAGGTAAATGAAGCCCGGAAAAGTAAAATTATTCATGAGTATAGAGAAATTCGATTTGATTTTTAAAAAATGTGAGTAACTTGAAATTTTGGTTTCTTGCCTTTTTTTTTGATGTTTTGTTATGTTTGTAGTAATACCCGCGAAATTCAAAATTATCTCTGACTCCGAAATTTAGTTGTCTTTTTCTTTTTCTGACCCTTATTTTGGGTTTTGCGGGAACTTTGAACACGCCATCACCGCAGGTGGATATAATAAAAGTCTGGAAAAAATTTCTTCTTTCAAAAAATTGGATTTTCATTATATCCGTTCAATCATTTCATAAAACGGTTCTCAGAGTCTTCAAATGATTCCATGCAACTTCAGTTTTTGATAATTAAACGTCGTTTATGAGGAAATCATTGCAATTACTATTTTTCTAAAAATATTTTTTCTTTAACTGAGGATTACTGTACGACGAGCAGAACATTCAAAAAGAAAATGAAAGGAATTCATGGACTTTGTAAGAAAATTTTAAGAAAATTGTTGCAGAACAACCGAGAAACCCTCGACGATTTCGGCCTCGGCGATGCGGCCAATGAGAGAATTTTGGCCTCGAGTCGGACCAACAGCGTCTTATCCGACATGGTTGAGCATTCCACGAAGGCTCATTTTCATGAAAATGAGTTTGAAGATCCCTGCCCGCGGAGACGATTTCATGGTTCCGAGGATTCCGCGCAGCCGCCACGCCAGCACGAATTCCCACAGAGTACCTTGAATTTTATCATTTCTCGCTTGATTTCCATCGCTTTTTATGTGGTTTTTTGAACTCCATTGGGTTTCTGATGTAGAGTAGTTTTAAAAAAATAATTTTTTTCATTTTGCTACCTTTGAAATTTCCGTCATCATATCCCTAAAAAGTTTTTTTGAATGACCTCAATTTTTACATATTTTTGGATACTGTTTTACAACAGAAACACAATGGAGACCTGAAAAACTCATGAAAACCATGGAAATCAAGTAAGATTTTGGGTGGAAAAGGTCTTTTAGAGGGATGAAGAACATTTGGAAGGCCGCCGGAAAAAGTTTTTATGAAAGCTGGAGCCCAGAAAATAATCTATAAATTCAAAGGTATAGAATCTTCGGGTTTCTCAACTTAGTTCATTTCAAGAAAAATTTTCTGTAGCTTTTGTGTACCAGTTTTCTTCTAGCTGAGCTCTTTTTTTCAAATTTTGAACGGTCGTTTTAAATATATCATCGCAAGACATTGAAAACACGAATAGTTTGGCTTCGAAACCTTTTCAAAGCTTTTTTCTATCTGTACTTTTAAAACGCCACGCGCTGAATACACGTTTATGTCTATTAAACTATAAAAACTGGGAAAAAGAAAAGTCCCGAAGCGCGGTTTGGTCAATTTTGATGGAAAAAATTTGTTTAAAAAAAAAAACCGGGTGCGGAATAGGCTATATATTCCGTCAAGTTAAGGAAAAGCTATAGAAAACCTTTTTGAAGGAAATGCATGAACACGACTCGCGGGACGTTGGGACGGCCGGAGATAACAGTGTGAGGGCGATACATGAAGATCCCTACTCGCAGCATCGTCTCAGCCGGGTTTGAAGTGATGCAAGAAGTGGAAGGGGTTCTAAACTTATCGATACTATTTTTTTTAGAAGCCGTGAATTTTTCATTCCTGAAGTTTTTCGAGATTGAATGAGAAAGTACTGCTTTTTTATGCGAAAAAACGAAATTTTTCAGCTTGGGACTGATAGAAAAATATAAACTTGTACAAATTTTTTTATAAATTGGAGACATTTTTTTGTAAGATAAAAAGTGAAACTTAGATCTCCTTGTAAAAATAGGGCCATATCCTCGATTTTAAAGGTTTTTTTAGGCTTCATCGTTATTTTTAAATTTTAACTTTTTTTCCGCAGTATTCATATTTTTTTCTTTTTTTCAATTTCGTCATTTCAACTTTCTACACTACCTTATTAAAAATTCCCATTTTTTTCTAAGCTTTCGAATTTTTATCATTTTTTTCATAGCTGGAATTTGGTTTCCTAGTCCTATACTTTAAGGCTTATAGGCAATTCATCAGTTTTAGCTTTAATTTTCCACAGTATTTTTATTTTTTTCCTTCTTAATTTGGTTCTTTCTGTTCATTATCTTCTTGTATTTTCAAGAATTTTTTAGAACTCCTTTTATTTCACCTATTTCCCGAGTATCTGTACTTATTGGATGTTTTTCAAGCTCTCAATCCACACGAACAACGATGAGTTCGTTCTGGTCGGCGGGCATCCCCCGGGCCAAGACAGCGCTTCGAATTCGATGCACTCCACTTGTCGCACGGTTTTTAGCCAACATGTGGATTTTTATTGGAATTTTATCAATTTAGGATGATTTCAATGAAGGGCACGACGGTACGTGGAGGTCGAGTGGAGCTCGAACTGTTTGATTGTTTTCATTGATTAAAAAAATAAATTTGGTTTAGTCGATGCAAAACTTGAAATCTACATCGACGGATCAGTTGCTCACCAGAAGTGGATCGGTATAGTTTTACCTGTTTTGGTTAATTTTTTTTGAAAAATGAGAAAAGCTGTTTTTCACGAGCATATACGGGTATAGTGAGAAGATCATAAAAAGAAGAGTCTAAAGCTTCTTTTTGAGTTCCTAGATAGGTGTCATAAGGTGTTCGGAATCCCCTTTTTCTCACCTTTTTTTCCGCCTCTTTCTGTTTTTTTTGTCTCCTATGAAGATGCTTTTTTAAAATGATGGTCAAGAAAAAAGGAGCCTTCGAGGCCTTTTAACCTTTCTTTTTTTCTAAAGTTTTTTTGAGACGCCCGTGTTTCATTGGCAGACCATTTAAAAAAGGTCGGCCAACTCTACCTCTAAAATCTTCTAAAACTAAATTTATCAGCTCTTCTTTGAATTTTGACAACTGTCAAATTGTTTCTGACAACTCCGTGGGGAAAAAAAAATGGTTATTCTTTGTCATTTTGGTGAATTTTTGTGAGGAAATATTACCTGCTGAACTAATCAAGTTTTGTAACCGCTCATGTATGTTCACAAGAAGAAAAAATTGGGAAGACATTTTCAAAGTTCATTTAATCACAGTTGAAGATGTATAAGCAGAAAAAGTTTCATTAAAAAAATAATCTTAATAAATTTTTCGTGATCCGTTCAAGAATATAACTGTTGTGATTGGATATAATTTTTTTTTTTTGATTTTTCAGTTCTTTGTTACTTTTGATAGAAATGCAAGAGGTAAAGGTGAAAATCAAGGATTTCCTGTTTCGAGGGAAAATTTTGGAGAGAGCGGTATAAGCAGTCCTTTTAAGAGTAAATTTTCACGAAGGAGACACGAAAAAGCTCCTAAAAATCATGGAAAAATCGTGAAAAAGCGAAAAAGCGAAGGACTTGGAATTTTTTAAATCGTATATCGCAAGAAATCAACCGAGAAAAGTAGTTTTTTTTCAGTCGATCCGCTCGGAAATTCATGCCAGTCGGGATGACGTCTTTGAGGATGATGATGTTCTTCATAATCATGAGATTGTCATTCCTAACCAGGTTTTGTTTATAAAAAAAATCTGGAATTTTTCCAACTTGGTCGAAACTTGGAGAATTCTTTTATGGCGAAGGATGAACTTAATTAAAAAACACAGCCGACTCACGGCTGGCTTGAAAAATGGGTCCTGACACGATTGAAGAAAGAGACAGTGTCTGGTTCGTGGAGAGCGCAGACAGGCCACGCCCCTAAATTTCTCAAGCTAATCATAATTCAGATCTAGCCGATTCGCGGCAAACTTGAGACGTTTAGGGGCGTGGCCTATCTGCGCTCTCCACCAACCCGAAACTGTCTCTTTTTATAAATCGCGTCAGGACCCATTTTTCGATGGCTCAAGTCAATCACCTATACTTTGACCTCAAATAGTTGAATATTATTGCAACCAAAATCCTCAGGTGAATTTCAAAAAAAAAGATCGGAATTTCATGTTCTTTTCTAGAAACGGAATAAGAGTATAACTTGTAGCCGACGCTGGATCGACCGCCGGTCCCGCGAATCCTCCTGAATGACCAAGAAATGGGAGAATCTCGAAGATCTAGCCAAGACGTATCCGAGAAGACGTCCACGTACCGCGGATCCCAGCGAAATTTAGCCCGAGACGCTTTCGGATCGAGTTCGACGAACACGTCGAGCCACCAGCCGAACTACAGTAGCAATGTTGGGAAGCAAAAAATGATAATATGATATCAAAAGCCTCACGGATCAACTAGGGAACGCTAATAAGGCCGAAAAGCGCTATTTTAAGCTGTTGAAGCGTCCTACCTCGATAACCAGAACTATTGCGAGAATTTTTTTCTTGTTTTGCAATCAGAATGTCCTGAAGTACATTTCAGAGGAGTTTCATCAAAAGTTCAACCGGGATAAAAAAGTTCCCTAGTTAGTGTTCAAAAAAATTTTCTTTTCGAGCTTTTGAAAAGACCTTAAAGGAGCCAAAATCACAGAAAACTACTCAAGCATCGAATTTTCAAAAAATGAACCCTCAAGGGAAACGTAGTTTTGGCAACAAATGTCCGAAAAATGAGAAAAGAAAATACGAAAAAATTAATCACACATTTTTTGTATGTAGTTTGATCTTGCCCTCTGGACTGGATTTATGATGACTCTTATTTTCAAAATTCTGGTGAAATTTCAGTTCGCATAAGAAAAAACGCAGTTTTCTAAAGTTTTAAAAAGATTAAACTCCATAAAAAATAAAGTTGAGAGCGAAAAAAAAATCTTCGTACCTTTTTTGACGACACTCTTTCAGCAAGTTCTGCGTTTCTCTTCAGAAAAAAAAATTGATTCTAAGTTTCTGTTGATTTATTGATTACCCAGGAAAAAAAAACACTTTTGCCAATTGTGAGTTCAGACGGAAACAAGAAAAACGAGCTTTGGCAGCGAATCGAACATACCGTACACCCGCGACAGCTACACGAGCTCAAAGAGAGATCTCTCCTCTTTGTCGGCTAGAGATTTGTATCTGCGCTCAAGGGCCACCTCAAGGGCGAGCATGGTAAGAAATCAAAAAGGCGGCAAAAGATAAGTTTAAAAGAATGTGGGATCTTTGCGCAATGGATTATTTCTTCCAATAAACTTTTGAAATAGGGTGTTTTTGGGGAAAAGAAACCGGGAAATTTTTCGATTTCATTCTATAAAATAAGCACCCGAAACATGGTGTACACCGAAAAATTCCATTAAATTTTTTTAAAAATATAGTTTGACCATTTATCGGAGTACTCCGTTGGAGAAGATCCTGCTTCCGAGATAGCAAATGAATAAAAAAACTTAGGAAGAAGATTTTTTCTAACAAGTAATTTCAATTTACGGCGCGGTTGGTATTCATCTGAAAGTCGGCCAGAACACTAAAAAAATATCCTGGAAGTTTAAAAAAAGGGAAATCCTTGAAAATCCCTTAAAAATAGGCTTTTTTTGGGGGTTTGAATGATATTTTCTCGAAATCAAGAAGTTTTTACAGGTTGAGAGTTTCAAAATCTTCTTTTGATTTTTTTATAATCGAAATTTCCTTCAAATATTTTATTTTTCGCAGGCTTCTACGAACACAGAAGATCACCTCCGTCAGGCCTACGAGTACAGCAAAAGGCTGGAAGATCAAATGCCGGTCATCAGTTCTCGTGAACCTTCTCTCTTGGATTGCCAGACTTCTCGAACCCTCATCGGGTCTCGTGACGATGTTTGAAATATTCGCCCAGTGTTCTTCATTTAAGTGTGTTTTTCAAGGTTAACCGTGCCGCGAGCGTCGAAAGGAGCACTGGAAACCAACAGAAAAATGTAGAAAAGTTAATTTTTCTCAATTTTATGCCGATTTCTCAGAAGCCAATGAGCCGATCGGCGTCAATTTCGTCGAACGTTGGAAATCCCGTGGATCGTGTCGTCTTTTCGGAAATTCCCACCCTTTACAGTCATCCAGATGATCGTTTTGATGATGATGCTGAGGGAGAAGTTCGTGCTTTTTCAGAAGATTTTGAAAAGTCCTTGATTTTTGACCCTTTTTTGAAAACTTTGTGCAGTTTCATTATTGGATTTACTATTTTCTCATTTTTTTTTTTCTAAAATTTCAATCTCCAAGTGGTTTTTCTGATTTTTTTTCTAGCTTAAAAATGGATTTTTAGAGGAGAAAATGAGTTGAATAAGGCCCTAAGAACGTACCTAAGGCACCGTACTCTAAAAAAGGACCTAAAAAAGAAGATCCCAAAAAAATTTTAATTTTAATCGAAACAGGGCATTTTTTCATCCTAGAAAGTCCAGTCCCCCCTGAGTTTCTACATTTTCCGTAATTTTAAAGTTTTCCGTTTGGAAGGAATAGTCAGTGAGAAAAAATAGCTCGAAAAAAAGGATTTTATGGTAAAAATTACAAACCTCTTAACCAACAAGCTCAGAAAAAGATTGAATTTTCTTGAATTGTTGTTTTTTTCAGCCCTTCCGACCGACTTCTGAGCATCTCCGGACCCCGATGAACGCCAAAATAGCTCCAAACCGCCCGAGGATCCTGGAACATCAGACGAGTATCAACATCCCTTCGGTCAACTCGAATATTTATGCCAATGCCACCGAAATGACCGTTCCGATATCGTTGAGCAGCCGCAGCACTTCGGCCGCCAATAGCATCAATGTGGGGGGTTTTTTGAGGAAGAATTGAGCTTGAAAGTTGGAAATCGAGCAGAAAATTATGAAAAGGAGACTTTTATGATGGGGGGTAGTTTTTTGGGTGAAATTCAAAAAGAAAAAAAAAGAGAGATTTGCTAGGAGAAACGCTTATTTCACACACTTTTTGACTTATTTTTTTCATTGATTATTTATTTTTTTAAGGATCCGAGGTCAAGTTTTTTTCTATCCCAAGTAATTTTTTTTAACTGAAAAGAAAGAAGTTACAAAAGCCGTTTAACGCTTGCAACAGCTCAAACTGGGTTTTTTTATTTCAAGAAAGAAAAATCATTAAGTTTTTGAAACACATTTTGAGGTTGAAAAAAATGGTTCAAAGCACGGTGTAAAGATAAACAGCTGTTTTTTTATTTTTTTATTTTTTTATTAAGAGCTAGAAATTTTGAACAGAAAAAAATTTGCAAATAACGGCTAGAGGAATCCCGACTCGATAGTTTCTTTCATTTTGAATTTGAAATTGAGCCGCCTTTTTCGAGTTGATGCGATTCCGCGAAACTCGAAAAAAAGTCGTCAGAAAAATGAGAAAAATTTACAGAATTTTTTTAGAATCAGAAAATTTCGAGTTTTGTGAAAGAACTTTGAATCCGACATGAAGAATTACTATTTTGAATGTATTCACAAATGCGAAAAAGCGCAACTTGGTTCAGAACTTTCTTGTAAGAAATGCAACCTTTCTGAAAGTTCTGCAGCTGCGTTTTTTTCTGTTAACCGAAACCTTATCAGAGTGTTGAAAAAAAAGCACAACTCCAGAAAGTTGTGACCGAAACCCTGTTTTTTCGTATAGGCCATTCCGCGCCAGCTTGTCACGTTTTTCTTTCCGCCAAAAGGCCAGGTCAAATTTAACCAACTTTCGCTTCAAGACCTTCGTTTCTTGCCGTTGTAAAAGCAGAAATTTGATCTAATTTGGTATACGGTCTTTTGGGCGGAAAGAAAAACGTGAAAAGTTGGCGCGGAATAGGCTATATCTTTTCTGAGGGTTCTGTATTTCCAGAGGCGCTCACGCCAGCCATCCTTCAATGAAGCGCCAGTCCGACCACTTATCGTCACTTCAGCCTTAACTGTTTGGAAATGATCATTCGAAAAACTTGATAACTGTTTTCATTATTTTCAGCCCCTGGCTCAGAAAAAGTCGAAAAGCGTGACGCAATCGGACCAGAATCTTTTCACGCCGCAGACGGTCGCCAGAGAGCCCCGATGTGTGAAGAAGTTCTTCCAGGTGTGGCAACGAATCGAGGAATTTGAAAAAACCGCTCGGCCTTCCCTCAATGAAAAGAATTTTTTTGATCTTTTTATTCTGAACTTGTCTTTGTGATCTTTGTAATGCGCTGTTATTGCGTGAGATACTTGAACAATCGATCATTAATCGTTTTTCAAAAAAAGGATTTTTTCAACTTTTTACAAGGGAATTAATTTCAGTAGGTCGTTTTACATTTGCTGAAGATTGGCATGAATAATCTAAAAATTTCCAAATTAGTCAATTTTTTTCGAAAAAAATGAGGACTGAACGTCTCAAAAAAAGGGGGTTTCGACGCATTTTTTTGATTTTTTTAGTAGTTCCGAAAAAGTGATATTAACTTCCTTGTTAGGAAATCGAGAATTTAAAAAAAGTTTTATGAAAATTTCAAGTTGGTTATTTTGAACTTTTTGAAGTTAAAAAAATATCCTAAAACATTTTTTTATCCGGATATTTAGTAAGAAAAAAAGAAAGCCACATTTTCAAAAATGTAGAATAATCTCGAAAAGATGTTTTTTTAGGTTGACTTTTTCAGAAAAATATTGAAGTTTCTAAGATTAAAAAGTTTCTAGGTTGCTCTCAATCAAATTTCTTGAAATTAGAAAAAAATTTATAATCTTTATTCTTCTACTGAAATTTATTTCAAATCGAAATGAATTTTTTTACCTTGATTAACATGAAAAAAATCAAAAAGTTGTATAAAAAAATTTTCCAACAAAAAAACGACTCAAAATGAACATTCTTTCGAAAAAAATTCAATTTCAAAGGTAGATCAAAAATAATTTTTTTGGTCCTTTTTGACACGCCACGTGGGCCTGGCTCTAGGAGATCACAATTTTTTGGAACTTGCTTTTTTTCTGATTTTTATGTCGTTTTCAAAGGAATTTCGCGAATTTCAAAACAACCGTCAGAGAAAGAAGAGGATGATTAATTTTTGGAGAGTTAGAGATAATTTTGAGTTCCGCGGATATTACTTTGAAAACGGAATTAGTTTTTTTTTTGTACATGTTTTTTTTTCTTTGATTTTTCGCTTTTTTCTTTTTATTTTATCCGCTATTTCAGCCACTAACTTCGGATATCGCTGTACAAACGGGCGGTTCGATTCGCTTACGACAGGGTCACTGGGATTCTTTTTGGTCTTTTTCATTCATTTCAATATTTTTTTCAAACTTTTTGACCATTCCAGCTGCTGCCATTGAACAACACAATCCGGACTCAGCGAATCCAGAAAATTTGTCGAATAATAAAGAAGAAGAACGAAATTTGGACAATTCTTTCACGATGAAGGGAACTTCCAGACCGTTGATGAACAATTCCTTTGAAAGGACTGGGGTGATTTTTTTTTTTCTTGAAAAAAGTATGGGTGAATTATATCCTTGTCAATTTTTCTACTTCTAGTGATTTTGATGAAGATTGATGGACTTCTAGAACTGGAATGATTTTTGATTGAAAAAAAATCAATTTTCGCTATAAGACCTCAATATTCAACGATTTATCATTTATTACTGTTTCATTCTAGAGATTATTACATTTTTTCCTATCTACTTTTTCGATGAAAAAGGTTTTTTCGAAGATATGTTATTTTTTAATGTATAGGATGAAGGTTCTAAAGTCACAATCTGCATTATTTATCTTTTTTTCGAAGGGGGAATGCCTTAATTTTTGATAATATCGATAAAATAACGGTCATCTTTGGGACGAAAGGAGGATTTTTTTCAACGTTTTTTTGATTTTTTTGTTTGATTTTGTAACTTTTTGAAAAAAAGTAAATCGATGGTTTTTGAAAAAAACATTCGATTCCCAGAGCCTTTGTTTGATGAAAATGAATTGCGTTTGAAAAAAATCCAAAAAAATTTCGTTTTATTAAGTAAAAAAATACTGTGGAAACGCACAAGTGAAATAATGTGGCGTTTTCAGCACCTCTGGCTAACAAAATAAAAATTCTCGCAATAGATCTTGTTTCCGAGTTGTGGAGGTTCAAAATACGCAAATTATGCCAAAAGTTCGCTATTTCGAGCTTTTGAAAGCTTTCGGGGATAAAAAACGTTCCCTAGTGAATATAGCTTAAGCATGAAAATAATGATTTCAAGAGAAATTTTGTGATAACCATGAGTTGTGACAAAAAATAAGGATTTGCAGCACCCGGCCGCATCAGTCCTCAACAGCTTCCTGCAAGGAAGACTCGACAAGGACAGAGAGGCGGACGTTTCTTGCGGAGGCCCGCATTCGTCCCAGTCGAATTCCAGCCATCAAGTGACCATCGTCCAGCAGTCGAGTAGCACTAATACGGTAAAAAAAAAATAGGGGTTTCATTGAGGAATTTCGGAGCTTTGTAGACTTTTTAAAAAGCGGGAGATCAATCAAAAAATAGAATTATTTTACAGTCAATAGGAGGCCTCACTGAAAGTTGAAATTCCGGAGAAAACTTAGTGAAGTGAACTAAAACAGTTCTAAAGTCAATGAAAGATATTTTAAAATCTGAAAATCGGGAGAACCTCTGATACCATTTGATATAAAAAGAAAAAAAAAATCATGCGAAGAAGTATTTTTTTTAATCGGTAGAAAAGAATTGAGCCAGGTTTTTGGGTGGTATGAAAAAAACACCAACGAGAATTCAAACGGCGACTTTTCCGATTTTTTCATATCGCTAGGGAACTTTCCGACGGCCACCTTTCCGACGGATCCCTTTCCGACTTTTTTCCCTTATATTTTTCGGTTTATAAAACATCTATAAACATTTTTCGTATTTCTTTGTGTTTTAATCATGAACCAACTACCTACTTTATATAGGAAGATTTAAAACGAAGATTTTATCGCTAAAAAAAGTCGGAAAAAGATTTGTCGGAAAGTTCCCTAGCGATGTGAAATAATCGGAAAAGTCGCCGTTCGAAAATTCGTTTTTTTATTTCTTTATTTTTATTTCAAACCACCAGAAAAAGCAAAGTTTTTTTGTTTTAATATCAACTTTTCATTGGCATTGTAATATTCTTGTGGAATTAATACACGATTTGAAGGTTTTTTGAATCAGTAAACATAGTTTACTTAAGGAAGAGTGAAAGTACGCTTGAAAATTTGATGGTATGAAAAAAAGACCAGCGAAAATTCAAACGGCGACGTTTCCGATTTTTTCATATCGCTAGGGAACTTTCCGACGGCCACCTTTCCGACGAAACTTTTTCCGACTTTTTTTTCTCGATAAACTCTTCGTTTTACATCTTCCTATATAAAGTAGGTAGTTGGTTCATGATTAAAACACAAAGAAATAGGAAAAAAAAAATATTTACAGATGATTTATAAACCGAAAAACATAAGGGAAAAAGTCGGAAAGACATCCGTCGGAAAGTTCCCTAGCGATGCGAAAAAATCGGAAAAGTCGCCGTTTAAATTTTCGCTGGTGTTTTTTTCATACCACCGGTTTTCGGCCGAATTAGACAAATATTGACCATTTTTTTGTTTCAGAAACATTTTTTGCACCTTTTCATGAGAAAAAGTTTTTTTGTAGGTAATCCCTTTGAGACTGACTGAAAAGGGCTTTTTCTATTATTTTCCCGTTTTCTTCATTCAAAAAGCCTTGAAATAAATGGAAAAAAAAAATTATATAGCATGAAAAGTCATTTTGGAACAATATTGCACTTTTTTTCAGCTTCTGATCAAAATAATCCAAAAAAATTTTTTTGAATTTACAAAAATCGAATTCAAAAAAATTGATGTTAAAAAAAGGTCCAGTTCGAAAAATCTCGACCATTTTCTGATGTGAAAGTGTTTTTTTTCCCGTTTTTGATCGATATTTGATTTCTAGAATTCTTGATATTTTTTTTAATCTATATTGCCCAATATATTGTATTTCTTCTAATTCTGAGTCTGAAGAAAGTCTTGATGTTTTTCAATGAGATTTCTCATTTTCCCGTTTCAGCTCTACCGCGAGAAGTTTGAAGCGACCGAGCGCTTCAGAGATAACGTCAAAGAAGAGGAGAATTTCATGGAGTGCAAATGGAGCAACTCGGCTCGTCCTGAACACGAAGTGACCCCCCCAAAAAATGACATAATATGAAAAGTTGTGCTTTTTTAGAACCCCTACACTCTTCAGAAAGCTCAGCCGCCCAAGAGTTTCGAGGAAAATTCGAACGTTTTCAAAAAATCGGGCGCAAATTTGCCAAACGCTCAGCAGGTGAGCTGAAAAACAGACCGAAAAATTGGTGATGAAAAAATTTTGCGTGACAGGTTGCAACGTTAAACTTTGTTTTCATTTCTAAATTTTTTACTTTTTTTGATTTTTTCCGCATTTTTTTATTCATTTATTCAATTGAAAGATTTCCTGTTGTCTTGTTTGGACAAAAAAAATTCCAAGAGATATTCGAAAATATTGATAAAGAAAGACCTTACTAGAGAGGCCACTTCAGGGCAAATTTCGAAATATTCTCAAATTTTTTTCCAACCTTTTTTTCGAAGGTATAGATGAAGAATCTCACAGTGGCTATCTGAGTAAAAAAATATTACTTTTTTTAAATATTCATTTTAAAAAGTTGCAAGTTTCAGATTTAGGCCTATTCTATTTCAAGCGCGAGTTTTGGAAATCAAAAAATTTGAAAAATGAAAATTTGTGCAAATAGGAATCTTGATCCAGACTTTCAAAAATTAGTTGTAACAGCTTTTGGCGTGTTCATCGGAAAAAATAGGAACTTGTCCCGGAACGCGAAAAATAGCTCCAAAAAAGGGTGTAGCTGACTCACGGCTGGCTTGAGCCGTCGAAAAAAAGGTCCTGACACGAGGAAAAAAGAGATAGTGCCTAGTTGGTGGAGAGAGCAGACAGGCCACGCCCACAAAGCGTCTTTTGCTAGCCGTGACAAAATTATACTGTTTCGCAGTAACTTGGAGGCGCTAATAAAAACAATTTTACATTTTGAAAAATGTTCAACTCCTCTTCGAGACTTCTCTTTAGAAGTTTATAATCTGAGCATCACATTTTTCATGTCCGCGTTCGGATCTTCGAAGGTTAGAGAGCGCTCCAAAATGAGAAGGCAGACGCTTTTTCTTTCTCTGAAAGCCCTCTTGTTTACCCGTGTTCTCTAGCTTTCGACTAGTTGAACTTATATAGGTGATTCACGGCTGGCTTGAGCCATCGAAAAAAGGTCCGGACACGATAATGCACTAGATAGCGCCTGGCTCGTGGAGAGCGCAGACAGGACACGCCCCCTAGCGTCCCAAGCTGACTGTGAATCAGCTATACACAAATTTTCAGCCTTTTAAGCGATTTTTTGTTCCAATTCGTGGATAAACTGTAAAAATGTCTCTCGTTGAGGTGTTGCCGATGGACACGCACCACCACGACCTCCGTGCGGCGATCCTCTCGGAAGCCCGTTCTCCGAAGGCCTCCAAGGCGACGACGCCCAGCATGAACACGACCAAGAACTCGTTCAACTTCACGACGCCGATCCGTCCGTCGCCCAGCGATCGGGCCCCGCCGAAGCCGTGGCGCGACCGCATGGCCGCCGGATCGACGGCGTCGTCGACGCCGGTCGACCGCATGGCCGTCGAGATCCCCCTCAACGCCAACAAGTCCGTCCTCACCAATGAGCAGACCGAGTCGCCCTACAAAAGCGACCGGAAAACCTCGGCCTCTACTGGTTCGTGTTAGAGTTTCTGTTATGCCTCCAGGTGAAGACGTTGTGGTAGAAGATTTATTAGTAAGGAGAAACTGGACTAGACTATTTAAAATGAAAACAGGGGTTATATATAGTCTGTTCAGATTTTGAATGTCAAGGCATGGCTCAAGCTCCGCCCCTAATGGCGCGATAAACCAATCAGAGAGCGAGCCATCCACAGAGTGTTTTTGAATGAAGTCATTGCACTTGACATATGAACAGACTATAGTTCTAAGGGATGAGATCCCGAAGATTATGGAATGTTCCAGAATAAAGGCGGAGTTTATAGATTAGAGTGAAAGGTGGAACATTCCAGATTTTTGAAGATCCGTTCCGGAAGCAATAGAAAATTCCAGAACAATGTGGAACTTTCTAAAAAGGTATAGAACACTTGAGAAGGTTGTGGAACTTTCTAGACATGGTCCCTATGACATAATGTGACTATAATTGTACAGAATACTATAGAAAACTCTAGAATGATTAATATAAGCGTTCAACAGTTTCAGAGCCATCATCATCATTTTTATTCTCAAAATAAAGGTTATTGTATGAAATTCCGGGTTCAATGCAACTTTGCTAAATTTAAATTTACCACTGAATAAGTTTTTTTTTTCACTCTGACAGTGATTATGAACTTCGCTGAAGTAAGGATTCCTCTTGATTTTCGCTTCAAACTAATTTTTTGTTTTGTTTATGTGTAACATCAAAAAATTCATGCAATCATTAAAGAGAGCGGTTTTTCAATTTGGAAAGAATTGGCTGAAAAAGTCGGCGGCCTTAGCGCGTGTACGATTAAAATCCGAAATTTTCAATTTTCTCAGACCATTCTTCTAACACCGGAAGTCGTGTGATGATCGACGCCCGTTGGACCGATCCCAAGAGATTCGGAGACACTATTCGGTAAAAATGAGCGTCATTCCTGAGAATAAAGAGAATCAAAAATAGAAAACACGTCCCACGAGGTCGAATCAAGGATTTGGCGACCGCTTTTGACAATATCCAATCGCCCGGCAAAACGGCCGAGCAGAGCATGGGAAGGACGTCGAGGGACACGACACAAGTCCCTTGGAAAAGCTCCGCCCAGGACTTTTCTCGGCCCCAGGAACCTCAGAACTTGAGGACTCAGGAGGCTTTCGTGCACGAAAGCGAGAAAAGCACGGCTGAAGGTGAGAAGGATGACTTTGGTCTTTTCACAGTAACCCATGAAGATTACGGTAGGAACAGAATTAGGAAAATAGTGGCAATAGCTTTTTTGAAGTGAAATTTAGTTTTTTTGGAGGGTTTTCAGGCATGAAGAAGATTCACAATTGAATGGCTCATGCGAAAAAAAAAATTGATGATCTATTTTTGATAGTCTGTTACGTAATAGAACTTTCTTTTAAAAAAAATTCTTTAAAAAAAGAATTTTCAAAATTAAGACCATAAGGAACTAAAGAATCAAATTTAGATGGCATGAATTGATGATTTTATCTTTACTTTTTTATCTTCACATCTTGGAATTTTCGTATCACTTTTTTTAAGTTCCTAATTTCGAGCTTTTAGATGTAATCTAACAATTTTACAAAATTTATCAAGTTGGAAGGGATTGGAAAAATATGCAGAAAAATATCGGAACCTTTGAGAAAGATTTGATCAGATTTAACGCTTCTGAAAAATTTTAAAAAAAATTACAGAAGACTCGATGATTGATCATTATAAAAGAGCTCTCGCTGAACACGAGGAGCGCAAAAAACGTGAACGTGAACGGGATAATTTGCGTCAAATGCAAAATCGAGGCGATTTTGCTGGAAGACAGGACTATCTGGCCAAGACTCCGGAGAAGAAGTTTGAACACGAAAGGTGCCACCGTCGAGTTGACTTCTTGGGAAAATGTCATTTTCAAGAGGCTCTGATTTCTATCGTCACTCTTTCGACCGCGTCTCGACGGCTTCTTCTCGGCCAGAATCGCTCCATCGCACCTCGACACCTGTTCATGAGCTTCATAAGCCGCCAGGTAAAATGATGGCTAAGTATAGAGTGGACACTGAAGTGGCCACTAAAAGCGACTCTATAGAAGTATTTTTCGTCTTAGTGGCCACTATAGTAGTTTTTAGTGATCTGGTAGTACCATTTAGACTTCTCGAACCCCTAAAGTAGCCACAAAAATTTCAAATTCTGAAGTGCTCATTAAGACGTCAAAACTCTAAAGTGCCCACTAAAACGTCAAAACCCCGAAGTGGCTACTCAAACGTCAAAACCCTAAAGTGGCCACTAAAAGTTTCTCCAGTTCTTCAGGATTCTTTGAATTTGAAATTAGAGACAGAAAAATGTGTATATGTATACTGAAAAAAGGGGTCTCTTGATGAAATGAAACTTTTTAAAATCTATTAAGATCGATAATCAATTTCAAACGGATAGTATTGATTAAAAATGAATATTTTTTTCTATAATCATGCGAGATGCATTTTCCTTCTTTTTAATAGCTTTTTCCTATTAGGATTTTTTTAAATTTTAAATTTAAAGTTTTCAAAAATTTACATATTTTTTTCTCTGTAAGACCAATAATTTTTTTATATTTTCTGTGATTTTCTTTTTTTCATTTTGATACCCTTGAGAGATCTGTAATAAATCAATAATGAAGCTTCTTTTTTACAGTCATGGAATCGGCGTTCGGAAGGATTCCGTCGATCCGCGAGACGACGTCCCAACAGCCGACGAGCTACTACCGGCCGCAGTACAACGAGTACAAGCCCAAGCCGATGTCGCCCACCAAACCCAACTTTGCCGTTTCGAAGACGTCGACTTCTAGCAAGCCGGGCGCCGGCGTCGTTAGGTGATTTCAGAAGTTCCCTTAAATGAGAATTTCTTGAACGAAAAATCAGCGTTGTAGTTGAACCAGGCGGGTGGGCCTCTCTGGGCGGTCTAGTCCGTGTTTGGGGTTTTAGTTTTAGGAGAAGGCTGTGCCGGCTCGGATTTGGGCCTCATTTTCAGGAAAAGGCTGTGCGGGCTCAAGCCGGGCTAAGCTTTGAATGAAACTTTTCAGGGGAATTTAAACATTTTTTCATCCTTGCTCAAAAAATCGGTTAATCATGTGAACAAAAAAGGGCCAGAAACGTGGTTTTTGACGTAGAAAAGTCTGATATTTGACTTGTAGAAAATTTGCGCTTTTTAGACCGGACCGGGCTTAGAAAAATAAAAAAACTGCCCCCATCCCCCCCGCGGCTGTCGCACATTGAAAGAAATTTACGAACTATATCAAAAAGTTCAACTTTTCAATTGAAACTAGCTGAACAGTCACGAAATTACTGTTCTATTCACTATTAGAACTTGAAGAAAAATAAGAATTTTGCTCTAATAGTTAAATGATGAGAAAAGCCATGTCACACTGAAGAACTTGCTTTTAAAAAGTTCAGAGCGCATTTTCGAAAAAGTCTGATTTTTTCTGCTATTTACTCAGCTAAACTTGTTTAAACCGGCTTTTTTCATTACCTTGCTGGGTTATATTCCTGTACCTCATGCCAAAAATAATACCGCATTTTCCCTGCAGATCCCTGACGCAGAACTACGAACGACACTACGGAGACCAGTCGCCGGCTGGATCGCGCCACAAAAGAAGCCGATCGGCGGCTCCGGCGGAGTATCGCGACGCCGTCCCCACCTATGGTCATTATGAACAGAACCCCAACGAAGCCCAGCACGACTATGAATCTCAGCCGCCCCAACAGCATGCCGCTAGGTCCCGAAAATTGCATCACCCCCTTGAAATTATCATTTTTGTACAGATTCTCCCGCCATGATGCCCTCCGAAGCCATATTCCGACGTCGAAGAACCGCAGTTCCAGCGCCCATCCCCGCAATTTCAACACTTCTCGAGTAGATTTTTTTTTTCAGTTCTTATGGAGAGTTGAGGGAAAAGATTATGGTTTGCTGACTGCTTGATTTTCGAAAAATTTAGCGATGTTCTGGACATTAACTGATAAAAACAGTGTAAAAAAGGATGAAAATGGATTCAATTTAAAAAAAAAAAGAAAGATTTTTTTTCTTGAAAGTGAACCTGAAAGTTTGAAAAGAGTTGGTTATTTATGTTTTGCCATTTTTGGATGGCCCTTTTAAGGCTTTTAAGTCAATAATCGATATTCTGAAACTTTTTCATACAATATATTTGAAAAAGGGAAAGTTTTCCATAGAATCTAAGTGAATTCACGATTTAGGCAGTTTTTTCAACAAGCAATTTGAAAAAGAGGTTCAAAATTCTCTAGTCCTTCCTTCGAAAGTGTATAACATTTTTGCCTTCTCAGTTTGACTGAAATCGAAAAAAAAATTTTAATTTTGTTAAAGAGCTTTTGTTTGAGTAGGTAGCAGCAAGTCCTGCGTTCCCTTTGAAAAAAATATTCTTTGATTTTTTTCGAATTTTCTTCCAAAAACTTCTTTTTGAGCCTCTACAAGCGTCTCCTGACATGAACCGCAACTACGAGCATTCCAAGGAGAAGACTGGAAAGTTTGAGTCGCCGAACAACGACGAAAAATATTCGTATGGCCTGAGGACCGAGGAGGAGAGTAGTATTCGGGGCAAGATCGACCGGATGTTCGACTTTGTTCAGGTTTTTTTAGTTTCGACTGAGGTAGGGGGAGGGGGCTGAAATTGTTAAATACTTTTTGGGTGGAACTGAAATTGAATGAAGGGCTGCTCCTTATTTAAAAAAATGGTCGTCCACTGTGTGAAAAAGAATAAACACGATAAAGTTATTCAAGAATCCCCCGAATTCTGGAATTGCCAGCCCCCCCTCCTCACGACTGTCCAAATAATTTTTCAAAAAAATATTCCAGGACGAAAGTCCGACATCGCATCAACAGCTCAGCTCGATGGAATCCAACCGATCTCGCTTCGAAAAGTTTGGCCAAAATGTTCCGGCCAACCGATTCGCCGGCTACGTTCCCGTCGAAAAGCAGCGTTACTACGACCAGAAGGGCGAATGGGACAGGATTCTCCGCAGCGAGGATCCCTACCTTCGTGACGTCGACTCGTTCGACTTCAAGTTCGACAAAACGTCAGAGATGGACGACATGAGCGAGAGAACCTCGACCATGAGACATCACGGAAGTCCGCCCGGCTCTAGTCTCGCTTATTCGGTTCGTGGATCGAAGTGGAAGATTTGAGTCTTGTGTTGAGGGTTTTATGTTCAGAAAGCTTGAAAAAAAAGGAGTGGAGACAAGCTTTTGACCAGGTTTAGCCCCGTCTCCTATTCGGGGTCTTGATAGCTGTTCCTGTAGTATCTTTAACAGAAGAGATAAAGATAAAGATTTTTTTTTTCCAATTTCAGCTCTCTGGCTATCGTGAGATGCAGCGTGCGTTCCGCGACAAGGACCGAACCCGCGACGGCCTTCACAATGACCAGAAGAGCCAGCATGAGCACCTCGAGCAGTCGCCCCAACACCAGGAGCCGCAGTTCTTCCGCTCGCAGACGATGGCCGCCCCGCACGCCGGACAGAGCATGGCCGCCTACCGTACCCGCTACTTGCTGGGCACGCCGGCGGCTGTCGAGAAAGTCACCCTCGACAAGAGAGTTCCCACTGCTCTCGCCACCTCGACACCTCTTGATAGTCCTTCCTCCAGGCTCAACGCCGCTGATAACTTTTCCGCCGGTTCGTCTGCAGCAGAGTGGTGTTATTAGGAAGATTAGTTGCGAAAACGACATTTCATTCAGTTCTTTTTGATTGGAGCAATCAAGTCGAAAAAGTTTTTTTCTGAACGCTTTATTTTTTTAAAAAAATATTTTTTTAAAGAAAAACTTTTTACGACACTTGTGGTCATAAGCGTTCCTTCTATTTGAGGCACAGAACAAAAAAATATCTTCTTCTTTTTCAAAAAGTCATTTTGGAATATTCCTAATGCTTGTTTTTTTCAAAAAGGAACGTCTAATAAGTAATAGTTTCGAAAGTAAAAAAGTTTTATAAAAAGTCTCCTTTTTTTATCTGTAAATGATCAAGGTTTTTCGAAACGAACGTCGGATTAGGAGGAAAAAAATAATTTCCCTTTTTATTATAATTTTTGAAAGGAGAAGCATCTTCCGGGAAGAGCTCAAGTTCTAGTTTTTCCTTCTTTGTAGGAAAAAGCGACTACAACGACAACGACACGTTCATGAGCTCGATCAGCGCGGCGTCGGTCGCCGAGCTCCAAATGGACTATCGCCGAAAGATCGAGGTAAACGGCGGGAAATGCACAGCGAATCCCTCCACAGTTGCAAGTTAAGAAGATCACGCACATGGTCAAGACGACGGACAAGCAAATCGAGCTGAACGAGCTGGCGTTGGCCGACGCCCTCAGCAAGGGCAGATCCATGCAAGCTGTGGGTTGTTTCTGGACATGATTGTCCGGGTGCGCGGGTGCTGGGCGGGCCTTGACTTAAGGAGTTAAAATGTCTAGATTGGTTAGAAATATAGGTATTTCATAAAAATTAAAAAAATAATTTGACGATGGAGCCGAAAAACCATGTGATAGAATTTCCGCAAAAAATCGGTTAATTATAAATCATGCTATTTTTGAAATTCCGATTTACGAATACATTTTTTTTTCATTAATTTTCCATCTCGAACCTTGGTTACGCGAATCGGACGTAACAGGCCATTTCTAGGGATCACTTAAGAGGGGTGACGCTACTAAAGTGCTCATTCGAAACGCCCCTGATTTTGATAGGGATTTTCCACTTTCTAATGCTGTTTTTGTGTGTAATTTTTGATGATAGAGCAAAAAAGTTTTTTCTTCAGTTCCAGAGAGTCTTACCTATGTCAAAAATCGGAAATCTCTATCCTTTAGGTCTTATTTTCATACGATTGTCGAGCCTTTTTCGAAAAATACTTATAAGTTGATAGAAAAATAAGAATTTACGCATCTCAAGACTTTACTCGGCTTCTGCGCACCCACACATGCCACCAGGCTGCCCGACGTGCTTTCGAAGGTTGAATGTAGGTGAAATTGCAGCTGTCGGCGCATCGGTCGCTGCTGCTGAGCCGCGAACTGTCGCGGGTGCAGCGCGACGAGCTGCGACGACTGCACGCCCTCTCCGCGATCCGTCGTCCCCCGCCGCCGCTCTCCTTCAACGTCAAAAGCTCCGTCGTCGTTTCCAACATCGTCGTCCAGCTCAACAAGAACTTCTGCCAACGTCAGCACGATAGTATGCGTCGAGCCATACCCATTTCATCTCATAACTATTATTTAAAAATGGCCGTGACTTGAATATTTAAAAAACTCATTTCAAGTTTAGTTCAGAATGATTTCGGAGCTAGGTCAAAATTCTTATGTCTAGGTGGAGCTGGGTACGGAAAAACTGAAAAATCAGCCCGCATTTCATAAAAATTTTCAGCCATTACCGTAGACCCATTTGAGAACTTATTTCTATTGATTGAAAATTAGTCATGACTTGAAAGTTAGAAAACTATGAAGGTAGGGAAAAAAAAGCTCAAAATTTGTGTCAAAAAGTTCTGAATGAGCTGGAGCTGGTCAGAAGATTATGGGGCGGGAAGATCTGATGGATGAAATAATTTGTAGCCGTACTGATTATTCGATTATATTCAAAACAGTCGGGGATAGAAAGTTCCGAAATAATTTTTTAGTGGATTGACAGACGTTCTAAAACATTTTGGCAAAAAAGTTTTTAGATTCCCTTTAGAAAAAAAAGGAACTAGAACCCAAACTTCTATATTTTAGGTAAAAACCTTTTACTGGCACCCCATAACCCTTGGTCGATTTTTCTTTCTTTTTCGAATTCTTCTATATAGTTTCACCACAGAATCTACCGCAGAAATTCGAGCAGATTATTAAGGTCCACTGTTAAAGGTTTCTCAAGTAGCTACACAAACTTGTCATTTTTTAGTGCATAATATTATTCCAACTTGAATTCCATTTCAATCAATCAAATCATTCTTTTTTTTTGGTTTAGTCATAGATGTAATCGACTAGGCGGTGAACAAGAACTTTGAAAGCTATAACGAACAACCGCCTTTGGCGAGCTAGAAGTCCAAACGTGTAGTCGAAAGAGTTGAAAGCATGGTCTCACGGTCCTTCGCCTTGTTTTTCTGCGTGTAGTCCATTCAGTTGCGCCTTGATAAGCTCAGAATGTAGTGGGTGTTGTAGCTGGAGCCCGGAGACTGTGCCCTAGGTGGAAGCCTCAGAATGAGTGCGACCACTTCGAGTGAAGATTTTACACGGAATTTTAATCAAGTTACACTCATTTTCAACTCTCATGAGACTTTTCAGACGGCTCGTACGCCTTCGTGGTGTTGCTCAAGTGTGGTCATGAAGTCGACGCGACGGAAGTGGCGCCCCTTCTCGTCAACCAGAAGACCCAGGTCGACCAGCTCTTCTTCGGAAAGCAGATCCGGTTCGCCGATCTTCCCGTCGACTACATGATCAAACTGGAAGTCTACGCCATGGTTTGGAGATGATCACGTCGTCCGAAATGCTCTCGTCTTGGTTTTCAGCGTTTGCCGGAAGTCAAGGTGGAGCAGCCGTCGAACTCGTTCACGTCCAAGTGCAAGACTCTGATTGGTCCTCGTGAGTGGGATTTCAGATTAAGACAAAATTCGGAAAAATGTCTTGAAAAATCAGTTACCCTAGATGGAATTGTAGGGCTTGTAGAATGATAGCTTTGAGCCAAATTTAAAGTTGAAAAACTTAAATTTTTGAATTTTCTCATGGACTCTGAAATTGAAAAGGTTCATATGGAAAAGAACTAGAGTGATGATTTCAAATCCTAGCTTCAAAAAAAGAAAATCTAGAAGTTTCTATGACTTTTCAAAATTCCATCTTTTAAGCTCATCTTGTAGGTTTCTATTAAAGTGATCTTCTGAATTTTCTCTTCTGAATGACAAGCTCCCTTCCCATTGAAAATAGTCTCACTACCAAAAACCTGCAGCTCAACGAAAGATCGACCCTCAATCGCTGGAAACGGGCTTCCGACTCCGTGGACGCATGTCCCTGGACCGCGACGCCGCCGGCGACCGCTGCTTCTACCTCGACGACGTCGCCTATCCTCTCGAAGGCACCGTCAAGATCAGAACTCAGTGCTCCTCCTTGCCCGACGCCATCGAAGTCGACTACCGCGGATTCTTGGTAGGGATTGGGAAGATTGGAGAGAATGGGCCTCACAGTACAGTACTATAACGAATGAAATAAATCTTACAATAAGGGATAAAGGACAAGTTTCTCTACATAGATCTTGCTAGACATTTGATGAGTCTCAGAAGAAAAATAGAATTTTTGGGCCTTTCAGAGGCGTTCAAAGTCGAGTGGGAGTCTGAAAAGGTGTTTTTTCAAAATTTCAAATATTCGTTGGATCGTGCTAGACATTTGATGAGTCTCAGAAGAAAAATAGAATTTTTGGGCCTTTCAGAGGCGTTCAAACTTCAGTGAGAGTCTGAAAAGTTAAGATTTCATGGCGTTTCAGGAAATTTTCAAAAAATTTGAATTTGGGTTTTTTCCCTGTGAGCTGGTTTTACCGTACTTTTTTGTCCTTTCAGTCGGTCTACCAAACCGTGAGCGGAATGGCTTCTTGGGATCGCTATTGGGCCGTTTTGCGCCGTGGTGTCGTCTTTTTCTGGAAATACCCAGATGATGAACAGCTTGACAAAGTTGGTCGAGTCGGTTTGCAAGATATAAAAAATGCCTTTTGAAGCATCCGTTGATGCAAATCGACCTGACCAAGTGTACCAACCACGCGATCGACAAAATGCGCGATGGACGTCTGCCCGAGGCCCCATTCGTTTGCCATCGAAATCCTCGTCGACTCGGTTTCGTCGGTTATGGAGAAGAAACGGTAAATTCACTTTGTAGAAGAATGGGGTCTTTGAAAGTCAAGTTCAGAAAATCAGCTAGATCTGAGGTAACTCAAAAATCAACTCGAGAAAGTTTTTTTTTAAAGAACGGTATTTTCATTCTAAAAAAGAAGGAGCTACTGAAAAAGATTGTGAAAATATGTCTTTCAAAATAAAGCTACTTAATTTTGAGTTTACTGAAAAATCGGCTCAAAAGAAGGATTTTCCTTAGAAAAAACGTTTGGAAAAAAATGGGGTCTTTGAAAGTTTGGCTTAGAAAATCGGCTGGAAAGTTTGAGCCCAATAAGTCTCAGTTCAGTGGAAAATTATCTCAAAAAGTTGGTTTTTTGGGCGAAAAACGGTACTTTTTTTTAAAGTTGTGATCTTTTAAAATTTGGCTCGAAGCGCAAAAAACAAGCTTCAAATTTTTCAGCTCAAATTATAGAGAAAAATGTGCTCTGTAGATAATATTCACGAAAAAAATTTAAATTTTCCAAGACTTTTAAAGCTTGAATTTTTCCTTTTTGTTCCAGTTATAAGCGAAAAAATGAAGGAAAAATTATAAAAATACCGGTTTCTTTATTTTATCGGCTGTTATCCGTGGAGCGCATTTTTCACTGGAATTCTCGGCTCATTAGGGTGAAAAATATCCTATCTTTTTTTGAGCTGTTATCATTTTATCGAAACTTCCTATTAAATAAGCTTTGAGGTTCCATTTCAATCAATCAATCAATCAATATTTATTGGTTTTTTTAGTCAGATGGTATCGACTAGGCGGTGAAAAATTGCTCTTTTGAGTGGCACTAACACCGCCTTTGGCGAAAAAGAAGTCAAAACGTGTAGTCGATTGAATTGAAAGCATGGTCTTACGAACCTTCTCCTCGCTCTTCCACAAGTTGATCCCTCAGTTTCGCGTGTACGGGCACGGCGGGGATGGTAGGGCTCGGGCACGGACACCGTGTACACTCTAGGGTAGCCTCGGCCGATTGAGAGAGCTACCACTTCGAGTGAAGAAAATACACGGAATTTGCCCGAAATTTTTCTCAAACGATCATTTTTTCAGTGTCCTTTTGTCGGCCGATTCGCCAGACTTGCTCAACGCCTGGCTCTGTGCCATTAATGAAACCCTCAACGTCATCCGCGGATGAATTTTCTGTTTTTTTTTTCTTTCTCAGTTTTATTGTAAACTTTTTATTGTATCGTCTTTCATTGGAATGTTCCCAAAGATGCGCCTCTGCACCCTTAGAAATACGTTTTATTCTTGCCTGTAGACCCTTTTTTTGTGTCTGTTCTGATGTTTTGTTTTTATCGTTTTGAAGATTTTATTCTTGATCCGGCACCGATCCCGGTTTGTTTCAACGTTTGATCCATCTCCGCCAATTTTATGGCGGCATTTTTTCGGTAAAAGCTCAAGTGCAAGTAATAAATATGAGCATTTCGACAGAGTTTGTAGTTTGAGATTTTCATATTGATCGGCCGTTCAATGATACTTTTGACCAGAGTTTCTGGAAAGGTTCAATTTTGAAGTTCAACTTATCATTTCTGGAATCTCCTGAGAAGAAAAAAGATGATACTGAGCGATTTTTTTCCGTTTCTCTGCGTTTTTTTGCGATTTTTTAAATTTGTATACAATTTTTAAAAAAGTAGAAGGATTTTTTGATTATTGTAGGCTATATGAAAATTTTTCCTCAAACTCCTGATTTTTTTTTTTCAAATTTTGGGCCCTTTGTTAGAGATTTTCCGAACATAGCTTCCATCTTTTGAAACTTTATTTTCATCTAGATCTTTCTGAAAGTTAGAATTTTTCACTTTCATATGTTCAAAAAAAGATGATAAATTACAACCAGAAGCACTTGAAAACTTGAAAAGGACGATTGCAGGAAACTTTTGAATTTTCGGATTTTTTTGAAAACTTCCCGGGCTTTGCTGAATTGAAGTCAGTGCTACCCTCTTTATGTTAAAAATATTTTTTTACACCTTTTTTTTCTCCAAATTTTCGTGCTGAAGTATATAATGGTCCATCCTCTATAGGGCCCCTCTGAAACTCCCTTTAGGGACCCCTTTAAAGTTCCAAAGTTTCTCAGGTTGAGGAATTTATAAAAAGATTCGAATTATCATCTTTTCGACTGTGAAAATTGAATTTTTCGCCTTTCATACATACAAAATCCAAATTTCACGCGTTTTTGTAGATTTTTGACTTTTTATATGGTAGACTTCACAAAAGTAACACTAGAAATGTATCTAATTTCCCGCAATTTTTTAGTAAAATTGGCAATTTCTGAGGGTCCCTTACAGGTCCAGACCATTTTTGAAAACCGCCAAAAAAAAGTCATTAAGGCCCCCACTGGGAAAATTTGTAGTGGTCACTATAGGGTTTTGACGTTTTAGTGGGCACTATAGTAGTCAAACTAGTGGCCACTTAAGGGATTAAAAATTAGTGGCCACTATAGAGGTCTAAGTGCTACTACCAGACCACTAAAAGTTTTAGTGGCCACTTTAGGGGTCAGTGGATCAACATAACTGGTCCAATCCGTTTTCTTTTAATAATCAGAGTTACTGGAAGGAATACGGGATGAAAAACTACTGAAGTGTCCACTAAATAGAGAACCTCTATAGTGATCTCCAAAACGGAAAATAGTGGCCACTGTAGAGGTGGGTTTAGTGGCCACTTCAGTGTCCTCTCCAAGAAATCCTTGGCGAGCCTCTATAGTGGCCACTAAACATTTTGCCAGTACCTCACTGGAATTGAAACTTTTGTTTATACATCTTTCTGAAAATTCTTCTACATCATTACTCACTCTTGGAATAATTGAACCCTTTTCTTTTGTATGTGTGATGGTCCCTTTCTCATAATTTTCCCGGCCGTGCTTTGGTTGTGGCTTAGGCTCGACAATTTGTGTGTGTCGGTGTGCCTCCCGCGGAGATGCGCCGCCACGTCTTCAAGGCCGACCGCCACGTCTTCTCTCGGTCTCTGTCTCGACGGAAGAGATCTGGGCGTGCCGCTGGTGGGAAACCCGAAACGAACGCTGGAACGCTTCTCGAACTCCCCAGCCAGTCGGTTGGCATCAGCAGTGATATGGAGCTGGGCGAATTATCAATGAGATTAGACTGTTCAGAAATCTTGGCTGGGAAAAGGAAGTTTGAGATGATAATGACACTTTTAGGTCGTTTTGATTCTGAGTTGTGATCGTTGAAGAACCAGGAGAAATTCCTGAAAATCTTCTAGTTTGGTCTGGCTCTCAGAATTCGATATGGGATCTGAAAACGATCTATTCAAAAAATGCTCGTTATTTTGAAACTTTTGGTTAGGAAGGAATGAAGTTTAAAATCAGAATTCTGACTAATTTTTCAAAAAATTCGAATTCGTTAAGTTTATTAAGTTTCCTTGGCTTCTTTTATTCTGAAATGGTGAGGCGAAGGTGGAAAAAAATTGATAAAACTTGAAGTCTAAGAGCTTCTAATTGAATTATAATCAAAATTGATTAAAAAATTGACTTATTTGAAAGAAAAAAATCTCCGAAAAGCGTCAAAAATTCCTTTTTTGAACTCGTCTTGAGAGAAAAAAAAATTAGAGCGTCAGATCTCAAAAATTCTTCAAGTTGTTTTCTCATATTTAATTATATTATAGTCCAAATGTATTACAGTAACTATCAGAAAATTTTTTATCAATTTCTTAAAATTTCCCTTGTTCTTGCAAGATGAAAATGACACCTTTCTGACCAGGAAGGTCGTTTTACTTTGCGGTTACTGTTTCTATAAAAAACAGCCACTCCTTAATCTACCAGAAGGAGGTGATGAAAGTCGTAAACTGCACAGTTTGCTAATTTCCAAAAATTGACACTTAAAAAATAAAGCAAATCGATGAAAAATCGCTAAAAGGAGAAATTTTCGAAATTTGAGTCATTTTTTCTAAAAACTAGAAGTTTTCTGCAGTCTGAGACTTCCTAGACTTTCATAAGTAAGAAAAAAATAGCTGAAATTTTGAAAAGGTCCAAAAAAAGTATTTTGATGGTTTTCCTTGATTTTGACAAGGTTCCTTTTTCTGAAAAATGTAGCTCAGGTGTAGTAGACTCGCTGGGGATTTTCTGGTACTCCGAAAGAATATTATGACCCAATTTTACGGAAAAGCAAAATTACTATATTACACTTTCATAAGAATTCCAGAAACTCACCAAAAAACCGATCAAAATTCTGTAATATCCCCGTAAATCTTCTTTTTTTTCTCTTCTTTCACACATTTCGGTGGAAACACCTTGAAACGGTTTTGTTGCGATTATCCTGCACTGAACTGAGCAATTACACGGTAATTGCGAACAATTACCGATTTTTATGACCGCTTCTTTTGGGTTCCGATAGCTGTAAAAGTTACTTCACGAAAAGAAAAAGTTTTGGCGAAGAAAATGGGACTTTTTCTATTTTTTCCGGGAAGAAAACCTCTAAAAAATATTTTTCATATAATATGAAAAATGTTGTAATCAAGCTTTTCAAAAAAATATGGGATTGAACGTTTTTTCTAAAAAAACTTTTTTTAATTTTTTTGAGCTAAAATATTACTTTCTGAGAAAAATAAATTTTTTTACACCCGATTCTGCAATAAAAATCCAAGACCACGGGAACCAATAAATCATATTTCGGAGAGATGGCAAAAAAGTCCAAAAAAAGTGCGCGCCGGGGGCAATTCTTGCCAAGGCCGTTCGGCATCAAAGAACGATCTGACCAGGAAATGACGTCATCGTTCATTTTCTGCAAAAGGTTGGAAAAAAAAATTCAGTAGGAAATTCGACAGGTTGTTTGGAAAAAAAAATTTTTTAGACCGTTTCTAAGATTTTATATGATTTAATGATATTTGGAGGCCAAACTGACCTTTTAGGAAAATTTTAAAGTTCAAACTTACCATTACGAAAATTCGCATGCTGTAATATGCGGACTATCCTTTATCATGGTTATTTTTCGGAATTTTTTTCCAGTCTTTGAAAAATTTGAGCTTTCTGGACTAAATTTTAATAGTAAAAAAAGTGTTTTTGAGCTTTATTTGACTTTTTGTTATGAGCAGAAGGATTTTTGAAAGAAACTTTTTTTAAAAAGTACGAAATTGACAGAAAAAAATAAAAAAATTTTTTCAAAAAAAATGACCGTACTTTAAAACCGTACGCGAATTGAAAAAAAAACTACAATTTACCGACGAAGCTTGACAGTTTCAGAAAAATTAAAATCAACTATCTTCGATATACCAACCAGGCCACGCCTTTTTAATTTTGAATTTTCCCGAATTTCAAAATTAAACATTTATTATAAATTTTCACGCTATCCTGAGCAATAACTACCGTAATCCATTTTTCGCATCACCTGTTCATTTTCTGAATTCAAATGCGATGCTCGTTCACCGCAAGGGGAAAAAATGTCTCGCGACCTGGACAAAGAACATTTGAAGGGGCGGAGCCGTTTTTGAAATGTGCGCCACGGACAAATTTGAAATTCCCACCACGCCTCCTTTCATCCAATTCTACAGTAATCCTTTGATTTTTGAGAGATTTGGCCATTTTCGGCAACGACATAATGGTGGATTGGAACTTGGTGGAATGAGGTTTTTTGAAAAATGTTTTGGGACCGCGGGGAGCGCTAACATGAGCAATAGGGATGGGTGTTGAGGTTTATTTTTCTGTTTAGGGTGTTATTTATTTTGGAAGGGAATTTTTTGAGGAAATGGTCCTGGTGTGGTTTAGAAGGTAGTGAGTGAAAAATAGAGTTATTGAATTTTTTAGAATTGGCAGACTTCTGAATTTTCCAAGTGACCACTTGAGTGCCTAGATTTTTTTTAGTCAGTTTTCCTTTTAGAAGTTCATTTGATTTTATATTTTGAAGATGAAGCTTTCATTTTAGTAGTATATATGTACTGATAGTCTAACCTTGAGCCCAAGTAATTTGTTTTTTTACAAAAATTTTTTTTTTGGTTCTTTGCGCTGAAAAAAATTATCATTATGAACTTTGGAGAAGTTTGAATTTTTTTAAAGGCTTTCCGATGGTCTGTAATCCATTTACCATTAGAAAAACAATTCATGAGCTATTTGGCAATTTTCTTTCTGCAGTCGCTTATCTCAGAAAGGTTCTCATTGTCCTGTTTTTTAAGCTAGAAGAGAATTAAATTGAACTAAGAATTTTTTTCAGATTTTAAGATCTTATAGACTAGGCCCTAATTTTATCTACTTTTTTTAAACAGACTAGGCCCTGAGCAATTTTTATGATCCCATATGGGTCTTTGACATTATCAAGACCTCAAGGGCCCTTAAGTGATCCCTTGAAACTCCCAGGAGTATCAGCCTTAAAGTGGCCACTTCAAGGCCCCTGTTAACGCCACCCACGACGTCATCGAATCAATCATCGCTCAAACTTCCATTTTTTTGATCATCGTTCGAATCCCCCCTCTGGTCCGACTCAACCCGCCGATGACGCTAATTCCTCGTCGTCGTCGCTGTGGCGGTGCCAGGCCCTCGCGAACACTTCAGAATTTGACGGAGACGGACGGGGATGGACAGTCCAACGGTTGTGGAAGTAAGGAGAGGCGAGAACGAATGGGCAAGGGGAGGCGAAAAGACGACCTTCGTCTTCTTCTTCTTTCGTCGATGCGTCGGGAAACAACAACTTTGAGTGCCGCCGCGGCTTTGGAATATCTTTTCCGATTGGTTCGAGTGGTCACTTGAGAGGCTTCGGATGACAGCTAGACCTTGGAAAGGGTTTCACCCAGAAAATTACAAAATCAGTCTTGTTAGAACTTGGGAACTTTTTAAAAATTTGATAGCTTTATTGAAGTTCAAATGGGTTTTTCAAGTTTTTTTTAGCAATGGGAATGACTCAGCGCGTCGCGGTCGCGTTGCGGTTCAAGTTAACAACGATGTTTTGCGTTTTGATCTTCAAAAGTTCCAATTTAGCGCGCGGAAGCCGTTTTTCCGTCGGGTGCACTTTCACAGAAACCGCAACGCGTTGAGCCATTCTCCATGCGGTCAGCGACATTTTTTGAACCTTTTTATAGACTCTAGGACTTAAATTTTGAATTGGGAATGGCTCGACGCGTTGCGGTTCAAAATGACTGCTTAATATTGCGTTCTACACGTTTCCCGATTTTCAAGAGTCAAAATTTGGCGTGCGGAAGTCGTTTTTCCGTCGGGCGCACTTTCATAGAAACCACAACGCGTTGAGCCATCCTCCATGCGGTCAGCGACATTTTTTGAACCTTTTTAAAGACTCTAGGACCTTTTTCGCTTTGAGAATGGCTCGACGCGTCGCGGTCGCGTTGCGGTTCAAGTTAACTACTGAATATTGCGTTTTACACGATCTCTAGTCTTCAAAGGTCAAAATTTGGCGCGCGGAAGTCGTTTTCTTGGTCGGGCGCACTTTCATAGAAACCGCAACGCATTGAACCATTCTCCATGCGGTCAGCGACGCTTTGAGAACCTTCTTATAGACTCTAGTACTTTTTTTGAACTTGAAGCTTTTGGGAAATTTGTCAAGTCTGAGTTTAATCGAATTGGATCGATAGATTTTCCCGAAATTCACAAAAAAAATGTCCTATACCTTTACCTGTCACCGACATTGTTGCAAAACTGATGATGCCGAGAAAGGCGGTGATTATCATGGAAAACGCGCCCGGCGGATAAATATTTGCCTTTTCGGCGACCCTTATCGGCTCCGCCCCCATCCATTCGCCACCGTTTATTCTCGGTTTGTTGCCGAATTTCACGAGACATCAGTAGTTGAGGACAGATTTTTGAAAGTTATACAATTTTGTGAGAAAAAGGGATCAGTTTTTTTCGAAAAAAATGATCATGAAAAAAATCTTAAATTGAAAAGAAGACCCACAAGGGAATTCATTTTTTTCGAACCGGAATTCCTTGAAAATTGGCCAGGAACATCCTTGATGTACTAGAAGAAGCTCCAGAAAGTCTCGACCTGCAAAAACTTCCTGGTTTTTCGAGAAATAAGGGCTCAAAAATAGCCTCTTTCAGCCAATATTGAGGGTTTCTTTGACTTTTAGAAGTTCGTTTTTGAAAACTAGAAAGTTTTGGAGGTTAAGTATTTCAGAATTTTGATTCAAGAAGTAATCTGGCCAGACTAAGAATGAAAATGGCCTCTACTGTCCTTCAAAACCTTCAAAAAATGCATGGCTCATCCAATTTTCGGAAATTTCCTTCAAAACTTCTTGTTTAGGAGTGAATAAAGAAGGTTTTTATGTGTCCAATCTCTTATAGATATAGATAAGATGCTTGGAGGTATTTTTAAAATCTGCAATGTTTTTTTAGATCCAAAAAAACTTTTTTTTTTTTTGTTTTTTTCATTGTTTTTTTCAAGTTACTAAATGGAGCCCATGAAAAAAATAAATTAGAAATTCCTATGTTTGGAAATGTTTTTTTATTTTTGGTTCTACTTCTTCCGAGAAACTTCTTGCCTAGAAAAAGGACTACCTGGAGAGGACACTGAAGTGGCCACTCAACCCACCTCTCTAGTGGCCACTATTTTCCGTCTTATTGGCCACTTCAGTAGTTTTTTATCCAGTATGCCTTCCAGGAACTCTGATTATTTTAAAACAAAGATTGGACCAGTTGTGTTGATTCATTGACCCCTAAAGTGGCCACTGAAACTTTTAGGGGTGTAGTCGTAGCACTTAGACCTCTATTGTAGCCACTTATTTTTAACCCCTTAAGTGGCCACTAGGTTGATTACTATAGTGGCCTCTAAAACGTCAAAACCCTATAGTGGCCACTAAAAATTTTCCCAGTGTAAAGATCTTTCACACTTGGGATGGGAAAGAAAAAAAAAGGATTTTTAAAAAAAGAGATTTAGTGACTCCAAGGTCCAACTGGGGGCTTATACCAAGTTAGCCTTGCTTCTCTAGGGAAGAAAAATCTAGAAGGGACACTGGTCATGCTCCTTCAGACGTCAGAGAAGCATAACAGAGTCGCACTACCGGAAAAATCAGGGATTTCTGAACCAAAATGTGATTTTTCAATCGACTTCAAAATCAATTCAAGCCATTCCTAGAGCCAGAGACGATTTTGAAAGCGCCTTCAGTCATGCTCCGCCAACCAAGGAAAGTCAGAGAAGCATGACGGAGGATCCAGAGGGACTACCGGCAAAATCGGTTTTGTGCGGCTGGGGCGGCCACACCTCTCCCGATCCCTTCTTCGCCCGTTTTTACCACACAGCGACAGGCACAGACTCTGCGGAGAGAGGCCAGACGGTCGGCGCTGCCTCCTCTACCATCACCTACTACTACAATTGCTACCACCCACCCGGCGACTGGCGAGAAGACACAACCAACCACGGGGCCGGCGGCGACGGTTTGCTGCGGCGCTGCTGCGATGCGAGGTGAGAAGGTCTTCAAAGGCCTAACCCGGTTACCTCCTTTTTCCGTCGCACCACCCACATCACACACACAGACAGACTGATCCTCTTTATTTATGTATACTTTTATTTTGTTGTTTCGTCGGTTACTTTTACTCGCTGATTAATTGATTGATTGGGGAGGTCAAAGGGCTGAGGTCAGACCAAGCGTCCAGCTTTGGAGCTTGAGGTGGTCCTAAGAATCCTCTATGTTTTGTTCTTTCGTCGTTTACTTTTACTCACTGATTAATTGATTGATAGTGGAGGTTGAGCCTGACGTCAAAGGGCTGAGGTCAGATCAAATTTTCAACTAGAGCTTGACACCTGAGGTAACCTTGGAGATCCTCTGGCTGGCATTAAGAATCTTCATTTTTTATTATTTCGTCGTTTACTTTTACTCGAATCACTGATTAATTTATTGATAGTGGAGGTTGAACCTGAGGCCAAAGGGCTGAGGTCAGACCAAGCGTCCAACTGGAGCTTGAGACCTGAGGTGGTCCTAAGAATTCTCTATCTCTTATTCTTTTGTCGTTTACTTTGTCTCGAGTCACTGATTAATTGATTGATTGTGAAGCTTGAGGCTGAGCTCAAAGGACTGAGGTCAGATCAAATGTCCAACTAGAGCTTGACTCTTAAGATAACCTCGGAGGGCCTCTAGATAGCTTTAAGAATGTTCAGTTTTGTTCTTTCGTCATTTACTTTTACTGATTTATTGATTGGGAGCTTGAGCCTGAGGTCAGACCGAGAGCCTCAGTGGAGCTTGAAACCTGAGGCTGAAGCTCAGATAATCTTCTTTATCAATGTATATTTTTATCTTGTTGTTTGTTAGGTCATTGATTAATTGATTGGTACTGGAGGTTTGGGTCAGACCTAGACTATCAAAGAAGCTTGAAGATTGAGGCTCGAGGCTCGAAAACCCTCATTGTTCATGTATGTCCATAGTAGTGGAGTTTTAAGATGAGGCTGAGGTCAGATCTCAAGTCAACAGTGCTATTGGAGCTTGAAGTGCTGAATTTCAGCCATCTGGAACTTTAAGTCTGAAGACTTTTAAAGCAGAGGTCCTCCTAGAGTTCGAGGTTGAGGTTTCAGGACAATCCTCAGCATTCGAAAGCTTGATTGGGGTTGAAAATCAGCCTTATTGAGCTTTTTTATTTTCTATTTTTGAGAGCCTAGCTGCTAGGAGGAGCCGAAATGCAGGTTGAACTTTAGTAAAAGCGGGAAAATATGAAATTTTGAAAATTAGTTTCTTTTTATCGATTTATCTTGATCAAGCATCTCTGAAAGCTTTTTTTCTCCATTGTTGGTTCCTTATCTCAATTTCTTAGAATGTGGTCTGAAGCTTTTTACATCGAATGAAAAATTATTATCTTAAGGACTAGCTAAATTTTGCAACTTTTGAAGTAAGGCTGTTTGAAGACCCAAGTTTCATCGATTTGAAAAATAATTTCAATCATAACTTGAAAAATAAAACACCCCCCTCAAGCCTCAAGTTCCAGTCTAAATTTGGACAAATCCTAACCTTTCCGCTCTCTGAGAAATATGTGACTTTGGCTTTTTTTTTTTTTCTTGATTACAGCTTTGACCTCCGGAATCTGGAAAAAAAAATTGACTTCAAAAGTAAATTGTCCACTCAATTCAAAGTCCTCTTCTATTTCCATCAACTTTATTCATTATTTCTTCTTTTTTCTGTTTTTCTGACGCTAACTTTCAAGTTTCACGCGATTATTCTTTATTTGAACTCTTTCTGGAACCCTCAAATTTTTTTCTAGCTTAAAAGTGACCCGAAAGGGATTTCAAAGAGCTTTATTTGGTTTTCTTCGAATTTGAAATGGTCATTTTTCCTTAAAATTCTAAAAAAAAAAGCTTATAAGAAGCCTTCAAAGAAGTTCAAACCATTTTTCCAGCGATTTTTCGGCTTTTCCTACATCCTTCAAACAAAAATCTACCTTTTCTCAACAGTAAAGCTTACTTACCAACCACCGAGGCAACAAGCCAATAAATCTCATAAAAAAGAAAGCTTCACCTACAGTAATCGCCCCGTCGGGATGATGTCACTTTCGGCCAACCAACGAACCCAAAATATTTTCCCGACGGCCCGAAATCCGGATGAATCGTCTCCCTGCCTGAAAATGCTGTAAACATCCTGGTCTCGGGCCGCTTTCTTAAACACCTTTTCCGACTTGCCTTTCTATTCGTATCGTCCGTTTCTTTCCTGTCATGGTTGGTGAGTAAAATCTTGATTTTTACTTGGAACTCCATATTTTGGGAAAATAACCTTGATTTGATTTTTTATTGGCTTACTGAGGAGCTAAATTTTGTCTTTTTAAGCTCAAAAATGTTGAAAAATTGGACAGAATGTTCAAAAAAGTCAATTTTTTTAGATTTTCATGTCACCTTGCTTCTAGGATTTTCTTACTTGTTCACTTATTTTTCATTTGATTTTTTATCGACCATCTGAAAAGATAATTTTCACTTTTTCAAAGCTCAAATTTGAGTAAATTTGAACAAAATGCTCAAAAAAAGTCCTTTTTCGAAAATTTTCATGGCACCTTGATTCTATGATTTTCTTACTTTTTCACTTTTTTTTTGATTTTATTTTATTTTTTTGGCTATCTGAAGAGCTAAGTTTTTATTTTTTTTGAGCTCAAATTTGAGTAAATTTGAACAAAAATGCTCAAAAAAAGTCCTTTTTCGAAAAATTTTCATGGCACCTTGACTCTATGATTTTTCTTACTTGTTTACTTATTTTTTTTATTCTATTTTTTTTATTGGCCTTCTGAAGAGCTGAATTTCCTTTTTTTAAGCTCAAAATTGCATGAGAAGCTAAAAAAATATTATTTTCCGAAGATTTTCATGGCACCTTGCTTCTATGATTTCATTCAGATTTTGAAAAAATCTCCCTTTTCGGCTTTTTCTGTCATTTTATACCGTATTTTTTTCTTGAACACTTTTTTTTATATTTTTTTATCCTTCCTGATTGACCTTCAAATCGTAGTGATTTGAAAAAAAAATTTCAGAAATTTTCTGATTTTTTTGGACTTACCACCAATGAGAGAATTTTTCCTTCCAAAAAAATTTTTGAGATCATTCTCTGAATCTCAAAAACTTTGAATAATTTGTTACTTTCGATTTTTTTAACGAACCGCAACGCGTCGAGACATTCTAAATGCGGCATAACAAAAAAATATCGAAATTTTCTCTTGATGTGATACTTTTCTGAATGAAAAAAATTGTTGGAAATCTCATTTTTTTATATTTTTCCAGTGTTTCATTTTCATTCTAATCACTCGAACAAACTAGGAATTCTACATTTTTACCATTTTCGAAGCTTTTTTTTTTTTTCCTTTCGTACCGCCTATTTTCAAACCGCAACACTGGCCGTATCTTTTTTTCGGCTTATTTGCCCACGGCGGTCATTTATGACCGTGAAATTGGCGAGGGCTCGAAGAATCGCGACAAGAATTGGCCGAAAGAAAAAAAAATCGCGTTAAACTCGTGCTGACCTTCAAAACATTTCTGAAAAACCCGCGTTTCCTTCTCTTTTTTCTCCTTTTTTGCATTGAGTCGAACGAATTGAATTGAATCGCATTGGAGAAAAAAAAAGTTGAACGTCGATAAAAAAAAAAGAGGGATGCAAACAGTATCATGTTGCGATCGAAGAACGTTTTTGGGTCGATTTGGAAGGGAGCCAAATTAATTTTTAGAATCTTGAGAGCCTTTGAAAGACTTTTTAACGAAAATTTCATCATTTAAAGATTTTTGGGTTGCTTTAGAAGGAGTCCAAATTAATTTTTAGGACCTTGAGAACCTTCTGAACCTTCCAAACGAGAATTTCATCATTCAGAACTTTTTGGGTCGATTTAGAAGGAGTCCAAATTAATTTTTAGAGCCTTGAGAACCTTCTGAACTTTCCAAACGAGAATTTCATCATTCAGAACTTTTTGGGTCGATTTAGAAGGAGTCCAAATTAATTTTTAGGACCTTGAGAACCTTCTGAACCTTCCAAACGAGAATTTCATCATTCAGAACTTTTTGGGTCGATTTAGAAGGAGTCCAAATTAATTTTTAGAGCCTTGAGAACCTTCTGAACTTTCCAAACGAGAATTTCATCATTCAGAACTTTTTGGGTCGATTTAGAAGGAGTCCAAATTAATTTTTAGAGCCTTGAGAACCTTCTGAACTTTCCAAACGAGAATTTCATCATTCAGAACTTTTTGGGTCGATTTAGAAGGAGTCCAAATTAATTTTTAGGACCTTGAGAACCTTCTGAACCTTCCAAACGAGAATTTCATCATTCAGAACTTTTTGGGTCGATTTAGAAGGAGTCCAAATTAATTTTTAGAGCCTTGAGAACCTTCTGAACTTTCCAAACGAGAATTTCATCATTCAGAATTTTTTGGATCGATTTAGAAGTGTTCCAAGTTAATTTTGAGAACCTTGAGAGACTTTTCAAGGGAAATTTCGTCATTTAAAAAGTTTTGGGTCGCTTTAGAAGGGATCCAAATTAATTTCGAGCATCTTAAGAGCTTTTGAGAGACTTTTGAACGAGATTTTCATCATTCAGAACAATTTGGATCAATTTGGACGGGACTCGAATTAATTTTGGGAAACTTGATAGACTTTTTAAGGAAAATTTCGTCAGTTAAAAATTTTTTGGTCATTTGTGAGAGGGATCCAAATAAATTTTGAGAACCTCAAGAGACTTTTTAACGGTAATCGTATCATTTAGAACATTTTGGGTCGATTTGAAAGGATCCAAATGATTTATGAGTACCTTGAGAACCTTCTGAGCCTTCCAAACGAGGATTTCATCATCAGAACATTTATTCCTACATTCTGACAAGAAAAAATTTGAAAGAAAGCTAGAGAGCATAGAAAAAGAAGAGACACTCAGAGAAATTAAGAAAAAAAGATGTCTGGGTGTCTCTCCAGGTTTTGGTACTCTCTAATATTAACATTTTGGTTTTTTTTGGCCTTTCATTTTTCTTGAATGACGTGTTCGCATGTGGAAAAAAGAATTTCGCTTCTTTCTGGAGGTTTCATTTTTTCTTTTTTGTACCTAGTTCCTGATTTCTTAAATCCTTTCTTAATCATAGGTTTATTCACTGCATACTGTTAGAAATTTCCTTTCAAAAGGAGAAGCTTCAATAAAGTTTAGAACCGCCGCTTTTTTAAAACTTTTTCATTTTATAACTTTTGAAGGAACTCTATTAATTTTTCGAAGCTTTCGTGAATATTTTCGGTTTGAAAAAGTTTCCCTGTCCCATTCAGTCATTCATATCCTGGTTTTCGACGCCTTTTTGAAAGTTGCTTGTTTTTTTTTTCTCACAGAAGTGTTTTGATGATTTTTTGGTTTCATTATTATTTAGCCATCTTTTTAAAATGTCACTTTTTAGACGTTTCATCTATCTAAAAAAAACTCCTTTCTGTGCCCCAAAACCATATGAAACCCAAGAAAAACGACTTTTTCTTCCCTCTCCAATCAGCGGGTCCCGAGGAACTCCAGCAATCGATCCGACTGGCGACAAAGGGCCAAGATAACTGCTGAGGCCAACCGATTCGTCTTTTCTACTGCGAACGGTCCCGATCGATGATATCGGTCGTCTATCGGCCGTCGAATACCTTAGACATGGACACAAAGTCAATGGGGAAGGCGAGGATCTTCTTGGAAGAAGAAAATTTGAACGGAAAGTTCTTTCAATCCGAAAAATGGCAAAGAATATTGTCCGTAGAGCAACTTTCCTGCAAAGCGTTCTTTTGGCGGGAGCTCAAAACTTTCCTTTTTCCGACTTTGAATTATTATTTCTTCAAAACTAGGAAGTTCGGTACGTTTTCAAGTTTACCGTTCGATTCACAACGAAAAGCTCTACAAAGTGCTGTTTTGAACTCAAACACCGTTTTTACTGCCCCTATGCCTTCAAGCTCAAAAGGAGGATCATTCGATTGGAAGCGAAATTTTCGAGGAGGGAAGAAAAATCGGCTCAATCCACCATTTAGAACTAATGAGGATCTTTTAAAAAAGAAAAAAAAGCCTCAGAGATCCGAAAAGGGCTTCCTGATAAGGCTAGGAACACTGAGCTTTAAACAAAAATGCAGAGAGAGTTTTGGAAAAATTATGGTCGCTCAAAGTTTAAAAAATCCCAAATGAGCTCATTTTTGGTCGATGAAGCTCAACTCTCTGACCACGATAAAATCTTACGCTTTCACAAATTTTTTTGTGAGGCTATAACTTCTCTCAAAGACCTCCTGGTCAATTTTGAAGCCTAGATTCGAAATCACCTCAAAAAACTGCTTCCAATGATCCTTCTTTCATATGGAAGTCTTGAAAATGCTCTGATAATTCCGAGCCGAAAACTCCTTATTTGCTTTTCGAGTGGCGAGAGTTGGAGAGCGCAGAGACGCAGACAGAAGCTCCATTGCACATCTTACGGTACTTCTTCCGGGAAAGTGGAATATTCGCTGCGCATCAACTCTCCTAAATGACAAATAGTTCAAAATTTGGGATTTTCATCAGCTCTGGCTCTATCAGAAGTCCTCTCAATGGCAGCTCCGTATCCATAATTTCGCTGCGCATCAACTTGTTAGCCTTCTCCTAAATGACGAATAGTTCAAAATTTCTGTTTTTGAACTCCAATTTTGGATTTTCATTAGCTCTGGCTCTATCAGAAGTCCTCACAATGACAGCTATGTATCTATAATTTCGCTGCGCATCAGCTTTTTGAGATCTCGGAAAATGTCCTAGCCAGCCATTCTGACTCATCTCAGGAAAAATTCTAGTACCATCACGTACTTTTCGTTTTCTCTGCCCCCTCCGCCTCTCTCCTTGTTTTTCTCCTCTCGTCCGACGGTGGACGTTGGGGGGAAAAGTACAATTTGACGAAATTGCAACGCCGACGTGCAGAAAGACGGCGATTTGTGGGCGGGACGCGCGTTCGCTCGTGTAACTCCGTACAATACACCGTCGAGGTCATCATCCGCCCAGAGGCATTCCGAATCCATTCCGAACAATCGGACAGCAAAGCGGTAAAAAGAGACATGGACAAGCTTTTCCTGGAAAGGGAGCTGACCCGCCCCCCCATACCGAATCCATTCCGAAGAGTCGGCCAAAAAAAGGTTGTAGAGCTATGAAAAAGAGACAAGCTCTTCCGGAGAGAGCCCGCACACAGTCAAGCTCCCCCTCCAAAAAAAGAGCTGACCTCCCTGCCCCCCTTCCCCTCATTCCGAATCCATTCCGAACAATCGGACAAAAAAAGGTTGTAGAGCTATGAAAAAGAGACAAGTTCATTCTGAGAGAGCTTAACCCGCCTACAGTCAAGCTCTGCCACCGAGGTCTGTGAAGAAGGTTCTGACGTCTTCCAATGAGTTCATTTTTGAATAGATTTTTTCTCAACTTTTTTCAAAGACCTCGATTTTGAGGACAGATTCGGAATCAGCTTGAAAAACTGCATCTAGTGAACTTAGAGCAGCTGCTTTTCCGCGAGAAATAAAAAAAAATGGGTTGCAGCCGCAACGCGGCCGCCACGCACTGAGCCAGTCCAGATGCGACCACGGCGTTTGAAGCTTGGAAATAGCAAGATTTTGACGTTTTCTGAATTTCCGAGTTTCAAATGAAGCGTTTTTGAAAAATGAAGCTCTGGCTTGTCTGCCCCCTTCTCGTCTCTCATTTTGACGTGCTTTTTCCTTGTTTCTCTGACCTCGCATGTGAGGGAAAAGAGATCGCAGACAGGTCAGACGGTTCCAAGTCACAGTGGATCCGGCAATGAGAATATTTCGAAGCTTCTTTCTCAACCTCAACCAGCGCAACAATACTGAAATCCGGGCTGATCTCTCCCACTGATCGTATTATCCTCCCCTTCCAGGACCGTTTCATTCATTCATCTTCTCAGAGGTGTTAGACCGGGGGGAAGTGTTTTGCGACGGCGCGCACTTTTGCATGACAATTACTGTTGTTTGGAAGGGGATCTTCTCCGCAATTGCTGGGTAATACCTGGGGCCGCGCGAAAATGAATGGTGGCTGGCACCAAGGTTGAACCTCATTAAACCTTCGAATCGCCCAATGGCAACATTTTTATTGAGGGCTTTTTCTGGAAGAAAAAATCGAGAAGCTCGTAGAGAGACAGAATCGGATATTTTCTGGTGTAATGTGCGCTCTAACGAAAAATGGGGGTATTTTTAAAGCTAATAGAAAACCCACGTTTGCTATTTTCTCGTGTAATGTGTGCTCCAACGAAAAATTGGATTTTCTAAACTCGCAGAGATCCAACAATGGCTATTTTCTCGTGTAATGTATGCTCCAATGAGAAACTGATTTTCCCAAGAACTATGTGTAATTGATGTTCAGAAACTTACACTATGTTTCACAAATTTCAAATAGTTAAAATTTGGCTATTTGTTCGTGTGAAGTTCGCCCTAATGAGAAATTATTAATTTTGAAAAAAATTTTTCCCAAGAATTATGTGTAGTTGATATTCAGAAACTCACACTATTTTTCGCGAATATCAAATAGTTAAAACTTGGCGATTTGTCTGTGTAAAGTACGCTCCAAGGATAAATTGAGAATTTTGAAAACTTTCAAAGGTTTTCTGTGCACTGGGTGCTCAGAAATTTGTATTATATTCCGCGTTCTTCAAAAAACTAAATCCAGGCGATTTGAACGTGTAAAGTTCGCTCCAATGACAAGTTGAGAATTTTGAAAAAAAAAATTTTAGTACACTCGATGTTCAGAATTTTTTAATGTATTCCGCTAAACTAGCCTGAACACTTACAAAAAAGATAGAACTTATCAGGAAAAAAAAAATCGAAGCCGTTTTTCGTGTTGAATTGTGCTCCAATGTGAATCCAAGGCACTTATCAATAATTCAAAGTTTCAAATTTATCTTCTCCAGAATAATATTTTCTGCATGTTCCAATTTTTTTTCTTGAATGATTCGCGAAGCTTTCAACAAGTAGATCCTCCGAATCGAAGCTCATCTTGTCGAAGAAAAAGACGTTCTCCCCTTTGAGACAAAGAAAAAAAAACCCGTCAATCAATAACCTTCGCAACCGTCCAACTTGAGGCACGATTACTGCCCTTTATCGCGCCGGCAAATCTTCACTTTTTTACTGTTTTTTTCCGCTGTTTTCGCCAAGGACCAGCCAATTAATTGTCCCTTTTTATGATCGAACACTGTTCGTAATCGATTCTTAGTTTTTTGTCGAGTTTCTTTTCGCTTCTTTTTCAAATCCTATCAGAATTATCGATAGCAATTTAGACTTAATTAGTAATTAGAACGGAAATTCTTATCATTCAATTACTGTGCAGAAAAACTTTTAAGAAAATGGGAACAAACGGAATAGTTTGGCGCGAAAATACAAATTCAAATTTTGGACGTTTCTTGGCGCACACTTTCCTGTTTTTCTGTTTTCCTTTTTTGCTGATTCAAAAAACCTTTTTCTTTTGTTCTTTTCTAAGAACCTATAGGATGAGCTGTTAGAAAGCGCTGATTTCATTAGAGTATTGAGACGAAGAGCCGTTTTACGCGTTACTGTAAGCTTTCAAAATTTCTATCGTTTTTCAACAACTCAATAAGGGTTTTAGAGCAAGTTGCATTCAAATAAAAGCCTTTTTCGACAAAAATGCATTGAATTTGCACCGATTCGTGATGAGTTCTCTACATTTTTATTGCGTCGTCTTTTCTTGCTGGTCGGAGGACGCGCGCGTTTGGGCGGAGCTTGGGGCTCGAGAGCTCGGCGTCCAACTGATCGATAGTTGGGCACGACGCCAAGCGTCGGCTCTCCCGAGTCCTGACCCAGTTTTTGCTGCTCTCCGCTCCGCTGACCTGACCTTTTGAGGCTCTCCGAAATATCGAAATGGAGCCGCCGATCAGAGTCAAAAGGGAAGAACCGGAACGGGCACCGACTCCAGAATGTCCCCTGTCGCCGTTGTCGCGTACGATTCTGGAAACGGCTTCCGGATCCACGGCGACCGGCGATGTCGTCGTCAAACGCGAAGCTTCCTCTTCGCCCAAGCCTGGCATCACTGTCGCTGAAGCCGCCGCGATTTTACCCGAAGGCGATATCGTTCCAGAACTGTATGAAGCTAAACAAGAAGTTGTTGAAGTCAAAACCAACGGCAAGAAGCGTTCGTTTTTTTTCTTTTGTACTTTTTTCATGTTGGACTTCATTTATCTTGAACTTCAAACTCTCGTAACCTTTGGACTTTCCTCTCTCGATTTTTTTTCGAAAAAAAACTTCATCTTTCATGCAACGCCTTCAAGTTTGTTCTCGTATTTTTTTCACAGACATTTACTGTTCGAATACTGTATGGAATCTATAAGAACCTTCGTAACTATCTCAAAAGAACTCTCTAAAAAGATGGCAAAAAATAATTCCCACGTGAAAAAAATTCGCACGTGAAAAAAAATTTCCACGCGCCTTTTTTTTTCTCACGTTTTTTTTTCCATTTACTGTTTGTTTTTGAATTTCCTCTTCTTTTTAGGTTTCTCATTGTTGTTCTCGGTTTATTAACCTCAGGAAATGCTTTGAATTGAGTGGAACCTTGATTTCAGTTATTTTCTACGCCAAATCATTGGAAATTTTGAAAAATGATATGCGTGTGTGTGTGGGTGGTGACGAAAAGTGTTCAAACTATAATTTTTCTTGTTTTAAAACATTTTGTGCGGATTTTGAATACTTTATTCGTGTTTTTTTGATCATAAGACAACCGGAATATCTTGTTTTAGCTTCGGTTTATGAAATTCAGAAATTAAGCGAAAAATGGATTTTTTTAGGTGTTCACTGAGTAATTTTTTATTTGAAAGGTTCTTTTGATTTCAGAAAAAAAAACTAAGGGATAATATTGAGATATATATAAACTCACTAAAGCTTTCGAGGCGATCGAATATTTTTAATTTTTAGTTTTAGCGCAAATCGAAGTGATTCCGTGCAAGGTTTGCGGGGACAAGTCTTCGGGTGTACATTATGGCGTCATCACTTGTGAAGGCTGCAAGGTTTTTTTCATTTTTATATATTTTTGATGTTTATATATTATATTAGCAATGTGTAACGTAATTTGAATTTTTTCCAGGGATTTTTTTCCGCCGAAGCCAGTCCGCCGTGGTCAACTATCAATGTCCGCGGCAGAAAAAAATTGCGTCGTTGACAGGTTTTTTTCTTGTTTTTTTCATATATAAATGAACATTTTTCAATATTCACACCGTAATTTTATTTGAAAGTATACTTTAAGGAAAATTTGACAAACTTTTTCAGTAATTTTTAAAATTTTCGCAAATCGTAAAATTTAAATTCTCATCAATTTTTTCACCGCCTGGTCGATTCCATCAGAATAAAAAAACCAATAAATATTGATGATGATGATGATCTTTTTAACTTTGAATAGAATAGTATGAAAAAAATGGGATAAGTATATTCTTTTCTCAAAGAATTATTTTTTTCCTTAAAAAAATTCTTTTTCAAACTATAGTTTCAGTTATATTATTGAGTTTTTTTCTGTTAAAATTCGTAGGAAAAAAATATTTTCTTATAACTTTATACATTAATAATCAAGCTCGAATTGTCGAAAATTTGGAATTTTGGTTCAAAACTAAGATAAATTTTCTATCCTTCTCAGATTTTTCAGAAACAATTATCTCATCTTGTAATTTTTTCCCGCGAAACAGAGGAAGAAATCAACAGAAAATTTTTTAGTCTCGTTTTTTCGAAATTTGAAGAGAATTTTCGTTTTAAAAACGGGGAAAAAGGACGATTTTTGAACTCTTTCCGTTCACAAATCGATCCTCGGGCCTTTCGAAGATATCCAGCGTCCAGAAAAAGAAACGACGATTTCTTTTTCTGGCGAACTGTTTTTTGTCGGAGGCGGTTGGTGCCAAGCGACGTGCTTGGTTGCGCAACGTCGCCCCTTGGCGCAATCGGCGTCTGCGTCTCTCGTGCGCGAAAATCCGTCCTGATGGTCACTTTTAATTGCTCCGCTAGTGGGGTTCAAGTGCTTGGCGGCGGTTCCGAAAAAAACCGGATTTTCAAATTATCGCGAAAAACTTTGAACCGTTGTTTTTTTTCGAGGTTTTTTCTGGTTTGGGGGGCTTCCGATTTGGTAAAAGTTCCAGGAATGAAGCTTAATTTAGCTTTTTATAACTTTTTTTGAAAAATTTTTCCAAGTATTTCACGACAAAAAAATGCCCTTTTTAACTCTCATCGATTTCGTGAAATTTTATAGAATACATAAGGAACTTTTAAAAATCGCTTTAAAGTTAGAAAGCCAAGTTTTTAAATCTTTATTAAATAAAGAAGGAGATTTTATATTTTGAGGTTTATTTAAAAAAAAAGTTTAATTTGCCAGCTTTTTTAAAATATTTGATTGATATTGGTTGATAAATTGAAAATTTTCAGGCGGTACTTAAAATTTTAAAATTGTAGAAAATAATCAAAAAATTCTCTAAAAAATGTTATTTTAAACGTGGCGAACGGTATGCTTCAAATTGAAAAATAGAACAAAAAATGTATTTCCAGAATTTTATGAATTTTTTTGATCAGAGAAAAAAAGCACAGAAATGACTCGAATCAAATCAAGTAAATATTTTTTCCAGGGTGAACCGGAACCGGTGTCAATATTGCCGATTGAAAAAGTGCCTGGAGCTGGGGATGAGCCGAGACGCGGTGAAATTCGGCCGGATGTCGAAAAAACAAAGAGAGAAGGTTGAAGATGAGGTGCATGGCGTGTTTGTTTGTTTCTGCTCCCAAATGTCTCTCGTTAGAAATTTCGTGACTTTTATAGTGTATTTTTTCGCGATTTGATAGGGGAGGTGGGTAGATTGACAAGGGAGACGCGCTGCGTACGCGACGCGGCTTTTTTGGCGGGCAACTCGGGCTAGGTGTCTTAACGGGTGTGCCCGTATTGAAACCCGTGCTTTTATGTGTTGGGCCTAACGGGACGAAAGCGGGCTTATTTTAAAAGTCTGAGGCCCAGATGAGCTAAAAAAGAGCCTCGTTTAAGGTGAAAAGGCAACAAGTTCTATCAGCGGTGCTTTTATGGGCTTAATACGGGTATGCCCGCCCGAATTAGCATGACTGGTTAACATTAGCAACGAGAGAAACCAGAAGTCTCAACGGGTTTACCCGTATTAAACCCGTTTTTTGAGGAATCTCAGATGGGCCAAAACAGGACAAAAACGGGCGTAAGAAGAAATAGGTGACCCAGCTCTCTTTATTTTTAAAATCTGGGGCTCAGCCGGGCTAAAAAGGGGCCCCGGTTAAGGTGAAAAGGCAAAAAGTCTACCAGCTGTGCTTTTACGGGCTCAAGACGGGTATGCCCGCCCGAATTAGCATGACTGGTTAACATTAGCAACGAGAGAAACCAGAAGTCTCAACGGGTGTGCCCGCGTTAAATCCGTATTTTTTCGACTAAGTTAAAACGGGACAAAAACGGGCGTAAGAAGGAATAGGTGACACGGCTGCGTTTTTTTTTTTTGGAAAATCTGAGACTCAACGGGCCGAAACGGGCCTTAGCTGTGGTGAAAAATTCTAAAAGTTCTACCAACTGTGATTTTACGGGTTTAAAACGGGTATACCCCCTAGAGCCCGAGTTAGCACCGCTAGTTGAACCCACATCAGCAACAAGAGAGTGATTAGGACTTTCAACGGGTTGACCCGTAAAAAACCCGTTTTTTTGAGGCTGGTACACCCTAAGCAGTATGAGAACACGGAAAAATGTAGAAAAATGATTTTTCATCATTTTTAAACGTTTATCCGTTCAACTGGATTTTTTGAAACTCTAAAAAGTTATCAAAAAATGTAAAACATGAGAAAAAAGGTGTTTGCGTTTGAATTCGAAGTTTCCCGCCAAAAGCCGCGTCGCGCACGCAACGCGTCATCCTTGCCAGTTTGCACAACTTGCCTATCAAGTCGAGAAAGCCTGACGTCTACTGCAAAGACCCTTTTTCTATGTAAAATCTCCTTGTCGACATGTTACTGTACTCGTTTTTTAAATATATATTTTGCTATTTTATGAGGAGCTCAATAGAGGATGAATTCTTTGCATGTTTTAGTGTTTTTTTGCGCCAAAAATTTTTTTCTTTAAAAAACGTGTTTTAAACGGATTTTTGAACGTTGAAGGGTGTTTTTCTATCGCCGTGTATAACTAAAAAACCCGTCAGAGTGTGAGAACACGGCGTTTTTTTTATTACGCAAGGTCAAGACTTCTCGTAAATTATGATGCTTAGGGTGTAAGCACACCGAGACGCACTATCGCATACTCAAATTGTTTTTTTCAATTTTAGAATTTGCAATTTTTGGATAATAACTTCTGAAATGTTCGAAATCTTGTCAGTTTGAAGAATATGATGTGAAAAACATTCACTTACGTTAAAAAAATATAGGAACGATTTCGGAAGGGGAAAAACTCTAAATTACTGATTACAAAAATAAAAACAAAAAAATATTATGAAGGTGAATCAGCTCCCATTGAATAAGAAATTGTAAATAAGAAAAATATTGAAATGAGAAAAATTCGAGGAGAAAATGAAAAAAGAAACATTTTGTATACTTTGGAAACCTAGCTTCAGAAAAAAACAAATAATGGATAGAAAGCAGAAATTTCAGAAAAAAACCTCGTATGGCGAAATGTTTGTTTAAATGCGAAAAAAACCATGAAAGAACTAGAAAAAAATATAATTTAGATGATTCATATAACAAAAATCTTCAAACTGCATCAGCAAATTCAGTTTGGCTTTAATTTACGCGAAACTGGTTTCAAACTACGCCAAAGGAACTGGATAATAACTTGTACTTATAGAAAAAAACGTTAAAAGACGTATTAATGAAGAAAAAAAGCAAAAAAATATGCTTTTTTTCAATTAACTCTTTCCGTAAATCTTGCGAGAGCTTTAAAGGGTGGGTCTTGTATTCCAAAAACGGGTCCTAAACAGATCAAAACTACTGCTGCCGTACGATTTACGGCGCCCGCCCATGGTATTTTTTTTTCTGCATTTTCTTTCACTGACAAGAACGCCGTGAGAAAGATAACTGAGTTTTGGAGGGTCAGAGAAAAGTTTGAATTTTGCGAAATTACACGGGATATATGAACACAGTTTGAACCGAAAAAATCGGATTCAATGATTTTTACGGAATTAATTTCATTTTATTGCTTAAAACCTCAATCTTTTGAGGAAATTTGGTTTTTTCCAAGCCTGAAGTGACCTTTTTCATCAAGATTTTCATTTCCTCGTTTTTCTATTCGAGATTTTTATTTTTATCGTTTTCAAGTCCCTTGTTGAGCTCCTTTTTATGTTTATAGTCTCCTTTTTCCAAATTAGGTGCTATGGAATGACATACTTTAATGATTAGCATGAGATCTGTAGTCTTTTTTCTATGTAGCCTGTTTTTTTCTCGTAGATTTCGAAATGATAATGCATTTGATCGTGTTTCCCGGCTAACTGTCCGTGTTTTAAAGGTGCGGATGCACAAGCAAATGGCCGAGGCCAACGGAATCGGCTATTCGATGTATACTGAATATTCGCCTCCGCCGACCCAACCTCAGCCTTATTCCCAACCGTTCGTTTTTTATAGGTTCTTTCGGAAATGGAGTTTTAGGCCTTGAAAATTTGGTATTTGGAATTTTTAGTGCATGGAATTACTGATTTAGAGCTAATTTTGAAGAAAAATCACTACTACCTGGTTTTTTTGGTTTATTTTTCCGATAAATACGAAAAAAATCTTTGAACGATCACATTTTTTTGCCTTAACAATCATCAAAAATACACTTAAAAAGCTTAGAAAAAAATAAAAATTTTCAGCTTTGAAAAAAATCGAAATTTTTGAAAGTTTGTACGCTTCATTTTTTTCATAACAAATCTTCAAGGAAAAATATTTGAAAAAAATTTTTTTAAAAAAATTTTTTTCAAATGTTTTTTTCGATTTTTTTCTCGGAACTGATCCGTATGAAAAATAATGAAAAAAAGCTTAAGTGGTCCCTAAAAAGAAATTTGAGATTTGCGGGGTTTTTTTAACCCTAGAGGACCTTCATCAGATTTTTTCCAATAGGTTAGACTTTTCTAGCTTTTTCAAAACTCCTCCTCAATTTTTTTCTTTCTAAAAACAGCTCATTTTCTTCATATTTTAACTGAGATCTCTCAAAAAATTATAAAAATGTGTGAAATCGGAAGAATTTCGCGTATTAAGTTGCTTTTTGAAAGTTCTGTATTTATTTTCAAAAAGAGATTTTCTTCAAAAATTCTTCAAAAAGAGACGAATTTCGACAGAATATCAGACTCCTGATAAAAGTTTCCCGTTTCGTGATTGTCCTTGAACGCCGAAAAGTGTCCTTTAAAGGTACGAGAACGGCAGCCTGTACTATGGATCGCCGGGCGAGTACACGCATCCGCATTCCGTGGCGGCGACGGCGCCGATCACGCCGATCAGCTACCAACAGCCGACCCACCAGCAGCAGTACGGCATCGCCCATCAAGGTCCCTTTTTTGGCTCATTTCGGCCCGTTTCAGAGAAAAAGAGTAGAAGATTTATGTATGGTTTATACGTGCGAAAGTACAGACCTCGATCAGCTCAAGAGAAGGGGGAGAGTTTCTTATAAAAAAATTCTGAAAAAAATGAGTTTCAAGCCTAAGGAAGGAGTACTAAATTTAACTAAGAAAGACTAAGGCAACTGGCGAATTTTAAAAATGGCCTACCGTTTTAGGACTTTCATAAGTGCTGGTTTTGGATAAGCTATGGCTTTTTAATACGGAAGCGGCAAACTTGACTCGAAATGACTCCTTTTTAAATTTTATTTAAAATAAAAATTGAAACGTGAATTTTCTCCAAAAATTTCTGAAAGTATAGGTAAAGTTCTCGAATTTGCTAGCTGCGCAATCTTCGAATTTTGAAAAAAATGATTTTTTGAAGTCAAAAAACAACTCCGAAAAGGTTTTTTTTTCATTTTTCTAATGGCACCTCTCGAAACCATTATTCTTGAGTAAGAAATCCACTTAAAGAAAATACCCTAGAAAGTTCAAATTTTCTCTGCGCATCGAGGACAGGTCTTTTCTAAATATAGGCCATAAGGAAATTCTATTTTTACTCTTCAAAAAATTTTATGAATCGTCAAATTTTTAACTGTACTTCGTATTGATTTTTTTGAGTGAATTCCGGATTTTCAGCGACCGGCGGCAGTTTCCCATCCCCTCAGGTGCCGAATCACGACGATGACGTCGTTTCTCGGGTTATCGGCTCCTATGAGACGAACACGAGTAATTATCGACCTCACGACTGCCCCCACTACGATCCCGGCCAGTCATTGGTGAGTTTTGGGGGAACAGTAGAGAAATCTAGGTTCAAAATTTCATTTAAGTCTTTGGGATTATAGAACGATAGGATTTGTTCAAAAAGAGTGGAAATTACAGTTAAAAAAATTCATTCAAAACGAAAAATCTGACCTTGAATCTAGAGGAAATAAGTTTAGTTTGAGCTGAAAAAAATAAGCCAAAAATTCAATAAATTTTTCCATATTTTTTTTAGTGGAATTCCCAGAAAGATTTCAAAGCCTTATAATTAATAGTAGATTCACGATTTACGCTCAAAAAAATTTTTTTTTCTGATTTTTTTGATCATTTTTAAAGGCGCATAGGCTGATCTCAAAAAGGTCTCCAAGCGAAGAGCCTTTCCCAGTGTTAGTTAAGTCAAGGAAACTTTCAAGCTTTCAAACTCCAAGCCTCAAAAAAGACTGAAATATGACTCACAGAGAAAATCAAATTTAGTTTTAAAAAGTCAATTTTCATGAACTTCGAAAGGAGATTTTGTTTCAAATTAAGCCTTTTTGAAGTTTTTGACGGCTTTTTTTGTCGATTTTGTCATAATTACGTCGTAAAAATGGATGCAACGCTTCGAAGTGCAACTTTATGAACCAATGAAACAATTTTCTATCGGTCAGTATCAAATTCGGTACATTTAGCTCAAGGTTACGGTCATTCTGTTGCGTGTTTGTCGTTCCCACTGGGCAAATATTCCTCGGCGGGAGCTCGTACATAGTTTAGTGTCGAGGAAGTGTTGTTTGCCTGGTTACTGTAGGTCTCGAGAAGCGGAAAAAGTGGGCGAAGAGCAATACAGTAGAAAAAAAAATGATAGAAAACACCAAAAAAAAAAAGTTAATTGAAGGAAAAAATGGCCAAAAGTACTGATTCAAAGTCCTTATTCGGAATTTCAAAGTACAGAAAGTTTGAATGACCTTTAATGGGTTAGAAATGAGGCTCTTCCTTTTTGAGACCTTCATGAAATCAGCCTATGCGCCTTTAAAAAAATAAGGTTTTTTTCGAAAAAAATAAAAAAACTATTTTTTTGAATCAAATATAGTAAAAAGAACTGTGTGAAGGATTAAAATTCCTTCTTTGAGTTTTTCAAAATCCAGAAGGTTTAAATGACCCTAACCAGCAATAGAAACGGCTCTTCGCTTTGAGACCTTCATGAAATAAGCTTATGCGCCTTTAAATATAAGGCTTTTAAAAAAATTCGAAAAATTGTTTTGGATTAAAAGGGATCAAAAAAAAACTGTATGAGTGATTAAAAATTCTTCTTGGAGTTTTTCAAAGTGCAGAAGGTTTTTATGACCTTAACCAATACTCTCCGCCTTGAGACCTTCATGAAATTAGCCTATGCGCCTTTAAAGACGCCTTAGGATTTTTATCGGCTTTTTAATGACTGATTAACTAGTTTTAAGCCTTTCGAGCTCTCTTTTTGAATTTGATTCTTTTTATTTTTTCTGATTCAGTGGAGCTTCATTTTAGTATGAGCAAATCTCCCGTCATAATATATATGGTTTCTAACTTTCAAGACTAACCAAATCGTACAAAATCTTGCGATTTACCTCGTTTCGATCTTGTTTTGAATCGCGCAGCAGCGTTGATTTATCGAATTTCAAGATCTTTTGCTGGCCCGCGCCGAAATCTGCGAGCAAAAAGGATTTACGGTTTTCGGGCGACGATTGTTGCGCGTCGGCTCGCCAGATACTCGGGTCATAAAGGGAGCCGCCGCCATATCTCGTCGCCTGGTGTTTGACTAATCGCTACTGTCTTAGTCGCCCACGTTTTCGCACATTTTTGAGCGCCAAAACGATTTTTCGGAAGCGGTTTGAACCGTATAAGGGTCTATACGTCTATAAGTCCGGGAGGAGGGTTCGATTTCTATAAATTTTGAAAAAAAAAAAAAGGACCTCAGAGAGATAGTGATAAGAAATTCAAGTTTTACCCCCAGGAAGTAGTAGTGACTTTATTTTAAAAGCCACCTGGGACTCAATAATTCTGGGAGAAGTGATCGGCTTCTAGGAATTTCGAGAAAACGCACGTAAAAAGGGTTTTTGAGCCTCAGGAAGTAGTTTTGACTTCAATTGGCTTGAGATAAGAGGCTGGTGACATTTAAAAATGATCTACTTGAATTAGGACTTGAAAAGCAAGGATTGGACTGGAAAATTGGCCGAAAATCTCTTTGCTTGATGAAAATTTGAATTACGGAGTTGAGCATTCTATGAGCCTTTTTTGGCCAGTTTTTAGAATTTTTCCAAAGTTTTACTTTACAATACCTTGCTGGTTAGAGTGAGCTTAAAGATGGTGAATAGAAAAAATCCTTGATCATTAAAAAAAAGTTGAAAGCACCGGAATTTCATTGATGGGCTACTGAGTACGAAAAAAACGTGAAAAAAATTTTTGAAGGGATTTTTTTCTTTCAGTCTTCCTCGAATGGAAAGAAACTTTTTTTGATCTTTTTATTTTAAGGAAATTTTTTGGGTTTTGTACACAGTTTTTGGAACGGATTTATTTTTTTGGGACTGATAAAAAAATGAATAAAATAAATCCTTCGAGGGTAAATCTCCATCTTTTCATTCAGTAACAGTTTCTGATCACTTTTTTGCATTGCTAAATGAGCCTAATCACTTATTTCGTATTTTTTTCAAGCTCAATTATTCATTGAACTTTTCCAGCCACGAAGCGAGGCTTGGAAATGTTTTGCGGAAGAACTGAACCCGGTCGTCCAAAATATCATCGAATTTGCCAAGGGAATCGATGGTTTCATGCAACTGCCACAGGAAATGCAAATACAGCTGTTGAAAGGTGATTCGAGGCACTTGAAACTGGAAATAAATGAAATTTACAGGCGGAGTTTTCGAACTCGTCCTCCTCGCTGTTTCTTTACACTTCCACAACGATATCAACATGGATCGGTATATTCCGATGACCGTCTTTAGGCATCCCGACCATGCTCAGGTACAGTTTTGATGGGATAGGATTGATTGAACTGCTAAAAATCGAGGGATTTTGAGAAAACCCTTTAAAAAATATGAAAAATTCTGTCCTCCACATCTATAGGTAAATTCAAGCTTTCGAAGAATTCGAAGGGGTGTGGGAAATGAAACATTTTGATTGACTGATTTTTGAAATAAGTCAGAAAAAATTCATTTTGGTCTGGTTAACAAAAAAAGAGCACATGATCATTATTCCATAAAAAAATTGGTCGAAACCATTTTTTTAGAGATAAAATTTTTTTCATCTACTGGTTTGGTACTTTTTTTGAACGCTATGGCTTATTTTTGGGATTTTTCACTATTTTCCTCTGAATTTTTCCAAATGAGGACACTTTTCATTGAAGATGTCTATGGGAAAAATGAATAAAGTTGATAAAAACAGAATTTCGCAGTTTTCGAAATAAATTCAAGCTTTCTACCTAAATTTGAAAATTGCGAAGTTTGAACTTGGTAAATCCATTTTTGGAGCATATGGAATGGCTAGATGAGTAAAAAAAAAAGCACCCGACCCGAAACGGTTTCCGCCAGAAACCGTTCGAGCTGCAAAGATTCAAAATTCCTCGGACTTTGGTAACGCGAACGGGACATGTCGGGGCATTTCTAGTGACCACTTTAGTAGCCTCAGAACTCTTAAGTGATCCCTAGAACGTCCGGAGCACGTCCGTTTTGCGTTACCAATGTCCGAGTCTCTATAGATACAATTTTTCCGCAAAACCCTTTAAGAACGTTGGAGCAAAGATAACAGAAAACTTTTTAAAAAATGGACAGTAAAAAAAGATTCAAGTAGTTAGATTTTACGTCTCTTCTTCACCGCGGATTTTTTTTTTCTCGATCCATCCTGATCCTGACCATCGAACTTTCAGATGATCACGCAGGCGATGTCCGTGATGCACGACATCCGCGCCCTGTCAATGACGTCGGCCGAGCTGGGTCTCCTCTCGGCGTGCATGCTTCTGGAGGCGTCGCTGTCGCCGACGACGGCCCACGAGACGTCCTATTTGTCGTTGACGACGGTGGAGCGGCTCCGTGGCGCCTTGCTCGCCTCGATGCAGTCGCGGATGACCAACTGCGAAGAGGCGCTCGACGAGCTCCAGCTCAGAGTCCGCAACGTCTCCCGACTTCACATCGAAGCCCTCCACACCCTTCGGCAAACGGAGCCTCACGCCATCGAAGAACTGCCCGCTCTTTACAAGGAACTCTTCACCGCCGCCTTTTGAGAATGTTGAACAGTTGTGGGGGGTTTTTGGAGTCTTTTGAGTTTTTGGAAGCCTTTTAAGTCATGTTTGAAGCGATTTGAGTCATTTTCGAAGCGTTTCAAGTCGATTTTAGAGCTTTTTGAGTCGATTTCGGAACCTTTCGATTCAATTTCGCTAACCTTAGAGTTTTTAGGAGCCATTGAACATTTGGATTCGATTTTGGAGCCTTTTTATTCTTTTCGAGCAATGTTTGGAACCTAGAGTTTTTAGGAGCCTTCTGAGCCGATTTTCAAGCGTTTTAAGTCAAACTTTGAGCTTTTTGAGTCGATTTTGAAGCATTTTGAGTCATTTTCGGATCATTTTAGGCTGAAATACTAGGTAAATGACTATTGAGAAGCTAGGTGCTTTATAACTAGGTTAAAAGTTGGTAAAAGCTTCAAAATAAGGCATTTTTAATAGATTGATCGGCTGATTTAACGTCTAGTTTGAGTTAAAATCGAAATTGGCTTTTTTTTTTCAACTGGACAAAGATTTGAAGGTTCTTTCGTCTTTAATTTTGACACCAGAATTATTTTTCCAAAGTTTTTCGAATCTCAAAAATCTCCAACCATCTCCCGCAACGCGAATTTCCGGTTGCCCGCTTCGAATTTTCTGTTTCCCCGCCGTCTTATCTCCTATCGATCGAAATCAATATTAACGATACGGCACGGTGCAATCGTTGTTTTATATCTGAAAATATAATATATTACAATTTTCTCCTTGTTATTTTTCTCGAAATCCTCTTCTAAAACCGCCAATTACCTCCTAATTTATTTGAGATTGTCTGTGATTTTGTGGCCAATTACCTTGATTGATCTGATTTGTTTCTTCCCTTATAGGTAATGTTTCTGGTTTGTAAAGTGCCTCTCAGCCAAAGCCTTTCCTTTTTCTTTCCTTTTTTCGACACGTTGAAAACTTTCCCAAAGATTTTCGCTGCGAAAACTTAACTTATTGATCATGTAATAATCAATCGATAATAATTTATTCCGTGCTGTGCACATTTTTTTTCTTGTGATTGTATCCCTCGTTCTCGCCCCCCTTTTTTGCCCAAAATCTTTCAATCTTCTAATTTATTATCAAATTCCGAGGTTTCTTGTAATATTGCCCGTTTTATCTCCACTCTCCCCCCCTTGTCGCGTTTTATCTTTCAATTTCTGTATCCATTTAATCATATTATATGTAAATTTGACTCGAATGTTTTCTCGGACCTTGGTAACGCGAACGGGACGCGAAACGGACGTGTCGGGCCATTTCTAGTGACAACTTTAGTAGCCTCAGAACTCTTAAGGGATCCCTAGAATCGCCCAAAACGTCCGGAGCACGTCCGTTTCGCGTTACCAATGTCCGAGTTTGTTTTGATTGTTTTGTTGGAGCGAAAATCACTTTTCCCATCCAAAAATGATTTTTTTCTTTCAAATGCGTTGTAATTTATCGACATTCCATCCTTCGTTGCCCTATGCGAAAACTTCAAATCTTCAGGTTTTTTCCTTCCCGTCACTCATAATAATATTCAAATCGACAGACGACTTTATCTCAGATTTATTATCGATTCCCGTTGTCGCGCATTTTTTCACGTTATTATTGTGTTTCCCCATACATTTCCCCATGAACGGGTATCGATTTTTTCCAGAGAAAAAACCCCATCTTCCAGCATTTCATCCCCCTTCTGGCGACTTTTCTTTTTGTTTTCTAGGAAATGAGCTCGCTTTATTCAAGTTTTATCCCGCTACATTCACTTTTTCTTTTGATATGTGGAATCGATCCCATCAAACGCTGTGCAATCTCATAATATATTCCAATTTTTTTGTTTTTTTCATTGCCGAGAAGGTGTGAAAGTGAGAATAAAAGATTTATGAAAATTTTTAAATCTATTTTTGTGTCTCTTTGAAAATACGATATTACACGGCATTTCCAGAGCTACGTCCACAAAAAAGTCGTCAAACAAGATGTTTCTTGTGCATTCACTGCTGACGAAAACTTGCATACTGGCGAAAATTTACATATTGCAAGAAAAGATCAAAGTTCGCTTTTAGTGTTTTCAGGCCATGAAAAAGTTTTGCACCTTTAAATACTTATGCAAAGATTTTAGACACGTATTACAGTTTATTGACAGCAGCCTTTTTTTATATTTTTAAGAAAAATATGAGAAAAAAATTTAGAGAAAAAAAGGAGCTTTTTGAAAAAAATAAATCAAATTTTTTTGTAGGCTTAATCAAAAATATCAAGAAAGGTTCTGTGAATAAACTACGTAATAATAAAAAAATACAAACCAAATTATCCATAATATACAGCCAAAGGCATCGCTATAATCATGTCGGTACTTTTTCTCAATTGATTATTGTAGACGTAGTACTGCTGACTGTAACTGTTGATTTTTGGCTGGCCGTAAAATAAGTACGGCTGGGGATATCGATTGGGTCGACCGTAGGCGTCGTATCCACTGAAAAATTAAAAAAAAAATCTGTTTTAATTTTCTACGTTCTAAATTGTAACTTGAAAATATTCCTTTCTCTAGCTGGTTAAACGGATCTAAGCAGTATTTTTCATGAAAGTCATCAGGATTAGAACGAAGAAAGAAGGAAAGAAGAGACGAAATAATTTTTTTTCTCGGCGTGGCTACGGTATTCCTGACTGCACGGTGTAGGAACAAGAAACGTCGAACTTCCCGACAGACGAGGTTTTTTTTTTCGTTTTTCTTTATTTTTTTTTCAAACGAGTGTATTCTGTTTTAATTTTTCGCTGGGGTGTTCAAAGGAGCATGGACGTTTTTCATGAAAAGCTTGAAACGAAGAGCCGTTTCCAGCGTTTTGGCAGTGTTGCAGACTTTTGCGGCTCCCAATATTCCAGTCAGGCTTTTTGAACAGATTTCATAGATTCATTTTCACGATAATTAGTTATTTTCATTTTGAAAAGGTTGGTTTGTGCCGTATTTTGATTATAAAGGGATTTTTTCAACTAATTGCGAAAATATTGACCTATTTATCTCTGATTTATTCATTTTATATTTTAAATTTTGAAGTTAACTCACTATCTTCCGTCCAGATACCAGTGATGAAGGTGATAGGCAGATACTGAAAACTTAAATTTTTCAAGGGCAGATTGTAATTTAGTGAGATCAAAAAAATTTGAATTCAAAAATAAGATTTTTTTACGATTTTTCTAGGCTTTACTATGAATGGAATGCTCTTTTTCGGCTCAGCTTCATTTTTTTTTTTGCAACTTTAAAGTTTTTTCAAGAATCGTGAGGTAGTTCTGGTTATCACTGTAGAAGATATTTTCGAATAATATTTAATTAATTTTTTTAAGAATATCCTTACCTTCAAAACTTGCGATTAGAGCCAGTAAAAGTATGAAATTTCGCATCACCTTTTCTGAGAAAAAAAAGAAAAATGAGCGGCGTTTTTTGTTGTTTTTTAGTCCGTAACTTTGTTTCTCGACATCGTTTTCAAGGTAGTTAATTGGTGTTTGATTCCTAAACAACATAATGAAGAAAATCATTAAAAAAATGCTTTTTATCAGAAAAAGGTCACGGATCTTCAATATTCGTCATACGGTCGTTAAAATTTGGATTTTTTTTCAATTTTAGAATTCTTTTCGCAGTTCTAATTGTAGAGGATTTTTTTCGAAATCAACTCTGATATGATTAAATCGTATGTTTTCTACTTTTTTTTGGCGCCTCTTCTTATTTTTGCGTAAAGCGGCGTCACAGTAAAAATAATTTTTGGTTTACTGTTTTTTTGTAAGATTTTCAAGCCAAAAAAAGATATTTATTATAACACACACGACAATTATTAGGTTTAATCGCAACAGAAAAGAGGTGAAAAAAACAAAAACATAATATTTAATAAAAAAATTTTTTTTATAGTGCTTTATTTGCCACTGTAATAAGGAGAACATTGATAATATTGATAATTTGAGAGGCCGGTGGGCAATCGCAGTAGTACCGTGGGGCGCCGTTGACGTAGTCGACCAATTGGGAGTCTGTAAATGACGTCATTTTATTTGAAACATTAAGTTATCAGTAATAAAATTTAATCGACGGTCGCAAGTTTTTTTCGTGACCTTTTTCATTTTCTTTTATTTTTTTGACTTTTTGCTTCAAAAACTAAAAAAACTAGAAAGATTTTTTTAAAAAAATGTTAAAGAACGATTAAATTATATTCTATTCAGATTTTGAAATGGTTAAGCATTCTACCGATTTTGAATCAAAGCAGGTTCGGGTTATCCAAAAATGAGCTTCCAAAAAATTGAAAATTTGATCAAATTGGCTGGCCCCAGGACCTCCTAATATTAAAAAAAAAGCAAAAAACCGGCATTTTTCACTCAAATTTTGTGTAGTTTTCCAACTTTCAAGTGTCGTAACTCTCCTAGAGATCGAAAGTAGAGAAAATTTTATTTTTTTGGAACCAGGAGATCCGTAAAAGTTCAACCATGACCAGGAACGTTTTTTACCCCAGTTGAACTTATGCTGAAACTTTTCTGAAGTGTACTTTAGGACCCCTGATTGCAGATCAAGAAAAACATTTCTCGCAATAGATCTTGTTTCCGAGTTCTGGAGCTTCAAAGTGTGTAAATACGCAAATTGGGCCAAAAAGGGCTATTTCGGGCTTTTGAAGTGTCCTAACTCGAAAACGAGATCTATTGCGAGAAATTTTCTTTTTGTTCTAGAATTAGGGGGTCATAATGTACGCTTCAGCGAAGTTTCAGCAAAAGTTCAACCGGGGGAAGGGGGGGAGGGGGTTAGTGAGAAAGGTTTCCTTGCCAGATGATTTTTCAAAAATTTCCATTTTTCCCTCATCTCACTTTGACAGCTTGTCTGTTGCTGATAGTAGCTGTACCCGTAATAGGGCTGACTGTAGCTGGAGTATCCGTAACTTGGATAGTAATAATTGGTCCCGTAGCCTCCATTGTAACCAGTGTAGCCGCTGTAGCCTGCAAATTTTCATCATTTTTGTCGATATCTCAAGAAAAACTTTCGTAGTAGTTGCTGTAGCCTCCTCCATATCTAAAAAAAAATTTTTGATTTTTTTTTTGTAAAATTTGAAATATATATTAGACGAGATTCGCTGAGTCAATAATTTTTCAGTTCTTGTTTAAATTTCACCAGTTGTTGATGCATTTTAATGTTATCTAAGACCTCTTGTCAGTATAAACTACAGTCTTGCTGAGTTAGAAGCTCAGGGCGCACATAGAATGGCTTGCGTCCGACCCGAAACGGTTTGCGCGCGCCGGTTGTCGGAAACTATTGAAAAATTCGCCTAAAGACCACATCGGCTAGAATTTTGATGCCGTGTTCAAAGAGATTCCGAAAAATTCAAAATATCCGTCAGAAAGTGAAAAAGATAACTTAATCTTGGAGAGTCAGAGATATTTTTGCATTTTGCGGAAATTTGAACACATGAGAAAAAGCAATTTTTTCAAATAATCTTTTTTTGATCGTGACCGCGACGCGTTGAGCCATTCTACGTGCGTCCACGCTTTTTTTTTGTTATAGATAATAATTGATTTATTCCGGTTTTAACTCGCGATAACAACATTTCGGGATGCTCATTAAGGATTGAACTTTTCCCAATAAAATTTAAGGATAAAAACCAACGATCCGTAAGGATGATGGTGTCCTCCCCAGCCACTGTAACTACCACTGTGATGTCCTGAATTTAATTATTTTATTTAAAAAAATGATGATAATACCTCCTGAATGATGTCCACCTGAGTGTCCTCCGCCTCCACCCCCGCCATGGCCTCCATGGGAGCAAACTAAAATTTATAATTATGATTTGAATGAACCGGAGCTTTCTGGGAAAATTTTTAGTGGCCAATATAGGGTTTCGACGTTTTAGTGGCCACTATAGAAGTCAAGTTATTGGACACTTAAGCGGTAAAAAATTAGTGGCCACTATAGAGGTCTAAGTGCTACTACTAGACCACTAAAAGTTTTAGTGGCCACTTTAGGGGTCAATGGATCAACATAACTAGTCCAATCGGTTTTTTTTTAATTACCAGAGTTACTGGAAGGAATACTGGATGAAAAACTACTGAAGTGGCCACTAAATAGAGCACCTCTTCAGTAACTACTAAAACGAAAAATAGTGGCCACTATAGAGGTGCGTTTAGTGGCCCTTCAGTGTCCCCTCCAAGTGGTCCTCGGCGAGCCTCTATAGTGGCCGCTAAAAAGTTTCCCATTTATTGCAAAAAAAAGAAAATTTCAAATCAACTAACCTCCCCACATAACGACAAGGTGAAGAAGCAAAACAAGTAGGATTTTCATTTCTTTGCGCGAGAAAAAATTTAGATTTTATTCCTTTTTATACTGTTGACCTTTCCACTCGCCGAACAAAATTGGCTGTGAACCAAATTTTCACTTTTGTTGCCAAAATATCTGATGAAAGTGATTTTTAGTTTAGCCACGAGGGTCAGCCAAAAATTACTACTTTAGTGATTGGAAAATTTTTTCAGGCGATGAAAAAAGGAAGTTTAGTTTCTACTTGTGAAATTGGATTCTGTAAAAAAAGAATCAGACTTTTTAAATTATTTTGATGCTCTCATTCGTGAGCAAACTATTCCACTGATCGTGCCAGGACCATTATCTTGAAAATTTTTTTTACAAGTTGATTATACAATCTAGTTGTCCTTGCTTCGTTTCCATTGACAAAATCGCGCATTTTCTAGAAAAATTTTATAATTTACCATTTTTTTACTTTTATTGATTTTTTTATCAGTTCAAGTTGCCCTCTTTGTAATTTTCACACAAATGAGTGAAACTTGGCATTTTTTGATAATTCGAGATAATTTTTTTGTTATTTCCACGTTTGAAGCTTTAAAAGTCTGGATTGTACTCTTAAGAAGGCAATTTTCAATAGTTTATTAATATTTTTTTGTACTTTTCAAGGGTTTTTTGTTTCATTTTCGGTAGGACGGGGAACATCGGTAGTATTGGTAATTTGGGGCGGCTGGAGGACAATCGCAGTAGTACCGCGGAACGTTTCCGACGTAGTCGATGAACAGCGCACCTGAAAAAATGGTGATCTTTGTGAGGATTTCTGGACGCGTCGCGGCCGCGTTGCGGTTGACTTTTTTTTTCGGTTTTTTTGGCAGGGGCTGCTTTGATAACTTAGCTAAAGATTGTTGAATAACTTTTTTCGAGCTCTGAAAGCCTCTTTTTTTTAAATTTTCGATGCTTTTCCAACCAAAATTTCGGTTTTTCTCTTCGCTTCAAAATTCACTCACTTCGACAATATCCTTGCTGTTGGTAGCCTTGCTGATACCCGTAGCCATAATTTTGCTGGTAATTCGGATAACTGTAGCCGTAAGACTGGGAGTAGTACGGAGAGGATGAATAATAACTACTGCCACCGAGTCCTAACAGACCTAGAAAAAGGAAATTTATTTATAATTTTTTTATTCTGCGACAAACAGCGGACGTGTTTGCGGACGCGACACGTTTTTGGCGCTACTGGGTAAACTTTTAGTGGCCACTGTAGAATTTTGACGTTTAGGTGGCCACTATAGTAGTCAAATTAGTGGCTACTTGAGGGGCTCAAAATTAGTGGCCACTTTAGAGGACAATGGATCAACATAACTGGTCCAATCTGTTTGTTTTGAAATTATCAGAGTTTCTGGAAAGGAATACTGGATGAAAAACCACTGAAGTGGCCACTAAATAGAGAACCTTTATAGTGGCCACTAAAACAGTAAATAGTGGCCACTATAGAGGTGGGTTTAGTTGCCACTTCAGTGTCCTCTCCAAGTAGTCCTTGGCGAGCCTTTATAGTGGCCACTAAAAATTTCCCATTTTTTTAAATATTCTCTTTTGGAAATTTCGGAGGATTCCAGTCAATGGAAATCATATACATAATCGGTCCTAGGTAACGGGAATCGGGGCATGTCGGAGCATTTCTAGTGACCACTATAGTAGCGTCAGCGCTCTTAAGTGATCCCTAGAGATGCTCAGAAACGTCCGGAACAGTCCGTTTTTCGCTACCGAGATCCAAGTTAGAACAAATACTCCTTGAAAAAGGTTTTTGGCATAATTTTTATTGAAAAAATAAAGATAATTTCCACGAATACACAAAAAAATTGCCAAAAACGCATCCCGTTTCTGCAGTTTCAAGCCAAGAAAAATGGACTATAGAAAAAAATATGATTAAATGAACAAACCGAGTAATCCAAGGCCTCCCAGTCCACCCCCACTGCTACCGCCGCCACCGTAATGGCTTCCGCCGAAATCCCCCGTGGTTCCTGGAATAAGTTAGGGTCTTTAAAAAAAAAAAATCAATTTTCATCAATAGGAGCTGCACTAGAACAGGTTTCGGCTTGCAAAAGGGTCAAAATTTTGCCTTTTTGCAATTTTGTGACTCAAAAACATTTTGAGCTGAGGAGCAAGTGATCAGTTTGGTACTGACGAGAGTGCTCATTTTACTTTGTGGTTCGGAATTTCCTGAAAGTTGGCCAGAACTCTTCTTGATGTATCATATGAGGATCCTGAAAGTCCCAAACTGCCCGGACCCCTGGTTTTTGAGGAAAGATCCCTCAAATTCAAAATCTGTTAAAATAGGCATTTTCAGACTCTGAGCACTTATTTCTCGAAAACTAGGGGGTTTTGATGGTTCCAGAACTTGATTTAGGTACATCAAACAGTGTTCTGGCCTATTTTCTGGAAATTCCCCCACTTTCTTGTGAGAGAGAACTTCGGTCCTCTACTAGTTTTTTTCCAGTTTTTTTTTGACTAATTTTCGAGGTTTTCTTCTCATTCTTTATCATTCAAAAAACCACAAACCATCCGTGATGATGATGATGATGACCGCCCCAGCCCCCGTGGTGACCTCTCCAGCCTCCATGATGATGACCTGAATTTTGATGAAAATTAAAAATCATTTCGAAAGAAAAATCCTTTCTAAACTGGAGCAGAATTTGTTTTCAAAAAGATATCCGAACGTCATTTTTTAAACTTTCGGATTCTTAGTTTAGTTTTTGAGAAGTTTTGAAATAAGCTCACCCCCTCCTCCTCCTCCATGATGACCTCCGCCGCCACTGTGACCGCCGCCACTGTGACCGCCTCCATGGCCTCCATGGGCAAAAACTGAAAATTTACTCATTTCTAGGCTTTTTGAACTTTTTATTCACTTTTAAAGTTTGGCGACACCTTTTTTTCTTCCTAAACAAAGGCCTTTCAAAGTAAAGTTATTCAAAAAAAAAGGCCGCACAGTTCTTTAAAAGAATTTTTTTCTGGAGAATACTACTTTCAAATGATGTTTTTTTTTTCTGTGGAATTACTGTCAGTTGCTCATAATAAGATTATTTGAAGGAAGTTTTTTTCCAAAAAAAGTTTTCCACTTCTTTTTGCGCTTTTTTTCTACAAGCTACATTACGCACTGAGATTCAAGTGAATAATCTATTTTGTTTAGACTTTCCTCATTTAGATTTATAAATCAACAAGCTGTGAACATTTTTTTAGTGGCTACTATAGGGTTTTGACGTTTTAGTGGCCACTATAATAGTTAAATTAGTAACCGCTCAAGGGGTTTAAAATTAGTGGTCCCTATAGAGGTCTAATCTAACTGGTAAGTGCTACTACTAGATCACTAAAAATTTTAGTGGCCACTTTAGGGATCAAGATAACTGGTTCAATCTGTTTGTTTTAAAATTATCAGAGTTACTGGAAGGAAAACTGGATGAGAACCTACTGAAGTGGCCACTAAATAGAGAACCTCTATAGTGGCCACTAAAACGGAAAAAAGTGACCACTATAGAGGTGGGTTTAGTGGTCACTTTAGTGTCCTCTCCAAGTAGTCCTTGGCGAGCCTTTATAGTGGCCACTAAAAACTTTCCCAGAAGTTTCAATTTGCAGAAAAAAGATTCTCAGATTTTTCTGGACATGAACCGGAAATGGCGTTTTTTCACTTTATTTTGGTTCAACAAAATTTTTCGCTTTGAAAAAATCTTGCTAGTTAGAAGTTTCGCAAAATGATAACTTATATAACTCAACTCATAGCTAACCTTGAAAGAAAGGTCTTTTCATTATTTAAGGCTATAACTACATTGTAGTCAACCAGTTAAGTCTACTGCAGTTTCTAAAAATAAAAATAAAGCATTTTTAATCAAATACTCACCTGGAGAGCTGAGAAGAAGACAAACGAGCAAAATAGACAGAAGGCTCATTTTTCGCAGAAATTCTTGCAGAAAATAAAAGCTGTTAGCAGGAAAATGTTGACCTTTCCTTATATAGATAGGAATTGATTGGGATTTCGGCGAATAGTAGCTATTTGGGCGAATTGAGACCACAAATCGGCTCCTGCTTACTTCCCGCCTCAAAATCGAAGAAATCGGAATCAAAAGTCTAGTCGTCTTGTTTGTAGGTTAAGAAGGTTGTCACGTGGGGGGGAGGGGATTGGAAGGGAAAAAAACGGAAAAAAATTGGAGAAAAGATGCAGAACGCAAGGACGTTGTTCGGCGGATTCGTCTGTTGATAGGAAAAACAGATTTTTTTGTTCTCTGTGTTTGTTTCTTAGGAATAACAAGAGTATAGTTGTTTGGAAACTTGCAGAAATAATTTTTTTTTTCATTCTTAGGAACGCCAGAGTGGTCCCTATAGTGTTTAGGAGAAGAAAAACCCTCTAGGGGTCTTTCAGTAGTTTCTCGAGATTTGAAACTTAAAAAGGAACTATAGGGACCACTGGAATGTCTAAGGTTCATTTTTACAAGCCTTCAAGTGGTCCCTATAGGGGTCTATTAATTTTTCAGATTTGAAACTGAAAAAAAGAGCTATAGGGATCACTAGCATTCCCTATAGGAGAATTTTCACAAGCCCTATAGGGTTTAGGCATGACCCCTAAGCCCTGAAGCTTGAATGGCCCCTAGAAGGGTATACTAGTTTTTTGATAAAATTGAAAATGGAAAACACCTATAGGGACCACTAGCATGTCCGCTAACTAAAAACCCTAGAGAGGCCTCTTTTTCAAGCCTTTAAGTGGCCCCTATAGGGTTTAGGTGTGACCCCTGAGCCCCTGAAGCTTGAGTGGTCCCTAGAAGGGTCTTCTAATTTTTTATTAACCTTTAAAAATTAAAAATACGTTTAGGGATCACTAACCTGTCCGCTGATTGAAAACCCTATAGTGGCCACTTTTGCAAGCTTTAGTAGCCCCTATAGAGGGACGTGAAGTGGTCCCTAGAGAAGGACCTTTAAGGGATCATAAGGTCGCCCCTATAGGAACCACTCTGGCGTGATTGGAAGAATTTTAGAGCCCTTTTTCAAATAAATGATGAAAATTTGATCAAGCTCTTGAAAGCTGTGATCAAAAAAACTCCAATTTTTTTCCATCATTTAGTTCAAAAAAATTGGAAAGAAATATACTCATTGGAAGAAAATTTTTCGAAGCAGTTTTCTATGACTTCTTGGTTCGCTTTTTTTATATTTCCGATTAACTTTCTCTCAAGTTTTTTTAATCAAGTGATTCTGGTTCTGGAAGTTTACGAATTCATTTCGAGAGTTTTTTTTTCAGTTTTTGAACTCTTTCTTTGAAATTGAGAGACATTTATCATAGAGAAAGGTAATGAATTTTCTCAAATTTTTAGTTAACTAGTTTTTCTCTTCCTGTTGAAATTTTTCTATCATAAGTTATTTTTCTCTCAATCACAGGCAGTATAAGTATTATAAGGAACACATTTTATTCATTAAAAAAATAAAAATAAATTTATCTAATTTTTATCTTCTTCGCCTTTGTCCTTGAATATTGGGTGAACAACGGTAGAATTGGTAGGTCGGAGCATGTGGCGGACAGTCGCAGTGATAGCGGGGGATATTCCCGACGTAGTCGATCAGACGAGAAGCTGGAAATTGATTTTTCAAGAGATTTTCCATTTTTATTGGTTTTGAATTTTTACTTTTACATCTACGTTGGCTACGAACACTTTTCGTCCTCTAAATTTATTCAGACGACCGAAAAAGGTGCTGAATTTGTTTTTACACCCCCGCTCTGGTTGGAATTTCGATGAAGCTTTGCTGAAGTGTACTTCAGGACCTCCTCATTCTAGGAGAAAAAATTTCTCGTAATAGATCTTGTTTATGAGTTAGAGATGATTTAAAAAGCTGGAAATAGCCCGCTTTTTTTCATCATGATTTACGTGCTTTTGCAAAGTTTGAAGCTTCATTAAATCGAAAAATATATATTGTACGAATTTTTTTACTTGCTCAGGGATCAGTAGGTCCAAAAGTACACTACAGAAAAAGTTTCATCGAAATTCAGAGGGAGGGGGGGCTTTAAAACGTTTCAAAAACGCTTTTTGATTTTTTTCTGCGAGGTGAATATAGTGCCAATTTTGATCCTACCAATTTTCTGCCCAGCCTTCTCAAAATTAATCGGAGGACGCTTCAAAGTATACAGTAAAGTCCATAAGTTTGTAAGAAATGATTTCTTCAAAAATTAAAAATTTTTTTGCGAACAGAATTTTGGGCCTTATGTTCAATTTATATCTTTTCTCCTTAAAGAAAAGAAATTTTTTTACAAATTTTTTTAGTTTTTCAGCTTTTTAAGAATAGTGTATTCCGCGCGGAAAGAGACAAATTTTGAAAAAAATGAAAAAAAATGACACTTAAAATTAAACAAAACAAATTTTTTTTCAAAACACTTTGAAAACTTCAAAAAGGTCTCGAAGCGAATTTTCACAGAAAACCGCGAAACACCCAACACCATGTTTGATTTCATTTTTTTGAAGTTGAAAAACTCACATCGACAAGTCATCGCCATCGCTTGCGGCTGTACGAATCCAGCTGTGATGGGAACTTGAGGCTGTACGAATCCCGTAGAAAAGCCTCCGTAGGTGCTGCCGTACTGAGGAACGCCGTAAGGCCCATAAGGACTCGATCCGTAGCCGTAAGTCCCATAGGGATTGTACGTAGGCGCGTAAGGATTGTAGGTCGGCGCGTAGGGATTATAACCTCCGTAGGGATTGTACTGTTGAGCGTAAGGATTGTAACCGCCGTAGGGGTTGTAGTTGCCGTAGGGATTGTTGCTCTGGCCCAAGCCAAGAAGACCGCTTCCTCCACCCAATAAACCGCCGCCGCCTGTCAAACCGCCGAAAATTCCGCCGCCTCCACCGCCGAGGCCGGTTAGGGCTGAATTTTATAATATTAGTTAGACTTGGAGACGACTATGAAGATGCTCTAGCATGTATAGTCAATGTTTCCCGACTTGGAAGGCGAGGGAGGCGGGGCAAGGGGCGGGACGCGTAGCGTGTGCGTACGCGTTTCTTGTCACGTGTTCAATTCAACCGCCATCTACTCTTTGAAAAGCCAGTTTTTTGCTTTTTTCATTCCCTTTTCAGTTATTTATTGATTATGTTCATGTGTGCATCAAAAAATAGTAGAAAACATTGAAAAAGAGCGGTTGCCGAGCTTTTTAAAAAGTCGGCGACAATTGAATTGAACTCGCGCCAAGAACCGCGAACGCACACGCTACGCGTCCCGCCCCTTGCCCCGCCTCCTTCGCCTTTCTAGTCGGGAAACATTGACTATACAGTACCGCCCAAAAGGTTGTGAACTTTCGGTTTTTCAGGCCTAGCGCGCTGAAAAAAACCAATCTTCATGGAATTTTTTCTGGAGCTTTGAAACTTTATTTAATGAGTTAGTGTACGGTAGTTTTGAGTACAGATTGGAAGAAAGGTAACGGCCATGGAAAATTCGAATTTTTTCCCTTTTTCCTCAATATTTTTTTAATTTTTTTCATAGGCTTTTTGCGTTGGTTTGAGGAGATTTTTTTCCTTTTTACAGATTTTTAAACAAGAATATTCAAGGATTTTTTTGAATACAGTTTTGATAAAGAATTTTAATTTTGTGACATCTAAAAAAATGTTCGTAAAAAAATCTGCTAAGGTAAAATTTTATGACTGACCTCAAAGGGATTTTCATCAGGTACAGGAAAAAAAGCTTATCATGGTTTTTAAAAGAAAATATTGACGAATTTTTTTGAATTTTGTTTTTTTATAACTTTCATCCACAGATTTTCCACGAAGTATAAAAAAAGGAGGTCCAGCGAAAAAAATTAAATAACTTTTTGAAACGATTTCTACAGCGAAATTGAATATTTTGTATTTTTTGGAAAAATATCCATTATTTTTTTCTCCTTAAATGTTAATATTATTATTTTCGACCGTTGGAAATGAAGTAAGCTCTGGTTTTTGAGTCGCTTTGAAGATTTGAATTTGTTCAAGTTAACAATACATTTTTTTGCTAGTCTTGAAGCTGTGTAAGGTTGGAAATTCAGATTTTTTTCGTTTCCTATCTTTTTTTAAAGATATTCATAGCTCTAATTTACTAAATTTAAGGATTTAGGAACAATCGAACAACCGTTTTTTTGATTCGAAATATTGAAAAAAATCCAATTTTATACGAACTTTTTAAAAAAATATCAAATTTCACCTTGAACTCCTTCCAGTGCCGTCATCGTTCCCATTAGCCCAACCACTGAAATTTTTTTTATTGATTTTTAGCTCATGATATTGTTCTTACAAGCTCCATCAGTGCCGGAACCCGAAGTTGAATCCGCGGAATTTCCTTAAAATATAGATTTGTGAGAGAAAATTTTTCATTTTGAGACATTTTTAGAGAAAATTTGAGAAAAATAATTTTTTTGGATGTACGAAAGACTTTTAGAGAAGATTAAAAATAGCTGAAAATCATCCTACCAATCTGTAGAAGAAACGGGAAGAGCAGGACGGCAGAAAGTCGCATTTTTTACCAATTTCCAGTGTCGAAATGGCGTTTTCGAGACCTTTTTAAATGCAAACTTCCCATCACATTTCGAAGCCCATTTCCGACTATCACTCCACTGACTTTTTGGCCTTTCCTATCTCATTCATTTATTTTTCCAACCGGTTAGACTTGAAAAAAACCTCGAAATTTATTATTCTTGATGGCGTTTTTTTAGGAAGTTTGAAATTCACATTTTCGATTTTTTTTTATTTGATAAGTTCGATTTATAGATTTTTTGAGAGGGAAAAATGCATGAATAGAAAACTTATTTGTGGAACTGAACTTTAAAGCCTCAAAATTTCTAGGAAGTTTTAAATTATTATTTTTTTTACAGCTTCACTTTTTTGTTTCATTACGTTGCACATTTTTTTCGATATAGAATTTTTTTATTCTTTTTCATGCTTTCAAAAGTTGATTTTTTGGTATTTTGGAATCGGATTTATAAAAACCTCGAAATTTATTATTCTTGATAGCGTTTTTTTTTCAGGAAGTTTGAAATTCGCATTTTCGATTTTTTATTTTATTTGATAAGTTCGATTTTTGAATGTTTTTTGTGAGTGTAAAAGGCTTGAAGAAAGCATTTTTATTCGTGAACCTGGTTTCGAAAAACCTTGAATTCTATTATTCTTGAGAGCGTTGTAATTTTTTTCCAGGAAGTTTAAAATTCGTATTTTCGACTTTTTATTTTATTTGATAAGTTCGATTTTTAAATGTTTTTTGTTGTGGAAAAAAATGCGGGAAGTGAACATTTTATTTTTTTGAATCTGAAAACCTCGAAGTTTATCATTTTTTTAAGGCGTTGCAATTTTTTACAGGAAGTTTGAAATTCTTTTTCCGATTCATTCATAGTTTTGCTTTTTTGATTCATTATGCTGCATATTTTTTTGATATTCATAGCTTTTTGCGGTCTTTTTATGCTATAATGTTAAATTTTTTTGGAATTTTTTTAAGATTGAAAAGAAATAACTCAATTAAAAAAATTTTATTCGTGAGAAAAATAAATAAATATGAAAAAAATATGTACAAAAATTAGTTGATTTCGGTGTTTTTCCAATTTACCGGTAGTAGTAGGGCTCCTGAAAAAAATTTTTTTTTAGAGATATTCGAGTTTTTTTGAAAACTTTTTCACGATTTAAAAGTTTTTGAGAAGGTTGAAACTGAAAAAAAAAAGTTTCTCGAATACTTACCATATAAGGACCGTAATAAGGTTGATAAGGTGGATAACCGTAACCGTAACCGTATCCGGCTTGATTAGCCAGGCCTCCGAGTAGAACTGAAATTAAAATTTTGGGGATTCCGAGTTTCATCCATTTTTCTTGAAAATTGGAAATTCGGTGTGATTCTTTTGCGATTCACGTGTGTAGCGTTCGCGATGCGTTTGTGAGTTCGAAAATTAAAGTATAGTCAATTTTTCCCGACTTGAAAGGCGAAGGAGGCGGGGCAAGGGGCGGGACGCGTAGCGTGTGCGTTCGCGGTTCTTGGAACGAGATCAATTCATTCGCCGCCGACTATTTAGAAAGCTCGGCAACCGCTTTTTTTCAATTTTTTCTACTATTTTTGATGCACACATGAACATAATCAAAAAATAATTGAAAAAGGAATGAAAAAAGCGGAAAACCGGCTTTTCAAAGAGTCGATGGCGTTTGAATTGAACACGTGCCAAGAACCGCGAGCGCACACGCTACGCGCCCCGCCCTTCTCGCCTTTCAAGTCGGGAAACATTGACTATATTAGTGGAACTGTTTCATGGAAGTTATAGCCCATCCAGCGTCAACTTATCACGTTTTTTTGCCGAATAAATATTTTTGGTACCAATATTGTCTCTCAAGTTTTTAATTCAATTTGAAGCCTTAAAACTTCAAAACTCGAACGAATTCAAACAAACTTCCTGCCCCTAAAGCACCGAGAATCCCAGGTCCGTAGCCGCCACCCCATCTCCTACCGTAACCGTAGTAACCTCCTGAATAAATCCTATTTTTATATACACTTGTAACGCTCAAAGAAATTCATAAAGTTATTTCCATATTTCATTCAAGAAACTCCTTTTTTCTATCTTTTTTTTGAAAATTAAAAACATTTTTCAGACTCTTCTGGTGCTTTATTTGATCTTGTTTTTTTTGGCACCCTAATTTTTTTCCGATAAGATTTCACCAACTAAAGCTATTTTGAAGCGCTAGGAAGATTTTTGGAATTTTTTTTTACATAAAAAAATAATAATAAACCCATTGGACGATGGTGGTGGTGATAACCGCCGTAGCCTCTGAAAAAAAATTTTTTTTGGATATATTTCTTGGATTTTTCATTCGAATCCTCCTTACCCTCGATGAAATCCGCCGTAGCCTCTGAAATCATGTTTTTCAAGTTTTAATTTAATTTTATTCTATTTCTAACCCGTGATGGAATCCGCCATGTGGCCCATATCCACCGCGGTGAGCGGCTAGTTCTGAAAAAAATAAATTTGAAAAAGTTTTTTTGGAAATTTAAAAAAATGCAGTAAATTTGTATCCTTGTAAGGAATGAGGTCTATTATGTTTATCTGGAGCATTTTTCAAAAAGGAAAAAAATAGTCAAATTTCAATATTTTGAAGTTATCACTTCGTGTATTGATCATGTGAACTTCTGAAAAAAACAAAAAAATCCAGGATCAGTTATAAAAATTTATGAAAAATGAGACTATCCTATTCTCAGGAAGTTTCTTGAAAAAAATTCTCATTTTCCTATAAATGCTGAGCTTCATTAGAACACTTATTTCAACGATATCAATCAAACCTGTCACAAAAACGGTCAGAAACAGAAGAAAAATAGCGCAAAAGTTCATCTACGTGGACAGGGCGACACAAAAATGACGTTAGACGTCGGATAAGAAGGAAATCGCCGAAGAAGGCCGTTCGGATGCGGTTTTCCGACCCAAAAAAGGAAAACCATTAGTTCAAATCAACGAGAATAGCCCACTTTTGAGAAAAAAAAAGATTTTTTTGTCAGCTAAATATTGATAGAAAACTTCAATTTAACTCTAGATTCTTTCAAATATTGAGTTAATTCAAAGTTTTTGGGCTTTGTCGTCATTTTATCTTGGTAGATAAACCCTTGATAAGGTTTATACGATAAATGATAATTCTGAAAACGGAGAATACTTGAAAAATTAAGAGATTTCGACTTTTCCAAACGTGATAAGGTTATCCAAACTGGACCAGACAAAATAAAAGCAATTTTCAATGTAAAAACAACGAGTTTGAGTCTTTCGATTCTCAAAAAAATAGGAAAATCGTGAAAAGCACCAACAGAAGGACTTTTTTCTGAATTAAAGGATCAAAAAGAAAGGGTCTGTAACTCGGAGCAATCAAAGAATTGCAGTAAAATGGCCCGGAATCGGCTTAATCATTTTTTTTTTATTTTCAAAAGTTAATAAAATTCACTTTGATTTGACCATTTTGTTCGGCGACTTGGAATTTTCATGCTCTATATTCTTGACAAGATTCAAATATTGCTGGATTTGTCTTTAACCGGATTTTTCACCTTTCCTGATTCTCCAAAACTTTTATCATTAATTCTAAATGATGGTAGGATGAAGTTTTGGGTCCGCAAATATTCGTGAGCGTGAATTGCGCATACACCAATCTTGGGGGCTTAATCCTTTGCAAATATAAATCTTGGAAAGCGATTGTTGTAAATATTCACCCGTTTTTTGATTTATTATAAGTTCTCCATCTTTTTTTGTAAACAGAAATTTATGGATAATGCAAACTTACTTACTTAGATACTTAGATGGTCCATCTTCGCTTTCGACCTTTTATTGCCTTTTAGTGCCTTTTATTGATCGAAGCGTGGACCACACGTTTTCCAGGAGGTCTTATGCGATCGGTCATCCAGTTTTGTCGTCCTGGTTGACTGGTATTCTTGCGAAAAAGTTCCATCCGTGGTGTTGAACGTGTTATAGCATAATTGTGGTCTGATTATCCTTTTTGCCTTGCCAGGGCTAAAAAAGACCGCCCATTCTGTTAGCAGAAGCAAGCCGAACTGCGTGACCGGTGTACCGTTAGCCGCCATAAATGGCGTTGCCTCCCCATCACCGCGTAGAGGTGGTACTTGAAGGGGGCAAACAGCAGGTATAAAACTAAGATAGACGTTCTGCAGCGAATATTTGACTACGTGCATGCGAGAATGATGCATTGTTTGATAGAAGTTAGTTGAAAAAAAAAAATCATACAGTGTTCATTTGTGGTCAAAACACGACATCCACACAACACAAAAACAAAGGAAAAAAAATGAAGGAAAAAAATATGCAACTTCAAAAAAGAGGTGAATGTGTCCAAGAATCCTTTTCAAAGAATAAAATTTGCAATGATTTGAGCCCCCAAAATTGGTGTATGCACAATTCACGCTCACGAATATTCGCGGACCCAAAATCTTCTATGGCGTGTTCATCGGAGAAACGGAACATGCTTCAAAACGAAAAAATCGTGTTCATCGGCGCGCAAAAGCTGCTCCAAAACAGTACTAGTTTTTGTTTTGGAGCAATTTTTTTGCGTTTTGAAGCAATTTTTGTTTTCTCTGATGAACACGCCACTAAATTACTTTTTACGCGGCGTGAAACATTTCCGTTGCATGACACGTGTTTAATTTTTTTTTCATTTGCGACTTTCATCCATTAAACCTCATTTCAGAACGAGATGACGACTGTTTCTCCCTCATATTCAACGAATCCCCTCAAATTCAAAGTCGATTCGATTGTCACGAAGAAACTCAACTTGGATAAAGTTTTTTGGACTATTCTTCAGGAAAAATGTTTTTTTGAGGAATTTCTACGAGTTATCGGATTAATTTCACCACTTATGGAAGATGTGGAGATGGACAAGTTCGCCGAAAGAAAGCTGAGCAGGATTCTCGAAAAGAAGCAAGTCGACCTCAGGAATGAGTACTTGGCGGAGCTGGACAAGGTTATTTTCTGATGATTTCTTGAGGTTAATAAGTTCTAGATGAATAAAACTGTTCAAGGAGTAAATTTCACGGTCCAAAAAATGAACGGGAAGTTCTGCGATTTGACATATCGGGTCGAAAAAATCAAGAGAACGAATACACATCTTTTGCATGAAACTCGACGGCTGCAAGATTTGAAGTTGGTTTTTGAAGTTTTATAAGTTTTCTTGTAGTATTGAATGACATAAAAGCAGGTTTTTTGAATATTCATAGGCAAAGTCGTGAAGGGTGGAAAGGGCTCCATAAAAATGTTTCATTTAGGGTGACAAAGGCTCATTTTTTTTCTGCCTTTTTTTGCCATTTCATCGGCCCTTATGCACCATTTTTGCTGCCTCTCCCTTTTTTCACCATTTCTTGAACATTCGAAATCCGAGAAAAAATGGAAGGTTCGATAAAGGGACTCGTTTTGCTACCTTTTTGCGGCTTTTCTGCGGCCTTTTTGCTGCCTTTTTTCTGCCTTTTTACGGCTTTTTTGCTGCCTTTTCGCTGCCGTTTTTGAGCCTCTCCCTTCTAGCTGACATTATCCACCATTCCGACCTTGCCCGAGTTTCACAGCCAAAATCGAAAGTGTAGAAAACGGATGAAAAAAGGGAGTGGCTGCAAAATGGCTGCTAAATGGGTTCCGTTTTGCAGCCTTTATTGAGCCTTTCATTCTTGGTGTGCTATAAAGCCTCAAAAAAGGCCGCAAAAAGGAAGAAGAAAGAGTGAGGGTGCTAAAAGTGTCGGCTATTGATAATTTCCGATTTTATTACTGTAGCACATTTTGGTGCATACACAGTAATTGGTAAAGATTATTCAAAATTTAAAAAAAAAAACTGTCTGTTTTTCAAAAGGGTCCAAAAAGGGTGGAAAAAGGTCGAGGAAAGGACGGAAAAATGGAGTAAAAAGGAAACCTTTGTCACCCGTTTAGGAACGATTTATGGAAATCTTTGTATCCATAGTGGACCCTCAATGGGCCTGTAATGGGTCCTTCCGAATTTGATAGAAGAAATTCTTTTTAGAAAATAAAAAATGGTCAAAAATTGTCTTTTTAACTCTTTTTGAAGAATACAACCATCTATTTCTATTTTTTCTCTGTACAGAAAGCAATTTTTCGCCAAGTACACAGGATATCTCAGGCTGACCCCAAAATGACTTTCCGTGGAGGTTTTTGAAGGAATTTTCCAAAAGCTACTTTTAAGGATTTTGTTTTCGAATTTCTAAAAGTCTCCAAATATGATCAAAAGTTTTCATTAAGAAAGACGTTGGAATACCGGAAAACTGCAATTGAAACATTTTTGAACAACTATTCCCTGACGAGTGCGGAAGAAGAAGCATTGAAATGTGAAACGAGAGGTTTCATCCCGATTTTTTGTTCTTTATCTGAGAAATTTTACAGATTTTAGACTCACAGCCGACTTTTTCGCGGCACTCCAACGTGTCAAGGATATTCATGAGTCGACGAAAGATTTTTTGAGAGAAGGAAAAGGAGGAAATCACGTTGCAGCGTACTTATAACATTAAAAAAAAGAGAATTTTATATTATTCAAGGGTCGAAGTGATGGACTCAATGCAGAGGAAAATCAAGGAGGCCTTTTCGACAATGTTGGAAAAGTTGGCACGCGAGTTTTAAGGCTTTTTCTGTTACAAAATGTTATTTAACTGTTTTTGAAAATATTAAAGATACTTGTTATTTTCTACGCATTTTTCCCGTAAAGTTTAGTGTATCGTGTGCATGCACTGCGGCGCTCTCGCACATGCGAATTTCCGCGAAATTCAAAATCATGTCTTAATTTCCGAAGTTCAGTTATATTTTCCATTTTTCGGTGGCTATTTTGAATATCGCGGAATCACTGTGAACACGGCAACAGAAAAGTTGCGATTTTTTAAAATGAGAAATGGATTCGTCTCATGACCCATTGAACATGCGCCTTTAATATTCCCTGTTGTTTACGCTTTTTTCCCATGACGTCACATGGGAACGGCAGAGGTTCTGACCACGCCCCATTTATGGTTTCGCATTTTTTTCCACTAATAAAAATGCCGGGAAATAGCTTCTCACAAAACTTTTCGATTATGTCCTTCCCAAAATGATACGAAACTTTCGAATTTCAAATTTACTACCACTGACTTGTCTTTCCAGGCGAGTTTCGGCTCCTGAATTCGGATTATTTCAATTCGAAAAACGTCATCGGCCAATCGTTTCAATGCTTGCAAGATCATCCGATCATGTTCCAAATTTCATTGGGTGGGTCTAAAAATTGATATTTTCCAGGGAACTATGTAGAAAAAAAAGTTGAATCGGAAGTTACTGATTTGCCATTAGACTTGTCGAAACTTAAGGATGGGTCTCAAAGAACTGCGTGCCTGAAATTTGAAATTAAACAGAGGCAAAGCTACCGCTTTTTTTCGCTTTCGCTTCGAGACCCTTCATGAATTGCGAAAGAAGCTTAAAAAAAAGATTACTTACCGAAATTTGCGAAAAAAGAAGGTTAAAAAAAATGGGCTAACGAGCTGGTGCACCACATACAACCTGTTCTAGTCGATTTAAACTTTGCTTGAGCATTCGCGCTCCATCGCACTTTTTTTTATCTGCATCATAACTAGGACCAGGATTGTGCGAGGGCCGGCCCGTCACCCTCGCGGCTCCCCGACCATTTCGTGAGCCCGGCCCGGCCCGGCCTTAGCGGAACCTCAAGAAAAAATGGCCCGCCCGGCCCAAAACGCGCAATTTTTTTCTAGTTGGAGATCAAGTTTGTTTACGACAAAATTTAAGTTTTTGCTCATTTTTTCACTAGAAGTTTAACAAAAACCATGATTTCAAAAGTAAAAGTTACCTTTCGGTGAAAATTTTTTTAATGAACTTTAAATTTTTTTGGAGCCCGGCCCGAGCCCACGCGGGCTCTTTCCTGAAAATAAGGCCCGGAGCCCGGGCCGGGCCGCCCGGCCTGACGCACAAGCCTGACTAGGACCTACTCTGACATGGGGCGCATGAAAACCCCGCCACAACTCTTTCTCTGACATTCACTATTTCGTCGTTATCCAGCTGCGATAAAACGACGAAATAGCATAGGTCAGAGAAAGAGTTGTGGCGGGGTTTTTATGCGCCCCATGTCAGAGTAGGTAACGTGAAACGGACACGTTCCGGACTTTTCTGAGCATTATATGTAATCGCTCAAGAGTGCTGAAGCCACTGAAGGGATCACTAAAAATAATTTGGACAGGTTCCTGAGTAAGAGGCTTTTTAATTCAGAAGAATATGCTGCGATAAGGGGCCAGAATGCTCTCCGACAGTATATCGAAGCCTTAACAAAAACGAACAATGGGAAAGGGATACCGATTGAAATGATGAGTCATGACAGGATGAGGTATCAAAATATCAAAAAGATCTGGACTTTCTAAGATATGTCGGCGACATGTTGGCATTCATGCTTGGGGTTACTGGCACTGAAAGAGATTTACTGGAAAATCTCCTTTCCCAATGCGATTCTGAAGGTTTTCAATGGTGCCAATAGATTTTTTTGAAGTTGAAGCTTCAGTTTTTGCTGCCAATTCGGCCCCGGTGCTGAACAACGTCACCAGGGCGTTCTGTGGTCCTTTCAAAGTGAATATTGGAATTATCAGGGTTACTTGAAGTTTTGACAGGTTCGAGTTGAACAAGCGTTGGGAACCGATTCGGACAGTATTTTGATGTTCCGTCTGGCGAACCTTTTTTCGTTCTACTCGGAGAAGTTTTGGTGGGTTTCGAGGGGGAAAAGGCCGTTAAAAATGAAAAGAAAACTGTTACAGAATTGAGGAAAAAGGTGCTCCATTTTCCATGTTTTTTTAAATCAAGGGGGGGTGGTAATTTGCTTAGTAACTTGAAAAATAAAAAAATGAAAAAGTTGAAAAATGCTTCATAATTTAGTCATACGTTCAATGAAACCATTGACTTTCCTATTTTTTTAACAAGGAATGCCAAAAAAAGTGGCTTCATTTGGTTCATAAACTTGAGATACAGCTTTTTCTCGCATTTTTTTGAAAAATCATTTTATCAAAAATCATCATTTTATGAAAAATCATTTATCGTTCATAAGTAAAACAAAAATTTTTCTTTTTATTCATAAAAAGTTCCTCAAATTCCAGTCCCAACTCTTTTTATCCATTTCCAGTCTTTCGAATCTGTTTGTTCTTCTTATTAAATTATTATTATTTTGATTAATTTTTCAAAACCAATGGAATTGAATGTCTTGATTTACTCGACTAAAAAAACTTGAAGCAAAAATTCTGTGAATCGATTTTAGATCATTTTTTTATAGAATTTTTTTTCGGCGTTATACCAAAAAATGTATAAAACATTTCAAGTTTTCAACTTTTTACACCGTATAGCCTGTTCTTTTTTGAATGAAAAACGCTCTGTATATGGCTCGCTCTCTGATTGGTTTATCGCGCCATTAGGGGCGGAGCTTGAACGTCCTCTCGGCAGGAATTATGCTCCGGGCAGACCCTATCTGGGATGTGGCCTTTAAATTTTCGGTGCTTTTTCTCGCACATTCAGGGGCACAACCGAGCGCGGAGTCAGTTTATTGCGAAATGACCTCGAGAGTGGAGTTTTTAAAATTCCGAGTCAATTCAGTGCAATTTCAGGGGCGAAAGCGAGCGAAAAAAGCGAATCTAAAATCTGTAATTTTCTCAAATTCAATTCTAAAGTTTTATTTAGTAGATCTTTTAAAGTTAAATAGAAACTCCTGCTATCGTAATAGCTTACTTCTCGCACCTTATTTGCGCTTAATGGGAATAGGTTAAGGCCCGTTGATAATATTCTTTTTTTCCCATGATGGGAAAAAGAGAGCAATTCTGGGGGTTGCACGGGGCCGAGGTATCTGCCGAGCTCTTGAAATTCTAAATCTGAACAAACCATAATCAAAAAATCATATATTTTTTTTCAGTTTTGTGATCGGCGAAAATAGCGAGTTGGCGAAAACTCTCCGAGATTTGCACGCGACTTCGATGGCAATGTTTTACGCTGGCTTAAATTCAACTGTTCAAAAATTGTTGCTGAAAGTGAGTTCACGAAAAAAATTTTGAAACTTCTAATCGCGAAGAACGAGCATTGTTCTGTTGTCCGAAGAAGTCTATACCAAAGACTTGAAAAAGTATAGTCCTCTTTTTTCCAGACTTCCTTGCCGGACTATGATCTCCTGCCGGTTCCAGCCGTTTTCCAGTGTCTGATGCTTCTAAAAGATGTCATGGAAACTATAAACGGGTGTATGGGAACGTTCAATGAGACCAAGGAAGACTTAAAGAAAATTTTCGAACTTATCCTGGATCCTTTAACCCGGCAGGTACAGGTCACTGCGACGCAGCTTCATTCTCCGCTAGGTGAGGTTGAAAGAATAAGAAAATCATCGAGAATAGTTAGGTTTTTGAATGTCGAAGTCATAAGCCATTCCTAACAAGAAAAAAATAGATTTTTTTCGTCCTGAAGCCCAGAAAAAAATTATAATTTTTGAAAGCTTTTTGAAAAATTTCAAACCTTATATCGATATATTGACTTTCTAACTCTTCAGAAAGGATAATCACTGAACAAAAAAACAAAGATTCAGGAGTTTTATGTAGTTTGCTCAGAAAAAAAGAAATTATTTTTTTGAGAGAATTTTGAAAAAAAGAGAAAAAAACTTTTTTTACCAATGCTTCTAAATACAGGGGCGAAGATAAACTTTTGACATTTCTTTTCGACATATTTCCCTAGAAAATCAGCGAGTTTTGGGCCTACGAGCCCTAGAGTGAGCCCTTGATTTTCCGAATCCACCATGATTTATTTAGCCTGAAGTTCATGGTCTTGTGAGCCCGAGATCGTTGTTATTTTACAAAAATCGCCTCGGCTACTGGAATTTTAAAAATATTTGGTTTTTTTTTTGGATGGAGCTCTTCTGTTTGCGAAAGATCACTATGGGCTCAGAAGATCAGATCTAAAAAGATTAAGGGTTCACTTTAGGGCACTAGAAATCGGAAGATCAGGACTCACTTCAGGGCTCAAGAGATCAAGGGGCCACTTAAGAGCTTGAAAAATAGGGATATTAGGGCTCAAAATTTTAAGCGGTCACTTTAGGGATCGAAAAATAGTTTACAATTTCGGGCTTGCAAAACAGTGTACACTTTAGGGGTCGAAAAGTCGTTTATACATGGCTCAAAAGAGCAAGGGGTCACTTTAGGGCTAGAAAAATAGGGATAATAGGGTTCAAAAGATCAAGGTGTCACTTTAGAGCTCGAAAAGTAATGGACCCAAGTTTTGTCGAATTTCAGGTAGATAATCAGAATAAAAAAATAAGAATGAAAGGGAAAAAAATTCTATGAAAAAAATGTTAAAGCTTCTACTTTCACTCCCCCCCATACTTATAAAAATTTCAGACGTCGCTGTCTATACTCTGAACTGTCTTTCGGCGATGAAGCTTACGGTCGCGGCGTGTGAATATTCCGAAAAACGGCTTGAAATCATCGACGCCATGGTTTTCCATCATTCAAAATGCAGCAAGGAGCAGATCTTTTAGATTGATGGCAATGAAGATTTGCTGGTTTCTGAAGAAGTCTCCGAGATTCTGAAGCAAACCAAACTCGTTTCTATTTATCAGAAGGTCGCGGCTCATCGAAACGAGCAGGTTAGAAAATTGGCTTGCAAGAAAATGAGTTTTGTTCTTAAGAATGCCGAAGTGGTCCCTAGAGAAGTGAAGGGAAAAAGTTCCTTTAGAGAAAAAAAATAGTGCTCCCTTGAGAGGTGAAACTTAGTAGGTCCCTACAGGAGTTAGAAAAATTGAGAATGCCAGAACTTCATAGAGTATTAGCGGAATTATCTCAAAATTTCCAACTTCAATCCCTAAAAAGGGTTTTTTCAAGTCTTGTTCAATTGATTTCAACTAGGCTCTGATTTGGCAGAGAGAAATTAACTCACTAATTTTTGCTTCTAGAAGAACCTTTATTTTACGACTTTGAAGTTGACCTTCTTCCTTCCTTTTTGGTCGAAAAGGGCCACTCCAAACTTGGGTTGTTAAATTTTTAAAGACTATTTTCGCTAACTTTTCCTACTTCAAAGTGAGAAAGAACTATCCAATCAAAAAAAAAGTCAAGTCTTTTAAACCCCATACTACCTTACAGGATATTGAAAAAATACCCAAATTGAGAATTTGATCAAACTTCGCTGAGATGTTCTCTAGAGCGTTTTGAATTTGACTAAAAGGCAGAAATATTTTTTCGGTTGGTTTCAGAGTGTAATAATAGTGCTTTTCAGCTCCAGCGAATCCTCAAAACGATTTCAGATTGAAACTGAGATTTAATATCATGATTTTAGGCCCAATAAAAACAACCGGAAACAGTTTATATACAAAATCACTTCAGGGCCTTCTCTACTTTAATATTTTGGAAAATTGAGTAGTATCAGACAAACTTTGATAACTATAAAGTGACTGGAAAACTGGAAATTTTTTTTTGCTAGTAGTAAGGGTTTTATAAAGTAGTTATAATAAGTAAGCTAAATTTTGGCCAAGTCTCGTAATCTTTAAAGTTTGATCATTTCTCAGAATAGATAAATGAAAATCTCATGAGATCACTTCAGGGTCCCCTCTTTCCCTTGCTGGTATGGACAAACCGACGGTATCCTGGTCTCTAGAGAAATTTTCTGGATTTTTGCACAATCCCACGGAATTCAGACTCCCTCATTTCTCAAAAATCAACTGCTTCAGTATCAGGTTTTCCAAAAGCGCAATAAATTCCAATAAAAACATTTTTTAGAAAATCGATTCGAAAGAAAAGTATCGAAGAGCTTTTGAAGGTTTACTCATGCTTGGTGGCCAAATTTGAAGATCCGTTCAACGGATACTTGGATAACGAAAAATTGGCTTTTCTTAGTGTTGAAAAGGTGACGAAACTTCTCGAAATCGATTTTTTTGATACGTTTTTTTGTTAGTACTATGATCTAAATGTGTAATATTCTGAAAAATTCTTCCACTTGTAATTTTTTTAGTGAATTTGTATCCTATCACTTTCAGAAAGGTGACTAAACTACTTAAAAATCGAAATCTGATAGTCCGAACTTCTTCGCGTCTTTTTTTCAATAAACAGAAACTTATTGTAAGTGGAAAAAAATAGATTTTTTTCCTCAATAAAAAAAGTGAAAAAAATCTTCTTGTCTATAAGATACACACTTCCATTCCGAAGTTTTGATTTTTTTCAAAAAATAATCTTTCTTATTACCGTTTGAGAATAGTTAAGTTTCGGCTTTGAAAGTGTATGGCTTTTCAAATTGAAATAAAAAATCTTTAAAAAAAAAATTGCTTTGAAAAAAGCTTTATGAAGCTCAGGATACTGACTTCATGGTCAATAAAATGAAATGAAGAAATGGAGGAATGGATCAAGATGAAGTGATTTCTTGTCTCTCCTAGTTAGACGGACTTTTCATGTTTTCGGCGGAAAGACCAGGGGAAGCCAAGTTGTAGTATTGTTCGGGGTTGCCGGGACTCGGCTTGGCGGCTGGACTGGGCACGGCTCCAGGACTTGGCGCAGCTCCAGGACTTGGCACGGCTGCAGGACTTGGCACGGCTCCAGGACTTGGCACGGCTCCAGGACTTGGCACGGCTCCAGGACTTGGCACGGTTCCAGGGCTTGGCAAGGCTCCAGGACTAGGTCCACCAGGACTTGGACCGGCCGGACTCTGCGCGCCATCGAATTGCGGCTTGCCGGCGACGCACGCGTCATCGCCAATGATCCGCAGGAAAGTTTCCTCGAGCGTCGACTGCTCCAGACAGTAGCGGTCCGATCCGACAGACTCGGCCAGCTCCTGAGCCTCTTTGAACTTCTTCGACCACTTGTCATCGGCGTCTCTGGGGATCTGCAACTTTCGATTAGGCTCTAAGACAAGAAATTCTGGCTCTAATATCCCGTTGACTGAAAATTCGTTCAAAAATAGTCAGAAGAAAAGTCTTTACACTTTACGGTTGCGAATTTACAGAAAGTTAGCCATTTGCCAGATTACAAGTCTGCTGTTTTCTGAGAAAATACACCTAAAAAATAAGGGAAACCACAAAAATGGAGACTTCCAGACTTTGAGCCCTTATTTATTGAAAAATAAGAACTTTTGCAAGTTTTTCAAGACGTTGGCCATTTTCGGAAACTTGTAAAGTACAAAGTCAATTTTTCTTCCTTAGAAAAATAGCCAAGAAAAGTAAATGCCTCGGCAGGAGAGTCCAGGGAAAGTGTGCTCTATTGCTAAATATCCCAAGTGTTCACTCGGATCTCGGTAACGCAATCCGGACGTTTCTGAGCCTTCCTAGGGGTCACTTAAAAATGCTGACTCTACTAAAGTGATCACTAAAAAGGCTCCAATACGTACGGTTCGTGTTACTAGCTTTTCTTGATAATTCTCCTCGCATTATTTTTAGTGACCACTTAAGTAGCGACAGAACTCTTAAATGATCCCTAGAATCGCTCAAAAACGTCGGGGTTTCGTTACCATTGTCCGAGCTCAATTTTTCACCCACTTCAGAGCTTGCCGTGGAGCACACTTTCATGGGATTTATATCCAAGCGTCTCTATCCGCGGCTCTTTATGATTTATATGCTATAAGTTATCATAAACCCACCACCCAGGTCAGGTTGTTGCTGTCTGGGTCTTTACACACGGATCCGGGGTAACTGGAAAATTATTCTTCCTTCTTTTTGGGTCTTTTGGACAAACTTTGAAGTGACCATTGCGAGGATTTGTGTCCGCTTCTCGACACTGTCGACGGAGATGGTCAACGTGAAAGTCTTACCGTAACTGAAATTGATTACGGTTTTTTTTTTAAGTTTATCGATTTCTTGATTTCGATGAGCTTTGATTATATTGAGGTTCATATAGCTGATTCACGGCCAGCTTGGGACACTAAGGGGGCGTGTCCTGTCTGGGCTCTCCACGAGCCAGCTATCTCGTCCATTATCGTGTCAGGACCCTTTTTTCGATTACTCAAACCAGCCGTGAATCAGTGCCAAGAAATGCCAAAAAAGGCTCATTTCGGTTTCGCTTCCTCACCTCGACTTGATATCTTGGCTGCTACCAATCGTGAGCATGTTGCCCTTCTTCATGATGGTGATCCGGTTGCAGAGAGCCTCGCATTCGTCCATCGAGTGTGACGTCAGAATCAACGACGCCGACTTCATCGCCTGCCACAGGGTATCCCAAATCTCGTGCCGAGTCTGGATCGTTTCTTGGAGTTGATCCAAGGATCCAAACTACCTTGGGATCAACACCGGCCGTCGGTTCGTCGAGGATGATCAGATCTGAGGGCGATAACAAGGCGACGCCGAGCGAGATTCTTCTACGCTGTCCTCCACTGGAAAATAAGAATTCTTGACGTCGTTTGCTCTCTTCTGAAGACGTACCTGTAGTGCTTGACCTTCTTGTTGCCCAAATCCTTCATGCCGACGCCTTCCAGGGCCACATTCGCCTTCGTTTTGAAGTTCTTGTAACCGTGCATTTGAGCGATCAACTGCAAGAATACGTCGACTCGATTCAGAATGACTACTCAGACCTCAAGAGTTTCTCTGCCAGTCAGCTCGGGAATCAGAGGGTCGACTTGAGGACAGTAACCCAAGGTCTGAAAAATCAAGGATTCTTTCGATTCAACAACATCTTTGAATAACCGTCTGCTTGGAGACGTCGACGTTGTTGACGGTAGCCGAGCCGGAGGTCAGGAAAGTCTTCCCGGTCAGAATATCCAACGTCGTCGTTTTTCCGGCGCCATTGACGCCGAGAAATCCGAAGCATTCGTTGTGGCCGATGGCCATGTGGAGACCGTTCACCGCCCGGTATTGTTTGAAGATTTTCGTCAGGTTCTAAGAAAAAATGTGTTCTCCATTGAAACAATCTCATAAGGGAGATAACATTGGTTGAAATGAATTTTGTACTGTGCCCGTTTCAGAATAATTGAACTGAAATATGACCTAAAAGCTTAGAAAATAGCTTTGATAAAAGATAAAGGAAAGTATGCTCCATGGAGAAAGTTAGCTGATTCTCGATTTTTTTTTTCTGGGAAAATTTCTAGTGGCCACTATAGAGGCTCGCCGAGGACTACTTGGAGAGGACACTAAAGTGGCCACTGAATCCACCTCTATAGTGGCCACTATTTTCCGTTTTAGTGGCCACTTCCGTAGTTTTTCATCCAGTATTCCTTCCAGTCACTCTGATAATTTCAAAACAAAAGATTGGACCAGTTATGATGATCCATTGACCCCTAAAGGGGCCACTAAAATTTTCAATGGTGTAGTAGTAGCACTTAGACCTTTATAGTGGCCACTAATTTTTAACCCCTTGAGTGGCCACTAATTTGACTGCTGTAGAGGCCACTAGAAATTTTCCCAGCTAGCCAATGAATTTTGAGTTGTTTTACAGAATATAGAGAAGAATAAATGGATCTTGGAAGGTTCGAAAAAAAATTTTTTTTCCGTGAACCTATTCATGATTAACTCGGTAAAGTGTTGAAAACTGGTATTTTTTGAATTTTTGAACAAACCTTGACAACCAGAATGGACCCTTCCGTCTGGCCCGTCTTTACCCTCATCTGTTCGGCTTTTACATTCTCATCACAGCCGTTCTGAAAATCTTCTATTCAGAGTTCTTCAAGGCTGCTGAAACGACCCGCGACGAGGTCAAATTGTCAAAAAAGCCATTTTTTAAAATCATTTTTTAGATTACGATAAGTAATTTACCGTAAACCGATTTTTGCAGATTAAAAACTCATTTTCTTCGAAAAATACAAGCATTTCGCATGAAGAACCTACTAGGACCTCGGTAATGCAAACCCGACATTACTGGGATTATCTAGGGACCACTTAAAGACATAGGGGCAGTAAAAAAAACGGTGTTTCAGTTCAAATCAGTACTTTGTAGGGCTTTAATTGCGAATCGAGCGGTGAATTTGGAAACGTACAGAACTTCCTAATTTGGAGAAAAAATAATTCAAAGTCGGAGAAAGGAAAGTTTGAGTTCCTGCCAAAAGGGCGCTTTGCAGTAAAGTTGCTCTATGGACAACACGCTCCGCCGATTTTCGCTTTTTTCTTCGCTTCTTTCAATTTTCAATTTTTTTTCTGTTGTCACCAAAGTTCTTTTCGTCACAAAAACTTTCTATTCATGTATAATTTGCAAACTTTAATCGCAAAAATGCTTTTCTGGTGAAAAATTATGATTTTACACAGGTTTCGATTGGGATAGCGATTATTTGTGTTTTATTTATTATCGGTGTGTGTTTTTTGTTTGACTGAATGTTTTTTTCAGAAAAAAAACCCTTAATTTGAAGCAGATATCCGGTTATTTCTCACAAAATGCGAGTCTAATGAGACGTCCGCAACATCGCGTGTACGGCTACTGTAAAAAGTTGTCTGCATACCGATTCAAAGCTTTTTTCAAAAATAAAGGCGGGAAAGTAAAATCGCGTTTTTCTTCTAAAGTTGTCACATCTGTAATTTTTTTGAGTACACCGTTCGATTCGCAATGAAAAACTATATAAGATACTGCTTTCACATGAAACGTCCTATTTTACTGCCCCTAGAATTGCTCAGAAACGTCCGGAGGGGGTCCGGCGTGCGTTACAGGGATTGGGGAAAGCTTTGAAAATGGCATTTTTATCCAAAATCTTCTTTTTTTTCCACAAACATACAAATTCGACTGGTGTTTTCGGGCCACATCTCGTGATGTTGTAGAGCATTCGGCGGACAGCCTGCAAAATGATAGTTTTTTTTGGGGTGGAAACTGGCGTCGGTGGCCTACTCGGAGTTGAATGGCGAAGAAAAAGAGCGTAGAAAATACTGTGAAGAAAACCATTGGACTAATGGCTCCCCCTATAAATACCAATTGAGGGAAAAGTTCTGATGAACGCGACAAACACAACGTTTTTCCTTCAGCCAGATCTTCTATCGCTTTCAAGAAACCGTACGATGGGAGCAAAAATGCTGCGAGTCCCTGAAAGGTGTCTTTTTTTCCTGCACTGGAAAAATGAACGATATTTAGGAAGTGACCAGGTGTAGTACCGCCAGTACAGTCAATGTTACCCGACTTGAAAGGCGAAGGAGGCGGGGCAGGGGGCGGGACGCGTAGCGTGTGCGTTCGCGGTTCTTGGTACGAGTTCAATTCAATTGTCGCCGACTATTTAAAAATCTCGGCAACCGCTCTTTTTTATGTGTTCTACTATGTTTTGATGCGCACATGAACATAATCAATAAATAATTGAAAAAGGAATGAAAAGAGCGAAAAACCGGCTTTTCAAAGAGTAGATGGCGGTTGAATTGAACACGTGCCAAGAACCGCGTACGCACACGCTACGCGTCCCGCCCCCTGCTCGCCTTTCAAGTCGGGAAACATTGACTATATGAAGTTTTTTGATTTTTCATCGGATTCACTCTTTGCCTTCAATTTTAATAGCTTTTTTTAATTATATCCTCCAGCCGGGTCCTGAAAAAGCCTGCATCTCTCTCGTCTCCCTGTTCCCTCCACGGCAGGGTCAGAGAAGCAAAAAATAGCACGTCAACATGACAGCCTTGCCGAGAGACAAAGAGAGCACAGAGAAACTTTCCAACCGCCAAAAAGAGACTATAAAAGGGCGCCCAGATTTGCTTGTTCGGGTACACCCGCTGGAAGAGCTTAGTACGGGCCCACCCGCTGAGAGCCTTCTTCAAAAACGGACTTTATTTTGAAAAATGAGCGAACGAAATCAGGCAAAACTATTGCTCAAATACTTTTTTTCCAAAAATATTTTCTTTTTCAGAGTCTAACTTCCTGATGAGGTTTTTTTCTTTTCCACGAAAAAAAAAATTGAAAGGGACAGTACCTGAGAAGCGTCGACGGCGTCTTTACCTACTTTCGATTCTATAAGTCCAGCCACAGTTATGAACAAAATTGCCAAAGTAAGCGGGATCCCGATCATGAAGAGGAGCAGGGAGAAAGAGGCCTGAAAAACGAATATCGAAAAGATAACCTGTCAATTGAGGTCTTGCATCCGAAACTCTAAATTTGCTTTTTTTCACTCTTTGGCGAAATCCTCAGATGCTTCGAATTCCGGTTTTTTTTCGTCGAATGAATCTCAAAGCCAGTAAAACATGATTTTTCTAGTTATTAATGTCATTTTCAAAAGTTTTTCCTTCCCTATCCAAACATGTTCTAGGGAGAAGAGGGTTTCTTGAGAAAAATCCACAAGTTTTCTCTACGTTAAATGTAATATACCTTCCTGAACCTCTCAATCGAAAAATCTGTAACTTTTTCAATTTTTGAAGATAATATTTTTTAAAGCTCGGGCTCAACAAAGACCTAAAAATTAAAGTTTCAAGTCTAAAATGCAAATTTAGAAACTTTAAAAAGTCCTACTCTGAAAATTGGAGCTTGCGCAGGTAGTAATCACTTATAGATTTTCAGAGAAAGTTCGAGCGAAATTTCAGAAAAATCCTTGAAAAGGGACTTCAAAAATGAAACTTGATAAAAATTTGCGAGACTCTCTACATTTGCGTTTATTCAAATGAACTTTGCTATGACAAAAATAAACCTTGGAAGCAGCACTGAACAAAAACGAGGCGGAATAGACAAAAGGAGCCGAGGCGAGGCAATAGACCACCCAAACGACCAGCATTCTGAAAAGTTGACAGACAGTTGGGCAGCCGTCCTATCGGAACAACTTGATGTTTTCGACGAATTTCCAGCTGAAGACGAGGGCGAAACTGAAGTAGAGGCCGACGATGAACATGTAGAAAACGTAGTCCATCAACATGTTGATGCCCCAAAGAACCAATGGGCTCATTCCCGTCAAGAATTGCTAGAATATTTCTTCGATTTCGATTATTTTTCCCGTACGATCACAAAGAAAGAGTCTACGTCTTCGACAGTTAGAGAGCGCTTGAAAAGGAGAGGGCAGGCGCTTTTTTTTTCTCTGAGCGCCCTCTCGTTTACTAGTGCTCTCTAGCTTTCAAAAACCGGCACGAGTCCCAGGAAATTCCAATGCTGGATCTTCGTATCTTTTCAAAAGCTAGAGAGCGTTCGAAAATAGGAGAGCAGGCGCTTTTTTTTTTCTCTGAGCGCTCTCTCGTTTACTAGTGCTCTCTAGCTTTCAAATATTCAAACCTAGGAATTTTTCGTTCTTCATCAACCGATCTCTCATAATGGTCTTTCAAAAATTGGCATCAAGAGCAGCAAAATGGTCTGTTCAGTTTTTGAATATCAAGACTCCGCTCAAGCTCCGCCCCTATTGGGGCGGCAAACCAATTAGAGAGCGAGCCATCCACAGAGCCTTTTTCGAATGACGTCATTGAACTTGACATTCAAAATCTGGACAGACTTTTCTCATTTCTCTGCGCCTCTTCTGTCTCGGCGAAGGAAAAGAGAAGGCAGACAAGTCAGACTTTTCGAGTCATAGCGAAAAGGCGAAAATGACCTGATGCCGAAAACTGGTGGATTTTTCAATGACCGGAAAGATAATGAAGTAGGCGACGGTCAACGCCGCGCTCACCACGATAACAATACCGACCAAACTATTTCCTGACTGAAAATAAAAATTAGAGATTTCTCGGGTTTTACCGCTGATTTCTTCAACAGTTCTTGTTCACCGGCTAGTCGATCGAAACAAAAAAAAATTTTTTGACTATTTCTGACTAATCTTACGTCATCAAACACAGTATCTCCTCAGGAAGAGGACCAAAAAAATGTTTTTTTGAAATGGTTATTTATTCACTCCAATCAAATTAGTCACTTTTTTTCGAAAAAAACGCTGAATTTACAGAAGTTTTTTTATTGAATTTATTCGTTCTTTTTTTCGAATTGAATAAAAGCTTTTTCAACTGACCGTCTGTGCCATCACAAGGTGGCCTCGGATCACATTCTTCTTCTTCTTCAAGTTCTGCAATGTACTCCTTTGAGGGATGTCATCAGGTATAAGACAACAGATGGAAAATAATGTGATAAAAAATAAATAATAGCCTAGGAAAAATAATCTAAAGAGTAAGCTGAAAGTTCGCTCCATGGCTAAATGAGACTTTTCGGAGTCCAATTACTGCAGCTTTATTTTTTATTTTTTTAAAAGGCAAGATAATTAAATTGATATCTGAAGCGATGAAGTTTACATTAATCGAAAAACTGGATTTTTGTCGGGAACTAAGAATAAGTTTGGACGTAAATCTTTACTTTTTGGGCCCATTTGGAAAAAAAAAATTGATTTATAGTGAATTGGGGCTCAATCAAAAATAAACGGTATCAAAATGTTTAGAAAAAAATTAATGAAAAAAAAATATATGATCAAAAAAAATTTTTCTGTTTTGTCAATCGAGCACACTTTCCCCGTACAGGCTCGAGGCTTGTGAAAAGGTTATTTTTTTTGGTATTTTTTTCTGCGGCATTTTTTTGGAGGTTTCAGTTCTCCTTCAGAGTTTCGGAAGAAATAAAAAACGATTTTTTTCGATTTATTTTGAAGAGAAAAAAATTTGGAATCTTATCAAAAAAATCTCGAAAAAAATCGTTGGAATTGTTTTTCAATCATGTCGTCGCCCCCAAAAACTTACCCAGTCGCTGAGTTGAGCGTTGAGATAAAAGTTGAGTGCGCGTGCCGGTGAGTGATGACTCCCGCTGTGGTAATACAAGAGGGCACAGGGAGGCCTGTTACAGGAAAACGAGTCGTTGATCTCGGCTCCGAATCCCATTTCGGGGAAACTCTGAACCGATTCGATTACGTTGCAAGGGTCTTTCAAATAGGAATGGCACATTTTCGAAGGCCGCTGACTCATTCTTCTTACTAGGAAACGTGGTTTAAAAAAAAAAAACTAAAAACTCGATCAGCGCTTTTTTGGCCTAACTTGCTTATTTTGCACACTTTTAATAACTCGGAAAAAAGATCTATTGCGAGAAATTTTTTTTTTTGGTCAGGAGGTCCTAGTCCTTCAGCAAAGTTTCAGCGAAAATTCAACCGGGGGAAACGTTCCCTGATTAGTATTTTGAAATTAAAGTCACCACCTTCTCCCTGAGAACGGCGTTTTTGTTAGTGTAAGAAAAGGCAAATCCAAAAATGAAGTGGAGTCGAAACCTCCGCCGTTCCCATGTGACGTCATGGGAAACAAGCGTAAGGTAATATTAAAGGCGCATGTTCAATGGGTCATGGGACGAATCCATTTCTCCTTTAAAAAACGCGAATTTCTGTTCTTTTTTTGAAGCAAATGCCGTGTTCAAATCGATTCCGCGAAATTCAAAATAGCCAACAGAAAGTGAAAAATATAACTGATTTTCGGGAATTCAGAAAACATTTTGAATTTTGCGAAAATTCGCATGTGCGAAAGCGCCGCAGTGCATGCACACAAGACACTACACTTTACGGAAAGAATATGGAGGCGTCACAAAAAACGCCGTGTGAGGTTGTACTAACTCGTCAGTAAGTTTTTTAATTATCCGAACTTTCCGAGAGAAATTTTAGAGTCAAAATCTCACCACATTCCATTTTTTAATCTCGTTCCAAACTTTATCCTTAGGTGGTCGAAACTGAAGGAAAATGTTTATGGAATTGAAAAAAAAACAGAGAACAAACATAAAAGTCGAACGCCTTATTCATATCAATCATGTCGTCTCTGTCCGTCACTGAAATTCACAAGGATATAGCAGAAAATTCACAATTTCTGAAACTACCATTGTAATTAACGACGCCCATGGCGAGAGGGAACTCGCTGAACAGCAGGTCCAGCTCTGAAATCACAAAATTCATTTCGATTTCGTGTCGTCTGTTCAGAAATCCTTGGGTCATGAGACGAATCTATTTCTCATTTTAAAAAAAGCGACTTTTTTTTGTTTTAAAACATATGACGTGTTGAAAGTAATCTCGCAAAGTTTAAAATAGCCACCAGAGAGTGAAAAATATAAGTGAATTTCAGTTGGCGAAAATTAAGTTGAACGCGGCGTGTACCAGAGCGCCGCAGTGTATGCACACGACACACTACACTTTACGGAAAAATTATAAGCGCCAAAAAAAACGCCGTGGGGTTTTTAAAAGAGCATGAAAAAATGTCAATATTTATCGTTTCGAGACCCTTTTTTAACTAATCAACTATAGATTTTGATCAGACCCTTTTATGAAATCATATTTTGTTCCAAGCATAAGGACATTAAAAAAAGAAGATCGAGAAAAACGAATATTTTCGTTGATTTTGAAAGAGTCTACTTGAAGTAGTGCAAAAACTTCATTTCGAGCAAAAATGATCAACTTGCAAATTTTTTGCAGCAAAGTTGCTCTATGGCAAAAAATTCATCGGTTGCCCTTTTTTTTTCCAAAGCCCTCATAAATTTCACTGTCATCTTTCGACTAGGATTTTTTCAAATTTTTTTTTGGGTCACGAAAAAATATTACGGTAAGCATCTTTGTGTACCAAGGCGTTCCCAAACGGGGTGGGGAAACGTCAAAAAATTTTGGCGCGAAAATTCAAATCTAAAGTATGCAGCGAAAAAACATGTTATCAGCGTTGAATACTCAGTGTTATTCGGGATTTTTTTTTTATTTGACAAAAATCCATACCGTTTTTTAGCAACTTTTTTGGATTTGATTCAGATTTTTTTAATAATTTTTTTCCCTATCAACCTCAAATCGCTACTTCAGCTCATTTTTTTCTATTTAAAAAAACTCTTTTTTTCCTGGAGAAACTGAAAAAATTCTAAAAAAAAATCCCACTCTTTTCCTGGCTCTTCTGCACAAAAACAGTCGCTGAGAATATTGCCAGTACTTCCAAGAGAAGGATCAAAAACTCGGAGAAGTTGTTCCACACGTAGAGAGCTCTTTTACGGACGTTGGCGCCCATTTGCGAGATGATTAGAAGGAATCCGGAGAAGAAAAATTGGGCTGGAAAAAACAAAAATATCATTGAAAGAACACTTTTTTGGGATGAGTTTGTTGCAAAAAGTTATTTTTAAAAAAAAAAGGGAACTTCCAGTAGCCGACTGAACTTTTGATGGAACCTGCCTAAAATGAGTGTGGGACAAGAGCGCCGGTCCGCAATTGGCCGTCGCGTGTATGCGACGTGTATGCAGACGCCGCATTCTTTTGCGCCAAATCGTATTACGCCATTTATTTAATTTTTTTAATTTTCCGGATTTTTTCTGTCATTGCTCATCAATTGTGTAGCACACGTTCATATTTGAATCTAATATTTTTCGCGCCATCTATAAATATTGACGTCTAAAACGGTGTCCGCATACACGCGACGGCGAATTACGGACTGGAGCTTTTGGAATTCTGCTGTTCTAAAAACGTATAGAAGAAATTTTGAAAAGTCTCAAACAAGGCGTTTTTTTTATTGGAAGAGAATGCGAAACCAAAAATAAGGTGGGCGGAGCCAAAATATTCGCTGTTCCCAAGTGACGTCAGAGCGGCACAGATTTCGGCTCTAATAACATGGCTTATCAAAGGCGCAGGCCTCCGTATTGCCAGAGGTTTTTGAGACGAATCGATTAAAAAAATTTTGAGACGAATCGATTACAAATTCTTTACAAAAAAGCAATTTTCTGCGCGAAAGCGGCGCAGTGCATGCACACGACACGCGACACTTTACGTAGAAAAAGTGGGCGTGGCGTAGTCGGAAAAACGCCGTGGAAAATGAGCAGAAGCTCTCAAAGATGACTAACAATTCTTGCCGCCGCCGACGTGGATATTGACGGGACCCTTCTGGCCATCTTTCAGGCCTTTCCTTGCCCGTTCCTTCTCGTCGTGCAACTCTCCAATCCTCAAAAAGACCTGAAAACCCATGAAAACCTCTCCTAAAAACCAATCAAGACCTGCTCCAAAGTGTTCAGGGAAAGCCCAAAAGTGGTGATCTTGGCGGACTGAATCGCTTTCAGGGTACTTTCCCGAGCCGATCTCGCCACCACTTGCGCGGCTCTGGGTATCTTCCCGTTTTGGACTGTTCTTTTCCGGCAAACTCACTGATTTTCTTGGATTTTTTCGAGCGCTTCGAACAAGGGAACAAATTTGGTTTTCTTCTCCGTTTCTGGTAGGTGAATTTGGATCTGTTTTCCATTTTGATGACCCTGAAAAGCTCGAAATCACTAGTCATCACTAGATATGATTTTTCAAAGTTGAGACACAGAATGACGGAAAAACAGAAATCGCAGACACAAAAACTACCGTGACTCGAAAAATCTCTACAGTAACCCATGATGGTATGTACGGAAAAAGTTCTTAAATTGCATTCCCTATCGATTGATATACAGTATGCCTAGAAAGAACGCATAGTTTATCAGATACGAAAAGACGCACCTGCCTACCGTAACCTAGCACCGGTAGGCGGTCTGAAAACTTGCGTCGGCATTTCTGATGTCATACTATCACAGTGGGAAAAAAATATTTTTTCTATTGTACCCACTGTTTTTGAGAATTACAGAGACAGCGTGTTAAAACTTGGATAGATCGTACCAACTGAGCGTCCTTGACGTAGTGATGACAGACTTTGAAAAGCTGTTCCTTGCTCATGGACTCTTCTTCGGCGACAACCGTCAGTGTATACCCACTTCCAAAGCTTCAGGACAGAATACATCAAAATCTTCGACTTTTTTCCAACTTCTCTTTCAGAAAATTGATACTTCCCGACGCTTCGACTCTTCCGGCGGACATGACAAAAACGAAATCGCCGAGTCTTTCGGCTTCGTCCATGTAATGGGTTGTTAGAAGAATGGTTCTAGAAAGAATTATGAATTTTCTCATGGGGGGTGACAGCGTAAGTAAACTTCAAATAATGAACTATTATAAACGAAGAACATTCCCTGGATGGAGTGGTTTGAAAAAAAAAACCCCTAAAACCTCTTCTTTTTCTCGTTGAGCAAGAGCTTCTGAACGTCGACGCGTGCTCCGGGATCCATGCCGGCAGTTGGTTCGTCGAGAAGGACCACCTAAAAAAAAAGCTAGTTGCTTGATTCAAGGTCAAGAGATAGTTTTCCGTTTCTTTTTTGAGATTACGGTATGTGAAAGTCCGCATTCGGAAACGCGCACTGCATACTTTTGCACTTTTTGAGATCTCCACACCGCAGTTCAGCGTGTCCAATGCACGAATTTTCCGCTGTTTCAATGTTGAAACGTGAATTTGAACGATTGGGAGATAGACCAGTTATCAAGTGCAAACATACATGCGTGAGATTGCGGACTTTTGAATACCGTACTCTTAGAAACTTCCACCTGAGACAAAGACAAAGAAAGACTCACCTGACTACCTCCAATCATCGCCAGAGCAACGCAAAGTTTCCTTTTCATTCCACCAGAGAGGTTTCGGGATTGCTAGGAACGCATAACTTTCACAGCAGTAAAAAAAAAACTTTTTTCGTTTTTAAGACGAGTTGTGGTGCTTTGAAAATGTGCTATGAAACTCAGAAAATTTTGAAAAGTCATTTTGTCAGAACATTTCATAGTAAACGTACGAAACTCTCTAGCTTTGAAAAACGAAGGCTTAAGGTCTGGAAATAACCTATTTTTACGGATTTTGGCCTTTTTTCAGGACTTTTTCTTCCGAAACTGAACATTTTTGCTTCTAACCTTGTAATCTGGTACATTGAAGTGTGTATTGCAAGGAGAAAAGACCAATTTTACTCATGACTTTTCCAAAAAGCTCTCAAAGACTATCTCAGCCTCCCTACTCGAACCAACCTCCTTCTTCTTCGGAGTGAGTCCGAGCTGATCCAGGAGGCTGTTCGCCTCGGCTTCGAACTCGCTTTTCGGGCCGCCCTTGATGGAATTGATCAGCCACAGGTGCTCCCAGCAGGTGAGCCTTTCGAAGAGCGGATTGTACTGGGGACACAGTCCAAAGACCTTTCGACACTTACTCAGGTCTTTATTCAGATTTAATCCAGCGATTTTGATCGAGCCTGGCAAAAATCAATGATTTTGAGTTATTGTCAGACTGGTTTTTATATCGATTTTCCTCAAAATTATAACTTTTTCAGTTTCCAAAAATCAATCTGCCCGCAATGGACTATAACAGCTAGCTTGGGACACGAAGGGGCGTGGCCTGTCTGAGCTCTACTCCAACCAAGTGTTATTTCTTTTTTCTTCGTATCAGGACCCTTTTTGTGGCTCAAGCTAGTCGTGAATAACTTATACGCAGAAAAACCAAAACTATCAAATTTTCAAGGACGCTCGGGTTTTTTTAAACCTCCAGATAGAGGGCAAATTCCGGAAATGCAGGAGAATGTGGTGCTTTTGCCGGCGCCGTTGTGACCGAGAAGGACGGAAACTTCGCCGCGAAGACATCTCATGTTCACGCCACGAACTGCCTTTTCTCCCGTCGGCCAGACCTTTGAAAAAAATAGATAGAAATTCCAGATCTTCCAATGAGCAAAATGAAGAAAAACATAGCCTTAAAGGTAGGGACCGCAAAGCCACGCCCCTTTTCGCGATAGAAAAAGTGGCTTTTTTTTGGTTTTCAACTTTCATTTTGATGTAGTTGTAAAATATGTGGAACTGGCAAATAAAATTTGACACACTTGTACAGAAAAGCTTCCTCTTTCGTTTAAAAAATATTTCACGCTTTTTTGATGCGTTCGCGCGGAATGTCGTACAAAAACGTGAATGGAACTAAAAAATTTTGTCGTTTTTTGCTTTTTCATGTGTTTTCAGGTCGAACGCACTCTTTCTTTTTTTAAATAATGATTTTGATTCAAGTAACGGTAATTTTAAAACAATAAAATAAAAAATTCGTCTTTGCCAAAAATTTTAGGGAGTGCCGAAAGTCGTAATTCAAAATATCGTTAATATGCGAATATAATCGAGTTTTTCTTTTTTCAAAATTTAGATCACGGGCTTACTTAAATATTTCTCCACAGAATATGTGCTTGAAAAAGTTGTTTAATACGCAAAAATGCTCTTGAAACTAGAGGATAAAATTAGCGGCGTTTATCACACAGAAAGCGGTCGAACGCAGGTTTTTTAAACGATTATATACATTTATTAGTAAAAAAATCTTTCAATTAAAAAGAATAAAAATAAAAATTCGTCTTTGCCAAAAAATTTACGGGGCCGTTTTAATGCAGCGATCGTTAAACGAGGCAAAAAGCACTAAAAAAACAGTTTTTTTCGAAGTGAATTTCCACGAACCGTTTGAGTAAAGATTTGCAAACATATTCTGATAAAAAAATAGCTAAATTACTTCAAGTTTTTTTCTTTTTGAAATAGACAATCTGTGCTATTCAAACGGCTCAAGGGTATGGCGGATGGAAGCTCCCCGCGTTGGACCTAACAGCTTGGCGCAACGCGTGCGCTCCGATTTTACATTTTGAGGTAGCGAGTTCGATGCCCGCAAGCGGCAGTTTTTGTTTTCTGGAAAATACCGACTTTTTTTCGACAAACTAGCTGATTAGCATCATTTTAGCACTCTAGTATGATTTGTTACATCATAATAGACCAGTATCAAAAATTTGTTCTAGAAGAAAAAAATCGAAAAAAATGTCAAAAATGGATAATACCAAAAATTTCAGTACTAAAAAAATGGTGCGCGGCGCGCCACCTTTTCCGTCATAACTTTTTTCATCCTCAATCTTTTTTGAAAAACTAAACGGTTCTGAGTTTTGAATCGAAACAGCTATCGAACCATACAAAGCTCAATGCTGAAAAAAATTTTTTGAAAATTCGTCTGCGGTCCCTACTTAAAGGCATAGGGGCAGTAAAAAATGGGGTTTCAGGTGAAAGCAGTATTTTATATAGTTTTTCTTTGCGAATCGAATGGTGTACTCAAAAAAATTACAGATGTGACAACTTTAGAAGAAAAAAACGCGCTTTGGATCGGTATGCAGACAAATGTTTACAGTAGCCGTGCACGTGATGTTGCGGACGTCTCATTAGACTCGCATTTTTTGTGAAATAACCGGCTATCTGCTTCAAATTAAGGGTTTTTTTTTCTGAAAAATCGAATAAGAAAACAGAAAACACATATTAACAATATAGAAAACACAAATAATCGCTTTCCCAATCGAAACCTGTGTAAAATCATCATTTTTCACCAGAAAAGCATTTTTGCGATTAAAGTGTGCAAACTATACATTAATAGAAAGCTTTTGTGACAAAAAGAACTTTGGTGACAACAGAAAAAATTAAAAACCGAGAGAAACGAAGAAAAAAGCGAAAATCCGGAAGATGGCGAAGCCTATTGTCCATGGAGCAACTTTACTGCAAAGCGCCCTTTTCGCGGGAACTCAAACGTTCCTCTCTCCGACTTTGAATTATTTTTTCTCCGAAACTAGGAACTTCTGTACATTTCCAAGTTCACCGTTCGATTCGCAATGAAAAGCTCTACAAAGTACTGATTCGAACTGAAACACCGTTTTTTACTGCCCCTATGCCTTTAATTTTCCTTTAAAATATAGAAAAAGAGAGAACTACACGTACTTTTAAACAGAAAAAGTCTTAAAGACCTCATAAAAAAAGCCTTAAAAAAAGAGCTTAAAGCTCCTTTTTAAGTTGTCCAAAGTTTCTCGCAATCTCCTTTTCTCCATATTTTTTTGCCTTGCATCTCCTTAAAAGGCCCTTTTCAGAAAAAGGTCTAGAAAAAAAAAGCGAAATCCTTTTTGAGACCTTTTGGACTTTGCCCGTGTTTCCGCTTAGATGTTTCCAACCAAAAAACACCAAATCATAAAATCTCCTTTTTTGACTGTAAAAATATTCGATTTTTTGCACGAAAAAATATCGGGAAATTATCATCCTATAGCTCAATTCCGCAACTTTCATACCTTGACGAGGTTCTCGATGTCGATGTCCGCCACAGCTTCCTTGCGACCGTTCACGACTTCATGCCAATCGTCTTCTCCTTTGTCTTCCTGATTTCAAAAGATGCAGAAAAAACCCAATTTTTTTTTGTTGGGTGCAAAAATTTTTGGAAAAGATCTACCCATCTCGGCCTTTACTACTAAGAAAAACCGCCGAGATAAACGCGAGGTTGGTGGCGTTATATTAACAAACTCGCGAACATCTCGAGTTTTTTTTTTCGATCCCGCATTTAGAAAATCAAAATCATTCGTGAAAGACATTTCGGGTCTAAGAACGGTAATAACAGGGCTTATTAAAGGCGCAGGCCGCCGTATTGAGGGTTTTGAAACGATTCGTTTCTACAAGAACGCATCTTTCTGCGCGAATGCGGCGCAGTGCATGCACACGACACACTAAACTTTACGGAGAAAGAACAGATGTCGAAAAAACGCCGTGAGGAAGCGCTTTTTAGAATGCGAGACTTGCGAAATGGTCAATGTGTGGTCCGTTCGACGCGACTTGACAGTTTTCGCGTGTCTGCGTCTCTCTGTTCTCTTCGCGGCGAGGTCAGAGGAACGCGAAAATAGCGCGTCAACAAGAGAGGGTCGCCAAGAGACGAGGAGGGCTCAGACAAGTCCCGTCCTTTCAAATCGCGAAAAATGGACTATACCGCCAACAACCTCGCTTTCCTCGCGCGCCAGACTCGGCAGTTATCGACTTTTCATTTTGTAAGAATTTGAAATCAAAAATGAAGCTCACGGCCGCGTCGTCAGCTTTTTTCATCTTCCGACGGCACAGCGTCAAGAGCTTCTTGATGACGCCGTCTCGGAGTAGGGAGATGATCCAGGCGATGAGCAGCATCCAGACGACGTCGAAGAACAACATGATTATGGCGCTACTGGGCGTGTAAACGTGTGAAGGTTCTCTGAAGCCGCTACTGAAGTCCACCGTCGAATCTGTAATCGATAAAGTTTCTTTGACTTTTGAGAAACTCTTCTTGGATTGAAAAGCGAGCCTTTAGAGTCTACTCTCCAATCCTCGAAAGCTAGAGAGCACTGGTGAACGAGAGAGTGTCCCGAGAAAGAGAAAAAAAGCCGCACTCTCATCTTTGAACGCTCTCTAGCTTTCGAAAATGTTCGCAGATTCAGATTTAGATTCCAGGATTCCGTACGTGTTTTTCAAATCTTCGTAGGCTAAAGAGCACTCATGAACGAGAGAGCAATCGAGAGAGAGAGCGAGAGAAAAAGGCTACTCTCTCATCTTTAATCGCTCTCTAGCGTTTGGAAAGACTCGAAGATTTATACTTGAGTTCTGAAACTTGTACCAAGCTTGTCGGAGCCGCATCGCGTACGCAACGCGTCAAAAAAAAAATTCAGCCCTGGAATGGCCTCCCTTGTCAGACAAGCTTGATTCTTCACGTTATTTGATTTAAAAAAAAGCTCATAAATTAGAAAAAAACGAACTATTCGATTCCTAATGAAAAATAGTGATACGAACTTGTTGAGCCGTAAATTTTAGACGCAGCGACGAACAGATGCATGGCTGAGTTGAGATTCAAGGACACCAGCCAACAATCGGATATTTTTTCGACTTCCGGTGTCCATATCATCATTCCACAAGAGATCGCCCAAAAACATAGCGATCCTGAACGGAGGAAAACTCAACGTTGTGACAAAAGTAGGTTCGAAAAGCATGATGACGTGCTGCACGGCGTTTTTGTTAGTGGAAGAAAATGTGAAAGAAAAAATAATGGGGCTGGAGTCAAAACTCTGCCGTTCCCATTTGACATCATCGGAAACAAGCGTAAGGGAATATTAAAGGCGCATGTTAAATTGGTCATGAGACGAATCCATTCATCATTAAAAAACGCTATTTTTTTGTTTCATGTTTTTTTGCTGTGTTCAAAGTGATTCCGCGAAATTCAGAATAGCCTTCAGAAAGTGAAAAACATGATTGATTTTCAGAAATTCAAAAATGATTTTGAAATTCGCAAGAATTGATTTTAAGACGTCCTGTGCGAGAGCGTCGCAGTGCATGCACACGACACACTACACTTTACGGAAAAATATGAGCAAAAAAAACGCCGCGGAATGTAAAAAGGTTTGCCAACGGGTATCAAGTTTTTGTAACCCGATTTTTCATCGAAGCTTTTTTTGTTATTGTATAAAAAAAAACCTTTCAAAGCCCCGGCGCTCGTCTCGAAAATTATTCCCATCGCGGTCCCGAACGATGTCGCGGCCAGTCCGTAAAGGATCACCATAACCAAGAAATATCCAGGTGATATCGTCTGGAAAAGGGAAAGTTTTCCATATTTTCATTTTTAATGCCACCAAAAATGGTTATGAAATGCAACAAAAGAGACAAATTTCAGCCATGATTTTTCAAAACAGGTCTTGTATAGCTGAGTCACGGCTGGTTTGAGACTCTAAGGGGGCGTGGCCTGTTTGTGCTCTCCACGAGCCATGCGCTATCTCGTGCATTATCGTGTCAGGACCCTTTTTTCGATGGTTCCGTGAATCAGATATAGAAAAAAAGGGATAGTCGACCCCTTCAAGTGATCACTAAAGAAAAAAAAAGATTCACTTTAGCGACTACTTGGGGTTTTCGAGTGACTCCCTAGGAAAGATTTGGAGCCTCAACAATTCTCGTTTCACCTACTTTGCGGAAAGTTTGAGGCAAAAAGCTCGGGCAAAGCCTGAATGGTGAATAATGGCCGCTAAAAGGGAGGGGCGCAAAAAAGGCCGCAAAAAGGCAGCAAAAAGGCCGCAAAAAGGCAACAAAAAGGCCGCAAAAAAGCCCCTTTATTAAGCCTTCCATTTGTCTAGGATATCGAAGGCTCGAGGAATGGTGGAAAAGGGGGAGGCCGCAAAAATTGTGCATAAGGGTCGAGAAAATGGCGCAAAAAGGGAGCCTTTGTCCCCCTGAAGGGAACATTTCTATGAAGCCGCGTTGCAGTCAAAAAGCCATCCACAGCTATCCCTTGAACATTTCACATTTCGCCGTACCCCGATAGGAAGTCCGACGAAAAAGAGCGGTATCGCACAGAACAGTAAGAACTTGCAATAGGCAAACTGTGCATGTGAGAAATAGTATTGGAACGAAGACATGCCGAAGGTGTGCAGGTAGTCCTGGAAACGATTCCGATCATTTGACGTTTCTGGGCAGCTCTAGGGATCACTTAAGAGTGCTGGGGCTACTAAAGTGATCACTAGGAATGCTCCGATTCGAACGAACCCCATTTCACAACAGTTAGGCAGGTTTTTTTATTCGGCTACGCGGTTATTTCATCATCATCGCCCGCCAAACCCTGTAAATTGGGGGGAACGCACCTTTATATTGGCCTTCTCAGCGGCGATTTCCCTTGCAGTCACCATGACCATGAAAACCGTCATCAATGGTATCAGCGAGGTCAGAGCAAAAGATGCAGTAACCATCGCCAATTTAGGTTTGAACTGAGGATAGAACGGTATTATGGTGATCTAAACATTCTTCCAATAAATTGAATCAAAAGATGAAATCTTTTCCGTTGAAAAAAAAAAATATTTTTTTTCTGTGGGCTCAACAGAAGAAAAAAAAACCTGATTTGCTGGAATGGTAACGTTGGCGTCCACTAGAAAAGATACGCCGAGAAGAAACAGGTAGTCAATCAGGTGCGAATGGTACGCGCTCTCGTTATTACTGAAAATTAGTGACTTCGAATTTATTTCAATTTCGAGTTTTCGAGGCAGGGTTTTTGTGACACGGCGTTACCACCAGGCTTGTGCGAGGGCCGGCCCGTCACCCTCCCGGCCCCCCGACCATTTCGTAAGCCCGGCCCGGCCCGGCCTTAGAGGGGCCTCAAGAAAAAATGGCCCGCCCGGCCCAAAACGTGCAATTTTTTCTAGTCGGATAACGAGTTTTTTTACAATAAAGTTTACGTTTTTTCTCATTTTTTCACTTACAATTTAACAAAAACTATGATTTCAGAAGTAAGAGTCACATTTCGGTGAAAGTTTTTCAAATGAAATTTTAAATTTTTTTTTGAAGCCCGGCCCGGCCCGAGCCCACGCGGGCTTTTTCCTGAAAATGAGACCCAAAGCCCGGGCCGCTCGGCCTGACGCACAAGCCTGGTTACCACACAGTGGAAGCGGAACGTAAATTTTGCCACCACGCGTCGCATTGGAGCGAACTTTCCTCCATGTGCCAATTGTTTATTTTTATTAGGCCTTAAAGCAGCATATTTAATATTTTTACAAATTTATTGGCTTAAATTCCAAAAATCTGATTTGACTAAGTTGTTAAGATATTTTTGCTCTATCGTTTGGTCGTGGAACGTATTTTCCCGTTGCTTGTGAAAAATCTTATGTTCAACTCAAAATTTTCGAAGTTTTGCGAAATGGAAAAAAAAGACTGGATTTGCAGTCTGGAGTTTTCTCTAAACTTCTATTGTTGAAAAATCCAATCTTCGTATGTTTCACAGCGTTTTCGACGCGTTTTCCGTTTATTTTTCGATTTATTCTGGCTTACAGTCGTTAATGCAGAAGCTTGCTAAAAAAGACAATGTGAACGATAAGCAATACAAGTTTAACGACTAAAAGGTGTACATAATAACTTTGGCAAAGTTCGGAAAATTGGCAAAGTTTGCTTCATAGCAAAAAAAAACCCACTAGTAAGAAATTTGATCAATCCGTTTTCACCTGCTAATCACCTAACAATCACGTAAAAGCTGTGAAATGCTCCTTATCATCGATATTCATGAGAAGATCGTTAGCGAAAAATGTAAAAAATGAGATCAAAGACTGTTGGCAACTGGCCAAATTGTGAATTGATGGTTCGTATTTGCGTCACAGTCTATTGCGGCCAATACAGCTGACCGCACAGAGCGGTGGCAGAAATTTTTATTCTTGGTAACGCCGTGAGTGACTCTGCTCAGCCAAAAGACATTGGAGATACATAATTTACGTCAATTTCTTGTTTCGAGCTTTCGAAATTATACGCACTTCTGCCTGGGATGCTTAAAGGCATAGGGGTAGTAAAAAAGGGTGTTTAGTTCAAAGCAGTAGTTTGTAGAGTTCTTCATTGCGAATCGAACGGTGAACTTGGAAATGTACCAAACTTCCTAGTTTTGGAGAAAAAACAGTTCAAAGTCGGAGAAAAGAAAGTTTTCCCGCGAAAAGGGCGCTTTGCAGTAAAGTCGCTCTATGGACAACACGTATCGCCATTTTTCGCATTTTCGCTTTTTTCTTCGTTTCTTTTCGTTTTCAATTTTTTCTGTGATCAATAAAATTCTTTTCGTCCTTGAAAGTTTCTATTTATAAGGAATTTGCAAACTTTGTTCGCAAAATGCTTTTCTGATGAAAAACGATGATTTTACACAGGTTTCGATTGGGATTGCGATATTTTGTGTTTTATTTATTATCGGTGTGTGTTTTCTGTTTTCTTGATCAATTTTTCAGAGAAGAAAGCCTGGATTTGAAGCAGATATCCGGTTATTTCTTCCAAAATGCGAGTTTAATGAGCCGTCCGCAACATCGCGTGCACGGCTACTGTAAACAGGTCTGCATACCGATCCAAAGCTTTTTTCCAAATTGAAGGCGGGAAAGTAAAATCGCGTTTTTCTTCTAAAGTTCTCACATCTGTAATTTTTTTGAGTACACCATTCGATTCGCAAAGAAAAACTATATAAGATACTGCTTTCGCCTGAAACCCCATTTTTTACTGCCCCTATGCCTTTAAAGTGTCAAAAACCTTTAAAAGTGGCCACTACAGTATACGAATATTCTTATTTTGCTTGCGTTTAGAATGACGTTATGGCTCAAGTTTGAAATTTCGCCTATTTCGCGTGGAAAAGTCGTTTTTGGTCGGGTGCACCTCAATGCTTACCGCGTCGCAGCCGCTACACGTTGAGCTACCAACTTTTTTTTTTTTAAATTTCTCAAAAACGAAACAGCACGCTACTATAAGGGTTCGAAGTCGAACTTCATTTCAAATTTATTTCAATCAATTATATCATAAACTTTTTTTTAAATTCAATTTTTACCGAAGTAAGCGCTCACTAATTCAACTACTATAATGGCCACTAAAACGGCCAACCCCTAGAGGGGCCACAAAAAACTTCCACAGTTGCTGCTCACCCGTGAGTAAAGTGCGTATTCCACTCGGCATCTAATGGGAGTTGCCTATACTCTACGGGGTGGAGATGCACGTCAAAGTCCAAATAAGTGTCATCGGTATCATAACTGTTGACAGCGATGCCGAAGCTGAAAAATTAATAATTTTCGAATTCTTCAATAAAAAAATTTGCATGGAATACCTAGCGTTTTTGTCGGTGATCACATTTTTGAGGTCGTCGAGATTTTTGCTGATGACGTTTTCACTGTGATTCTGGAATAATAACAATGTGAAATACAACTATTGAAATCGATTTTTTTTTACTAGAAAGACCATAAAAAAAGTTTAAATAGCTGACTCGGTCCTGACACGACAAGAAAAAGAGATAGTGCTTGGTTACTGGAGAGCGCAGACAGGCCACGCCCCTTTGCGTGCAAAGTTCGTCATGTTATACTGTAGTAATTAATTTGTTGCGGTCTCGACTGGGGAACTGGCGGGGATCGTGACTTAGGAGTTCCAGAGCGGTCCCTATAGGGGCTACCTTAGGGCCCTTGAAGGGTCCCCTCTAAAAACCACCTTACCAACCTTATAGGGGCGACTAGAGCTTGCAAAAACAGTCCCTAAAGGGGTTTTAGTTGAGGGCCCCCTACAGAGGACTTACTGGTCGATAATTTTTTCACAGTTTTTGAAGAAAATTGAACGAACACTATGAGGACCACTTTTGCGGTCGCTATAGTGCCCTTTTCCCCCTAACCCCTATGGGGATCACTCAAAAATACCTATGTGAACTCGAACGTATTTTTTCCTGATACTTTCTCGATTATTTTTGCGTTGAAAAAACAAATTAATTAGTAAAATTAATTCATTTTTTTCCAAGCGCACGTCTGAATTTAAAAAAAAAAGTTAAATTACAGTAGCCAGGAAAAATAGACTTTAAAATTGTTCAAATATCTAGGGTCCGCAAGCCATTTCTTCAGAACGATTCAAAAAATATGTTTTCCACATTGTTCGATAGAGGAGACTGTCCATTTTCATAATCCGTTTAGTTTTTGAAAAAAAGTCCACTAAGAAAAAAGTTATGGCCAAAAAACTAGCGCGCGCGGTGTACAACTGGAGGCAAAATCTCACGGTTTACCCGCTGACGCACGCTTTCTTTTTAAATGTTTTTGCGCATTTCTGAACCGTTTTCGAATCGGTTTTCTGTTCTGAGAGGTTGTCAGAACTGAGCTCAACGTTTTGGTATAAATCTTTTGTATAAATCTCATAAGAATTTTTTTGATAAAATATCAAAAAAACTACTTAGAAAAAAAGGTCAGAAGGAATTTTCAGCTTATTTTACTTTTTTTCTAATCAGAAAAAAATTATTATCATTCGATTTGGAAGAAAGAAAAAATGAAAAATAACGTTATTTCGAAATAAAAACAGGAAAAAAAGTGCAATTTGACTCCGAAAAACGGCTCCTGCAACATTTAAAATGGCGCATCGGTGTGTTTGACGCAAACACAGCTACGAACGCTTGCACGAATTCTTCCAAAATTTCAAAAAAAATTGCCATTTTTTCGAGGTTTTCAAAGCCGTTATTTTTTTCGCGTCGTTAGATTTTTTTCATAATTTTTTCATTGATAGAGTTTTGAACGCTTAATAACATAATCAAAAATATAGACGCGATCCTATTCTCTCATGCGTCAACGAGGCAGACGAAAAAAAGGAGGTTTTGGTAATATTCAAATATAATTTGATTCGCTGTCCCAATAATTATTTTCATTCTGAATTTTTTTATTTTTTTGAACACATTGTGAGTTTTTAAATCAAATAAAAAGTATACCTTGTCGCTGAAATTTTTTCGCATTTCAGCTTCAAAGTTTGGTGTCACTTTACAAGCTTCGATTTTTTTTTCGCGTCGTTAGATTTTTTTAAATTTCCACTCAAAAAATAAAGAAAGTGTTAATAAGTAACATACTCAAAATTTGGAAGCGATCCTCACTTGGTTTTCTGAAACGCGACGATTTTGTGAAACTTGTCTGTTTTTTTCGAGTTAAATCTTACTTTTTTTCGCTTATTTTTTTGAAAAAAATACGTAGTTTTAAAAAAATATTCAGACTTGTAGAGCGTTGTCGATTACATAGATTAACAGAAACAGTTCATTTTTAAAGTGGGACTTTAGCTAGTATAAACGCCTCAAAACCGTTTTTGCAACAAAAAAATCGTCATTTTGGTGGCGTGAAGGGGCGGGGCTTTGCGCCCCCTACAAATATCTCAGCCTGCCAAAAAAGACATGTTTAGTCTGTTCTGATTTTGAATGTCAAGTCGCCTCTCAAGCTCCGCCCCTGATGGTGCGATAAACCAATCAGAGAGCGAGCCATCCACAGAGTGTTTTTCGAATGACGTCATTGCACTTGACATTAAAAATATGAGCAGACTATAGAAAAACCAAACCTGGACTTGGCTTTCGAACGTTTTACATTTGGATTTACAGCTGAAAAAAAAATAAATAAATGGAAAATAATAACAGGCAAGGAACATACTAGACTGCCACGATTTTTTCTTCATTCGGATGACTCGAGTTGCTCAAATTTTCTCCGAGCGTGTACTTCTTGGGTACCCAGTCTTCTTTCATATTCTCCTGGTTTGTCTATAAAAAAACTTTTCCGAAAAATAATAAGATAAAAAAATAACTCATTGACTTTTTTTGCTTATTGTTAATATTTTTTTAATTTTAAAGCGAAATTTTCTGAAATTTTTTTGATTGACGTTGCTTTCTAACATGGATTTGAATCTATGAAAAAAAGGAGAGAAATGTACAAAAGAATCTTAAAACAATCCGATAAAGATGCGGAATTTCGAAAAGCGTGTGTCGCAGCGAAAAAGGAAGCCAGGCTGGCAGATACGGTAGCCACTAGATTTTCTTTTCTCTATTGAAACGCACAGTGTTCCAAAAGAGACGGCGGCAAGCGAAAAAAAAGGTCGTCGCAATGGGGCGAAAACGCGAGTTTTTTCTAACGCAACGCGGTGCGGCGCGTGTCACCCCCACAAAATTTCATTCACTTTTAATACGGTTTTTTCTCTTTTTCTTGCGTATTTTACCATTCTTTCGTATTTTTTCACATTTTATGTGCTCTTAAAACGTGTTTAACGCGTTTTCCAGAGATTTGAAGTGATTTTCGATTGTTCTCGTCACAGAAATTCGCATTAAAATGACATTTTTGATGACAACTTATTTCGCATAAGATATTTCGTTTGTTTTTTTGTTTTGGAATTTTCAAATGGGCTTTCTTAAAAGAAACGCTTTGAGATTTTTCTCAAAATTTTTTTTTCGAGGCAGTCTTCGACGGATTTATTCTTGAAAATGTCATTTTGGGTGACAACTTTATTCGCACAAGCTATTATGTATCTGTTTTTGTTTTAAAACGTTCAAATGGTATTTCTTAAGAGAAGTGCTTTGAGCTTTTTCTCAATTTTCCCTTTGGAAGTTCGATTTGACGAGTTTTCCTAAAAAAACGACATTTTGGGAGATATTTTAATCTGCAAAAACTTTTTCGTTTCTTTTTTCATTTAAATTTGTTCGTTATAATTTAATACACATTAAAAATCTTTGAAAACTTGCGAGAACCTAGGAAAAACATCATTCAATGGTCTTTTTCCAACCACTAAATCCACGAAACTTGACTCTCATTCCCGCGCCCCTATTGCAATAAACCGTGCCGCTGTTGCAGTCAGCCACGCCTACTGACCACAGCTGCCGCCCGTTTGGGAACACTGTGAGCCTTCAAATTGTGAGTAAAACCTTCCTAATTTTTGCTCTTCTAAAAAGGAAACCTTACGTTGATAACTACAAGCAGAGAGAACATCATCAAGCAGAGCAACAATGGGACGCCGATTTGAAGAACTGTCCACATCTTGTTTCTCTTCATCAGAATGAGATTCTTGACGAAAAGCACACGCAGTGCCCTGGAACAAAAGGAGCACAATTATTTACAAAACTAAATTCAATTTTTGCGTTTTATTCATTCATTATTTACTTTTTCATCTGAAAACGGTTGAACAGATACAAAAATAGGGTTGAACGGGCTTTCCGAAAAAGAGGTCGAGTTAAATCGCAAACTATAGTCTGTTCAGATTTTAAATGTCAAGTCCTCGCTCAAGCTCCTCCCCTAATGGTGGGATAAACCAATCAGAGAGCGAGCCACCCACAGAGTGTTTTCGAATGACGTCATTTTACTTGACATTCAAAATCTGAACAGATCCCCATGACGTCATATTGACTCGCAGCACACGCTTATTTGATTTATTTTTTTAACGTTTTGAATTCATAAAATTAGATTCGACGCGAATTATTTTCCATTTTATTTCAGGCTCTTCCCATTCTACAATTTTTTTCACGTAAATAAAATAAATATATAGCCAAATATTTTGATTACGCTTATTTCTTGTGTTCCGAATGATGTCATAAATGCCGTGTTCAAAGTAATTTCGGCGTTTTCAAAATAGACGCGTTATTCGTTCAAAATGATTCCGGGAAATAGGCGGAATTGGTATTCTGCGAAGGTGTGTCCTACAACGATATATCGTTGGATACGCATTTTTACGGTGAGTTTTACGCGCCATTTTGAATTTCAGTAGAAAATGCCCAAATTCCAAAATTTTGAGTTCCCGCGAAGAAATTACGGTAAAAATGCATATTTAACGATATATCGTTGTATAGTCAATGTTTCCCGACTTGAAAGGCGAGGGAGGCGGGGCAGGGGGCGGGACGCGTAGCGTGTGCGTACGCGGTTCTTGCCACGTGTTCAATTCAACCGCCATCTACTCTTTGAAAAGCCCGTTTATCGCTCTTTTCACTCCTTTTTCAACTGATCATCGGTTTTGTCCATGTGTGTATCAAAAAAAAGTAGAAAACACTGAAAAAGAGCGGTTGTCGAGCTTTTTAAATAGTCGGCGACAGTTGAATTGAACGCGTGCCAAGAACCGCGAACGCACACGCCACGCGTCCCGCCCCTTGCCCCGCCTTCTTCGCCTTTCAAGTCGGGAAACATTGACTATAGGATTCATTTTTTCTGCAGGGGGTAGCGGTTTGCGATTTAACGAAAACTTCAAAAAAGTCGGTGGCGCTTGTTGAACTCGTGCCAAGGACCGCTTACGCGCACGCATCGCGTCCCTCTTTTTGAATTTCGCGGAAATTACTTTAAGTTACAGATATTTCAGAGTGATCCCTATAGGGGTCAGAAGGAAAAACAGCCCCCATACGGTCCGAAAAAGTGGTCTTAACAGGCTGGTCTCTATAGGGACCACTCTTGTAAGCTTTAGTGGCCCCTATAGTAATGTGGTCCCTAGAGGGACCCTCCAAGAGCCCCTGAGGTTGCCCCTAGAGAGACCACGTCGGAGTTCTTAAGCTTGTGGAATACTTTTTGAAGGCCTGCGGGATATCCGGAAAATTGTCGGGCACATCTCCCCGAGAAACGCAAATATAGTCAATGTTTCCCGACTTGAAAGGCGAGGGAGGCGGGGCAAGGGGCGGGACGCGTAGCGTGTGCGTACGCGGTTCTTGGCACGAGTTCAATTCAAGCGCCAGCGAGCATTCATAGAGCTTATTTATCGCTCTTTTCACTCCTTTTTCAACTGATCATCGGTTTTGTCCATGTGTGCATCAAAAAATAGTAGAAAATACAGAAAAAGAGCGGTTGCCGAGCTTTTTAATTAGTCGGCGGCGATTGAAATAAACTGGCGCCAAGAACCGCGTACGCACACGCTACGCGTCCCGCCCCTTGCCCCGCCTCCCTCGCCTTTCAAGTCGGGAAACCTTGACTATAATAGGAAAGATTGCATAAATCTTGGCTTCCAAGTGGACTAGGTAAACTAGGAAGAGAATATCGGTATATTCTTAAATTCTGTGATTCGAGGCGCAACTTTCAAGATACCCACATTTTCGGGAAGTTTTGGAGCTCCCGAGTTTGGCGCCGACCAAGATTCCGGTTCTCCTTCTACTTTCTGCGATGGGAATGACGCTGGTCTCGCTGGAGCAGACACGTTCAGTTCAACTTTATTTTTTCAATTTGTTGATTGTTTCTCTTTGTGAATTGATGAAACCGTGGAAGCCTTCTTCCTTGAATTTTCATTGAAAGTTCTTCGTTAAAACATTATCAACGTGAAGTATGAATAAGGTTTGATTTATTGCTCGATGAGGTTTTTTCTTATTCTTGTTGTGTTGTTAATAGCATGTCCGGTGGTGAGTCGTAGCATAATTTTTGGTACGGAAAAGTTTCGAAAATTAGAAAATTCAAATATTCAGTTAGGCAAAGTCGGGAAGGGTGGAAATGGTTCCATTGAAATATTCGTTTTGGGGTGAAAAAGATTCCTTTTTCCTGCCTTTTTGGGCCAATTCTTCGGCTGTTTTGCACCATTTTTGTTGCCTCTTCCTTTTCTCACCATTTCTTGAGCCTTTAAAATTCCATAAAAATGGAAGGCTTGATAAAGGGTCTCTCTTCGCTGCCTTTCTACGGCCTTTTTGCTGCCTTTTTGCAGCCTTTTTCGAGCTTCTCCCTTTCAGCGGCCATTATCCACCCTACAGACTTTGCCCGAGATTATTTTTTCCTCTTTGACCAGAGCGAAAAAATTCGGGCAAAGTCGGAATAGTGGATAATGGCCCCTAAAAGGGAGAGGCTCAAAAAAGGCAGCAAAAAGGTTTCCTTTATCGAGCTTTCCATTTTTTCTGCGGCTTAAAAGACTCTGGAAATGGTGGAAAAGGGAGAGGCAGCAAAAAGGGTGCAAAACAGCCGATGAAATGGCGCAAAAAGGCAGCAAAAAAGGATCCTTTGTCTCCCGGAAAGGGACATTTCAATGGACCCTGTTCTTTAAAGAAACTAGATTTTCTTACCAATTTTTATTTTGACAGGTGTTCGGGAATGTCGTTACCGATGTGGCGAAGTCGCTATGTGTTGGTTCAATACTTATAATATAACTGTTTCTTTGGTTTCTTCCAGAGCCAGAACATTTTGAACAAACTTCCACTGTGTCCACCGCCACCGAAAAAACGTAAAATTGTACACAATTACGAAGATATCGAAGAGGACGATGAGGAACACTTGAAAAACAAAAAAAGTTCGGGCGGACCTCGGCCATCGCCGCCAAAGTCTGGTGGCCGCGATTTTCGGGTCAGTTAATTATTTTTAATGAAAAATTTTATTTTTAGCTTTGAATGCTCAAAAAGGTTAGGCCCCATTTGGGTTTAGGCTGGGTTGGAAAAAAAAGGGCGTTTCGTTAACTTTTTCTCATAACCAAATATGATCCAGAAAACGATTTTTAGGAAATTTGAAAACAAAACCGAATATCGTCACTCAGCTAGTTTTCGAGGTACGGTAGCTCAAAGGATTACGGTGAAAAGCTTTGAACTCGGAAAAAAAAAATCATCAAAACTCAACTAAAGGTTTTCACAAGGTGTAAGATTAACTCAGTTTTTCAAAACCTAACATCTCATATTCGCTCATTATTGCTCATACTAGCAGATTCTAAAGTTCAGCAATTTTTTTTAACTTCATTTATTATTGTCTTGCTCAACATATTATCAATAGAAAATTTGAAAAACTGAACATTTTTTTAGTCTGGCCTGGCTCTCGCAGTGGTTCTGGCCAATCTCTCTGCTTCTTTTCTTCGATTCTGATCCAACTTTGGAAAAATTTTCCACAGAGAATTAAATTTTTTTCACAAGGCTGTTATATTTCACCATAAAAAAAGCAAAGAATAATGTTTTTTTGGTATAAAAATTCAAGCCGTGGCTTTTTCGATTTGCGGTGTCTAGTTTCTCAAAAATGTTTTTAAAAATTGGCGATTCTGCTTGAAAAACAAGTCTGAAATGAGAAAAAAAATTTCTTTCCGGAGCTTGATTTTCAAAAATTAACCTCCAAAATCCGGGTAGACTCACATGAAACATCAGAAAAAAAAACCATTCGACAAGATTTTTCAAATTTATTCACATCGGACAAAAAACTTCAAGAGAACGGTGTTAAAAAAATATTGACGAAAGGAAGTAAGAGATATCCCACTCCGACAATCTGAAAAATCCAATTTTCTAACTTTCGGTGCTCACAAGGAGGTCATTTAACTTTGGGAATTTCTTGAAAATTGGCCGAACTTTGATGGACCAGAAGACTATCCTGAAAGTTTTAGCCTGCTGAAATCCCGGGTTTTTGAGAAATGAGGACAGAAAGTCCCAAATTGGCCTATTTTGACGGATTTCGAGGCGTTATTTCTCAAAAACTTGGACCTTGTGCAGGTTAAAACTTTCAGGATCTTTTTTTGGTACCTCAAGGAATATCCTGGCCAATTCCATGAAAATCCCATTAAATGACCATCCTTGTCAAACAAAGTAAGAAACAAAAAAAAAGGCTCACAAGGGTCGAAGAAGCAGATTTCAAGTTTCTATCTTGACGTGCTGAATGTACCACGCCCTCAATATCAAAAAATAATTCAGAATTGAAAAAAATTTTGCTCACTTCTTTGGTTTCAAGAACAGAACGTATTTGGAGAGAGAAATCCTGAAAAAAGGGATATTGGAAGTAGTGAAGTTCATTCACTGCTTTCTTGAGAAAAGGTATTTTAACCTATTTTCAAAGTTTCAAGAGGTCAAGAGGTTCTTGATAAAAATCAATCAAATCATAAATTTCTTGGTACAAACTTGGACACGTTTAGATGAGTGCGACGCGTTTTTGGCGCCAATTCAAAATTTAATCCTTCAGTTGTGAATATTTCATTTATTTAAAAACACGATCTCTGAGATTTTCGATACTAATATTTCAAGTTTTTTTCTGAAGCATTAATTTCACGTTGCCCCGAAAAATGTCTTCATATAAATAAGTGAAAAAATTGAATACAAAACCGCTAGGCAGATCGTCAACACCACTAGCCAAAAAAGCTTCATTGCGAAATGGTCTTGAGTTTTTCACGTTGGATTTTCGATTTTTTCAAGCACGCATTTGAAAAATCTCTGTGAGGGATACTTGAATTGGACCAAATATCCAGTTTTCGAAAAAAAAATATTTCAGATCCTTTTGTTAAGTTTCTCAAACAGCTTTTTTCATGCATTCCTTTTTTCCAAGCTTCAGGTCAGAAAAACCCGATTTTCGGACCAGAATCAGTAAAATTTGATTTAAATATAGTCAATGTTTCCCGACTTGAAAGGCGAGGGAGGCGGGGCAGGGGCGGGACGCGTAGCGTGTGCGTACGCGGTTCTTGGCACGTGTTCAATTAAACCGCCATCGACTCTTTGAAAAGCCCTTTTTTCGCCTTTTTCATTCCTTTTTTCCATTGTTTATTGATTATGTTCATGTGCGCATCAAAAAATAGTAGAAAATAACAAAGAAAGAGCGGTTGCCGAGCTTTTTAAATAGTCGGCGACAATTGAATTGAACTCGTGCCAAGAACCGCGTACGCACACGCTACGCGTCCCGCCCCTTGCCCCGCCTCCTTCGCCTTTCTAGTCGGGAAACATTGACTTAATCAGCAAGTATTTTGCTTTTAAAGCGCCGCAAATGATGCGGAAGACCATGGGTGCCGAAATTTCTAATTTCACCAAAAAAGAAGACTTTCATGGCTGCTTATTGTTTTCATGATGATTCTATTACCTTGCCAGAAAGAGATAAGAGGGCACAGGCAGGCTAGACTTCTTCATCTCCTGATGAACGGAAACGATATCGATCGAGAAGTAATAAACTTTCCAATCTTCTGATTTTCCCCAATAACAAGCTTCAACGTGAACTACGTGTTCAGTCAGTGCAAGTCCTGGTCATTCCTTCCTCTTTCTTTGAAAGAGTCGAACTTCTGAGCTTCAGCAACTTCTGGATGACCACCGAAAGCTGACAAAATGCAAGAATTTCCCTGTGCTCCCAGTTTCATAAAACCTTTCAGGAAAGTTCGGAAAATTAAAATTTTATTCAAGAAAAATTGGATATTGATGAAAAGGAACAAGTTATGGACCGCCTTTCAAATCATCTTCCCGTTCATGTTCAACGCCGGATTCCTTGCGTTTGTGATATTCATGCGGGTCAGTTTTTCTTCCTATGTTCTGTGGTTTGATCAGAATATAGTTCGTTCAGATTTTGAATGTCAAGTAGAATGACGTCATTCGAAAACGCTCTGTGTGTGGCTCGCCCTCTGATTGGTTTATCGCCACATTAGGGGCGGAGCTTGAGCGAGGACTTGCATTTAAAATCTGAACAGACTATATTCATCCTTGAGTGATGGCTGGGTAAAGCCGTGACTTTTCCATAACCGTTCTTCGGTTGGGTTGCGACGGGGATCGAACTTGTGACCCCGTGAACCGTAGACAGGCACACAACCTGTTGCGCTACGGCGCTCAAAGTAAAACAACTTCAAATAGTCTTCAGGGGAAGAAAGACGTGCTTGAAGTGGACAAAGTATCGATCGGAATGCTCACATTGGGTCTCGACAAGCCTGACCTTGACGACGTCTTCTTCAACACAACTGTTGGCTTATAGTGAATCTAGTTTTCGTGAAAGTCCTGATTAATTTTGTTTTTCAGTTGCGAAGAAGCTTGTCCAACATTCGAAAGCAAGATAAAAACAAAGGTTTGGAAGAGGGGATTTTCTATACTTCCTTCGCCACGGCTTGGAACAGTCTGACTTGTCTGCGCTCTCTTCTCTCTCGCCTGCGAGAAAAATGAAAATAACGCGTAAACAGGAGATGGTCGCGTATTGTCTGTTCAGATTTTGAATGTTTTTCGCGTCTTGAAACTTGTTTTTCTCTGCAAACCTCTCTTTTTACGTGCTTTCTGTGTTTCTCTGATTCCGCCGGTGAGAGAACAGAGAGACGCAGAGAGTCGTGTCGCGGGGAAGGACTATACAATGACGTCATTTGAAAACGCTGTTGTTGGCTCGCTCTCTGATTGGTTCTTCGTGCTATTAGGGGCGGAGCCTGAGTGACAAGTCGACATTCAAAATTTAAACTGACTATATAAAGACCACGCAGATCACGGCCTTCCTAATGGGGAGAGGGAAGGTGAGCGAGGCGTCAAAGTTTCTGAATTTACAAAAAAAAAGTAAGTGCGCGCTTCGGATAAAAGGACTGTGACGTCACAGCTGCCTATCGTTGCAAATTAAACTGAGTATTCAACGGCATGAAGAATACATTTGGCTGCGTACTTGAGATTACAAATTTTGCGCCAAAATGTTTTTGGCGTCTCCCCACCCCGTTTGGGAACGCCGTGCAGATGTCAGATAGTTCCAAACCGTGGCGATCAGAGTTATTCTTAAACTTTGTCCCTTTGGGGAGAATCGAAGGAAGTTTCAAATTCAGTTGGGCGGCAAGTTTCTCATCGAGACCAACAAGGAAGACTTTAAATATTCGATGGAAGATGCAAAGTTTGCCCCCTTTTTTCCGACCATGAATATCTTTTTTCAGCTTTGGAATCCACGTCAAGTATTATGACCCGGCGCGCAAGTATTTGGAGTTTGTTTTAGTTATGAACACGATTCATGAGGAATACAAAGATTTCAAAATCGATAAAACCTGGGAGCGACATTTCATCAAGGGGTGAGTTGGAGCATTTTTCAAGACTATGGTATTTTTTTTATTTGTATAGTCAATTTTTCCCGACTTGAAAGGCGAGGGAGGCGGGGCAAAGGGCGGGACGCGTAGCGTGTGCGTTCGCGGTCCTTGGCACGTGTTCAATTCAACCGCCATCGACTCTTTGAAAAGCCCGTTTTCTGCTCTTTTTCATACCTTTTTCAATTATTTATTGATTATATCCATGTTTGCATCAAAAAATAGTAGAAAACATTGAAAAAGAGCGGTTGCCGAGCTTTTTAAATAGTCGGCGACAATTGAATTGGACTCGTGCCAAGAACCGCGTACGCACACGCTACGCGTCCCGCCCCTTGCTCCGCCTCCCTCGCCTTTCAAGTCGGGAAACATTGACTATATCGGATGTTTTAAAGATATATTTTTCTTGTGTCAGAAGGTTTTGATAAGTATAGCCTGTGCACCGCGACTTGGAATTTCACCAAACGACATTCCGCTGTGCCGCCGCGCGCCTTTGCGAACATTGGTCGCGCATTTAATTTTTTTTTTTTTTTTGAAGGTACTCTACTTTCATGTGCTCCCACAGCAATAAAAATCAATTGAAAGCGTGACCTAGATTCGAAAGACGCGAACGCACGCAGCGGAACAGCGGAACGTCGTTCGGTGAAATTTCAAGTCCTCGCACACAGACTATAACTCACGAAGATTTTTGGTGTGAATATTGAAAAAAATCCTTTTTTTTTAAAGATTTTTCCTAGGGACCGCAGACGAATTTTCAAAAAAATTTTTTCAGCATTGAGCTTTGTATGGTTTGATAGCTGTTTCGATTCAAAACTCAGAAGCGTTTAGTTTTTCAAAAAAGATTGAGGATGAAAAAAGTTATGACGAAAAATGTGACGCGCCGCGCACCATTTTTTTAGTACTGAAATTTTGGTATTATCCATTTTTGACATTTTTTTCGATTTTTCTTCTAGAACAAGTTTTGATACTGGTCTATTATGATGTAACAAATCATAATAGAGTGCTAAAATGATGAATATTTGCTAGTTTGCCGAAAAAGTCAGTATTTTCCAGAAAACAAAAAACTGACGCTTGCGGGCATCGAACTCGCGACCTCAAAATGAAAAATCGCAGCGCACGCACTGCGCCAAGCTGTCAGGTCTAGCGCGGGGAGCTTCCATCCGCCATACCCTTCAGCCGTTTGAATAGCACAGATTGCCTATTTCAAAAATAAAAGCTTGAAGTAATTTAGCTATTTTTATCAGAATATGTTCGCAAATCTATACTCAAACTTTTCGTGGAAATTCATTCGAAAAAAACTGTTTTTTAGTGCTTTTTGCCTCGTTTAACGATCGCTGCCTTAAAAACGGCCTCGTAAATTTTTTTGGCAAAAGACGAATTTTTTTATTTTATTCTTTTTAATTGAAAGATTTTTTTACTAATAAATGTATATAATCGTTTAAAAAAACCTGCGTTCGACCGCTTTCGGTGTGATAAACGCCGCTAATTTTATTCTCTATTTTTCAAGAGCATTTTTTTGCGTATTAAACAACTTTTTTTCAAGCACATATTCTGTGGAGAAAATATTTAAGTAAGCCCGTGATCTAAATTCTGAAAAAAACAAAAAAACTCGATTATATTCGCTTATTAACGATATTTTTGAATTATGACTTTCGGCACTCCCTAAAAATTTTTTTGGCAAAGACGAATTTTTTTTATTTTATTGTTTTAAAAATTACCGTTACTTGAATCAAAAATCATTATTTAAAAAAAGAAAAAAAGTGCGTTCGACCTGAAAAAGACATGAAAAAAAGCAAAAAAATGACAAAGTTTTTTTAGTTCCATTCACGTTTCTGTACGACATTCCGCGAGAACGCATCAAAAAAGCTTGAAATATTTTTTAAACGAAAGAGGAAGCTTTTCTGTACATATGTGTCAAATTTTATTAGCCAGTTCCTCATATTTTGCAACTACAACAAAATGAAAGTTGAAAACCAAAAAAAAGCCACTTTTTCTATCGCGAAAAGGGGCGTGGCTTTGCGGTCCCTAGATTTTTCCGCACATTTTTGGCTCAAGCAGAACAAATTGAAATATTAGACCATTCAGAAGACATAAAGCGACGATAACTTTGATTTCAGCAACAAGAAAAGTCTTTACATCCCTCAAATAGCCGACGTTCAGTTCGAACTAATGCAGATTTTCTTGAAAGACGCCCAGGTTAAAGTCGACGATAAAGTGAGCTTTTTTTTCACATCTTATAAGCTTCAAAAACGACGTTTCTCTTTTCAATTAAAAGCTGAATCAATTAATAAAAACCTTCTTTTTTGTTGCGAGTTTTGAGAACTGAAAATGTGATCTTTTTCACCAAACAGTTCAAAATTAAGCTTCACGTCGTTATACCATGTAAAGATTTTGAATGTCAAGTACCATGACGTCATTTGGAAACGCTCTCTAATTGGTTTATCGCGCCATTAGGGGCGGAGCTCGAGCGCCAACTTGACATTCAAAGTCTGAACTCTTACACTTCTCAATGGCTGTTGAAATCCCTTTGAAAAAAGTCTACGACTTTCCGCAAACCTCTTCTTCAGGTCCATCTTGTCGAATTGGAGCCGGACTCGGTGAAAGAGAGCTACATGGCATCTCTCATGTCGCTTTTCAAGTTTGCGATGCCCATGATGATGTTCATGATCGTGTTGGTCACTTCCCGAGAGATTGCTGCAGAGAAGACAACTGTAAAGGCTAGTGAAAATAACTATCATCATTACTGAATTGACAGAGCAAAAAGAGGAAAAGAACGAGATTTCATTTCCCAAGCCGTGTTCAAAGTGATTTTCGCAACATGCAAAATTATATCTGATTCTACGAAATTCAGTCATATTAAAAAATAATATTTTTTTTAGGCTTACGGTATTAGTGAGGTGCATTAAACTGAACATTAAACTTTACGCGCATTTTTTTTGTAAAATTATTTTTTTTAATGGCGTGTTCATCGGACAAAAGGAAAATTGTTCCGAAACGCAAAAAAATTGCTTCAAAACAAAAATTAGTACTGTTTTGAAGCAATTTTGGCGCGCCAATGAACACGATTTTTCGTTTTGAAGCAAGATCCGTTTCTCCCATTAACACGCCATAAACTTAGGCTTAAAAGTTAACTTTTTATTTCAAATTAAAAAACTTCGCTTAGTTTTATTGAAAATATCTTTACACAATACAATTTTGGTTTTTGTTTTCTGAAGAAGTTTCTAGTTTTTCTTATTTGGCGAAAATGTTTAAAAAGTTAAAAAAAAAAAGAGTGGAACAGTTTCTTCTGTGTACATATAAACTTTTTGTGCTTCAGGAATACCTGCACACGTTCGGAATGACGTCGACAGAGTTTTACCTGTCGCACGCCTTGTTCGCCTACTGCAAGTACCTGTTCATCTGCGCCCTGCCTCTCTTTATTGTGGCTTTTTGCGTAGAGGTTTTCTCCTTTTCAAAATCAAGATTCCAAAGATGTATATCGAATAATTTAGCGATTGGGTGCTTCCGTGTTGATCTCGTGCATCATCCTTTATGGAGCCGCCTCTATAGCTTTTTCGACGGCTATCGGAATCGTTTTCGAGACAAGCTCTGGCGCGCTCAAAGGTTGCAATATCACTCCTTTTTTTTGACGACGCCACGCCCACATTTTCTCCGTAAAGTGTAGTGTACCGTGTGCATGCACTGCGCCGCTTTTGAGCAGAAAATTGCGATAATGTAGAGAAATTTCGAATTAACGAATTAAAGTCTGCTGGCAATACGGCGGCCTGCGCCTTTAATAAGCCCTGTTATTTACGCTCTGGAGCCGAAATTTCTGCCGTTCCCATGACGTCACGTGGGAACGGTGGATATTTTGGATCCGCGCAACGTTTTTTTTGGCTTCGCTTTTTTTTTCCACTTACAAAAACGCCGTAATTTGCCTTTTCAAAATGGATTTCTCGCTTTTTGTATTTTCAATTATATTTCATCCCGCGACAGCTGTCACGGTTTCTTGTTCTCCAAGCTTCAGAGCCGTTCCCTTCGATGCGCGAGGCCTGTCTCTGCGCATGCGCCTTTAATTTAGCCTGCGATATTATTAAAGGCGCATGCAAAGATACCAAAAAGGGTTCTGTACCTTAGATTTAAAAAAAACCGTGGAAAGCTGGTGCAGAAAGAACTATACTTTAACAAGAAACGGAGTCATTTCTGCTGATTTTTTTGAATGCTAATAAAGACTTACCATTTATCGATTTATTGATTGATTTAGGTACACTCTTCGCATGGGCCATTTCAATCGCCATGATGGTTTGGACGCCGGAAATACACAACGTGTCCGGCTGCAACCTCGTTTCGCTCAATTTGAACTCGGCCCTCGATTTGTTCTTCATGTCCGCTGACGCATTCCTTTATTCAGGTTTTTTTATTTTTTATTAACAAGCGTTTTTACCTAGGAAAAAGGTATAGCTTTTTTTGTAACTTTCGCTTTGAGACCAGGTTTTATTTTCTCCTTTTTACCTGTATTTTTCACTCTCTTTGCAGTTTTTCAAGTGTCTTGAAACAAAAAAGATTGTGATTACGGTAGTTTTTTTTCTTGTTTTGAAAACGTGACCGCCTGGCGCAGAATACTGTAGATTTTTTTGAGAAGAAACACAGGAGAAAAAATCTACCGTAACCGGCTTTCGCTTCAAGACACTCTAAGAAGGATTTCAGAGAAGCTTAAAAAACGAGTCTAAAGACGAAATTTACGCCAAGGGTGTACTGTATACGGTTTTATACAGAAAAAAAAAATAAATTTTTTTTTTAAAAGTAGACAGAAAAATAAAAAAGGAAATTGAAGAAAGAAGGGGAAAAGAAACTGATGAAAGGGGTAAACTGTGCTTTGTGAGTCAGAGGTAGAACAAAATGCAGTTTTTGAAGATTTTCGATCCGATTTTCATTATTTTTTGACTTTAAGGTCGCCGACGAAGTTGAAATTTTTTTAAAAGGTGAATGTTTAAAATGAAGAGGCGATAAAGTTCGAGCCAACTTTAGGCGAGTTTCAGGAAATTATCAACCTGATGCTGAAAACATTGTATTGAATTAGAAACCCGATTTTTTAAAAATTTTTTCGCAAAACTTTCCTGAAGGCTGTGACGTTCATTTGGGAGTGGAAAAGTAACTTTTTTTCGCACGGTTCAATCACTTGAAATTTTTGAGCTTTGACATCACCTTTAGAAATTTTAGAAAGCTTTTAAAGTTTCTTCTAAGCCTTGAAAATTCGAATTGTTAGGACTCTGACAACACCCTTTAAAGTCCTAAATGAAAAACCGACTTTTTCCTCATTTTAGCAAAACTTGAAAAATTCACCAAAATGTGACCTTTCTGTCTTCTGAGAATCTTCAGAAACTTAATTTTTTTTTGTTTTTCTGTTTTGCGAGACTCAAAAACATATAAAATCTTCAAGGCGACGACATCACCTTCGGGAGTATGTTCAAGCAAGGTGACAAGGTGTTCACGGTCGGAAACGCCCTCGTGTTCTTGTTCATCGACATAATTTGGGTCTTGTTTGCCGCCTGGCTTTTGTCGAAATTGCGCGACGGAGTCGTGAAAAAAATCCTTCAGTCAATCTTCACGAAAGCCAAAGAAGCGAAAAAGTCGGGTGACGAAGTTTGTTTCATTTTTGGAAGATTTTTTGAAATTCTTCTCTGCGATTTTTAAAGGAGCATATAGCCTTCTCCGCATTTGAATTTTAAGACGTCGCTCAAGCTCCGCCCCTAATTGCGCGATAAACCAATAAGAGACCGAGCCATCCACAGAGCGTACTTGAAATTCCATTTTTTTCAAAAGAGTGTATTGAATAAAAACCAAGAAAGACATGATTTTGGGATTTCTGACGGTTTGTAGGAAACAAGCTTAAGAAAAAATTTGATATAAGCCATTTATTGATTGAAAAATGGGCGGCCCATACAAGCTTGAAGTCAAATTTTTGACCTACCTCTTGGAAAAAAATTCCTCAAAACCCATAAGCTTCTTTCTATTTGAAGAAGATATACGGAAAAATACAGCGGAAACTTTTTATTTATATATAATTTCCCAAAGAAAATTCTTATACTGCTCTCAATCCTTTAAGACAATAATGAAAAATGTCTTTGTAAGTATATGCGCCTTTAAAAACCTCAGTGAGGAGTTTTGAACAGACTGGGAAAATTTTCAGTAGACACTATAGAGGTTCTCTGTTTAGTGGCCACTTCAGTAGTTTTTCATTCCTTCCAGTAACTCTGATAATATAAAAAAAAAACCAGATTGGACCAGTTATGTTGATCCACTGACCCCTAAAGTGGCCACTAGAATTTTTAGTGGTCTAGTAGTAGCACTTAGACCTCTATAGTGGCCATTAGTTTTTAAATTCTTGAGTAGCCACTAATTTGACTACTATAGTGGCCACTAAAACGTCAAAACCCTATAGTGGCCACTTAAAGTTTTACCAGCTAACGGAAGTTACAAAAATAACTGATTCAAATGCAGAAAGAAGGCCCAAAGGAAGATTTCGGTTGGAATGAAATTGTGAACGGGAGAAACGAGGCCCAAGCTGACATCGAAGTCAACAATCTCGTCAAAGTAATTTATCGATCCATTCATTTTCTTTGCAGCATCGGGATGCTATAAGATGGATCTATATGAACATTTAAAAAAAAACAGTTCGACCTGCCTGCGCCCTCTTTTCCCTAACCGGCGAGGTCACAGAAACGCGAAAATAGCGCGTCAACAAGAGAGTTTTTCGAGAGAGTCCCGCCCTTTCAACTCGCGAAAATCGGACTACATAAGATAGATTTATATGAGAATTCAAAAAAACCTCACAGTCTGACCTGTCTGTGCCCTCTTTTCTCTCGCCTGTGAGATCTTGAAAAAGGAAAGAACGAGCAAACAGGAGGGGGTCGCGTCAGATTTTGAATGTTATACTCCGTTTTTCACGATACGAAACTGCTGTCCTTCTCTGCGCCCTCCTAGTCTCTCGGCGTCTCTCTCATGTTGGCGTGCTATTTTCTTGTTTCTCTGACCTCGCCGGTGAGGAAGAGAGACGCAGACAGTGTCAAATGGCGGCGAACGGACTTTATCCCGGACATATTGCTTCGGCTATTATAAAAAAGCCACTGTATGATTCGAAATAACAATTTTTCATCAAATATCTTTAAACGAAACTTGGAAGAATAAATTTCAAGTTTTTCTATCCCAGGTCTGGCCGACTGGAGAAAAAGCCGTACGAGGCGTGACGATGCGGGGTCTCCGTGGCGAAGTCTCAGTCCTTCTCGGTCACAATGGTGCCGGAAAAAGCACGACTTTTGCCTGTCTCGCCGGCATGTGTCCCCTCACGGAAGGTGAGGCTGATTTTTGAACATTTAGGCTTGAAAATATTACTTTTTCGACTTTCTCATAGAATCTGCGCATTCCCATCTTCCTCAGGATCCATCAAAATCGGCGGCATCGACCTGACGAAAAACCTGGATGGGTGCAGAAAAATCCTGGGTCTTTGCCCGCAGTACAATCCGCTGTTCGATAAACTGACATGCTGGGAGCATTTGTGGCTGATCAACGTCATCAAAAACGCACCCGTGACGGAATTCGCGAAGGAGGCGATGAGCCTTCTGGATCAACTCGGCCTGACTCCGAAGAAAGATGAGGTTTTGTTGGATAGAACCGGCATTTTCTAGTTTTCGGTCGGGGAATTATTTGTTGGGGAATTATATAAAAATTGGTTAGAGTACTCCTTGATGTACCCGATGAAGTTTTTGAAATTCTCAATCTGATAAAACTTCCTATTTTGGGAAAAGTTATTTGAATTTTTTTTCGGGAGGTTGAGATTTCGAGTTAATTTTCGGGAAAAAATTGAGGTTAAAATAGATAAATTTCTCTGGAAATGTTTAGTGACCACTTTAGGGTTTGGACGTTTTAGTGGCCACTATAGTAGTCGAATTAGTGGCCACTTACAGTCCGTTTTTCTCGACTTGAAAGGACGGGACTTCTCTACGTCCTCCTCGTCTGTCGGCGGCCCTCTCATGATTACGTGATATTTCCATGTTCCTCTGACCTCGCAGGCGAGGGAACAGAGAGACGCAGACACGAGAAAACTGCCAATCGATAAACTCTCAAAAGTCGAAAAAAAAGATTTAAGTTTTTTGGGCTGCCTCAAATTTTGATCTCATTGAACTCCTATTTTTTCTGAAAAAGGTTCCAGGAAGCTCCGCCCCTTTTTTAGGTTACTGAGTGAGGATCTCTGTTTTTAAGGCGCCTTGTCTCGCAAAATCAGAATTTTGTGCAAGTTAGGACTTTTATAACCTTTGGTACAGCAAACTGTATTTTGGCCAATTTTTATAACATTCTTAAGCACAAAATTAAAATGACCTCCTTGTGAGTTTCTTCAACGCTAATGAAGTTCATTCAGCTTTCCCAAAACCTGTCCGGAGGAATGAAAAGGAAACTCTGCGTTGCCATCGCTATGATTGGTGGAAGCCAGGTTTCTCTTCTTGAATGAAGATTATTTTTATTTTATTTTTGTAGGTTGTGCTGCTCGACGAACCGACGGCAGGAATGGACCCAGGAGCTCGTATCGACGTCCAGAAGCTCCTTCTCAATGAGAAGAAGAAAAGGTAACGTTTGATATGAAAGAAATCAATGATTGTAACTTTCGTGGACATTATTGTAGAGTTTAATGAGAATTGACAGCTTTCAGGACAATTATTAAGAAAAAGAAAAGAAAGAAAAGAGTTCAGAGTAAGTCTTACAGAAGTATACTGTTGACGACTCATTACATGGACGAAGCCGAAAGACTCGGCGATTTCGTTTTTGTGATGACTGCGGGAAGAGTGGAAGCCTCGGGAAGTATCGGTTTCCTCAGGGACAAGTCCGAAAACGGATCTGAACTTTTCATCTCGAAATGTTCTCCAGATTCGGCAGCGGATACACTCTTTCGGTCGTGGCCGGCGACGAATCGACCAACAAGGAAGAGCTTCTCAAGATCTGTCGGCACTACATCAAAGACGCCAAGATGGTAGAAGATCTGACTTTTTTATGTTGGGCAGATGTCCCACCGGGTGTACCCGTTTATAGTCTGCTCAGATTTTAAATTTCAAGTGGAATGACGTCATTCGAAAACGCTCTGTGGATCGCTCGCTCTCTGATTGGTTTATCGCGCCATTAGGGGGCGGAGCTTCAGCGAGTACTTGAAATTTAATATCTGAACAGACTATATACCTTTTGATAACACTTCTATTAGGCTGTTCGGGCCTCAGATGTGCTGAAATTGGTTTAAAAAGCGATAGGTGACCCAGCTGTGTCTATTTCCAAAGTCTAAAACTCGACTGTACCAAAAAAAACGGAATCGTGGTAAAAAATAATGCCAAGATGGGATACGTTTCAACTTTTCTCTAAAAATGATTTTATTTTGCAAATTTTCGTTCAATAAGTAATCGTATTTTTAATATTTCAAAAAATGAAAAGGTTGGCTTGGCTCATCGAATATGGGTCCTGACACGATAAAAAAAAGATAGTGCATTGTTGGGGAGAGCGCAGACAGGCCACGCCCCTTAGTGTGCTTTGAAACGGCCCTATATAGTATCGAGAAAGGTTCAAAGGTGTTTAGAGTGATCGAACTTCGAAGGTTCCCCTCTAGGGACCACTTCACCTCCTTCTAGATAAAGCTTGCAAAAATGACCCCTATAGGGGATTTGCTGGTCGATCAATTTTATAAACTCTATGACGCGATAAGAAAGAGATAGTGCCTGGTTGGTGGAGAGCGCAGACAGGCCACGCCCCCTTAAGATCTCGAGTTAATCAGGAATGGATCTACAATTAGAAATGCACAAAAGTCTGTATTTCTTGAGAAATTATTGAATTCGCGCCAATAGATCGGTGTACAGAAAGTTGCTTACCGTAACCTAATAATTGCAAGGTCAATTTTTTTAAAATGAATTTTCCGTAAATTTATTCGGATCGAAAGCTTAGATTACGTTTTATTTTATTATAAAAAAATTTGTGGAAAAAGTTTTTTTCATCCATGGAGCAACTTTGCTTCAAAGCGAATTTTTTTCAATGGCTTTTTTTGGTTCCAACTCAAAAATTGAATTTTTTTTTTTCAATTTTCTTACATTAATGGTTCAATAACTTCGAATATTAAAGCCATTTTTTCAATTCCACCGCAAATTTTTTAACTTTTCACTGTCAAAACTTCTACAGGGTCACCAGAACGGCAAACAAATCCAAATTCACTTGCCCGAAACGGAAAAGAAGACGAAATTCGTGCCGCTGTTCCAAGCTCTCGAGAGGATTCAGGACAAAAAGTTTGAAGGAAATTACCGTTTTGAAACTTCTGGTCATTAAGCATGATGACGTTCAATGCCGCAACCTGCCGGCCGAGTACCGTAAACGTCATGAGAAAGTCGAACATTACCACGTTTGGGCTGTCGTTGAACACGTTGGAGCAGGTCGGAACCGCTTTTTAACTCCTGACATAGGCATTAGGGTTGCACGGAGTTTCGTTACCTGTCTTTCGCATGAAACTCTTTTTTTTCTTCTTTTTCAACATTTTTTTTTGTTCCATGCAACCATATAAATTATTATTTAGAACCACCTCGGATCTTAGAAATCTAGAGAATGATCTTAAAAAGTGGTCTCCGTTTTTTTTTTTCAATTTGGCCTGCACAAACAAAGCCCAAACGACCTCAGGCTTTTTAAAAAAAGAGCCTAAAGCTTCTTTTTAAGTTCCTTTAAAGGGGTCAAAAATTTTCCAGGAATCTCCCGTTTTCCACCTTTTTCTGCCTTTATTTCACACGTTCTTAAGAGGTTCTTTTCAGAAAAAATCTAAAAAAGGTCTTCCAATTTGAGACTTTTTGGACTTTGCCTGTGCGGGAGCTTTTTTTAGCCCGGTTTTCAGAAATCTGTCAGTTATTTTTTATATTCAGTAAAGTCTTTTAAGTTTTAAGTTTTGCAAATGCAAATTGATGCATAGCCGTTCGAAAACATGTTCTTCAAAAGCAGAGGCTCAAAAAAGGCCTCAGAAAGGCAGCAAAAGGGCAGCAAAAAGGGTCGATTTGTCGAGCCTTCTATCTTTCTAGGACTTCAAAGGCTCGAGAAAAGGTAGAAAAAGGAAGGGGCAGCAAAAATTGTGCACAAGTGCTGGGAAAATGGCCCAAAAAGGCAGAAAAAAGGGACATTTTTGTGGAGTCTTTTTCGACCCCTTTTCAACTTTTCTTATGAGATTTTTTGAGCGGATTTTCAGAAATTCCGAACTTCACGAAAAAATAAACTCTCAGCATCATAATTTTACAGGTCTTCTTGAGAATCGGCGAGTTGCACGAAGAAAACGAACGAAAAAAGAAAGGGCTCAAAGAGGGAGATCAACTGCCCGTAGTCAAGATCCACGAAGGGGGCGGCAAAAATAGTGAGCTTTTGGAGGACGCACTGGGAAGTCCAAAAACGTTGTCATAGAGGGGTCCCTCTAGTTCTGTATATAGAGTGGAGTCCGTGGAAATTATTTTTTTTGGTTCATAATATTTCATTCTTGAACCGCCGCAGGGATCCCTATAGGGACCATAAAATAACCCTCTTTAGGGCTCCTTAAAACCACGAACCCCTATAGGGACCTCTCAAAATTTAGTATGTAGCGTATTCGAGATGGTGACGTCTTTAAAACACAACAGAAAGAAAAGCTACAGTAAACCAAGACTTTTTGGCGCTTTCGTTTCGAGACACTACAAAAGAAGTTGCAAAAGGTCTTGAAGTGAAATAATTTGTAGCCGTTCAATTTTAAAATTCAATCTTTGGTCTGATTCAAGTTTTAGCAGAATTTCTTGTCTCAACAGTTTTTAGGTCATTTTAAAATGCTCTTGAAAGGTTTTTTTTTCAAAAAAAACTTGTAAGAAGTCTTTAAAAAAAAGAAGAACCAAAAATAAGAAGAAATGATCTGACTCCAGGTACCGATTACCATTTCGGATCGGCTCTGGTCAAATCCCAACTTGGGGCCAACATCCGGAAACGCTGTCTCTATGTGTGGAATAATTTCTCGGAATTTTTCCTGCTCATCGTCGAAATTCTCGCTCTTTTCATTGCTGCCGTCATTCTGCAGAAAAGCACAGTGAAAGGTCCTTTTTTTCTGAAATTTCCGATGTTTGCACTGAGAAACTTTCAAACTATCTCAAATTAGACGTGACAATTAGCGTGGCTAAAATGGGAGACCATATAAGATCAATAAAATGACAATAAAAATGGGTAGAATTTCTTTGAAAACTGTTTTTCCATTTTCTATCCTTCTATCCTTCTGTCTTAGTTTCACAAATATTATTAAAAAAACCGCTTTTTAAAAAAATCGAATACTTGCCTTAAGTTTCTGAAAGAAAATGTTGTTTATGATTTTTTTCACTTTTTCTGAAAAATTGTATTTCTTGCTTCCTAATCGAGTAAAAAGCCTTAAAAAAAGCCTACAGAAATGATTCTTTTTGGAGGATTTTCAAGCAAAAATAATCCATTTTCTCTTTAGGATTAATTTAAAGCTCAAAATTGAATAGCGCCTCTCGTGAATTCGGAGTTTTGATCTTGATTTCATACTTTTTTTTCTCGAATCTACCATGATTCAGCCTTTTGATTTCTCTGATGACTGAATAAATTGAATTGAATTGAATTGAATTGAACTTTCTCCCTTCTGCCGTGTTCAAAGTAGTTTCGCGAAATGCAAAATGATCTCTGACTCTCCAAAAATTTATATTTTTTTCTTTCTCTGGCGCGAAATTACTTTGAACACGGAATTCCAAAAAAATCTATTTCTTGATTTATGTTCGTAATATAAGATTTTAAATTTTAGGAAGTTACATAGTTGAAGTTTGATAAAATTTAAGGACTTAAATTTTTTTCAGAACTCGATTATCGATTTTACAAACTTCCCTCTCATACGGTATGACTCACGCCACAGGTAATATTCCCATGTATTTTCTTTCTGAAAACGGATTTTTTTTAAAGCGCTACCTGACAATAAACGAATCGATATGGAAGATTATTTTAAGTATACGGTAAATTGTCCTACAGTACTCTCGTTTGAAAATTTCATTTTTTCTTCAGATCGATCCAGCAATATCGAATATCCATTCGGAAGCCTTGCTTTTGGATAGGGTTCTTTAAACAATGAAATAAGTTTTTGTGAATTTTCTTGATTTCAGAAGTTTCCCGAGTTGGGTTTTGCAATCGAAAAAAATGGACCCGATGCCTTTTTGTATTACCACAGTGGAGCTCTTCACTCGGTGCCCCACAGTCTGAACTTTCTCTTCAACTCGTATCTGTCCAATTGGGTGATTTTTTTATTGAATTTTTCGCGATTATTTAAATTTTTTTCTTTGATAACAAAATGGCCCAATTTAGAGTAATTCTATGTCTCGTAGTAGCTTGATCCTAATTTTTCGATTGAAATGATTTTTTTGATATTTTTTTCAAAAAATTGAGAAAAAATTGGCCTGGTTTGCTGAAATTCAATTTTTTTCAGTAAGAAATGGAAATAATTATATTTTTCTCACGTTTTGAGTTTTAGATTTTCAGTCGGAAGCTAAATGAAAAAAATTTGAATTTTTTTATTTTTTTGAAAAAAATTCAGAAAATGGCCCGATTCAGAATGGTTCTATGTAGCTTGATTTAAATTTTTCAAATAAAAATAATTTTTTTAATAGTTTTCAAAAAAATCGAGAAATTCGCCCTGATTGAGTTAGGCTTTCTATGATTCGTTGTAGTGCTAAATCTCGAATTTTTTTCAGTAATTTTTTTAGCCGAAATTGAATTTTTTTCGTTATTTTTTTGAAAAAAATAAGAAAAATGAAACGATGTTTTATGACTTCATGTGTCGTAGTAGCGCGAAACCAGAAGTTTGATTTTTTTGAAAAAATAATATGATTATTTGGATTTTTTTCTGTTTAATAATGGATTTTAGATTTTTTGAACTTTTTTTATTCACCTACAATTAGGGGGCGCAAAGCCCCGCCCTCCAGTTGTACGCCGCGCGCCTCGTTTTTGGCCATAACTTTTTTTCTTAGTGGAGCTTTTTCAAAAACTAAACGGATTATGAAATTGAACAGTCTCCTCTATCAAAAATGTGAAAAAAACATATTTTTTTGAATCGTTCTGAAGAAATGGCTTGCGGACCCTACCTACAATCTATCCGATTCAATCGTGATTTTTTTTGAGATTTTTTTTAAAAAGTAATTTTAATTTAGAACACAATAATAGGTTTTAGGTGATGAAAAAAACTTCTTAGATGAATAAATTTATCAATTTCAAACTAATTCAAACGTATATTACATCGCAGAACTTTGATGATTTGCTGAGAATTTTTTTAAATTTTTTTAAAGTTTTAGGATGAAAGCGGCAGTGCAAACTTCATCAAAGCTTCCGTAATACTTGCCGAAAAAGTGAGTTTTTTTCATTATCGTTGTACTCGACTTAATCGAGTGCCAGAAGAGCCACTTTCTGGCTTTTTATATCACTAAAAGAGCTTCTATCGTGAAAAGAACAAGAAGATGTTGATACTCATTTATACTTTTCTAGGATAAAGGATCGGTAGTCATGATGGTGGTGATGTTGACCGCCGCCTTGACAGTCGCCTACTTTGTCATTTTTCCCGTCGTCGAGAAAGCGAGCGCCTTCCGACATCAGGTATAGACGATTCACGGCTAGCTTGGGACGCAAAAAGGCGTGGCCTGTCTGCACTCTCCACCAATCAGGGCACTGTCTCGTCTCTTTTCCTGGCAGGACCCTTTTCTCGATGGATCAAGTCAGCTGTAAATCAGCTATATACTGCAATACTTTGCACAGTGAAAAGTGGATAATGGCCGCTAAAGGGGGAGGCTCAAAAGAGGCCGTAGAAAGGCAGTAAAAAGGCAACAAAGAGAGTCCCTTTATCGAGCCTTCCAATTTTTTCTGGGATTTTAAAGGCTCAAGTGAGGGTGGGAAAAGGGAAAGGCAGCAAAAATGGTGCATAAAAGCCGATGAAATGGCCCAAAAAGGCAAGAAAAAGAACCATTGTAACCTTAAAAGGAACATTTTTATAAAGCCGTTTTTTGGCCTTTCCGACTTTGCCTATGCTCAAAATTTCGTCTCATAGGGGAAGCTTTGAAAATTTTTAAGAGAACTCTTTTTTTTCACGGCAGGCTACAGATTTTTGTACAGAAAGCTCCAGCAATACGGAAAAGCTTCAAAAAAGATCTTTTAAGAGTCCCCAAAAATTGTTTCATGTTACATTTTCACAACCTTCCGTTAGCTAAAAAATATCTTTTCCAAAAGATTCGAAAAGGATCCTCTGAGGAAAAAAAAATTGCCGAAATTTTTTTGGAGCTCCTCCAGCTCCTTCTGAGGGTCATCAATTGAAAAAAGCTGCATTGAGTCCTATTGGGAGAAAAAACCTCCTATACCCCCTTTTTTGGACCCTTATATTATAGGGCTCCCTAAATGGCCATTCAGTACCATCTTGGCGTTTTTACTAGTGTAAGAACTAAAACACGGTGGGCCGAGTCAAAACCTCCGCCGTTCCAAAGTGACGTCATGGAAACGTCAGAGACTATGAGAGCGTAATTGACAGGAATTATTAAAGGCGCAGACCGCCGTAGTGCCAGAAGTCTTTGAGAAGAATAGAATTTTCTTAACATAAACACAAATTTTCTGCGCAAAAGCGCCGCAGTTCATGCACAAGACACACGACACTTTACGTAGAAAAAAAAAATGGGCGGGGCGTCGTAAAAAAAAACGCCGCTGGAGTCCTGGAGATTTCACCACTGTTTATTACCGTTCATTCACAGTTTATCAGAAGAACTTTCGTTTCCCATCCTTTTTAAAAAAATTTTCGCACGGTCGCGAGAGAAGAGTATCTTGCAGCAAATGCTGACTGGGATGAGCCCGATAACCTTGTGGGGCGTTAACATGTTTATGGACTACGCTTTCTACATGTTCGTCGTCGCAATGTACTTTTTCTTCGTCGCCTGTTTCGACTGGAAGCTCGGCGATAACAAAAAGTCCTTTTACCTTGAAATTTATCCGACTCCAAACCGTTTTCCAGGATGTTCGCCGTATGGTTGGTCTATTTCGCAGCGTCGGCACCTTTTGTCTACACGACATCGTTCCTTTTCGCTGCTGCTTCGAAGGTTTTACCTCTTCCGAAAATTTATCAGTTGTTTGTCATTTTTCCTACAGTAGCGGTTTTAGGCGGGAAAAGCGAATTCGAAAGCAATCTTTTTTGTCGATTTTAGCTCTTTTTTGATCGTTTATTTTGTTTAACATGTTGGATTTTGCAGTTGGAAGCATTATATTCTCGAAAAATTGCATTTTTCTGTATATTTTTGTTTTATTTTTCGGTTCAAATGGGCCTGATTTTTTTTTCTTTTTCTGGCAATATTTGAGGCGATAAATCCCTCAATTAATTACTGAAGGGTGAAATGGAAAATTTTCTTCTTTTTTTTTTCCGAAAATAATTTCTGATTCCAGGCCTCCTTTATGCTTCTGATCTACCTCATTGCCTCGCCAATTGCAATCATGATCGTCCTAATTATTCTTGGCACTCTCGGTAGTTTTATTGAAGCTTTCAATGAAAGTGCCATGAATGGGATGAAGGTGAGAAATTTCGAATCCTCTTTTTTTTGTACTCGCTTATTATTGAAAGATTTCCAGAACTTGATGGCTTTTCTCTTCCCTTCGTATGCTTTCACGAAAGGATTGGAAGATATGGAGAAGGAGCCATTGTGTTGGTTTTTTGGTTTTCGTGTACCTAGCACTACGTTTGAACACTGAAATTTCATGCTTTAGCTATTTTTGAAAAGTTGCCATTATTTGTTTGACAAAATGATCTCAAACTTGAAGTATTCTGGCCTTTTTGAAGAGAAAATAGGGAAAAAGATTTTTTTATAGTCATGTGCCGTTATTCTATCTAATTTCTGCCCCATATTCTGCATTTTTCTCTGATAGTATCTTCACGTCTGACCCGAGCTTTAGAAAAAAGTCTTGACACGATGAAAAAGGAGGCAGTGCCTGACTGGAGGAGAGCCCAGAAGCTCGCCGTGAATCGACTATAATGAAATTATTAGATTTTTCCAGATGGAACTAACAATCACTCAGTTATTGAAACTCTAGATAGTCGAAAAAATCTTACAAGAAATCTCCAAATAGTTCCTAAAAAGTGCTGAAAATATTTCTCGAATCATAAGAATTTTTTTTTGGACTTTGGTCTGATTTGGGTCTTGAAATAACCCGCCGAAAAATACGACCTGGACTAGATCTTTCAAAATAAGGTAACTCACAAATTTTCTCTTGTGCATTTACTTTCAACTTTCTTTATTATCAAACTTTTCGATTTTTTTCGATTTCTTGAATAAAAATAGGACTCATTGACGTTCAAGGAATGTCAAATATAATGCGATCGAAGATTTCCTAAATTGTTTTTACCAAAAAAGCAGAAGAAAAAGTCAATTCCAGGGGAACTGATCCGATGCATGTTGCTCTTCTCAATCTTCTCCTCTTTGATTTTCTTCTCGACGCAAGTTCGAGTAACTACGAAACGATTTTTTCTCAGTCATTATATAGCGCATTTCAGTCTGTCCGTCGTTTCATTTTCAACAAAACGACTGGAGGTTTGAAGGATCCCGTCGAGTTTGTCAGTATTTTTCTTGTTTTCGATAGGAAATGGGTATTGATTAAGAATGGCAGTGACGACAATGTCAAGGCGGAACAGTTGCGAGTGAAGGCGGGTCAAACGGAAGGATCCATTCTGGTGGTCAAGGTGAGAAAAAACCTAATATAGTTCATCTAGTTCACGCATCTACCGCTGCCCTAAGCCTTTATAAAAATCTTTTAGAACTTGACCAAAATCTTCAAAAAATACCGAGCTGTGAACGGTCTCCACATGGCCATTGGCCACAGCGAGTGCTTCGGATTTCTGGGCGTCAATGGCGCTGGAAAAACGACGACGTTGGATATCCTGACCGGAAAGACTTTCCTCACTTCCGGCACGGCTACCGTCAATGGCGTTGACGTCTCCAAGAAGACGGTCAGATTTTTCAGAAGGAACTGTTTGAATTTCTGATTTTAGACTTTGGGATACTGCCCTCAGGTGGACCCACTGATCCCGGAGCTGACTGGAAGACAGACTTTTGAGGTTTTTGTTGACAGTTATTGAGAGATTCAACATAAAGTATAAACGGCCTTCAGTTCAACCAAGCTACTAAAAAAAAACTATTCAAAACCTATACGAAGTTATTTGCAGTTGATCGCCCAAATGCATGGCTACAAAAATTTCAAAACTAAAGCCTCGGTTTGTCTTGAAGGCGTTGGCCTGAAGGAACTGGGAGACAAGAAGGTCAAGCACTACAGGTGCGTCTTCAGAAGAGAAAAATTGACGTCGAGACTTTTATTTTTCAGTGGAGGACAGCGTAGAAGAATCTCGCTCGGCGTCGCCTTGTTATCGCCCTCAGATCTGATCATCCTCGACGAACCGACGGCCGGTGTTGATCCCAAGGTAGTTTGGATCCTTGGATCAACTCCAAGAAACGATTCAGACACGCCATGAGATTTGGGACACCCTGTGGCAGGCGATGAAGTCGGCGTCGTTGATTCTGACGTCACACTCGATGGACGAATGCGAGGCTCTCTGCAACCGGATCACCATCATGAAGAAGGGAAATATGCTCACCATCGGCACCCCTCAGGACATCAAGTCAAAGTGAGGGAAAAGGTCTACGGAGAGTCTATCGGAATGCTCCCAGGTATGGAAAGACGTTCACTCTCACCATTTCTGTGGACGACGTCGTCAGTCGTCACAGAGCTCTCTCGTTGGTTCAAGCCAGGTGTGTTATTACCTCAAGGTCTTCCAAATTGCATATTTCGTGAAACTGTAGAAGAAATGTGCGTGGAGAAGTAAATAGCTCATATAAGGCTGGGGGGAGTAAGACTTAAAAAAGTTATATAAGATGAGGAAAAAATCTACCTTGGACATCAGGACGGTAGCTAGACATTTGACCATTCTTCAGAGACAATTCTTCAAAGAACCATGGGATTATTGGAGAGTTGTTTGATGGTTGTTGGAACCGTCGTTGATCAAGAATGACGTGTAGATCATCTCGTCCCTCTTGTGGTAGTAGTAAACGAGTTTTGAGCTTTCCGACGATGACTTCTCCATAGGAACAGACTGCCCAGCTTGTCCAGGGTCGAAATAAGTCTCAGACGAGATAGGAGATGAATGCCTAGCACTCGAAAGGTGGAAATGGAATAATGTAAGATGTTAACATGGTGAATCAGAGATGACGAGTTTTGAACCTATTGACGATCACTGTTTCTCAGGGATGTAGTGCTGACTTTTTTAGAAGGATTAAGGATGCACAGATGACCAGGAAAATGGTCTACTCAAGTATGAGAACAATAGCGAAGCATTGAAAGGAAAAGCATCGAAATGAGATTGGAAAGAAATATAGTCAATTTTTTCCGAGTGGCAAGGCGAGATGGTAGATTGGCAAGAGTGACGCAGCTGTTTGGCGGAAAAATGTTGATCAAACATGAGTCACAACTTTTTCAAATTTTCGAGCTTGATACCGTGTTCAAAGTGATTCCACGAAGCTAAAAATATAGCTCATTTACGGCTAGCTTGGGACGCTAAGGGGGCGTGTCCTGTCTGCGCTCTCCACGAGCCAGGCGCTATCTCGTGCATTATCGTGTCAGGAACCTTTTTCCGATGGATCAATTGAGTCGTGAATCAGCTATAGCTGTCCGAGAGTTCCGCTGAAACTACTTTGAACATGATTTTCCGCAAGAAAGTCGCGTCGCGAATGCAACGCTTCAATCTTACTATTCCTCCGCTCTCAAAGAAAATTAAGAGATCTTCTAAGGGAGAGGTTCTCTGAGAGGATTCTCTAGGAGGCACACTATGTCTACTAAACTCAATTTATAAATAAATGAAATATGAAGTTGTTTCAAGCTTTCATAATGCAGCTACTGAGTAACGCGGCACTTTCTGTGAAAAAAATGCAATTTTTTTCCCAAAAGAAGGAAGTTTGTTGCAGATATCCACAGTCGGTTTGTAAAGACCCAAACACTAACAACCTCGCTTGGATGGTATTTTGCAAAATGTCTTTGAAAATATTCATTTTTGATATCTTTAGTTACCAAAAGAAGCTGGGGATAAGTGGTCGACGAAGTTCAAAGAAGCCCAGGAGCTTGCTCAATGGATCGGGTCGGATCGCTACTGTTTGGAGCAATCGACCCTCGAGGAAACTTTCTTGCGAATCATTTCCGATGATCCGGACCAGGGAATTGGCGGCGCCGGCGGTCCGGCTGCCGCAGGTGATGCTCCACCTCCGCCGGCGCCCGATGCGCCACCACCGATCCAAGGATATCCTCCGCCTCCGCTTCCGCCGCCGGTGCAAGTAACTCAAGGATTGCCTCCGCCGCCAGCTCCGGCGCCATTCGCTCAAGAATACCCACCACCGCCGCCACCCCCGCCGCCACCGCCGCCACCACCACCGCCCCCGGTACAGTATCAGCAGCCGCCGCCACCGCCGCCACCGCCCCCGGCACAGAATCAGCAGCCGCCGCCTCAGCCTCAAATTGTCATCCAGCCAACTCCGCAAAAGCCTCAGCCTCAAATCGTCATCCAACCAACACCTCAAAGACCTCAGCCTCAGCCTCAGATTGTCATCCAGCCAACGCCTCAAAAGCCTCAGCCTCAGATTGTCATCCAGCCAACGCCTCAAAGGCCTCCCGCTCAGCTGGCGCCAAAGCCTCAGCCTCAGATCGTCATCCAGCCGACACCTCAAAAGCCTCAGCCTCAAATTGTCATCCAGCCAACGCCGGCCGCTCCAGCTGCGCCCAAGCCGCCGCCAGCGCCCATGAAAGGCTACGTAGCGCTTGCCGGCTACAACCGCGGTCCTCAATAGGAATCGTCCGTCTAGCCAGCCGTATCGCCAATTTTTTTTTTATTATAGCTCACCATAAAAACTTCACAAATTTTTTTATTCGAATCCGTTCGTTTCAATAAAAATTGAATTGATTCAATCGTTTTGTTTTTCTTTTTTAAAAGAAACCATCGTAGAAGGGAATGAGAGAAAAATTTTTACCGTAGTTCTCAATGACAGAGTTTTGGAAAGTCTCAGGTTGGAAGTCACACTAAACTTTGACGTTGTGTGTAAGAATTTCAAATAAGATCTCTTCATTTTGTATAGTCTGTGTAGCACGACTTGAAATTATACCAAACGACTATCCGCTGTGCCGCTGCGCGCCTTTGCCAACCTTTGTCGCGCTTTCAATTTTTTTTTATTTTTTGTTAAGGTGCTCTACTTTCAAGTGCTCCCACAGCAATAACAGTCAATTGAAAGCGCGACCTAGATTCGAAAGACGCTCCGCGAACGCACGCAGCGGAACAGCGGAATGTCGTTCGGCGAAATTTTTAAGTCGTGGCACACAGGCTATAAAGGCTAGGACTTCAAGTTCTGCTCTAGCCAATCTGCCCTTTTTTTTCTTACCTCCTGCGTTGTCTTTTTTCTGGAAGTTGGAAGAAGCTGAGAGAAGACGAAGATAACTAACTTCTAGAAAGTACGGCCAAACAGAAATAAGCTTCTGAATATTTCAGTTAGTTCCTTTTTTCAAATTTTCGATCAAACCTACCGCTAACTCATATTTTAAGCGAATAAAATTTGTTGATAGCCGCACCTGAGGTTCTCTTTGTAACGGATGGCAACGTTAAAAAAAAAGTTTGACTGGCATGAACTTATGAGTCAATCGGATCACCATTTCTTTTTATATTTTAGCGTTTCTACTTCTGGATTTTTTTTGTCTAAGGTGATGAGAATTTTTCTTTTGCTCTTTTGACCGCTGCATGAGTTTGGAACCAAGGTTGGACCAAGCCATAAAACGTGGGTAAGACCAATTTTCCAATAAAGGGGAAGAAACTGTTTATTGCATCTTCAATGTAAGAATACATGTACAATTGACTTTCATTGATTTAACTGTGTTTTTTTAAACGGCGGCAGGAGCTGTGGCTTAAGCAGAGAATTTTTGAATTTCGCTCGTAGAACATCAGGTACAAGAGAGGTCGGCTCTCCGAAGGCCGATGGCAGAGATTGAGCTTTTTCGCTGCATGCAGCTCCCAATTTTATTTACCCCGGAGGAGGGATGAAAGGCTTGGTCGACGGCGGGGGGAGCTCGAATCTACGAACTCGCGGACGTTAGAAATGATTATTTTCCAGCTAAGCTATGCCGTCCCCGAATAACGGGTAAGACTCAAAAATCGTTCAAATTCTAAGAATTAACATTTACTGAGCTGGATAATTTCAAGAAAGTTTACGAAAACTCCAGGTGCTCTCAGGGGTTTGAAGATCTCCTTTTATATTTTAATTTTTGGGGGCGCCGTAGCGCGCCAGGTTGTGCGCCTGTCTACGGTCCACAGGGTCCCAAGTTCGATCCCCGCCTCGACCCAACCAAGGGGTTTAAGAAATGTTGGTAGTGGGAAACCACGAACCCAGTCGTCACACACAAGGACGGATATGTCACTGGAGCCTTTCCACTGATATCAGGATAGGAACTCGACTTGGGGCGCCGACGCCGCTCAAGCGGTACGAAGGCGTAGGAAGAAGAAGAAATTTTAATTTGGGATGGTTCAAATAATTTACAAACTAATTTTACAGGACGACAAGATCAACCCAAAGTCAGGCGCTCGGCAAGGGGAAAGCTTCCAAGTTTGCAAAATCCAAGTTGGTCATTTTCCAATTTATTCGAAGGCCAAAACATAACACTCCACAGTAGACGGGAGTTTTCGATTCAAAAAAAAATGACGAATTGGCGATTTTGAAGAATTTTTCGTAGATCAGTGAAGTTGGTGAGGTTCTGAGAAGAAGTTTGGTGTATTTTATTTTGAAGGAAAGCTACTCACTTTACGGTTCCACCGTTTTATCCGCTTCCTTGGAGTTGTCCACGGAAACTTCTTTGGGATTCTCCGGGGCTTCTTCCTTTTTCGGCACGGCTTCGACGGAGGGCTTCGTCTTCCTCTCGACACTTTTTACAGTGTTATCCTTGGAGTTCTTCTTCCGTTCAGCACTGTTCGCGGTGCTTCCGTTCGAGTTCTTCTTCCGTTCGGCACTGTTCGCGATACTCTCCTTCGAGTTCTTCTTTCTCTCTTCACTTTTCGCGGTGACTTCCTTCGAGTTCTTCTTCTTTCTCTCGCTACTCTTGGTCGCATCCTTCGGCTTGGAGTTCTTCTTCCTTTTCCTCTCGCTACTCTTCGTCGCTTCCTTCGAGTTCTTCTTCATCCTCTCGGCGCTCTTTGTCGTCACTTCCTTCGAGTTCTTCTTCCTTTTATTTTCCTTGATGGTCTTCCCGTCTTTCTTCTCCTTGGCGGTCTTGACCTTCTTCGACGTGTCGTCGAGTTTTTTCCCGTCTTTCGACTTTTTCTTGGTCGTACTCTTCATATCTTCCTTCGAGGGCTGAGTCGGCTGCTCCTCCGCTTCGCCCTGTCTCGTCACGTCTTTCGACTGCTCTTCCCTCAGCCTCTCTTCATTCATCGCGGCCGTCATCTGGCTGATCAACATCGTGTTCGTATTGATTTCGTCCTGACCGATCGTGTCTTCGACGACGACCGGAGGTGGAAGCTGCAGAAAAGCCTATTTGGAGCAGAAACGTAATTCCAACCTCTTGAACTCTAGCCTTCCTGTTTTTGTTGTTGATGTACATCCAGATGAGGAACGCCGACGGTACAATAATGAAGAGAGCGAGGCCTGCGTAGAGCAAGACAACGAAACCTAAACTTGATAGTCTCAATGAATCCTCAATCAAAAGTTCCTGGCTCGCATACATATTCCGATTTTCAGCTAAAAGAAATTTTTATCAAACTAATATAATAGTTTAATGAAAGTTCAGAACCATAAAATTTCTCTTCCGATGCTATAAAAAATAGAACTACTCCATTCGTTAAAGTCACTCCTGAGGATGACTTTAATCCGGTTCTCCAATTTGTTTTCACCTTGTGCATTAATAAATTATTATTACCTGTTCCACCCTCTCCCATTCCACCAAGAAGCGCGGTTCCGGTCTTTTTCTCGTCTCCGTAAAAAAAGTTGTCAGGACAGTGTGAGAGAGTCTCAAGAAAATCATCTGATTATTCACAAATAGGTAGGGAAAAAACCTTATTCACCGCCTTTTCAATGTTCTGGACAACTTTTTTGTTGAGATCTTTCGAGTACTCGAATATTTTGACCTTCTTATTGCAGTACTTTTTCAGTTTCCCGACGTGAATCTTTTCCAATTTCGCAAAACTTGTGGAACTGAGCGACGCGTTTTTGATCTTGATGATAACTTGATCTGCAATTTTCTTATTCATCAATATTTACAATTCATTTGAGGGTTTTACAATTCATTTGAGGTTCGATATCATCAAGAAAGACTTTTTTAAAACCTCAATTGAAAAAATGGTCAAATTACCGGATACGTTTGTCTCGATGCGCTCCAAGTTTTCGAAAATCGACAAATTCGAATGAGAATTTTCGATGTAGATTAACGAAGCCACGACGAAGTTGTTCAGCAATTTTTCAGTTGGTTTTTTTGAATTCGTTGAATTCGTGACATTCGTAGAGTTTGTAGAATTTGTAGAATTCGTGAAAATCGGTAAATTCGTGAAAAAGTCGTGAAGCTCGATTTTCTTCTCAGTGCAAGTAGTGTTGAGGCAGGTTTTCGGGATGGAGGACAAGCTTCCGTTGTTTTTGATTGATATGATAACACCGCAGCATTTATCTGAAAACCTTGGGTTTTTTGTCGAAATATAATTCATCCTTAGAACAATCTGTCATGTCTGCGCCCTCTCTTCTTTAGGTAAAAATTTTTTCAACACATTTTTCATGGTTCATTTTTTCACTTACTTTGTCGTAAAGATGCTGGAAAGCAACTAAAACGGGGATTTAAAAAGGATCCTCTGAGGCTGCAAAAAAGGAGCTTAAAAGACTGTTCTCCACAAAAGGAGTTTTCGGCAGAACCTTTTCAACTTCTTCTGAGGATCCTTACACGCGAAGTGCAAAAGGTCGAGGTATTGGAATTTAAGGAAACTTGGTATATAGGTACTTTCGAACGCCATGAATCCAAAAAAGTTGAAAAAAAGTGCGCATTTTGCGTTCTAGTCGAGTTATGGCATCTCGAAGTTTGCACGCGATAAATGCATTGGATGGTTGAGTGGAATATCTCGCGCCGGCTAACCCCTCCTGTCACCTGGAGTCGTGGTGTAGTGGGTAGCAGCCCTGTGCTGTGGAACCTATGATGCTGGTTCGAATCCTTTTTGGTGTAATTATTTTTTGCCAAATTTTTTCTCGGAAAAATGACGAAGTTTTGAAGAAACTTCCGTTTTGCTCATAGACGAGCTGAACGGCGAGGCGTAAGAGAGCGCAGACAGGTCAGACAGATTCAAGATCGTTACAAAAATTGATAGAAATCCAATGCATACCTGCGACTGATGGTTTAGGCATCTGAAAATATATACAATCAATTTGAGTCTTTGGATAAATCTCACAGGGCTCCGGGCGCTCATGAACATAGCTGTCATGAGAAGAAGTAGAAATATCGTCCTCATCTTAGCAAAGCAATGACTAGGTTTCCACGCAGCTCACATTAATTCTTCTTTTTTTCAAGTAAAACTACTTTTTTGAAGTTTTTTTTTCCAAGAAGCTTGGGTGAGGCCGGTCCTCTTTTGTGGAGGTTTTTGTCCTGTTCATTATATCAGAATGAGCGGAGGGGAGGTAGGATAACCTTAATCAAGCCAAAAAAAACCGGTCGATTGTGACTAGAAATGAGCTCGCAATGATAAGAAGCTAACTATATATTTAATTAACACATTGTCCTGTAATTTTCAAAAAGAACATTCACAAAAAATTTGATTAACACCCCAGAGTGATAGCTCAACATCAGAAATGCGGACGCAACTTTTTGAGTCATTCCCTCTTACCGTAGCCAGGTTACGGTAGGCAGGCATTCAAGAATTGGTGGGCTTTCTCTAGGCGAATACATGTCAATAAATGGGCGCATATCACCTTGGGTTACTGTAGAGCTACGGTACTTTTTTATGCTTGCAAAGTCAGTTTTTGGTCATCCTGGTCACCAAGCCATTTGCCGTAAAAGTCACTTCTCATTTCATTCTTTTTCATATTACTTTATTGTAAAAAAGTCTCGTGGGCTCCTGATCGTTCAAAATTCTTCGATCTGAGAATTCTGTCACCTTATTATGGTCGTTTTCTCGAGCCCTTCAGCGCTTAGCAGACAACGCTACTATGGTACTTTTTGGTCCAGGTAGTGACTGTAAGTGCGACACTGGATTTCGGCTCCTTTATGAACCCACTTTCGCTTATTTTACGGATTTCTGTCTCCGTTCGTTTAAGCGCGGTTCCTGTGGGTTGTGTAGAACAGGGCCTCAGACCTCGACTGAATCCGATTTTTGGTTCGAACCAGGTGAACGAGATCTCCTGGTTCTTACCAGGATCCTGTCTAACTCCGACAGGTCCACACCGATCTGAACAAAGGTGGAGGATTGGGAAGGCAGATTACAAGAGATCTTACCTAGGTCTACAAGCCACCAAAATTTTGACTCCAAACTCTCCCGAGAAGCTCTCTAGTGTGATTTAGGCAAAAGATATTTATGTTCGAATTTTTTTCAACAATTAAAAATTCTGATTCCGTTGTATACACAAGTTACACAAATTGTTCAAAACAGCGCTTCTAGATGTTAGGGCGATTTCGCCTTACAAATGAACGTTGCGCCACGCGGACTTTCGAAAAAGTCATTTCTGCTTTTTGGGCGTTTATGGCTTGCCAGGAAGGGCGGCCATCCTCCACCTCTGGATATGAAGATCAGTCACGTCGACCGAAAAGCTTTTAACAGCTGGGAGTAGGTCACACTACGCAGAGCTCGTGAGATCGGCTCACGCGATCTGATAGATCACGTACACGCCAAGTTTGAAGTTCAGACGGAAAGGGCAAACTGCCATAAGCATGTGATCTTTTCGTAGTATCGAAATATAATTAGTACCCGGATCAAAAATGAAACAATTTCCTGACAAATTCATATTTCACAGTCGTGCGGAACTCATTTATTTCGGCCTTGAAATGTAATTGGACATGCTGTGCTTCAAGCTTTCTCTGCGGACTCTGTAGACGCCTTCTGATCCTTCTTCTTCGCTTTTTCCTTCGTTTTCTTCGGTTTCTTCTCGTCTTTACTCTTGTCACTCGTGGTTTTCGTCGTTTTCTTCGCATCTTTGGTCTTATCGCTCGCCGTTTTCTTCCCATCTTTGGCCTTATCGCTCGTCGTTTTCGTGGTTTTCTTCATATCTTTGCTTCCGTCACTCGACGTCTTGCTCGCGCCTTTCTTCACTTCTTCTGGGCTCGCCGCGTACAGGAAACGGATGATCGTAATCAGAGGATAGGCCATGAACACAGCGGAGAATGCGCAGATGACTGAAAATTTTTTAATTCCAAAAAAAAATCAAAAGTATCCAGCTGCTAGAGCTTTTCATATTTTGATAGTTCCGATTCTCTCAATGGTGTAAAACAGTGGAAATTATGAAATTTAAAGATCTCGAAAAGTTTGTACAACATCCTGTGAAAGTCTAGGTTGAGATGAAGCCCGAACTTTTCTTTTTGACTTTTGGGATATTAATTCTCAAAGTTTTTAACTTTTGGGATATTAATTCTCAAAGTTGAGAAATAATGGTTTCAGACCAAGTTTTGTTTTGGAGGCGAACTTAAAGAAAACGAATTTTGTTTGAAATTCAAAAAATTTGGACTTCAAAAATAAGGTGACGACAGAAAAAGATCAAAGGTGAGATTTCTGATTTATTTTTCTTTGAGCTTTATTTTCCAAGCTGTCTTTTTTTGAACTGAATCTTCGTATATCCAAAAATAGCTTCGTGAAAAGCTGACCCAGCGCGGTCCACAACAAAATGAACGGATGTACAATTTCGTCGGCCAATCTTTCGCAAAGTTCCATGAAGAAAATGTACATCGGCTCGCCCACCGTTGCCAAACCACTTAGCTCAATCTGCAAAAAGAAATGAACAAATGAAGCAGAATTAGAACGGTACAGTTGTATGCGAAGGGGCGTGGCCTGTCCCCCACCAACCGGAAACTCTCTCTTTATAAAAATCTTGTCAGGCCCCTTTTTCAATGGTTCCAGCTAGCCGTGGATCAACTATTCTCTAAACAAACTCTAAGTTTTCTAGTTTTTGTTCTATTTTATTTCGCAAAAGTATCATGAATTTATTCTAATCTGGAACCACATATCCCACGGGCCATCTGCCTTCTTATGATAATAATTGAGAAATGATAAGGGTAATCAACGAAAAAAAAAAGCCCGAGAAAATTACCGTCAAATCATTAAATATTTGGCCGTCTATGGGTGTAGCGAAGGCGATGAAATTCTCAATGTTGGCGCGTTTTGTGTTAATCTTTTCCTTGTGTTTGACCAACTGAAAGATCGGATCAAAATCCATAAAAATTATCCCCAACCAACCCATTTCTGTATATCTTCGACCGAGGATCGTAGCGTTTTTTTGTGAGGCGTTGAATAAATTTGTGGACTCGACGAATCAGTCAAAACAAATTTCCTATTCAACTTTTTCGTTTCGAATATGACGTGCCCAACTGGGTCATAATATAAATCAATTTGGTGAAGTGAGGAGTTCTGCAGCGTTTTATTGATTACGTTGTCCTCGAGGCAATAATCCCACACTATATCCCAAACCGTTACTATTTCTACGGAATAGTTCCTACTTGAAACTTCCTCAGTTCAGCCCAGTACATAGAAAACTTGATAGTCGATTACCCTCATGCAAGCTTTTCTTATTTATCTCTAAGACTCAATTAATTTCATTTTTGCCATTTTTTAGAATTTTTTTTTAAGGTTTCGATCAAAGTTAATTTTTCGGATCGATTATTTTCATTTTTTTTTTGAATTTTTTTTTATATTTTTCCTTAGAGAAAGAAAAAAATGAAATAATTTTTCTGGTAATGTCAGATTCGACTGAAAACTGGTATCTTATGTCCTCTTTTTGACAATGGATTCAAAAAATAGTGTTTGCAATTCTCTGCTTGAAAGTCACTCTGGACTCGGCATTAAATAAGCTTAAAACACCCAAATTTTTGTTATAATAGGATTTTTATCACTTTGTTACAATGCTACAGATCCAAGGCGATATTTTCAAATCTTCTAACCAATAGAGTAACGGTTTGAGATTTAGCTGGAGCTATAATCAACCAACACAGTGTTCATCAATTTCCGAATGGATACGGTGCCATTCATCCGAATCGAGCGAATGATGCATCGTAATGTTGGCGACGCTTGACAAAGAAAGCTGAAAAAAAACAATGCCAAAAGTTTTCCTTCCAATGAATATAGTCTGGTCAGATTTGGAATGTCAAAGCGACGCTCAAGCTCCGCCCCTGATTGCGCGATAAACCAATCAGAGAAAGAGCCATTCACAGAGCCTTTTCGGATGACGTCATTGCACTTGACATAAACATACTACAGCTGATGATGACGCTTCAAAATATTTCACAACTTTACGCCAAAAAAATTTACATTAACTTTTGCTTTGCATTTTTTGCGGCTCGAGGTCAAACGCGAGCCACCATTTTTTGCTTACATTTTATGGTAGTTTGTAGTCAATTCATCCCGACTTGGAAGGCAATGGAGGAGGAGAAAAGAGCGGGACACGCAGCGTGTGCGCACGCGGTTATTGGGACGAGTTCAATTCAACAGCCACCGACCATTTAAAAAGCTCGGTCACCGCTCTTTTTGTATATGTCATGCTTTTTTTTTGAAGCACAAATTATAAAAATGAATGAATGATCAAAAAAGAAATAAAAAAAAGCGGTGATCGAGCTTTTTAAGTAGTCGGTAGCGCTTGAATTGAACTCGTGCCAAAAACCGTGCACGCACACGCTATGCGTCCCGCACATATCTTCGCCTACCTCCCTTTTCGAGTCAGGTAAAATGGACTACTATTAAACGCTTACAGCTCCGAAGTAGAGGCCAATGGAGAAAACACCAAGTTTCATTCCTTTGTAGATGCTTGCGCCGTCTTTACTTGTTATTAACATGTTTCTGAATTTGGAAAAAATTATAAAAAATGATTACTGAAAGTTTAGCCCACAATACATTACTGAAAGAAGAATCGTTTCTGCAAAATTTGACAAATTCCGAGTAAAAAATACATACACGAGGTCCAATCCTCCAAGACCCTCTTTTATCTTTTCGCCGAGGGCAATCAGAACACTCGTTTTCTTGAAGGTGGCCGCAGAGAAAGCCAAAAAAGCTCCGTTGCCGACAAAAAAAATACTGGAGGAAAATATAGACAGCCGATTTCGAGTGAAAAAGTAAGACTCACCCACAGAAAATGAGCAAGAAGGCGCCACCCAGCCAAGAAATGTGGGCGCTTCTGTCTGAAAAAATGTCAATCAGCGACAAGATTTTTGGGTATTCAAGTTGAAGAATCAATAATGAAATCTGAACCTCTAAAGCATTATTCGGGAAATATGATCGCAAATCCCCAACTTTAAAATTAAAAGCTTCATTAGGTTTCCTACCAACCAAAGATGGAGACAGGACTCTCGGCTTTCTTGTTCGACTTGACGCTTTTCATAAATCGAACGAGGGCTCCGATGGCAGAAGCGAGGATAACCCAAGTGACGATAATCGGTGAGTAAAGTGCGACCAAAACCGTCCGCATGGTTGAGGATAGCTAAAATCGAAAAAAAAATGTACTCATGTACCAAAGACAGGATTCGATCACCTCAGAGCCCACGCTTTTCTCCCTTCCAGATCGGCCAATTTCCGTCCCCATCGCCGCGAGAATCTGCAGAAATCAGTCAATTTATAGTTCATGCCGCGCTATCTTGTGATAATTTTCGTCCTCTTTCGAGCTATAGCTTTTTACAGGGGTGGGCATAAATATTGCACGGACTTTTCGATCATTCCAACTTTCTTTTCTGCCAATGGAATTTAAATCTGTTTTTTTTTTTGTTTTCCACTTTGCGAACCGTCGCTGGTTCTTCCACCAAAATTTTAGGTCAAGCTGCAAGCCCCGAGCTGAGCAAGACTCGTGCGAGTCCAATCTGCCCGATTTCAACACGGTCAAGGAATGGACCGGCTACTCACCAGATTCGAACCCCTTGACAATTCTGCATATTTATATTTGGTCGAAGGCCTGGACAAAACTCTATTTCAACCGGGACATGCTGATGGTCTCCATAATCAAGAATGGATGACAAGATCGATCTGTGTCCAAGGTCGAATATTTTTTCGAGAGAGTCAAGGCGCTCAGTGAGGCCAATAAAAGTAGGAGCGAAAGTTGAATTATATTGGCTTATTTGGATACTTTGCCGATAAAAAAAAATTCAGACATTCTTGTCTGAATCCGTTCCACTTGAGAATAACGGAATTTTAAACGCCGTGCAATATTTATGCCCACCCCTGTACATGAAAGGATCCCGTTTTGCGCTGTCAAGTCTCACAATCTTGCCAAGATCCGGCTCAAGAAAGTGTGAAGAAGGGTGTCAATGCAATGAATTTCCGTTCTCCTCCGATCTGCAGAACCCTTTCCCTTCGATGCGCGTGGTATGTCTCTGTGCATGCGCCTTTATTATAACTGGCAATAGGCTGAACTAAAGGCAGGTGAACAGAGACAGGCGACGAGATAGAAGTAAAAGAGATGCTATGTGTACGCACGCAATGTTCAGTCATTTCTGCTATTGGGCGTTTTTGGCATGACAGGCAGGGCGGCCAATGGGCAGCCATCCACCACCTCTGCTACACACGACCTACTCGATCTCCCGATTGACCAGTGTACTTTGTTCAAGACTGATTTCACTGGTGAATCGGGAGGTTGTTACAAGTAGATACCGGGTAGCAACTTCAAAGTTAGTCGGCGTATCGTAATTGGCGGTCGTTTGTATTCGACGGGTACTATCCCTATGGTACCTGGATGCTACCGGGTAGGATCTCTGACGAGCGTATGCTTTCCGGTACCATAAAAGTAGCTAATAAGTAGCTCCCCGGTAGCTAACTCCCGGGCGGTCGTTATCCGGTACCTACTTGCATCGAATTCCCGATTCACCTCTTTTTGAATGAAAACAGCGAGAGACACTTCATTTTCATGTGAAGATGAAACTGACCTGAACAAACTGAAGACGAGTCTGTAAAGCTTGATCGATAATCTGGTCCGTGATGTTATTTAATAAATCCCCAGTGGACAAAATTTCCTGCAATCCCATTTAGGCATGCGATCGAAGGGAGTAGGAAGGGTCATCACTTTTTTTTGCAGTCAAAAAAAAAATTCCTCTTCAGCTGAAAAGAAACCTGAAGAAATTTACAATCAAACCTTTTGCGCCTCTTTCATTGCTTTTATCAGAGCCGAAACATCATTTATGACGTAATCCTGAAAAAAAAGGTTTTTGTGAAAATTTTCAGTAGGAAATAGATTATTATATTTGAAACAAAAATTCAAGAAAAAAGGTGACAGGTCCTTTATAAGCGTTTTTCGCGACCTGGGAGGGCGGGACTTCTCTGGACCCTCCTCGTCTCTCGGTGACTCTCGCATATTTCCATGCTATTTGACTTAGACGGGGAGGGAACAGAGAGATGCAGATGTTCGAAAACTGTCAGAAATCATTTAGGGGGAAACAAGTACAAGCTAAAAGTATTTTTCCAGTTCTTCAATTTTTTTTTAATTCTCATCAAAATTGTAAAACATCAAATATCAGAACCTTCTTCTTGTATAGAAGTACTTGGGATAGTTTGAAGAAATCTAAGTCGGCGCCCAGCCTGATGAGCTCGTCTTTGAAATCGTCCAGTTCATTGATTTCTTTCTCGATTTTTGAACGCAAATGAAAATGTACTGTCGCCTTGTAGACTCTCATGTAGTTGTACCAGAAACAGTCGTAGGAAGTGGAATAGTCGGTGTAGACTTTTCCAAGACCTGAAAGGGCCATCACCATCCTTTCATTTTCTGAATGAGACTCGCCCTCCAACATTTCTGCGAAAAGCTCATCCGTTTCCTTCATAGAGCCCGAGAGGCCGACTTGCGCACTGATGGCGATGATGTTGCCGATCACAATCAAAACCAGGAAAACAATAACCGCCGAAGCCGCCATCTTTCCGCGACTTTTGCTAACTTCTTTCTGCATTTTCATTTTGAAAACTGTACCAGAAACAGTCGTATTGCTTCAGTTTTGTTTCCGTGGAAATTAAGGTCTTTTCTGACCTTTCTAATAGAAAGCTGACTTTTAATAACCAACTTACGTTTGGCTTCCTTGGATCGTTCTTTTTTCGCTTGAGGAAAAATAGAAGGATCATCGTAATACTCAACACGAAGAACATCAGTAGAACGAAGTCCATCGTGGGCTAAAACAATGTGAAGTTATGTAAAAGCTCGAAATGAAGGACTAGTTCTTTTTTTTTGAGTTTTAAAATGAAAGACTATCTCTTGCTCATAGAAAAAGTTTCACTTACAAAGGAAAAAAGCAGAGAAAATTTGATCGATCCTACGACCGACTCGGCCACTAGCTGCAAGTTTTAGAGATACAATTTTCCAACTTTTAGACCTCACCTCGCTTTTAGAGTCGTCGATATCTCCGACGAACATTGACTTCATGAAATTTACCAGCCTGGAAGATTTTTGAATAGTATTAATTTTCGAGCAATTTATGATTAACATGAAAGGTCATTTTTGCGTAGTGTTTGGAACTTTCTATAAATTCGCTCAAAGGATCTTTGATGGACTGGGAATCGATCAAGCATAGTCGCTATCTGCGCAAAATTTTTGTTTTGGAGATATGATTTTTTAAAGTTTTCATTTTTAAACACGTGACACCGTTTGGAAGTAATATGTCCGCAGCACAAGTCATTGCATGACAGCTTGGAGCGTGATGCAGTGGCTAGCGCAGTAGCCTGATGAAGATTCGAATCTTTTTGCCCCCACCGTTTTTGTCATTATTTTTTTAACGGATCATGATGCACATGTTGAAATTTCATGATTAAAAACAAGAAATTTTCAGAAAAACATTGAAAGGTTTGGAACGTTTTTATTTATGAAATTTCGACATGTTCATCATGATCCGTTGAAAAATTAATGGCAAAAACCGATAGCCGCAAAAAGATTCGAACCTTTATCATAGGCTTCGCACGCTATTGCACACACTGCCACTACTCGGCAGATACCTCGGCCCGGTGCAACCCCCAGATTTGCTCTCCTTTTCCCATCTTTTGCACTTTGCAAGTGGTAGTTACAAACCGTAACATTTTCGAGTCTTTTTCGTGCGAAAGGAGAGGCTGCACAGTGCTGACCACGAAATTCAACTTGCATGGGAACAAAAATAATTATTATCAACGGGGCTTAACCTATTCCCATTGGGCGCAAATAAGGTGCGGAAAGTAAGCTATTACGATAGAAGGAGTTTCTATTTAATTTCAAAAGATCTACTAAATAAAACTTTAGAATTGAATTTGAGAAAATTACAGATTTTAGATTCGCTTTTTTCGCTCGCTTTCTCCCCTGAAATTGCACTGAATTGACTCGGAATTTCGAAAACTCCACTCTCGAGGTCATTGCGCAAAAAACTGACTCCGCGCTCGGTTGTGCCTCTGAATGTGCGAGAAAAAGCACCGATAGTTTAAAGGCCGCATCCCAGATAGGGTCTGCCCGGAGCATAATTCCTGCCGAGTACACCACGCTCCTAGCTGTCATGCAATGACTTGTGCTGCGGACATATTCCTTCCGAACAGTTTCACGTGTTTAAGGACAAAAATTTTCAAAAATCACATCTCCAAAACAAAAAGTTTGCGCAGATAGCGACTATGCGGGATCGATTCCCAGTCCATCAAAGATCCTTTGAGCAAATTTATAGATAATGCCAAACCCTACGCAAAAATGACCTTCCATGTAAGGTTTAGGACATTCTTAAACTTTTCTTCAGATCAGAATAGAACTTGTTTGAAGTTTTTTTTGGTTAAGAGTAGAGCTTTTCTGAGAAATCTTGCTTCAACTCTTTCATTCATGACCGCAAAAACTCTGTCTTGTCTGCGATCTCTTTTTCCTCGATCATAAAACTTCAAAAATCTGCTCAGAAAGGGTTCAAGTAACTGCGTTTTCAAATAAAATGAAAACGTGTTGAATTATCAGTGAAATTTTCATTTTTCTAAATAATGCCGTGTTCAATTTGATTCCGCAAAACGCAAAATGATCTCTGACTCACCAAAATTTAGTGATCTTTACCTTTCTCTAACGGGTATTTTGCATTTCGCGTAATCAAATTGAACACGAAATAAGGAACAGTTCTAAAATTCGGCTTTGCTGCCTAATGTTTTTTTTGTCATAATTCGGAAGTTTTTCAGACCGACCCTTTGATACTTTTTCAAATTAAACATCAATACGTATTTTGGATATTTTTTAGGAGTTCCGGAAGTGCTTGATATAGTAACCAGAGCTGCTGATAAATTTTCGTAGCGGGGCGTCCTGTGGCAACCCGACCCGCCAAGCGGTCACACTGTCAGTAGAACCGTTTTTCTTGATTTTTAGACTTTGATTTTCCATCCATTTTCCACATTTCCCTATTTTTTGCATGTCGGTTCCGAGCTGTAGCCGATCACGGCTAGCTTGGGACACTCAAAGGCGTAGCCTGTCTGCCTCAACCAGGCACTGTCTTTTTCTTATCGTGTCAGGACCCATTGTGCGATGACTCAAGCCAGCCGTGAATCAGCTTTAGCCATTTCACTATCCTGGATTGACCCTGAACCTCACCCTCGTCGCGCAGATTCTCCGTTTGTGTAAGGCGACGCGTTCAAATCTATCGACACCCCAGGACATCCTGTAAATCGTTCAATTATTTCGGAGCAGAGGTGATAAAAATGTCACAAGGGGGTTTTTTTTTTGAATTTTTCTGAGTTATGTTATAGCCATTGTACCACGACTTGGAATTTCACCGAACGACGTTCCGCTGTTCCGCTGCGCGGCTTTGTGAACCTTGGTCGCGCTTCTGATTTTTTATTTTTATTCAGCTACTCTACTTTCCTGTGCTCACACAGCAATAACAATCAAATGAAAGCGTGACCAAGATTCGAAAAACTCTTCGCGAACGCACGCAGCGGAACAGCGGAATGTCGTTCAGTGAAATTTCAAGTCGTCGCACACAGACTATACTAGACACCTTATTTTCTTTTCGGGCTTTTATGATACCTCAAAGACGCCAAAACTATAGGGAAACTTTACGGCGTCATAACTTGATTAAAAGACGAAAAGCGAAGATATGATTGTGGGACCCGGCTCAGGGGACTTCAAAAAAGGTCTGAGCAATTTTCCAACGTATTTTCATAGTTAGGTTAAAATTTTCAAATAAAAGGACCCGAAGAAGATCTGATGGGATCCTGAAACCTTTGAACGAAGAAACAACTAACCTGCTACGAGAGACTCAGCCATGCTGGCTGGTTTGTAAAGCAATGACTCTTCTGCTCCGAAAATCTCCACAGGAACGTCACGTCAATTTTTTTTTATTATTTTAGATTGAAGATATGATAGTTTTTGATACTTTGAAGAGGCAGGTTTTTTCTATATTTATCAGTTACGTGGGGCGTTTGGCAAGTTCCTTTGTAATTTTATTCAGGGAAAAGTGGGTCATCTGAAGTTAAGTTTCTTCTGACCAGGAAATGATCTTCTGAAGGAGACCAAGTTTATTAGATGTAGTTTTTCTCGCTGATTCCAAATCTGGTATCGAAAACTGTCGCGGAGGTCTGTGAAAAAGCTTATGAACCCCAAAAGATGATCATTTGAGCGTCTCCAATTTAGCTTATTTTTGGAGGGTATGTAGATCTGGTCCCTCTGATAGCAGAAAAGTCATCTTAAATTTTGGAAATGAAGACAGTTTCAATGAGAAATAACGGGCTAATAAAATCCGGAAAGTATTAAAGGCATAGGGACAGTAAAAACGGGGTTTGAGGTGAAAGCAGTACTTTGTAGAGCGTTTCATTGCGAATCGAACGGTGTACTCATAAAAATTACAGATGTTGTTCCTTTCGAAGAAAAACGCGATTTTACTTTCCCGTCTTCAATTTTGGAAAAAGATTTGGATCGGTATGCAGACAACTGTTTACAGTAGCCGTGCACGCGATGTTGCGGACGTCTCATTAGACTCGCATTTTGTGAGAAATAACCAGATATCTGCTTCAAATTAAAGGTTTCTTCTCTGAAAAAATGATTAGGATAAAAAACTAGGAACTTCTGTATGTTTTCAAGTTCACCGTTCGATTCGCAATGAAAAGCTCTACAAAGTGCCGATTTAAACTGAAACACCGTTTTTTACTGCCACTATGCCTTTAACTTCAATTTTTTGTACGACACTCCGCTGAAACGCTTGAAAACTTTGTAGACGATTTCCTTGGGAAAAACGATGTGTTTAATTTCTACGCCTCATTGGTCAAAAATAGGTAGGGACCGCAGACGAATTTTCAAAAAATTTTTTTCAGCATTGAGCTTTGTATGGTTCGATAGCTGTTTCGATTCAAAACTCAGAACCGTTTAGTTTTTCAAAAAAGATTGAGGATGAAAAAAGTTATGACGGAAAATGTGGCGCGCCGCGCACCATTTTTTTAGTACTGAAATTTTGGTATTATCCATTTTTGACATTTTTCTCGATTTTCCTTCTAGAACAAGTTTTGATACTGGTCTATTATGATGTAAAAAATCATAATAGAGTGCTAAAATGATGCTAATCAGCTAGTTTGCCGAAAAAGTCTGTATTTTGCAGAAAACAAAAAACTGGCGCTTGCGGGCATCGAACTCGCGACCTCAAAATGAAAAATCGGAGCGCACGCGCTGCGCCAAGCTGTTAGGTCCAGCGCGGGGAGCTTCCATCCGCCTTACCCTTGAGCCGTTTAAATAGCACAGATTGCCTATTTCAAAAATAAAAATTTGAAGTAATTTAGCTATTTTTATCAGAATATGTTCGCAAATCTTTACTCAAACTTTTCGTGGAAATTCACTTCGAAAAAACTGTTTTTTTAGTGCTTTTTGCCTCGTTTAACGATCGCTGCATTAAAACGGCCCCGTAAATTTTTGGCAAAGACGAATTTTTTATTTTATTCTTTTAATTGAAAGATTTTTTACTAATAAATGTATATAATCGTTTGAAAAACCTGCGTTCGATCGCTTTCTGTGTGATAAACGCCGCTAATTTTATTCTCTAGTTTCAAGAGCATTTTTGCGTATTAAACAACTTTTTCAAGCAAAGATGCTGTAGAGAAATATTTAAGTAAGCTCATGATCTAAATTTTGAAAAAACGAAAACTCGATTATATTCGCTTATTAACGATATTTTGATTTATGACTTTCGGCGCTCCCTAAATTTTTTGGCAAAGACGAATTTTTTATTTTATTGTTTTAAAATTACCGTTACTTGAATCAAAATCATTATTTAAAAAAAGAAAGAGTGCGTTCGACCTAAAAAAACACTTGAAAAAAAGCAAAAAAACGATAAAAAAATTTTTAGTTCCATTCACGTTTTTTTGTACGACATTCCGCGCGAACGCATCAAAAAAACGTGAAATATTTTTTAAACGAAAGAGGAAGCTTTTCTGTACATGTGTGTCAAATTTTATTCGCCAGTTCCACATATTTTACAACTACAACAAAATGAAAGTTGAAAACCAAAAAAAAGCCACTTTTTCTATCGCGAAAAGGGGCGTGGCTTTGCGGTCCCTAAAAATAGGATTGTCTGACCTCTCTCCGCCCTCCATGACTTTCTCGTTTCCCGCGCTATTTTCATGTTTATGTGACGTCATCGGTGAGGGAAATGATAGCGCAGATAAGACTTTTTTTTTGAACTAATCTTAAAATCCAGAAATAAGAAACATGAGAAAACATTCATTAATAAGCTTTTGCTTACGAGGAAGGTATTTTTTCTTAGCGCGAGGGAATTTTCTGAAAATCTGTCAGAGTATTACTTGAAGTACCAAATGGATGTTCTGGATGTCTCAAGCTGCAAAACTTTCTAGTTTTCAAGAACGAAGTGCTCAAAGCTAAAAAATGACCTTCTTGACGGTTTTTTTTGGCTTTTTTGAAAACTAGGAAGTTTTACAGATTGAGAATGTCAGAATTGTTTTTTGGTACTTCAAGGAGTTTTCTGAGCAGTTTTCAGGAAATTTCTGACCTTCCTTGTTATGATCTTGTTTTTCCACTGCAGGTCTATCAACTACAGAAAGTTCATTCGTGACTTTTTATAATTTTTCTTTCAAACATCTCTTTTTTCACGGCGTTCTCTGAAGAATGAGAAGATTCCATCTGTCGGGAAATTGTTAAAACCGATCGGATTTGTTGAATGAAGGCTGCAGATTTATGTTACACATACCAAGAAGTTGGACGGGGCGAGAGCAGGCGCATTTGCATATGTATTTACTCTTCCGGTGGTCAACAGCTGTCCCCACCTTGTTCTATAGATTCGAGAAACAATATTCGACGCCATTTCTTTTGTCACCGCAGCTATTCCCACACCTTTTCTTTGTTTTCTTTTTCACATCCCCGAGGGAGGGGGGGTCATTTTTGTGGGAAGCTTCTGAAATTCTGAAAAATTTTTCCCGAATCTAGTGGTAGAACCTCCATATCACTCGAAAAGTCGGAAGGACCCTTTAGGGACCCTTTGAGCGTCTGTTATGGATCAAAAGGTTCTCATTAATTTTCCCTAAACGGTTTCCTTTTTAATGCCCTTTTCCGCCCTTTCATTGGCATTTATCCGCCTTTTTTGGAGCTTTTTGATTACACAAAGTTTTTTTGAATTAAAAATGATCTACCAGTGACTGTGTATGAACCAAAATGTGCTACAGTAATAAAATCGGAAATCATCAATGGTTGAGACTTTCAGCAACCTTTTTGCGGTCTCTCCCTTTTTTCACCCTTGTTCGAGGCATTTTAGCCCATCAAGCAAGAAAGGCTCAATAAAGCTCGCAAAACGGAACCTTTTAGCGGTAATTTTGCACCCGTTTTAAGCAATTCCGACTTTGGCATTGTAGTAACGACCTGCGAAAATCTTAAATTATGGAGCGGTTTTTCCATTTTTGGAAAGTTCTGGAGAATGCGAAAATGGTCTTCCGATTTTCCTGTAGAAAACGAACTTTGGAAATTCAGATCTTCAAAAATAATTTCACGGAGGTAACCCCTAGTAGAGTCCTTTACCTAGACTTTTAGAAAGTGTTCCTAAAAGTTTTCTCAAAAGTACCGCGAAATTCTCTTCCTCGTTAGAAATTGGGACACTTTAACCAACTACAGTCTTTGATGTTGGAGGAAGCCTCAGAAACTCTCAACTTGAGGAATTTCTCAGTTTTTGAGGCTAAACAGGTTTCCAAGTCTGAAAAATAATTGTAATCCGTGTTATAAATTAGCCTTTTTCGAAGTTTGAGCTTCCAGAAACCGGAAAAATTTAAAGGTTACTCTTTTTAGCCTCTTCTAGTAGTGAAAACCCGAGTTTCAAAAATAATAAATATAAATTTTCAGCAATCTTAAATTTCTTTCCACAAACTTCCTGTGTATAATGAGTTTTCTTTTTTTTTTCTTTTTTTCTTTTCTTTTTTTTTCATCTTTTTTTCTTTTTTTTTCCTTTTTTTAATATTTCCTTACTTTCCGACCCCTTTAAAATCCGCAGATTTAAAGTTTCTTGTAAATTTTCACTTCTAAATGTTTTTTAGGAAAACTTTCCTTCCTTATTGGTTTTCCAGAAACTTTATAATTTTTTTCAAAGAGATGATAAAAACTATCATGCGATTCTACTGGGAAAATTTTTTTTTTCTCCAAAACTCGTCGCCGAAAAAAGCCACGACGTTGCAAATGCCACCTGCTGCGCAGAACTTGACGGTTTTGTCTCCTTTCGAAGGGAAAATACCATTTTCGGCCCATAACACCAGCTTCTCCTTTTCTTGACTTGAAATTTACTTCGAATCGACGATTCCGAAACTTGTTATATAGTCAATTTTTCGCGAATTGAAAGGCGAAGGAGGCGGGGCAGCGGGCGGGACGCGTAGCGTGTGCGTACGCGGTTCTTGGCACGAGTTCAATTCACTCGCCGCCGACTATTTAAAAAGCTCGACAACCGCTCTTTTTCAATTTTTTCTACTATTTTTGATGAACATATGAACATAATCAATAAATAATTGAAAAAGGAATGAAAAGAGCAAAAAACAGGCTTTTCAAAGAGTCGATGGGCGGTTGAATTGAACACGTGCCAAGAACCGCGAACGCACACGCTACGCGTCCCGCACACCTCCCTCGCCTTTAAAGTCGGGAAACATTGACTATAACTTCTTTTTTCTTTTTTACCCAACTCGCTAGTCTTTTATTGATCGATTTTTAAGTGCTCTCTTCGTACTTTTATCGTGACGCAGACAGTTTTCAAGCCGTAAAATGGGCCCATGAAGCCGAGTAAAAAAAGACTGTAC